GTTTTGGATTCTAGTTGTCATCATCCATCTCTTTCTTTATGGTGTTGGATTCAAATGATCATCTATCCTTTTTTCTTTCTGGCTTTGGATTACAAGCGATCATCATCATCTCCTTGTTGGACTACAAGTTGGGGTCACAAGCGATCATCCATCCATCCATCCTTCCCTCCTCCTGGTCGTGGGCTTTGGGTCTTGGGTCTTGGGTCAAGGCTTTCTTGCCACGGTTTTGGAGTCATCATCACAGCCCTCGATGGCTCCAAAATCGTGGCAAGCGAAAGGGTTTTGGGTCCCGGACGTTTTTACGGGATATCTTTGACCACATATCATTATTATTAGAATTAGAAGTAGTTATATAGTATTTACAACATCAATAAAAAAGTCTGTTTTAAAAAAATATATATGAAAATTACAATATGTGTTTATTATACAATATATGTTTAATGCAATTCAATGTTCATAAAGTATAGTTTCATAAAGTAATATATGTACTATCTAATAGTGTATAAGTTAATACTGTATATATGTACTTCTTTAAACCCTAAGTAAAGCCAAGTAAAGCTTTATTCAGCAAATCGACTTGTAAAAAATTTTTTTTTCCCTATGGCTTTTACATGGGTGCACGGCGCGCGCCCTATTACATTAGGGTTTAAGGTATAATTGTTTCGATTAGAATGAAAGTTGTGGTAAGATGGGTCAGTGATGGATAAATAAACAAATGTACACAAATAGAGGATAAATAAAATTAAGTTGAAAGATAAAAATAAGTTTATTAGGTATATGTATTTTAAAAAAATGTTATAAAAAAAACAGTTCCAATCAATGATATAGTGCAGTAATACTAAAGTTGATATAAAGTACAAGTTTGATGAATGATGATAATTAACGATAGAGGAGAGAAAGAGAAAGAGAGATATCAAGCAAGGCAGAAGGAGACGATCAAAATGATATAGTTTGCACACTTGCGTTGCTAAGGATGTTCACTAAGAATGTTGGTAGTCCATTTGTCCATTTAGATTCTGTTACATTTTGTGAATCAGTCAAGGTGGTTATGTTTTATGGCGTTACTTATCCTTGGCAAGCATGACGAATGAATGTATGAGAAATGAATAAAGGAAAAAAGTAAAGAAAACAAGTAAAAAATAAAATAAAATGACGTGGAAACGAAATAAAATAAAAAATGAAAAGTCCGAATAGATAAAAGGTAACAACATATCAAATAGCATATGTATTCTATATTGTACTGTACTAGTGACAGTAATGTATATACAACAGAAAGTAGATTAATTCTTTGTTATTTTCCTTTTTATTGCTGATAATATATGGGAATAGAGGGAGTCGAATAGCAATATATAATAAAAAGAAAGAATTAACATGATCTTTTTGCTTGCATTCATCTGTGATTTAATTTATTTTTAAGGAACCAGGTACAAAAGTTGGAATGTATCGATAACGATTGATGATATTGAAATAATCAAGTAATAATAACTAAATAGTGATAATGAATATGAATTTTATTAAAGAATGAAATTGATCTTATAAGTAAACTACCAGTAATAACAATCACTAATGATCCACAAACAAAGAATGAGAGAAAAAAGATCAAAAAGATACTTCTAATTAATGGTAAAGTCGAATCCAGTTGAATCCTATAATAATATATCCAGTTCATTCATGTCGTCTATCTTTTGGACAGTAGTATGTATCCATTGCTGTTTAATTCTGTTGACCCATTGTTGATCCTATTTTATGTTCGTCCATTTTGTAGATTCTGTTGTATGCCCTTCCATCTTTTTGATCCTACTGTATTCATTTATTTTGTTGATCCTATTACCTGTCCATCCATTCTGTAAATTCTGCTGTCTATCCATCAAGTTATTCCAGATGAATAGCCATCTCGCGTAGTATCCTATTGACATAAAGTTACAATGATAAGCCTTTGTGTATCTAAATTTCTCTTACATTCAGTAATAATGATTAACCAGAATACCAAGTAGAAAAGATGATAAAGAAGAAAGAATAGTGGCCCTAGGTGGATAGATGTTGTAATACAAAGATCAGCATCAGAAGAACGTATATAAAAAAAATAAAAGGAGAAAGGGAAGGTTAGAAAGAAGAAAAGGACTTGTTCTTGAAACTTACCTTTAATAAGAGTAAAAAATATATTTGTAAAACCACATAGATAAAAGGAGAAGCGTATAGTAAAATAAGTTGGACTGTATAAAAGAGATAAATAAATAAAAAAGAAAGAATAATAAGCTTAGAAAATACCAGAGTTACTATCTTTTTTTTTTTTTTGACTTACTTTAATCAATCATATTTGTATCTAGAATATAGATTGAAATAAAAAAAAAAGATGATATTAATATCGTAGATAAAGTTGATGGTGTAATGAAATAGATGATTTACCATATTAAACTAAAGTATAATATGTTAAATATATATTTGTGTTTGGTTGTTTTAACTAGAAGGTAACTGTAAACACAAACTAAAGAAAAGAGAATGACTCAGTTAGTTCATTGAATACAATGAATACACATAAAAAAGTCTTCTTTTATTTTACTTTACTTTGCTTTGTATTAAAATATAAACGTATAAATAAAAGAAGAAAGAAAAAGAAAAAAAAGTGATAAAAAGAAGAAGAGGAAGAAAAATTAAAACAAACGCGTTCTTTTTTTATTTTTTATTTCTCACAGTATCAAATTTTATCTCAGCGGACAAAGCAAAAGCACAATGGACGAGACATTTTTCTTTTCTCACAGAATTCTCTTTCTTCTCTTGAATCTAAACATAGATAGTTATCCAATCAAATTGAAAAGGAATATTGATGTCAGGTTGATGTCTTGTTGTCGTTCTTAATAGTATGTATCCTCACTTTGATTTTGTAACCGATTATTATTATCCATCCTACCTGTGTATGTATCCGCTGTTATACATTTGTTCCACTCGTATTGATATATAAAGAAATCTACAGAAATCCAATTCTAATGAACGTCCTATACATATTGACACTGGATGACTGGACGACTATGATTGATTGATCACTAAACCGTCATTTATTCAATTTTTTTCAAACGCCGATCGTTTTTTTGGATGGATATAAGTTTCATGAATTTTTTTTTTTTATTTCTTTCTTTCCTTGAATCAACTTCTTTTTTTTTCTCATTATATTTCTCATTGTATCCTTTTCCCATGTCCTTCCGTAACGTTGTAATTTTAGGTAAACTTTCATTCATGCATATAATACCTTGTTCCTCATTTCTTTTTTTTTTTCTCGACTTAGGCGCTGGTGTAAGTGGTTTGACTACTGGTATAACTCTTTTGCGCAATGGTGCTAAACAAGTTACTGTCGTTGGTAAATACATTCCTGGTGGTGACAAGGATGCTGAGTACGCTTCTGCTTTCGCTGGTGCTTCTATCATTACTTTTGCCTCTGTGAAGGATAAACGTCTTCAAGGTGAGTACCTAATGTACATACTTTTATTCATTCTTGGCACTAATATATATATATATATATTGCTTGTACCTTGATAGAAATTGACCGTTATACATATAATGAATTCCATCGCCTTGCCAATCAAGAACCTGAATCTGGTGTTGTTTATTGCCCTGGTTATCAATATTATGAACGAGAAGACGCTCCTGGCGAAGATAATCATTGGGTTCGCGATCTCTTTCAAGACGTAAGTCTCTAGATAAAATAATAATGACATTGGTATATTAATATATATATATATATATATATTATGTTTCATTTCTTAGTATGCAAAACTAAATAAGGATGAATTACCAGAAGGAATCGCTCATGGTTATCGATTTGTTGCTTGTAAGTGAAAAAAAAAGGAAAACGGAGTTATTCTCACGGCTATGCTATCCAAGACAGTGGTGAGAATCCCGAAAAAGGAATGGTTTTATACAAAAACACCGATGTGTAGTATGATGACTCACAAACCTATTTTTTATAGTCACTGCAAATGTACCACAGTACCTTGGTTGGTTGATCAAAACATTCAAGTCCTTGGGTGGTAAATTGGAACGACAAGCTTTTGACAGTCTTCAAAGTGTGATGGAAACATACAAGGATGCTGATACTCTGATCAATTGTGCTGGTGCTGGTAGCAAATATCTCAAGGATGTACAAGATAATACTATGTATCCTGTTCGAGGTCAAACTGTGGTTGTTCGTGCTCCTCATGTCAAGTTCCAACTATATAGAGATGTAAGTCCTGTTGAAACCTATTGTACCTATATTATTCCTCGCTCTGATGGTACTGTGGTATGTGGTGGTACTATGGACGTTGGAAACACCAATCCCGAAGCTGATCCTCAATTAACCAAAACTATCCTGGAAAATTGCTATAAACTTCATCCTTATCTCACACATGGCCAAGGTCCTGATGCGTTTGATATTGTCTCTGTCAATGTTGGTCTTCGGCCTGGACGCAAGGATGGTATTCGTTTAGAAAAGGAAATCAAATGTAAGTTTCTGATGATTGATATTTATTTTGGTTGAACACTAACCTGATCACTCGCTTTATATTATTCTTTGATAGATCGTACCAATGGTGATCGGGTGATTGTATGCCATAATTATGGACATTCTTCTCATGGTTACCAATCAAGCTGGGGATCTAGCGCCAAGGTTTTGCAACTTTTGAAGGATGAACGTATATCCAAGCTATGAAATGAAAGGGTCCTTATTTTTTTTTTGTTTTTACTTTATGTACTGCTTGACGGTTAGATGATTATTTAGTTAGTTAGTAGTATTAGATCTTCTTTTTATTATTTTTATTTTTCCTATTTTTGAATTTTTATAGTTGTATACTAATTGTTTTAAATGGAACGGTGAATTTTTGATTTACTGAATAGATGATGTTGAATATACCTTTGATCTATTTGATTTATTTGTCTTTTTGTAATTAATATATGCTTGATATCATTTCGATGTTGTGGAACATGTCATGATTTTTTTTTTATCTTACCTCAATACAAAGTGATATTCTTTACGCATTCTTCAGTCTCAATCATCTTTTTTTTCCATCCATCTTTCATAACTATCAAATCATCATTTACCCCAATTATCATCACAGACAATTAATCACCTTCTTCAAGATCATATCAATACTATAACTCACCACCACTATCAATAACATAATAGTCAGAAACAAAATCATTGTAAACACTAGTTTTATTGTGATTCAACCATAATAACACTATAAATATACTAATATTATTGCCAAGTTGTGAAGACTAAAACGACCATAGCCATGTTGATGGGCCAATATACCATACATATAAACACGATGAACCAAGAATGTACGATCTGATAATCAAATATCAACTGTGACAGGAGAGTGGTAACATGAGTGTCAGCGACATTCGAATATATCAAGACAAGGCCAACAGGAGAGAGAAGTATCAGTAGTAAACATTGGATAAGACGCCAAAAGTAAGAACTAGTAGGTCGGATCAAAGTATAAGGAATCACAGTAGCGAGTGACGTTGCTACTGCAAGACTAAGATTCAGTAAAGAAACAGTAGCAATGATCATGGCAGACACTGCTAAACATATTGATTTCAACATCCGTCCGTCATGTAATGGAGAGCAAGTCTGTGTCACCCAAATACTTGTCCAAAGAATTGTCATCAAAGAGATACCAGAAACAATGCTAAATTGAATAATCAGCTCCTACTCATTTGATAAATCAGAAAAAAGAAAAAAAGGTCAAAATGTCAGATCAATGTCATCACCTTTTTTTTTAATTTTTTTATTTTTATTTTTATTTCTTTTACCTGATCATGGAACCTTTCCTCAAGCCAATTTGTCACCCAAGGTTGCATCATATATAATGTCACCATACCAGTGAGATGGACAATACCCAATATCAAAAATGAGAAAGAAATAGGTTTCCTGTAGACAGTGTAAGCCGAATGCACCGCACCTTTCCTGCTTTTGGTTTCTTGATAATCCGATTCCAATGCCTTTGGGTCTAAATAATAAAGTGCTAGAGAGTATATATACAGAATAAAATGTTAAGGTTATAATATCACCATTGTCATTATCAGAATTAATAACATTCATTATTGATATAATAATACAAAAAAGGATATTTGAAAAACCAAACTACAAGCATACAAGATGATAGGAGGCATATACGCACCAATAGAGACATATCGGGTCACGTTGGGTAACAAGTAGAAAAAGAAGGATTGATGGAAATGTTCCAATAAATTGTTTAAACTTCGAAAAGTAGATTCTATCAACCTATTCATTTGAGAAAAAAAAAAAAAAAAAGAGGTTAGTCAATACAAACACACACATATGCCTCTGATCTACTTACACGCCTATACGATGGAAACCGAACAATGCATCCAATTGATCTGAACCATGAATACCGTGAATGGTCACTGCATCTATTTTGTAACTATAAAAACAAACACATCATATAAAAAAGTGAGTTTTTTATTCGATACTTCTGATTTTCTATCAACATCATTCCTTTTTTTTTTTTTTTTTTTACCGAAGATATTGTCCAGCATCACTTGAAGGATGACCAATCACTTGATATTTCATTGTTCTAAGCACATGTTTCAATGAAATCCAATAACGTATGGAAAGAGATTGTTCATGATTACTGCCAGCCTCCATCTCATCATGTAAGGTGATGGGCACTCTTGCTGTATTTTGGGCCACAACGCGTATGGTATTGATCAAATCCAAGTTTGGTAGTTGTCCATTCACACCCTCTATCATAAAACAGAAAACGGAAAAAAAAAGAATATAAATCATTGAAAAAGAGGCAAATTATCATTCTATTACCAAAAAAGAGTCCTAAACTTGCATAATCGTTGACACCAGGGAAATCCAGATTCACTACACCTTGGATTGCACCCGATCGAGGCATCGCTAATGAGGATAATGTTTCTTGCCCTTTCCCAATCATAATAAAAGGAATGAATAAATACGAGTGAACCTTTTTTTTTTATGGTCAGTTCAGTTTACCTTTTTGTTCTATGCCATGATATGCTTCTAACCATGCTTGTGTACCAACATTTTCATGATCCGTCACCAGTAAAATGATATCTTTCGACCAATAAACATTCCCTAAGAAAAAAAAAAGTCGTATCAGTCCATCTATCAAAGTATCACATACTACCTTTCGTATTCAATAGTCCTTACGCTTGAATAATTTGGATAGAGAAAGCAAGGTTGCAATTCCATTTGTATTATCTGTAAATGAAAAAGGTATGAGATTGCCCGTAATTATATCCTTTAAATTGCTGTGATCATCATCCTTTTATCTTTTATTTTTCTTTACTTACAATCACCTGTACGAGATATCCAGGGTGCACTCAAAACCAATGCTTCTTTTCCATCACTACGTGGTGTTCTGTAGATAGCAAACGCGTTGATACCCTACATGTCATAATATTTGGAAATAAAGAAATAGTAAGAGTCAATAGGAGCCTGAGTAATTTATTTTCTCTTCTTACCGATAATCCATTCATATCAAAGTGTTGGATAGCCGTTGTGAATCCAACTTTACGAAGTTCTGTTTGAATAAATGTTGAGCGACTAAATGATGGAATAGAGACGACTAAAAAAATGAGTAAAGATAAAATAAAAAAAAAAAGTAAAACGGATACGTACACTGTAATATTCATAGTTTGAATAGCTAATAACTTATTTCTATAGTCTTCGGCTGTATGAATGTCGTTATAACCGTAATACACGTTAACCTGAAAGAAGGAAGAATGGATTGAGAGTTAGTGTTATATTTACTGAAGAAAAAGAAAAAAAATAAGGCTTAATAGTTTACCTGTCCAGGAAGTAAGGCGTTTTCTGAAATATAAGTTTGTTTGCTATAGCCATCATACGGTAATAATAGAAGCCAACAAGAACCAATTAGAAAGAGTAGTATACTTTATAAAAAAAAAAAAAAAGAAAAAAAGTTAGACATCTTTAAAAAAGATCAAATTATTTTCCTTACCAAAAAGGCGTAATATATTTGTTGATCAAGTTATATAATTTTTGTTTCTTTTCAAGTCCAAGTTGAGTTCTTCTCTTCTTCCCACCCAATCTAGCCTTAATCCTTGAGAGAAGCATTGAATTGAAAAGAAAAGAAGAAAAAACCAAAGGGGGAGGGAATCCCTACAGACAAAAACTGGGTTTCAAATATTGAATGGATCATTTTTTTTTTTTTATTGTTCAAAAAGATAAAATACAAAAATAGATGAGCTACTGTTCTAATTTTGATATTTGATAGGAAAAGATTGACTATTATTTGTTGGTGATGAAGGTGATAATACAGAAGGAGTCCAAGCTACGTTCAAACCATTGTTTGTAAGAGCAGATGGTAATAGTGATGATGATGAATTCTTGGTATCTTGTATAGAGAATGGATTTCTACCTTGTGCTGTTCTTTTCTTATCTGCCTTGGGTTGTTCTACATTAAAAAAAAAAAATGAAAAAGTCAATTGATTTCCAAATATATCTATTATAATTATACCATTGCCATCATCCCACCATCGATTGTTATCAGTACTTGGAGGAGGTACTATAAAATGAATAAAAACATTTATTGTATTAGTTCAAACCCCCTTTTTTTGTCAAAAGTATACTTACAATTCATGAAGAATGATACATCATCTTCTGAAAGATCAATCAAAGGCATAACAGGTTTTGGAGTAAATGATGGTGGCGGCGTAGGAGTTGTAGACGGACGAGCTGGTGTAATAGGTTTTCTTTTTGGTAGATTTGGAGGTATAGTAGAAGGACTCACCAAATGATCGGATCCAGTAGTTTCTAAACTTTTCTTGTATAATTGATTTTGTAATCGTGTTTTGGCAGCTTGATCTAAAATCAGGATCTAAAAAAAAAAAAAAAAAAAAAAAAAAAAAAAGATATGAATATTACATTTCTTTTTATCCAATCTTTTTCTTTTCAATATTCACCTCGGTTTCAAATAGAGCCAGTACTAGCGTAGAACAAATGTTAGTAAATTCATGCGTTAACATCGAAAAAAAGTGATAACTATATTATTTTACCAGGTCGATGATCAGATGTATATAAATCTGCTCTATCATATTGTACTTGTTTCAGTTGTTTCCCTTTGAATACTATTCGATCTGTCCAACCTGGTACACGCTGCTTTTCACTATTTATTAAAACAGAATAAAAAAAAATCAATTCTAGTATCCATATCCAAGAACAGTCGTTTCATTCCATGCAATGGATCTGTTTCTTTTCTTTTCTTTTCTTTTCTTTTCTCTTCTTCTTTTTTTTTTATTTTTTACCTTGTATCATATACATCAGTCCCATTGTCGTATTTGTATGTCGGCATAAATGTAATTTGTCCTTCTTGATAGCCTTGGAAGACGTTACCTTGATTCATTTCCCGGATAAGCTAGTAAAATGAAAAATGGTCAAAGTTATTCATATTTGATATCATGTTCTTTTACCTGATCATTTCTTAATAACCCTTCAATATTACCAGCATTTGCAAGAGCACGAGCCTAAAACATAAGTAAATGTATACAGTATAAATATCCAACTCAATACACATCTTTCTTTTTTTTTTTTTCTTCACGTACTTCTTCATTGAGCAAAGAAACACGGTAATTAAAATCACTGACCCAAACAATGTTGCTACAAAAAAAAAAAGAGATGTTGGTACGAAATCCTTATCAAGTTATCTTTACCTATGGCTATCAATAGATCGTCCTCTTTGGAATTGTAATCCTTGATTGATGGTATGAAAATCAGCGTTTCGATCATCGACATTTGATTGGCCAGAAGCGAAATGAGCGGCAAGGAAACAAAAGCTTGTATCACCATATTCCATTCTGATGGCCACTGCACCCTTGTTTCCAGCCATTCCCATGAGTCCAGTCTAAAAAAAAGTGAAAGAAAGATAAGAATACATGCCATTCATAGATTTATCATTACTTTTTTCGTAGATGTTTCAACATTTCTGATATTTTCCACAACAGATGCCTTGACAAAAATGATCAATGCAGCACCGACTAATTGATTGGATCGAAGAAGCACATATCTTGATTTACCATCCCCTTGTTTTGAGTTCAATGTTCGTTCAATTTGTTGCTCCCATACAGTCCTAAATATATATAAAAATATAAGTATGTCCAATGAAGCTTTTGAATTAATGGTTAATTTGTACCTTTTTTCAGCATCAGTTGCCATTACTTGTTGAGGAGAAAGTTCAACAATTTCTTGAAAACCAATGACATAGATATCTGGTTCACTATTTTGGTTCCCTATCAAATGTCAAGATTTAGGATCACATTCAACCTTTATGATTATTTCTTACATCGCAAATGCTGTAAAAGCCATGGATCCAGACTTTCCCCTTTGAATGATTTGCCATTCAAGTTGTAAGTGCCACAAAAAATGGTGATCTTTTGGACGGTAGAATATTCCTTGAGTCTATTTTTGTTTTTTTGAAGAGAAAAAAAAAAGGATGATAAATACAATTGGATTTACCTTCTTCCTTTTTTTTTTTTTTTTTTTGTTACCTTGTTTGCATCAGTTGTGATACTGAATCACTGATGGGGTCATGAATCAATATTTCTCGTTGTCCAGCCAATTTACCCTAAATGGTGTTGAAACGATCATTATATATAATACTTTTTTTTTTATTTTTATTTTTATTTTCACGTACCAATAATTGATCAATGATTTCTTGTCTAGCCTTGTCTTGAAAATTATTGATATAAAACCGATTTGCAGAACGAGCCGCATCACTAAGTACATTCATCAGAGTCACTTTGCCAGTCCGAGTAAAAGCAGATTTAAGAGCACCAGTACCAGCATAGATTTTTGAGAGCCCATCACCATTTTCAGCCCAAAGATTTGCATGTGCAGTAATAAAGCGATCGATCGTTCCTTGATCCTTTCTTTTATTGTTCAAATAGCCCAATAATACCTTTCTTGAAACTTCATTTTGTACCAGATTGGTGCGATCCAAACAATCCATACAATTAGTCCTGAAAACGCCTTGTTGACAAGTAATGATTTGATTGTCATCCGAATCCATCAAAAAATAACCAAATGTATCTGCTGATCGTTGAATAATATTCATTAAAAGTCCCAAATTTTCATAATTCCCACCGCGACATTCTGCATGAAGGTCAAAATTGATAATATTGACTGGTGCCGATTGTGAAGGTTGTCCGAGTTGTTTGACTGCTGCATTATAAGCTTTACTAAGTAGAGCTTCTCCACTGTTCTTTTCCTTTTCCTGAGACAGCAAGTTGAGACAAGATACATTCTGATACCGCTGAGTAAGTTCATCGAAATGTCGTTTGACTGCTGGCTGAGTTGCGTCTGGCCCACGTGCTATTTGAATTTTATGATTGACGAGTTGCATTCCTTGTTGTTCCCAAAACACTATATATACATATATATATAATGATTAGATACATTGTTTTTTTTCGCTTTATTAGTTTACCTGGTACGCTACCCCGGATTTGTGTGAAAGAATAACAAGTTCGATCAGAACATAATACTGTTTCAGTCTATAAAATAATTAATTAATATATTTATATTTATATATAATTTGAAAACTTACCTCTACAAAATTAGCAACATGTCCATTATCATCGATACCTCGAGAATTGAATCGAGTTCCTGCACGTTTACAACTAAGTTTGGATACTGTTGAAAGTTCATATTTTTCGTTGCCATCTATAATAGTTTCGATACCAACATAACCACGGATAGCAAATACCTATATATATATAAACAATAGATTCTATTATTTCATATTTTCGGTTAAAATAATAACTATCTTTACCAAAAAGCCTCCACGGTCCAAATCCATCTGTTTCTTTTTGTCCAGCTTGTTTCGAAATTCCAATAATCCAGATATCAAAAACTTGTTCCATAAAAAGTGATCATCAAATGAATGAGCTCCCATAGTAGACGCAGATGATGTTCTAAAAAAAAAAAATCAATATTTTTTAATCATTATTTTATGTCATTACCTTTTTTGTACAGTCTTGGTCAAATCGAAATCAGGTGTAAAATAAAAGTTGCCTATAGAAAGTAACTTTTGTAGTTGAGCACAAGGATGTTGAAATACACCATTGTCATTGCCACCGTTATTATTAATCGTTGGTTGGTCCAACCAGTCATCCGAGTCCCAGTCGTCCGTCATCAGATTAATATTATCATATTTGGAGGAAGTCAAAGAGTAAAAGGTAACCGATTGAATTTTATAAACTTCTTCACCAGCTCGAATACGTCCAAGTGAAATACAGTCAGTGACAATGGCGACAAAACTTTCTATAAAAAAGAAAGAAAGAAAAAAAAAGTCATTTTAGTTATTGTTATTATTATCATTATTAATTATTATTATTATTATTATTATTTTGATAATATAATTACCTCCAAGTATATCAATAAGACCTAGACAACCAAAGACAGGTCTTGAGTTGAGTATACGCCACTGAGAATCTTCAAAGTCGGAAGGTGATACTAACGTAGCCATTGCTTTGGTGGTTGAAGTCGGAAGGTTGAGTTTATGCTGTTCTAAAACTAAAACACCAGAAGGTGCTTCTTCCAATACTGTGGGTCGAAGTGCAAGTGCTCTTGGATGTTCACGTAGTAACAGATGCGACTCCATTTTAGACACCAATGTAACTCGAAAGTACGAAAAAAAAAAAAAAAAAAAAAGGAAGAAAGAAAAAAGGAAAATCTTTTTTTTTTTTTTCATTCTTTGAAAAATGATACCGGAGGTTGAATTCACCATAGCAGTAAAGTCGTTCACTGTATTCTGTAATAAGGTCAAATAACCTAGTCAAACAAACAACAAAACATAATATAATATATCATTTGATGAAAAGGATGATCATTATTTAAACATAATGGATATAAAATGATGAGGAAACTTTTATTCTTTTGATAGAGTATGATCATGAGGAGGGATTGCGGTAAATGACATAATATCCATTTCACTTTTTCCATATTCTTACAGTGTCTTCAAAGGTTGGGTCTCAAGAAAATAATTTCGTGATATTTATAAAATAAAAATATCAAAATGAATGTCGCATTACCACTTTTTCAGATATCGCTCCAGAGTATGTCAAAACACATTGATTGATGATTGATGGTTAACTGATTCTTTTCAACAGCCATATTTGGAAAAAAAGGAACTCTATTTTTTTATATGGTATCATCATCATCATATTCAGTTAAGATAGGAGTATACTAAATGTAATATTCATGTCTGATGATGTTAATTATTTCAGCAGATGAGTTGATTCTTTTTATCCCATCAGCAGCTTCAGCAGCAATTTACATAATATAAAAAAGTGCTATTTCCTTTTTCTTTTTTTTTTTTCTTCTCTGTTTCTTTTTTTTTTTTTTTCTCTGTTTCTTTTCCTCTTTTTTCTCTTTTTTTTTTTTTGACATCTCCTTTGGTGTTTCCAATTACAGTATCGTATTTAATGCTTCTCTACAGGTAAGTTAAAATAAATATAATAATAAAAAAAAAAATGGATATGTTGACTAAATATATATATTTTTTTCTGTTATTCAAAATCTCTTATACTCAATGGAACTAATGCCACTCCTTTTCTTCTTGTATTCAATCTGGATTATGCGTTCAACTCTTTTTATTTTTTATTTTTTTCTTCTGTCATCTCTCCTTACTATATATATTTTATTTCCTATTTTTGCAATATCTTATTTTTAAATTCCGTCATTTATTATTGAATAAAGTGTAATTTCTTTTTTGTACTATTTCTTTCGTTTAATGCCCTTTACTTCTCAACGGTCACTTTTAGTGTCTTTTACTGATGGTATAAAAAATGCTTTGGAGTGGAAAAAAGGATTATTCATACTATCAAGGTAAATAATAAAGGTATGAAATGGACAAATATAACTTGTACTAATATCACTCTTTTTTATATAGATCAAGAACCATTCAATATATCATAATCAAATCCTTTTTTGTCAATGGTATTCTTTGGTTTGGAAGTTTATTACTTTTAGATTATTTCTTTAGTGAGCCAAATCCTCAACATATTTTTGGTGATACTTTCAAAGTAAGGATTATAAAACAAAAAAAAAAAGAAAAAGAAAAAGGTTCTATTATATAATCATACTAATGTTTGTTGTTGTTGTTGTTTTATTTGCAAATAATAATAATAATAATAATAATAATAATAATGACTACTACTGTAGGTTATTATTGGTTATTCATTCTATCTTTTTTTCTTATGGATCAACGGTAGCCTATTTGATCAAATGGCTAAACAAACTACACAACTACAACGCACTGGAACAAGTAGTTTATATGCATCCAATTTTTATACGCGACCTCTTGATTTATATCAACCGACCATGGCTGCTACGTTGAAACTATTTGTCTTTTATGGGAATTGTACTTTACTTGTTAATCTATTACGCCGTATTCCATATATTGGTGTTATTCTTGGATTTATGATGAATAGTATCGTGATGGCTTACTATAGTTTTGAGTATGTAATCACAATTTTATATATATATATATCTTGGTTGATTTCTAATACATATTTCTTATATAGATATAAATGGATTGAATTGGGATGGACTCAGGAACATCGTTTATCATTTGTTGAACAGCATTGGGCTTATTTTCTTGGTTTTGGTATTCCAGCTTCTTTATTTACGTTCTTCTTGTCCAGTTTACGTTCTGGTGCTATGTTTGCATTCACTTTCCCTATTGTAAATTTTTTTTTTTGAAGATGTAATTTTATCTAACTAACCTCTTTTTTTTTTTTATTTGAATGAAAAATAGTTTATTATGATGGCAAGTATAGCTACAACGACACCTTCAATGAATGACAATCAATATCAGTATAACCACAAAAGAATACCAATCCTATTTGGTCTTAGGGCATTGAACAAACTGGCATTATCTATAATTCAAGTGACTCATATTAAATTATTTGATCGTTTGATGGATCAAAGTAAGAAGGATAGTTTAGGGAAATTAGTATAGAAACTAGATTTAAATATATATTTAAATAAAGAAAAAAAGAGAAACGCTTATTATAGAGGTAAAACTTTTTGCATAACTTTTTTTTTTTCTGGTTTTTTGTCGGTACGGAAAAAGGGCTAAAGCGAGAATCATTGATTGGTTGATTTTGCTTTGTCAGAATTTTGGTCTCGGAGGTGAAAAAAGTAAAATAAAATAAAAAAGACGCTGGTGGAAGGGAACGTCAATTTTTTATACTTTTCTTTTTTCTTTTTTTTTTAACTTAAAAAATGGTTGCGTCTTTAAAGAAACAATTCAAGGTAAATAAAAAAGAAATAATAATATATCTTATTCTCTAATAATATTATTATTTATATATAGACTGAATTTGCTGTAGAATTGACTTGTCAGTCATGTGTAGACGATGTTTCTAACGTATTGAAACAGTTTCCAGGAATTGAACAGTTTGATATCAATTTATCAGAACAACGGGTTACTATTGAAGGAACTGGTAAGTAAAAAAAATAAAAAATAAAGAAAAAAATAAGTCAGTTACTGACGCATACTTTTTTCATTTTAATAAATGTAAGCTCCACCATCCAAAGTATCAAGGGCTTTAAAAGAAACAGGACGAACAGTGATAGTACGTGGTCAAGGTGTAGCAGACGACAAACAAGGACATAGTGGTGCAGCAGTATGTATCTTTGATGTTTATGGTGATGATCCTACAAAACAATTACCAAAAGGAAAATCCGGTCTAGCACGATTTGTACAGATTGATAATGATACCTGCTTGATTGATTTGACTGTGGAAGGTCTTACACCAGGAAAACACGGAGTACATATTCATGAATGTGGTGATGTATCACGTGGCTGGCTCTCCACTGGCGATCACTTCAATCCTACTGGTGTGGATCATGGTGATGAATTTACTGGACATGTTGGTGATTTAGGCAATTTGGAAGTAGACGATAATGGTTGGGGCGATATGGTGGTGGAAAGTGAAAGAATCAAAGTATGGGATATCATTGGTCGTAGTATGGTGATTACAAAAGATGAGGATGATCTTGGCAAGAACAAACAAACACAACAACAATCAAAATGGAATGGTAATAGTGGACCTGGTATTCTTTGTGGAATTATTGCAAGAAGTGCTGGTGCTTTTGAAAATATGAAGAAGGTCTGTGCCTGTAATGGAAAAACATTATGGGAAGAAGCAAGATTAGTTCAAGACAAAAAGGTATCCAGTTTATAGTTAGTTATTTTTATATAATGTTAGTTACTATATCAATGAAATAAATCATATGTCTTTTTTTTTTTATACATATATATGTTTCCATATCGCAAAATAACAGGATAGTCATGATAGATTGTGATGATGATGAAAATAAAATGTCAATTCTGATACCATGTTTTAACGTAGAATACTTTCTATTTCCGACTTTTTTCCATTTCATCATTGCTTTTTGTTTAAATGGACATATATATATATCCAATATATATCGCATTCTCTATATGTCAAGGTAGATGAATCTTTTTCTTTTTATTATATAATGATAACTAAAGAAAATACAAAAAGATATGATTTTTAAAAAAAAGGATGATCAAATAATACAAAACAAAACAAACTATATAATGGAAATGATATAAAACAAATGAATAAACTAAAGATAGGAAAGTAATAATAGTGTAAAACAAATGGAATGCAAAAAAAACAAAAAAAAAAACGTGATTTGAATACTATACTAATAAGATCGATATTGTCGTTTCTTAGGCATCTTGACATCATCACCTAGGATATCCTTGAACATGTCCTTCTTACGATCTACACCCTTTTCTCGTTCCACCCATTCATTGTAATGTCGTTTAAATAAATCAATCTTGCAAGACCATAGAATACATTTACCCAAATGATGTTCAGAAAGATCGTATTCATATTTCACCAATTCACGAGCAATTTTTTCCTATATATAAAACAAAAATATATATCAATAAGAATACTAGTAGTAACAATGCATCGTCATTTCTTCATTTTGATTGTTTCCATACCTTGATTTCGATATCAGCAACAGACCAACAAGTTTCAACAATATGACTACCAAATTTATCCTTAGATAATGATACATATTCGCCCAATAGATTCTTTAATAATTTCTTTTTAATCTTATCATTGACATGTTGTGATGCAATAATTGATTCTACCACTCGTGATCCCATAGGAGTATAACACCACCGTAGACTGACAGCTGGTTTCATAGACAAGAAACTAAATAAAAATATAAAAAAGCATGATTAAAAACATATATAAATATATACACATAATTTTGATAAAAAAATATTATTCTTACCTATTGACTACAAACGCATTTTGTTCTGCAGGCATTTTCATGATTCCTTGTAAAATCAATGATCCTTGAAGATGGAAGTTGCGTAAACTATCTTGTTCTTCACTGAGTAGATTATTCCAGTTCTAAAACATGACACATAGAGAAAATAAATAAATAAACTTATCGATTTTTTTTTTTTTTGGAAGAAACTTACATCTAATGTTTTCATACGGATCACACAATCCACAAATTGCTTTTGTTGAGTAGTATCATCAGTCATACCTAATGCGGCCACCAATGCATCCACCACTTGTTTATAACATCCCTGTACTTTGACCGAAGCATCAACCAAACTACGGATAACACCATATTTACCATTCTTCAACATTGATGTAAAAGGTTTACCAGCTAATTCAGATACCATAGATTGAACTTGAGCAGGAGTTCGGACATTGCTGATCAATTGTTGAATGACGAAATTGGAAACAGGATTAAGACCAAACTTCTCTAGATTACCAGCAAGATATGTTTTATAAAGTTGATCGTACACATTGTCAGGCGCGACCTTGACCACCATTTCCAGTAAATGTGAACCAGCTTTATCACGAATCAATGTTTGGAACCATGCTTTACGATCATCCTTTTTACGTTCGTCCGCAGGATTAACTAAAATAAAAAAAAAATGTATAGATAAAAATGAGTACTATGTTTCCAATATATATATATATATATATATAATATTACCATCACTAACGATTCCCCATAAAAGACTATCCAATAATGCAGTTTGTGCTTGTCTTCCTTCTTCACTATCATCTTGTAATTCTAGTAAGACCTATTCAAATCATTTAAGTCAAATGTGTAATGGCATATATATTTGATGACTTACTTGAATCAAAGGACTGGCCACACGATGTACGGCCAAACTTCTAATAACAGCTTCATTTCCATTCATTGCTAATTCTTTAGTCAAACTTCTAAACATTTCCTTGAAAGAATTGGGTACACGGAGATGCTTGTTGCCTGTGCGAGTGTTCTTGACATTGTTGTTTTCAGCCTTGTAAATATGAGATTTCTTGGTACGAAGTCGACTATTACTTTCACCGGATTCATCTACACGTTTTCCAGCCAAAACATATAAAAGAACTCGAATGACATGAGAGGCGAATTGTTGAGAGATTAAACCACCCACTGAAGGTTTCAAATCCTATATTAGAAAAAAAAAGTATGAATTTATTTGTTGTATATAATGATATTATTCATACCTCACACATTCCAAGGACTAATTCTTGCATTGTAAGTAAAACACCCTGTTGATCATTTTCTGCTTGTTCACCTTGATTTGGCTGTACACCTTGAACCATTTCTTGATCTACAACATCTGCAGCCAAAGTCAATAATGTTTGACATACATGAGATGCAAATCGATGAGCAAATAATGGAATAGTACTAAATAAAGAAAAAGAAAAAAATGAATTTCAATTGTATATCTATTACATTCTATATTGTTACTTACGATCCGCTCAATTTATCCATAAACACTCGTAGTTGGAATGAATCAGAGATTTTCAACAATTTTTCCAAAACCAATGAGCAAGAATAGTTGGTAGCTAAACGAAGTTCATTTCCTTCCACTTCAGTATACACGTTGTCCACAAATAAACGTTGATCTAGTTTATGAGAGAAAAAAAAATATCATGTATTGAATGAATATAATGTTGAGGAAATATAAGTTCATATCTTTTTACCTTCAGCAGATTCAAAAGATTGATCATCAAGTTTTGATTCTACACTTTTAAAGTAACCTAAAAGTTCTTCAGGTACTTCACCATAATGAGCAGCTTGAAAATGTTGGTTTTCCATCAATACTTGAGCAGTCAAAGTAGCAGGATCTATTTGATAATGATCGTTTTCATCTATAGGAACTTCTTGTTGTTGTTCTTGATGTTGCTGGGTATTGAATTCTTCATTTGCAATTGTTTCTTGATTCCTATTAGCCTTATTGGCACGACGACGAGTATTTTTCTTCTTTTTTGATAAACCCATGGTTATTGAATAGTGGGAAAAAAAGCTAAGAAATAAGAAAAAAAAAAAAATAAAAGGAAAAAAGGGGATAGAGAGAAAAAAAAAAAAAGGTAGGATTGATTAGTACTCCGAAGTGGCTTAATGATGCTATTTCATGCACGTAAAGAGTTGGATATTCTTGATGTATGATCAATATCAGGTTGTTCAAGTAAAAGATAAACAATAACAAATAAGTTTAAAACAAATTCTATTTTATGTTATATATATATATATATCTGTTACTTTATGATAGGCAAATCAAATATAACAAAGCAAAATTGTGAACTAAGTTTTAATCCTCCAAGAGCGAAGACGGGGATTGAAATAATAAAGGCATCTATAGTGGCTTTGACAAGAGAAAACTTTTTTATTATATCCATTTTTTTTAAATTTATTCTCATTTTTTTCTTTTCTTCCTCAAACTTTACTCTCTTTTTTTTTTTTTCCTTCTTCTTTTTTGCTTGACTTAGTCACCGCTGAGAATATATTATCATGTCTTACGTCGTAAGTAATATGAAATGAAAATAATAGTTCAAACTATATCATTAACACATTTCTTTCTAATTATTAGGCTAAGAACTCCTCTGAAAAAGCTGGTCTTGAAGAACAAGTCCAACCCAAGATCCATCGTATTCGCATTACTTTGACTTCTCGTAATGTGAAGAACTTGGAAAAGGTGTCGGCTGATCTCATCCAGCGTGCCAAGGACAAGCAACTCAAGGTGAAGGGTCCTGTTCGTCTTCCTACTAAGGTGTTACGTATTACCACTCGCAAGTCTCCCTGTGGTAACGGTTCTGAAACTTTTGATCGTTTTGAAATGCGTATTCACAAGCGTTTGATTGATTTGCACTCTCCTTCTGAAATTGTCAAGCAAATCACCTCCATTTCCATTGAACCTGGTGTTGAAGTAAGTTATCAATTTATTATTTTTATTATTTGTTTGTTTTTTTTTTAACTCTATTTTTTTTTTTTTTTGCTTTTATAGGTTGAAGTCACCATTGCTTAAACAGTTTTATTTTGGAACTCTTTAGTGTAGTCTAGTCATATCTTTTTGTCCCCTATTGATTTGAATAGAAACAAAGGAACGATACTGGACCTTTCAATAAAAAAAATCTTTTTTTTTTGTTTGAACACACTTTTTTTATTTTGTCTTCATTGATTTAATATGGTGTGATGATGAATGTGATGATTCTAAATGAACGACCTTTTCAATGATATTTCAGATAACTATGTTCTATGATAAGCAAGAGAATGAAGATGGTGATGATATTTTGATCAATTCCTGATATGATTCAAAAGTTACTTTCATCTTCTTCGTCATCTCTCCATCATCAAGTATTATGATTATAGGATTATGTTAAGAATCATCCATCCATTGGAATATATTGAAAGATTTACTCTCTTCCTTCTATTGATCATACCTTTTGGATGAAGTAATCGGGATTAGATAAATTTCACAGAAAACAGTAGAAAATTCCCTTCCCCCTTTTTTTTCCCTTCCTTTTTTTTTTTTTTTTTTTTTTTTGGTTTTCTCTATTTGTCATTCCTCTCATGATCTCACTCTACAATCGATTATTATCCAAATATCCTATTTTTGTACAAAGTATTAGCACATGTAAGTACTTTAGGATGATATTGAAGTTAGCTTATATACGGATGTACTAACGAATATGCTTCTACTCAATATTTCTTTTTAGCATGTTTATTCGGTACGGGCGATTTGATAGCACAACAACTGATAGAAAAACAAGGCTTGGAAAAACATGATATGGCTAGAACTGGACGTATGATGATATTTGGTGGTCTTGTTGCTGGTCCAGCTTTGAGGTAATATGTTGATCTCAATATATCACTTGAAATTGTGGAATATTGAATCTCTTTGATTTTTTTTTTTTATTTCTTTCATAGTAACTGGTATCGTGTCCTTGAACATAATGTCAAAGGTTCCACTCCTGTCAAAGGTAACTACAGTTTACTGTTTATACCTAAACTGAAATTCACTTTCTCTTCTTTTTGTTTGATAGCTTTATTGAAAAAAGTCGCAGTGGATCAATTCCTATGTGCTCCTGTTTTTATTGGTGGTAACTAGACATATATAAAAAGATATTAAATCATAATGAGAGAAAACTGATTAGATGATTTTTTTTTCTTTAGTGTTTTTTTCTGTACAAGGATGGATGGAAGGCAAATCTGTGGAAGAAATCAAGCAAAAATTGGATCATGGTTATACAACAGCGGTCATTAACAATTACAAGGTAAATAGGAAGTTATATAAAAATGCATAGTTAGCTCATAACATATCTCTCTTTTTTTTTTTTTTCTTATTATAGTTATGGCCAGCTGTCCAGTTGGTCAACTTTTACTTTATACCATTGAATCATCGTTTAATGATGACGAATCTAGTTGCTCTTGGATGGAATTCATATTTATCTTGGATCAATCATCGCTCTTCTCAATTGGCTGATATGTCTTTGACTACATCCAACTAGATCAGTACCATCATCACCCCTTTTTTTTATTTTTATTTGTTTTACATTTACATATTTCATTCATTCTGCATCGATTCACATACACGATACTGTATTCCCCTTTATTGTTGATACGCACAGTCTACATTATGCAATCATTCTTTAATATAGCTCTTTTGTATTTTTATTAATTATAGATTTTGAAAACAATAAAAAAAAAAAAAGAACGAAGGGATGAAGATTTATAATAAGAACAGTAATATATATATACAATTTCTATCTAATTAATAGAGTAATAAATGAAATAATCAACTAACTAGGCAATTCCGTCGATCCAGCACCAGAAATTTCAGGCACTCCTACTTTATATCCATTGTACTCGACCAGTCCACGTGTTCTCACCTATGATTCGTAAAAATAAAAAATAATAATAATAATAAATAAAAAAAAAAGGTTGATGGAATAAGCGCTCTATACTAATATATTATAATATGATAAATACCTTTCCACCAATAATACCAACAGCAAGACCACAGGGTGCAGAAAAACCTTGTAATGCTAAGGTGGCCAAGCTCGAATTAGGATCAATAGGTTTAACACCATGGTCAGCACAGAGTGGACAAGTATATTTGACACGTTCATCTTCACAAAGTTGTTGATAACGTTCAGGTGTCAAGGTACTATCACAACGAGAATGGATCCACCTATCACAGGAATCACATGCCACCATTTCCTTATCCTCATCTGCTACATCTTCTCCGTCCGCATACGATCGTAAACAAGCAGGACAAAATCGATCTTCTTCAAAATTTGCAAAACAAGGGCCACAATAGCTTGCCAGGTAGACAGGAAATTTGTAATGGCCCGTTGTTGGGGGTGCCACAGCATGTATAAGGTCTTCACTATTTAGATCATCATTCACATCCACCACATTGATCGTATCACAACTATGACATACAGCACAAACTGGACATAGCCAGGATCCTATCAGTGTTATTATCAGAGAAAAAAAAATAAAGATAATATATAGTGGTAAGTTACAAAATATACTCCATCTTTCTCTTGGTACATATTCCATTTATTCCCACGTCCTTTTACATCCTCCCTTTCCCACGATATCTCTTCTCTATGCTTTTCTTTTTCTCTTTTACCTTCGGGGATATCTTTGACAGGAGGAGTACAACTAGCAAAATCAATTGATACAAGAAAGATGTATATATAAAAAATGAAAACAAAAAAAAAGGTCAATTCGTCTTCGGTTTATAATATATATATATATTTATAATATTTTCTTTCTTTCTTTTTTTTTTTTTTTTTTTTTTTTTTTTTTTTTTTTTTTTACCAGTCAGTATGCCATCCACGATCACACCCATCACAAATCATCAATTTGGTTTCATCACCAGCCGAATTACAGATACAACATATCTTGCATTCAGGACATGACCAAGGATAGGATTCAGCAGCAGCTATTTGCCTGGGGGTAGTCAGATTAGCACAAACAGGATGGTATTTGTGTTCACATTTGAAACAGGAAAACAGAGAATAAACATCACATAAAGGTGGTTCGTTTTCTTTGGGTTGGACAAGAATACTTGGTGCTTTCATTTGATGACATTCTTGACATTGATGTACTAGTTTTGTTGTTTCAGTTGACTATTAATATAAAGGAAAGAGGAAGAATTATAAATAAAAATAAATAAAAACAAGTAATCATTTTAAAAATAAACATTTGTTGTTTAGTTGAACATCCTTTTACCTTGGTTTCTGAAGCAGCTTTAGTAATTTCTTTTTGTTGTTGTCCAGTGACTGAAGAATTGGAAGATGATTCAAGGCCAGTACTAAGAATAGTATTTTGATTCATCTGTGAAGAAATAATAATAATAATAATAATAATAAAAGGTATGAGTAAAGCACAAAAGAATGATCCCATATACATATATAGAGATACTTTACCCGAGAACCTGAAGTAACAGGAGGTATATTAGCCATTGGCATGAATGATGGCATAGCAGAACTTGGATGTGCTGAATTGAGATTTTGAGGAGGGAGATTCTTTGTAAGGTTGACGTATTGATAAACTTGATTCAAATAGTGTTGTTGAGCCATTAAAGATTGTGTATTGCCAATCACAACACTTGGTCCTTGTATATGTGGTCGTGGGATTCCAAATCGAGTAAAATGACTAATCCATAACAAAAAAAAAAAAAAAAAAAAGTCGTTAGAATATCTATTTCCACAATTACGACCTTGATAACTTACATTGGGAACGTATCTTGATACTGATTTTCCACTAAAGCAATAGGATATTCTGGGTATTTGTCATTATCACTTTCATCATCAAAATACAAAGGTTTTTTCATCAATTTGGTCACAATAGGTTGTACATGCGGAGGCAAAGTCTTCAAAATATCCTTCAAATCGTCATCGTTGTGGTTGGTTAAAATCTGATGATGTGCCCGAGGATGATAAATAGTTGTCGTCTTATTTCCAGTAAGAGTATTGTTGAATTCTATTATCGTGTCTGATTTCTGTTCCTGTGAAGATAATTCAGTTTCGAGATCAATCCATTGACAAGCTTTTGGTTGAGTTGCAGATGGAACTTGGTTGATATTTGTGTGAGCATCATAAAAAATTGGTTTGCGACCTCTACAAGATTGAATTTGTGCATTGAATCCACGGGCAGTCAATGCAGCATGATGTAGCCAAGTTTCTTGTGTCAATGGAGTGTAAATAGCATATTCGGATGTCGTATCGAGGTTGGTGATATTACTGAGTAAAGATCGTCGAGTATGACTAAAAGAATCGTCGTAATGATGATCCAAACCAAAAGAAGAATCGTCTAAATGTCCTAAAGCCATCAGTTCAGTTTTCTTTTCAAAGGTCGTGGTTTCGCCAGTATATCCTTGTTCTCTTGCTTTTGCTTCAAAGTAATCATCGCGGCATCTTTTTCCTTTTTTGATAATCTTGGCACCAAAACGTTTGAATACGGAGCGAGCGGTCACTACAGCCACATCACGATGTCGAAACCATGATAATACCATTCCACGTTCTACCAATATATCCTTTTCCTCCTCATCTAGTCGTACGCGTTCCAAAGTTGGATTTTTGTTAAAGAAGATATGACTATCACGAAATCCAAGTGCTTTAGCAGGATCCATGGCAAGCATTAATACAGTATCACCTCTAGTTGGTAAAGTAAAAGTAGGTGTTTTAAATACACGACCGTCTTGTAGATTTCCAAACTTGTCGATTTTCTTTTCCCCGGCTTCATCAATTTCACTTTCTTGATCAGATTCTTCGGTTGGAGTTGCTGGTGGTTGAGTCACTTCCTTTCGTTTCTTAGAATGTTGTTGTAATAGTTCATCTTCTTGGTAGGTAGATGCTCTTCTTTTCCGTGAGCTTCGTCTTAAACTACTATCATCACTATCAGCTATTGAAGTTGTTTCCTTTTTGTTGGATATAAATTGTTTGCGATGTTTGGGAATTCGTCCTATAAACAACATGATCAAAAAAAAAAAAAAAAAAAAAAAGAGGTAAGTATGATTTGATATATTTTCTAACACCAAAAAAAAAAAAAAATATCATATTATTTTTTTCTTTTGTACCTCTAGGCATTGATAACGTCGCTTACTGTTTAAAAGACGTGAAATAAAAAACGATAAGAAAAAAAAAATTCCCTCTGTTTTCTTTTTTCTTTTTTTTTTGTTGTGATTGTGAGTGGATATGTTTCAAACACCGACCGTGAGCCTTTTTTCTTAAAAATACATTGATACCAAAGAAAACATACGTATACATTTTATTCACACCTTTTTCTTTTTTTTTTATTTGAATACAAATTCCTTTTTATAATATATGAATATTAAATAAATCTTCTCTCTCTTTTTTTTTTTTTTTTTGGGGGGGAAAATAAAAGTAATCTACAAATTGTACTTTTTATCCATTATCGTATTATTCTCTAAGAAAGAGATATACAAGGTTGAAATTAGGCTTTTACAGTAATGATACTTATTCTAGGATGACTTATTATTTTTTTATAAACAAATTACAAGATTTTTTAGTAATTTCTTTGTCAGTTATGTTTTGCGAGTGCATAAACATGGGACATCGTGTGAAACTCCGAGACCTTTTTCTACTGCCTTTTTTTTTCATATTTAAAGCAAGGCTTTTTTTTTTCTATTTTATTTATTTATTTTATTTTATTTATTTATTTTATATTATTTTTTATTATTCTTCTTCTTATTTTCTCTCGTTTTATTTACACGAATTAACTATTATTGCTTTTTTATTGTCATGTCAGAATTATACAATTTACACCCAAAAGAAGAACATGAAGACAAGGTAATTCTATAAAAGGATTAATACTTTAATGGTTCTCTCTCACATAACTCTATCATAGTCCTTTGGTTATCAACTTGATAGTGAAATAGAAGCAAGAAAGGAACCAGTTCAAGATTTACCTGGTGGAGTACGCTATGTGGCTGATACAAGACGCACTTCACAAGATCACGTTTCTCAAGATGGCACAAAGGGTGAACATGAACGAAGAGCAAGTTTTGGTGATGTTTTGGAAGACACAAGGTGTGATATTCGAACTCGAGGTTATCTTCCTATTGAAAACTATGGCTTCATTGGAAACTTACGTACTGTGGCACTTGCTGGTACGGATGGTTCTATTGATTTCTTTTGTTATCCAAAATTCGATAGTCCCTCTATCTTTTGTCGTTTGTTGGATAAGGACAAAGGTGGTCATTTCTCTATTACTCCGAAAATGTATACAAGCAACAAACAACAATATCTTCCCAATAGCAACATATTGACAACAAGGTTCATGTCCAATGATGGTGTGGCCGAAATCACTGATTATATGCATATTCCTGAAAAGAACCAACGACTAACAAAGAAGCCTCTTTTACCTTGGGTCATTCGATCTGTACGTGTGATTCGTGGCACTGTGGATTTCAAAATGGAATGTTACCCTTCTTTCAACTATGGTCAATCTAGTCATACTGCTCAAGTGGTGTCACACGATGCTAAACCTATGGCCGAACATATTAATCAAGATGCTCGTTTTGACGATGATGGTGAAGTATGTCAAAGTGAAACAAAAACCGAATCATCTCCTCAGTCTGTGGTGTTTATCCCTGATGATCCAGGTTTCCAAAGTTGTTGTTCCAATGAACCCGATAACAAGCCTTCGTTTGATCTACGATTCCTTACCAAATGTGGTGATTATGAATGTCCTTTGATCAAGCTCCATTTGGATGAAGACGCAAGTGAATTGGGATTCAAGGGTCCAGGTGTTGTCTCGAAATTCACTTTGGAAGAAAGTCAAGAAGTTACTTTTGTATTTCGTGAAATTCCTCCTGTTGCTATTCCTGACAGTGACACTCAACTTGAAGCTGGTCGTCCAGCTTATGATCCAATCTTGAGTGGTAATCTGATTGATGCGTTGTTCCGACAAACTGCAAAATATTGGCAAGGATGGGTCGCCTCTAGTACATACAATGGTCGTTGGAGAGAACATGTTATGCGATCTGCATTGACTTTGAAACTATTAACTTATGAACCAGTAAGTTAAATATATATATATGTACTTTGGAATGGAGTTTTTGTAGAAACTGAGTAATGATTCTCTCTCTCTCTTTTTTTTTTTTTTTTTTCTTTTTTCTTTTTTCTTTTTTTTTTTACTTTTTTTTTTTTTTTACTTTTTTTTGTTTACTTTTTTTTTTTTTTTTTTTTTTTTTACTTTTTAAATAGACTGGTGCTGTGGTTGCTGCCCCGACATTTGGTTTACCTGAAGGTAAGAAAAAAAAAAAAAAGGACCATTGAAAACTTCTTTGATGATCTTAACTTTTTTTTTATCTTATATGATATAGCTATTGGAGGATCAAGAAATTGGGATTATCGATATGTCTGGATTCGAGATTCATCTTTTACTATTTATGCCTTCCTTCGACTTGGATTTACAGAAGAAGCCAGGAAATATTTGGAATTTATTGAAGAACGGTGCAATGACCTGGTAATATATATATATAAGAGGAAGGTTCTGTTGTTTATTAATATATTACTTTATCATAGAATGAAGATGGATCTCTAAATATTATGTACAGCATTGATGGAACCAAGGAACTGGACGAATATGAACTGGATCACTTTGAAGGATATCGATCATCAAGACCGGTACGTGTTGGAAATGGTGCTTATGGACATTTACAATTGGATATTTATGGTGAATTAATGGATGGGATCTATTTGTATAACAAATATGGATCTCCTGTTTCTTACGATATTTGGTGTATTGTCCGTAAACTGGCAAACTATGTGGTTGATCATTGGAAGTTACCTGATATGTCTATCTGGGAAGTTCGTGCCTCAAAACAACGTTTTACTTACTCTATGATCATGTGTTGGGTAGCATTGGACAGAGGTAAAAAAAAAAAATTGGTAATGATAACATAAATCTTATGCCTTCTATATATTTTATAGCTATTCGATTGGCAATGAAACGTCAATTCCCTTGCTTTGAACGAGACACTTGGACTAACACTAGGGATACCATTTACGAAACAATACAAAACTTATGTTACAACAAGAAACTCAAGATGTATTCGCAAAGTATTGAAACACCTGATGCCTTGGACGCAAGCTGTTTGATTATGCCATTGGTCTTTTTTAGTTCACCTACTGACCCTCGAATGTTAAATACCATTCAACGTATGCTATTACCCCCTGAAAAAGGTAAAAAAAAAAAAAAAAAAAAAAAAAAAAGGAAAAGAAAAGAATTCTCCAGAATTAATGTTATCTTTATTTGTATAATCATGCATATGTAATATAGGTGGTTTGGTGACAAATGATCTTGTATTTCGATACAACTTCTTGACAACGGATGATGGTGTTGGAGGTGAAGAAGGGGCTTTCTCAATGTGTACATTCTGGTTGGTGGAAGCTTTAGCGCGTGCGGGTAGATTTGATCGAAAATTACTGTTACGTGCATCTGTCATGTTTGAACGTATGCTTTCTTATGGTAATCATTTGGGATTATTTAGTGAAGAGGTGGCTCGTAGTGGTGAACTATTAGGCAACTTCCCTCAAGCATTCACACATATTGCATTTATTAGTGGTAAGTAATTGATACAATATCATTTTAACAATGAATATTCATCTGGTTATTTTTTTTTATTATTATTATAATTATTATTTTTTTGCCATTAGCTGCCTATAACTTGGACCGTGCCTTACATTAGTTATTTTATTATTATCTCCATATATTTATTTAGTTATGTTATTTAGCAAACAATTACATAGTATTTTGAAATAATAATAATAATAAAAAAAAAAGAAAAGATAACGGTGAATTAGTTTGAACTGTTACCGATCTTTTCCCTTTTTTTTAATTTCTTTTTTTGGATAGAGACAATGGGACTCCACTAGTATTGTATTAGGTTGATTTTGCTCCTATTTGACTGTTTATTCTTCTCCTTTTGATTTGAAATAATATCTCATCATTAATCATATTGTAATCTGTCCTCCTTATATCATTGTAATAAATATTTGAATGAGTTCATCATACCTCCTATTCATCTTACTTTCATCCATCTTTTCTTTTCTTTTCTTTTCTTCTTTTTTTTTTTTTTTTACTTCACTCCTTCTCTATTTTTTTTCCCTTTTTCTTTTCTCTTTTTCTTTTTTTTTTTTCTATTTTCTATTGAAATTTACCATTTCATATAATACTAATAATCACTAATACTTAATATTACATTCACTAATACATCTACTATTAACCATTATTTAACATCAGACCAAAAGCTTAAAGTAAGAACCATTAGATTTTTCATTATTATGCAAAAAAAAAAGAAAACAACTGTTACTTCGATCATGTGCAATTTTTACTGATGCTGTTTCCACCGTCGATCTCCCCTTCTGCACCCTCCTTTTTTTTTTTTTTTTTTTTTTTTTGGTAGTTTCTATATTTAAAATGAAGAGCCTTCAGTTGACTTTGAACTCCGAACGACGTTTTGACAATGATTATAGCAATGATATACAAGAAAAGGTAAGTATCATCCTTGCTATATTTTAATTTATATTGTTTATTTGTCATCTTTTATTAAACTATTCATCAACCTTTTTTTTTTAGTGGACACAGAATGACTTTTGTTCAATATTGGATGTCTTCCATAATGCTGTGAACACCAATCCTCCACCTAGAAGTGCATGGTTATGGTTCTTTATTTTAATGATTTGTTGGGTATTGGAATGTGCTATTGTTTTCGTTCTAGTTCCTTCTATTTCTTGGGTGAAATATATTGTTCTACCTATTATAATGTATGCTACTGCTTTTCTTGTTACTTGGCGACATAGAGTTATTCGAAATAAGGTAATCATAAAAACAAAAGAGATGAATGTCACTAATCATCACCTTTTCATTTTAAAAAAAAAGTTTGAATCATTTATTACTGATCTATGTGATCGATTTAATGCAACTGAAAATATTAGAGGTATTCATTATCATTTTCAATGTCACAGTCCACCATGGTATTATCTTTGGCGACGTACCCACTATGTAAGCCAACCAAAAAAGGAAATTACTCTAACTAAGTTTTAATTTTTTTTTTTATATGTAGACCCTTAGTATTGATTTGGATGACAGATATCAAGCATTGACGGCAAAAAGTTACAGTCAAACTACCGATGATGATCAAAGTTACTGTGTAGCTATTCCTGATGTAGCCCATGTACCACAAAAATTAGATCCTTGGGATGAAAAAACTCAAATGTTTAAAGATTACCATTGACCTTAAATGTGAAAAAAAAAAAAAACGTTGACTGGATCTTATTTTTTGATTGGCTATGATAGAAAATCACGTTTTTCTCTACCTAATTTTGTAAAAATATACATAAAGGATTTTTTTTTCCCTTTGTTCTATTTCTTTCTTTTCTTACTGTTTTTGATTTTTATGTTTTATAAAAGGGATCAATAGATAATCCTATACATTCAACGTGTTAAAATTGATTAGTTCATGTGATTTGAATTTATTCCCAACATTTGGTATAAATATACCTTCAGTGACTTTTTTTTTTTTTTTTTTTTTTTTTTTACCTTTCTTTCTTTTGATTATTATCATCATCTATCATGAAACTTTGGGTTAGTTTGGCTCTATTTGGTACTTTGTTTACCAGTGTTTTGGCTAAACCACATCATCTTCCCTCTTTTCCTGATCAATGTGGTCGTCATCCTGCTCAAAGTTGTTCGGCTGCAGCTAATCAAACGGCAAATTCATGTTGTGTTGAAAAAAAGGCAGGTCTTTTCTTATTGAGGTGAGTGTGGGCGGAAAGCAAAATGAAAACTTTAAAAAAAATGGAACCAAAAAAAAAAAAAAAAAAAAATGCTGAGATTTTTCTATTTTTCGTTTTCTTTCCCTCTTTTTTCAACTTTTTTTTTTTACAAGTCAATTCTGGGACGTTCATGCTGGGGTAAGAAGATAAAAAAGTGATAGTTGTCATTTCTTTCCAAACTGAATACCTTGTTTTCTATAGTATGAAGATAGTTGGACAATTCATGGTCTCTGGAACGACTTTTGCAATGGATCTTATGTAAAGTGAAGTATAAATAAGGTTTAAAATAGTGTACCCTTTCTCATCACAAAACTTGTTTCTTTTTTAGCCTTCCAACTGTGATCCCTCAAGAAGCTACACCAACATAACTGAAGTTCTTGTCTCTCGTCGCGCGTTCAAATTACTTCAAGATATGAATAATGATTGGCCCAACTCTGCTGGTACGGGTAAAAACAACATAAGCTTTACAATATTCCATTTCAAAACTATACTAAACGTCTTTTCTTTTTATATATGTATATATATATAAATAGGACATGTCGACGATTTCTGGTAAAATTAATAATAATAATAATATAGATATATTGTATGAAAATATACTCAAATCTTTATTTACTATTGTGATTGGATGATATCAGGTCTCATGAATGGAACAAGCATGGTAAAAACAAAAAAAAAATGGTGAAAAAGAGGTGTTGGATTGGTAATTAACGTGTTCTTTTTCATTCAAATGATAGGTACCTGTATGTCGACTTTTGAACCTGGATGTTATGAAAAAAAGGATCCTTTCCAAGGCATGATTGATTATTTCAACACCACCATGAAGCTTCACAAAAAGTACAATATTTACAAAGCATTGAAACGTCATGGGATCGTACCTGGTCACAAGTATTCTACTAGCAAGGTTCAAAAGGTGATTAAAAAAGAATTTGGTATGTTACCTGATCTCAGATGTACTACAGAAGGTCATTTAGTAGAAACTTGGATGTATTTCCATGTCAATGTAAGTAATTAATCTTTTTTTCTTTCAAATCTTCATTTTGTTCCTTCCTTTCAAACAAATATTTATCTAATTGTTTATTTTTTTTCGCTATTAGGGTCCTGTCAAACGCATGGATATTGTTCCTACTCTCAACAACAACGCCACCAATTGTAACAGTACTTTGATTTATCCTACAAAATATCCTAATGATACCGCCAACCCCAAGATATGGTGAATCTCTTTAGAATAGTTATTTATATGAATTTATATCAATAAAAAGGAATCAATCTTTGAATTGATATTTATCAACTCTTTACAATATCATGTTTTCTATTTATAACGTGTTCTTAATATGGGCAATAAGATGAATAAATTATCATTAACCATTATCATCATTATTATTGAATCATAGATCATCCGTCACGGATCAGTCATGATCAACCAAAATCCTTCAATTATTTATTATGATAAACGCGTTATAGTCACGTAAACTATTTACATTGATATCTAAATCTAAATATCAACATTATAAAAAGAAAAAAAAATATAATAAATACTTTATATTTCTTCAACGTGTTTTCAATACAAAAATGATTTTAAGAAGGCGAGAAAAAAAAAAAAAAAAACTTGTTTAATGTTCAATATATTGTTAGTGATACAAAGGAAGAGCTAATATCGGAGAACGAACCGATGAAATGGTTGCATGAAAAGATTAAATAAAAAAAACCATTTCAAGTTCATCATTATAAAAAGAAAAAAAAAAGATAAATAATATATGATGATTTAAAGAAGAAGACTAGAAGAAAGAGTATTTACTGTAAAAAGAGTATCATAACACGATTTTGATCTAAAAGAAATCCAATGTCCGTATATGATTTTTTTTCTTTTTTTGATAATAATAATAAATTTTTATTTTTTTCTTTCATATATAGGAATTTGAAGGAATTTATTTTTGGGGGAATCAAGTATTAATGATTCCGAACAAATGATTCTATGCAAAAGAAATATTTTCTTTGTTGTAAAAAAATATATAAAGTTCATTTTTAGCAGTAAAAAGGGAAACCTGGCACGACTTTTCATTTCATTCATCGTAAACTTTATTTTTTTTAAAATGCCGCGTGTCCCTTTTCATGTATAAATATGCAACTAACTTTTTCCTTTTTTTCTTCTTCTTTTCTTTATTCCCCCAACAAACAAATAACAAACCCCCTCCCCTTCCTTTCATTTTTTATCTAACAACATGAAGTTCTCTCTCATTGCCGTTGCTACTCTTGCTATTGCTGGTATGGCTAGTGCTGTCCACCCCACTCACGCTTGCACCAAGGTCGTTGATGGTAATAGCAAATAAAAAAAAGAGGTATTTCATTCTTTTATACTTATCTTTTTTTTTTTTAATAGTTGCTCAAGGTCAAACTGTTGCTGATGTTGCTAACATTGTCAATGTTCCTGTTGAAGATTTGATCAAGTTCAACCACGGTCTTCAACTTGACTCTGTTGTCCCTGTCAAGTCTTTGTGTGTCGCTGTAAGTTTAATTTTTTTTTTTTGGAAATATGACATGATATTTATATTTTCTTTTTTTTTTATAGGCTTCCAAGTCCAATGCTAAGCGTTGCCTTGCTGAAAAGAAGGTTCAAAAGAAGAAGCCCAGCAACAAGAAGAAGCCCTCCACCAAGAAGCCTTCTAGCAACAAGAAGAAGCCTTCCTCCACCCCTACTAAGGCTCCCTCCAACGCTGTTCGTCACATTGTCCCTAACTGTAACAAGTATGCTACTGTCCTCCCCTCTGATGCTGACTGTACCTCCTTCTCCAAGAGAAATGGTATCAAGGAAAGTGATTTGTACAAGTGGAACAAGGGTCTCCATCACGCTGGTGACCATTTGTGTGATAACCTCGATACTGGCAAGGCTTACTGCGTTGGTGTCAAGAACTAAATCTTCCCTCTCTTTATTATGTATTCCTATCATGTGTTTTAGTTACTCATCTAGTTTTAGATTCCATATCATCTAATAAAATATTGAAAACAAAAAAAGAAATCCCTTTTTTTAATTGTTGTGTTCTTGTAGTACAACTGAGATGAATAGAAGTTTCTGTAGATCTTGCGATACACTTTATTCAATAAAAAATGAACGGAATTCAAAGAATAAGATGTCGCAAAAATAGGAAATAAAATATCGTAAGGATAGAAAATAAATGACGGGGAAGAAAAGAGAGAGTTGTCGCATAATCAAATAGAGAATATAAGAAGAAAAAGAACAAGAAGAGAAGGAGTGGTAGTAATTCCATTGAGTATTTTGAATAACAGAAAATAAAATATTATTTAGTCAACATATCCATTTTTTTATATTTATTTCAAATTACCTGTAGAAAAGCATTAAATACGTCCTCCGAAGAGGCGATAACATATTTTTATATGTTGCTGTTACAGTTAGATATTCACTTTGAACACCAAGAGAGATTTCAAAAAGAAAAAAAGAGAAAAAGAAAAATAAAATATCACTTTTTTATATCTCTCACTTGATCAAGGAATAAAATAAACCTGGCAAAAATATCTCAGAAAAAAAAAAAAAAGAACTATTATGCAAATTTACATTTGTCAACTATACAAAGGGTGATCGATCGAATGTCTCAGTTAATGAAAATAAACAAAGAAGACCCGAGTAAATGTATTTTTTTTTTTTAAAAAAAAGAAAGGAACTATTATGCAAATTCACATCAACATCACAAGATATGAATATTACATTAGTATACCCCTGTCTTAACTGTGAATATTATGATGATGATGATACAATATAAAAAATATAGTTCTTTTTTTTCCAAATATGGCCTGTTGAAAAGAATCAGCTAACAATCAGTCATCAATCATCAATGATCAATCAATGACATACTCTATCGACATCTCTGGAGCGATATCTGAAAAAGTGGTAATGCATTCATTTTGATATTTTATAACATCACGAAAAGCATTTTCTTGTGACAAAAAACTTTGAAAACCCTGTATTAAAATCATAACCTAATTCTTTTTTAGTTTTTTTTTTTTTTTTTTTTTTTTGGAATACTTGGTATCAATAATGATTTATATATTCTATCTCAATAACAATAACTATCATTGCCATCATTATCTCATAGTAATTCACTTGTTCATTGAAATTATCATCCATCATCATTTGTGCTTCATTATTAACCTTCATCGACATTATCCTACTGCTATCATCATGCTATCTTCAGCATTAATTTACCGTTATCCTCATATTAACTATTATTTAACATCATCTAAAGTCATCAACTATCATCTATGATCAGGATAAAAAAAAAAGGTGTGTGGTTGGTCATTTTAAATCCCGTCGAAAAGCAATTGGCAATTTTTTCATCATACCTTCCACTTTATTTTTTTTTTCCCTTTTTCTTTTTTCTTTACCTTTTTGATTTGCTGTCATCTCACAATGGTATAATGGATGAATTCCATGCAAAAAGATTAGAAACCACTTTACAAGTTGTATATCAAGACGATGACTATTTTATTGTCAACAAGCCATATGATTGTAGAATTCAACCAGATCCTCGAGTACCACATCAACCTTCAGGTACTGTCAACAAAGAAAAAAGATATTATAAACTAAATATCATTCATTTTATCTTTTTCTTTTTTCAATACAGCTGAAACACTTATCCAGAAACAGTATCCTCATTTACCACCGTTGAAAAATGTCCACCAGATCGATTACGCCACTTCAGGGATCTATGTTCTAGCATTAACACGACAAGCTGCTGCCGCGGTATCGACATTATTTCGAGAACGACAAGTAGAAAAGACGTATCTAGCCATTGTCCATGGTCATTTACAACAAGAAAACAGTACTTTCACAATCGACAAACCCATTGGTCAAGATCCTGACCATCCTTTTCGAATGGCTGTTGTTCCTACTGGCAAATCTTCATTCACCACCGTTCATATTCTTCAACATGGTTACTACAATGATGCACAACAAAAAATAGACCGTATACCTGTGACCAAAGTGCTTTTATATCCTAAAACAGGTAAGAAAAGAAATATGTGGTTTTTTTTTCTTCGAGTGTTTTATCCTTACGAATTTCTCTTTTATTCACTCTTTACACATATTGTAGGTCGACGACATCAACTTCGTGTTCATTTACAATCCATTGGTCATCCTATTTTAGGGGATTTCAACTATGAAGTACCTTTTTCCAATGCCTTTCGTATGATGCTCCATGCCTACAAGATCCATTTCCCGCTTCCATCTGGTCCGCTCACTGTAGAAACTGATGATCCATTTGAAAACTTTGTTATATAGACTGATTTCTTCCTCCTAATAGATAGATATATATAGATAGGTATCATCTTCCCTTTTTCTGTTTACGTCTTAATATCTTTGTTGTAATAAACTAAAATAAATAAAAAAATTTTCAATTTTCTATTTGATCAAAGAAAAAATTGACTTGTTTTTTTTTATTATTATTATTAAAAAAAAAAAAAAAAAGAAGGAACTACAAATACAAAATACAAAGCAATAGTATCTATGGTGTAGGATGTGTCGTGTCTATCATAAACCTAAAACTATATATATAAAAAAAAACCTAGATGTATTTGATCACTAATTCAGGAGGAGCATCACCAGGACAATCTTCTAAACCGTTTGGATTTTTGCTTTGCCAGTTCCACAAAGAAGCACATGTTGTATCCAAATCAATTTCCGCCTTCCAATCAAGTTCAGTGTTAGCCTTGGTAGGGTTAGCTGTCAAATTGGTCACATCACCAGGTCGACGATCCATAATCTTGTAAGGTAAATCACGACCCACTGCTTTGCTAAATGCTTGCACCATTTCCAATACCGTGCTTCCTTGACCAGTACCAAGGTTATATTCTACACATCCAGGTTGATCGTCTAATTTCTTCAATGCTGCAAGATGACCCTTAGCAAGATCTACCACATGAATATAATCCCTTTTCAAAAATAAATAAATAAATAAAATGTATTAGTCATTAATAAACTATATAAATACAAAAAAAAAATCCATTTACCGAATAGCAGTGCCATCTCTTGTAGGATAATCTTGACCAAAGACAGATAGATATTCACGCTTACCAATAGCAACTTGGGAAAGGAAAGGCATCAAGTTGTTGGGCACACCAAGAGGATTTTCACCCAAGATACCAGAAGGATGAGCACCAGCAGGATTGAAATAACGTAATAAAGCTGCATTCCAGTCAGGGTTGGCAGTACAAAGATCACGAATGATACTTTCAATGAATTGCTTTGTACGACCATAAGGATTAGTAGAGCCCTACAGACAAAAAAAAAAAAAAAAAAAGAAGAATGAGTGTATGTGTCGAAAGTAACCATGTTCATCACTTACAATGGGACTAGTTTCAGGAATGGGAATGACAGGGGGATCACCATATACAGTTGCAGATGATGAGAATACAATATTCTTGATACCAACTTCTTTCATAGCTTGTAATAAAGTGATGGTACCAGTAATATTGTTATGATAATAATCCAAAGGAATCTTTGTGGATTCACCCACTGCCTTGAGTCCAGCAAAGTGAATGACAGATGAGATCTCTGGATGTTGGTTAAACACTTGTAATAACGCCTTCTTATCTAAAATGTCCACCTTGTAGAATGTCACCTTTTTGCCTGTAATGGTTTCAATACGTCGTACTGCTTCAAAAGATGAATTGTACAAGTTATCAATGATAACTACATTTTGATTGCTATTCAATAATTCAATCACTGTATGCGAGCCTATTAATTACATAAGAAAAAAAAAAAAGAAAAGAATCATTAGTTTTCTTTTTTTGGATATCACTTTTTATCATTCTTACCAATATAACCAGCACCACCAGTAACAAGAACAGATGAGGAAGTAGACATAATATAAATAAAAAAGATACAAAGAGAGAGAAAAAAAAAAAAAAAGGAAAGAAAGAAAAAGAATGGGGTTTATATATAGATCAAAAGGAAGCAAAGCCCGACTTTTTCTTGCCATCCTTGCAGTTTGGATTATTATTTTTAGCTGTTTTTCATTCCCCGATTTTGATAGGGAGAATGTATTCCATGGAGTAGATTGCCTTACATAAGACTTTTGATCGTTCCCTTTTTTGTGAGTGAACTGACTGAAGGATACATAAACTTTATTAAGAAAAAAAAAAGTAATAAAAAAAAAAGATCATGATAAATAGATGAAAATTAACTAAATGCATCATACGAAAATGGAAAGACGAGCGTGCAACGTGTGTCGGTATCCGATAATACACAGTTTTGCCACGTTAAAATTATCTGCATGAGAAGAAAAAAATAAATATACAGTATTTGAAGATTTTTCAATGATAATGGCATTCCTTTCTTTTTTTTTTTTTTCTTTTTCTTTTCTTAGCCCCTTTACCTACAAGGAAAGTGGATGATCATCATCCTAATTGTTGTTACAAAAAGTAAAAAGCTTTTTTTTTTTTTTTTGTATATTTCACCTAGTTCCCTCCTTTCTTCTATCATTCACTATTTCAAATTTCATCATATCATAGATATCATTATCGATATGACAGCATTATCATGACATATCATCCACATTTTCTCAATATAAGAAATCATAGAAAGCCATCATCAAATATTTCCCATTTTCTCTAAAACCCAATAAAACAACATCGATCTAACCATTAACCCATGTCATATCAAATAAATGTTAAGTATGCAAAAGGTATGAAAGTTCATTAAAATAAAAAAAAAACAAAAATGACTATACAACAAATAAATAAATAAAAGATCATAGATACACTACTTTGCTAGAGTCAAAATGATTGGTATTTTTCCGTATTCGTTTTTTCCTGATGCTGGGTAATGTAAGAGGAACTTGATGCTGTTGTTGTTGACTATCATGCCAATCCATTCTTTCAAATGTCGAAACGTAATCTATAGATGCTTTTGATGCTGATGTATTATTTGATGATGCAGACGTCGGTGAAACTGATGATGATGATGATGATGATGATGACGATGATGATGATGATGATGATGATTTGCGTATTACCTTCTCTTCTGTTGCCTTGCCACCATCAATCCAAGGTTCCAATTTGTCACGATAATCTTTGTGCATTTGAGCCACCAAAAAAGCATCATCACTATAAGGAGATGATTCACGCCCACCATTCTGAAGATCTTTCATATGCTGCAAAGCTTGCTTCACCGTCGTCGATGCTAGGGTCTTACCAGCCGTCGTTTTACCCTTGCCCAATAAACAATGAGTTTGTCCATTCAGTCCTGTATCTTTTTCTAAAATCGCCATCGTTTCTAAAATTCCTTCACACACACCTTCTTCAATGGCTTCTTCATGAGAAGGTGTCGTACATGTCATAGTAGGTTCCTTGCGTAATACATGATCTAAATCAACCGCCGAGAAAAAAGCAACACTCTACAACATATATAACCAAAAAAAAAAAAAAAAAAAAGATGAGTACCTCATGAACCCTTTACTCACGTTTTTTTTTTTTTTTTTTTGATTTTACCTGAGGAAGATTGTGAATACCTAGTTTGTAGCTAAATAGAGCACGTGTCCATAAATTGGCTACTTGAAGAGCAAGTGCGGTTCGATGTTGATCCTTGTCAGAAGAGAGATACCGGACTTCATCATGGACAGAAAGCATAAATCGAGCATCAATATTGTACCGTTCAATCAAATGAGCCATAGAGACCAAAAGCATATGTAGATAATCGACACCAGAACTTTGTACAACCCAATTGATTCTTGATGTAGAGAACTTGTCCTTTGTATATTTTGGTTTGAGAGCATCCGTCACAGCACAGCCAAGGACGGGTGTCCTGGGATCGTCCGAGAGAGCAATATCTTCTAATGCGTTGAACATATAACTTTCCGATCCACCATGCCAAAAGAGTCGCTTAAAAGGATTCCGTTTGCGATGTTCCTTTTCACCTTTGGTACTTGAATAAAGATCCATTGCTCTTGCTTTAGCGGTTTCCAAATCCATCCCTTGACTGTATTGTTGTAATAGACTGGTGGCATATTTCACTCCAGCTCCATAGATTCGAGCATAGTTGAATATCTTTGCCTTGTTGCGACTGATACCTAAAATAGATGCTGTCTTTGAATGGAGATCAGTGCCTTCAGATTTTGTCCCTTGTAGTGTCATCCATCCTAATGCTGTTGCTCCGTGAAATCCAAACTGTGCATCACCAATCACACTAGAGATCCAAAGTTCTTCAGAATCCACATCTGCGCCCACAATCTTGTATCCATCAGGAGCTTGGATCATTGATTTCAATTCAGACCCAATTCGATTTGCTTTGGCATTACTTGCTGTTAACCATGTTCGTTCCACTGCACGTCGAGTCACTGTTCCCATAGAAACCATTTGAGGTAAGATCATACCATACTTTTTGTTACCATTATTGTTGTTGGAAGTTTGTCGATGTTTTTTGGGCATGTTCAAATTGACTGTTGGATTATCATCCCATACTACAAATTGTCCAAGAATTCGTTCACGAGAACTGATCCAATAGGCTGATTTTGCGTTCAATTCTAATGCTTCTTTTGCAGCGTCGTATTCAGAAGAAAGAGTGTTGTCTTCATAAGCATCAATGTAGTTCTTAGCCAAAGGATTACCGCAGTTTGCATCTTCACCATCTTTGTGAGGTACTTTGAAGTAATAGTAATTGTCATCCTGGAACACCTCCTTTTTCTTGTTACCTTCATTATTATTGTTATTATTATTATTATTATTATTTGCAATGACTTGATCATGATTCACCTTATAGCACCAACCATACCTTGGGAGATAATGTAGAGGATATCCATTCCATTTGAGTCGAAGAAGTAAAGGTGCTACCCTTGATCGTGTGGTAATTTTGAGCTTTCCAGATTTGGTATCGTATGCATCCTTGTACCATTTGGGAGAACCTTTGAGCTTTCGTTGTCGAGGGTTGACGAACCAATCTAACTGACTTAGCCAAGGATCAGCTTGCCATTTTTCGGGAGTGTTGACTAGTTCATGAGCTTGATCTGCCAATAATCGCAATTTGACATCCAACATATCATCCAATTCCTTGTGTTTCTCCACAGATTTTTCCAAATATCGTTCCCATTTTTCTGTTACTGTCAAGAAAGAACTGCCCATTTGAATCATACCAGCAAAAGAGACAGGATGAGGACAATTATCACGAAATTTTGGTAATACGACTTGATAGACTTTGTGAGTCATGAGTACATCTTGAGCACAATATGTCATAAGTTCATTGAAGTTTTCTTGAATATCTTGTAGAGTTCCATTGACAAAAAAGGAACGTTGTGACTTGTCCATGTCCAAACCACAATGAAATTTCGCCACATCTTTGAGATTATTGTGAGTACTGACATCAAAAAAGCTTGTTTGTCCAGTTGAAGATTCTATAGGATGATCATGAATAGAAGAGGGTATTGATGATGATAATGATAATGATGATGACGATGATGAAGATGATATGCCATTTTCTTGTTTTTTCTTCAATATAGAATTCCAAGCTGGTCTTTGTTGAGAGCATAAACCAGCAACAGCAATATGAAGACTCATTGTGTCCAAATACTTGATACCAGAACCCAATCGATCATATTCTTCTGCAATCCTAGCACGATCGTAACCAACATTGTGTCCTACTAAAAGTCTTTCAGGTTTATCTAATTTTCCCATGGGTATCAATACTTGTTTATCCTTTGCCTTTCCAGAGAATACATAAGGAGAAGTCCAAGAGTACCATGCTTGAGGAGAAGCTGCGACTGCCATCATAGGATAATGACCATCACTAACAAGAACTTCTACATCAAATACCAATGCTTCATCCTTTGGAAAATCCACCGTTGTAATAAGTCCAGTTTCACCATCGTATCTTGTCCAGCCAGGTTGGGGTCGCCATTTACTTTTTGTAGGTAAGGGAGGAAGATCCAGTTGAGCTAATCGTTCAGATTTTTCCAAGATAGATGTAGATTGTTCTAAACCAATACGCATAAAGTGTTCTTCAATATTATCACCATAAAGAGTAGGAAGTTTGATATTAATTGGATTCACAGTATCAGATTTCTTTCCCCAAATGTCTTGTAATATCAAATGTTGTTTAGAAAGTTCTTCCCTTTTTTTGAATTGAGAATTTGTTGTTTTTGATTGACTTGAATAAGGTGTGAATATTTGTTTATGTAAATCAGGTGATAATAATTGAACATGAGCTGGATTGGTCTTTACTATTAAAAAAAAAAATGTTAAAAAAAACACGATCTATTCTTTTTTTTTTTTTTTTTTTTTTTTACTTACTTTGATCTATTGATTTGTATAAAGTTTTCCCATAATGAAAAGTACGTATAGATTGTAAGTGAATAATAGTAGTTGTAGTAGTATATTTCGTATTAACAACGTATAACGAAGGTGATACGATTCTTTTCATAGTAAGGTTTGCATATCACGGAATAATAAGACAAAAAGAAAAGAGTGAGAAAAGTGAAAAAAGAAAGCGAAAATTTTTCTGGTGATTCTGAGAGACCGGTGTTTAAATGTCATATAGATAGTCAACACAAAAAGAAATAACTTTTGATATTCTTCCAATAATGAGAAATCAGCAAAAAAAAAAAAAAACAATTCAATTTTTATTTCATGATACGACATTATAGATAATAGATAAGAAAGAGAGGGGTGAGGGGAAGTTTAATAGTAAAAAGGATGGAAAACAATGTAATTGGGTTTTGAAGTACCGATAATCATATATTTTTAGAAATAATTTGATTTTATCTTTTTTTTTATTATTTCACTTTTTATTATTATTATTTTACTTTTTCTTTTTTTTTAACCTTTTCTTATATCCTTTCCTTCATTTCTCCTTTTCCTTTTCCTTTTGACTTTCATGTAAATTTGTTTTTCTTTACGTCATCCTTTCCCTTCCTTATTTTTTTTATTCTATGATGCCCATTAGAAAGTCTCTCGTCTTACAAGTTATTTGTATCCTTTGTGTGATCTGTTTATTCTTCCTTTCACGAATACCTGAAAAGCCACTTTATATACCAAGACCTCCAGGTAACAATTAAATATAAAAAAAAAAGTTTATTATTATTATTATTATGAAATAAGAAATTTACAAAAGATTTATTCTTCTTATATAATAGATGATCTTTGTTCCATCAATGAAGACTTGACACAAGCTTGTATTCATCCTGATAATAATAATACCAAATATGACGACAACAAATTAATGAATGACACTACCAATACTATTATCAAGAAAAAACGACCTTATACATTTGTGACAGCAGCTAGTTCCAATCATTTTTGTGCTTTAGAAGCAATGTTATATATTATGCGGGATATCAAAAGTCATGTTGATCCATCATCTTATCCACGACTGATTGTATACAATTTAGGACTCACAGCTTATCAAAATCAAATCTTAAACAATTTATACAAACATGAATTTTTTGATGAATTGGTATTATTCAATTATACAAAATATCCAGATTTTTGGGATGTCAGTGTCAATCGTGGTGAATATGCTTGGAAACCTGGAGCTGTTAAGGAAGTACAAGAAAAATATGGTGGTATTATTGTATGGCTTGATACAGGTGATGTACCAAATACTCAATTTGTAGAAAATATGCCTGATTATATTGAACGTTATGGATTTTGGTCTCCTCGAAGTACTGGTTTTATGGGTGCAAAATTCAATCATATTGGATTATTTAGATATTTTCATTCAAGTCGAAAACTATATGCCAACTTGGAAAATTGTAATGGAGCAGCTCTTGGATTTGATGCGGACAATCCTAAAATAGTAGAAGATTTGATTCAACCTTGGTATGATTGTGCTTTGAATAAGAATTGTATTGCTCCAAAAGGTTCTTCAAGAAGAAATCATCGTCAAGATCAAACTGCTATTTCTTTTTTGGCTTTACGAGCAGGTTATCGATGCTTTGAATATCCAGAATTCCATGGTTTAACTATACATCAAGATGATTTTTGCAAGGAACGTTTGGCTTTATTACATCAAACTGGTTCTTTATTGACTCCTTCTTCTTACATAAATGGTAAGTAAATAAACAAAAAAAAAGGGGAGGAGACGGGAAAAGGAGAGAAGAAAAAAAAAATAAAAGATTTTGATGATTGATGATTGATTTGATGATGTCCTGTCATTGGTAGATTTGATTTCTATATAGGTTGCATTCTTTATTATTGTTACAGTGGATTTACTTTTATTCAAGTGCAGGTCACTGTTTTATTATTCTTTATTATTAAAATAGTTTAAAATATATATTTCTTCTTTATAATTTTTAGTTTATTTTATACTTATTTTAGAACTTCTTTTATACCAAATGAATTGAACAATAAAGTCGAAAGATATGAAAACTGGGGGAGAGAATCCTCTCCTTTTTAAGAATGTAATACAATTCTTTGAGTACAATCTGGTTTGCACCACATGATCTATTTTGTACCTTTTCTCTCTCTCTTTATGCGCCGCTATCCTTGTCTAGATTCAATTTAGTCACATTACACACTTTTCTTCTTTTTTAACTTTTTTTTCCCTTTCGTCTCACTTTTTTTTTCCTCTCTCTCTCTCTCTCTCTTTCTCTCTCTCTTTTTTTTTTCTTTTAACTTTCTCACACGGCTTTTTTTTTTTTAAAAAAAAAAAAAAATAATAATAACAAAGGAGGTAAGCAATAGAACTTCTTAGTCTTTTCCCCCTTCCTTTTTATTTTCTATTTCTTTCTTAAATGCCTTTTTTTTTTTTTTTCCTTTTTCCTAAAGTAGGTGACTTTTTTGATGGCTCAAGCTAGAAATAGTCTTCTATCATTCTCCTTAGCATCTGTTCCTATACATCATTCAATATCTCCCGTTTCTTCAGCCGATACTACTAGGCCAATGGTAAGTAACGATTTTTATTTTGTCAATAACGATCTTTTTGTTTTATTTTAATATTCTTTATTTATGTATTCTATATAGATATTACCATCCAATACAGTCAACTTTTCTCATATTAATCATCTACACCTACCTCCTATTGTCATGCCAACAACACCATCAACACCAACAACCTCAAAAACATCAATGACGGACGGATTCATGTTATTTTGTGCAGATCAAACCTCATCGTCTTCGCCCATCAAGCCAACTCCTGCTTTATATGAACGTTGGAATGCTTTACCAAACGTAGGTACTGTAATATTATACTTCATTTTTAATCTCATATCTGTTTATTATTAATAATAACTAGGAAAGCAAAAAACCATATTGTAGCCAAGCTATTATTGTCAATGCTAAAGTTGAAGACGGATTAGATCAGCAAGATACCTCCGCAACACCGCCAGAAAAACCATGTAGTACTCCACCACGACATTTGATCTCTCCAGAAGTCATTCGATCTGTTGAACAGGAAGAAAAGGAAGAAGCTCTGGGACATCAACCTTTTTCTGCCTATTCTTCTTTTTTATCTATGAAACATAGTCATCAACAGCAACAAACGATCAATAAACGACGTGATTCCTCTCCACATTATACTACAAATGAGCATAGTCCATCATTATCTCAATCTTCAACACCATCACCGACTTCATCCTCTTCTCTCAACTATCTTTCTCTTCCTCCAACAACTACTCCTTCAACCACAACGTCAACATCATCAAAAACATCTATTTATAGTCATGGTGATAATACTTCTACTACTGATGGTAGCAATAGTAAAAGAACTAGTATGATCACAAGTAATTCATTACCAGCACCCATTCAACAACAGTCATATTTATCATCAACATTATATACGAGAGATAATAACTGTGGACACATGGAGGATCAGCAATACTATCAACAACTTTCTCTTCATCACAATGGCAACCATCATCAACAACAACAACAACAACAACAACAACAACAACAACAACAAGATTCGTCAAAAGAGATGCCAATATCCACGTGTGCGCCTACCAAAAACATTCAAATCAATATGGCATCTAGGTTAGGTACTGATCAAGTCGATACTTTTATTACTCCATATGAAAAGAGATCAATTCCAAAAAAGAAACGATCCAACTCAACAACAACGACTAACATTCCCATCGTACGAGAACGGTTGAAACGGCCTCCCAATGCTTATCTTCTATTCAATCGTGATATGCGTCGAAAGTTACTGGCTCTTGATCCAAAAATGACAGTCTCTGAAATCAGTAAAGAAATTGGAGATCGATGGAAATACTTGTCACCAGTTAAGTTCTTACCTTACCTTATATCTTTCATTGTGCACTGACTTGTATTTTTTTTTCTTTTATATATATTAGAATGAACGACAACATTATATGGAAGCAGCTCAATTATTGAAACAAGATCATTTGAAAAATCATCCAGACTTTATTTACACCAGACGTTCTAAAGCGGAATTGGCAGAAGCGAAACGATTGTCAAGATCGGGACGAAGACAGTCAGCATTAGCAGCAGCAGCATTAGCATCGACGACAAATTCAACAAGTATATCATCATCATCTTCTTCTTCATCAACATCGGCATCATTACCAGCTATTTACTCTGGAAACAAAAACATTTCATTGGATTGCACCAGTGAAGCACTCATATCACATAGTAGTACCACCAATAAATCGTCGTCGATTCGTTCATTAGTATTAGAAGGTCATGGGGACGAAAGTACAAAATTATCTCTTGGCAATAATCCGTTGGTCTCACCCTCATCATCACCCTCATCATCATCACCCTCATCATTATCATCAGCAATATCAACAAATGGCCAATTACCAGTTGAAGCAACGTCACGTACCACCATATCAGATGTTCATCCATTATGGCCAACAATAGCAACATCAATAACATCACCTTGCACAAAAAGGCGCGGGCGACAGCGATCCGAAAGTGGACAGCGTGATCCAAGAGGAAGAAAGAAAAAGCGACACAAGCATCCAACAGCACCCAAGCACCCCATGAGCGGCTTTCTATTTTTTTTAGGTGCTGTACGACCTGAAGTAGCACAGCAATTTCCAGGGTCAACCGTTGGTCCCATCAGCAAAGAAATCTCATCAAGGTGGAAACGTATGTCAACAAAGGATCGTGAACCTTGGTTGTTAAAGGCAGAAAAGGACAAAGCTCGGTATGCAGAAGAAATGCAAATCTACATGAAAAACCTCAAACAACAAGAAGAAGAAGAACATGAAAGAGAACAACAACAAACATCAACAACAGTCTCAGATTCAATCTACAACAACATCAATGAAGAACAAGGAAATGACGATGAAGATGATGATGATGAAGATGATGATGATGATGATGATAGGTCTCAATATGATGAAAATAACAACACATTAATAGCAAGAAAACATGAAGCCTATGATCATGATGAAGATGAAGATGATGATCAAGTGATCGCAACGGTAGTACAAATGGTCAATAGTGGAAATGGACAAACTTCTAGTTATTCATCTTTTTCTCATACTCATTTATATACTTCATCATCATCATCCTATTTATGATTAGATACTTTCACACACATATATATCTATATATTATTCCTTCCACTGTATATTTTTTTTGATTTAACCTTTCCAACTTTGTACTATTCTTTTTTTCTTTTCTTTTTTTTTTTTTAAATATATATTGTTGATAATAAAACTCTTTTGATGACTTTTTAATATTATGATACACTATTTTTATTAATTCTTTTTTTAGTGACTGAAAAGGAATAGGATTTTTCATATGGATTTCACTGCTACAGCTACAAAAAAAAAAAAAGGAGACAACACCATCAAAAAAAAAAAGCGGACTTTGGACCTTTTTTTTTTTTTTTTTACTTCTTTTCTATTCTTCGTCTTTTTTTTTTATTATTATTATTCTTTTGCGACTTCATCCTTTTGGTGAAATAAACAACAAAATATAAAGACGAAGACGACGACGACGATAAACTTGTTATTCGATATCAAGAATATCATGATTGGGTCCAATAATAATGGTGGTCTCTTAGTTCATGGTCTTACTTCTAGTGCTAGTGCTTCAACCACTGGTAGTGGTAGTTCGTGTAATGAAGTACCTCCTGTTGTTCTCAGTGTACCAACTAAACGTTCCAAACCTATCAAATTTGGTTCTTATCTACTTCCTTACATTTCCAATGCATACGCTGAAGATGCTACTAAATATGAACAAGACTGTCTCCTTTTAGACAATTTACGCCAACAAGCTATTCAATTACCTGATGTCTTGACCATTTCTACTATCGACAGACTTTTTATGTATTATTCTCAACTGGTATTTTTGGGTACTCGATTTCCTCTTGATGTAAGTATTAAAATATTAGTAAAAGTTGTTATACTTAGTTTTATTATTATTGTAGGTGGGTTTGGACTATCCTTGGTATCCAGCTTTTCAAACAAAAGGGAAATTAGGTATGTTTTATATATATAATATATATAAATATGATACGTATGGATATATATATATAGAGAGAGAAATTAGTATGGATTAGACAAAAAAAAAAAAAAAGAATGTCTCATGTGATACTCATTTTTTTTTTCTCTTTTGTTTTATATGTGTATGGCACTTAGTGAAACGTACAAACTTGAATTATGAAAAAGCAAATATTTTATTCACTATTGGTGCTGTATATAGTCAACTTGGATCAACTGAAACTCGAATATCTACTGAAGGGATTCGAAAAGCATGTAGTTATTATCAGGTAATCAAAACTCAATAGAAATCAAATATTTACTTTTCTATATTCACTCACACTATATATATATATATATATATATATATATGTATTAGTACGCAGCCGGCTGTTTCAAGTATATTGCTCGTGAAATCATTCCTGACTTGCGATCCACTCCTCCTGGTGATGTAGCGGTACCGACACTTCAAGTTTTGATCTCTCTTATGTTGGCTCAAGCTCAAGAATGTATGTGGCAAAAAGCAGTGATGGAACACATGAAGCATGGCACTATTGCAAGACTAGCGATCAAAGTGGCGGACTTTTTCGATAGTATATTAAAAGAAGACAAGACAACTACTGATGAACTTCCAGCTGATTGGTTGAAACATGCTCATATTAAAGCATCCTACTTTTTGGCTGTGGCACAGTATCACAAGGCAAATGAATGTATTTCCATGTCCAAGTATGGAGAAGAAATCGCTCGATTACGAATCGCTAAAGAAGAAACAACTAAAGCATTGGATGCAATCTCGACTTCTTTATTAACCAATAACAATAGTTATACATTGACCGGTGGATTTGGTTTAATGGCTTTATTAAGCTCAGCACCCTCAGCATTGACAGGCATGATTCAACCTCAATCTGGATTTGTGGATGAAGTACGTAATCTAATGACATCTATTGACCGTGATTTACTTCGTGCAGAAAAGGATAACAATGTGGTTTACCTAGAATCTGTACCTGATCCTGTTCAATTGGCTCCTATTCTACGCTCTGATATGGTTAAACCTGCCATCCCCTCTGATTTATTGGAACCTGCTTACTGGAAACGCAACCCTAATGTTGATCCCAATCGTCCTCTATTTGAAAGTTTAGTCCCTTTTGCCGTACATCAAGCCGCTAGTGTTTATGCAGATAAGAAAGAATGGGTTGTCGATCATGATATTGTTTCTAAATGCAAGGAATTACAACGTGAATACAAATCGTAAATAAAAAAAAAACAATGGAAGTGGAATGACGACGAACAACTAATCATTATTTTTTTTTTAAAAAAAAAAAAAAAAAAAGATTATTGGATCAACTCAATTTACCAGTGGCGTTGGATATGGTGGATCCTGATCATTTACCTCAATCTTTACTCTCATGTGCGGAAGAAGTTCAACATGACGGTGGTGCTCAAGCTCTTAGAGATATGCTATCCAAGATTCAAAAAATGTCCATGAAGAATGCTGATTTGGTAGAAGAAGGATTCAATACTTTGGAAGAAGAAAATGAAAGCGATGATATCTTACGAAGACAATATGGTAGCTGTAAGTAAATAAATTTAAAGATAAAGATAATATTGATTTATCTGATTATTTGGAATCATTCTATATATATATATATATATATATAGTGTGGACGAGACCACCTTCACAACAATTGACTGGGTCACTTTTAGCACAAGGAGCACAATATCATGATACACTCCAAGCAGCAATGAAGGCGGATAGAATTGTTAGAGCCAAAGTGACAAATTGGGGAAAGGCCATTGATGTATTATCTCAACCAATTGAAGAACTTTTGAAAACACTACCAAATATCAACAATAAAGATGATACATTTGAACAACAAGAACAATGTATGGAATTGATTCAACGATTACGGAATTTATTACAAGAGGCACAGGAAGAATCCAAGGCACAAATACAATTGATGGAAGATGCTCAAGCGTTGGCGGCATCAGATGAGATTTCAACACAACTATTAGCTAAAGCGGACGAATTGACGGGTGGATCTCCTATTGTCAAGATTGAACCAGAACAATTTACGGATGTATTCAATCGGGAACTTAAGAAATATGAAACCATGCAAGGTACAGCACTTCAGTTAGTCAATAGTCAATCGGATCGAAAAATCAAATTGGAACAAGTTTATGGACAATTCTCCTTGGTGATCAATGCAAACCCTATAGCTGCCAAACGTGAAAAGGCCATCTCTAATTTGGAACAAGCTTTTACGAAATTCAAGGAAATACGAACGAATTTGGTAGAAGGCATCAAAGTAATATCAAAAGAAAAGAAAAAAAAATGAGGATTTATTTTTTTTATGTTAATTCTTCTCGTTTTTTTTTTTTTTAAAAAAAATAATAATAATAATATGTATAGTTTTATTCTCAATATACTGATACCCTGACACAATTTCGAGATGATTGTAATGACTTTGCTTTGGCTAGGAAAATGGAAGCTTCCGAACTATCAAGGTAATAAAAAATCTTTTTTTTTTAATGGTGTTTACTCATTGGTAATTTTCACTTTATATTGCAGGAACAGCGGAGCTATTGTACGGCGTAAATGAATGATCACCTGCTTTCATGACTCTATCTCTCATTGAAATTACGTAAACTTGTCTTTTTTTTTTTTCTTTACTTTCTTTTATTTATTTTTATTTTTTCCTTATCTCCTTTTCTCTTTCTTTCTTTCTTTCTTTCTTTCTTTCTTTCTTTCTTTTTTATTTACTTATTCTTCTTCTTCTTATTCCTTGTTATTTTATTTTATTTACTTATTTATATATATATACTCAAATTCCTTTTACCCAATCATTCCATCAATAAATCATTCCATTACACAATGAAAGTTGCCTTTATCACTCTTCTATCTTTGGTAGCTACAAGTTCTCTTGTTCAAGCTGGTCCTATTGCTGCTTTTGATCAACTTCGTGTTTTCCGTCAAACTGAACCTGAACGTCGTCTTATTCAATATGGTGAAGATACTCCTCCAAAGTGGATGAAACAAACTGATATTGATAACTTGTTCCGAGCTGGTGTCAAGTTCATGGATATTACTGATCATCAAGATTTAGGTTCTTATTCTGCATATCAACGTGCTTGGGAACCAGGTAATATAATGTGCGAGCGCGTGTGTGAAAAAAAAAAAAAATACTAGGATGACTCATATTTTTTTTTTTTTTTGAATAGTGATCCCTACCAAGGTCAGTTATCAAGATGAAGTGGCTCCTTTTATTGGTAATTTGACAACGGATACAATGAAATCCAATCTTGAAAAATTCACCAATTTCCGTACACGATATTATAAATCATCTTATGGGGCCAAGTCTTGTCGGTGGTTAATTGAACAAATTCAAGCTGTTGTAGATGAAGCAAATCGTGGTGATCTCGTGTCGGTCAAAGAATTCAAGCACTCGGTAAATAAAAAATAAAAATAAAAATAATAAATATCATTTCCATTTATGCTGATTTTTGATGTTTTTGTTAGTGGGATCAATTCTCCATTGTGGCGCGGTTTGAAGGAAGTGATCAAGATTTGAAGGATGAATTAGTCATTGTGGGTGCTCATCAAGATTCTGTCAATCTCTGGTTACCTTACTTCGGTCGTTCTCCCGGTGCTGATGTAAGAGTATTATCCTCCATTATTATTTAATACTTATCACTATTTGTAATGATTTAGGATGATGGTAGTGGAACGGTTACTATTCTTGAAACTTTCCGTAGTTTGGTTACAAATGGATTCAAACCTGAACGTCCTGTAGAATTCCATTGGTATAGTGGAGAAGAAGCTGGTTTATTGGGTAGTCAAGATGTGGCTGCTCAATATCTCAATGATGGTAAGAAGGTGGTAGCTATGTTACAAAATGATATGACTGGTTATGTTGGAACAAACAACGAAGTCATTGGTATTGTTACCGATCATGTGGATGAAAAGGTATGTATATTGAAAAAAAGAAATGTGTCTTTTTTTTTTTTTTACAGGTAGACTTTTTTCATAGATTGTTATACTTATTTGCTTCTTTTTTTTTCTTTTTCTTTTTTTTTTTTTTTTTTTTTTTTTTTTTAGCTGACTGATTTCTTGAAATCATTGGTGGACAATTATGCTTCTATTCCCTACACCTCTACCAAATGTGGTTACGCTTGTAGCGGTAAATTAGAAACGAGAAGAAAGCAACAAAACAAAAAAATGCGTTTGACTGATACTTGATTATTATTATTATTTTGTTTTGACTTGGAATAGATCATGCTTCTTGGCGCAAGGCAGGTTTCCCTTCAGCCTTCACTATCGAAAGTGCTTTTGATGATTCCAATCACTATATTCACACTTCTGATGATACCATTGACAAACTCTCTTTTGATCATATGCTGGAATTTGCAAAAGTTGCTTCTGGGTTTGCCGTGGAACTTTCCCACAAACAATAAATCGGGTCTTCCAGTTTTAGTATTTGTTTAGTTGACTGTAGTTATCTCTCTCTCATCTCTCTCTTTTTTTTTTTTTTTTTTTTTTTCTATTATCACCTTTTGTATTTCCTTTCTCTCTCTCTTTTTTTTTTTTATGAACTTTTGTCTGTATGTACATGTGTATTTTTACTGATGGAATTTTGCCCTTTTTTTTTTTTCTTTACAACGTTGATTCAATAAAAATGAATGGTATTTTACCCTAAAGATTCTTTTTGGTGTTACAATGAGATGATAAAACAATATGGGGTATATGAAAACTTTGTTCATACTCTTTCATGATAATAAATCTCTTTTAATACCCTTCCCCCAGCTTCCTCGATATATACGTTGGCTGATGAACTTTATGAAAAAGGACAATGATATGAATACTGATGTTGATAAGTGTCCTTTCACTACCTTATTAGTTGATCTTTTTACTTTCTCTCTGACATATAAATGGTTTCTAGCAGTAAGATATCGTTTCGCTGTCTATGCATGTATTTTATCAACCATCGGTTATTAGATAACAATTCTTCCAATTTACCCCATATCACCACATCATCTCATATCATTTATCAATCTATCATCGTTTATGTATTGTGTAAATATGTACTTTTTTTTTTTATTATTAAACTTCGAAAAGAGGGAGATATAGGTCAGTAGTAAATAGCAAAGGGGAGTATAATACAATAATAATAATAAAAAAAATGCCCGAGAATAATAAAGTAAAGGATATCATGCGCTTTTTTCTGAGGAGAGATAATTGGGATCATTGGCTAATTTCCTGCTAAGATTGTTGTACCAAGTTTGGAAAGCTTTGACAGGTAGATAACCACGTTCAGTCACTTCACCCAAGGCAATACCATTCATAGGAAGATCTTGAACTGCAAAAGAGGTAACATAGTTGAATAGATTTTCAATCACACGAGATGCCATTTGACCCACTTCTGTCATAGATACCGCGTGTTGTAAATTTGATCCACCACTTTTCATTACACCGGAGGAGAGAGTCGATAATAATTGTTGTACAGTTTCTATGGGTTCAATGGAAATACCTAAGGTTGCTGTGGGTTGATTCATCATTATATTGTTCTTGCCACCACCAATGCGAAAGATGGCACTTGGTTTTTCATTCGATAGTCTATCAATAAAATAAATATTGTGAGTTTTCATTATCAACAATAATCATTTATGTATTACCCTCCTAAAAGTTGCCAGTCTTTGTTAGGCCATAACAAATGAACAGTAGCAGCATAACCAGGTTCGAAAGGAATGGTACCCAATAAAAAGACAACAAGATGGTTGATACTTTGAGGATCGGATAGTTCAAATACATACTTGTTGACATCTACTTGTTGTAAGTTAGTTTGCACCTACATATAAGAAAAAAACACGGTGTAATAATCATTAGTCATAACAGTATAATAATATAGTCCAAGACTTTACAAGACGACCAGCGGCAATACATCCAAACATATCAATCTATTTCTATTGTTGTTGTTGTTATATAGTAGAAAACGAAAGAGAAAAAAAAACAAGTGTAAGGAAAAAATAATAAAAAATTATAACACTTTCATATAGTTGACCCTTACCGGAGTCTAAACGAAGCTTCTCGAAGTTTGGAGTCACGGTTTGCATTGTTTTTTCATTCAACCATTACCAAATATGGAAGATTGATCGATAAGGGATTCATATTTAATGCGTTCTTCCAATTTATATGAACATCAAAGGAAGAAGAAGAGAGAGAGAAAAATTATTGACTATAAAAATCATATGATATCATATTGGAATTGGATGATGTAAAAGTAAAATACTTGTTGTTACCCATCACAATACTGTATATGATATCATATGCATAAAACTTGATACTGAAGAAAGCAATTTACATAAACAACTTTTCTTTAATATCGTATTGAAATGATATAGTATGATGATCTCCCATCAAATAAAAATGTAATACTTATATAATAAAACTATCTTTTTTTCTTTCATCAATGGTAATCATTGAATGGATTCTATTATGTATATAGAATAAGGCTAGACCCTTCATTTTTTATTTTTTTATTTTTCTCTTATAGTTTGATGAGGGTACACACGCTCAAAGGGCAAATTCTGGTGAGAAGGAGACACCAATTTTTTAACCTCCGGAGAGAGAAGTTTAAAAATGGAAAGTCTTTATCTTATGTTTCGAACCTTCTTTTATCCTTTTTTTTTCTTCTTTTCCTTTTCTTCATTTCTATCTCTTTATTATATATAAATTACATAGAATTATATTTATAAATACTATATGTCATGCAGTATGAACGAAAAAAATATATTATTGAAAGATTGGACTATTATTACAAAGTAATAAATACTACTATTCTCTCGAAACAAAATGCTGCTAGTGGATTGATTCCAGCTTCTGTTGCTATCACGGTAATGACTTTTTTGGTTTCAATGAATATATATATAAAAAAACATTCATTCTTTTTCTTTATATATATATATATATATATTTAGAGTCATGGTGATTATACTGATGCTTGGGTTCGGTAAGAACTTTCCTTTTTTTTTTTTCTTTTATCATATCACTTATGTCCTTTTTCTTCTTTTCTGTAGTGACAATGTATATTCCATTTATGCTGTGTATGGTCTTGCTCTTGCTTATCGACGGTTAGACGATGATAGTGGAAGAACTTGTAAGTATTTATATTTCAAAATATACTTTTAATTTGAATATTTATCAATTTTTGTTTATCTAGTTGAATTAGAACATGCAGTCATCAAATTGATGCGTGGATTATTATTTGCCATGATGAGACAAGCTACAAAGGTGGAAAAATTCAAAAAATCTCAACATATTCTGGATGCTCTTCATGCAAAATATAAAACTGAAACGGGTGCTACTGTAGTTGGCGATACTGATTGGGGTCATTTACAAGTAATTCTTATATATATATATATATCATTATAACGTACTTAATTGATCTATTTTTTTTTTTTTAGATTGATGCTACTAGTTTATTCTTAGTTGCTTTGGCTGATATGACTACAAGTGGTTTACATATTGTTTATACTCAAGATGAAGTAGATTTTGTTCAAAATTTGGTGTTTTATATTGAACGTAAGTTTATACCATCTGTTTTTTACTTTTTTATCGTTAACAGGTTTTATATTCTTATTTAAGGTGCCTATCGTACACCTGATTTTGGTATTTGGGAGCGTGGTGATAAGACAAACAATGGTCAACCAGAATTGAATTCTTCCTCTATTGGTATGGCTGTGGCTGCTTTGAAAGCTATCAATGGTGTCAATCTATTTGGTACTCGAGGTGGTCCTGCATCTGTAAGCTATAAAGTATAAAATAATTATCAATTTATACTAATATATATATATATATATATATAATAGGTGATCTACGTTCTTCCTGATGAATTGACTCGGAATGCAACAACCTTGAATAGTTTCTTACCTCGTGAATCCAACTCGAAAGAAATCGATGGTTCTGTATTATCAGTCATTGGATTTCCTGCTTTTGCTGTAGATGATCCTGCTCTCATTGAACGCACCCGTCGTGAAGCCAAGGAAAAACTAGAAGGAAAATATGGTTGGAAACGCTTCTTACGTGATGGACATCAAACTTCTGTCGAAGATACAACCCGACTTCATTACAATAATAGTGAACTCAAGATCTTTGAAAATATCGAATCAGAGTGGCCATTATTTTTTACCTATCTTGTGCTAGAAGGTCTTTTTACTGGTGATGATGATCAAGTGGAAGAATACCGTGACAAACTCAAACATGTAGTAATCGATTCAAGTGATTGGGATCCTGAGAATCCAAAGGCGCCTACCTACAATGTTGATGACAATGGTCCTACTTCTCGACAACATGACAGCAATACATTACATTTACCCTTGGTGCCTGAATTGTATTATGTTCCTTGTGACAAGATTGAAGCAGAACGTGCTCATCCAAATTCTCAAGAACGTATCCCTAATGACAATACTCCCTTGGTATGGGCTCTTTCTCTTTATATTCTTGGAAATTTGATTTATGAAAATCTTCTATCTCCATCGGAAATGGATCCTTTGGGTCGTCGATATAATGTACAAGGTCAAACTCGTGATACCATGACTCAAATTGTTCTTTTGGCTGAAGATGAAGAATTACAAAGTGCTCTTGCTACTTATGGTTTGGAAACTCAAACAATCAGTCAAATCTCTCAACGGTTCACCATCCTTCCTCCTCGTGCTTTAGCTGATGTTTATCATTCCTTAGGTCATAATACAAAACTAGGTTTGACTGGTCGTCCAAAAAGGTAGGAAAAAAAAAAAGAAATATATATCTTTTGTGTGTGTATATGTGTGTGTGTGTGTTTTACTTATTCCATTTTTTTTTATTTATTTATTTATTTATTTATTTTTTATTTATTTATTTATTTGTTTAGACCTGTTGGTGTATTGGGAACTTCTAGATTGTATCGTATGGAAGGTCATATTTATGCCTTTACACCTTATTTTATGGATAATGAAGCCTTCTATCTCAATGCGGATCCTGATTTATTGGTGTCTACTTTTGAAAGTGAATTGGCTTTCGCTCGCGACAATTGGGCTTTTCCGGGACGTCCTACTCTTACAGTGGTGTTGACTAAGGATATGATTATGGGTAATCTCAATACAAGTGTTGCCTTCCCTACCGATGCTTCTCGCAAGAATCTTCTCAACTTTTTTATGAACCTTCGATCTGGTGTATGTAACAACGGTGTCCGTGTTCGTCTTTGTAGACTTGCAGAAACTCTCAATACAAGTAACATTGCGTCACTTGATTTCTTGTTGGAAAAGGCAATGGATGATTGGCAAAATATTCTGACGGATCATCAAATGGAGAAGGGTTCCTGTCGTCGTTTAGGATTCAATGAAAATCAAACACAAGCAAGTACTCCTGGTGCTCCTGGTACACCCAAACGAAGAAGTAATTCTTTCCATGGCAAGGTTTTGGGTACTCCTTTGGACAAATTACATGATGAAGGTTATTTCCAGGATATTGCAGCTGTTTTGGAAAATATGGACAAGAATCAACAAGTTTTTAGACTGAAGGATCATGAAGCTGGAAGTCCAAAGATCACCTCTGAACAACCGGCAGTAGTGATGACACCTCCCAAGGTGGAAATAATCAACAATCAGTATGATAACTCTATTAACGATGAACCAGGTACTTATACCGAAAGCGCTCTCTCCCTTACTCTTGGTGATCGCTCTCAATTCAACGAAGCAATAGCAAGCCTCAAGAGTTCCGTCAATCTCTATGATCAAGTCGATCTCCTCCATTACCTTGCCTCGTGTGAAAGTATCGATTATTACATTGGTGATCTACAAGCTACAATTCGTACCCTTTTGGAAGAAGTGTATCTCAAAGCCGTTCATCTTCAGTATTGGTCTATTGCACGTCAAGCATCTGGTCTTCTTCGTAAAGTGGTACCTTCTTTAACAATCAATATCACAGATTTGGTGATTCGACAGAAACAAATTTCCATTGGTTCAGGACAACATGAATATTTGATCTCAAGACCTGTTGGGCCAGATACAGTGGGTGAAATGATTAGCAAGCATTGTACGGATGATGTGCGTGAAGGACCTGTGGTGCAAGAAATTTTGATCTATCTTGGTGGTTTTATTCGGAGCAATCCCAACATGTTTGATGGTATTTTACGACTTCGAACGCATTACATTATTATTGCTCTCCGTGAAGAAATTCGACGTATCAACGACTGTAATGAAGAAGAAGCCATTGAACACTTGATGCAATTATCACCTTTTGAACTACAATCTCTTCTCGGAACCATCTTATCTGGACCAAGTTTATGCAAGGATGCCGATGTGCTGGTACGAGATCGTGCTGCTGGGCTTCTCATGTTGAACCGTGCTTTGGAATCAAGACGATCTAGTATTGTCGAAGATATGAACGAAATGGTAAACTCTATCAAAATACATACAAAAGAAGTGGAAGAAAACAACAGCAACGATGATGATGACCGTCGTGATATTCCTGTCAACAAACAAAGTCCATCCGTGGTGATCCGTGCTCAATCAGCAGGTTATAACGCAGGCAACTTTGCCAAGGTAGATATCAATGGTAATACAGTTATGGCCAGTTCTCGGGGTGTACATGTATGGGCAGTGACACGACAAGACAAGATGATTTTGGAACAAGCATCTTTTGATACACATATTTCTTTTGAAGAAAGTGCCAATTTCGTCAAGTTTATTCATTGGCTCAAAGATGATATGGTCATTGTTATTGTTGTACGCGATGATTTTACTGAACATCTTACTCCAGAGGCTATTGATCTTTTGGAAGTCTTGGGTAGCAAAACCATTCGACATGTCAAGTATCGTGATTCCTATGTCCTAATTACACAAAAAGGTAAATACACATCTTTTTTTTTTTTAAACAAAAAAAAAAAAAAAAAAAGGAAAAAAAAATCTCAATAATTCATCACTTTCTTGTATATAAATACTTAGGTGATCCGGAATCAGCACTTGAAGAACATAAATCTGCATCAGATGGACCGACTGATGTACTCGAACGTCAATTCTCTTTGCTCAACACTCAACACAATGAAGCCATTACTGAAAAGAATATTCATCGATTGTTTCCTACTTCCAATGGACGATGGTTGCGACGACGTATGAATGACGGTGCATTGAACCGTGTACCAACCGACTTTTTCCCTCAAACATGGACAGTATTGGATAAATGTCATGGTCTTGTGATTGGAGATCATTGTTTACCTCGCGACCCTACAGTATTTGACAAGACACCAGGAGAATTCAACTTTGCATTGGCAGTGGAAAGCTTCTTGGGTTGGTTTGCAGATCCAGCACAACGACAGATAGCGGTAGAAATTCTTTCCTTGACTCACAAGGTGATCACTGAACAACAATTGGTAGAAAATGGAAAAATGATGCAAGGTAACGTGGATATCCCAGCTATAATTGAAGATGCCCAAGCAACATTTTGGTCAACATGGGTGGAGAAGAACAAGGATCAATTAAAACACCTCTACATCAATAAGAACAGTAACAAGTATTTTGATTATACGGATCACAAGGAATTGGCTAGACATCTTTTCTATGATTTGCCTTTGGATGGACAAGAAAGCACATGTACTTATCTCACTAAAAGTTTGGACCATCTCTTACCAAAAGCATACTAGACCAGTTTATGTATATTTTCATAGTTGCTTTTACCTTTTTTTTTTTTTTTTTTTTTTTTGTATTATGAATATACAAATAAAGAATATTTTCTCTTTTTTTTTTTTTTTTCTGGAATTCCTATTCTTGGATATACTTCTGACATCCATTTGCAACCAATATGATAGAGGTCTACACTGCAAAAATCATCGTATCATCATCCATCATCATACAGAATGTCATAGTAATCGTCAGCGGACTAAGACTTTATGCTTGCAATGAAACCAGTTGCGATCATTTAGTCTTTTCGTTCATTAACTGTATTTTCGATAGCAAATAGTAAAAGGTTCCTTTTTAGGGGAGCACTGCCATCAATTACTTTCTTCTTGCTTTACGCCATAAGTCCTAAATGCATCATTGGCCCCCGGAAAGATACCACCCACTGCTGCTCCTATAGTCCTTCCTGAATTATATACAACACTGCCCAATATAGGCTGTGGAGGTGGTAAAGATTGTGGGCTCTCATAGGTCACTGGATCGTTTTGTACAGATTGATCAGTCGCTCCAAGCGGCTGTTTCTTGTCAATAGGAACACCCAGGACGCAGAGACACAAAGAAAGGAATAATAAGACGCGGTACATGGTGGAGAAAATAATAAATAAAATAGAAATAAAATAGAATCGTTTTTATTTACTTTTCACTTTTTTTATTATGATTTCTCTCTCATTTATATGTTTTTTGCTTTATGTAATGACTCCTTTCGAGAAACAGGAATTTCACCCCTGATTCATCATCCTTTTGTTTTTCATATCTATTTTTCAATGGGGGGAATGAATTGCATAAACCTTGCATGCTTGATAATCGATGATCATGTAGCGATATGACGCTTTAGCTCCTGGGATCATCGCCGTACATGAACCAAAGGGGATGAAAAGACGTAACAGACTAAACACCGGATGGCTGTCAACTCGAAATATTTAAATCATCATGCGTTTCAGTTAATGGTACATCAGACGTCAAACTAGAAGTAACAGATAAAATGCCATTAGATAGAGTATTTCTTGAGAAGAATGCAATAATAGTAGTTGCGTTCGATGATGATCATCATTGGATGAGGAATAGCGACATTGATTTTTTTTTTTAAAAAAAAGAAAATTACTCTGTAAATTGGGAGGCAAGATATAGAGTGAACCAAGTGACGACAGAAAAGAGTTATCAAGTACTAGCAAAAAGAAAAAAATAATAATAAAGGTTATTAATATAACTAAAAGACAATATATTTATGTATTTTCATTCCAACTTTGATGCAATGATGATGACCCTTGAGCAAGATACAAAAGTATTAAAAAAGTACATGTATCAAGTCGGGAAACAGCGCAATTTTATTGGTTAACTTTTTACCTGGTAAAATCGAAGAGTGTAATTTAAGGATTCCAAATCCGATATTCCAACGAGCCGGTTCTTTCTCCTATTTCTCGTGTTTTTCTTTGTCCCTCTTCTTTTTTCCTTTTTTTTTTCTTTCTTTTTATTTTTTTTATTTTTTTTATTATTCAAAGCGCGCCTCAGGTAATCCCCATCGTATACGCATTGATAGTATATGATGGGTTTTACAACAAAACTTTGTTATTATGATTTCTAGATAGGTGTTTGGAAAAAGACAACGTGGACAGCTATTATACCAATAGGGCAAAAGTCAAACTGACAACATTGCTCAATCAAGAGACACCAAATACAAAAAGGAATGCAACTATTTATCCAATGCAAACTCAATATCCTTCGGCAACAACATGTCAAAATGAGGCCATCATCTGTCGTCCATCACTTTATGCTACCCCATAACAACATCATGGCTACATGGTGCATATATTACCAACTTTCCTCGTCTATGGGCCTTTTGTTTGACTCTTTTAGAGAATCTTAGCTTTGGGTAAGTTTGGGTGAACAATATTGTTGTAAATCAAGATCATGTCTGAGCGAATTGACCTATTTTTTTTTCTTTTTTTGTTATTACTACAGTAGGCGGGAAATTCTATCGATGACAACTCTCAACCGTTTCTAGATAACCAATGATATTCTGCTTCTCAAATCTCCACTCTTGGTGAACTCATGCTTTGGAGTCTATACTTATATTCTAGCATTGAAATTCTTAATCAACAAACCTGAATTTTCATCAAGACTCGCAAGATGGATACTGTTATTAAAAAAGTCAAGTTTGATATCTGTCATTTCTCCTGGTGAAAAAAAAAAAAAAAAAATAGTGGCCAACTGTCTTTCAAGGTATCTTCCTTTCGACCAAAGTATCAAGAATGAGCACAATGATGAAATCCTGGTTTTTCCTCGACATGTGGAATGGAGCTGTTTTACTTTTTGATGGACTTGGGAACAACACAAAAATAGAAAAAGCTCAAACGTTTCTATCAGGTAAGTGGCATGATCCGGTAGCTATACATGTGGTACTGATGTTTTTTTTTCTTCTTTTTCTTTTTCTACGCGATTGATGATAGTAAGACTGGTTGTTCTTTTTGGTTACTTGAAATTGACGAAATGGTCTTTCTTCTATGTTCGATGACGTGGTCAATAAGGTGATAGATGTCGATAGAGTCAATAAGCGATATGGTGCTGCAAGTTGGTCGTCGAATTCCACTGAGTATTATTCAACAATAAATAATACTTCATCCAAGGTTGATCCATTTGGAAAATTATCTAAAGAAATCAAAGAATTAACCCAATCTATTCAATCACTGAAGATGATTAAACAAGATAATCAACCTACACAATACAATAATGATCGTCAAGTCGTAGAATGTTGGAATTGGGTGAATTATGGTGCACGGACAGAACGATACGGGTATGAAACAGAAAAAGAAAAAAGAAAGAAGGAATTCAATTTACTGATCTTACAACCAGCTCATGGACCTTTATTAGTAGACCGTGCATCAAACCTGGTGAATACGTCTTGTAGGGAATATCATCATACGTTATCTGCCTAATATATAGCAAAATGATATCAAAATAGCCTTGGGTTTGTGAACGATACTTGTCCAACAACGGGGTCTACGACAAGGTGATCCAACTCTTTTCTCCTTTCCTATTCAACATCGCTCTTAAGCTTCTATTAAAACAAGATACCTCCTTCACTAGTCACACCTTCCAACAGGACAACGATACCGATAGGGCAATCTATGTGCGATTCAAGTGTCTAGCGTACGCCGACGATGACTGATGGTCGAAAAAAGTTTGATTTCCTGTTTATTACCAGATGCTGATGCTGAAGTAGGTCAAGTCTTCCAAAAAAATAATCAATGCAATCAAATATCATTACGACTTAGGTAAGTACAGCTGCAAAAAAAAAAAAAGAAAAAAAAAAAAAAGATGCAACTGATCAAACCTCTCTCTCTTTCTATACATATATATATATATTGGTGACTTTCTCTCTTATATTTTAGATCAAAACGATTTGGATATCCAGTGACCTCCCTCCTGCTAGTTTTATTCACGGAGACTTATCGAAGTGGACCTTTTTTACCCATTCCTTGGATGGTGGTGAGTTAGAGGACAGGGTTCTTAAATGTCTCTCTTCAAGTTTAATTATCAATCTATACATCAAGTGACTACAAAAAAAACAAGGTCTCTGAATATTTGTATGAATTGGATATGTTACCTACTGTGGTTCACACAAGTGATTGGCCTCTACATTACCTTTATGATAAACAAGTTGTACCTCAATGACAAGCATGGAAGAAGATCGCAATTCATTCATTATCAAGGGCAAGGACCTGTTCATTTTTAATCATCATGTGTACAAATATAACTGAAAACGACCCAAACAAGAAAAACAAAAAGTGTCTCACCCTATGACGGATCCTACGCATCCAAGCACAATTCTCTAGAAGCTGACAAGGAACTTCGTTTTGTACCCGATATGTAAGGTGGTGTGTCGATTTCTTGGAAAGATATCATCATATGGTTGGTCGTTCAAGTTTGGATACAATGTTGCATATACTGGAATCGCGTTTTTGGTGGACTGACATTTTTTTGAGTTATTCCTTGATTGAAGATCTTCCAAGCTTGCCTCAATACGTAAGTATCGCTTAGCTAACCTCATATTTAGCTTGGTAGATATATCTTAGTTTAGTTACAAGTATTGAAATTTATGAATAAAAAACCTGAACCACTTTTTTTACTATTTTTTACTGTATTGATGTGCATTATTGGACCAAGACAGTTTTGAATTATCGCTTGCAAACGCATACTTTGTGTTATGATGGTCTGAAAAGATACTCGGTATATTGTTTTCAAATATAGTATTGAAATCATAATTTTATACGCTTTATTCAAATGAAAAGGGAAAACCATATACATCTAGACTGTGTACGTTTATTTTTATACAACAAAGCCATTTACTTTATTCATCATAGTAGTTAGGAGAAAAGAATAAATAGTTTGCAAAAGTAAATAAAAGAGTTTGCATAGGATGGAAAGGTTATTTGCGTTATGCAAAGGAGAAGTTTGCGTGTAAGGGAATGAAGAACAAAAATAACTTGTTTCAATGGATCACAGAAGGGAGTGTGCCACATCAGAAGCAGATATTAAAAAAAAGGTACCTTTATAATTTTTTTTTATCTATTTTCTTTTTTTATTTAGAAAAAAAAACAAAAAAGGATCTACAATTGCCATCATTTGATAATGAAACAGTGATATATCGCAGTTCCTGTTGATGTAGTAAGTTTGTTTATTTCTTTTTTCTTTTCTTTTCTTTTCTAAACAAAAAAAAAACAAAAAGGGATCTATAACTGACATCGTTGACAACATGTTCCTTAACATATATGACGACTCTGTGATTTATGAAGGTAGTAAATAGAAAAAAAAAATGGATGATGATGGTAGATATGAATCTGTGAAATACGGATCAATCAGCTGCAAAACCTGTAGCAACCAAGATTCACATCCCCTTTTTTTTCGGTCATCGATCATCCATCATCAACGTCATTTATTTCCATAATATAAAAAAGGATAACTGCAAAATCAAGAAGAAAGATCGTATGTTAAAAAAAAAAAAAGGTCTAGAGAGATTTTGTTTATTGAGAGAGAGATATAAACTAATAAAGGAGACGAAATTAAAGAAAGGAAGGGAAATCAGATACTATCTAGAATGGCCAAGATAGGATTCAAATTGGCATCACCTTCAATGACAATATCAAAGGTTTGTAAATATCTAGGTTCCAAATGTTCAATATCGTGGTTTAGAAGGCCAATATTCAAGCAACAATCATGTTTGATACCATGGGCCATTTGTGTATCAGCACAGGAATCACCAATCAGGATCACATTGGGTCGAGTTTCAATCTGGGAGGCATAAGGTGTTTGTTCTACTTGGACTTCGGACTTGTTGAGGACATGGATCAAAGGCGCATTGAAACCAACACAGATATCGGCTTGATTGAATTTCATCATATTGGATACAAGGTGCATATTATCGTACATCATTTGTCGTTTCTAAAAAAAGAGAAAAAGAAAAAAGAAAAAAAAAAAGGTGAGTCCATCAACTCTTTTTTTTTTTTTTTTTTTTTCCTTCAGAGGATGATTCATTACCAGTAACACACGTTCAATCAAATCACCAATACCAGCTGAAAAGACAAGGAACGGAATTTTCGAGTCGCGACATGAAGATAATACCTTTTCCAAACCAGGTCGTAATTCTATATCTGATTCATCCACCATATTGACAATATCTATCCAAAAAAAAAAAAAAAAAAAAAAAAAAGATAAGATAGAATGCTACCAATAATACATATATATATATATATATGATTTTACTTACCTTGACGAGAAAGTTTTTGAGCCACCAGGACTTGATGTGCTTGTTCCCACCATTCGATCATATGAGGTACTTTTTCTTCCAATGTTAAAGTCTTATCAATTTCAATAGGATAATAGGTATTGTACAATCGAGCTGTTTCTTTCTTGAACTAAACAGGTTGTTTAGTAGTTATTCATTCACTCTTATTTTTTTATCAATCTAATGATATAATATTACCTCGGGACTCAGTTTACTATATCTTGCAGGAATGCCATGAGAAGAGCAATTGCGTTCTAAAGCACCTGTGGTCTTGTTACGCACCCAATGAATGGACATGGTCATATCGAAATCTAAATATAATAAAAAAAAATAAAAATAAAAAAATAAAAAATTCTTGTTCACTTACCACAAATAAAATGAACATTGTTTTTGCCACCAAGAATAAGTTTGGTGAGTTTATCAGTTGTGGTAGTTAGATTTCTAATACGGATAGTTGGGATTTGTAACAGACGTTGAACTATATGAATCGATAATAAAGAATTAATTATTGTTTTTTTTTTCTACAATGTATTCTTATTGTTTCTACCTAAAGCCTGTGCCTCCATCGTATATCAAAAAAAAAAAAAAAAAAAAAAAAATAAGGAAAGAAAGGAGAAAAAGAAAAAAAAATCCAAGGTTTGTAATTCCCGCCCATTTTCTATGAAATGGAAATCAATTCCGATTCCTTTTTATTATAAGCGTACACCAAAAAAAAAAAAAAAAAAAAAAAAAAAAAAGTAAGAGGGGGGAGTGTATGTACAAAAAAAAATAAATAAAAAAAAGAATGAATAAAAGTAAAAAAAAGGGAGAGATAAAATATACAATAAAAAACTATTCTAACACAAGATCAGCTACCACTGCAAGAACCTTTCCAGGAAAATCACGTTGTACCATTTGATCCAGAATCAATTTTGCCTTGTCTACCAATTTATTGTCTAAATAAGCACGTACCATAGCTTCATAAGTACTTGGTTCACGAACAACAATAGTGTTGGAAACATCTTCATTGTTATCACCACTATCATACATATCCAAACTAGTCATAGATTTGTCATCCGTCATTTTGTTGAATACTGATTCAGCCTTGTCCAATAATCCTTTTTGACCATATCCACGAATAAACAGATTTTCAATATAAGGAGAACTACTCTTATCAATAGTATCCAACATTTCTTGATACATTACTTCAGCTCGTTCCAAATGATCATTACTAATCAATGTATCCAACATAGCTTGATAGACTGCCTCATCAGGAGGTACTTGAGACTTGACCATTTCACCAAATACACGATCAGCACTTTGTACATCACGTTGAAGAGTCCCATAAGCATAAATCAAAGTAGCATAATGTGTTGCTTGAGGTCGGATCCTATCACGGCGTTCCATTTCGGAGAGCATACGATGAGCAGTAGGCATATCATAGGGTGTCATACTAGCATACGCTTCCATCAATAACTTGTAAGTATGTGGTGAAGGTTTGATGTGACGACGACGTAATTCAGCAAAATATTCTAGAACACGTTCACGATTGGGTTGTTGTCGCACATAAAATTGCATCATGTTGTTGAAAGGTCCCACACGTGGTTGATAAGAAGGAGAGGATAACATTTCACCAAACAATCGACGAGCATGTGTTTCTGATCCAGCACGAACACAAGCAGATATAATCGCACCATAAGTAATAGAGTTTGGAGTCACTTTAAATTCGCGCATTTCTTCAAATAGATACAGAGCTGATTCCAGTTTGCGTGCCTTGGCCAGTTTTGAAATCACCACATTATAAAAGAAGGTTGTAGGTTTCACATTATGACGTTTGGCTTCATCATAAATAGTCAATGCATCAGAAGCTTCATCAGTGGCACATTTTGCACTTCCCAACAAGAGACTTGCATAACCATTTCCATCAGGGAAGAGACCCATCTTCTTGATTTGATCATAATACACCTTGGCATTGGCCATATCTCCTTGTTGAGCGTAACCAATCAATATACTATTAGTGATGAGATAGATGGCTTGAGATTTATCATAACCTTGATCCTGTTCAATAGTTTCATATGCTTCCAAACAAATTTGATACATCTTGAGCGCCATATCCATATGACCTTGTTTTCCAACCAAAGCAATAGCATCTCGTAAAGAATCAGGAGAAGGTAACTTGTCACTAGCCATGATCGAATTCAATGAAGACATCGCATTGTTGATATGACCATGCATCACTGATTTCATAATATCTTGAGAAGTAGTGACATCAAACAGATCAATACTAACAGTAGCATCCTCTTGTGTCAAAACAGTAGAAGAATCATTCTCAGCAGAGTTCGTTTCAGTAGTAGTTGTTGCTGTTGTTGTTGTTGTTGTTGTTGCTGAGGTGGTTGATTTGACGTCCGTGGATTGATCATCAGAAGAAGAAGAACATACAGGATCCACAGCAGAACGCCAGGTAGCTTCAGCAGTAACATCACCTTTCATTTGCCAAAAAGCCGCCACCCGTGAAACCAAGTTGGATGAGGGGAATAAGTGATCAGATTGCATTCCCTTTAATAGAGATAAGAAAAGAGACATTGGTTCATCCACACCTTTGATTTCAACTTGATTGCTATTGTGATGATGTACCTATCCACAAAAAAAAAAAAAAAGAAGAGTCAGAGGAGAATTTCCTATTTATATAAATGTTTATATGTTTCTTACCGTTGCTAGTATGATCACAGCATCAAACAATATAGTGTAATCAGATAAGGTAAATGATGATGATGCACCCATATCTTGATACAATCGCACCAAAGTCTTGGATAAAGGAACCGGTAACTTGCCACCAAACCAGAGGCAACTTGTCACTTGAGCTACACGTAAAGCTTGATGTACATCCTTGACCGTAGAAACCAATTGTAAAGAAGTATCTATCAAAAGACGTTGACCTTTGGCTAAAGTACGTGGAGATAAGACACCCAAGATAGTATGAAGAGCAGAGATAGATTGATCTACAGCATCAGAATGAATAAAATAAGAAATAATTCGACAAGCCAAAACTGGATCAGGTTCCAAACGAGCGACACGCATATCTTCAACTACTTGAAGAGCTTTTTCACCTTGATTTTTGGACAAACACAAAAGAGCATAGTTAGCAAGATTACCATAAGACTTAGCAATATCCGTCTTGATTAAATCGGCATAGACATCGGTAGCACCTTGAAGATCATGAGCATGACAATAAGCGGCAAGAATAGGACCATAAGTACTAGCATCCGGTTGAGGGAGATGTTCAGGATCACGAAGCAATTGATTGACAACCCCATGAGCCTTTTCCATTTCACCTTGGGTACAATAGTGACGAATAACAGAGTTATAAGGAATGATGGTAAGTTTGACGGCATCTTGGATCATATCTTTTTCAATCACACGAATAGCGCCTTCCAAAAGACCACACTTCAAATGAGAATCAACCAAAGCATTGTAAACGTAAGAAGAATCATGTACACCCATATCATGTTTCAGTTCTTGGTACATAGCGAAGTAGCGACGAGCAGCTTGAATATCACCAGCACGACCAAACAAGTTGATAAGGGCAGCAAAGGTAGCAGCATTAGGAGAAGCATTAGTAGATTGTTCCAATTGAGTAAAGACTTCCAAAGCATGAACAGTATCACCATAATGAGACAAGACGCGTAATAATTGGTTAAAAAGATCTACTTCAAAGACTTGAGTATGTTGAGCAGCAGTAGCCTTTCCAAAGAGATCCATAGCCTTGTCTAGATTGGCTTCGGCTTCTAAAATATCAATATCTTGTACAAGTTGACCCGTTCTTGCAGATTGGCGTTTCAACATGGCCACCGTTTTTTGAACTTCAACATCACGACGACAAAGAGTACGAAGAAGTAAGGTATAGGTATAACTACTTGGTTGGATACGAGAGCGAACCATTTCATCATAAACTACATTTTGTCCAAGGTGATAATGAGATGAAAGAGAAAGAGAAAACAAAAAAAGTTCAAAGTCAGTGACCAAAAATAAAAATTAAAAATTAAAAAAATAAACATACCTCTAAGCATAGGAGCCAATGGGGAACCTTCACGGCGTAAAGTAGCATGAGCATCCAAGACAAGATTATAAGTATGATGAGTTAAAGTCAATCCTTGCTTTTTCATAGTAGAGAATTCCATCATCACAGCCTTCAAATTACCATCACGTTTGACAGATAAAATACGAGAATTGGCTTCCAAAGAGGCAGTGCATACAGAACAAGAATCCAAAGAAGGAGAGATTGGAGGTGTTGGTATAGCATTTTCTTCTTTTTGTTCAATTTTTTTATCACATGATACGGTTTCATTTGTTGTAGTGGTAGATGATGATGTAGTTTCAGTAATACTTGTGATGATAGGTGATATACTTTCAGTTGTAGTAGCGGTGATAGGTGATGTAGTTTCAGTAGTAGTAGTAGTGGTGGTGATAGTAAGCGTATCTTTTACTGATTCATCAGGTGCAATGATTGTCTTTTGAGCTAAAAGAGCAGCTCTTCTTTGAGCAGCAGTTTGACGTTGTGGTTTTTTTTGTTGTTGTTGTGGTGGTGATGATGGTAATGTTTGATGAAGTGATAATTTTGTGGTATTATTTATAGGAGTGAACGTAGCAGAGGCCAAAAGTTCAGAAGCATTTTTGATTTTCATGATTTATATTATATTATAGAGAAGAGTAGAAGAAATGTATGTAAAGAAAGAAAAAGAAGAAAGAGAAAAGAAGAAAAAGGAAAGAATTGTTCTTTTATAATTTTATTTTTTGGGTCAATCTGGAGTTAAAATTCTCTATCTTTTCCATCTGATAAAAAAAAAATTTTTTTTGGCTTTCCCACCCAATTTTCTCCGGATTCGAAAGAAGTTTATCTATCCACCATTATATATATATATATATATATAAGTATCCAAAAGAAGCATAATCAGTCGATTTATCTATGATAGCAATAAATGGAGTTCTATAATATGAAAAGAATCAGTCAGTTTATTTCTATTTCTTTGATCATCATCATTGTCAACATCATCACAATCTATATAATATGACGGACATCCAACTATCAAGTTCCCCGAGTCAAAATAAAAAAAAATCTGATAAAAAAAATATTGTCCCAGGTCCTCATTTTCCACCCTTGTCATATTACAACTTGATATCAAAAAAAAAAATAAAAGATATTTTGAGCCTTTTTTTTTATTATATTAAACTTTAGATGGAGCGATAATCTAATGATGACTGTATGATGATTATTGTATGATGATTGACAATTATTCACGAACATAGTGATGATGGTAATGATGATCAAAAGTTGAACATTATATAAGTAAAAGAGAATCTGATAAATGATTATACAACGAAATGGATTGGGCTCAGGTAGGTTTGGGGGCCCATGACTCATTTACACAATGAATTAACATTGGCAAGTACAATTGGCCAATAGGAAGCAGGAGATTTATCTGATGAATTTGAATCTCCCTTTTTTTCCAGAGATTCTGAAGTGTATAAGATCTGATAAGAATTACATCGCTCCATTTTTTTTTCTTAAGTCTCATCATCAATGATAAGAAGAAAAAAAAAGTGTACCTGTTAGATCTAATGAAAAAAAAAAACAAGTTCTACTCTTATTGATTTTACAAGTATCACGGAAGTTTTTTTTTTTTTTTATTATTATCATTATTATTATTATTATTATTAACATCACTAATATTTTTAATGCTATATATTAATATAATTTGATTGATGATTAGTATAGATTTTATAAATGAGAAGAAAAGATCTATGGATGAACATAAAAGTCAAAAGACCATATAATACAGTAGTAAAGTAATAGAATGAAACAATACATGTTTGATTGTTTGTTACACATTCATATTTTTTTTTTTACATGTTTGTGCGGTGTCTGAATACCAACATTCCCAACATGGAGGATAAATGAGGTTGAGAGGATGATGAGTTTGACGGAATATGAATCTATTATTTTTTTTTTGTCACATGGAAAGGTAGAGGAAACATGAGAAGTAAAATTTATGCCCTACCAAAAAGATGTACTTTTTATGGAACATGAAAAAGAAATGAAAAGAAAGGATGAAATTCAATTGTTTCATGATAAGATATATATATATATGTTTATACATTTCCCATATCATCTAATTATTAATATATATCTATTCAACTTATTGATACTATATATGATGAATGAAAAGATAATAATGATTGCCCAAGTAATGAAATGATCACATTAAAAATAATAAAAAAAAATAAAAATAAAAAAAAAAAAAAATAAAAAATGTGGGGCAATAAGCTTCCCAAAATGTGACCAAAGTCGATCAAACGGAGTATGAAATGTAATGAATGCACAGCTTGACTCTCTTCCCCATTGCCCCAAAAGAAAAAAGGGAAAAGGGGGAGGATTCCCTTTTTTTTTTCTTTTTTCTTTTTCTTTTCTTCAAACTTTTCCTTTTACTTAATACGCTTTATTATTATTATTATTATTATTATTATTATTCTATCTTTATCTGTTTTTATTTTCTTTTTCTTCTTCTTCTTTTTTTTTTATATACAAATATATATATTAAACCTACTGTTTGTTATTATAGACTATATATAATTATATATTGTATCAAACAATTATGACCATCTCTTCATCACAAATCGCAACATGTCGAAATACAATATATGAACTATCACCAACTTTACTACCAGAAAATATTGCTGGTCTTATCACTACTGCCTCATTAGCCACTCGTGTATCTTTACGTTGTTCCGGTTTAGTCATTGATGCTTTGTTTGAAGGGGCAAAATATGGTACTTCTGTATCACTAGGATTAGGTCGAAACGCTCTTACAAACGCCATATCAACAGCAAAACTAATTCATTCCTCAAACCCAGAAAATGATGATGATGATCAATGTGCTTCTACGGAAAGGTAAGTTCTTATTTATTTATTTTTTTCTTTTTAGTTTTTCTTTTTTTTTTTTTTTGTATTTTTTTGTATTTTTTTGTATTTATTTATTTTTTTTATTTTATTTAGTGGATTTCTTCAACTCATTGATAAATATACCGATCTTGGCGTTCATCTTATATCAAGTACATTTACACTAACTGAATTATTTGCTCTCTCTGGATTACAATTTACATCAAAAACAATCAAAACTGGCTTAAAGGTACACAAAAAAAAAAAAAGATATTATAGATTGGGTTACTCAATAATTTTCATATTCAAATTTAATTAGGCATGTGAAGAAACAGTTCGATTGATTGATGGTATTTTTGGCTCAACAGATACTTCCCGTGCTATCGCTTCCATCATCACTTTAGTTCATAGAGAACTTATGTACGATCCTGAATTTGAACTTGCTCAAATGGGTAAAATCGCCATGCTCGGTAGCCTTACCAAAGCTCTTACCGCTTTCGCTCTATTACAAACTGTCACTCATCACCGTCGTATCAAACAAGTTCAAACAACTGTTTTATGGCAAGGTCTTGTTATTGAAGAAGAAACAAATCAACAAGCTTTGGTACAATTGGATCACTCCCAACACATGAAACATCATCAACATACTCCTTATCAAATCACCGACGGCCGGAAAGTTGACACATCTACTTCTGATACAGCTTGTTGTGATACCGACAATCATAGTCAAGTTATACATGAACTTCAAGATATCTTGGCAGAAAATAGTTTGACTTCTGATAACAATAATAGTGCCTTATCACTTGTCTTGACAAGAAACAATACCGACTCTGACAATGATGAAGATATTGATGATCCTACTAGTATGTATGAAATTGTTACAACTACTCATCGTTCTACCATCAAAACAACTAGTATCCGACCTGTGGATCCCAATCGACCTGATCAATCAGCAAAAACAAAGTATATCACTTTAAAATCGGATGAAATGGATAAAGAATCATTTATTGCTGTTGTGAATGGAAATGAAGATTACACTGATCAAGTACCTGGCGTATGGGCGCGTTATCCTGCCACTGGAAAAAAGCAATCACATGCATTAGTGGATAACAGTATTCTCCTTTCAGCTGTTTCAAAAAAACTCACACGCAAGAAATTGGAACGAAAAGAATCTTATGGCTGGGAAAACCAAGATGGTGAACGGATTACGGGTAATCAACATCAACCTATTGGACCTACTACTACTATGACAAGCACTTCAACCACTCTTCTCTCTACAGCATCGTCATCGTCTACACATATCTCTTCTGAAGAAAAACAAGATAAGAAGTCATCATCACCTTCATCAACATCAAAAACAAGAACACGATCTTCTTCTTCTTCATCATCATCATCTTCATCATCATCATCCTCATCACCACCACCACCGTTGAAATCACCAAAGAAACAAAAAAGTCGTTGGGGATTCAGTATTGATAATATTCGTCAAAAGAAATCCAATTCAGCATCTTCCTTCTTACCGTTTTATCCAACAAACAAAAAATCACCTTCCTTATCATCAGTATCCTCATCATCTTCATATTCTGGTGCGAATCCAGCTAATCGTCGACGAAATTCTTCAGGTAGTTCTGCCTTTCCAACAATGACACCTATGACCAAAAGTACCAACAAACCAATGCGATTACATCGATCCAATTCAATCACTAGTATGGCATCTATTTCAAGAACAACTACAACAACTACTTACTCAACCACTACACCAACACTTACTCCATCATGTTCAACAAACTCTTTGAAACCATCAAATGACATATCTTCTTCTTCATCGTACAGCTCTTGTCCATCTTCACCACCATTACGACCCTCCAAGGACGATGCTGGCTTTCGTCGTCGAGTACGTGTCATCCGCTCCATGCCTGTCATTCGTCCTTCTGTACCTCGATCATTAAACCAAGAACCCGATCCACGCAATTTTCCTCGTCAACATATTATTAGTAATATTGGTCACTTTATGCGTTATGCCAGTGCTGCCTATGGTGAATCGTTTATGCGTGTTTTTGGTATTGGTGACATTCCGTCTGTTCTTCCTACATCACATCATCATCACCGAAATCATCATGCATTTGCTCATCATACTGGTGTCATGGTACAAGATATCCTGCTATCAAGCTACACTGATCATTCAAGTTTACTGAACATGCATCATCCTTCTTTACATGCATTGGTTCATTATGTGACCGTGGATCACCGAACGAAATCAATTGTATTGACTTGCCGTGGTACATTGGGGCTCAGCGATGTATTGACCGACTTATCTTTCACCTATACCGATTTTACCCTTCCGACGGAACCCAACAAACATTTCCAAGCACATGATGGTATGTTAGATGCTGCCCAACTTTTGGCCAAGGAAAAAGGAAAAGTATATCAAGCTATCCGTCGTGGATTAGAACAGTATCCAGATTATGGTCTTGTTTTATGTGGACATAGTTTGGGTGGTGGAGTTGTCAGCTTACTTGGTGTTTTATGGAGTCAAGATAGACGAAGTTTTTTGGATCAGGAACCTAGTGCAACGGTATCAGCAGCACTTACACATGATCCTGTGCCTTTTGTGACTTCTCGACCAAGTGGACTTCCTGCAGGGCGCCCAGTGCATTGTTATGTCTATGGTCCTCCTTGTGCTATGTCGTATGATCTTAGTCAATATTGTGGTCAAGGATTGGTAACAAGTGTGGTCCATGGCTATGATGTAGTATCTTGTCTTAGTTGGGGTTTGATCAAGGATTTGAAGAACGTTGCCACTAGTCTTCATGAAGAAAGTCATACAGCTGAAGCCATCATTAGTCGTATTATTGGAAGATACAATCGTCGACGTACAGAAGATCAACAACAACAGCAACAACAGCAACAAGAGGAAGAAGAGGATCAATGGTTATGGGCAACAATCAAAACCATGCGTGCCGACATGCGTGCCGATAAATTATACCCACCTTCAACTGTATATCATGTAGAATCTGTGCCTCAATTGATCCAAAACCCTATTCATCATTCAGAAACAGCCACCTCTACCTCTACCTCTCGACAATCACAACACCGCAAAGCCCATATGACAACCTTGACTTTATGTGATGATATCCAAGCTCGCTTTTCTGAAATCAATTTCTCAAGGAGTATGTTTGTGGATCATACCCCTACCCTCTATGAAAAGGCAATTCGAAACTTATGTCGTGGATTCTTTGGACAAGAAGGTGCTTATGAAAACACTTGATCTCTCTCTCTCTCTCTCGATCTTGTTTGGTATTTTTTTTTTTTTGTTTTTTGTTGAATTCTCCCTCTTCCTATTTATATCGTCTCTATATCTATATCTTTATACATATATTTTATTTATATCCCAAAACATACACCTTGATAGTTTAGTACTTTTATTCTATTATTATTTATTATTCATCCTTGTTCTTTTCCTTATATATCCCATTTCCATCATTTTCTATATATACACGAAAAAACCAATAAATAATCATTTAATTCTTTTCATGATATGTCTTTTTTTTTTTTTTACATTATCTATCGGTTGTTATGGAGACACTTTCTATCTCTTTTTATATATAGCACATATCTACGCAAAATATATACAAAAATCATTTGGAATCATGTCAAAAAAAAAAAAATAGATTTTATTTCAAGTTGTATCAATTATGAATAAAACTACAAAGAAAGGGTCTATTTCAAAAACTAATAATAGCTAACGAAATGGAGCAGTGGATGTAAAGTAAGAATCACCATCACCAGAATCAAGAGGAGCAAGAGGATGATGAGATACTACAGAAGAACCAGCCACAGTAGCATCAGAGACAGGAGGAGAGGTATAAGGGATCCGAGTGATGGCAGCGTCAATACTTCCATTGCGAGTCAATTGTCGTGCATTCAAAGTGGATTTTCTACGTTGTTGGAGATAAGCTTCTTGTTCAGTTTCAGACCGTCGATGTTCCAAAGCCAATGCCTTTTCAAATAATAAGTCAGGTAAAGTACAAGTTCCCAAAGCTCGTCGCATTTGTGTATTAAGATAACTAAGTCCAACTTGATAAGAAGCATTCATCCATCCAAACCCTTCTCGTGGTACAAATTTGAAATCGGTGCCCACATTGCCATATTCTACTTGTACTTTGTGTGATGAACTGACTACATCATATTTTTCTGGCACCACACCATTGAAATCTACAAATGATTTAGTAATACTATATTAGAAAAAAAAAAAAAACGTGAATACACATCCTATCATTATAATTTTTTTTTTATTTTTTTTGGGATTCTTACGTGTATAGCCAACGATATGCCAACCGACGAGAAATATCACGCATACCATATTTTTCAAAACCAACCCAAGCCATCATCTGATGAGGAGCCCAACCAAAAGGAAAATCCCATTGTCGATTCGGTCGATCCAACGTAATTTCACCACGTGAAGATTCAGTACCAGAAACAAGACCTCCAAGCACTTCAAATTTGTGTAAAGAATGAGACGCCATTCTCTGAGCTTGCTCTTCACTAGCACAGCCTGCCCACATCGTCCAAAATGCTGTAGCACTTTCATATGTAATTTGTTCTTGTCTCACCGTATCATAGTCGTAATAAAGATTGTTTTTTTCATTCCAAAGGTATTTGTTCATTCTATCTCGTCGTTGATTTGCCCGTGCTGTCCAATCCTTTGAGTATTGCGCCATACCATCAAAATCCTCCAGAATCCCATCCAGATAATCATCGATCGCATCCGCAATATCGGTTTCATACTTGTATAACAGAGAATTCAGATCCACTGTTGCCAGGTTTGCACATACTTTGTCAAATCGATAGGTTGTATCATGACCAGATTCACGCACTGCACGGTCATGTAAAAAATAATCATCCAGTTCTGGTTCATTGACTTGATCATTGTTATACATGATATTGAATTGTTCAATGGTAACATTATGCTTGCGAGCAAAAGGTGCAATAACATGATCGAAATGAGATGCTTCTGTTTCAGGAGGAATACCTTTGCCGTTAGGACGATAGCGAGAAAGCATCGTAATAGGGTCCAATCGAGGGGCAGACATCCATACTTGCCAATATTCCTTGATTGCAGATTTGAGAATGCGACGTAACCAAGCCTTGTTTTCTTGTTCATCAGCAGGATCCAATCGTTCATATACCTTCAACGCCATATCTGTCAAAAAAGGAGGTTGTGACCGAGTCAAATAGTAAGATCGATTCGCATTGAGAATCTTGCCATAATGCTTGATTTGGTATGCAAAATTTTCCACCATACTTTTGGCCAAAGCAACACGACCATCCACCAATAAACCTAGAGCAGCAAAGTAAGAATCCCATCCATACATTTCATTAAACCGACCACCAGGTACTACAAATAGTTCGCCGACCATTGTTTCTGTTCCATCAGCGGCCTTTATTTTACGCATTGCCAGAGTCAGTAAACCAGGTCGATCGTTGATGCCACGCACATAGTCAGGAGTGATGTCTTGAGGTAAATATTCAACTTGAAGATGTAATTGGGGTCGAGAGGAGGCCACCTTGCAATAAAAGTCGAAAGCATCAGGATCACCTCGAGGGACATATATAATAGGATGTTGTTGACTAGATCGATTCTTGGGATCAGGACAAATCACTTCCAAACTATCAGCATCAATACGTCGAGTTAATCCATCCCAAAAGTTGTATCGAATCATACGTGATAAACGGTCCACAGGATTTTCGTTCAGTCTAGCTTCATCTAACACAATATGTTTGCGTCCATAATCCTTTGCTAATGCTAGTTCTTGTAATAAATTGGCCAACATATAACTAAATATCGAATCACAAAAAAGTAACAAGAAAAATATTGGATGTTAAAAACGATCAAACATCTCGCCACAATTTCTCTTCCCCTGAATTCTAGTTTCATTTCAACTTACGTTCCACGTATATCAATTCTTCTATATCCACCAGAATCAGCAGTACCAAGTGTGAGTGTTTTTGAGCCAACATCATTAATTGTGATTTGGAAGTCACCATCGGTATCTTGTTCAAGTATACGTTGCAATGTTTCTTCTACATCCACCAAGAACTTTTGAGGTTTGTTTTTGTTGTCTAAAGTAAGTCAAAAAAAAAAAAGAAGTCAGATGACACAAGAGATCATTTAAATCATGTTAATATATTGTTATTATTTTTTTTTATGGTTTACCATGAGAGGAACGACGATAACGAGAAGCTTCTTTTTGAAAAGCCAAAGATTCTGGAGGGTATCTCTATATAAAAAAAAAAAAGTTGAAGATGAGCAAGTCTATTTGGATCTTTCATAAATGAACTTTACAATATAAGTTCTGGTTCGTTCTCTAGAGTTGTTTCCAGTTGTATAATATTTTGAAGGATGAGCATGAACATCAGAAGCATTGTCACCAGAGGTATCCGGGAATTCTGCCATGTTGATAATATATGTATTTGATTTCAAGTAAAAAAAAGTACAAAAATAAAAAAAATAAAAAAGAGAAGAAAAAGCTAAAAAAAGGTACAACCAAAAACCAATATTTTTATGGTGGCACGGGGCTTAAATTAAAAAGGGCCTATAGAAGCTAGCAATAGGTCAGCAGTGAATCAAAAAATTCATCTCCCCAGAACACAACCATAGGCTCATGTGGCTGTATCAATTGATCTATCTGATGACATACTTTTACCGATTTTTTATAGTTTCCTTTTTGTTCTATGGTAAAGAGGAAAGATCAAAATCGCAGCACTTCAAGTAGCAACAATCACTACGTCATTTCTTAGTTATTCTTTCTTTTTTCAGATATGACGAAAGAAAAACAGAATGATAGATGATGGTGTCACCAATGCGTAGTCTTAATCATCTATGCAGTCAAGTTAAAAAAAAAAAAAAAGGACATCGGAAATAGAGAAGTTCATATGATATAAAAAAAAAGAACTGTATTAAATAATAATGATTCCCTCTTTAGGGTAATAAAGCTACTATCAATGCTTTTGTTATTTGAATAAAGATATTGGATCATCCTCTTGGCGGACTCTATAAAGTGATTACATTTGACACTAACTGTGGAATTGGATTTACTTGACTGCTTGATCGTCTTGTTTACCAATTGGAGGTGCACTTTGTTCAGCCGAATGATGCTGTCCCTGTCGCTCAATAGGACCATTTAGGTTACTGATCATGAATGCTGCAAGCAGTTGAGCTGGTAGTGTGCCTAAGTCGATATTAGGAACTTGAGGTTGTTGCCGACGTTCATAAGTTAGTGCATTGGATTGACTTTTTACACTCTGATCATCTAATCCAGGCGATTGCTTCTTGTCGACGGGAATACTCATGACACGGAGACACAAAGAAAGGATTAATAAGACACGACACATAGTTGTGTTAATAAAATAATAAATATACGTATAGATAAAAAAAAAAAAGATTGTTTTTGTGTACTTTTTATTCTAATAATTTTCACTAGTTTATATAGGTTTGCTTTCTATAGTGACTCCTCCTTGGAGAAACATGTTTTTTTTTTCTTATCTACTTTGACTAAGGGATAAACTGCATAAACCCATTATACGGGTAATCCATGATCATGAAAAGTGTAAGACAGTTTAGCTATTGAGATCATCATTGTACATGACGGAAGAGATGAAAATGCGTAGACAGATAACCACATATTGTTATGTCTTTATTTCTATTATGCAGAAACAAAGGAGTTGCTAGCGCCATTCTTTTTTTTTAAAAAAAAAAAAAAAAGCGAAGTGATAATGAAAGTGTGATCGGTTTGATAGTAAAATTTACAGCGTCAAGAAGGCACATTCTACACAAATTAAACGCCAAATCGTGGAAGGTGAACACCGTTCATCATCATCCTTTATCCATCACCTTCCATTGTCCATCATCATCATCCAATATCCATCATCATCATCCAATATCCATCGTCATCATCCATCATCCATTATCCATCATCATCCATCATCCATCATCCATCATCCATCATCCATCATCCATCATCCATCATCCATCATCCATCATCCATCATCCATCATCCATCATCCATCATCCATCATCCATCATCCATCATCCATCATCCATCATCCATCATCCATCATCCATCATCCATCATCCATCATCCATCATCCATCATCCATCATCCATCATCCATCATCCATCATCCATCATCCACCCATCTTTAACAGCCATCATTGGTATCATCAACGGTTTCACGCTTTGCCTTTGTACTGAAATCAGCCGTGGTAATGTATTCCTTTCGTTAGTTCTTCCATCATTCTTGTCATCATATCGCTCTTATCCTCATTCGGACAACATATTTTGATTTATTACGTTGGTGACGAAACAAAAAAAAAAAAAAAAAAAAAAAAAAAAAAAAAGAGGACAACCGCGATGATTTACCATATATCTAGACTTCTGCAATGTCCAACTAAGCATGATAACAATGATCTAATGAAAGAAATGGTAATTTATTGTCATAAATCAAGAAATTCAAAACAAAATACATATTCATATATACAATTATAGGTATACTACACTAAACTAAAACTAATCATCCAAAATAGAGAGACCCTTTCCAAAATCCAGCATCATAATTTGTTTGTCTTGACCAGCACTGAAGATCCTTGACCGACTGACTAAAAGATTGAATATCCAACCAGAATGACCACTCTGAAAACTCAAAATGCACTGACGTTTCTTAAGATCCCATACTCTGATTGTCTTGTCGTAGCTTCCAGTCACCAAGATCTTGCCGCCTTCCATGATATCCATTGTCCGAATCAAACCATGATGACCTGATAGCGTGGCCACACAGGTTCCTGAGGCATAATCCCATACTCGTATTTTGCCATCTTGTCCACCGCTGTATACTAATCCCTGTTGTCCATCCGATTTCACACATGCCAATCCGTGTCGTTGTGGATCCTCCGTAACATGGTCTTGTGTAAATGTCTTGATACATTGGCCAGATCGTACCTGCCACACCTTCAACGTACCATCACCAGAAGCCGAAATCACATGATCCTTGTCGTAACAGTCCAACGCATTGACGGGACCAAGATGACCTAATAACCGATGCACCAATGTCCCCTTGGACGTATCCCAAACACATAAAGTATGATCACGCGATGCACTCACGTAATAATCATCATCCATCAGGCAAACATCCAATACACCATGCGTATGTCCACGTAAAACTTGTAAAGGTCGAAGTGTTTGTAAACACCAGAGAATACAGGTTGCATCAGAAGATCCAGAGAGCATTGTTTTTCCATTGTGAGAGAGAGAAAGGCATAAGACGCTTCCTTCATGAGCCGCTCTTTTTGTAATGACAATGGGGTTTGCTTTATGTTGTTGAAAGTGCCATATCTTGATCGTTCGGTCCCTACTACCACTGACAAGGTGATGACGACCCAGTCTTGCCATACAATAAATACTATCTTCATGACCTTGTAGATAACGAGTATCCACTTGGCCATCCAACCATCGGCGAGCTAATATACAGTGGTTACGATAAAGAGCCATATGATGTCGTTGTTGTTGAGGAGTTGTTACTGAGACTGGATAGCGCGTGCGTGGTGTGTGGAAATCTTGTGTGAATAACGTATACCAGATATGGTCATCTTGGCAAAGCTGATAGAAATAACGTGACGTACTGGAGAGCGTGAGAATAGAAGTATAATCCAAGTAAGCAACAATGCCTTGTATGATTTCAAGAGGTAAATAGAATGCGAAGTCTAAGAAAGAAAGAGAAGGAAAAAAAAAATTCAGAGACAAAAAAAAAAAAAAAAAGCTGACTTTGTAGTTGATGATTATTTTACCTTTTTCCAAATGGTCGATATTTGATTTGGCGCTTGAACGACGTCGTTGACTAGTATGTTGAAGTCGAAGTTTGGGTAAAAAAAAAGAAGAATCAACTAATCTTTTCTTTAAAGGTTGTGACGGTATAGATGCAGAAGAAGACCTCCTTCTTGTTGGATTCAAACGTTTTGTTGTAGTAGTGCCGTCTTTCTTACTGATAATGGCGATATAAGTGGGTATACTGTCATCCTGCTGTTCGTTGATACTAAGAGAACCATGACCAGTGAACAAAGTAGCCAAGTGTATCATATTGAAATAATAATGAATAACAAAAGAAAAGAAATAAACAGAAAAGAAATACTAAAAAAAAAAAAATTGGAGAAAAAAAAAATACATTATATAGCGTGAATTTTTATACTAGTTTCCCGTAACCTTATTTTCCCCACTCTCGCTCCACATCCAATCAGGCCAATCAGCAGGAAGTGTCATTAACAACAATTCATAATCCGCTGCCCAGGAAAAAAAAGGGGGGCATACAGAAATAAAACATAAAAAATTCCCTATTTTCATACAAGCCTATTCATATGATAAAGTAGAAATGGGCTGATAAACTAGGAGGACAAGGGGAGAAAAATAGAATAAGAGAAATGATCAATCATTCTGATACACTCTTCCATTTTTTTTTCTTCTTCGTTAAAGTAGACAGATGAACGTGGGACCTGAACAGAAAAAAAAATTGAAACATGACGAATAAATCAAAACATCGTTCTTTTCCGTGAAGATCCCTCTTTGTCCTGTTTTGAAATTAGCGTCTTTTTCAAAAAAAAAAAAAAAAAAAAAAAAAAAAAAAAGAAAGATCAGGACCATATCCATGTGACGTGATGCAAAAGCTTAGTCTTGATACTTTGCTCCCGCACAAATCATATGAAAGGCACGGATAGTAAAATGGATGAATCATCTATTTCCCGTCAGTAAAGTGGATGATTGATGTGAGAAAGTTAATTGATGATTTCTATAGTGATAGATAATAATTGATGATTAGCCAAATAATCATGATGATGAGGTTGAGGTATTGATTCCTTTTTTTTTTTCTTGTTTGATGATTTACCTACATTCAAAAATGGGGGATATGGATAATATTTTCTACTTTCCCACGGATTTTGATACCCAGACAACTGTCATAATGATGTTGATACGATTCACCTATACACACACACACACAGAAAAAAAAAACATCGTTATAAAAGTACAGATGGGTAAACATTGAAGGGAAATGAATCATCGACAACAAATGATGACATAAGTAATATATATCTATAGAAGCAGAGAAGATGTGTTCATCTTTTTGGAACTTAAAAAAAACCATAAAGCACCGATGTTCATAGTTGGATGGCGCACAGACAAACAAATGACAGAATTAAACACATCCATATAAACAATGCTGATCCATTCACAAAAAAAAAAAGCAAGATCATAGAAGAATCAGGTTCCTAGCGCCTTTTTTATTATTATTATTTCTTTCATCAATGGCAAAACAATAAAATTCATACATATATAAAGGTGGGGTAGCTATTCATCATGAATATAAAAAAAAAAAAATAGATATGAGGGTTGGATGTAAAAGGGAAAAAAAAGAAAAGTAAAATAAACAAACAAATGATGAAAAAGAAAAAAGAGATACAAGTGGATTGAGGGTGAAAAAAAAAAATAAAAGAAAGAGTGGGGCATGAATAAGGTGATTCAACTATATCTAAGCTTCCATCTTGAAGGTAAAGTAATCAGGATCAAAATGATGTACACGCACATAACCATCTTCACCACCACTAGAATAACTATATAAAAAAAAAAGAAAAAGATGAGTCACATGATCAACATGATCATTTTTATTTCCCTTCTTTTTAATGTTTACCTTTTTCCATCAGGGTGTACAGCAATAGTATTGATAGGACCGAAATGACCACGTACACGACCAACTTCTTCTTCCAAGATCTTGTGATAGAAACGACTTTCGAATTTACCGGCACGAGCGGAAGTCATGGTGACGTTCATGGCATCTTGACCACCACCGACAATAACGAATTCTTGGAATTTGGGAGTCAAAGAGGCAGAATTAAGGGGTGTATCGGTAGAAAAGGTCTTCTTTTGTTCCAAAGTGTCAACATCAAAGATCTTTGCAGTTTTGTCCTTAGAGGAAGTAATGAGATAAGTACGATCAGGACTGAATTGTAAATCAGAAATGAGTTCATCATGAGGCTTGATAGACTTGAGTTTTTCATTGGCCTTCCAATCCCATTGACAAAGAGATCCATCTTCATGACCACTAATGATGTATTTGTTGAGGTATGTCCATCCTGCAACCACTGCCTTGGCATTACCTTGTTGGTTCACCAGTTGTACAAGAGGTTCACTGGCTTGTTGAGCATTCACATCAGGATTCACAGGTAAGACAGTGATAGTACCTGCATAACCCATACGTTCTTCTGTCACACACAAGATCATTGTATCGTCTTCACTAAATTCCACACGCTTCACTGCTGTCTTGAATTCCCAAGATTTGAGGCATCGTCCCGTTTGTACTTCCCATAACTTGGCTGTGTTATCTGCTGAACCTGTCACTACCATGGTTGAAGTAGCTTTATATTTGATCGGTCGTATATAATAATAATTATAAAAAAAAAAGAAGATAAAGTTGAGTCAAATATACATAAAACAAAGAATCATATACTTACAGTTTACATCCACAGTCCACACACTACCAAGGTGACCATTGTAGGTACCAAGACGTTCACCATTATGTGAATACCAAACATTGCAGACCTTATCCTTTGATACTGAGAATAACAAATCACCTTCACGGTTGTACTTGATTTGGGTCAAAGAACGTGTATGACCTTGTAGTAAAATGGGTCTCATGATGGTAAAGCTGTATGATATAAAAAAAAAGAATGGAAAAAGAGATCTACTTTCAAAAAAAAAAAAAAAATAAGAAAAAAAAAGCCCAGCCAGCCGGTCAGTCAGAAAAACTAGAGGGTAAACAACAAACAAACAAATTTTTTCAAGACTCCGCAGTGGACGACTTTTTTCGCAGCAGTAGGATGAAAAAATCAAATCCATTATGAATTAATATCAATTACTATTTGAATAGAGTGAGTTATGATGATGATTATTCTTCCAAACCCTTCCTTTCCTTTCTAATCATTTGGAGACGATGTACAATAGGCGATAATATTGGGCTAGTCTTTCTTACATAATAGTCTTTTTCTTTCTTCTTTTGCATCTTGCCTCCGTTTATCACTAGCTAGAACATGTATTATGAGAGTGAGAGGGGCTATGATGAAGATATAAGGGGTCCATTTGACTGACATAAAAGTCCAATCAATATCAATCCAAGCCATCCATTCTCATCTTGTCACACAATCATCCTACCAAAAAATCATCTATCCATCACCTTTCATTTTCTACTTTTATGCATAAACTTTTTTTTTTATTCGGATAGACCACCACTACTTTTTCTGTCAAAAAAAATATATCATATCCAACACTAATAAAGGGATAAAGAAAAAAAAAAAGATAAATAAAGAATATAAAAAAACAGGAATAGATACAAAAATAAAGAGGATAAAAAAAAATCAAACTATGTGCAAAATGACAATAGATGAAGAAATGTAAAACTAACAAAAAAAAAATATAATAATAAAATGACAAATAGTATAATCTAACTAGGAAGTTTCATCAGTTTCGGTAGTAGTAGTAGTAGTAGCAGCAGCAGCAGCCTTTCGTTTTTCTTCAGCTTGACGATGCTTGGCTTCACGTTCCTTACGTTTGACGAGTTCTTCCTTTTCATATTCATAGAGTTCGGTCAATTCATCCTTGGCAGCGGCAACATCCTTCTTGCGTCCACGGATTGTAATGGTATCTGGATTTCCACCGGGAATAGGGCTTTCATCACCATTGACATGTTGACCTTTGGGGAATTTGATGAACACAGAATACTTATCTTCCAATTTCTTGACATAACGACCATTGGGACCAATCAAAAACCGATGGAATTCCTTGGGTACATTCAAATTCGAAGTCACTTGATCAGCTAATGTAGCCACCAAAGCTGATACACGTACCTTGGCTGCTTCCACATTCACCTTGATACCTTGAATCACCACCTTGACATGTTGATCCTTCTTCTTGCTCTTGACAGCTTCAAATCCACCATCATTCACCTTGTTATTATCTCCAATATCAATCTTCACACCCAAATCTTCCTTTAATTTATTGATGTTAACTCCAGATTTACCGATCACATGAGCAGAGTAAGCAGCTGGAATGGTGAATTCAGTTGTATAAGAGTTGACAAACTAAATAAATAAATAAAAAAAAAAAAGATAAGAAATTATATCACAATCATATCCATTTTCTTTTTTTAGACTTACTTCTTCATGTTTGGCAGCTTCATAAACCTTTTGAATTTCATTGATGGCATGCTTCACTTCACTATTCAATCCACGCACAATAACATCATCTTCTTTGTCACCACCAAAACGAACAGTCACTGTAGTTTCATCACCACCGAGAATAGCATTCAAAGTTGTACCCTTGGGACCATTGATGATGGGGTGGAATTTGCTAGGAATAGAAATGGACTTGCTGACAATATCAGAAGAGTCGGCGGCAATCTTTTGTAATTCAGTAGCAGCAGCCTTGAGAGCATCTTGAGGAGAAACAGATTCACCGTCCTTCTTGCTATTTTCAAAAACCAAAAGTATGACAGAAGAGTCTTCTTTTTCTTCAGGGAAAATAACGGCGACATCGTGGCGAGACTTGATACCTTGTAATTGTCGAGCATGACGCAAATGGATGTGACGATGCAAATGAGAGTCAATGTTGACAGTAGTGATGTGTTCAGGTACCAAGGAGCGACAAAGATCATACCCAGCTCTGTAAGCTTCTGTGGCGTCTGTTTCATTCTTGCTAACAAATTCTAAAGAGACTGATTTGGTGAGTTCTTGACCACGAGGAATACCCACTTGGACATGATGTTCATTTTCAATCGCCTTTAAACTATCCTTGTGAACCAAATAGGTGATAATATGTTGACCATGTTGTAAAGGATTGGTAGCATTTTTATGTAAATCGGCCAAATCGAGAGCATTGACATGGACAGCACGAGCCTTTTCCATTACCAAAGTAAGACCATTGATCAATCTTTGTTCAGGTCCACGGATCGTCACGTTTTCGGAGGGATCGTTGAAAGGAGGTAATTCCACAGTACATCCTGATTGTTCCAAAATTTCTTTGACAGTAGCACCATCCTTACCAAAGAGATACTTGTGTTGACGTTTTGGAACGCCAATGGCAGCCGTACGAGTAGATTTTTGTAATTCAGCATAATGAGATTCCAAAGCTTGTTTGGCCAATTGTAATTTTTCCTTATCACCTGTAATTGAAATAGCATTGTTGACTTGATCACCTGTTTTGATTTCACCCACATTGACAAAAGGAGGCATTTGAATCTTGACATTGAGTTCTTCTTCCAAAGCCTTGATAGTAGAGTTTTGAGGACCAGCAAGGAACAAATGGAATCTAGGGTCAAATTGATCGATTTTCAAGGTTTGTTTTGCAGCCTGATATCCAAAATAATAATAATAATAATAAATTATATTAGTTTCCAAAAATGACACTCTATTTTTTTTTATTTTTATTTGTTTACCTTTTCACCCACAATTTTTTCAATTTCAGCCTTGGCAATCTTGATTCCAGCCACGTCCCCGACAACGGTAATATTGACAGTATCATCATTTTCTTCATCCTTGATTTCATCATCCTTACGAGGAGGAATATTGATACGAGTACCCGATAAGTTTTCGATTTGTTGAAGTGTTTTTCCTTTGGTACCAATAATAAAACGACGAGTAGAGGCAGGAACAGGAATTTCCACCGTACGCTATCAAAAAAAAAAAAAATGGTTAAGATTGATTATAATTTATAATGTTATTATTATCACGTACCTTCACAACTAAACCAGCTACCAATTCACGCTTAGCCTTTGCAACATCAGCTGTCAATCCTTGAATCAAAAAAGTCGTTGTACCAGTACGATTGGTAGAAGCAATAATATTTGTACCAGTTCTATTAATGACTTGTTGGATAACATCAGCAGCACTCTTGAAACCCAAAGGCTTGTTGGATTGGTTGGCAATTTGTTGGTTAGCGGGTAATTCCAAAACATCAGTGATAGAAGCACCAGAAGAAATAGTACCATTATTACCAGTAGTACGTTTCTTTTGTTGTTGTTGTTGAACTACTGGACGAGCCTTGACGCGAGATGCAGCAGAAGACCAACCTGAAGAAATGACAGGAGGACGAGGAGCACCTGAAGATAAAGTAGGAAAAGCTGATTCAGAAGATAAATCCAAGTTGCTTTCTTGTTTCTTCTTATTTGGAGTAACGTTGGTAGGTTTCTTTACAGGTTGACCAATGGGAGTAGGATAATCACCAGCAATAAGAGGTTCAGCAAACATGGAGTTTTCAACAACAACAGGATCATTTCGGCTTGGTACAATAGGTTCTTCTACAAGAGAGTCAGACTTGGCTTGAGCATGTAAACGAGCCAATTGGGCAGAAGGAGGAAGATCAGAGACCTGTTCAGATGAATCCATAATGTGACAAAAAAAAAAGAAAAGAAAGGGGAGAAAGGGATCAAGAGGGTTGTAATAGTAAAGGTAAAAGAAAAAGAGAGTAAAGTGAAAATATTAAAAAAAAAAAAGAGAGAATATATGTTTTCTTTTTTTTTCAATAATTCAATGTTGAATGATTGGCTTTTTTTTTTTGGATGGGTGAAAAAAAGAAAAGTGTAAAAAAAGAACGAACAAGAAAGAAATAGAAAGAATGAAGATGTTTGAACACAAAACAAGATTTAAACGCCGATGATATCGATTGGGTTAAGGGCCGAATCGCAACGTCTTACGTGTGGGATCAAATTATTTCTGTATTCCTCTTTCATTCACATTTTATACCAAATTTCATGCCTGGGAGCCTTCTTGCTCATACAGTAGCTTTGGCTATAGTGGCTCAACTTGTCAATCACCTTGTACCTGATTCGTACATGGTATGTTATTTTATTTCTATATTATTTATATTATTACTAGAAATAATAATAAAAAAAAAAAGCTTGATATATTATTTAATGATATAAACCTGTCTCTTTCCTTTTTTTTTTCTTTTTCTTTTTCTTTTTTTTTTTTCTTTTTCTCTTACTTGCTTATACTATAGGATGAAATCTTCCATATACCTCAAGCTCAACAATATTGTCAAGGTGATTATGTAACTTGGAACCCAAAGTTAACGACTCCTCCTGGTTTATATATAATTAGTCTTGGTTTGAAAGGTATAGGTGATATCTTTCATCTTCAAAACTTGTGTTCAATTCAAGGATTACGCGCTACCAATTTGATATTTGCTTTTTTACTTTATTTTGTCCTCAACTCTTTATTATTTCAACTCCATCCTACTACATCTTCTTTTCATCGATCTTTATATGCTCTTATTCTATCTTGGTTCCCTGTATCCTTTTTTTATTACTTTTTGTATTATACTGACACTGGTTCCACTCTGTTTGTTCTACTTTCGTACCTTTCTGTCAAGACCGAAAACTATCTTTTGGCTGGCTTGGTAACATCACCTCCTTCTCTTTAGAAACGATTCACCTTTTCTTTTTTTTAACAAATTGTTATCTTATTTATTATAGATGAGTGCTGTTGCTGTTGGTTTTCGTCAAACCAATATAGTGTGGACATTCTTTTTTATGGTTCTTTCTATTATTCAACTTGTACCGTCAACTACTAGCAACACACCTTCAACATCATTATACAATCCTATATACAGCAATATAGACTCAGTCTTCAATAGTCTTTTCAAATCGATCCTCAGTCTCTTGTTATTGACATTGAAAAACATATTGTCGATCGTACCACGTTTATTGACATTTTTGGCGACTTTGATTGGTTTTTGTGCGTTCTTGGTCCATAATGGTGGCATTGTATTAGGTGATAAATCAAATCATCTGGCTGGTTTACATTTCCCTCAACTATTTTATTATATTTCCTTCTCGTCCTTCTTTGGAGCTCCCTTCTTATTAACATGGTCTCGCGTAATGTCATGCATCAATATCGTGATCGGATGGAATACCAAAAGGTAAATTTTAAAAAAAAAAAAAAAAAAAAGGGAAGGCTATTTATCTTGATATTGATGATGGTCTTATTACATATATATATATATAGTTTCCTATTTGGATTAAGCTCTTTGACAATCATGGTTTATTTGATTCGACATTATACGTAAGTGATGAACACACAAAAAAAAAAAAAAAAAAGAGGTAGATGACCTTATTCTCTTTATTATTTGATTAGCTATGAGCATCCATTCCTGCTTAGCGACAATCGACATTATACCTTTTATGTTTGGAAAAGAATCTATCGTCGTCATTGGATGGTGCGGTATGCTTTGGTACCGTTTTATGCCATTTGTATGAAATTTAAGATGATGATTTTAGGTAAAACATGAAAAAAAGCAGTATCTGCATTTCTTATTTCAAAAAAAAAAAAAAAAAAAAAAAGATAATAATGTTTTTTTTTTTTTTTGATGACAGGATCTCATGTGTCTTTATTATGGATGTTGGGTTATATGATGACTCTGTTGTTAACCTTGGTACCTTCTCCCTTGTTAGAATTTAGATATTTTATCCTTCCCTTTTTATTCTTTAGTCTTCACCTTCCTCCACCTTCTACCCCACTAGCTATTCTATCCACTCTTGTATTTTATGTTTGTATCAATGTTGCTACATTATATATATTTCTCTACCGTCCTTTTATTTGGCCACAAAATCCTGGTGAATGGCAACGATTCATGTGGTAATGAATAAAACATTCTTTTTAATTGACTATGGCATTCGAATAGGAATTTGAAGTTGATTTTGTATAATGTCGTATAAAAAATAACAGAATATAAAAAAAAAAAAAAAAAAAAAAAAAAAAAAACAAGGATATGATTTAAAAGATGAATTTTATTTATATACAAATGATACTAAAACTACAATGATAATCTAAGACTAATGTTATGTCCCTGTTGATTGTTGTTCTTCTAACTGCCTCTGTCGTTGAAGTTGTTCCATCACTGCTCGTGTCAAAGACGAGTTTGATCTGCCTGTCAATCTGAGCGTTGATGATGACGATGATGATGATGATTGTTTTGATGTTGAAGGGATGATTTGGGAAGCCACATAATTGTCATTTGATGAAGAGGATGTTGGTGAGGATATGGTTGGCATCGATATCGTTGCTGAAGTATCGGTATTATTATTGTTGTTTGTGGTGATAGTAGTTGGTGATTGTTGTGTTGGTCTAGTGATAAAAGTCAAAGGTGGTGGTGGAGGATAGGTTCGATTGGGTTGGTTGAAATGTACAGCTGCCCAAGTAGGATACTTCTTTTCAATGTCAATCAAAGTGGATTCCAAAATCTTGATCCGTTCCATGCAAGTAAAAGGTTGTGTAGGGTGTTGTTCAAATTTGACATTCAAATGTGCCTCCAGATTACCTAGTCGTTCTTCCATATCCGCAGTTGTTGGTTGTTGTGGCTGTTGTTGTACTTTTGTTGCTGAGGACGAAACAAGCGATCGAGCCAAAGGACCATCTTCATTATTGACAATGTCGAATTTCATTTGAATATTTCTATTTATTTCACGAGCATCCGCCCTAGCACAGGTCACGTCTTCCCCTTTTGGATCAGATCTGTTCAAGAATTCAGCTCGATTGCTAGCATCTACATCATGTTGCTTGGCTTGAATATAAGTATTGATACGTTGTTGTACTTGACGATTGCTTGCTCTGATTTGTACTTGTTCAGGATCCATACTTTTGGCAAGTGCTTCATAATCCATCTTGGTGTCATCGTTCTTGATGTCTGTCTTGTCATCACTTTCTGTATCATATGTTTGTCGTTTGCGTTTCTTTGGATACAACAAATCTTTACTTTTTGAAGATTCTTCCGATGGGTCCAATAAGAGCTCTTCTTCTGCATTGACGTGTTGTTCTAAGGCCAACAAGAGTCGTTCTACTAGAGATTCCAATGCTTGTGGTAATTGAGATTGATGGTATCGAGATAATACTAAGAGTTCAGTATCAAAGCATTGTTTTGTTTCGTCTAGTCCAATAGCACCTAAAAAAAGGGAAAACTCTTTTTGCCACGAAACAGATAATGATTCTTCAGCAGCAGAAGTGATAGTTGTAGTATTGTTAGTAGAAGGAGAAGGAGGTGTGGATATGGAAGGTGAAGATAGATCAGTAGTAGAAAGATTAGAATCAGGGAGTGGAGGTACGACAGAATTCATAGAATAAAATAAACTAAAAAGAAAAAAGTAAAAAAAAAAAAAAAAAAAAAAAAAAAAAAAGGATGTTTTGTCAAATTTTTGAGGTTCCGCTTCTTGGTGTGCAATTTAAGGATCTAGGAAGCAGATACAGTTTCTTTGGTGATGGAGTAAGTCACATGGTAACAAAGGGGTAGAAAAGTAGTAGTTAGTTTCTCTATATCGTCAACCGATGGATGATCCGATTGGTAGAGCTTTCTTCATGAAATCGAAATCATATAGTATAATGAACTGAGGTGTCACATGTTTAGGTGGAAAATAAAAAAAAAGGATCATCAAAGCGACTTTTGTATTTCTTTCTCGTTGAACTTTTTCTTTGTTAGAGCCATCAGAAAGGTGAAAAAAAAAAAAAAAGATTTTACATTCTCTTTTATTATTATTTATTATTGAAAAAAAAAAGATGATTTGACCCTATGATTAAATATTTTAGTATAGTTTATCCAACATCACCGTTCAATGACTAGTTTTTCTATCTATTCAACGCTTTATGTGATATTATATCTTGTTTTTGTACAAAATCCTTCTCTTATCCATTCTTTGAAACCAACACCTCGATGGGCAAATAGTAAGTAATCATATTTATATTTAAATCAATATTGATTATATTATATATATACAAGGTTGCATATTATTATCAGGATCATTAGTATGTTATGGTGGTGAACAAATAGGTAATACATTATCCAATGAGGTATTTAGCCTAGATCTATATCATCCATGGGATACCGCAGAGCCTTTATGGGAACAACTTCAAGTAGAACCACCTATTTCGCCTAGAGCTTATTTTAGTTCGGCACCTTGTTGGAAACAAGGCTTCATCATTAATGGAGGCATCACCAATGATTATGCAACTTCAATCAATTCAACTTATTTGTATGATAGTGAAAAGAGAACCTGGATTATGTCAACTCTTAGAAGTTCTTCCATTTTTCCTCCAAGGTAAATCATTATAATATGTATCATCTCTCGTTACTTGATGTATTTATATATTCTTTATTTTTTTTTCGGATATTGTCTCGGTATAATCATCATCGTCATCATCATTATTATTATTGTCTTTTTTTTTGACTGATTGGTTCAAAAAAAAAAAAGAAAACAACATACAGCAACTTCAGATTATCAAGGTCGAATATGGATGTGGGGTGGAGTCAGGTATGATTATCTTTGATAAATATTATTAACCTTTTTTTTTCTTGGAAAATGAAAAAGAAAACTATTTGCTAGATTGATGATTTGTAATTTCCCTAGTTTTTAAACCCTGTTTAGTGACCCATCTACGTATCATGGAACAACATCCACTTCTTATTATACTATTTGGACCGTATTAGATACCAATGTAAGTCAAAAAAAAAAATATTATATATATATATATATATATGTATTGTGTGTATATGTATATATCTATTCATATTTCCATTTATGGATATCTGTGATAACAAAAAAGACCTGGGCTTTTAGTATACCTGTCGCACATAGCTCAAGTCCAGCTCCAAGGATCGATCATACAGCAACTTTGATCACAAATCAAGAAATCTTGATCATGGGAGGTGTCGTTTTTTCTAAAAATGTTACTGATCCCTTGGGTGGTCAAACTTTGCTACCTGTATCCATGAATCAACTCTTATTATATAACACTGCTACTGGCAAATGGAAGAATTTTACTGCTGGCGGTAATATTCCTGCTCCTCGTCGTGGTCATTCCGCTGTCTTACGTAAATCATCATCATGTGTTTCATTTTAAAAAAAAAAAAAAAAAAAAAAAAGAAGAGAATTTTTATTTTATTTTATCTTCATTAGATCCAGATAATGATAGTATCATCGTTTTTGGTGGAGGTACTCCAGGTAAGGCAACATAGTGGCGGTACTTCAATATAAAAAAAAGATAAAAAGGACCCTTTTTTTTTAATTTCTCCTCCTTTTTTCTTTCTTTCTTTCCTTATTCCTATCTTTAAAGATGACAATCAAGTAATGCTTAATGACGTTTTTGTTCTTCAACTCGAAAACCTGCAATGGAACTCACCTTCAATTATTGGTGTTCCTCCAAAACCAAGGAAATATCATCAAGGTAACATTAAAAAAAAAAAAAAAAAAAGAGAGAAGGGAAAAGACGCGTATAAGAGGAAAAGAGAGAGCGGAAGAGAATGTATTTTTGACTTATATGATTTTTTTTATTGCTTTTTATTTTTAGCCAATCTCATGGATAATCTGATGATAGTGACTTTTGGGTTTGAGAAAACGGGAACCGGTTACAACGATGTAAATATTTTGGACACAAGGAATTGGCAATGGATCACCACTTATACACCGAACCTGGGCTGGTTATCAGGTAATATTTCATCTAATAGTGGTACGGCAAGAAACAGTAGTGGTATCTATAGCAACCCGTATGCTGGCAATCAAGATCCGAACTATCCAAAAGGTACTCCTTATGCTTGGGACGATCCAAACTCTTCTTCAGGTGAAGATCCTGAAAGTCATGAAGAAAACAACCCTACAGAATCAAAAATCAAGGCAGGTGTAGTGGCTGGTATTATCAGTGGAGCTGTCGTTGTGGTAAGGAAAAAAAAATAAATAAAAACGATAATGATGATATATATTAAATGTTATTAATATATATTTAGCTTGGTGGTGGTATCTTTTTTATTGTAAGCAAGGCTCTTGGACGACAACGACATTACCTGCAACGGCAACAACGACTACAAAAACAACAGCAAGATCAAAAACAGGATATACTTCATAAATTGGATTATAAGCACAATAATATCATTACTTTGGCCGACTTGGGTGACATGTCTATGATCAAGCCAGATAATCGGTCCTCCTATGCCCATGCTTATGATGATGGTGAACAACACAAACCAAATGAACATGAATGTGGACAAGAACAAGATCATACCACTTTAAATGATGATTCTCCCCGTTAGCTTTTAGTCCTGATATTATTGTTATTATTGTTATTATTATTACTATTATTACTATTATTACTATTATTATCCTTCCTATTATTATTATTGTTAGTGTTTAATCTTAGTATTTTTATTAGTACCATTATTATCTTTTCTCTCTCTCACACTCCACCTTCCTTCCATTTCTTGCCCTTCATTATTGTCACTTTGTATATGTCCATTTCTTTTTATCTTTATTATTTGTCATTATTACTACTGCTTCCTGTTTTTCTCATCATCTTTGTGTAAAATAATAAAACTGTCTTCGAATCAGCATTATTTTTTTTTATTGATATTACAAATATGATTATCACTACTATGACAAAGTGGATGAGGTTAGACTATCTAAATATGGGTATAAAGGATAAAGATGCAAATGAGATGGATTGTTTCTATTCTATAGCCAAACAGGTTGATGCAGAGGATCGTATGGTACACTTTCATGATCAAAGGTTTCAATGAACTACATTAATAACAAAAAAAAAAAAGATATATTACTAGACATATATATACATTCTTATTTTTTTTTTTTTACCTCTTGATCAGCAAGAACTTTTGTACCGGCAAATTTTCTGTATTCATCGAAGATACATGTCATCGACCATCGTTGGATTTTTCGAAGACAACCCACAAGACAACCAATTCGATGTTTTCCTTTCAAACAATGTATCAACACTAAAGAAAAAAAGAAAAAAAAAGATGAACTTTGGAGATGATTATAATTTTTTTTTTTTTTTGCTACCTGGATGACTTCGTTCATCCAATAATTTGACTAAAGCAAGAGAGATATCATCCTTATTGACCTCCACAAAAGGTTCCTTATTCCCTTCCATACGAAAATGCATTACTTCAATGGCTTCATGTTCAACAAAATGTTTCATTTCAGGTGGATAGTCCTCCATGGCAAAATACCTAAACGAAAAATTAATCAGTAAAATATATATATATATTAAATAAAACAAAAAAAAAAAAAACTTACATGATCGTTTTCAGGCCCAATTTTCTTAAAAATGAAAAATTTTGTTTGTTGGGATGACCCGATCTATAGACACCTGTGGCAACCATGGCGAAATTGAGAGGTGGTACCAAAGGGAAATCGGGTCGGGCAAAACATATACCACACTCTTCCCCAGCAGAATGATGTGTCGTTTTCGTCATCAGTGTCTTATCCTCATCTAACCGATCTTCATCTATTGTCTGAATACCGACCGTAGGCATGATGTACAAAGAAGGAAAGAGAAATGCAAGAAGGGAAAGAAGAAGAAAAAAAAAGAAGGCGAGCAAACAAGTATTTTTTTTTTCTCTCTTCGTTATAACGAAAACTCCGCAGCGAACGATGAGATGTGGACCAATCAAGGCTATCAATGCAGACTTTTTTTTTTCCATTTCAAAAATAATGAATCTGATGTCGTCGTCACTGATGTGAGTTGGTAAAATATATTTTATGACTCATTTCATGATGAGTTTTCTCCTTGATGTGATCCTATAAAGTCCAAATAAATCTCGCTTTTCTTCATATGGACAGATCGCTTTAAAGGGATGGACTTTACTAAAAAAAAAAAATGTAATTACATAAAAAAGATACGATTTGTTTTATTTGTACGTAATTATAAAAAAAAAAAATAATCAAATAAAAAACTAGATGAAAAATAAAGAGATGGGATGAATAGGGGAAAATAAACTAAAGGTGAATATATACTATAAAATGAAAAAAAGAAGAGAAAGAGAGATCTATCGTTTCCTTCTACCATCATCATCATCATCATCACTATGATCTCTAGTTCGCTTGCCCTTCTTTGCTTTGTTCAAAAAGGTATCCAATCCAAACACATCCTTGTCAGTTGTATCCTTGGATCGTTGTTGAGTTAGCATTTCCTTTTCGAATTCCACAGGTCCTGATGAGCCTTCGCCTGCGCTTGAGCCTTCCGCACCCTTGAATCCACGTTTCATACCGAATTTATCATGATGAATGGCTCGTTCTAATTCATCTGCATCCGTACTACCTAAAATATCAGATTCATTTTGGTTGCCTCGGAATTTGTAAATGGAAGATGATGTTTGATTGAATAATGGTTTGTCGTATAAACTGTATGAATCATCATTCTTGAAACCAGATGAGATGCCTTCAGATTGATTAAAGAGTCGAGCATCGTACATACTTTCTTTGTTGGCGGATGGTTTTGCTAATCCAAGTGCGATCTTTTCAGAAATATCTCGTCCATGTTCCCTATTTATGTATATTCACAAATCAGTATATGTAATATATATATATAATTATCGTCCCCTTTTACTTACCTAGCCAAGTGTTTTGCTTTTGCTTCAGTACCCATATGACTCATACGCATTTCACGTTCTCTTTGTTTCTGTCTTTCCCGTCGAATTTGATCACGTTCTCTTGCTTGCTTTTCATCTTCTTCCAAAAGTTCTTGACGGCTACGTCCACCGATATCACCACGGATAGATTTTCTATCATGTTCTTTTTCTTCTTCTACTTCACTTTCACTGCGATCAGAACCAGAGGATTCATCTGATGAGTCATAATCAGGCATAAGAGAAGCGGCTGTAGGTCGATTGGAAGGAACAGAAGATGCTGATGATGTTGAAGTAGAGGATGGTTTGAATCCAGATCTATTCAATAAAGAAAGAAAAAAAAAGAGTAAGAATATATATATCAGTTTTTTTTTTTTTTAATAAAACTTTTTACCGTTCTTCTCTTGCTTTTTGGGCCAATTCACGAAGTTTTTCTTCTTCAGCGTCCTTTTCCTTTTGAGCCAATTTTTGTTGCATAAGGTTACGTTGTCGAACTTCTTCACGAGCATGACGATCAGCAGCATATAAAGCTTCCGAGAATTTAGCAAAGTTGTCATTGATTGTCAATTCTTGTAAACCACGTCCATCAGCAGCTAATCGTTTATCCAGAGGAATGGTATAACCTTTGGTGTTTTTCCAATTAGAGATACACGGAGGAATGATCCATTCGGCTTGTTCTTTTGCTGAAAGTTTTCGAGGTGGAGAATGCATCACTGGAGCAGGAGGTGAAGGAGGACCACGAGGTACCTTTTTATGAAGAAAACTGGGAGGAGCCATTGGATCAACTGGAGCATCCACCATTCGAATGATACGTTGTTTAGCACCAGAATTCATAGAATCATTGCCTTGAGCTTGAGAAGGTGTATATCGAATATAAGTAGGATCCTTGTTGGTACCACCAGTAGTAGAGACAACATTCTTAGGTTGAGCTGCCTTGATCTTGCCTTGCACAATGCGTTCTAAAGCTGCCTTTGTTTTTTCTGCTACAGACATGACTTCTTCTTCACCAGGACGATCCATCACCAACTTTTCAACATCCATATCTTTGCGTTCCTTGATGGGGACAAGATCTTTCAATGATGTATGTACAATGCGATCTTTTGCATGACCTTGGCGAGCTATATTATCATATGCAACATTGCCATCAGCATCCACTTGTAACGTTAAAGTACCACCACTAGTTTCTGTTTTGGTACTCTTCTTGCGACCCATATCTAATGGATATTGTACCATGCTGATTTCAGGAAAAGCACCTCCATTACCAAAGTCTTCGGGGAATCGAGGTCGAAATGAACTTCGTTGTCCATAAGGAGGAATCACTTGTGCTGATCCTTTGCTGATGAGTTGATTAAATGTTTGTTGTTTATTGATTTTTTCATTGGGTGTTGATGTCTTGACCGTTTGTCGAGGTTTAGGCAGTAAACTAAAAAAAATAATTAAAACAAAGATATTTGACATGAGTCAATTCGTTTTTTTTTTTTTCTTTTCATCAATATATAAATACAAGAAAATCATCTCTCATAAAGAATCTTTTAGTATAATTTAATTATTGATGTTAATTCATTACCTAGATAATGTTGCCATGATATAATATATGTATGATCAAGTTTGTTAAGATTGAATATAAATAAAAAAAAAAATATGAAAGAAAAGGAAACAAAGACTAAAAAAAAAAATGGAAAGCCAAATAAAACGAATGAGAATTGGGCAAGAGAAAAAAAAAACAACGTCCATTTTTAAAACACAGCTTGGAATAAAAAATGCGAGGTTTCTCCCTTTACTTTTCTTTGCTTCCTTCCCTTTTTTTTTTTCTTGAATGAATAAGGTTGATGAAATTAACAAGACAAAGAATAAATGACTTGAAAAAAGGTAATCATTTATAAATAATATCGCAAATAAACTAACACATATATAAAGTATTCAATCAAATAGATAAAGATGATACGGAATTATTAGACAAAACTGGACTTGAGGAAGCTTTGAATTCACTGGGCTATGAACACGTAGATGTAGATCATCTTTTAAAACAAGTAGACCGTGAAGACTTTGTTATATTTGAAGATTTTAAAGATATTATATTGTATTTGGAGGTATGTATTTATGCATAATTAAGAACAAAGGTTGATCATTCCTTTTCTTTTTTTTTTTTTTGTTCTGTAGCAAAAAAATCAAGTCGATCAAAATGAACAAGATATAGGTCGTGCATTCCAGTTATTAGCAGATCCTCAGTTAGGAGGTATTACCCTGAACCGATTACAAGAACTGGCCAAAGCTCAAGGACAAGAATGGACAAGAAAAGAAATGGAAGAAATGATCACCATTGGGGATTGGGATCATGATGGATTGGTGACACAAGATGATTTTATACGGATTTGGCACCATGCTGGACTTTAGTAATAGATAGATTTATAATTAATAAAAATAAATTCGTTAGAGTTTATAGAATTTTAGATTAAAGAAATTGAATAAAACTCTGTAAGGTTGAGCTTAGATCACTTTTTGGTGAGATCAACTGCGTTCATTTATTCTTTTTCGTGAATTATCTGTTTCTCTTTATCATTCATATCATCATCACACTCTTATCTATATTATGATAATAGAATTCTTTATTACGTTGACGTTGAAACAAAATAAAAAAAAATAACGATAATAAATAATAAATGGTTCCTTTCTAGATAAGCACTATTGTTCAATGTTTTTCTTATTGTTTTGGGAAAGGAATACCTAAGGCAAAGTTCCTGCAGCTGGACCTGGAGGAGTTCCTGCAGTTTGACCTGAAGCACCTTCCGCAGCTGCTATACCGTTGTTCACAAACTCGCCCGGTAAAAGACCCCCCCCTGCTGCTCCTGTAAGTGTTCCCGCAGCAGCTACAAGACCGTCCAGTGCAGTTTCTCTCTTTGTATTTTGTCGAGGCTCATAGGCAAGCAGGTCCGATTTACCTTGTGTAATTTGATCATCCACTCCAAGCGATTGTTTCTTGTCAATAGGAACACCCAGGACGCAGAGACACAAAGAAAGGAATAATACAGTGCGGTACATAGTGGAAAAAATAATAGATTGACTGATACAAAAAAAACAAATATATCGTTGCTCTTCGCTCTTTTTTTTTATAATCTATCTCTCTTTTATATATCTTTTTCTTTCTGTGGTGACACTTATTTCGATAAACAGGTTTTTTTTTTTTTTTTTGTTCTAAATCATCATCCTTTTTTTTTTCTTATCCATCTTGAATGAGGAAGTTGCACAAATCTGACATGTTAGTGATCGATGATCATGAATAGAGTACGGTATTCCAAGGGATCATCGTTGTACATGATCAAGATGGCTAAAAAAGCATAGTGAAATACTCAAGTACCGCAATGCATCCATCTTTAGTTTGCAGAAAACAAAGGATTCTTTGTATCATCCTTTTTTTTAAAAAAAAAAAAAATGGACATGATCATCGTATTACGCACTATCTCCCATTCATCTGTTGTCGCAAACGCAATCATTAAGTCTAGTTTTATAAATCTTCAGTGACAGGTCATAATGAAACATGAAGTCAGATAGTAGCTAGCGTCGAGCGGGGATATTCTACACAAGCTAAATATCAGATGGCAGCCAACTCAAGATATTTAAAACATCAGACATCATCGATCATCATCATGCAACATCATGCATCAGATAACAGACATCAGACATCAAATCTAGGGATAAAGGATAAAACGCCATTAGACGAAACTACTTTTCAAATATTTGGTCCGATGATGGTCACTTTTGGATAAGGGATAAGACAAAGTTTATTCCTGCGCTTGAATGCAAGGGGGGAAGGATGGGATCGATTTCTGAATTCTGCAGTGAAAATTTGGGTACAAAGGTCAATCATCAGGGGTCATCAGGCGATTTTTGGAAAAAATCAAAGAAATATTTTGATGATCATTGTACATTAGGTGGCAAAAAAAAAAAAAAAAAAAAAAAGATGAGGTGATCTTAGACTACTTCTTGAGAAGGAATCCAATGCAGTATTTTTATTAGATGATGATGAGAATTGGATGAGGGATGACTGAATTGACTTTTATTTTTTAAATTACTTTATAAATTGTGAGATAAGACATAAATTGTTTTCAAGACAAGTGAAAGATTATGTTTTTCGTCTATGTTCAGTTCAAATTTGAACGTGATGATGAACATTTTTGAGCGAGATACAAAAGAATAAACACGGACATGTCCATGTGAATGTTACAGCATAATGTTTATCTCGTGTCGAATTTCTAGTTACGAGGCAAGCTAACCAATGAAAAGACATTATATATGCTTGCATTAGTTTTTAGCAATGCAATGCACTCAATGGCCAAGAAAGTTTGAGATTTTGGTTGATAAGGTAATGCGGGCGGTCCATCATCACCCATGCTATCAATATTATTATTATCGTTTCTTCAGATGTTTACAGGTCACTAAGCATGGGCTGTATGATGTCAGATGATTCGTATCTCCTTTCATCATCATCATCATTATTGTTATTATTTCGTCGATATACTAGAAAGAATTGATCCGTACATGCAACTTCAGATGTTTCGTTACCCACTCATGACATTATCACTGTATCTTAGAAACGAAATCAAAAAGAAAGGAAAAAGAAATAAAAAGTTATTATAATAATTTTTTCAGTTTTTATTATATTAGATATAAAATATACAAATTTAATTTGAAAACACAAAAGAAAATATACAAGAAGTGAAAGGATAGGATGGATAAAAATAAACTAACTACAATATAAACGCTAAAAGATGTATCTATTCAAATGGGTAAAAAAAAAAAAAAAAAAAAAGTATATAACCGAAATTTGATCGTATTATTTCCAAATCAAGAAACACGTTGTTGATATTCCATTGCAATTTCTTTCAGATCTCGCCAATTTTCCTCCAGATCCTTGAATTCATCATCTTCATGTTCATGATCGCTAGTCTTGGTTGTCATGGTTGCCACATCCAAAGATTCAGGCATATCATCCCAAGCATCCATATTAAAGGAGTCTTCAAGTATACGATCACGGTTTTCATCCATATATACTGTCACATATTCGATATATTCCAACATATGTTTTGTGTGTACTGTCTTGGATTGTTGTTGTTTTTTCTTTGTTGTTGTCATTGTTGTGTTGATGATGGTAGAATTCCGTGGAAATGGACAAAGAAGATCTTGAGGATCAAACCGATCTTGAGAAGGTCGTCGAATACATGCAGATACATGCTGATGCCATTCAGCAGCAATAGCGTCCATTTGTTGGTGAGTCATCAATTGGCCCCATAAATCCATCAGAGGTAACTTGTCAATGCTTGGTAAACGTTGATTGGGTAATTGACTGAGTAAAGTATCACGTTGCATCAAAGGCACAACAAAAGAGTCAATAGCCCCCTGTGCTCTTTCATGTTTGATATGAGTTCCAAATTCCAAATGGTTGGTTGAAAAAGATTCAAAGTCTTGAAAGTTGGGATACACCATCACATAGGCACGTAGATATACCATTTCAATAAAATATTTCTTCCATGATTTCTTCCATCTTTCTGATCGACTATTGGGGACATGGATATGAAGACGAGGATGATCTGTTTTCAAATCCAACAATCGACTAGTCAGGTACTGATGAAATTCACGCCAATGTTCAGGGAAATAAACAGCACCCCAGCTACACGGTACTTGACTTGCATAAGGTGTTCTTGGTGGATAATGTTCAGGAAGTAAAACATCATTGGGATCGAATTTGATACGACCTTCAGGCATGAGTTCCAAATTGCGTGGTGAATAAAGACTGATTCCGTATACCCAGTTGTATGCCTCCGAGTTGTCAGTGTTGTATCGATAGTGAAGGATGTTATATTTGATCCAAGCATAAAAGAGTGGTGATACTTCAATATCATCTTCCAAGAGCACACCATAATCGTCATTATCGGCAGGATACCAAGATTCGATAATGGCCGGCATCAATCCTCCTTTTTGAATACGATGTCGAATCCTTTTGTCACCATATTCCCAACGAAAACTGTTCACAAACATTCGTGTCACTCGATCGGCTGATTGTTCCATATGAATTGATACATCTACTTTGTCGCCCAAGTATTTTGCATGATGAATGGAGTTCAATAGTCGAGATAAAGAATGAGGCCGCCGATCCGTAATTACTACCAAGGTAACTTTGATTTGATTCCAATCTAGATAGTAAACAAATCAAGAAAATGATATCAATAACGTATCCTTTTTTTTTTCTTTCTCTTCCTCTTTTTTTTTTTTTATATATCTATATTTACTTACATTGTAAGGTTTCCAATGGTAATTTTGAGATCCAAAGAGCATGTTGTACTTCGCTCAAAGGTAATTGAATGAAAGAAAGTCGAAGAGATTGAACCAAAGTGTTGATGGAATGGAACATAGGAGTGTCATGTTGAGCATGGAATAAGATACGAGGCTGTAATGTTTGTACTAATCGGGCCAAAATAAGTGATGCTTGAGTGGCGGCATCCATTGGATTCATCACAGTGTATAGATCAAGATCATGAATGACGATATTGTCTTGACAACCAGATGTTTCCTTAAGTAGAGTTGATAATAGTGATCCAGAGACTCCTCGTTGCTTACCAGTGACTGCCACATGAATTGCACTTTGTTGAGTAAAATCTCCACCAGAGGATGTAGACATGGGTGAGAAGCGACAGATCAGAGGAAGGAAGGCTTTTGCTTCTTTTGGACCATCTATAAAAAACAAAGCTTTTGACGATTCATACCATGTCATTAGCGAACGCTGACGTTGATCTAAAGCTGTTGGATTAGATTGTAAGGACAAGATACGTTGCCAAGAATCAGAATGTTGAAAAGTGGAAGGAATGACGTTGGTGCATGAGACGGATGATCGAAGATTTTGAATGACTAAAAGAGGTTTGGTGTCATTTACGGATGTTGAAGAAGATATGTTGGCAGGAGGAATCACAATAGATGGTATAGCGCCATAGGATAATAAAGATTGACTAATATGATATGATAATGGAGAAGCCAAGGCATCCGGTCGTCTGTCCATCCAAAGATAAGGAATCCAGGAAGTACGTAAAAACCAAACATGATGTAACATATCTACAGGTTGAGTCAATTTGGGTAAAAAATGAAAAGCTGCAGGTAAACAATGGATTTGAGATTGAGCTAACTTGATGTCGATATCATTCCTATTACTACTGTTGATGTTGGATGGTAAAAGTGTTGCGTGTGTTCCAAGTAAAGCGTCCTTATATTGATCCGTTTGTAAAAGGCCATGAATAGTTTTGAGGTAATCGGAGTTTGGTTTTGCACCATCTTCCAATATCCATACATAATCAGTTTGTACTTGAGATAACAAAGGAAGCCAAGGAGTAGCACCAGCACTTTTCTTGGGATAAGTAGCCATTGTTGATTTCATATAATCCGTATTCATGACATGAATTAAAAGTTGAGGAGACCTATGCTTTGCTGCCAATGATTCCGCTGTTGTTTCCAAAGTTGATGAACAGATAATCCAAATTTGTTGAATATCCATTGTTTGACTGATTAATGCGTCCAATTGAATGCGTAATGATTGTTTATCTATAGTATTGATGATGGCAGTAATTGTATCGTTTGATACCGATGATGATGAAGAAGAAGAAGAAAGCTCTAATAAAGCAGTTGTATTATGACCTTGTGTTTCATATATTTGTAATCGCTGTAAGAAGGATAATTCAGGTACAGTATGTCGAGAATTGAGACCATATTGTCGTTGTTGTGTCCAGGTATCTAATTGACAACAATTTAGTTTCAAGTTTAATTTATTTATAATAAAAATTCACCTTTTGACCAAGTAGCATTCAGGGATAAATCAAGAGTATTGGATAGTTCAAATGATGCTGGTGATTGTACTTCTTTTGTTAGTAATATTGATGGTGAAGGAATAGTAAAATATAAAGAAGACCAAGAAAGAATACCAAAACAAAAAATGAGTAGTAAAAGAAAACGAATGACCCGTTTTGGTGATCGAGAAGTGGACATTCGATAATAAAAAGGAAGGGAAGGAGTAGAAAAAAAAAAAAAAAAAAAGGAGGATGAAACTTTCAAAGTGTAGAAAGTAGAAAGGGTAACGTCAAAGAAAAAAAAAAAAAGGAAGGAAAGGAAAGGGGGCGAAGCAAACTAACAAACTAAAGAAACTAAAAAAAAAAAAAAAAAAAAAAAAAAAAAAAAAAAAAGAAAAGAAAAAGAAAAAAAAAAAGAAAAAAAAAGAAATTAGTTACACAACCATATTAAAGTTTTATTATACGAATAGAGATACAAAATGAGCTTAATTTTCGATACCGGGGAATGAGCAAACTAAAATTTAAGTGCGCTATCCCTTATTTCTCTTCTATTTTCCAGATTTGTGTATTGCGTTAAAAAAGAAATCATCATCTAATTATTATAATATACAAGTTTAGGAGATTGACATCATTAACAAAAAAACGCGTCATTTGTTTATATAAACTATCAGTTTTTTTTTTTTACTAATTTATATAATAATAACAATAAATCATATTTTGGATAGTACATTCCATGGTATTACCTTCTTCTATGATGAACCAAAAGTAGTATTCATATTCAGTTACCGATCTTTTGTTCTTCTGAAATTTTTTAGATAAAACAAGAATCCCAGTAAATCTTTCCACGTTTTCTCTTTTATATCAATTTTTGTTGTACATTTTTGAATAAAGTGTATCTATCCAATCAAGAGAAAATATTTATTTTTTATTTCTTTTATTTCAAAAAAAAAATACAAGTTCATTAAAGATCGACAACAAAAAAAAAAACACTGCCAAATTAATTATTCTACAAATTATCTAAGCTTTAGATAACATATATTCTAAGCATTCAATGATAACACCATGATCCTCCTATTTCATAAATATTAGAAACTATTAATCATTGATGATCTTTTTTTTTTGGGAAGATTATTTTTCTTCTTACGTGTTGTTTCAATCCAGTGACTGTAATAGTACCAATCATACCAACATTTTTAATGATCAATGGTACACTTCCACCATGAGTCGCATAATCCACTTCAGAAATCTATAATGAAAAAAAAAAGAAAAAACTAATGAGTTCACTAAATTATTTATTTATCATTTTCTCAAGTCTTACAAAATAAGCTTTTTCTAATGATTTGTTCTTGATAATCAGAGCATTTCCTAACCAATAGCTGGAGTGTCGGAACCGATTCACCGCATTACTATATTTGTCATTCACACAAGTAACGTGATGATGAGATTTTTTATCATTTCTGATTTTGTTTTGTCTTTACCTTTTGCGTTTGATCCACATTTCATTATCTGGACTAGTACCATCCATAGCATGACGGAATAAAATCAATCCATTGACAGTGATATCAATTGCCACAGGTCGATTATCATACTTTGTTTTGACAGTCTCCAAAATCTTGAGTCCCAAGTCAAGTGCATCTTGAGATGTGAATTTTGTAAATTGAAGTCGCTTTTCTTGTTCCAATAATGTAGCTACAAGTGCTTGAGCTTCCTCAATATTGGCCATGATAGTGATGAATCGTGATGAAGAAGAAAAAGAAAAAGAAAAGGAAGTTTTAAAAAAAAAAAAAAGGAAAATTTTTAGTCTTATTAAGCAATCAATTCAAACACAGAACATCCCACGTTTTCCCAACTTTTGGAAATTACCCTTGACCTATCGGCAGATTTCTTTCATATCATCATCATCATCAAACGAATCAGCGTGGAATAAGATAGATTTGACAGATTGTGCCTTGCCAATCTGCATGAGGATCGTTATTAAAAAATACATGATGATTTAAGTTCCAATATTTTTACTTTATTTTCTCCCCAGTTATCTTTAACAAATAAATAAAAATTATATTATCAAAGTGCAATCAGTAGCCTTTCAATTGATGTATTAGACAGGCTGATCAGCTTATACTATTTTTCAAAGTCGATTCAATGCCAGCCATCAAGATAAAAAGAAAATTATCTGTTTTCCCTTCCTTCGCTTTTCTTTCTGGTTTAATTCACTTTTTTTTTTGACATGGATACCATCACGAAGCAACTAAAAGGACTAATGCGATCCCTGACTGAAAAAATGGAAGTAATCAAGAATACCTTCAAACACAATAAGGACAACGGACAGCTCAACTAATTTTTTTTTCTGCTTGTTTGGCCCCACGCTTTTTCCTTTTCTCGCAACTGTCTCTCATTGTGGTGGTGTTTTCATCAAGTCTGTTTCCTACATTGTTGGTCTTTCGCCCTATCCCATCTGTCCTTTCCCAATTGGTATGATGTTTCCCTATTATCATTCTCTCCTGTGATCTCAGCCTGTTACTCCAGTTCTTGTTGTTCTCTCCATTCTCTTTAACAAAAAGTCAACAAGTTCAATTCAGGTTAGCCTACACTATACGTAACGTACTTTTGGTTGTCCCTTCGGTGTTGGTTCTTATGATTTATACATCAACGCTGGTGAATGATGCTACGAAGGTAATATGTACATATAAAAAAAAAGAGAAGAGCATCCGATGAATTATTACTCATTTTGTCGATTTTCTGATATTATCTGTAGGTATCAAGATAGTCCTCTACGCAATAGCGGTGATACAAACGTTCAGTAGCATGGTCTGGGTAACATGTATAAAAAAAAAGGATAACGTCGATGGATCACCACTTAGTTGAGTTCATCTGTAGATTACAAATCATGCAACCAAACCAAGATTCATTGCCTTCTTCACTGAAGTACTCTGTTAGGCTGCCAATTTGACCTGTATCAAATAAAATAGCTCTACCCAAAGTGGAAGTTGTGGTTTTGGTATCAGTACTGGTAGTAGTCATGCTCATGGACTTTATCGTTTGTAGTGTATAGTTATTTATTATTATTGTTAGTAGTATAGCGTATTTGTGATGATGAAATAAAATTAAAATTCTTCTTTTTTTTTTTTTTTTTTTTTTTTTTTACGTGTATGACAGATATCCGAAAAAATTTTTTTATCGTGATTATCATCTATCATCCCATCACAGGAATCATCAACAGACTAAGAGTTTGCGCTCGCAGTGAAATCAGTTGTCTTCATTCATTCCTTTTGACATTTATCTTTTTCCTCTACCATTTATATCATCAACCCAACTGCACCTTGATTTGGATAATAGAATTTGATTTATTATATTGATAATGAAATTGAAATAAAACAAAAAAAAATAATAATAAATAATAATAATTTCTCTTTAGGATAATATAACTGGGGGTCAGCGCCACTATCAATGCTTCCATCACCTTTTTTTGGATAGTAAAGGATCTTGATTTTTTTCTTCATGTTATAGTCCACCTAAACCACCCAAAACACCTCCGAGATCTCCTATTGGAATAAGATTTGAGGTATCTCCTAGTGGAAGACCTCCTCCTAAACTTCCTCCTAAACCTCCTTCCAGAACACTCTCTAGAACTCCTAGATCGTCAATGGATGGCAGACCCATAGACGTTGGAAGTGAAACTGGAAGTGGGAGATTTTGTCCTTGTCGACGCTCAAGGGTTAGTAGATCCGATTCACTTTGTACAGTTTGATCAGTAAGTGATTGCTTTTCAATAGGAGCGCTCAGAACGCAGAGACCCAAAGAAAGGAATAATAAGGTGTGATACATCATTGTGTTGAGAAAATAATAAAAAGAATAGAAATAAAATAGATCGTTTTTGTTTTATGATTTGCCTCTATATATACTTTTACTTTCGGTCATGACTCCTTTTTCGAGGAGTAATCTTTCAATCCGAATCATCCATCTTTTTTTTTTGAATAGGAACATAAATTGCATATTTTCAATATAGAGATAATTCATGATTACGAGCAACTTAAGCGGTTTTACCTTCTAAAATCGTTGTCGTACATGAACAAAAGAGGATGAAAAGGAACAGAAAAGTATTCTCTTACGGCTATACAGAAAACAGAAGCTTTTTTTAAGTGCCTCCTTGAAAAAAAAAAAAAAAAAAAAAAAAAAAAAAAAAAAAAAACACATCCGTACTCAATGGTAAAATATGTATGGTCATCTAGATGATAGATGATACGATCAAGGCATGCGATAATGTTTACTCTAAGCAAGTTAGACACCAGATCATAATCAATTTAAAATATTCGTAGTAGAGGACTAACATCATCCATCATCACACATTATCCATCTATCAATATCATCATGATTGTTCAGAGGAGCGCAAAAAAAAAAAAAAAAAAAAAAAAAAAAAAAGATGATATTCATCGTACAGGAAAAAAAAAAAGGAATGAATTAGAGCAACGGAAAAGAGAGGATGATATGACAAAAAAAAAAAAAAAGAGTATACATGCACTTGTTCTCCTTTTTACTAGAGTTTTCAAGGAGCTAAAAGATAGATCAAGGGGTATACCTTTAGATACCAAAACAAGAAGCCTTATGCATATTCGCCTCATGATATTATTTTATAAGTCTTTAGGATAAAATGTTGATTCTTTTTTCTTTTTCCTTTTTTTTTTTTTTTTTTTTTTTTTTGCGGATCAAAAAAAAAAAAAAAGTGGCGATTGTTATTTGATTCTAGGTGCGAAAAAAAAGGAACCCTTCTAAAATAAAATTGAAAAATTCTTATTTAGATGTGCTGGATAATCATAGGTCTGTTGTTTGGTTTAATACAGCTAAATATTGCAGCTGACACCTGTAACCAAGGTGAATTCTGTCTTTTCAGTGGTTCACAAAAAACTGGGAATGTCTTGTATCACGTCGATGTTAAGGTCACACGGACAGGATTTACTTTCCCTAAAGTCGATGCATTGAATCCTGTAATAAACCCACGATCCGTCTATAATCCCATACCTAATACCTTCGGATGTATCATTCGTCTCAACGATGAACAGCATTTCGCAGGCGCGGAACAGGAAGTCAATGGCTTTGGTGTGCACGAACTCACTGGTGCACCTGTGGGCTCAATGGTTAGTGATTGCGGCTAATTTATAGAGTACACATGGACGATTCGCGATGTCGAATATAATCATGCTTAACCGTCCATCATCCACAACAAAACACGTACAATAAAAAAAAATATATCATCTTTTTTATTTCATAAAAATAAAACTCTAATTTTCTATATAAAGTCTAACTAATGATGTCTATGAGCTTCAATTAACGATATGCTTCCATCTGTCCCTTTGAGTAAACCTTGTTGTATTTTTTCCTTGTACATCCGCAGATCTTGACCCATCACCGTAATTTTGATTTCAATATCCTTGCTTTGATGTAATGTTTCAGTATGATCCACTGGTGTCAAAGTAAATCGTCCAAAGGCATGGTTCAATATATACAATGTGCCTTGATCCAACCGTACAAAACCCTTCACCCGATAAATATCGTCTTTTGGAAGCGTTGTTAACCATGTTTCCAACTCATTGCGAGTATGTCTTTGTATTGTCGTTGATGATGATTGAATGACTTGAATAAGGTCGACTTCATTTTCTTGATGATGAGGATCAAATATCATTTCTTCCATGTTGCCTGATTTGTCGTAAGCTACCTTGAATAATTCTGTATCCAATCCAAACACAAGATCTGGTGATATTCCCTGCTTGCTATCGCATTTGACCTTGGGAGTATCTGTATTCAATTCATTGACATGATCAAGTACTATATCCAATTCCCGTTCTGATACCTAATCATAAATAATATGTTAATCCTTTTTTTTTTTTTTTTGATCCATTTTTTGTATAAATTTACCAATTCATGTTTGTTGAGTAAAATAACATCACTGTATTGTGCTTGAAGCTTTGCTGTATAACTAGTATCTTCATATCCAGTGAAATTGACACAGTCCACTACAGTAATAATTGAATCTAATACAAAACCTTCAGGTTCCATTTCACGAATTTGCCAAGCAACAGGACCTGGAAATGCAGAACCACTATTAAAAAAGTATCATTGAATATATGATTCCTTCAACTGACGGAGTTCATTTTCTAAAACCACGTTACCTTGTTTCCACTATGATACGATCTGGGTTATATTTGTCTAAAAGAAAAAAAAAAAGAATAGAGTCAGACTCACTGAGCAGTAAAGAAAAAAAAAAAAAAAAGGAGTTCGACTAGATTACCTTTAAGTTCCTGTAAAGCCAGTTTCATTTGTCCAACAAGCACACAGCATAAACAACCATTCATCATTTCCTGTACACCAATATTCGTTTCCTTGGCCAATTGACTATCGACTTTAAGCATAAAACAAAGAAGAAAATATTTTGAGTGGATCTATTCATAACTTCATTGTTTATCTCACTTACCAGCAATATCACCAAATTCATTCTTCAATAAACAAGTTTTATAACCTTCAGGAAGACGTTTGAGTAAAGATAGAATGGTAGTTGTTTTCCCTATAGAGCGAAAAATAATATATTTTTAGATTCTGATCGTAACACATGATTATTGTTTTACCACTGCCAAGAAACCCTGTGAAGACAGTAATGGGAATAGTCTTGTCTTTGCCAACAGTCATATCAAATATAAATCTAGATAAAAAAAAAAAAAAAGGAAAAGGAAAAGGAAAAGAAAAGAGAGAAAGAAAAAAAAAGGAACTTTTTTTATTTTACAAAGATGTCGGGAGATGAAAGAATAGATCAAAAATAAAAAATATCAAACTAAACTAAGAGGAGAAGGCTATGATTTTTTTCCTTGTCCTCCGAGAAGAGCTAGTTCAAGTCTTGATATCATCTTCAAGTAGCCATTCATCCTTTTGAGTGATGGTTGGTTGTAGCATTTTGCTGATTGAGTAGGGAAAGCCTTTCCTGACTGTAAAAGTAGTCAATTGTTTAAAAGTATTTGCTTGTTTTGGAATTCATGACCTGATCGCATTCAATCCATTAGATAAAATGCCATCTATGATTAATAAAGTCATTAGTATCTTTTTTTTTTTTTGGCAGACTACATTCGTATCCATATTCATTTATTTATAAAATTTGATGGACTTTTTATTTGTAACATTGATATATAGTAAAAATAATAATAATAATAAAAAAAACAAGGAATCATCATATCATCAAAACTATACCAAAACTAATTGCGTAAGAATTTTCCAACAATATGTAAACCAAATACACTAGCAATGAAGGTAAGGGATAGTACTAAGACCACCACAGGATCACTATTAAAAAAAAAAAAAGATCAATCCATTGGATATTCCCCGTATTGTTTTATAAATAAACTTACACACGAAGACCAGGAGAATCATCAGAGTAAATACGCATCATACTAGACGTACTACCACCAGGCATAGGACCACGAGCAGCATTTTGATTTGATCGAGAGGTCACTCGCTTTCTATTATACAATAAATACAATAAATATTGGATTCATATCATTCTTTGACATGTACACCAATTCATTATGTATCACATCTATCCCTTCTCTGACCTCATCCTCTTTTGTATTTGTTTTTATTATTTACCTGAAAGTACCTTTGGGAGTAGAGGATGATGAATCGGCCTATATGATGAATACATATATATATAAGAAGTGTTATGAGTATTCAAAAAGATGATCAAAAAAATAAAAAAAAAAAATAAATAAAAAGAAGTTGATCCTTCCATTTCCCAATAAACACACTGTGAAAGAACAGTAATCCCATCAACTTATCCTTTTAAATATATATATCTTGATATTGAATTACCATAATGTGATTATATATTAAGAAAGAAAGTAAAAAGATAGAGAAGAAAAGAAAGAGTTGTATAAATTTTTTTTTTTTTTTTCAGAGAACGCGGCGAGCAATTTGATCGTTAAAACCTCTGAGTGTGGGTCCATTTGATTGGACGAAATCTTATCCAATGTATTTCACGTTCCGCTGTCTCCCTCATTTTCTTTTTTCGCTTGAACACAGCTTACTGGAATAAAGATTCCATTATGTAGTAGGAGACCTCTAGCAACCGGACGTATATTCCGTTTCACAGCAACATACGGCAATACTTCAGCCAATCACACAATATCGGCTACTTTTGTCCAATGAAATTGCGCAAAAATTTTTTTGAGATTGATATAGATGTGATCGATTTTTTCAATAGCTATCCCTTTATAGCTCAGTTGGTAGAGCGGAGGACTGTAATGAAACTGACATCCTTAGGTCACTTGTTCGAATCAGGTTGAAGGGATTTCTTTTATCAATTTTTGCATGCGGAGTTTATATTGATGCTATAAAAGGAAATGGTTATGTCTTTTATGGGCAAAAGTCAAAAAAAAAAAAAAAAGATAACAGTATTATTATTTATTTTAATACCTCCGTATAATAAAGTGAAACAAGTGTTAAAGATTTTTTTATTATTGGGTAGATGATTGATTAATTGAAGGATGATATTATTAAAATAATAATATCGATGATATATGATGAGTAGTGAGCACCAGTTTTATATAAATGATGATTTGATCACAGATGATGATGATTAACCAAATAACTTGAATAAAATGCTTGATGATTGCTTGATGATAAAAAAATAAAGATAAAACTTTGGATGATTTGTTCCTTAAGAGTGGCCGATATGATTTCGGTTAAAAAAACCTTTTTATTGAATAAAAAAAATATAAAATTTGACAATGTAAAAAAAAAAAAAAAAAAAAAAAAAACTAAGAAAAGATGGATATTTATGCTAAAAAAAAAATAAAAAGAAAAGTAAATAAAAAAAGGAATTGTGTTTGACAAATGTCAAACACAAGAAAAAAGTCAAGTGTTTGGTAAATGTAAAAAAAAAAAAAAAAAAAAAAAAAAAAAAAAAAAAAAAAAAAAAAAAAAAAAAAAAAAAAAAAAAAAAAAAAAAAAAAAAAACTGAATAAAGAAAAAAATAACAAAATAAAAGGAATTTGTTAACTGAATGTGCTTTCGCATGATTGTAATGTGTCGAAGATGGATGGATAAATACAAGAGATAAAGCTTTCTTTTTTTATTCATCTACAATATTATTATATTTTACTTTATGCATAACCCCTCAAAAAAAAAAAAGATAAAGAAAAGATTTATTTCATTTAAAATCATAAAAAGAAAAAGACTATACTAGTGTCCATAATAATTAGGATTGGATCCATCATAACTTTGGTATTGTTGTGTTTGCGAATAGCCAGGACCACCCTGTGAGATCTGTTGTTGTTGTTGTTGTTGTTGGTATTGTTGTGAAGCGCCAATTCGATGGTCACTATTTGCATAATCTAGAGTATTTTCACGTTCTACACCATTGATTACAACACGTCTTCGCCCATTCCCATAATCTTCAGTGATGCGTGTTCCCTAGATTTATTAATATAAAAAAAAAAAAAAGATCGTATCATTATGAGTTATTCATTCCAACATTTTTTTTTTTTATCAAATGATCTTTTTCTCAATAAACTTACATTTTGATCTTGTACTTTTGTCACTGTTACCCTTTCTTGTCTTCCATTGACATTGCGAATAGTTGTTGATGTGCTTTGTGATACGCCTCCGCCACCAAAGGAGGAAGAGGATGAAGAAGAAGAGAATGAAGACATTCCACCAAGACCACCACCACCAAAATGATGAAACATATGAGAACCCATTCCACCAAAAGGATCACCACCCATTGTCATGGATGAACCAAACATACTTTGAGATTGTCCAGTCATGAAAGGATCATCAAACATACTTTGGAATAAATCACGTTGTCTTCCTGAACGCGATCCACCTACCAAAAAAAAAGGATATAAGGTTTGAGTCATCATTTTTTTTTAATTATATCTTTACCAAATCCACCAAAAGGATGAGCTGTTCCAAAGAACTGGGCAAATATGTCTTCAGGAGAATGGAACTAAGTAACAAAAACAGTAGATAGTAATAATAATAAAAAAAAAGTGAGCGATAACGATAAAAGAAAAAAAAAAAAAAAAAGAGAGTAACTTACATGGAAATGGGCAAATGGATCACCTCCAAAGCGATCATAGGCTGAGGATGAGTAAGCTTGTTCACCTCCAGCAGTATCACCACCCATATCGTATATGTGTCGTTTTTGAGCTATGAATAAGGAGAAAAAAAAATAAGTTAGCTTACTCGATTGATCTGTGTAATCAAAAACAACAATACATACGGTCAGATAGAATTTCGTAGGCATGACTAAATAAATAAATCAAAAAAAAAAAGATGTATAAGCAAAAGTGAATGTTGTCAAATATATCGTTTTATAAGAGCATTACCTTATTTCCTTGAACTAAAAAGTAGAGATTAAACATGTATAAAGAAAGGAAATAGTTAGTATTGGGAAGATGGGACCACTTTTTCTATATACTTTTTTTTTTTTTTTTTTCTTACTTACTTTTTCAGCTGCATCGGGTGAAGGATTCTTATCAGGATGATATTTTAGAGCAAGCTTTCTGTAAGCCTTTTTGATATCATTATCAGTTGCTTCTTGTGTAATTTCAAGTATTTCATAATAATTGACTGTCATTTTGTTAATGAGAATTAACTCTCTTTTGTGGCCAAATAAAATAAAGTAAAAGCGAAAAAAAAAGAAATGTATGGAAATGGAAAGAAAACCATGAAAAAAAAAAAATAATGCTTCAGTGTTTTCAAACAGCGCTCATGCTACGTCTAGCCAAAAGAATCAAACCTTTTTTTAATTTCTTCTGTATTTCTGCTTTCTTGATGATGCTGTCTACACCAATTTTGACTCTTTTGTCCTGAAGTTTGGCGTTAATCCTGGATTGCTTGACAATAAGTCTAGAAGCTATTTTATTAATATATATCGTCACCGATTTTTCTTTCTCAAAAACCGAAACAACTGAAATCACAAGCTTTTTTTTTTTTTTTTTTTTTTTTTGGACATAACTAAGAATAAATAAAAAAAAAAGTTGATTTTTCTTTATTATATTAAAAATAATGATAGTATACAACAAAATTAAAACAATACATTAATATTAATAATAATCATAAATAATAATAATAGTAATAATAATAATAGCAATAATAATACAAAGGAGGAAAATGAAACTAAAAGACTAAGGGAGGAGATTGATCGTCATAAGAAGGTAATAATGGATCTGCATCATGATGTATTGTATCCAAGTAAGATGGTAGACCTGTATTCGGATGATGATGATGATGATGATAATGATGAGCTAGTGATGAACGGTTTGATGGATCATAGATAACGTCCTGTGAAGAAGATTCATAAGCAGGTAATTGGTGTGTATTGAGAGACAAGGCGCAGATGTTGATAGGCACGGCTGTTCGCATTTGCATAGAATGACCAGTCCGAGCGTCATGAAAGTCCAATATAAACTTAAATTTATGTCGTACGCGTACCATATCGTTGTCCATATCACAATGCATTTCATTCTTAGCGGTTGGCAATCCTACTTCCAATTGTTTAGTCCATGTTTGATGATTAGTGGTAGTAAAATGCTTGATCCTTGTTGAAAAAAGGTGTCGCCCATGTGCTCTTGTACCATCGATGACCATACCAGGGTTGTTTCCAGATGAATTGCCAAAATTACCGAGGATAATGTATTCTTTCAAGTTGCAAGTGAGGGAATCCGGTTGAATATAGTCATGTAAAGCTGAAATGTTGATAGATAATGAGATGGTGTCACCATAAGCATAGATCTTGGTTGGCATGGACACAGTATATTCCAACATATTTTCGTGTCGTTTCACTACATAGACAGGTTCCATAAATTCAGGAGAGAATGGTGAAAATAATTGACGAGAAACATGAATAGCTTGTCTAGTTGTTTGGTTTGGTATAAACGCTGGACGTTCCACCATTGCCTTGAGTTTGTATTCGACTTGATAAAAGTTGATCACATGAGTTGTTTCAGGAAGATGACCAGGAAGTACAAATTCAAAGTTATATGTATGATCACCAATGGGAAGTGTATGAAGTTTTTGTTGACGTGAAAGACAATAAAATTGATTGTCTATCACCGTTTGTTCGTCTTCATGATATAATCGTTCTTGTCCGTTTCCCAAGGCTAATTTCCAAATGCATAATAATCAAAAAAAAAATAAAATAAAAAAAAAGGTAATGAGTAAAAGTTTGTTCCCAGTTAAGAATATATATATATATATATGAAAGACAAAGAGAGTATAAAGATTTACGTTCAGACCAAGTCAAGACTGTTTTCCCGGTAAAGCGTAAACTGATAGATTTGATCTTCATGGGTTGAGTCAATGTACAATGTAATACGCCTCGTAAAACGCAACCAGCAGATTCTTGCGCAGATCCAAACATGGTCAGACTATCGTTTTCTAGCTCTATTTTCAGTTTTGCTGTTGATCGAATACTATCCATATTGTTTTGACCGAACGTCGGGTATAAGAGGTGAGAGGAACAAAGAAAAGAAGGAAATAGAAAAAAAGGGAAAAAAAAATTTAAACCAACCAACCAACATAAGCTGAGTCTGAGATGTTACACATGGGGTGAGTGAAAAAAAGGTAATCTAAAAAAAAAAAAATTGAATTCTTTATTGTTCTATTTTGTTCGAATCCAAGGTCTAAATCAAATCTAAATAGTCTAATATTAGTTGTTGTAATGTTTCTTTGTTGATTTGTGTTTCTTGAATTTAGTAGTAACCACGTTAGACTGTGATAAAACTTCATCAATCATTCCTTCACATTTTCGTTTAAGTTCTATTGCTTCATCTTGATGTGTAATAAAAGTATCAGGGAATCGTAAACTATAACAATAAAATAAAATAAAATAAAAATCATATAATCAAATACTTTAGAAATCCTATTTTTTGTTACCTAAGCCACATATAAAGCATGATCTTCTTATGAGCTGTTTCTAAATAAGAGAGAGAACCAACATCGACCATTTGACTATTAGGTAATTGAACCAATTCAGGTAATTCAAGGACTTTGTTGTTGCTATGAATTTTGGCCATTTCTTGAACTGCATTCAATGTTTCTTCGTTTCTTGTGCTGACAGGTGCTGTGACAAATTGATATCGATCGCGGAGTGGTAACTTGATACTTTCAATCACTTCGGCAATTCTCTAACAAAAAAAAAAAAAAAAGAAAAAAAAGAAAAGGTTAACAATAGATACATCTAATTTCTTAATGAATATAACCTCTATTTTGGTATAATCCTTCTTACCTTTTGATCTTTAAAGTTACATAGGAAATAATTGCCATTCAAGGAAGCCAAATCTTCGAATTTTTGCTAAATAAAAATAAAAAACCACCGTTGAATTTTTTTTTTTTTTGACTCCTCCGATCTACAGTTCGTTTCTAACAGCATTATTATACTTACCAGGACTGAAGAATAAGTTTCATTTGGCATTTGAAGAGCAAACACTTCAACAATATCAACGGTTGGTTGTAATCCAGCAAGCTATTTTTTTAGTATAAGCATAAAAAACAGTCATCCAATCAGGTTCTTCCATTCCTATTCATTTTTTTTTTTTACCTCCAAAGGAATGATGGGTGATTCCAAGCATTTGTCAACATAAGCCAAATCTTTGTTGAAAAATCTATATACATATAAAGGAAAAGATGTTATCATTTCATAAATAAGATCTTATTTTAAAAATCATTTTTCTTTTCCTACTTACGTTGTCACTTCCCCAGAAGCATATGTAGTACCAAAACGACCAGCTCTTCCTGCGATTTGTTTCAATTGAGGTATATGCATATATCTGAATTCACGTCCATCGAACTTTTGCACAGTAGAGAAAACCACACGTTTGATATTTCTATAATCATTGATAAATATTGATATTCCTCTTTTTTTTTTTTGGTCACTTACAAGTTAAGTCCCATTCCTACAGCATCAGAAGCCACCAGTACCTTGACAGGAGAAGTAGGGTCATTGAATATCTTGGCTTGTTGTGATCGAGATTCTAAATCATTTGATAATGATGAATGATGATATATAAAGAAAATAATAATTCAGATAAAAAAAAATCAAGTACAATCATGACGAAAGAAAAGCGACTTACCTGGAGGAAGACCGCCGTAAGCAACAGCACATTGTAATCCAGTTTCCTTTTCAATCTTCTTCTTGATATCAAAAATTGAGTTGCGAGAAAAAGCTACAACACAATCACCTTTGCGCACATTTTTCCAATTACCATTCAAAGAGGAGGATGATAAAGCCACAGGAGTCAGTCGTTCGTATTCATTGACAATGACTTGTTCCCCAAGAGATTCACATAATTTTTTGATCAAAGGTACTGCCGATTGTTCACCACACAAATGAATTTCCTTCGCCTTCAGTCCCAATAAAGCTTGTGTCCATGCCCATCCCCGATGAGGATCCGATATCATTTGAATTTCATCCAATACTGCGACTTCCAAAGGTTTTGCTAAATTCGCCATTTCCACAGTAGAACTTGTCAAAGGTGCTGTAGGGGACACTTCTCTTCTTTCTTCACCTGTGAGTAAATTACATTGGATGCCTTGTTGATTCATCTTATCATAAATTTCATGTGCCAATAACCGTAATGGTCCACAATAAATACCTGATTCCGCAGATTGAAGTCGTTGAATCGCTCGATATGTTTTACCACTATTTGTTGGCCCTACATGAAGATAGATCTTGCGTTGCATTTGTCGAGCTTCCGGAAACCATTCACTAGGGAATCGCATGTCACTGAGTTTCCGTAATGAATTGTATTCTGATAATACTTCTTGACTCATGTGAGGTTCTGCAAATTCATAAAATGAAGACATAATCAAACGATCCACACCCTCTATTAGAAAAAAAAAGAGTTATCAGATATGAATTTATGGTATTATTTTTTATTTTATATCTTACCAGTGCCTTCTTCGCCCAATGTCTTTTTGATCAATTGAGGATCTAATCGAGATACATTTCCCTTCAATCCTTGAGCAACAAATCGTTTAGATATATCTGCAAATAATTTAGGCGTAATCCCCATACTACGGGCCTTGCTTCTTGCTGTAGAGTTTCTTGGGAATCTTGACATTAGTTTCACAAAAGCTAAAAAAAAAAGTAAAAGAAAAGAAAAGGATTGATCTAGTTAATTCAAGATATCAATATGTTTAAGAATGACTTACTATCATGAGATCGGTCTCTTCGTTTGCCGATAAAGTTGGAGTTCGGTTTTGGTTTAATCAAACCAAGAACTGAGGCCAGATCAAGGGAAGATTTCTTTGGAGGAGTTCGTAGACATGACGTTGTTGAAGTGAAGGTTCGACGTTCATATGATATGAATACTTGTATGGGATATTGTACCCGAAGACTTGATCTCAACATACCACGGAGAGATCCAGCAATGGATAATAATATTATGAATAAAAAAAAAAAAAAGATAACAGGAAAGAAGTAGAAACAATGAAGGTTTTTTTTATTTCAGAGTGCAGTAAATAAAAAAAAAAAATGGAATTGAATGCGGAATTGGAAAAAAATGTAAGTAAAAAAAAAAAAGCTATTCTTGTGCTTGTAAAGTATAATCTATGATGTATGATTGGGTGATGAGATCGTCAATGCGTTGGTAATGTCGGTCAGTATAAGGTAATAAGCCTTCAATCAACTATAATAAATAAATAAATAAATAAATAAATAAATAAATAAAAACAATAGATGAGTATATATTGATCAGCATAATTCATATGATTACCTCTTTGGCATTGGTAAGTTCTACGAGTTCTTCAGAGTTATGTGAGGATAAAATGGCATAAAGTACAGTTTGAGCAACATTGGAGTGTTTGGCGTTGGTGTTCCAATCTCGTATATATTTCAGTAACTTTTCTAAATGATCAGGTCCCATTTCTGCCAATATCTTGTCTACAGCTAGAGATCCAGTGATACTTTCTTCATCTGACCTTGATTCCATCACCTCACGGAATAATCCTAATAATCGGAATGGTTGATTGAGAGACATGGCCAAAAGAATTGCATTCAGATAATCCTTTTTTCGCATATAAGTTTGAAGTTCTTGTTCTCTATCAAAAAAAAAAGATTATTATCAGTCATCACTAAATAAATATACATAATAATAATAATAATAACCAAACTTACTTGATGATAAATTCTTCTTTTTCACGTAATTCATTTTCTTGTTCTTCCAAAGTAACATCTTCCCAAAAATTGATAACGGAATCGGCTCCAGCAGAAGTGATCATTTTTTCATCCTTTCGAATTGCCAACGCCCAAACCTTTTCAGTATGATTGTCTAAAGTACCAACACATTCATTGGTTTTGATAGTCCATAACTTGACCAGCCCATCAGAACCACCAGAGACCAATTGTAAACCAGCAGTCAAGAAATCTACACGTAATACCGAGTTGCTATGTCCTTCAAATGTCCTTAAACAGGTGAATTCCTTCAAACTCCAAATCTTGATGGTCTTGTCGCCAGAACTGGTAGCCAGTACTTGTTCTACGTTGGAGAATCGTACACACCAAACACCACGTTTATGTCCCTTACAAGTACCGATCAAATCACCAGTATCCACGTTCCATACCTTGGCCAATTTGTCTTGAGAACCAGTGGCAAAGAGTCGATCATTAGGTGCAATACTGATTGTGTTGATATCCTTTTCGTGAGCTTGATGAGTATATAATGCGTGAGGTTGTTGTTCTTGTTGTTGTGAATCAGTTTGGTCAAACTTAATATCTCGTAAGTTCCAGTATTTGATGGTACGATCTTGTCCACCTGTGATCATAAAGTTGTTTGATTTTCGTGCAAATGCAATAGCACCAATGGATTCAGTATGACCAATACAAGTACCAACACAAGTATACCTGGATTTTTTTAATAATGATAATAATAATAATTCAATATCACTTCTTTTTTTTTTTTTCTTTTCTAATTTTTGAGTTACCTATCAGAAGATTCCTTGGCTTCTAAATTGATTTTCCAAATACGAGCTGTTTTATCCTTTGAGCCTGTTACTAGTACATCACCATCTTTGGATCGATCTAAACAAAGAATCATATCCTTGTGTCCATAAACAATATCACAGTTTTGTGTTTCCACATCGTATACACGTAATTGTTCACTATTAGTTGCTGCCGCCAAATGAGTTTCATTTTCACCGAGATATACAATATCCACAATTTCATCATTGTATCCCACCACTTGTTTGATACGTTTGAGTTGTTGAGGAATAGAGTAAAACAAGATGTTTTGATCGTTTGTAACAGCAATCAAAGTTTGAGAGGCTGCAGAATATCTATAACAAGTAAATGTCAATCATAATTTAAAACCACCTTACACACGTAATATATACAAGTACTTACATGATATCGGAAATTGTATGTTTACTATTTGTTTCAGTTGCTTGTTCTTGGACCAATTTGCCAGTAGCAAGTTCCCATAATCGAATCACACCCTTGTCACCACCAGTATAGAATACATCAGACGAAGGTTTGCCACCGTAAGCAGAAAAATCAGTATCTTTAGCGACAAAACCCACAGTTTCTAAAGTTTCATAGATAGGGTAGGTTGCTTTAAGTTTCTTGGTTTGCCAATCCCAGACATTCACCACCTTATCACGAGAACCAGATATAAGAGTTCGACCATCCGAAGAGAAATCAAGACCACGAACAACACTGACGTGACTTTTCAAAACAGCAATACATCTATCATCAAATAAGAATAAGGGAAATAAAAAGGTAATGATGGATGAGTTATCATAAAAAAAACATTTGTTTCCTGATTTTTCAAATGTACTTACTGTCTTGATTGTAAATCCCAAACACGAACCGTACAATCATCCGCACCAGAAGCCAAATACCATTTGTTGTTGAATTTATGGAATTTGACAGCACTAATGACACCACCATGGCCACGTAAGTTATGAGTACAATAACCTTTATCAATATCCCAAATCTTGATAGAAGCGTCAGCAGATCCTGTAGCGACTAAGGTGGAAGTAGGATCGATGGTCATGACAATCACTGGTGCATCGTGAGCTTTGTTCATTGTTCGTAGACAAGTACCTGTGGCTAAATCCCATACCCGAAGACTCAAACTACGACTGGCACTAACAACATGTTGTCCATTGGGTTTGACAGCAAGACTGGTCACCATTTCAGTATCCCCTTCCAAAGTATGTACTTGACGTCCTGTTTCTGTTTCTGTCACAATAATGTCTTCATTCAACGTTGATACAAGTAGTTTTTCGTCTGCAGTCAAATCCACCTTGCCACCGGTATAAATGGATTCGATCGTCTTGATCGACTTGAAACTGTCAACATTAAAAAAAAAAAAAAGAAAGAGGTTTAGTGACATGTCTTATATTTTCTTTTCTTCTAGTGCTTTTATAAAGACTTGCCTCGTCTTGATCATCAATTTTTGTGCATCGTCCTCTGACATTATATAGATCACTCTTTTCGAAAAAAAAAAGAAAAAAAGAAAAAAGAATGTAGTCCCAAAGAAAGTTTTTCTCAAATGGATGGATTTAAAGATTAGATTTTTTTTTTTTTTTTTACAGCTTCACAGAGTTCAAACCCAGCACAATGGTTTGAAGCGAAAAGCAGTCGCAAGGTAGCTGAAAAAAGGTACAGATAGCATGAATTCATAAAAAGATTTATTTAAAAGATCATCATAAAAATACATATATATATAGAATAATAATAATAAAAAAAAAAGATACAAAAATGATAGGTATAAACTAAAAGTACAACTAAATCAAAATCTAAACAACAATGGATTTCTAATATTAAGATAGCAGCTCATGGATATCTTGCTGCAGGAGAAGATCCAGAGAATCCTTATCGGTTCCAGTAGTAAGATCAACTAAAGAGCCATCTGAGAAAGCAGTTCTAATAGGTGATTGTATCCGATGTTGATGTTCTAAAGTCGGCTGTGGGTAAGGATGATCTAACGGAGTGCTAAACAGATCACCAGTTGGATCTAGTAAAAAATCAAGATATGCTAACGAGTCAAGTGAATTGTGATATGTATTAGTTGATGCTGAAGGTGAGGTCATTTCTATAGATGGTGTCGTTGCTAGTGATGATGATAATAAAGATGATGATGATGATGACGATGATGTAGTATGACATATTGAAGTGTTATTGTCATTCAATGTTGATGATAACAAATCTTTTCCGTCTTCTATAGCAAATGTATTTTGTAAGTGACGAGCTACACAGGTACATGTTTGTATCACTTCACAAAGACAACCGTTAAGAGGATTGGGTACTATTATTCACAAAAACAAACAAAACAAAAAAAAAATCAAACAATATTTGAGTCAATACTATAGATGGAAGAATATCTTTTTTTCTCCTTCTTTATTACCTGTTGCAATAGCACAAGTGCATTTCACATGAGAACCTGAAGATCGTAGATCACGGCAATGAGTACATTGAGAGACTTGTCGACCACGTTTTAAAACAGGTATTAGTTTTCTATCCAAATGTTGACACTTTTTCACACGATGACCACGAATGCACGATATACTAGAATAATAAATAAAAATAAAAATAAAAAGAAATGAAAGGAATTTAATATAGACAAATGATCATTGATTTTTTCATTGGTATGTGTCTATTGTTCTTATTACCAAGCATATTTCACCCCTTCTTTCTCGATTGCCATTGTATTGGAATAATTAAAAAAAAAAAGGGAAAGAGAAGTGAAGAAACCATACAAAAGCTGAATTCTTTGTTTATAATGCGGAGATCAAAATAAAAGAAGCATAAATTGCTCACTATTTTTATTGACAAAACCAAATGAATACGAACTATGTGTAAATGAATATAGGACTATGGGAAGAGAATCATGATCTAAATTTTGAAAAAAGAGATGATAATGCATTGGTAGTGATTTGAGCTAGAGTTTGTTGACCATTGTCAGAGTGCACGGATGGAGGTTGTGCTTTGTTACTTGGTGGCATGTTCATCATTCCGGTCATACTATTAAAATTGGCCATTCTTGCTGAATCCTCGATTGCACCTTGTTGTAATTCAGAACTAAACAAAACCAAGACTTTTTGTTCATAAGACCATAAACAAGTAGCCCAATATACCTGATTATCCAAAATGATAATAATAATAATAATAATTGAAAAAATGAGGAAGGTATCTCCTTTTTTTCTTATTTTTTTTTTGTTGTTATCACTTACATAACACACAGCAATCATAACAAAGGTAACCACAGCGAATTTGACTTCATCTTGCCATAATCGAGTACAATTATAAAGATCAGATCCAGGTATATGTGGGGAGAATGTAAGTTGAATTGTCGTACCATTACCAGATGATAATTCAGAACGAACAACACTTCTTGATTTATTAATACACCAATCTTGAAATTGAGGTTGTTGTACACCAAAAAGAACGAGACAGACAAAGAAATCAATTAAAAATACAATCACCACCATCCATATAGACCGATGTGCAAAACTAAGTGTACCAGGCATGTTCTATCATTTATTTTATATATCAGTATCAATACAATCATCCGTTCTTTGAACTTACCACAAATACAGCAAAAAGAGCAAAAAGAGCCACTAGGACAAATATCAGACAAATAGCTCCTTGTATTAATAAAGCTGTACGATCTATATAAGAAAAGATGGCTATATAAAATAAAAAAATGAAACCAAATCAATCATCCATGATATATTGGAAAAGCCAAAACTTACGACTTTGACCTTGAAAAGCTAGAATGGATCCATACAGGTTTAGACCCTACAAAATAATAATAATAATAATAAAAAAGAAAAGATCAATACATGAAAGAGAATGATTCAATATTGCTTACTATCCAAATAAAACAAGCTACAGTACAACCACCTCTTAGTGACATACAACCACAAAACTTTCGAGTATAAGAATGAGCAGCATGTAAAGTTCGAGATCTTTGTTGTGGAAGGATATCAGGATATGGGTACATCCATGTTGGCAATCGACGCATCATTATGAATCTATAATATTTTTATGTATGTAAAAAAAAAAAAGAAAAAAAAAAAAAAAGAAAAAAAAAAAAAGAAAGAAAAAAGAAAGAAAAAAAAAAAGAAAGAAATTCAAGCCAGCTTGCATAGCTCCCTCCTTTTTTGTAAGTTTCAAGTACCACCAAAAACAACATTCCCAAATTGGACAATCAACTGTTCAATTTTTCTTTTTTTTTTTTTATTTCTTTATTTCTACAGTAACAAAAATCTATCTATTCTATCTATCTATCTATTGATATCGAAGGTAAGGCATCACATATGTAGGTTCACGAGTACCAGCTTGTTGACAAAGATCACGTACCTGAGATAATAATTCTGTATCATTTTTGGTTGATAATAAAGTTGATGCATGAACACCACCCAAGATAAGCACTACATCTAAATCAGCATCATTTGCTCCAAGTACATCAGTGGCTACATTGTCCCCAATACATAGAATGCGACCACCACTTTGATTATTCTGTTTGTTTTGTAAATACTTGTAGATACTACTGAATGGTTTTCCAAAATACAACACAGTGCCTCCCATAGATTCATATAATTGACCAATGTAACCAGGACAAAGTAATAAACGTTGAGAACCATCTTGATTCACACCATGAGGAGCAAGTACGTCAGGATTAGTGCATATAAAAGGAATTCCTCTTTTCAAACATATATCAAAGAAGGGTTTATAATGCTGTTGTACACTTTCTTCATCAAATGGATTCACTTCATCATCACCATAAAGCCGTTGAATCGATCCCACTAATACAAATTCCATAGAATACCAATCATCCGTCGCTTCAAACACTGTCAGGTCTCGGTAAAGAGGTTCAAGATAGTCGACATCGCCTGCAATAAAGAACCGGATCTTGGTATCCTCCTGTTTCAGTGCAAGTTGATATTGTTGACAAAACCCTGCTGCTGTCATTGTTGTTGCTATTGTTGACTGATGATTTATATTACTGTTGCTTATGCTAGCGTTTCCACCCACTGTCGCAAAACAAGAAACAATATCCTGTTTGGTTGTTGTATACATTTGACAATCTTGTAAAAACAATCGAGTCAATTTACCACTGGATAATATATCATTGTAAGCCTGAGGTGTAATGTTGAATTTGTCTATCAGTTGTTGACTTAAAGCAGAATACATTCGACTAGAGTTGGATAAGAGTACCACGTCTTGCTTTCTTTGTTGAAGTTCTTTGAGTGTTTCCATAGTATAAGGATAAGGTTCATATCCATCATGAAGAACCCCATATATATCACAAGCTATAGTATCGTATTGTTCTCCATTGGCATAAAGTTCAGAAAAAGACTGAAGAATCTTCATTTTCTCAAGAGAAAAAGAAAGATCCAGACAAAAGATAAAGAGAGAGAGAAAAAAAAAAAAAAAAAAAAAGAGTGAGAGCCAGGCAACAGAAAAAGGAAATAAAATTTTACAGTGATTTCAAAGTTTTTTTGTCGGGTCACAAGAAAATATTATAAAATTAAAAAAATACATTCTGTCGCTTATCTCTCGTTTTTCTTCTTCCTTCTCTTTTCAGTTATTTTCATGAATCCAACATTGGGGTCCTTAGGCTCACTTATCATTGATGATATTCGTTTTCTAAATGGCACTGAACGTCGAAATGTAGTTGGTGGAGGAGGCGTTTTTGCAATTTATGGTAAAACATAAAAATAAAATAAAAAAATAATAGGTACATTTATGTTCTCACCTTTTTTCAAGTTTCTTCTTCTTCTTCTTCTTAGGCATGCGTATTTGGTTACAAGGAAAGGAAGCAAAACAAATTGGATATGTTGCACAACGTGGATATGATCATCCAAAAAATGTAGATGATGCATTAGCTTGTTTGGAAATAAATCTCGTAGAGAAAACACATCCGGATAAGCATACTACTCGCGGTTTAAATACATTTGGTCCAGACGATCATAGGTAAAACAAATATCAGGATTTTTGTTAACTGATAATGATGATTGATTTTTTTTTTTTTTTTTAAAAAAAAAAATAGAGATTTTGAATATATCCATCCTATCATACGATCAACTCCAGATGATTTCCCTGACGCATGGATTCTATCAATGAAATTAGTACATATTATCAGCTCTACCGAACGTACCATTGAAATTGTTTCTGAATGGAGAAAAAGGGAAAAAGAACTCAACAAAAAACAATCACCAACACAATTTTTATGGGAACCTTTACCATGGGCATGTTTACCTGAGGTAACTTAAAAAAAAAGAGATAAAGGAAAGCTTCCATCTTATTTGTATATAAATAGAACTATCCTGCCATTATTCAAGCTGGACAACTTGTTGATATCATTAGCCCTAATCATGAAGAAGCAGCTGCCTTTCTTAATTTGACGACACAGTACGATGATACGATATCTTTGGTGGAAGCTTGTGGACAACGATTTGCAAAGGATTTCCCGCATGCCACCATTGTGATCAGGGCTGGAAAACATGGTGCTGCCGTGTTGAATTCCTCCAAATCATCATCATCATCTATGACATGGGTACCTCCTTATTGGACTTCTTCAGAACATATCGTAGATGTAGTAGGGGCAGGAAATGCGTTTTGTGGTGGGTAAGTTTGTCCAATATGTTAGTCAGTTTGGTCAACTTTTTTTTTTTTATATAGATTTATGGCTGGATGGCAATTGACAAAAGGAAATGCAATCATGGCTACTCTGTATGGTTCTGTCTCATCTAGTTTTGTAGTTGAACAAGTTGGTGTACCTGTTTTATCCAAGGATAACCAAGAAGAAACATGGAATAATGGTCCATCACCTAGAGATCGACTGTTACAACTTGAACAAGTCTGTGGATTTAACGCAGTGTAATATAACTAGAAGATTATTATAGTGTACCTTTTTTTTTGGAATAAAATATAGATATATATAATTATTATAGAAAAAGGATACGATAAAACAATGTACAATCTTCATCATCATTATCTTTTTTTTTTTTTTTTTTTTTTGTCTTTATTGTTAGTTCATTACCGTCCGTATCCTTCATCACCACATATCATCTATCCATCCTCCAACGTCATTACATAATTACACTAATGATCATCATCGTGATCGAGCAATGAACCATATGTTACATCAAGTAGTACAAATAAAACAAATGGTTGATGTACAAAAAAGGTGTTTTTTTTATTAATAGGCAAGAAAGGAAGAAAAAAAAAAAGGAACTATCTAAAACAAAAAAAAAAAAAAAAAGAGTACAAGAATTGGTCCGTGTATTAGGGAAGTGATAACAATAATAATAATAAAAAAAGAGTATCCAATAATAATAAAAATGGAAAGGAAAGATCTGTTTACGGCCAGAAACAAAGATCATCCCCAAAAAAAAAGTGTACTAATAATAACAACAATAAAACAAAAGAGGAAGGATAATTTTGAGAGTAACAATGAAAATATACATGATAACAACAAAAAAAAAAAAATATTATAAGTGTAATATAAAAATGGAGGATTAAGATATTCGTTTCTGGGCATAAGCAAAATGAACATTTTCAAAAGTTTTATATTCATCCGCTTCATTCCAACAGGTATCTAGTTGTTCATTGTATTCATCCGCTGTCATGTTGGTCATCATACATATTTGAGGTCGTATAGCTTGATAATAAGATTTCCATGATTGCATTGTCAATTGACCAAGCTTGAATAATAATAATAATAATAATAAGAGTGAAGTGTGAATGATTTTTTTTCTCTCTCTCTCTCTTCATGTTAATGTCATTTTTTCTAGATTACCTTTCCCGCCCATTGACCACCAGGACAAGAGATAAAGGTAGCGTTGACATTAGTCAATTCATCTCTTTTTTCAAAACGTTCCTTCAATCGTCGACCAGAATGAGGATCCAATTGTCTAGTATTCATCAGAGTCATTAAATGTTCATTATATATCTTTGTTGTAGGACCAGTTCTATGTAATTCCAAATCCACTTCAACAACTTCCACCCATCCACCTGGTTTCAATACTCGGATAATATCTTTCATGAGAGGATCCCATTGGTTTAATTCAATCCCTTGCGCCATGAATCTAATCACAATAATAATAATAAAAAAAAGATGAATGAATATAATCATCCTATATTATATAAAATTGATATAGATACCTCATAAAAACATAATCAAAAGTACCATCTTCAAAAGGTAATCCTTGTAGTGCATTGCATTGATAGAATTGACAATTAGTAGGTTTGATATCTCGAGGAAATACACATGTCATATCCACGCCAACAATAGTTGATTTTGGGTATTCACCAGCAATTTCCATGGTCCTGTGCGTTATTGTAAAAAAAAAAAAAAAAAAAAAAAACTCAGTTAGTACAGTCTATCTTTTCATTTTAATCATCGAGTAATTTTCTTTTGTTACCATGATCCGGGACCACATCCAATATCCAGTACATTAGCTCCTTTTCTTAAGCTATCAGTCACAGGTGCCAAATAGTTTCTAATCATCATAAAATAAATAATTAAATAAAATGCTCACAAGACTTTTTTTTTTTATAGTTTTTACCCTTGAATAGCAAATCGAACCATGAAGTGGAGTAAATGTAAACGATCAATTTCTTCTTCATCACAAGGTAGAATATAAGAAGAAGCAGCACAAGTATGGAATTTTCGACCTTCGATCCAGATAACATCGGTATTATTGAGTAATAATTCATTTTTAATCAAAATATGATCATGGGACAAACTATGATTTGAGTTGCTTGGTGTGATAACAGGAGGATTTGAAGAAGGTGAAGATACACCTGCATAGAAGGAATGACGTTGTTGCTGCAATAAAAGAAGCTGTTGTTGTTGAGTAGTCAAAAGAGGATGAAGAGATATGGTTAGATTGTTGTTTGTTGTTGTTGTAGGAATATCAGAAGAAACAGCCAAAACACTGGAAGAACGGGATAAAGATGGTGTAGTAAGAGTGGATGGAGTGGCAACATTATTTGATCGGTTGAAAGAACGAAAAGGAAAGACACGAGAAAGAGGACGTCTAGAGGTAGTTCTTGTAGTTGATGCAGGTATGAGAGGAGAAGAATGTTTTCGTAACTTGACACGTCCATTATCAGTTTGTGAGGATGACACGATGGGTAAAGGATACTGTCGTTGGTATGGATCTTGAGAAGAAGGTAACCATTCATTCACGGTGTTGAGTCGAGGATCTTGACTTGCTGTACTTCCTAATCGTCGTTCTAAGCGTGAGTTTTGGTTGCCCATAGAGAAGAAGGAATGTATAATAAAATAATAATAATAATAATAAAAAGGTAAATGAGCGTAAAGGGGTATAAAAACAACAAAAAAAAAAAGGGAAATAATAAGTTTAATAAGAAGGAATCATTGAGTCAAAGGTAAAAATAGTATATAGATATATATTTTCACTGATTGGAAGATGAAGAAAAAAAAGAAAAGAAAGAAAAGAAGTAATATATATAAAACTGAATGTTTGTTCCTTTTGAGACCATATTGCAAGTCGTAACTATTTCATATCCCGAATATGAGAAAGCCCTGTTATGGTAACTAGGCTTTTGGCTTACGATCAAATTATATTGTAACACAATTATTTTAATGATTCAATTGTTCGAAGTTAATTGGTTTCAGATACATTTTTTTTTTTTTTAGTGATCATTAAAAATAGTTTATTATTATTTTCATTTTTTCATTTTAAATCATAATAATAATTTGATATAATGATAAAACATTATATAATAAAGTTGATCAGAAAGGTGTTTCCACGCAGGGCTCATAAGAATCATCTATACGATATACTATCATTCTAAGACCCATATTTCATCACAATTGGAAAAAATAATTATTATACCAAATTGGCATAACAGATAAGATTTCCTACTAATGGTGAAGAAAAAAAAAGAAAACAGAAAAAATGATTTCAAAATCTTGTCTTTTTATACCTTTTTTTTTGGAATTTCAACATCCGGTCTTTAAGAACAACAAAAAAAAAACGAAGCTAAGCCAAGAAAATTTTTTTGACTTGCCTGTTACTGCTTTTTTTTTTTTAATTCATCCAATTACTACAGGTGAAAGCAGATTGAAAAGAATCATCTCACTGGAATAATTATTTTTCCTTTTTAATAAAACTGGTGGTGATGATGATATTTCTAGATAAGAAAAAAAAAAACTTGTTATCATCATGATGATCTTTTATTAGAGTCATCCATAGAGAAAAGATTGGTAACTTACTTTCCCAGAATGGAGTGATATGAAAAAATGTCAGATGTTTATTTTTTTTTTTGAAAGTCAGTGACAAGACAATAACAAAAGGGATTTGCACCGGAGAATGTCCCCAAAGTCGAACGATTCCCAAGTTTCATCCATTTTTTTTTTTTTTTTTTTTGCGGAAAATCAAAAAAAAAAAAAGAATATATATAGTAATCTATTTCAAGCTTACTTTTTTTTATTGTTGTTGATTATTATCTTTTTTATTCATCATCATGTCTAATACTCCTACTGGTTCAGATGAACGTTTTGCTATCCGTCAAGTGACTAGTGAAAATACTTTATTAGGCTTCGATCGAAAGAATCGACGTCGAGAGAGTGTTACAAGCAATGATCATTTAGATCCTGATTTTTATTTAAATCGACCTCATTATGCTGATGAAGAAAAGGCTCATGGTTTTACTTCTCCTATGTTATCACCTCAACCATTACCTTTATCTTATTCCATGGATACTCGTATGGTACAAAAACCTATTGTTGGTAACTTTGGTGTTCTTGGTAAGTCATGGGTTATAAATTGTGCATGATCATCGGTCTTCTAATCAACCTTTTTTTTTTTTTTTTTTTTTTTTTTAGCATTATGGTCTTTTGCCACGGTCACTGCCTTATTGGGTACATATGATTTATTCCTTCCAACTACACCTAATCATGTCCTTCTACCTACAGCTGTGATGTTTGGTGGACTTGCGCAAGTAATCAGTGGTTTCTTTGTACTTGCTAGTGGTAATACATTCGGTGGTATTCTCTTTGTGTCTTATGGTACCTTTTGGACAGGATCAGGCTTGATGATGATCCCTGCCATTGCCTCTACAATGGAAGTCCTCACTAAAGATCAAGCTGATATTGGTAATGGTATCTATCATTTCGTCTGGGCATTTTATACCCTCATCAATATCTCAGTGTCCTTGCGTATCAAAGGCGGCAACTTTATGTCTACTTGGAATTTGGTGTTTGTGTTCCTTACTCTCTTTTTGACTGGCATCCAATGTGTCACTGGTAATCTCATTCCTTTACGTATCGCTGGTGTCACCGCCTACTTGGCCGCCCTTGGTGCTTGGTATACCGGTGTTGCTGAACTTTTTGAAGAACAGGGTGAAACATTTTGGTTGGGCAAGTATCATCATCGTGCTATGAAGCACAAGTAAATTCTCTTGTCCACGTATATTATCTATCATTCCCCTTTTTATTCATTTTTTTTTGTATATATCATTAATAAACTATTATAAAATATATAAAATGACGGTGTTGGTCTGAATGGTGATCGAATGATGCACATGTATGTTTATTTGATGAATCAATATATATTACAAAAAGACAATTTCAAAAAAAAACAAACAAAAAACAAAAAATGAGATGATCTATACTAAGGTCCAATATTTGATCGTAGTAAATTTTCATCCATCCAAGTCCGTAGTATTTCCGAATCACTTGATTGACTTGATCGCATGTCATCGTAAGCAAATATTCCTTCTTCTTCTTCTACAGGTTCTTCTGTTTCAGATATTTCACTTTCCAATTCAGGTTCAATCGTGATGTTCAAGTCCGAGAGGCGTCGAATATCAGCGTGATTAGCACGTGTATGCGAAAGATGTTCATGTTCAAACTATAGATAAAAGTAAAAGAAAAAGAAGTTAACAAACCTAATATATATCTTTTTTTTTTTAATTCTTACCACGAACAAATCACTTTCCAATCGATCCTTCATATCATCAAATTCATAAAGACATTCATGAATGAAGTCAGACAAATCTATCAACCATTGGATAAAGTATGTTAATTTTTCCATCTCCCTTTATCACCTGTTCTATACTTGCCTAGATGATTTGTACTCAATGTCAAAGAAGCTTCAGAGTTTGAGTCATCATCTATAATGCCTTTCCATCCATCACCCAAATCAATAGGTTCCTCCATATCTTGTTTCCCAGAATTGCTTGTTGATGCATCAAATGTCGATGTCATTGTTCTTGCTAATTCCTTTTCAATCCCCAATAATCGATCCAAGGCTTCTTCCACATCATCATCCATTCTATCAATGAAACCTGTCACTTTTCCTGGCGTAATCCTTACATCGTAATATACAAAGATTTGATCTTCAAAATCCACATAAAACAAACATGGTACATTGTATCCTGGAGCCACTGCATAAAGACCTACCAAAAAAAAAAAAAAAGAAGAACGGTTCAGTATAGTTCATTTTTTTTTATTATTATTATTGTTATTTTCCTTACCAGCTGTAAAGGCACATACTCGACCTTCAAAAGCAAATTTCACTAGTTGGAATCGAATATTGGAAGAAGGAGATATAGAAGAAGATGAAGATAAAGAATCATCCTCATGAGTATCATCACGTTGGCTCCAATCAATCAGGTAGGTCACCCCGTTCCATGCACAGGCGACAAATAGATCACAATCAGGCCGGTCCATATCATCCTCTTCATTTAGGTCACTCCATGAACTTTCATCACTACTTTGACTTGTCCGTCTGGAATGAATAATGCTGCTGTGATCATTATAATAATCATTTGATATTGTTTCTCCTCCTCTATGTTGTTGTTGTTGCGATGTATTGTTTTTTGATAAGACCGATAAAATGTCACTCGCATGCATGCCATCGGATGTATTTTCACCCAAGGAATCATGTTGTTGTTGTTGTTGTTGTTGTTGTTGTTGTTGTTGTTGTTGTTGTTGTTGTTGTTGTTGTTGAATAGTTGAGGTATCTTGCTCCACGGTTGTCGTTGGTGACGGTGAGATGGGTAACTTGTTTGTATCTTCTGCTCCTCCGTTGTTGCTATTGCTATTAGAAATTGTGAGGGACAATTTAGAAGAGGTTGAAAATGACGGAGAACCAGTATTGGAATGTGCTACTGCAGTTGTTGTTGCTGTTGTGGCCATAGCTCTTCCCGATGACGATGGTGATGATGCAGCTGATGCTAATGAAGGATGTCGATTTGATAAGACTTGGTGATACTGTGTTTGCTGTTGTTGTTGTTGAAGTGGTTGTTGACGATGTTGTCTTTTTTGATGATGATGTTGTTGCTGTTGTTGTTGTTGCTGTAGTTGTGGTGATCCTGCAAAATAGAGGGGAGCATTGCGAGCAGGATAAAGTGGTTTTGGTAACATTGCTGTTCCAGATACATTCAAGGTTGCCAAGCTGAATAATTTGTGTGTAACGAATAGGTCTTGTTGTGAAGACTTTTTGGTCTGAAGATCGTAAATAGTGAATTTCCCTTCATCGACATAAACCGATTATAATATATCATTAGTAAATGGTTTTCTTTTCCTTTTTTTTTTTTTTTTTTTTCTCTCGACTTACCATCCATACTAAGCATACCAATTTCATTTCCTGATTCTTCCTGTTCAGTATTGCCATGTCGTTTTCCAACCACGATTTCTGTAGCCACAGCGCCGTTCTTGTCGTCACCGATAATATCATCTCCATCCGTCACCGGCCAATCTTGTATAACATAATTTGTACGCTCCAGATCATTGCAAAGATCATCATCGTCATCACTCTTCTCTTGTTGTTCATCATTGTTGTCGTGACTATGCTTCCCCTCTTCTTGTTTGGTGATAATGACATTTTCCACAGTAATGTCGTTGGGCGTCGCCAGTCGATTAAGAAGTGTTCGGATGGTGCCTGCTGAGGATTCCTTGGGTATGGTAGTTGTTATTGTTGGTGATGATGATTGCTTGATATCCACTGGGATCGAGGGCTTAGTTGACGTCGTTGTACTAATTGTGTTCATCTTGCTATTATTGCTTTGCTGGTGATTTGTTTTTTTGATGTCATTTTTGTTATCTTTTATCAGTGAGGATAAATGATGTCTCTGCCGTCGATCATAAATATATGGACCATGTTGAGGAGTAAAGTCGCGGTTGAGTCGATTTCCTTTTTGATCAATGATGGTAAACGTATTGCCAGGCTGAGCTACAAGTAATATAGGTTCATTGGGTCGATCAGGATAGTGTGTTGTTGTAAGAGATGTAATCTAGAATACAATAGGAGATCATTAGAAATATATATATTCAGGTTCTCCAAATATTTTATCCCTTTTGATTCATTACCTGACCGTCAAAGACCCACATATCCTTATCTTTCAAACTTGTTTGTTGATCCAAAACGGCTTTATTGATTGTATCTGTATTAGCTCTCGAACCTTTGGTATCCTTTGTTGTCGTTGTTGTTTTTCCAGCGGATTTCCAAGCCATTCCTTTACGAAGTACGTGTGATTTGAGCTCCTTTCCATCATTATTTTGTTTGTTTCCGAGTTTGTTTCCTGATAAAGCAGAAAGGGACGATTGAATTGTCGATGTTAGCGTTGAAGTTGGAGAGTTGTTTGTAGGAGGAGTTGGAGAATCCGATTTGTTGTTAAAAGTTTGATAATGATGATGATCTAATTGAAAAGAATGTAAAATCCGATCGGTTCTTGCCAATATAAGTTCATTTAAACCATCACCATCTATTATTATAAGAAAAAGTAAAAAAAAAAAAAAAAAAAAAAATCCGAGAGAATATTCTTTAGTGATGTGGTGGGATCGTGCAGTTTTGTAATCATCTTACCTATATCAGCAATAAGGATTTTGTTGACATTGACAGGTACTTTGAGTGTTGTACTTGGTTGTTGTAAGTTTTGTATTATTGATGATTTGGTATCCTCAGAAGAACGATGTTGTTGATCATCCCCTGTCGATCGCCTAAAAAAGCTTTGTGTACTATTCGAATCTGATGATCGGCGATCTTGACGTAAATATTCGTCCAGTAGAATTTGGTGTTGAGCTCGAGAATTAATAGGTTGAGAGAGAGTACTATCGATATCAAATATATGACAATGACCTTCAGCATTGATGACTACTATGGAATTCTACAACAATACAAGATAAATCATAGTTTCATTTTTGTATATCTTTCCATATTATACCTTGCCAATATTTCGAACATCTCCTATTGCAATACAGGTAATCTATGTCGTAAGAAAAAAAAAAAAGACAAACAAGAGTGAAGATGTCTTTCTGGAAAGAAACAAATATATCTTTTTTATTATTATTTACCGTTCCCAATTCATGACAGATAAAAGAAGGTAAACCAAGTGGACATTCGCCTTTGAAGATGGCTAAATCACCATTCAAATTACCAATAACAAACTCGATATCCTATTTCGCGTATCAAATACAAAAAAAAAAAAAAGTTAATGACCACAAAAGTTAATTTTCTTTATTTTTGTTTCAACTTACGCCATCATTATCCACATCACCCAATACCAAGGCATGAGGATTCATATTCCCTGAGAAGGCCCATTTCAACCTATTCACGAGAGAAACAGTTCTCATGACTTACTTTCTATTGAATAAAAGACAAATAAAGTGAAACACCAAAAAAAAAAAAAAAAAAAAAAGAATTGGAACATTAAAAAATGAAAGGCGGCATCTGAATATCAAAACAATACAAAGATTTATTTTTTTATAAACGAAAAGTGTAAAACTAGATATCTAATAAAGAATTGTAATGTGCACCTAAAGAATATAGATGTTTATGATAAGCCAGCTTCAGAGGTTGTTTATCTTGATAGATTTCATCATTGACTTTGATCACAGGAGCTCCCATTTGGATGACATGAATAGGCACTTGCTTGATATTGGATAATGCAAGAATCTATGAATGCATAAATATGAAATGAATCAACCCACTACTACTCTACCTTATATATATATTTACCTCTAATTGACCACCCCAGCGCGCTGTTGATTCAATATCATTGCAATACATTTCAAAATCATCTAATGAATGACAGAAACGGACTATTAGTATAATCCCGCATAAAAATGATTCTATTTCTTACTAACCTGCGCTAAATAGATCGCCATTATCCTTGTATAAAAATGGAATGAAATCGTCAGGGTGTTGTCGCATATATTTGGCAGTTTGCTTTCGAAGATCTTGATAAGTTTCCTAATACATATAAATTGGATACCAATCATACATTAGTCCAATCAAAAAGGATGGACACTATTCCCTTTGATTTTTACCTTTTCATTATATCTTTTTTCAAGTTGAGCACCTATAGCATTGTAAAGACTATAATAACAAATAATCCATTCATTAGTAAATAAATAAATAAATAAATAAATAAATAAAAGTTGCATTGAGGGGGTAAGTTACCAATGACCATCCGCAGTAATCTATATAGAATATCAAAGAAAAAGAAAAAAGAAAAAAATATACAATAAATAATGATATTATTCATATTAACTATAATTCTTACCTCTTGTACACGAAGTTTCATAGGTACCAAAAGTTCACGAATAGATTCTATTTCCAATTGTCCCATATCCACCTGATTTTCAGCTTCCTTTTCAGCCTCTTCTCGAAGTCGTTGCATTTCTTGTTCTCTACGTTCCTTCTTGAGTTTGGCACGGTTAGGTTTCTTGCTAGGTGTAGCATTCATGGGTTTGACAGTAGGCGACGAGGAAGGTGCTATAGGATCTTCTTCCACCTTTAGTCTATTCAAAGTATCTAAAGAAATACCGTCATCGTCATTGTCGTCGTCAAGACTATTGGGATCAAGACCTTTTTGTTTAGCATGATATTGTCGTATTTCCAATTGTTGTTTTTGTTTCAAATGGTATTCCATATCCGATATCCTACTTGTCATTTCTCGCTTTTTGGCCTTGTTATTCTTTGGTATCGTTTTCCTTAAACCAATGATTTTATTGTTGAGATCACGTTCTTCTGCACGGTGTCGACTAAGGATATCATCTAATGTTTCTTCCTTTGTATCATCAGACGTAGTTTCTTTGATGGCAGTAGGATTGTTTACTATTTCAGAGGCAACCTGTTCTAATTGTTGATCCATATCTGTCATGACTTTTTTGAGAAAGAGTAAATAACAAAAAAAAAATATCAGTTGTGGTAAAAAAAAGATTTTTTTTCTTGGTAAGGTCTATCAGATTTCAAACAGCGCGTCAGTTTTTTCTTTTGGACCATGGAAGATCCATTGCATAAAAAAAAAAGGAATACAGAGATATTTATTGTAAAATAAATAAGAGACTAGATATAAAATAAAGAGGGTATCTAATTTAGTATAATTATAGTAAAAATAATAATAATAGTATGGATACAAAAAAAGAAAACAACAACAACAAGGATATAATAATACTAAATTAAACTATTAACGATAATGATGTGTAGGGGAAAAGGGACTTGGCATAAAACCTGAATGATTGGCAATATTGGATTGTATCAAAGTAGACTGACCCAAATGAGATGGCAATAAAGTGGAGGGTACATGAGTAGTGTCACTTCCATATTCAGTTCCATATTCAGTAGGATCATCATCGTGCGGCGCTGGAATGGCGATCTCTTCTTGTTGTTGTTGTTGTTCGATATCATCTTGTTGACCACGATGAACCCATTTCTTAAGAATTTCCACTTCAATGTTTCCCAAAATCAATTGTTCCACATGATATAAAAGAAGGGGTGTTGACAAAACCCCTATCGTTCCAGGATCGCCATGTTGATACAATACATTGATCAGCGGCACGCCCATCGCAACAGTTTTCGTAGCACCACAATACTAAATAAAAAAAAAAAAGAATAAATAAATAAAATAAACAAACAATAAAGCAAAGTACGATCTTTTTTTTTTTTTTTTATGATGCATCAATAAAACAAAACAATACTTTACCATGATAGCCACTGTATCCGGTCTAGAATAACGTAATCTTTGTATCCAACGAGGACCAGGAAATGGAAAAGGAATATAAGCCAAAAACCAACAAAGTAAAGAAAAAGAGATATATAGACCAGCATTGATAATGGTAACAGCAACAATATCGACAACAGCTACTGAACCAAAAGAACCTGAAGCCACGGCATCGGAGAACACGGACCAAACCAATGTCAATAAACAAAAGCTACTCACATCAGATAATCGACATTTGACTTTGATTTTCGCCACCTTTTCAGTAAATAACCATTGAATGATTTGTCCAACCACTAAAGGTACCAATACTGTTAAACCAAGTTGTTGTAATACCGATACAAAATCAACCTTTCCTCCAGCTTGTTGAGGCGTTTCATCTTCAGGTGTTGCGTCTATAAGAGGACCTTGAAATACAGATACAAGAGCAGGTGATACGAAGATACCTATTATTAATAAAAATGATATATATATATATATATATATTATATGTGTGAAAAGATGATCAGTAAGTATATATATATTTTGCATCATGATGCATAGTATTCATGTGTCTGTGATGATTTTTTTTGTTAAGATATGTACCTAAAACATTTCCAATAGCTGCATTCATCAAAGCTATGTCAATAAACATGTAATGCCAAAAAAAAGGGAGAAGTTACTATAAAAGTGTTTTCAAAGTATAAAAATAAAATAAAAAAAAAAGTTTACCTGAAGCTTCGTTCCCATCGGCATTCTTTGTCATTACAACATTAGAAGAAACGGTAGTGGGCGTACTTGCTGCAATCACCACGCCAACGAGTAATAAAGAATTCAGGGGCATATGCATCTTGAAAAACAAAAGAATAAGACCAAAGACCACACCAGGGATAATCATCAGATTAATAATTTGAATCAGCAAATGTAATCGTATACGTAGTACGGTCTGAGCAAGAATCTTTGTACGTAACGAAAGTCCAGAAATGAAGAAAATCACAATTACAGCACCTAGTTAGATCAGAATAAAATATGAAAATGAATGATGATATCATACATTATATAGAAAAAACTTACCCCATTTGATTGTCCATTCAGCCCGGAGATAACCGCCTTTTTTTGCAACATTTGGAAATTGCCATGCCAAAATGATTGCAATAGCCAAACCAAGAAGAAACCAATATTTTGAGAGTAAAGTCAATATAAGAGATTTGATTTTTTGTATCCATGTTCCTTTAGGAGGGGTTAATGTTGCGGATTTTTCAGAATAAGTAGTATTGGCAATAGAATGTTCTCGTTTTAAAGAAGGTGGTGACATGGCTATTTTGGGAATAGTCACCTCACTAGCAAAATTAGATGATGAAGCTTTCCATTTGGTATCATTCATAATAATTATGTGTATATAGATTATTATATTTAAATGATAAGAGATATATATAAAAAAAAAAAAAACAAAAAAAAAAAAGAAAAAGAAAAAGAAAAAGAAACTTTTTTTTTTTGATTGCTGATTTTTATGCAGTTTGTTTTGGGTGAGCGATGTTCGGAGATGGAAAACACGCCATTTTCCAAGGAGTTCTCATCAAAACGGATGACAAGGCGGGTCCACACTGAGAGATAACGTAGCGCCTTTTTTTTTTTTTTCTTTTCCTAATTTTCTTTTTTTCTCTTTTTTTTTTTTTTTTTGTCAATACTTTTTTTTCCTTTTGTTTTTCGCATATCATTGACCCCCCTTTTTTTTCTTATTTGAAAGGGTAAAAAAAAAAAAAAAAAAAAAAAAAAAAGAAAAAACAAACCTCACGACAATTCAAACTTTTACATTGATTCATCAAGTCTTCTCTTTTTGTTATACGTTGACTTTTTGGCCTTTATTATTAGTCAACTATTATTACAAGTCAATTCAAATGCCAAAATCAGCAACTAAAGAAAATGATCAAGATGCTATTCCTCTTCTTTTTACTTTGACTTTGGCTGATGATGGTGCACCTACTGCTGATAAAAAGGTAAAATACCGGGGAAAACGAGAGAAAGGGTGTGCGTTGTATAAATATGTGTGTGTGTGCGTGTTTATTACCCTTATGCATGTTTAGTTCAAACTAATAGAACACGTTGGGGAGTAATTTCTTTTTTTTTTTTTTTTTGCATGTCAACCGAACTCTTTCCTTTTTTTTCTATCAAGAAAAAATTAACAATATCCTTTTTTTTTGTTATGTAGTATATTCGTATTCCGCCTTCTTATCGTATGACTCTTATGAGATGGATCTTACAACCTGGAACATTAGCTGCTATTAATCAAGCCATCTTATTCACCAATTATCCTGAAAAAGATAAACCATTCGAACGTCATACTTTCCATGCAATCAAGTAAGAAAATTCTTGTTTATCTACCCCCCGAAAAAAAACAAATAAAAATAAAAACAAATAGTAAACATTTATTTATTTTCTAGATTTAATCAAGATCCTCAATTACTTTGTGCTTATTGTGATCTTCTATTGGATAGACCTGGTGTTTATGAATATTATGTCAAGTATGGTCCTGATTTGAAGAATACTAGTTCAAGTTCAGGTAGATGGGTAGTTGAACCACATATTATTACTCGATCAGATGATTCTCTTTTGCCAATGGATGCGTTGATGATACAATCAGTGGTACCAAAATGGATGGGACCTATTTCGGATTGGGATCGATATTTCAACTTTATTCAGTATGCTGGTTACAATATGATTCATTTCGTTCCTATGCAACAACGCGGTACTTCCAACTCACCTTACTCTATTGCTGACCAATTGACTTTTGCTGATGATCTTTTTGACAATCCTTCTTCTGTTTCTTCTGAACAACGTGCTACCTTGGTGAAAAAGACATTGAAACATTTGGAACAAACTCATGGAATACTTTCTTTATCTGATATTGTTTGGAATCATACCAGTAATGATTCTGCTTTTTTATTGGAACATCCTGAAGCTGGTAAGATAAATGAATATATCACTTTTTTTTTTTTTTTTCTTATCTCCTCTTTTTTTTTTTTTTTTTTTTTTTCGTTTGTTAGGTTATAATCTTCATAATTCTCCTCACCTTGTTCCTGCTTATGAATTGGATACCGCTCTTGTTAACTTATCAGGCGAACTAGACCACCTTGGATTAAAATCGACTATTGAAAGTGAAACAGACGTGAACCTTATTATCGATTATATCAAGCATCATACTTTTCCTGACCTTAAACTTTATGAATATAAAATACTAGATGTATCCAAATGTGTGGCTTTATTCGAACAACGATTGATCGACAAGGATGCAACTGGTGTCAACGTAAAAAAATATCGAGATCAGCAAGTGCATCTTCTCTCCTTGAAGCAGCAAGCCGCTTTCGTCATCGATAAGAAATGGATCAGCAATGGTAAACCGGGTACTCGATTTCCCAAGCAATTGGATCTTCCATCCATTATTTCATTTATTTTGGCCGTCAATCAATTGGATGATATCAATGAAACGTCAAAACATGATATTGAACAATTATCTAAAAGTTTACAAATTCTTTTGGATGAATGTAATTTACCCTGGTACAAGGAATATGATCAAGATGTATGTATTGCTTTAGATAATATCAAGAATCGTATGATCTTTACTCGATTGGCCGATAATGGTCCTCATTTAGGTCCCATAAGCAAAAGGTAAGAATAATATTCAAAATATTTCTCTCTTTTACTAACTATGTGTTTATAAAACATAGCAATCCTTTGGTAGAAACTTATTTTACTCGACTAGAACAATCCAAATCATCTCATCCTCCCGGTAGTTTTCAGTTGGCAAACAATGGTTGGATATGGAATGCTGATCCTTTGGTAGATTTTGCTGGACCTGGATCATCTGCTTATCTACGTCGACAAGTTATTATTTGGGGTGATTGTGTGAAACTTCGTTATGGTTCTGGACCTGAAGATAATCCTTGGTTATGGCAACATATGACGTGTTATACAAAGCAAGTAGCAAGTATGTTCCATGGTATTCGTATTGATAATTGTCATTCTACTCCAATGCATGTGGCTGAATATCTGTTGGATGCTGCTCGCAAGATTCGCCCTCATCTTTATGTTTTGGCTGAACTATTCACAGGATCCGAAGAAAAAGATAATGTATTTGTGTCGCGACTTGGCATTCATGCATTGATTCGAGAGGCTATGCAAGCTTGGGATACTCATGAGCTATCGCGATTGGTTCATCGTCATGGTGGAAAACCTGTGGGTAGTATGGATGAAGATATGACTTGGAAACTAGTGACTTATGATGGTGAACTCAAAGATATTCAATATGTACAACGAATACCTGTCTCACATGGTAGTTCTCCCCGTGCTCTCTTTATGGATTGTACTCATGATAATGAAACTCCATTACAAAAACGACTTGCTCAGGTAATGAAAAAGAGGAATTAAATTAAACTTATTATGATGATGATGATGATTTTTTTTTTTTGTTTTCTAATCTTTTTTTTTTTTTAATTATTAATTGATTGATTTGCAGGATGCATTGCCTAATGCAGCAGTGGTGGCTTTCTCAGATTGTTCCATTGGAAGTGTGAAAGGATATGATGAACTCTACCCACGACTTTTAGATGTTGTTGGTGAAAAACGACAATATGCGGAACCGGATACAGGCATTGGTATTGTTGAAATCAAACACAAGTTACAACTACTTCATTTGCAAATGTCTCTTCAAGGTTATGGTGAAGTTCATGTTCATCAAGAAAATGATTATCTTTTAGTACATCGACAACATCCTGGTTCCCAAGATGGGTATCTTTTGATTACACGAACAGCATTCTCCAATAATGCAAGTACTGGCATCTCTCCTATTATTTTACGTAAATCTCAAGCTGAATTTGTTTTTGGAGCTTCTCTCAAGGTGGATGATCTGAACGTCAAGAATGATGCATTCCTTACTGGATTACCAAGTCATGTAGATCCTCTACCTGCTCCTGCATTAGTATCAAAACAAGACGAAAAAGGGGAATACATTCAAGTGGTATTGGATGATGATAAATTCACTCCTGGATCCATCATGATATTGAAAACATCCATCGGTAATCTATATGAAGAAACGAAACGAATGGTGACTCAACTGGATAATGATGTGATCAAGGGTTTGAATTTGGTGGATATCAATGTTGCGTTGTACCGCTGTGAAGGGGAAGAAATGGAATATACTGGTGGTGATGGTGTCTACGAATTTCCTGGCTATGGTAAACTAGTGTATGCTGGTTTGCAAGGATTCATGACTGTTCTTGAACCTATTATTATCAACAATGATCTTGGTCATCCTGTGTGCGACAATTTACGACAAGGAAAATGGGCATTGGAGTATGTGGTTCATCGTCTGGACAAGTATCTACCTCAATACCCTCATCTACAAGGCTTGAGAGATTGGCTTGATTCTCGTATGGAAAAAGTGAAGGATATGCCAGACTTTTTGGTGCCAAAATATTTTGCTATGACTATCCAAACTGCTTACAACAAGATATATCAACATGCTCTTTCTTTAATGTCTCCTTTGGTACAACATGATCTCTTCCTACAACAATTGGCGATGACGAGTGTGCAATTACTTGGTCAAGTACCTTCGACTGGACTCCATCCAACTGAATCCAATCCATCCTTGGCAGCAGGACTTCCTCATTTTACCAATGGACCTTTCCGTACATGGGGTCGTGATGTATTTATTTCTCTTCGTGGACTTTTGATGGTGACTGGACGATTCAAAGAAGCCAAGGCACATATCCTTTCCTTTGCAGGATCACTCAAGCATGGCTTGATTCCCAATTTACTGGATTCGGTACGACAACCACGATACAATGCACGTGATGCGGTATGGTTCTTTACACAAGCTATTCAAGATTATTATAACATGGCGCCAGATGGACATGACATTTTGAATGAAAAGGTATTACGTCGATTCCCAAAGGATGATCGTTTTGTGCCTGTGGAAGAAGGATATCAATACACCAGTACTATTGGGGAGATCATTCAAGAGATCTTGGAACGACACGCTCAAGGTATTCATTTTAGAGAATACAATGCTGGCCCAGCCATTGATCGTCAAATGTCGGATGAAGGATTCAATATTGATATCGAGGTAGATTGGAAAACTGGTTTGTTGGTTGGTGGCAATGCATTCAATTGTGGCACATGGATGGATAAGATGGGTGAAAGTGAAAAGGCTCACAACAAAGGTTTACCTGGTACTTCTCGGGATGGTGCACCTATTGAAATTTCCGGTTTACTAAAAAGTACATTACGTTGGATCATTGAACTTGAAAAGGCTGGGCGTTTCAAATGGACTCAAGTGAAAGGTAATAGAACTATTTCTTATGATATTTTTTTTTTATATAAATATATGACTATTCTCATCTTTTTTTTTTTTTTTATTTGATGGTATCTTGTATATATAGCTCAGGATGGCAAGATAATTCTTTACAAAGATTGGAATCGTTTAATTCAAGATAATTTCGAAAGAGTGTATTATATACCAAAAGGTAAATACAATAGCTATTTATACAAGACAGAAATGACAGATAGGACGATCTCACTTTTTTTTTTTTTTCTTCTCCTGCAAAATTAGATCCTGCTGATGATACCAAATATGATGTGGATCCCCGTATAGTGAACCGACGAACTATCTATAAAGATGTATGGAAAGCAAGCAAACCATATACGGAATATCAATTACGTCCCAACTTTTGTATTGCCATGGTGGTAGCACCTGAATTATTCAATAAACAACATGGTCAACTTGCTCTTCAATTAGCCGACACAACCATCAAAGGACCTTTAGGAATGCGAACACTTGATCCCTCGGATTTGGAATATCGACCCTATTACAACAACAGTGATGATTCCGATGACATCAAGGTGGCGAAGGGACGCAACTATCACCAAGGACCCGAATGGTTATTTTGTACCGGTTACTTTTTACGTGCGTGTCTCCTCTTCAACGCTTTGACCCCTTCTCAGGTGGCACGGATCCTTTGCAATCATCGTGATGAAATCAAGAAGAATCCCTGGCGTGGTTTGCCTGAATTGACCAATAAGGATGGTGCTCCTTGTTGGGACTCATGTTTTACTCAAGCCTGGTCATCATCGACGTTATTAGATCTATTTTATGATATGATTGAAAAAAAAAGTTTTGTGTAGTGTAGTATAGTATAATTCATAGTTTTTAGTTTATCCTCATTTCTTCTCCTTGATTTCGCATGTACTTTTTTTTTTTTTGTATCTCAATATGATACCACATAATAAATGCACATTTCATGTCAGTTTTTTTTTTTTTCTTTGTATATGTCTAGGGTGACGATAATAGACTTGCTAATGTGGATAATGACGATGCGGATGATGATGATACGCATGATAATAATAATAATAAAAAAAAAGGTATCATCAGATGATCCAAATGTTTTTATTTTCATTTACCAGGAATTTGAAACTATTCGTTGTGTCATCGTGTTTGATCATTCATTCGTTCAATACATGTAAGAATCAACCAATTTTTTCTTTTTACGTAAGATATGGACCAAAAAAAAAAAAAAAAAAAAAGGGAATATGTACAATGTCATGTCTCATATAGGTTCGCTAGGATACCTACAAAAAGTATATGTGGGTGACAATAAAACAACATTGAGAGATTCCCTTGGGATGGATGATATTTCACATGCATTGATTGTGTCAATATATCATTTATATCCTTCTCCCCTTAGTTCTCCCTCACTCCCTGTCTTTGTGTCACTCATTTTATTTATCCATCTATCTTCTATCAAACAAACATGAACAAAAAAGAAAAAAAAAATAAAAAAGATGGTTTTTATTGTTTTAAGACAAAAATAAAATAAGAAAGAATACAAAAAAAAAAAAATGAAAGATCAATGGTATAGTTGCTACATAAAATGATTTTTGATAATACAAAAAAAAAAAAAAAATGAAGGAGAGAATGAGGGTAAAAAAAAAAAAAAGGAGGGAGAATATTTCTATAGTGAATCCTTACATACATACATGCATCAAAATAATAATCAAGATTCATATGGTTTTTGGGCGGTTGCACAATGCCAATTGACATAAGTTTTCGCTTGTTCCCATTCCGAAGGCAATTGATCGACATATTCCACGTACTTGGCCTGACTGAATCCCATCACTCTTCGTAACCAAGGTCCTAATGATCGAAGATAGAATAAATATTGACTTGCCATGGCTTGACTTTGTTTCTTGCTATTGGTCAATCGTTCCCAACCAAGTGGTAAAGATTGAAAATGACTTTCCACCCTTCGAAATCCATGAACAGCTAAGATAGTAGGTAATTTTCTTGCCGCATAAGGATCTTGTTGTCGCATCCTAAATCCTTGTAACACTAAAAAAAAACATCAATCATGGTCAGGGGAGCCAAAAAAGATTTTTTTTTCTTTTTACTTACATTTATCATTCATGGCACATTCTTTTTCCAGACTACTTTTGGTTTCCAAATCCTAACAAACATACATATAAGTCATGTGTTCTTTCCTTTTTTTTTTGGGTACTTACAGGTTCCACCAATTCAATCCATCCACCAGGTTTCAGAATACGAAGATATTCCATAATCAATGGATGCCATTCATCTTGAGCCAAACCCCAATTTAAATCACGTTGGAAGATGAAATCAATACTATGGTCTTGAAAAGGTAAAGGTAAATGTCGTACATTGACTTGACGAAAATGACAATTGCGTGGTTTGATGTCTTTGGGATAACTAGGAAGAAGATCAATACCAATAAAGGTAGAATGTGGGTAAGTCGTAGCCATTTCCATACACCATTGTCCAAGGCCACATCCTACATCCAAGACGACTGGGGATTGATGACTATGTTGTTCTGGTGAAAATGAAGTGGGTGACATTTGAGGTGATCTGGTTGCTGAGATAGATAATGATGATGATGATGAAGATGATGAAGATGATGATGATCGTGATAGTGACGTTGAATGAAGAGAAGTCGTTGATCTTGCTACATCCAATTGAAGTCCAAGCATCAATGATGATGGAGGATATTGTCGTTGTAAAAGTGAGTGGACAGGTGCATGATAATCCTTACCGAAAGCAGTTCGTAAAAGATAATGTTGTGCCACCAATCGATCTTGTTCAATAGCATCTTGCATCAATACACATGGCCAATGAGCTAGGTCATATAGTTTTTTACTTGGTTTCTTGCTATGTTTGTTGTCACCAGGTGGTGGAAAGGATCGGAAACTGTTGGGATCTGATTTTTGTTTTATTGCTATTGTTGTTGTTGTTGTTGCTGATGGATCACATGTTCCACTTTCCATAGTAATAGCGGATTCATCCTTTACTGAAGAATGAAGGATTTGACTTGCTTTTTTTAATAAGGAATGTTGTGTTTGTTTCTTCTTTTTCACAAATTGCCATGATGTCGATGGTTTTTGAATGTTGTCAGTCATCACTGGTTGGTTTTCCACCTTTTTCCCCAAAAAAGAAAACATATGTTGTTGTGATGGACTTGATTTTGCCATGACAGAGGATGTTGGTGAGGAAGTAGATGCAGACGAAGATCGAGATAACCGTGGTAATAAGGATGAGATGATTGATTGTTGATGTTTTTGTCTTGCAAGAATCAATCTTTTTCGTCGACTTTCTGAGCTAATACGACGTTGGATAACGGGAGGAGTTGAAGATGTTTTTCCACTACCAGTAGTATTTGTTGATGTCGGTAACCCCATCGGCATCTTGATAGGTGAAATGGATAAGTTTTTCAAATCCTTTATCCCAGAAAAAAGATTCATCACAGGCAAAAAACAATATTATAAATAATATAGATATATACAAAGAAAATGACAAAAAAAAAAAAAAAAAAGAAAAAAAGAAAAGAAAAACAAAAAAAGAAAAACTAGATGATTTCCTATTTCAGTTGTTTTTTTTTTGAAAAACGGGGTTTAAAACCGGACTCGTCCCTTTTTTGTCAAACGCATACGGTCACCATGCATTACAGCTTTATTTTACCTTTTGTCTTTTCCGTTCTTTACCAATGCACTTGCCGTTTAAAGTCATTTCGCGCTTTTGTATCACCCATGCGCGCTGGAAATTGACCCTCAATATAGTAATCAAGGAGTTTTTTTTTTTTTTATATTCCTCCTGTCCACCGATCATTTCCGTTTTGTTTTCTTCTAACAAGAAAATAAAAAAAAAGGGGCAGTGTTGACTGACAAAAGTGTGGCTGTTTATGGTAATAATAAAAAAGATGGCCTATATAATCAATGAAACAAAATAAAAAAAAAATAACTTAGATCTAACCACTTTTTTTCTTTTTCTCCATTTTATATGATCAAAAAAAAAAGAGGATGTTTTGTTTTATCAATATGCACATCATTTCCATTTATTGAATGCACTTCATATACAAAATATATATTAAAAACGTCATGATTTTAATGTAATATCCTGATCCATGATGATCGACAAACCCATTTGACAGATTCCCCTTATGAAGTTTCCAACAGGTCACGGTTTTCAAGTACCGCTTATTTTTTTCTTTTCTTTTTTTCGTCTGCATTGGATTCCACTTTTTTTTTTTTTGACTTTTTCTACACCAATAATGGATGAACCAACTCCAAACTTGGATGATACTGCTATTACTAAAGATGTCCCTATTACTACTGATACTACAACAACCAATGATCAAATGGATTTAGACTTGAATAAGGAGTCCTCCCAATCTATTGAACAACAAGAAGCTGAAAGAAGCTTGGCTGCTTTGGAATCTTTACCTGATATTGAAGAAAAGGTAAATTCAAAGGACACTTGAAACACAAAAGTAACATTCTCATTTCTATTATTGACAAACTGATGTTTTCTTTTAGTTATCTATTGATAATACGAACTATGAACTACTGGTACGTCGAATTGACGCGTGTAAAGTGGCCGATTTACCAGATGCACTTGAAATCGCTAGGGAAGCTATGCATGATGTATATCCTTTGACAGAACGTAGGTATCTTTTTTTTTTTTTTGGAATAAACTTTAATGTTTGTTTTCTTCTTTTTTTATACTGTTAATAGAACTTTGGTTGGATTGGATTGAAGACGTCAAAAAGAATGCTACAACTGAACAAGGAGAAATTCAACTTCGTCGTCTTTATCAAGAGGCAGAACAAGACTATCTATGTAAGTTGCTTATATGAACAACTATTGTTTTTTTTCGGCCACTGACATTATATTTCTCTCTCTCTCTTTTTTTTTTTTTTTTTTTTTAAATATGATTAGCCATTCCTATTTGGACATCATATGTGGACTTTATTCGCAACAAGTTTGATCAAGCATGGGATAAAATAGAGGATAAAAATGACTCTGATTTGGAAGAAATAGTGAATACAACTAGGGAAGATCTATTACGGGCTGTACGGGCAACTGCATATCATGTGGAGAAGGTATTGAATAAAAAAAAAAAAAGAATAAATGAGATTTAAAAGTCAAAAGGGACAGGCAGATGAATTGATAGGATTGTTTTCTTTCCTTAGAGCCATGTTATTTGGAATGCTTATGCCGATTTTGAAACAAAGCTGATGGAACATTACAAAAGGTAATACCTTAGATCTATGGATATCTGACATCATTCTTGTTGTATTTGTTGCTCAATTTTGTTAATCTTGTCAAATTTTTAGTCCTGAACGATTTGCCAAACTCAAACAAATTTATCTCGATCGATTAGGTGTACTGCATATAGGTAAAGAATTTTTTTTTTTTTATTTTTGGTTTATCAGACTCATAGTCATCTTTTCTTTTTTTGGGTATAGCTTGTGAAGAGACCTTTAGTAACTATTCGCAACTTATCAGTACTTACGACAATGTGAACTATGAAGCAAGTCTAGTGGAAGCAAACAAGATTTATGCCGTGACCAAAGCAGCTGCAGAAGATAGGGATTATTATGAACAAAAACTGGTAACAGGTCAACATCAAAATATTACATAAAAGCTGATTGTATATTATTATTATTATTATTTAGAAAGAAGCAGATTATTCTTTGGATGTCTTTTATCAATATATTGAGAATGAAAAGATAGCTAAGAAAATGAAAAGTTTGAATCATGTTCGAAACTTGTATGAACGTGCAGTTGCTATCTATTGTACTGACGTTGGGTTATGGGAAGATTATATTTGTTTTATGGTAAGTTTATATGTCTCTTCCAATTTTGTATTGTGTACTTTTCTTACTTTTTCCTTTGGTTTGACAGATGGAAAGTGCTCATGTTTTAGTGTTTTTGAAACCTATTGCTCTTCGTGCGGTACGTAATTGTCCTTGGTCTGGCGCATTATGGGCTCATTTGGCACGATTTATGGTAAAAAAAAAAAAATATGATCGAGGGATATTCATGTATTCAAAAAGAAGAGACTAATAATTTCATTGTTTATAGGAATCCTCCGGTAGTCCTATGGAAGAAGTGATTGGTAAGATGATAGAATGTAAGAGAGAATCATATGATATTAATGTGATCATCTTTTTTTTTTTTCTTGCGCTAGGTATTTTTGATCGTGCTATTTCTAACAAAGCATTATTAGCAAGTCTTGAAGATTTGGTGACACTTATGATGGCAAAATGTGCACATGCACGAAGACAAGTGGACTGGGAACAAGGTATGATGAGATTTTGGTTTTGTGCAGATTAGGGGAATAGGAAAACATGGATAGAAGAAACCATATATGGAGAAGATTATACAAGCTTTGACTCATTTTTTTTTTTGTTTACATACTTAATATAGTTGATGAAGATTCAGTGAGCTATCTGCGACTCACCTTCCAAGAAGCTTTAATGTACATTGACGAATGTAAGTACAACATGTGATAGAAAAAAAAATGGTATGAATGAATGATACTAATCAAATTATTTCTTTTAAATATACCCATTTAAGCTTTCCCGGAGACTGGTGATCCTTATTATCGTATTGAAAAGTACTGGGCAATGATAGAGGTAAAAGAAAAAGAAAGGTGACAGTCAGTATATGGGATATATCGATATTAGGTTTGGCACTAGTTGGTAACTGATCATTTTTCTCTTTCTCCCTTTTCTTTCTTTCTTTTTTTTTTTTTTTTTTTTTTTTTTTGTTGATATGACCTCTAGGGCAAACGATTAGGTGATATTGAACGGGCAAGAGAAATTTGGGATGGTGTTATCAAAAAACATGGTCGTAATGCTGAAGCTTGGCTCAACTACATCGAATTAGAAAGGTAACAAAACAAAATAGCATTCGAATTATCCATTTTAACCTTTTTTTTTTCTTTCTTTTCTTTCAACATTTTAGATCACTTGGAAATATACATCGATGTACCTCTCTTTTCAAACAAGCTGTTGCCAAGAATCTGGACTACCCAGACCGATTACTCAATATATGGTTATCAATGGAATATGAAGAAGGCTCTGTAGAATCATTGGAAGATTGTTTTGTGCGGATCAATAAGAAATCCAAAGTGTTGACAAGGGAATGGCAGGTAATAATATTAAAGATGGCTCATCTTTGAATTCTGACGTTCCTTTTTTTTTTAGGCTGCCCTTGCACAACAAGAAGCAATGGAGGAAGAAAAGAAACAAAAAGAAATCAATCAAAAGGTTAGAAAAGATATTTTTTTTTTAAAAAAAAGGTCAAAGCGAACTGATTCCATTTGTTTATAGATCAAGAAAAGTGCACATAGACGGAAGCAAAAGGATTCAAAGAAGGAAGCAACCATGACAACACAAGGAAAGAAACGAAGACTCTCCTCGACAGATGATGAAAAAGATACGATGGATCACAGTATGAAGAAAGCCAAGGCACAGGATCAACAATCATCTACGACCAAGGATGAAAATGATGGATTCAAAAAGCCAGCATTTACACCAAGGAATCGTGGTGGTCGGGGACGTGGTCGTCGAGGTGGAAGAGTAGCATTAGGAGGATCTGGAGTCCAACAACGACAACAAGATACAACACAAACATCATCAACAGAACCTCGTAGTAATGAAGATTTCAGGGCCATGCTTTTAGCAGGAAGAAAATGAAATTATAGTTAATATTTTTAATTTAAATGATGATCAATAAATATGTATTGTTTGAAAAAAAAACATTTTTAGTTTATCGATTTGACTTTTTAGCTTTCTATGACAAATGTGATTTTCTTAGGGCAAACTTTGAATACTCTTACAAATTAACTTTGACTTTTTTTTTTGGGGGCGGGTGTGAAAAAAAGAAAAAAAAATACATACATCCCCGATAACAACATACGAAAAGGTTTGAAAGATATTTCCTTTTTTTCAAAATTATGGACAAAGGATGAAGTACGGGGTTTCCCGGGATAGATCGGGCTTTTTCTTTTTTATTTTTTTTCACGTTTGTAAAGAAGATTATTGAATCAAATCAAATTTGATAAACTTGTTGATTCACTCTCAGTTTTTTTTTTTCTTCTTTTTATCGCTTTCCCCGCAAAATCATGATAACTTTTTTAAATTTGACATGTGCGATTAGATATGAATAGATCGAAATCAATCCAATGATAATTGTAATAATAATAATAATCCTTATTTTTTTTTCCTACATCCTGTTAGATCGCTTCTTCTTCTATTCTTATCTTTTTTTTTTTCGTTTGGAAGAATTAAGATTTAAGTATCCGATCATCTAAACATTAGGATAATCGTTTAAGCTTATGAAATATATATATAATATTTTATCTATTTTATTGATTTTACTTTGATGAAATGATAAATTCAAAAAGAGAAAAGGTATGAAAGGAGAATTTTTTTTTGATGATTACTGAACAAAGAAATAGCATGTGAAATTGATAAAGGGGGGGAAAAAGCGGCAAAGACTGGAAAAGCCTAGGTAAGAAACGGAGGGAAAAAAGAGAGAAGATCACGAAACGGATTCTATTCCCCGCACTTGACAATGACAAAGCAAAATATCAAAAAAAAAGTGAGTAGTACAAACATTGACTCAACTTGGTTTATTTTCGATCTCTAATTATCTTCTTGTTGATGATCAAGGATGACTCAAAAAAAAAAGGATGATTTTATTCAATTAAGAAAGAAAGAATAAAATAGTAAATGGAATGATCATCCGTTCTTTAAAAAAAAAAAGAGAAATGGAAACAAATAGAAATTACAAAAAAAAAGAAAGTGATTGACTAACTCAATTTCTCGCCATATGAAAATGTTTATTGCAATCCATTTCGTGGGATATTTTTTTTTTTTTGGGCGTTGGATGGTATTCAAACTCAGTAAACTTTATAAATGAATGAGTCCCTTTTTCCCCTCTTTTTTTATTTTCTGTCCCTTTCTTTTTCCAACCTTTTTTCCTTTCTTTTCACTTATACATATTATCCTTTTATATATATATATATATATTTATTTATACATACCTTTTTACATTTATACATAATTTTACATCCCCATACACATATATAATGTCTGAACTTACTTGTACTCCTTATAACAATAACAATGATCAACCACGTTATCCTCATGAAGTCTCTACATCAGCTCCTTTATATGAATTACAAGAAGTTATTCAACAATACAAAGCACATCCTGAATTATTGAAATTGATTTTGACTAGTAAAGTGGAAGAAGATAAACGAAGAGCAGAAGAAGCCAAATTAAGAGCAAAGGAATTGGATTATTATTTGAAACATGATTCACCACCACCACCAACAACCACTTCTATTCCAGAAACAATATCAACGTCACAACAAAAGTATCAACGTAAAATATCTATACCTACACGTCAACCACAACAAGATCGTGGTCCATATCCTTCCATACAACAATCTCTCAGTCCATCATCAAGAAGGGAATCATTTGATCAACATCAACAACGTCGAAATTCTGCTGCTGCTGCCATGTTAGCTATGGGAAGTTCTGGTTCTAATTATCCTACTCTATTACCATCACTTTCTCCAACCTCACCATCAACAACTGATCCAAATTTAACGGATGAAGAAATGGAACAAAGGTAAAATATTGTTTTTTTTTTAAAAAAAAAGGAAGGATGATAGAATCAGGCACTTATTTTTATTATCAATAGTGCTGCTAGTAGTGCTTACCCATCACCAGTACCTGATCATTATGAAGATCAAGAAGAAAATACAACTAAACCTCGAAGACGACGTGAAATGCAGGCCATTACTAAGATTGTCGAAACAAGAGATTTCCCATATATGGATAGTTATTTTTGGCGCAATAACGGAAACACTACTCAAAAGAAAACCGGATGTAGAAGTATTTATTACAAATGTTCAAATAGCAATAAGGTAAAAAAAAAAAAAAAAGGATCATATGCGTGGAAAGGGACGGGAAGAGACGGGCAAAAAATCAAGGTGGTCGCATATTTGAATATGCACGATTTTTCCCGATCATTTGTATGAAGCTGACATATGATATTCATGCTCCACTGAATGATTTTTTTTTTCATTCGCTTCCTTTTATGGATTATGACTAACCTGTATATTTTTTTTTATAGGGTTGTCAAGTAAATAAAACGGTGACGGCCAAACAAAATGGTGAATATCTTATCAAATATCGTGGTACTCATCTTCCAGAATGTGGTATGGTGGAAAGAATTCGTGATTTATAGTTTTTATCTTAGTCCTTTTGTATAATAATAAATCCATTGAAACAAAAAAAAAAAAAAAACTCCGTGGTCTATTTTTTTTTTTTGTTCTTCTAAAAATGTGGGGAGACACTAGCGGGAACAAATCGGAAACGACATCAGGCTAAAAAAGTGAGAATTCATGGAAACCGAGTTACACAAATAAACAAAAAGGTGAGCCCACTTCTAAAAAGGAAGCTCATATAAAAGCCCTTTTTTTCCTTTTCTTCTTTGTATTTTTTTTTTATTTTTATTATTTTATCATCATCATTCAGTCAATGGCCGAATATTATCCTTCATTTCATTTACCTCGTTTCTCTGGATCTACTTTGGAACCTACCGTCGCCCCTGTGGTAGTGATGCCACCCATGTTGAAGCATCGATCTCCCCCTTCTTTATCATCCATGGGTTCATACAGTTCAAATACAGCCGATGACGATGATGATGATGATGACGATGATAGTGATGATGAACCTTCTTGTCGTTCATTGAATCGACCGAATCGACCGACATTTATCCATATTCCTGCTTCTTGTAAACAATTCACTATGCCTACACCACTTCCTGATGATCATCCTCAATATCAAGCTCCTCAATTCAAATGGGATGAAACTACTCAAACCGTATATAAACCTCCTCTTCATCGTTATCCTGATCCTTCTCGTCCTATCTTTTGGTCCAATTAATTTATTATATCCAATGATTAATTCTTTTGTTGATGATATCCCGCCTTCTTTGTAAATAGTTCTTTTTTGTACAAAATAAATCTCTTTTTTTTTTTTAAATCAATTTTCGAGATAAAGATTCCCACATTATTCGACTCCGCACGAAAACACAAAGGAATGCAACCATGTGATCTCTTGCAACATGATCAACCTATACACACACACACACAGACGAACCATCATCTTCATAATATATAACTAGTATTTTATTATTATTGAAATCAATATATAAATAAAAATAAAATCATATCTGAACTAAAAAAAAAAAAGAATCATCGTCATTAAATTGTCTTGAAATTGGGTTTAGCCTTGATGCGTTGATAATAAGCAGTCAAATAATCACGACCTCCAAACACCATCGCGTCACCTTTGATCAAAGCCAAGCGAGCCAACACTGGTGTGGCATGTACATCAGCCAAAGTATAAGTTTGTCCCACCAAGAACAACCTACCATCCTTGAGTTTGTTCTCCAACTTGTCCAAAAGGTTCAGGCCAAGTTGCCATAATTGTTGATGTTGTTTGTACATTTGATCAGCGGCTTGTCGATGATGCTGATAGTCATACGCTTCCATCAATTGTTCGGTTGTAGTAATCTGCTGCTTGTAAAATGCTTCCCGTGCTTGATCAATCGCTGCATAATGTTGCCAACCTCCAATCCGCTTCTTCAAAAATGGCACGACCATCTCGCGTTTCGCATCACTGTCCCTATCTGATCCTGCTGTGAAAAACAAAGGATTTCCTACATCATGAGCCCCATGTAACAGTGTGATGACATCTTGCATCTCTTGTCTTTGCAAAGCATCCAAAGGTGTCAAAGTCCCTCCTGTCTTATCATCCAAATATTTCGCCACTACTGTTGAATCCGTTTCTTTGATCTTGGTATCATGATCCACAAGGACAGGAATAGTATGTTGAGGATTGAGTCTACATTATTTTTTTTTAATAAAATAAAATAAAAAACGAGGTTAAAAAAAAACAGGAAGAAAGAAATAAATACTTACTCGAGGAATTCAGGTGAAAAATTCTCTGCTTTGGATAAATCAACATTGATATATCGTACGTCTTGTTGAATACCTTTTTCTTCAATAATCAATCTAGGTACAGCCGCCCAAAGTGAAGGAGGGAATGTATAAACATCAATAGTCATGGTATAAATAATAATAGTAAAAAGAAAAGATAAAGAATAAAAAAAAAAAAAAAAAAAGGCAACCCATTTATATATATATAAAAAAAAAGAATTCATTCAAGCCCAGTCATCCCAAATGAATTGCTATCGAATGAAACAGAAGATGACAAACCTACTTAACTGTCGGCATAACAATCAATATTTTTTATTCATCATCATCTATCCAACAAAGGGAATAAACGTCAACACTATTGTCATACTATACTATGATATGACTAATCCACTACTTCCTATCGTCGTCGTTCAAAATAAGACGAGTGACTAAGATACAAGATGGAGGCATCCAGTATGTATTCACCCATGTTCAAATATTGTTCTACATAACTACGAAGTCCTTTGTGTTTGATTTTAGATACTGCTGGTCTATGTTGATGAAAGAAAAAAAGTTAATCTTTTACATATATATATTTTCTTTTATTACTTACGTGATACCTGTGGATCTTTTCACACTAGCCAAAATCACTGATACTAAGACAGCATCGGCAGCAAAATGAAGTACACGGCTCCACATGGAATCTTTGAGAATATAAAATCCAGTCAATGCCAATTTGGAGTAAAAATATAAGGACATTTACAACAGAGAAAAAAAAAAAGATACAATGGAAAAAAAAAAAAAATGTTGGACGAAACTTTTGCACCAAAAAAAAAGGTCAGCAACTCGACAGCCAATCATATTCCATTTTGGAATGGTAGCTTTTAACAAAAATACGGGTCAATGTTCGGCATAGATTGATTCTTCTCAAGCTTTCCTTTTCTTTTTTTTTTTTTTTTAGGAGGAACTGTCTATATACAATAAAGGAGTCAAAAGAGATTTTTATAAAAGTGTTGTAATAAAAAAGAGCTTTTTATAAAAGTGTTGTAATAAAAAAAAAGTTTTTTTTCTATATATCATTCTAATAATTCTAATCTAATACAAGGGAAACCATTTGATACAAAGAGTACGAATATCATCCACTACTACAGTAGCTAATTGATAAAACCAAAGAGAGTATTCCAATTTCTGATAATGCCACCAAGCACTCAAGAGAGATTTCATCAAATACCAATGCCAACCAATCTCTTTTAATTGTTGAATCAAATAAGATCGTGTATCCAACCAGGCCGCCTTGGAACAATATTGTCCCATAATCACATATGTAATCCTTTCATCAGGTACCACATTCAATTGTTCATCCACATGTCGTAAAAGATCGTTTGTCTTGAGTAAAAGTAATACCGTTCGAGGCATCTTGCCCAAAATATCCGCCACTTCCACCAAAAATGTCAGTGCACCTTCAGTCATGCGTCCTAATTCTTCTTGTTCTCGTATCGAATTCAAATCTGCATTGTTGATCTTGGCCCATTCACGTCCTGTCAGCATACTGGCAAACAATTGATATCCATCCGTACCACCTACACGATGAGCATAAATTCGAATTCCTTCTTCATCCCCACTGATCAATGATGTCCATAAATGAGCATAGTCCGAACGTAATTGATCAGGTAATGTACGATATAATCCATGATCAAGTAATACTAGATCAAAATTATGTCCATGTTTCTTTGTTGAAGGTCGAATAATCACATTACCAGGATCTATAAAAAAAGAAATTACGTTTAGTCATTTTTTTTTTTATTTTTATTTTTATTTGTAATTTACGAGGATCACAATGGACAAAACTATAGAAAATAAAAAGAATGAGTTGAATAAATGATTTTTTTTTTTTGATTTTTACTTACCCATGTAAAAAGATCATTTCTGAAAATATTCTTGTTAATTCTGAAGATACAGCTCGAGGATCAATACCATGTTGCTTCATATATTCTAAATCATCAATACGAGCTCCTTCAATAACTAAATAATAATAATAAAAAGAAAATCAGTAAACTCTTGATTTGGATAATAAAAGATGATCCATATTTATTTTTTTGAATCTCCACCGGGTAAACTTACATTCCATACACATGATTCGTCGAAGAGCCCACAAGGTAGCAGGGATGACCAAGGCTGTGGTCTTGTCATCAACAAAATTGGCAGCAACTTGACGAGCATTGTTGGCTTCATGAGCAAAATTCATTTCTTGAGGTAAAGATTCTTTCATTTCTTCCACCAACCAACCAAAACCAAAATCAGGGAAAAAGTAGTAAATACAGTCAAAGATCACCGATACTGTTTGCATATCAATACGACAAAAATCATCCAAGTTTGGGTGTTGCAATTTCACCGCTACCCATTCCCCCGTGGATTTCAATCGAGCCTTGTGCACCTGGGCCAAAGAAGCCACACCAATAGGAGTCCAATCAAAATCATCAAACACAGCTTCGATAGGTTGCCCATAATCTGTTAGAAAAAGTTGTCGAATGTCTTCCGGTTGTGTAGGATCACATCGATCTTGTAAAACTGCCATCGTCGAAGTCCATTCTACTGGTAAAAGATACACCATCGCTGACACATGTTGACCCAACTTGACATAGATCCCACCGAGTTGCTGTAATGCCGTTAATACTCGATGAGCACAGCGTAAATGACATTGTTTGCGTGCTTCCACACTGGCTTCTTCAGAATCGTAATGTTTCGATAATGTCATCTTGTAATCAAGTGCCACAAGTACACCCACTTTTCCTGCCACTCCACATCGTTCAAAAGCGGTTATCACATGTCGACAATCTTCATTGGTATAATATAAAGTCGTTGTTGTTGCTGCTGCTACCATAGCTGTATAGCCTAGCTTTCGATACTTATTGGACGGACGTTGAGGTAAGGTGCTGACTTGTCGTAAAGAGTGATTAAAGGATGTACGAATAGAAGGACGAAGAGGTGTAAAAAAAGACGAAGAGGTGGGCATCCATCTTGTACAAGAGGATAAAAAGTGTCGCCCACGAATCATGCCAAACTAATCACTATCTAGCAATGTAAAAAAAAAAAAAAGGAAAAGAAAAAAAAAAAAGTGAGAGAGACAAAGAAGAAAAGAAAGAAAAAAGTCTACCTTTCAACCTTTTTCTTTTTTTAAGAAAAAAAAAGGTTTCAGTCCCAGATAACCGGGACACAAATGAACAGAGCTTCTGGTAACCAGAATCGAAAAGATGATGTGCACTATGCTTAATAGTTATCATATCCGTATTGTTTGCATGGTTTATACTACATCCTATTTCATAAAACCCACAATATCACAATATCACAATAAAAAAAATAAATAAAAATAAATAGTCTTTCATTTATTAATCTAATATACAGTATCATTCGAAAACTAAATACTATCAAAAAGGCTCGTCTTCCTATAGCTATAGCCTTAAACCGCTGGTGGGCGCCTTTTTCCAGCAAGTCGAGCTCCTGCGTATAAAAAAGGAATCATAATCCAGTACTGTGCCAATCTTTTTTTCCCTTTTCTATAGAGCATATATATTGTATTCGCCTACTATTGACTTGCTTGTCAAAAAAAAAAGACACTTCAATCACTGTACGTTCAGTATAAAAGATGACAAACGCTCCTTACCTTCCATATCTTTGTATCCTATAGGTGAATCATCTGTTTCCGTCACATATAGTTGCCCTTCTTTCTTTGGTATAGTTTTCCTTATCGAGTTTTATTCTCTTGTTGCTGTTGTTATTGAAGAAGAAGATCGTTCCTGTTGATATAATTTGAACCTTATTAATACCTATCGCTACCCAAATTCAAAATATTGTTGCATACAGTTAGTAATCAAACTAAACATATTGATTCTATCTTCTAAGGTATACCATGGTGCTATACGCTTTGTTTTTAAGTAAACTCGAAAAAGAAAAAAGAAATTCCAATACAAAAAAAAAAAAAAAAAAAGAAAAAGAAAAAGAAAACGGAAGAAAAAAAAATCGATGCACCTTTTCGTAGACATTGGATCGGGGTTTGGTCATCAAAAAGACAATGCATGTACTGCTTTATTCAAGTAGATGATAAATCAAAACCTATCATTATTAAAGAAAAAAAATACTACCACTACAATATGTTTGAACCTTTATTTGGGAGGAAATACATTGCTAGTGAAAGTGCCGATAACATTTCCTGGCGCATCATAAGAGCAGAATGTGATTGGACCTCCAGGGCATTTAGTGAGACCACAGCCAACTTTGGTAGTATCTTTCCATACGATTTGGGTAAAATGAAGAGAAGTCAAGCCAGGGTCCGTATAATTATAATGACCAACTTCAGAGTACCAGCCATCGACGATAGAAGCCCACGAAGGGTAATTCATAGCCATGTTTTCTCCGTAAGGACTAAAAAAAAAAAAAAAAAAAAAAAAAAAGCTCGTTAGAAAAAACAATTACTGACTATACGGTTACTTACCCGTAACTGTGTTGAAAGACACACTTTTCGGAATAGTTTTGTGCATATTGAGCAACTTTCTTGTCCCACTTCAAAGGAGGTACACCATGGAGTTTGCGATACTTGTTATGAAACTTGACAATGGTGTTGATATCCCTCTTTGGCAGGGCATATGCAAATTGAAGCATCAAGGCGAGAGCTACCATGCAAATGAAGAATCGATTCAACATATTTTTGTTTTTTTTAGAAGGAAAGGAATGGGATTGTTATGGATGATTAATTGAAGGAAGGAACACAAGAAAGATGCGCTTTTATATTACCATCAATGGAGAATTTTAGCAGACATACCGTAGTGATTTACGTTTCGTATAACCCTAATAGTGTAACAATACCGACGATCTAATGCACTTTATTATTGCCATCATTTAACGATGGTCAGATATTGGTTTTTCTAACCCCAAAGCCATTTGCATTCATGCAAAATATACCAGGCGTATTTATTATTAAGCAATCCACTGCAATATTTCTAGCATTGCCTTTTATTATGTGTCTTGAAGAAAGATCTGGTCCTAATAAATCATTTACTTTCATATACTTATGAAATAAGCTCAAGAAATTATCAAGCTCTAGTTTGATTGTCATGGTAAACTATGATCTTTTTCTTTTGGGTGTCATTTTGTTGTACTACATTGATCTTTATTGGCAACAAGGTTTCATTGCTCTCTTTTTTTTTTTTTTTTTTTTTTTTTTTTTTTGTTGGGGAAGTAGGATGTAATCCAAACAAGTTCTTTCTGTCCGAAATTTCATTGGTCATCATTTCACCTCTCTACTTGGGAAACATACCGCCTTATCCCATCCCGTGGAATCCGCCAACTATGCTTCAACAGGGAGCAAATTCCTTCTGGTTCCAGATCATCCCGCGGCAACTCATCTTCCTTATTTGTTCGTTCACGTTTTCCTTTTCCCTTTAGTGCGAGTTATGAATACCTCTTCGTTTCATCAGTACTGAATGCTCATCACTGTTAGTACCATCACCCATCATCCATCATCCATCTTGTTACCAAATGTACAAATTGAGTATCAATAATAACTCAGTTATGTTCAGGACTAAATCGAATTATCCATTTATTTTATATTTTACATTTAACTCGACGTTCTTAGCGGTAAATGTACTTTGGTGTATTAATAAAAGAAGATGGATATGGATGATATACGTATATTTTGATAGCTCTATTGGATGATGATCATTATTCGAAAAGGGATCGTAATATTGGCCTTTGTTTTTTTAATTTATTTCATAAATCGGGAGGTAATTATAAATTTTATTAATATAAATGAAAGAGATGATCCTCATGTACACTTTATTTAATAACAATTGACGGAATTCAAAGAATAAGATGTCGTAAAAAAGACAGAAGAAAAAAAATATAATTGTCGCATAATCAAATAGAGAATATAAGAAAATCATGAAAAAAAGAGCAATCAAAAAAAAAGAAAAAGGAAATCCACCAATTGAATTCACCAAGTTTGCATATAAAAAAAAGAAGAAAGAAAAAAGTGAGTAATATTTATCCAGATGATATCTTTTTATTCACTTACAATTTAAGCGCGAACGCCTAAACATGTATCGAGATCACTGCAGCAATTTCGCACTGCAGTGAAAGTAGAATGGCGATAACCATCCCAGAAAGCGTTGTGATTTTCAACATATTTTTTGAAAAAAAAAAAAATGGGCGACCCCAACCACTCCTGAGCAAATAACGACCGAGGTCAGACCAAGAAACGGGCCACAAGAGAGGACAGACGGAAAAGAAGACTGGCCAAAGGGAAAGGACACGGAAAAAGATGACAAAGGAAGGGACAGGCAAGCCCAAAGAAAAAGAAAAAAGAAAAAAAGAATTTGATGAAGTGAAAAAAGGATGTTCTTTTATAATAAAACAAACTCCCTGTAAAAGAAAAAAAGACAAATCACCCTTGTAATTATGCGCTTTTTTAGCTATGAAATCAAAAGGGCCCGAATAAATGGTTTCAAAAAGAAAAAAGGAACTATTATGCAAATTTTGATGTCATCTATGGGAAAAGAGATTGATCGATTGCATGTTTCAGTAATGAAAAAAAAGGAACTATTATGCAAATTTGCTTTTATCATCTATGGGAAGAGGGAATGATTAATAGTATGTTTCAGTAATGAAAAAAAGATAAGGACCCGAGTAGATGGTTTCAAAGAAAAAGAATTATCATGCAAATTTACATCTGTCATCTATTGGAAAAAAAGATCAATTGATGCATGTCTCGGTGATGATTTCAAAAGAACTATGCAAATTTTGATGTAATTTAAGGGAAAAGAGATCCATCGATAAAAAAAAGGAACTATTATGCAAATTTACATCTATCATCTATGGGAAAAAAGATTAATTGATGCATGTCTCAGTGATGATTTCAAAAGATAAGGACCCAAGTATATGATTTTTTTTAAAAAAAAGGTTATGTTTCAGTGCTTTTTTATTATGTAAAGAATCAATCATCATCTATTCATGCCGTCATCCATTCATGCCATCATCCTATCACACTATCACGTACCAACGTCTAGTCGTACCTATAAAAATATATGTGGAATAAAAAGAATGTACCCAAAATATAATAATACATCAAAAGAAGATTAGAATCAATCACATTGACATGTAACAAAGTAGTTGGAATAAAAATAAAAACTTTATTGAATAAAAGTATAAATAATAAAGACTACCAATTGATATACTAAAAGTCAATACAAAGAAAAGAAAAGAAAAGAAAGAAAGAAAAAGCAAATACAAAAGAATATGAAAGAAAACGGACTTTGAAAGCCTCTACGTTCAGGGCAATCATCATGATGAATCAACACTCTAATGATGATCCATTATATCAATAAAGAAGTTTGTTTCTTTTTTAATATACTTTTCAAATAAAGTCGCAGTATTTTTTTTTTTTTTTGTTTTTCCATCATCATCACCAACATCGACCCATCATTCTATTATCAATCACCTCTACCGACATCTCTAAAGCGATATCTAAAAGAGTGGTAATGCGACGTCCATTTTGGGAAAGTACGATATTTTGCTTAATAACATCACGAAAAGTATTTTCTCATGACCCGCCAAGCGAACGGAAAAAACCAGTATTCATTTTTTTTTTTTTAAAAAAAAAGAAGATATTTGATATCAGATAATAATTCCTCCGTCTTAGATAATCATAAGTTTATTTGTCCTTCCTCAAGGGGAGAACTGGAGTTTGCCTGATCTACGGTAGTGGTAATACAGCGTCAAGAATACACGGAGTGATTACCATAACCATTTCTGCAAGTGCCGTCACTGAGTAACGTAGGTCAATTGGTTCAGAGGTTGCAATTTGAACATATTTCAGTAGTTCCGATATACGTTGTGCCGTTTGATCATTCCTTCCTACAATTTTTGGAACTGCAGTATTCGCAGGCACTTGGTTTTTCGATGCTTGTTCGAAGCGACGTGTAGCATCAAGTAGAGCTTCGTATAGTGGACCACTTTTTATAATAGGAACAGCTTCTAGATAATGTCGACAGCCATTTATCAACAGTTCCGATAGACTTGGTGCCATTTGATCATTCACTCCAAGTGATTGTTTCTTGTCAATCGGGGCGCTCAGGATGCAGAGACACAGAGAAAGCAACAACAAGATGCGGTACATAGTGGAATAATAAATACCCTAAAAGTAAAATAGATCGTTTTTATTTACTATTCACTTTTTTATAGTTTATCTCTCATTTATATATTTTTACTTTCTGTGATGACTCCTCTTTTCAGAAGCAAGCGTTTTACCCTGAAAATCTTTGTCCTTTTTTCTTATCTACATTGAATAAGGAGATAAGTTGCATAACCCTTACATATTGATAATTTATGATCATGAATAATGCGTGATGCCTCTCCTCTTAGGATCATCATTATACATGAACAAAGGGAATATATACAGAAATAATCATCTTTTATTCTAGTTTTCTGTCTACTACACAGGAAAGAGAAGAGTTTTTAGTGTCTCAAAAAAAAAAAAGATTTCCTGTCCATCTATTGGCAGATCACATATAATTTTTCCATGATAATTCACGATGAAGCAAGATAGATGATGATGACAAAATGATGATGGAAGGTATGATCAAGGTGATGATCATGTTTAACAGTGGATAGTATAGTAATCAAGAAGGAAGGTTTACAGAAATTAAACGCCAGACCGTCAATCAGTTCAAAGTCTTTGTAATGCAAGTCTAATATCATCTATCATCCATCATCCATCATATGTATTTGGCAATGACAAAAAAAAAAAAAAAAAAAGGAACAAGATGATGTTCCTCGTGCAGAGAAAAAAGGGTGGATTATATTTTTTGAGATCGACAAGGGTACACCTTAGATTTTCAAAAAAGGGGAAAAGAAAAAAGGGAAAGATTATATGCGTGGTCGCCACACAATATTCTCAGAGAGTGAGATTCATTTATAGTTTTATTAAAGAGGAAAAATTAGAAAGATCTACACTTGAGTAGACATAAAGCTTTTTAGAGTTTTTGCTTAGACTTTGGGGTTGGGACACAAAAGGAAATTGTGGCCAGTGGACGGGCTTCAAAAAAAAAAAAGTACTCTTCTGCCTTTTTATAATTTTTTTTCTTTCTTTTTCTTTTCTTCATCCACTTTTTTTTTCCACATTAGCTGTCCTCTTTGTCTGTGCGATCTTGTCAAGGTAGATTTTATTGGATTTGGGACGTTTTGAAAAAGGGATTTACAAAATACATGGGGAAACCCTTTCATTTTGGATGTAGGATTTAGTACAGGTAATAAAAATATTTTACACCTTTTTTATATGAATTGCTTGACCTGAATTTATTTTATTGGTAATGTGAATGAAAGACTGACTGAATGGTAAACTTATTTTGGTTAGGTATAGCGGCTTGTTGTTAGGATCTTGGTAGTGAACGAACACCTCTGATTGGTTGGCACTATAATAGATACAGTAATAGTAGTGAGTTTTATTAATTAATATACGTATTACTTCTTTTTTTTTTATTTGATTTTTTTTTTTTTTTTTTTTTGAAATAAAGACTTTATTGGTTTTTATGATACACAGCAATACACTTCCCTGTCTTTTTTTTTTTTTTATGATAATCATTATTAATTGGACGAAGGGATGACTGAATTGAGGTTTCATTTTTGGTTTACTTTATAAATTGTGAGATAATACTGTATATAAGTTGTTATTAATACAAATGAAAATGAGATAATATATTTATGTATCTTTAATCTAAATTTGATACAATGATGATGATTTCTGTGCCAGCTACAAAAAAATAAAGAGATAAATAATCCATTTCCATCAGATGGTACAGTATAAAAAAAATGTTATAGATTTAATTTCTTGTTATGGAATAAACTAACCAATAAAATGACATTAGACGGTGCTAACTACTTTTTTGAGAGGAATTCAATGGTGGCAGTTTCATTAGATGATTACGTTTATTGGATGAGGAATAGCTGTTTTGATTTTTGTTATACAGTTTAATCTGTCAGATGGGGAGGAACTTTCAAAAGGCGTGAAGTCAAGCAGTAGAGAATTGCTTTGCTCTATCTTCGATCTAAATTTGAAATCATTATGGTAGTCATTATTGTAGACGAAACCATCATAACATCCATCATTACACAAATCATCATAATAATCATTATAAGCTATGACTTTGCATTTGCATGGCATTATCTTTTTTTTTAAATCTATTTTGAAATAAATGGTCCGAGCTCTGAGAATCCATGATCATGAATAGTGTGTGGCGTTTCGGGTTCGGGATCATCATTGTACATGAACAAAGGGAATATATAGAGAAATAGTCACCCACTACTATGTTTTCCTTTTACTTTGCAGAAAACGGCGGGAGCGTTCAGCATCTAAAAAAAAAAAAAAAAAAAAAAAAAGGTCGCCATATCGTGGATCCTCTTTCTAAAAAATTTTTTTTCGCCCTGAACAATTCCTTTCTAACTTAACTATTTTGACTAAATGAATACATTACATATATCAAGTGATATCGTATCTAATGATCATGAATAGTGTATGGCATTTTAGCCACTAGGATCATCGTAGTACACGAGCAAAGAGGACATATAAATAAACGATCATCCATGACTATGTTTTTCTGTTTATTACGCAGAAAATAGAGGATTTTTAGCATCTGTAAAAGAAAAAGAAAAAGAAAAGAAAGAAAGAAAGAAAGAGCATCATAGTAACTATACTGGGAAGCATCTCCTGTCTATCTATGGGCATAAATTCAATTCTTAAGACCGGTTTTATTTACGTTTCTTATGACCATACTTAATGGAACATGATGCGTAGTGATCGATAAGTGATGATAGGTGATATGACCAAGGCAAAGGTAATGTTCAACACGAGAATGTATTGCGCCAAGGAGGCCTGTTTCATGGTGGAATATAAATGCATGATCGACAATCATTTTAAAATCTTTTGCAGGTACTAATGTCGTCTATCATCACCTATCGTCATCGGTTGCCGATCACCGTCACCGATTATCCGTCATCCATGATGATCATTCGATAGGCACGAAAACAAAATAAAGAAGATGATACTTCTCGCAAAAAAAAAAAAAAAAAAAAAGGCGCAGGCGTTCTTGAGATGGGTAGGAGTACGTCTCATATCTTCAAAAAGGAAAAAAAAAAAATGGAAAAACAATATGCACTATCGCCACACAATATTCTTATACAAAAAGTCTTTTTAATTAACAGATATAAATAGACCATGTCTTTTCTTTATTTTTTTTTTCTTTTGATCCATAAAAATATTATCTATTGTTTTTGGTAAAAAAAAAAAAAAAAAAAAAAAAAAAAGAATCAACACCCTTTCTTAACTGATTATTTTTCTGTTTTTACCATAGGAATTTATCTTTTAAAAACCATCCTTTTTTTTCAAGGCAAGCTCATCAAAATGAAGATTATCATCGTTTTAAACGCATTATTGATTTACGCTCTTGTGTCAGTCACTTGCGACGAAGGATATAGTACAGGAGGGTTTTCATCTAGTGGTTCGATACCTTATACAGCACCTAATAATAATTACAATAATGGCTGTGGTAGTAGCTTTGTTAGATGTTGCAGACGTACAAGTTCTGGCGCAATAGCACAAAGCTGTCATAGTGCAGCGAGTGGTTGTCCTTCCCTCAATAGTTTATATCAATGTTGATCAAAGTTTAAATTAAAATAAACGCTCTAGTATCCCTGAGATCTTTAAAACTTAAGATTTGTGTGGATTATGTGTGGACTATGGATTTTTTTTTTTTTTGAAGTGGAGGCAATCACTTATCATCCACTACCAGAAAACAGACATCAATGGACAAAATGGACTCAGACGACATTAGACTGTTTTTTTGGAGTTGATTGAAATGAAAGCATTTTTATTGAATGATTATACCAATTTGATGAGTAATTTTATTTTTGTTTTTAATTTATTTTATAATTTGGGAGATAAGTCATTATGTATAAATTATTGCATGGCGAAGAGAGCTTGACGCTTGGAGGAATGAAAAAAAAAAAAAAAAAAAAAAAAAAAAAACGGCCGATCTTTTGGATTTTACAGCCAAAAAATTGGAATTCCACTGCCAAAGTTTGGCTGTAAAAACGAATCGTCGAGGGGTCATCAGGCGATTTTTGGAAAAATGGATGAAATGCTTTTGGTGTTTATTGCACATTAAATGACAAGATAAGTGATAAAATGGTATTAGATGATATTAAGCTAATTTTTGATGAGGAATCTAATGGTGATGATTTTATTGGATGATGATCCTTATTGGATGAGGGATGACTGAATTGACTTTTCCATTTTCAATTTACTCTATAAATTGAAAGGTAAGATATAAATTATCGTTAATATAAATGAAAGAGAATTATTTAATGTATACTCAGTCCACATTTGATGCAATGATGATGAATTTTGAGTGAATTACAAAAATATAAAGTGGAACTTGTCATATTACAGTACAGCATAAGACACTTACGCATCGAATTTCTCGTTATGGAGCAAGCTAACTAATAAAACGATATTATAAATTGTTAGACTACTTTTTGAGATCAATCTAATGGCATCATTTTATTAGTTAGTGTTTGATATTGGGTGAGCTATGACGATATCGACGTTTGTTTTTTATTTTATTCTATAAATTAGGAGGTAAGGTGTAAATTGTTATTAAGATAAATGAAAGAGAATGATTTCATCTATGCTAATTCCAGATTTGGTACAATGATTACGACTTTTGCGTCAGTTACAAAAAAATAAAGACATACATGTCACGTCGCAACACATTATAAAAGGCATTTACGCATCGAATTTCTTACTACGGAGCAAGCTGACCAATGAAAGGTCATTATGTATGCTTATGCTACTTTTTAGCACTGCAATCAACGGCGAAGAGAGCCCGAGATTTATTAAAAACAAAAAAAAAAAGATCGATTTTTGATATTACAGCCAAACTTCGCTTGTAAAAAATCAATTCCCTAACAATTGATTTTTACAGTCATCACACGACCCTTATTTTTTATTTGGACAACAGAATCCGCTTTATTATATTCATTTTGAAAAAAAAAGATAATAAATAGTAAGTGGTTCCTCTTAGATGGGCACTGCCGACAGTTCTTTCCTTATTGTTTAGTAACGTTTTGAAAAGAGTACGGTTTATGGTTTATCGGTCGACCTAGGGCGTCGTACAGTGTAGTACTTTGTAGAGGTTGTCGAACTGGAGTATTCGCTGGCACTTGGTTTTGCAATTCTTTGTAATGAAGTGCCAATCTAATCAGAGCTATGGGGTCTAGATTCATATCTCGAATTACTGATGGAACATATTTCAGTAGTTCCGATAGAGCTTGTGCCGTTTGATCATTCCCTCCAAGTGATTGTTTCTTGTCAATCGGAACGCTCAGGACACAGAGACACAAAGAAAGAAATAATAAGATGCGGTACATAGTGGAGAAAATAATAAATATACTAAAAATAAAATAGATCGTTTTTATTTACTATTCACTTTTTTATAGTTTATCTCTCATTTATATATTTTTACTTTCTGTGATAACTCCTCTTTTTAGAAGCAAGCGTTTTATCCTGAAAATCGTTGTCTTTTTTTTTTTTTATCTACTTTGAATAAGGAGATAGGTTGCATAACTCTTACACATTGATAATTTGTGATGATGAATAATGCGTGATATCTCCTCTCTTAGGATCATCGTTATACATGAACAAAGGGAATATATACAGAAATAATCATCTTTTATTCTAGTTTTCTGTCTACTACACAGGAAAGAGAAGAGTTTTTAGTGTCTCAAAAAAAAAGAAGATTTTCTGTCCATCTATTGGCAGATTACATATAATTTTTCCATGATAATTCACGATGAAGCAAGATAGATGATGATGACAAAATGATGATGGAAGGTATGATCAAAGTGATGATCATGTTTAACAGTGGATAGTATAGTAATCAAGAAGGAAGGTTTACAGAAATTAAACGCCAGACCGTCAGTCAGTTCAAAGTCTTTGTAATGCAAGTCTAATATCATCTATCATCCATCATCCATCATGTGTATTTGGCAATGACAAGAAAAAAAAAAAAAAAAAAAAAAGGAACAAGATGATGTTCCTCGTGCAGAAAAAAAAGGGTGGATTATATTTTTTGAGATCGACAAGGGTAACACCTTAGATTTTCAAAAAAGGGGAAAAGAAAAAAGGGAAAGATTATATGCGTGGTCGCCACACAATATTCTCAGAGAGTGAGATTCATTTATAGTTTTATTAAAGAGGAAAAATTAGAAAGATCTATACTTGAGTAGACAAAGCTTTTTAGAGTTTTTGCTTAGACTTTGGGGTTGGGACACAAAAGGAAATTGTGGCCAGTGGACGGGCTTCAAAAAAAAAAAGTACTCTTCTGCCTTTTTATAATTTTTTTTCTTTCTTTTTTCTCTTTTCCATCACTTTTTTTTTCCACATTGAGCGTCCTCTTTGTTTTTACAATCTTGTCATGGTAAATTTTATTGGATTTGGAGTGTTTTGAAAAAGGGATTTATAAAATACATGGGGAGACCCTTTCATTTTGGATATAGGATTTAGTATAGGTAAATGACAAAAGCATTTTATAATGGGATATGAATTGCTTGACCTGAATTTATTTTATTGGTATTGACTGAATGGTAAACTTCTTTTGGTTAGGTTGTTAGGATCTTGTTAGTGGACGAACACCTCTGATTGGTTGGCACTATAATAGATACAGTAGAATGAATAGTAGTTAGTTTTATTAGTTAGTATACGGATTACTTCTTTTTTTTTTTTTGAAATAAAAATTATACTGTTTTTTTATCATACACAACAATACACTTCCGTGCCTTTTTTTTTTTTTGATGATAATCGTTATTATCGGATGAGGGATGACTGAACTGACCTTTGTTTTTTTAATTTACTTTATAATTTGGGATAAGTTTTTAATGATGGTTCATAATGAGGGATTTCTGATGATCGCCAAGTGATAATAAGGTGATGATAAATGTTTGACAGTCAGTGATCAGTGGCAAACAGAGATAGTCTATGCACTTTAGACAGCTGATCACATAGGCAAATTAAAATATTTAAAATAGAAGAATGATAACGGTCAATCATCATCAGTCATCAATCATAAAGAAGAAATCTTCATTCTTTCGCAGTATGGATCACTTCACCCGGACTTTGAAAACATAGAATGAAAAACTCAAAAAGTACAAACTTTTCAGTTTTCTATTCATTTTCCTTCCTTCTTTTTCTTTTTTCTTTTTTTTTTTTTTTTTTGTTTTTGTTTTAAATACATGGCCAATGTCGACAATACAAAACAATTAGTACGGATCCGACTATGTGGAAATAAACCTCTTATTTTTAACGTCGATGGTAATAACGAAGAAAAGAACATAGATAGCGTAGCAACTTTATTGAAACAGCAACTGATCAATTTTTACTGTTGGTAGATGTGAAGCGGTTACGTTGTGATCTCCGAATAGTAGGATCATTGGTGGGTTCCTTACCTCGATTTCCACAGCAAAACTCTTTCTATGGTCTCCCTGTTTTACTTCTTCCAGAAGAAGCAACGTTTGTACTTCAAAACGGTAATGACACGAGATTCAAGAGTTATTTTTTTTTCTTAAAACATTTACTCATCAATATTTCTTTTGATGAAATAGGTTGGGGAACGCTTAGTGATAATGATACAACAGGAGAAAAGGACAAGACATGGGTGAACGAAAAAAGTATCAAGTATCAAGTCTATCGGTATCTCTGGCAACAAGGATTGTATATTACAAGTGGGGAAAAGTTTGGTGGGGACTATCTAGCCTATCCTGGTGATCCAATGCGGTTTCATAGTCATTATATCATCAGTGTACAGCAGGATGGACAGACGTGGTCATTGATGGACCTTGTGGCCATGGGACGTTTGGCAACAAATACCAAGAAGACCTTTGTATTGGCAGGATCAACTACGCAGGATGTGGAAAATACCGATCAAGACAGAAACAACAATAGCAAAACTACTCTTGAGGATGAAGCACAGATCACATGTTTCTCGATCACTTGGGCAGGATTCTAGTATAGGATGGATTCAATACAACAAGTTCACTTGTTAGATGGATTTTTAGAAACATACGGTAGATACTCTAGCTTGAATTCATCATGACTATTTTTTTTTTTATTTATTACATTAGAAATAAACAATATCCTTGACTTTTTACTACTACGACAATAATAATAATAATAATACAATAAGAATCATAAAAAAAAAAAAAGGAAAGGAGACACTGATAGTTTTATTGGTTGTAAGAAGGAGTGAATGATAAAAGATTAGAAAGGGTATTGGAAGAAGATACAAAAAAAAAAAAGAAAAAAAAAAGGATAACGTATAATACGACGGTAAAAAAAAAAAAAAAAAAGGAAGGTGGTAGGGAAAAATAAATTCCAAAAAAAAAGAGGTAATAAAGAATGGAGAAAAAGTCCAAAAGGGAACTAATGATAAATCAAATATAGAAAAAAAGAAGGGAGCATATCATATAGTATAAATAAAATAGGAAGAATATCAATAGATAACACGATCACCAATCTTGATAACAATAGGAGGTTCTTGAGTGTTAGGTCTAGAGATTTCAGCCAATTCACGACCGGCACTCCAGGTACCACCTTCAATGAGTTGAGACAGGGAAAGATCCTTTCGAGAGAGCTTGAGAGAGTCACGCACGCGTTCTGCTACAAGATCAAGGTATGCAGTTGTAAGAGCACGCCATTCAACTACAACAGGGTCCGACATTTCAAACATGGGGGCTATTTCTACTTTAGGTTGTCCAGGGATCAAAGAGTTTTGTCGGTAGTTTTCAAGTCCACGTTCCAAATCATCTTTTTTCAAAGTGATGAATCCAGTATCCATCAATAATCCACCTATACAAAAAAAAAAAAAAAAAAAGAGTTCAACATATCAACCCGTTTTTTTTTTTATTATTTTTATTTTTTTACCATTGCGATAATCAGGTAGAGGAGTCAATAAATCAGTTCCTTCAATGGTAGCGCCCAATAATTTGGTCATAGGTTCAATCAAAGAATAGACAAGCCATTGAGAAAGTTTATGGAAGGTAACAAAATGTTCAGTATTATTGGGATCATTGGAATACTTGATCGTTTCACAAGGCCAAACGTCACCAAGGCCAGGAGTCCCGCCCTTGCCTTTTTCTGCTGCCCACATTTCACCCATTTCTTGTACAATTGGCCATAAAGTTTCTAGATGAATCAAAGGTCCTTTTTGCGTTTTGATAGTAGTTGGATGAGCCAAAAGATAATCTACAAATAATAACAACAATAAAGATATATAATTAAAAAACAAAAAAAAAAAAAGAATATATATATATGTGTGTGTACCCATGAGGTTGCCAGGTCGTGGTACATTTCCTCCGAAGAAGTCAGATCGATCTTTCAACACTTGTCCAAGATGATGTAACAATCCGAGTCTATCTTCAAGACCAACAAGGATGTTATTATCAGTGATTTGTAAACCAGTCGTCAAATTTTCAAGAGTCAATCCAATAAGTGCCTCAGCTAAATTAAAAAGAGAGAGATAAATATATAAATTAGAATCTATTCATTGTATCACCTTCCATAGTTCTTCTGTTTGTGTCTCCGAGTCATGATGATCTTATACCCTATTGTTATCCTACCCATTTTTTTTTTTTTTTTTTTGAATAACTTACAGTCAACTCGATGAGGATCACTAGGATCACTTGAAAAAAATCCAGCTAAAAAGAGATCCAAAATAGCCACAGCAACACCTTCACATCGTTTATGATAACGATTTGTTGTTTTTTCACGATAAGACCAATTGTGACCAGCTTCCACATCCAATAAACAGGCCACAGTGAATAAATCTAGAGTACGTCGAGTTTGTTCCAAATTATCTTGTCCAAGACTAGCCCAAGAATTAATTAAAGTTTGAATACGAGGTCGTCCACCCACATCAAAATGTCTCCAACGACTATGTGTAGGTATTTCAGAAGGATGGCCATAATCACGTTTAATTAAGGATACCAAGATTTGCACAATATCATTCAACTTTGTATTATCCACATCAAAATGACGTAATTGTTGACGAGCTGCTGCTTCTTGTACCTTGAAACATCTTTCACGTACACCACGAAGACTTAAAAGATAGTCGTCTTTTGGAACTGGTATCATTGTAATTGAATACTAAATAATAATAATAATAATAATAATAATAAAAAGGAAACTACAGCAAGCCAAGTTTCTTTTTTTATTGTTTGTTTAATATATATAATATAATATATATATATTGAGAGATGTATGGATATATATATATGTGAATATGGAAGAATATGAAAAAGAAAAAGAAAAAAGAAAAATAAAAAATAAAAAAAGAAAAAGAGGTTTTGTAATCCCCATTTTCGTCATCTAACGTGGAGATTGAAACTCTTTCACGCCTTCTGTAACACAAAACCAAAGTTCTCCTTACTCTCACCATTGACTACTTTTGGTAACTCTCTTTGTCGATCAAATTTTATTTTTCTTATTGTGTCACCATCGTCATGCCATATTTTTTTTTATGTTCTATTTTTTTCTTTGTAACTAAAAAAGTGTACGCACGTTCTCTTTTTTTTTTAACGCGTAAAAAAAAAAAAAAAAAAAGCGGAATTTGAAACGGTTTGCTTGCTTTGTCTTGAAATTTTCCCACCTACTATATTTTCTGGTTTCTTTCGTCTTTTTTCTCCATCGTATACTATCATGTCATTACCAAAAATTGCCAAATTAACTCCTCAAACTACTGCCTTATTTATCTGTGATATTCAAGAACGTTTCAAAGGTGTTATTTGGCAATATCCTTCTGTTATCTCTGTAGCCGGTAAAATGGTAAGTTAACAAATATATATATATATTCTTCAGATAGACTAACCAACAATATATATATATATATATATATATATGTATTAGATTAAGGCTAGTAAACATTTGGACATTCCTATGGTTGTCACTGAACAATATCCAAAAGGTAATAAGAGACATATTAAAAAAAAAAAAAGAGGGGGGAATGATGACTTATTTATTCATTAGGTTTGGGTGCTACTGTTGCTGAACTTGATATATCTGATGCCAAAATTTGTTTACCAAAGACAAAGTTTAGTATGTTTTTACCTGAAATTCATCAACTTCTTCAAAAACACAATACCAAATCCGTTTTATTATTAGGCATTGAGGTAAATCAAATGATAAAATGGAATACATTTATTTATTCTATTATTATTTATATAGAGTCATGTCTGTGTACTTCAAACTGCATTGGATCTTTTGGATAATAGTTATGATGTACATGTATTGGCTGATGGGGTTTCTTCTTCCAATTATCCTGAAATTGATATTGCTCTTGCTGTAAGTTAATCATAAACGGAAAAAAAAAAACCATTTTTTTTTTTAATTTATATATATATATTTATTTATTTGTTTTTCTTTTTGTATAGCGCATGAAACAAGCAGGTGCAGTGATCACTACATCAGAATCAGCTCTTTTCCAATTGGTACAAGATGCTAAACATGAAAAATTCAAGGGAATCAGCAATTTGGTCAAGGAATATTCTGAAGCTACTAAAGTCAATAAACTCTTGTACAAGAATGTATCGGCAAATCTCTAGTTTAGGAAATCACATATAAACCCTATAGCATGATTTTGTCTATACAGTGTTTTATTATGCTCATCAATAAAGATAATAAAATATTATTTCATTTGTAATGAAAGAGATGAACATGAATGGATGAAAAGTATTGTATATAGGGAATGATGGAATGAAATATATATATATCATAAATTATATCTAATTTCTAAGAATCAAAGCTTTTGTCCCAAAATCCTGTTTCCCTTGTAGTTTCCACTCGAAGTTTCTTGATATTTCGAATTGTAGCCTTGAATCCAGGATATAACATAGATATATTCATTTTCCACCAAGCCTTATTATATTCCATTTGTCGATCATATGCCTTGTCTAAAAAATCCTTGTAAAAAACAGAAAGTGCTTCCGCTGTCACTTCTTGTCCATTGGCCAGTACTAAACAACAACAAAAAAAAAAAGGATTTGAGTTTGTAGAAATATAAATAAAAATAACTTTCTTACATTGTTGTTCATATTCTTCCTTTGCTTTTGAAAACATGGTATTATTATTGGTCCAAAAAGTTTGATTGAAATCATCAACTTTTTGTTGGAGTAATCGCCATTCTTTTTCCTATATATATATATAAAAGATAAGTATAATATCAGGAATAATATGTTTAATGGTGTTACCTCTGTTGATTCTGTAGGAGAAATAAAATATTTTACAGGTCGTAAATTAGATATAGGATCAGGTGTACCAATCATATCTTCAGTAACAGGTTGTGAAATATCATTTGTTTTTGTAGAAATAGATCGACTGACAAGGGTCCGTAAGGGTAAATGGTGAGTTGAATAGATGATCTAAAAAGGAAAATAACAGTATGAACAATAAAATAGTTAAAATATACTGTTTTCTTTTCTCTTATTTTCTTTCTTTCTTTCTTTCTTTCTTTCTTTATATTTCAACTTACTCGTAGTGAATTCATGGTAACCAGGTTGTAGAAATAAGGAAAGAGAAGGTAAGAAAAAAAGAAAAAATATTTTTCTTCAATAAAAAGTGTGATCTAATTCAAATTCAGAAGTGTAAAATCTCATTCATACATATAGGCAAACTCACTTGCATGTATCATTCTACATATAAAAAAAAGAATCATTTTATTTCGCATTGGTACTTGTCACAATAACACAGTAGAAAGAAAATTGTCTGATCAAAATCAAATATTTATTGCTTTTTTTTTTTTAAAAAAAAATGAAAATGAAATAAAATAAACAAAAAGTAAAAAATAATGGTAAAAAATGATAATATACTAGTCTATTCTTTTTCCTTCTTGGCCTTCTTTTCCTTCTTTTCCTTCTTGTCCTTTTTATCCTTCTTTTCTTTCTTGTCCTTCTTTTCCTTTTTGTCCTTCTTTTCCTTCTTTTCCTTCTTAGCGGGTTTTTCTTCTGTTGATTCTTCTACTTCATCCACCTTTCGCTTCTTTGATTCAACAACTTCTTCAACAGGCTTTGTTTCGGTCATCACCACATCATTTTGAGCATTGTATTGAGCAGTCTTATTAAATTGGAATTTTTGTTGTTTCTGACTTGATTTATCACGGTTAGCACGTCCATTACCACGGTTTTCGAGTAATTTGATTCGAGCTTCGACCTTATTGCGACCATCTACACCAACTTCACAACCTTCTTGTTCACCTAAAGCATCGACACGGAGAGCAATAGCGGATTTGGTGGCAAGCATACGAGCAACCTTGGCTTTGTGTTTAGGACCAGCTTGACCAATCAAAGAAGCATGATAGATCAAACCATACTTGGGAGTGTTGTGTTTTGTCTTCAAGGCACGGAAGAGAGCCTTTTCAGCACCAAGGATTTGGATGGTAGAAGCAGGTTGTTTGGCCAAGTTCATCAAGGAACCAGCATGAGCAATCAAACGAGCACCAACAAGTTCACCAACAAGAGCAGTCAAATTAGGAGCAATGGCATTCATACGGTTCTTCAAATATTCGTACAATTGTGTTCGGTATTCGGTAATAGAGATAACTTGATCACAAAGAGCATGAATATTTTCAATATCTTCTTCGGAAATTTCAGTACCCATAGAAATTTCAGCAGCATCCTTAATTTCAGATTCCAATTCTTCGGGTAAGATAGCAGAAAGATCAGTGTCTTGAGTATTGGTACGGAAACCCACGGCCTTGACCACCTTGGCATAAGCGAGATTGTCGACCAAGATCTTGCCCATTTCAGGGAAATGCCAACCATACCATTCCTTGACACGCATAGCATAAGTATTCAATTCTTTGTCGAGATCGTCCAACAAAGCAATGGCTTGTACAATCATAGTATCTACCTTATCAGGACTGAATTTGAGCTTATAACGTGACAGTGAGTGAGACAAACCGAGAGACATGGCAGATAAATCTTGATGAGAAAGACCAGACACCAAAGATTCAAATTGTTCACGAATACCACGGTAAAGATCCATAACAGTAGAGTCAGACAAGACACTAATACCGAATTTTTTGTTAACAGCGCTACCTATTTATTCCAAAACAATATATTTAATACTATTATATTCATTCAATCATCAAAAAAACTTACCAAGCTTGGGATCACTAACAATGAGCTTTTCCTTCTTCATTTCCTTTTCAGAGATTTCACTTTCCAAAAACTTTTTCAAATTCTTGGGTACCTTGCCTTCCACTAAACCAGTGACAGCAGATAAAGCATCGGTAGTATTTTCGAATTTGGTGAAAGCCTTAAGTTTGACACTAAAATAAATAAATAAATAATAAAAACAAGTCAGTTTTGGAAAAGAAGAAAAGAGTGATCAGGTCGAGATCTATTTAGTGGTTAACATACGCTTGGTTTGCTTTTTCAGCAGATTCAAAGTCTTTCCAAAGATCATCCGACTTTTCAAGTTTAGCATCGTTCACCAACTTGAATAAAGCATAACCAGCAGCAGTTTCGTAAAGGATAAGCATCTTTTCGTTTCTATTCGGTATGAACTGTTGGAAATAGAGGAAAAAAAAAAAAAAGAATGAAAGAAGAAAAAAAAAAAATAAAATCAGATTCAGCTTTGGGAGACGTTGAAATTTTTTTTTTCTCTGTACTTTTTTAGCTCAGCCACAATACGGAGTCACTTTCCCCTCCTTTGCATATTGTTTCCCTCTCATTGGTAAAAATCAAATCTGGTGCAATACGCAAATAAATAAATTGAAGAGATATCAGTACCTATAATTCATACCTATCAGATATATTCAAAGATAAATAAACCTTATCATATTGATATCTTCTTTCCTATATACCTAAATTTATTTATAATTCATCTAATAAAGCAAATACTTACTAAAAAAAAAAAAAAAAAGGAAAATCGAATCCATAAGGTCATGGAAGTATCATAGTTCTACTTGTCCCTTACCTTGCATCCATTGAAACACAGCTTAGCGCATGAAAATGCAAGCCACCCGTCCGATTTACTTCCACTTTTGTCTTTACTGGGAAAAGTGAGAGCTTTCTTTTTTTTCAACCTCAGTCTTTTTTTTTTTTTCATTCATTTTTCTTTTCTTTTACTTCTTTTTTTTACTTCTTTTTATATTATTTACTCATGCCTGCTACCAAACGGAAGTTGGCCGATAAGAAGAATGCCAATGCTGCTAGCAAGGTAAAAAAAAAAAAAAAAATAACAATAATAATGAAAGATAATCTTGTTTGACTTGAACAATCATGGTTATAATGGGTCGAGATCTATATTTTTTTTTCTTACTTACATTTCTTTTTTATTTCGATAGATGGCCAAACTTGAAGAATCATCTGCTTCCAAAGAAATGAAAGCTTTCGAAAGTGATTCTGACAATGGTGATTGGGAATCACAATCTGACGAAGACGATGATAACGATACCAAAGATATTACTATGCGAAAGAAGGCCGAACATGTGAAGGATATTGATGTAGCTGGTGGTGAACTAGAAGGATTGAAAGAAACAGCTGAATTATTCAAGTCTAATATCTTCAAACTCGAGGTATATGATTTTTTTTTAAAAAAAAGCAAAAGTATAATTAACTTACTATTTTTTTTTTATCTTTCCTTATTATTCATATATGAAGCTTGACGAACTCCTAAGTGAAGTGAACGCCAAATACGACAAACATACCAGTCTTGAAAAAGCATTACACCATTTGAAGACTATCTTTGATGCTATCCCTGAAGGCAAAGAAACTCTTGTAAGTTTATCATAACAAAAAATAAAAAAGATAGAGAGATATGATTAATAGTTACTTAACTAATTGATCTTTAAAATATTAGTTGAATGACTTTGAATCTACTATGGAAAAAAAACACAAGATCAAGGTGCCATTTCCTCAAGCACGACCAGCAAAGAATTCTCAATATAAATTCAAATTTATCAAACCCTCTGCTATTCATATTGTTGGTAGTTATGCTTTGAAATTTGTAACTAGAACTAAAAGTGCCTTTAATGTTGATGTTGCTGTGGAAATGCCTTCAGTATGTATTATATCAAATATCATTTAATATATAATACTAACTTTTATATCTTTATTATAGTCTATTTTCCAAGAAAAGGATCATATGAATAACCGTTACTTTTACAAACGTGCATGTTATCTATCTGTTCTTGCCAATGCTGTCAAGTCTTCCAAGAAAGGATTCAAGGTTAAGTTTGGTCTCTTCAATGGTGATATCCAAAAGCCTATCTTGTTAATTAACGGATCTGGAGGTATGTCCAAAAAGAAAAATAGAAAAAAGGAAATAATAATAATAAAAAAAAAGCGATAGATCATCAGATACTTACATTTGTGTTTTGATCTATAGACAAATCCGATACTGATTTTACCAAAACAAAGGCTATCATTCGAATCATACCTTATATCAACAGTGAAGTTTTCTCTGCTCAACGGTTAGGACCTGGACGAAATTGTTTACGAGCACAGGAAGAATCAACTGTCGAAAACCTCTCATCTACTCCACAATACAACGCTTCTATTTTACAAGATACATCCTATACAACTAATTTGGCATATCTGTATCAACATAGCAAGAATTGTGCTGGTTTTAAAGATGCGATCGTTTTAGCTAAAACATGGTTATATCAACGTGGATTGGCAACTGCAGATCAATCTCAATCAGGGTGGAATGGATTCTTATTCAGCATGATTATGGGTTATCTATTACAATCTGGATCCAATAAAAAATTGTCCAATGGTCATAGCTCTTATCAACTCCTTCGTGGTACTATTGATTTCTTAGGTAAGGAAGAAAAAAAGAAAAAGAAAAAAAACATTATAGAGTCTATATATTGATTTTGTTTTTTCCCCTTCTTTTTATATATAGCTAATCACAACTTTGAAACTGAACCTGTCTTTCTTGGCACATCAACTCATGAAGCGTTTTCAAAAGACAATTTCAAAAACAACTATGATGTTGTCATTGTGGATCCCTCTGGTACTGTCAACTTGGCGTCCAAAGTAACAAAATCTGGATTGGCTCAAGTAAGTTCTCTTTTTTATAAAATGATCTATCTCTTTTATTTTTTTTTCCTTTGTTTTTACTCATATGATTTCTTTTTCTATAGTTACAACATGAAGCAAAAATTGCAATGAATTGTTTCAATGATTCTGTGGATCGATTTGAAGATCTCTTCTTGAAGAATGTTAATGACAGCAAGTATCGATTTGACAATGCTATCAAGTAAGTAATTGAATAAGATATTTGAATAGAAATAAAAGACTAATCAATGTATCTCAATGTATCTTAGGTTACAAGTGCCTGATTCTCGAATAGCCAAGTATGATGCGATTGCGTGTGCGGATGAACCTTATTATCCTCAGTTCTTTGCAAAGCAAGTTGGTGCTATACTTATCAAGGGGCTTAGCAATCGAGCTGAACTAGTATCTGTTCAGTATACTTTACCTTCTTCTACGTGGGATATTGATACAACAACCACTTTATATGACACTATCAACACTGTAACTTTGACAGTCGGCTTGATTCTCAATCCCGATACTTCTTCTCGATTGGTAGATCAAGGACCTGATGCTCAAGACAAGGAAGCTTGCAAGGTGTTCAGCGAATTTTGGGGTAAGAAATCTGAATTACGACGATTCAAAGATGGTAGTATCTTGGAAAGTGTGGTCTGGGAAACGCAAGGCTATGAGAACAAATCCTTGATTGTGGAGCAAATTGTACGATATCTCTTTGATTATCATTTGAAGATCTCTGGACATGCTATTCGTTATTGGGCTGGTCAACTATATCCTTTTATCAATTATTCCAAGTCTGTACCTGGAAATCTCTTCAACTCAAAGGTCAATATTGCTGGTTTCCAGCCTGTTAATACAGCATTCACACAATTCACGAAACAACTCCGGGCAGTGGATGATGGTCTTCCTCTTTTGATCAACAATATTTATCCTCTGTCATCAAGTTTACGTCAAGCTTCCGTATTGATTCCTCATCCTGTGGACTTTTCCAACATTGATGCTTATCCTACATCAGCCCGATTTGTTCCTGCTATGGACGTCTCTGTACAATTGGAACGCTCTGGGAAATGGCCAGATGATCTACAAGCAATGCAAAAAGTGAAGGAAGCGTTTTACATCAAGATTGCCGAGTTGTTTAAGGAAAGAAATGGATGCCAATGTACAGTGGTACATACAGAACAAACCAACAATCCTTATGCTTCGTCTGCCTATTTGGATATCTTTTATCATGGATTTGTCTTCCGATGTCATCTCCTCTTGGATCAAGAAGGTGAACTTTTGAATACATTGATTAACAACAAAACCACTCCTACTTATCAACGTGTCATGGCAACAGAAGCTTTGGATGCATACAATCGACTTTTCCGACACCGACGTGAACATACATTCGGTATTCAAGCATTATGTGCACGCTTCCCTGCTTTCTCGACGACAATGCGCTTGGTCAAGCGTTGGTTTGGTGCTCACTTATTATCAGCCCTTGTACCGGAAGAAGTGATGGAATTATTATGTGGTCATGTATTTTTATCTCCTCTACCATGGACTGTACCTACAAGTGGATTGACAGGCTTTTCTCGCGTCCTAGGTTTACTTTCCAGTTGGGATTGGGAAACAACACCATTGATGGTCGATTTGGAGGGTGATAGTATGACACCTAGCGTCCGTGATACTGTGATGGAGAAATTTACCGCATATCGTGAGCAACAACATTCAGCAGGACATTATCGGGCCATGGTGATTGCTACAACCAATGATGTGGAAGGGGAGCGATGGTGGTGGAAGACTGGTCAACCTTCTCGAGCGGTAGCTATGCGTATTCAAGGACTTGCACAAGCATCATGCAATGTATTGGAAGAATCAGTGCGTGATAAAGATCTGCGCCGTATTTTTGTAACACCCATGCAAGATTACAATAAGGTGATCCATCTCGATTCCAAACGGTGTACTCGTTATTATCAAAATATGCATCCTCAACGTGAATTCTTGGCTGACTTGGCGTTATCTGAACTTGGTCAAAATGCATTTGCTCAATTAGACTCGGTAACTGAATTAGTCAAAGATATTCAAAATACATATGGAGATCTTGTGATGGTATTTTATGATAAATATGGTGGTGATAAAATCGCTTTGGTATGGAATCCTTTGGAAACGACTCCTCGTCCTTGGAAAGTATCTGCTGGTTATAATACTCTTCCAGTAGATATGTCAAAATCCGGATTTTTGGTAAGAAAGATTATAAAATAAAATAAAAACAATCATGATCATTAATTTTTTTTTTTTAATAATAATAGAAACCTGTTCAAGGTGAAACTGTATCCAAATTGGCAGGTCCCAACATCTCTGCAATCTTGGCCGAAATTGAACGACTTGGACAAGGTTATATCACTCAAATAGTTTAATATTCTTTCTTTACTTTAACAACATCTACACATACATACATACATAGTCACACTTACATCATTTACCATAGTACAATTGTCATCTTTTTTTTTTTCTACTTCCTTTTTTTTTTTATTTATTTTTGCATAAAATAGACTTTTTTGACTTCACCAATAAACAGTAGAACTTCTTATTTTTCACTGGATTTCAAAGGGCGCAAAGGTTAACTTTTTTTTTTTGACCCCTCGTCTTCATTTTTTTTTTTCTTCATTTTTCTTTCCATTTTTGTTCCCTCCATGACGTTATGATGGATTACTTTAATTACTTTACCAAGTTGACGAAAAAGATAGCTCCTCCAAAGGTGCAACCAACAAGAACTATGCAACTGGATAAATTCAGGAAATGTTGGGACTACGTACACGTAAAGTTGACTCCCCTTTTTTTTTTTTTTTTTATCATCTTTACTACTATTTTTTTTTCTTTTTTGATGACATAGAACTTATATATTCTTTTTTTTTTTTTTTGATATAGAATATTCTTCGTATGGAAGATCGCAAATCCAAACTTCATGTTGAACAAACTGATATCCCTGCTCAACTACGACAAATGGTGGATATGCTTGTGGATGAAGAAGCACGACAAGAACAAAACACGACAGAGGTATGCATGGAATACTTTTTGAAAACTGGGGTACTACAATACTTGGTGAATATGTCTGAAAAAATGGATTATCCTGAAGGTATTCGTGGAGAGGCGATCAGGACTATAGCAAGCATGGTGGACCTGTTAGATGAACGATTCTTGGTACACAACGCAGTTCATAGACCAACCATCAAGTTATTACGATTCTGTGTATTAGAAGAAGGTCAAAGCGACATTTATCATGAGGACTTGGTGGATCTCATGTATATCATTTGTTCGAAAATACACGGTCTTCCTGCACTTCTCAACATTTTTTTTCACGATAAACGATGGCTTACCACACCTCAAAAAACATTGCAACAACCAGAAACGGACACTACAACACATAGTGCGGACAAAAAACCTGAATACGAGTTTTTATTATTTAGTTATCTTTTACGTTTTGTTCATCTGGAAGGACGATCGGGTGACTTTGCTAGGACTGGATTATTATTCTTGATAGAAATGGCGACGGGACAGCTAGGCGAATTTATCTTGGTATCTGATTTTGCAAACACTGTGGCAGCAGGATTAGGTGCTTTATATTCACAACTACCTAGAAAATTGGTGATCAAGGATGATGCAGGACTCTCTCCAAATGTAGCCACTTATCTATTGGGTCAAGACTTGGATCCTCGTGCCATGCCCTCTGGTCCTGGGGTTGTCTTTTCGAATTCGGCCGACTTCAAGCTTCAGCTGGACTCTTTCTTGAAACTGATTGAATTTTGTCAAGATGTACTCATGCGATGCCCCAATACCGATATCTCTCAAGTATTATTACAAAGTATTCGTACCAACTTTTTGAAAAACATTCTTGATCCTTCTATTTGGGAATGTTCAGATATTGATGGTTCCTCCGTGGCAGTGATTACCTATATTGATTTGATTCTCCAAACTCTCCAACAAGAAGAATTGGCTGATGTTGTGGTCAAGTTTTTAATGGATGAAGAAAATACACAAGATTCAACGGTAACGACAAAGGATGACGATACCAATGTGTTTGCTGGAGTGGAATCTGATCAATTCAAGAGTTCACCTTATTTTACGGCAAGTGGACGATTCACTCTCAAAGATCTCATTATCACTCGACTTAAAGCAAGTTCTCAACCTACAGTGATTGCCACTCTCAAATTATTACGAACTTTGATTACCAAACATTGTCGATATTCTCTACGGCTTTTTTCCATCTATCCTGATAATTACTCGATGCCATCATTGGACGACACAACCATTACACCACCTTCCTCTTCCGCGACCATTGTCTCACATCATATCCGGGAAATTGAATTATATTTGTCACTCATCACGGCCATTGATCAAGAACACTCTCATGACATTCTTTCCGTTGGCTACGAAGGATACTTGAATGACATTGAATATCACATGGAAGCTGATTGGTGTTATCAAAATATGATATGTATGGATAGTTGTATCAAAACTGAACCTCAACAAACCACTACAAAGGCTGAAAGACGACGTAGTTCCAAATATGGAAAACGACCTGATCAAAAGGAACAACAACAACAACAACAACAACTACGCCAGCATTCTTCTTTATGTACCAAATCACATATGTTTCGGCATCGTATCCGTCCTACCGATGATCTACTACAAATTCTACTTGGTCTTCTCAGTCATTTTTTTGCACAATCTTCGGCATTGAATCTGGCATTGACGGGTGTGATCTCAGCATTGGCTCAATGTCCTTATCGAAGTTTGGAAGGTTGGATCTCTTTTCAAGAAAGTGACCGAGCAACTCCTGATGATATCTTAATTTTGGATGCAAGCAATCTCACCAATGGAACTGCAACAACAACAACGACAACAACAACAGCAACAACATCTGCCTCCTCATTATTATCAACATCTGATCAATTGAATAACAAAAATCATATTCGAGGTGATGATATCTACGCTCATTTTGAATACAGCCAAGTGGACGAGAATGACGAAGATGATGATCGATCAGTAGATTTTGGAGTGGAACGCAACTTATCACATACAGCACCAACAACGCAATTCAAATCCTTCCCACCCTTTTTTACGCTCTTCCGTACTTTGACGCAACAAGTGGATTATTATCGATCAGAAGTGGATTCTTATCGACTTGAAGTGGGTAGCTTTGATGATATTTTGACAGAGCGATGGCAAACTTTGATGTATGGAGAACTGATTGATCCAACAACGACAACCATGTCTAATACGACCGCAACAAATGGAACAAGTGGTATATCATCACCAGCTAGTCGTCGAGGTTCTACTGTTCGTCAAGATATGACTTCCTCATCACTTTTATTTTCAACAACTCCTACATCATCTATACCGACAACAACAACAATGTCAACAAATGCAATGATGAATGGGAACAACGATGGATTCTATAGATCATCACGATCACCATCCACTCCAGCATCCACTCTCTTTCATCAACAACAAAGACGAAGGCCATCCATTTCAGCAGCAGCAGCAGCAGCAGCAGCAGCAGGACGTCAACAACCATCTCAACAACAACGGCTTTTACCACCACCCAATCCATCAAAATCATTATCTTCTTCTACGACAGCGGCAGCCATGGCAGCAGCAACACGAGTGACACCAACACCATTATCATCACCACCAACACCTATTCTCCATCCTTCGCAAACATCCTCTATAATGAGCAACAGTGAAGACACAATGACAACAGCAACATCATCCATAACGACAACAGTGTCATCATCATCAATAGCCACAACAACAGCAACCGATTTACCTGCCGCATTGGTCAACCATGAACACTCACGGATGGGCATGCATATTCGCAAAACACTCCATTTCCGATTGGATCCATTATTTCCGTCCAACTTTGTACTTGATCCTGAAGCCCCCATTCTGTATTTGGACGAAGAAGACGAAGGAGCATTTGTACCCAAGGACGACTCTGCCCATCCTTCCGAACAAGGTCGACGCCGCCGCCGATTTGATCCCTCCTCCAAGATTTCTTTATCCATGCTTCTCAACAATATCGTCATTTTGGAAGAAACTATCAAGGAATTGGTCGCTATCATGCAAGTACGCCGTGCCATTGGTATTGATCGTGTCTCTTATTTATAAATTTGGTATCTTAGATAGTTCCTCTTCCTATTATTATTATTATTTGTGTGATATACCTTTTTCTTATATATCTAATAAAATCCCACCTTTTTTTTTTTTTTTTTTTTAAAAAAAAAAGAAAATCATATGATGATGTTGAATGATGATTTCGCAAGACGATGGATTCTCAATCGACTTGCATGAATCATCATGATGGCGTTTTCTTTTTTTTGCGATGATGAGTAGGGAAGGATGATTCTCGATGATGACATTTTTCTTGAGATGATGAAAAATAACAATATAATCTTTATTTTTTCATATCTCCTGTAAAAAAAAAAAAAAAAAAAAAAAAAAAAAAAAAAAAAAATATTTATTGATATCATAAAAAAAAAAGAATAGAAATTAAGCTAAATAGAATTAGAGTTTGGCTTCAAGGAATTCGGCTCTAGTTTTGGATTTGGCTTGCTCATAATCCACTTGACGGATAGGTCTTGCTTCGACAGCAGGATTATAGTCCGTCCTTGGTGCTGCATATGTATCACTTGCTTTCTTGTACACTGTCACTACCACCGCACCTCCTAATCCAACCTATCAAAAAAAAAAAAAAAAAAAAGATGTGTTATTTTTTTTTTTTTTTTGGTCAAAGAGAGAATATCACTTACATTATGTTGAAGGGCATATTTGACATTGGGTACTTGACGATCACCAGCCCATTGACGTGCTAAATATATAAATGAATCATGTTTTTTAATAATAGGAAAAAAAATAGTGATATCATGAAATAAATCTTCTTACCTTGCCATACCAGTTCTATAGAATAAAAAATAAAAAATAATAATAAAAAAAAAAAAGGAATGAATCGGGTTTTATCGGTTTGATACGGTATATGGCATCATTTTTTTTTTTTTAAAAAAAAGAATTACCTGAACATTGAGCTAGACCGGTAGCACCAAGAGGATGACCTTTTGAAATCAAACCACCTGAAGGATTAACAACATATTTTCCACCATAAGTATTGTCACCATTATCAATCAAAGTATGAGCCTTTCCAGGAGCGGTTAAACCAAGTCCATCATAACTAAGAAGCTAAAGAACAATAATGAATGCATAGTTCATTACTTGTTATTTTAAACTTACTTCATTGGCAGAGAAACAATCATGTAATTCTACCACTTGAACGTCGCTTGGTGTGATACCAGCTTGTTGATAAGCTTGTCGAGCAGCACGTCTTGTCATATCCACACCAGCCCATTCAATTGGATTTTTAGATAACATATCTGGAGAATCAGTGGCCATCACTTGAGCCACAATTTCTACGGCTTGATCCCATAATCCATGTTGTTTGACAAAAGCTTCACTGGCAACAATAGCACATCCTGCACCATCTGATGTGGGACAACATTGAAGTTTCGTTAGAGGACCGTAAATGGTGGGTGATTGTTGGATTTGTTCCAATGAATAAACGTCTTGGAATTGTGAATAAGGATTCTTGATACTAATAATAAAATAATAAAAAAAGTTATGTTTTTCTAATATATATAATATATATATAGGTTACCTATGACGATGATTTTTTTCGGCAATTTTGGCTAAATGGGTTGGGGTTGCTCCATATTGTTTGATATAAGCTTCACCAGCTCGACCAAAGATTTGTGCAGCACCAGGAGCTTTAGGATCAAGACCTTGTGTAGATTTGATGACTTGATAAACATGATCTAAGAAAAAGAAAAAAAAAGTGAGTGATGATCATTCAATAGATAGATAGATAGATGTGATTTACCTAAAGGAGATGTACGGTCTGCCCATTTCGATTTCAAAGAACCTCTTTCCATACGTTCAAAACCAAGTGCCATAGCACATTGCACAGTACCTGAAGCCACAGCATTGCGTGCCTGAAGTAAAGCAGTGGAACCAGTGGAACAATTATTATTGACATTAATAACAGGGATTTGTGTCATACCAAGTTGATACAAAACACGTTGGCCACAAGTAGAGTCACCATATACATAACCACAAGCAGCAAATTCAATAGCATCGTAGGTCAATCCACAATCATTTAAAGCCTTGACAGCAGCTTCCAAACCGAATTCTAATATATTTTTATATAATGAGAACAAAAAGAAAGAATAACTATTTCATCTTACCTGGATAATCCACTTCACCTCTTGGTTTGATGAATTTTGACATACCAACACCTATTACATATACTTTGTTCATTTTAGTTAATGGAGAAAAAAAAGAGAATTAAAATAAAAAAAAAAAGGTGGGGAAAAAAAAAGAAGAGAAATATTTTTTTTTCCTTTTTTAAAATAAAGAAAAAAAAAAGGTGGGAATTCACACTGACAAACAAGATAAAAAGTAAGGTTACAATTTTATCCCCCCTTACTCCCTAAAAAAAAAAAAAAACAAGCTTTTTTTTTTTTTGCATAATGAATTCAAGACAAGACTGTATCGGTTAAACAAAAACACCGACGTTTATTCTATAATATATATACAAAATTATTATTGATATTCTAATCTAGTACCAAAGATGTTATCCCAAAATTTGGAAGTAATACCATAACCAGCTTCAAAGTCCTTGTAATGATGAGCCAAGTGATATTTTTTCATTTCTTTAAAATGGAAAGATATGACTTTGGAATGATGTAAATAATAATGGGTCATATCGTAAAGAATGTAACCAAAGATACCACCTGCCACTATACCATGAGCTATAAATGTAGGAAAAAGCCAATGAGCCAATTGAATCCAAGGATAAGCAAGGATAATAAATAGAGCAGGAGGTACAACTAATCGAAGTCTAAATAAATAAAAAAAAAAAAGAAATGAATCAAAAGAAAAAAGATTTTTTTTTTTACCTGTCCATTGGTAAGAAATGATGAAATCCATGAAGAACAAAGTGAAGTAAAAAAGCCCATTGACGATCTGGCAAATGATCATCAAAATGAAACAAACATCGATGAAGGCCATATTCAAGAAGCGACCAAATAAACACGCCAAGTACAAATAAGACCAAAGTGGAAAAGAGATCAGTATAAGCTTGATAGATTTGATAGATCACAAATGGAAGCCAAAGAAGAGGCACGGCATACCAAACGGTTTTTGTTAAAGGTTCTAATAAAGGATGACCAAAAAAGACTGCACTTGTAGGGAGATACCGTGGTTTGTGGACTTGTTCCAAATAAAACGTCTTGGTGAATCGTTTGTTGAAGAACTGAGGAATCAAGGCCTTGCGTAAATCTAAAAATTGTGTATCTTTACTAGCATTTGTCTCTGTTGGTACAAAATCTTCCTCTCCATAGGTATTGTATTCCACTTCTTCTTCCAATACCGCTATTCGTTGTCGATGAAGTTTGGCTCGTTCGCTATCGTGGAATTGTCGTAAGGAATGCACGCTGCCAATACAATAATCCATCAGAATGTCGTAAGCCGCTTCGGAATGTTCGTGCGAATCAACATCTTTCATCACACATGTCACATCTTTGCCTCCATATTCAAGTACTAAATCTTCACCACCAGGATGATCTCGTAAGAACTTGGTGACATCATATACCCTTTCTCGATATACAATCCAACAAGACTGTTCCGTATTATGTTCACTGATTTGTTTAAGTGTATATTGTCTACTTGTTTCCATAAATAAATTTTAATAAAGAAGTAAAAAAAAAAAAAAAAGATTCACCTTTTTTTTTTTTCGAAAAAGAGAAAGAAGAAAAAAAAAATCATTCGATGATAATAAGGTGATACTAAATTCTTAAAGAGGAAATTTTCGAATTGTATGCAAGTCGGAACATAAAAAGAAAAAAGGAAAAAACTACACAATTGTTTTTATTACAAAAAATCATCTATATTTCTACAAAGTACCAGCCTCTATTTGTTGTAAAGTGGTCATCTTCAATTGTTTCAAAGCATCCACTATTCTATTCGTCAATTGAATTCTTGTTTCTTCATCTGTCAATTCACCCTTTTTCCAATTATCCAATATATCTTGACAATCCAAAGGTTCACCAAATACCATCATCACAGGTTGAAAGAGTTGAGCAAAAGGTCCTACTAAGGGTCGTACATTTTCCATACCTTTTTTTTTTTTTTAAAAAAAAAAATAAAATAAATAAATAAAAAAAAAGTGAGTTAAATCTGATTCTATATTATATATAATATATATTTTACCTTGGTGCCAAATTGGAATGACAATAGGACAAGGATTTGATTCCATCATCAATCTACCTATTCCCCATTTAAATCGAAGCATCACTGGTGTTTGATTCACTTTGCCTTCAGGAAATACATGAATCCAATCTCCATGATTTAATTTATCAATAGCGAAATCCATAGCTGGTTGATAAATACTACCTCCACGAATGGTTGGAATGGCTTTACCTAGTGAGAAGAAAGTGGCTTTAAATCTATATCCATATCAACAAAAAAAGAATTGGTTAATATATATATATGTATATGTTATTTCTTCATTTACATAGTGGTATAACAAATATCTGCTGCTCCAAGTACCCATCGCATCTTGTTAATATTGAGTAATGTAGTCATAGGTAATACACCCCATAAAACAGGATCATCCCATACAGAAACATGATTGGATACTAAAATAGAACAAGATGATGATAATGATAAGTATATAAGAAAATGTTTGATTATTATATTGAGTACCAGTAATGATGCCTTGTTGACGTTGTGGATCATGTAAAATAGAAAGGAAACGATCCATATGATAAACCCGAGTAGTTTGTAAACAAGATAAAACACATTTGGAAAACGCACCAACACCACCAACCACCAGGACATTTCCAGCTTTCCAAAGTAAGGATGAAGGTTCATAAGGGGGTGTATATCGTTTGACTATAAAAGAAGGAATGTCTTGCCAAGTAAAGTCACCAAGGTTCCATAAGACTTGTCTTCCAGCCACTACTTGTTGTTGTGTACGATGTTGGTCTTTTCCTGTCAATGTCTTTGTTGGTTTGGTTTGATATGTATAAAGGGTTGCACATATTCCACCAGTAGTAGCTAGTCCAAATAAGCTCCATTTCATACGACGAGAAAGTCGAGGTGGCATGAATAATAATAATAATAATAATAAATAATAATGATATTAATGTAAAAGGTATGAATAAAAGAATGTAAGTTCGTGTATAATGACCAAGTGGAGGGTTTTGAATCGTTTCCTTATGAATTCATTGAGTTCATTGAGTTGTGGAAAGAATAAAGTAGAAGAAAAATTGTTTATACACAAATAGTTTTATTTGCTGACTTTGAAAAACCCCGAGCAACAACAGAGTACGGAACACACAATGGGATTTGGTCTTTTTTTTGACTCAAAAACGAAGACCCTATATATATTCTATCTAACAACAAACTTTTTTTAATTTTTTTTTTCTTTAAATTCCAGTTTATTCATTACGAAATATAACCTTCTTTTTTTAATTTTTATATTCTTGTAGAAAATCATCATGAGGATAAAACAAGATATTGAATTAAAGGTAAAAACTATCAACTTCATCTTATCACTGTCACCCTTTTTTATATTGTGCTGCAACTCGTCGAATTCACTCACCGCTTAACCTTTTTTTTTCTTTCTTTCTTTCTTTTAACCATTTTTCCATTTCCTTTTTTTTTTTTTTTTCCTTTTCTATTCACATATTAAATCGTTTCTTTTCCATTACACATACCTCATAGAACCCTTACCAGAAAGAACAACAATATTCGATATCATCGATCTCTTTAATCAATAACACCAACAACGACATCAGTAACAATATCAAGAAAACAATGAATGGCGCCATTGAATTGATCAACAAAATCCAAGATGTCTTGACGAGTATTGGTGGTGGTGATCTGGACCTACCTCAGATCATCACTGTGGGATCTCAAAGCAGTGGCAAATCATCAGTATTGGAGAATATCGTGCAACGTGATTTTCTTCCTCGTGGCAGTGGTATTGTCACACGTCGACCTTTGGTATTGCAACTCGTCACTTTGGCCAATGATGCTCCTGATTATGCTGAATTCCTTCATGTTCCCAAGCAAAAGTTTTTCGATTTTGATATGGTGAGAATGGAAATCGAACAAGATACCGCACGCGTTACCGCTTCCAATAAGGGCATCTCTAGACAGCCTATTCATCTCAAGATTTATTCAAAACATGTCCTCAACTTGACTTTGATTGATTTACCTGGTTTGACTCAGGTAATATGACAGGAAGGATGTCTTCTCTTTTTTTTAGGTATTAACTATTTTCATATATATATATATATATTATAGCTCCCAATTGGTAATAAATGAATGTTAAATAAGTTATATGCATTTTACTTACTCATTTTGTTCTCTTTAGATGATCAGCCTGCTGATATTGAACATCAAATTAGACAACTTGTATTAGATTACATATCAAAACCAAACAGGTACGTTCTACTTTATATGCAATCAAAAAAAAAAAAGGAAAACTCAATGTATATTTCATCAATGTATATTTTATAGTATTATCCTAGCAGTGACACCAGCAAATACGGATCTGGCCAACTCTGATAGTTTGAAATTAGCTCGACAAGTGGATCCAACAGGAAGACGAACACTAGGAGTGGTGACAAAGTTGGATTTGATGGATGCTGGAACTCATGCCTTGGATATTTTGTCAGGTCGATTCTTTCCCTTGAAACTTGGATTTGTTGGTGTGGTTAACCGTAGTCAGCAAGATATTTTGACAAAGAAACCTATGAAGGAAGCCCTCAAGGCAGAAGAACGGTTTTTTCAACGTCATCCTGCTTACAGATCTGTAGCAAATCAATCAGGGACTTTATTTTTGACAAAGCAATTGAATAATGTAAGTATCATTTTTTTTTAAAAAAAAAAGAAGGAATCGTTACTAATCAACCAAAATACAATGATAGATTTTGATTGCACATATCCGGGAAAGTTTACCTGATTTACGATCCAAACTTAGTACTTTAATTGGTCAAACACAACATGAACTTGCACAGTATGGTGATCCGGCATTTATTGGAAAAGAGCATAGTGTAAGAAAATATCAATAATCAAGACCTTCTAGAATCTCATTTATTTTTTTTTTTTTTTTTTGTGTAGGGATCTTTGATTCTCAAATTATTGACACTTTTTGCCAACGAGTTTGTTGCATCCATAGATGGTACTTCTTCTGATATTTCCACTAAAGAATTGTAAGTATTATTATTTATTTTATTTATTTTTGTTAGCTGCCCACTAACTTATTTCTATTGTAGATCTGGAGGGGCCCGTATTTATTATATCTTTAACAATATCTTTGGTCAAGCATTAGATGCTATTGATCCATGTGCTAATCTAAGCAATGAAGATATTCGAACGGTTATTCGCAATTCCACTGGTCCTCGATGTTCTCTCTTTGTTCCTGAAATGGCCTTTGACTTATTGATTCGTCCACAAATCAAATTATTGGAAGCTCCTAGTTTAAGATGTGTTGAATTGGCTTTTCAAGAATTATCCAAAATATGTCATGCATGTGAAAACAAGGTAAATAATAAAGGATAGGATGATTATGTGTATTCATTCGTTTATTTATAGGAAATGCTACGATTCCCAAAACTTCACGCTAAATTGATTGAAATAGTATCTGATTTATTACTGGAACGATTATCTCCTACGTCAGATTATGTGGAAAGTTTGATCGCTATCGAATGCGCATATATTAATACCAATCATCCTGATTTCCCTGGTGCTACTGCAACCATGGCAGAACTTCAGAAACGTTCATCTTCTTTTTCTTCATCATCTTCTTCCTCATCGTCTTCATCACGTAAAAATCAGGTAAGAGAAATAACAATAATAATAAAAAAAGTTAAATGATTTAACATTTTTTTTTCTAGTTACAGGTACCGTCGATCAATGGTATGGATTATCATCGACGAAACTCATCATCACCTAGAAACGATTCTTTATTGAATTATTTTTTCGGTTATACAAATGATAAATCAACTTTACATCATCCATCCGTATTTTCTGAATTACCACCTTCGCTTGAAAAAACATTTACCAACAATGCAAGTCTGCCAAAAAAAAAAAAAAAGTATGTCAAACTTATCTATTTTTTTTTTCTTTATTTATAGTTATCCATTGTAGAAGATCATACCCAAGTATCCTCACCATTAGAGAAAGACATGATAGAAGTCAAACTGATACGTACGTCATATATATATAGAAAAAAAAAAGATGTGAATCTCTTATTTATAAATAATGTATGATTTTAGGTAAATTACTGACAGCGTATTTCAACATTGTACGACGATCGATTCAAGACCTGGTTCCGAAAGCCATCATGCATCTCCTTGTCAACTATACTCGTGAAACTGTGCAAAACCGTCTGGTCACCTCATTATATCGTGAAGAACTGTTTGATGATTTATTGCAAGAGGATCCTGTCATGGCCGCCGATCGACAACGATGCAAGACCATGTTGGATGTATACAAAAAAGCATTTGTTATAGTTAGTGATGCCTTGTAGTTAAGTATTAGAGAAGAAATAAAACCATTTGTATTTATTCATTAGATATGATTATTTTTTTTTATTTATTATTATTTGGATGTAATGGAATAAAATAAATATGTAGGAAGAAGAATATATATAAAAAAATAATAATAATACAAGAGTAATCCAAAGAAATGAGTATATAATAAATAAGAAGTAATGAGAATATATAATCAATAATTTTTTTTTTTTTTTAGAAAAAAAAAAAAAAAAAGGGAATCGTCAAAATAATGGTTTCCGTCTCCAAGAAAGTCGATGATATGATTTCGAGAAAGTAGAAGTTTGAATGATGGCAGGTTGAGAGGCACGACGACCAGGGAAAGGCGACATATCGTAAGTAGGAGAATGCAATGATGTTTTCTTTTTTAATGTTTGTTTCCATTTTGGATCATCTATGTCCGATAAGAAAACCAACATATCTTCAGGCGTCTATCCAAAAAAAAAAAAAAAAGTAAATCCTCACTTCTTTACGATTATCTTTTTTTTTTTATACCTTTGAAAATGAATCATGATATCGGATCAACCATTCCACTACCTTGATTTCATCATGAGGAATAGTTTGAGAACCTTCTTGATGATCATATAAAACACTAGGGGCCATGATCCTGGCTAAATTGTAGATATCCATTTTATTTTGATCTTTGAATGTCGCTACATAGAAAAGAAATCCAAACACTGCTTGCATAATGTCCCGATTTTCTTTTGGAAGCATGCAACATGCAAGATGAAGTGTCCTTTTGATATCTTGTTCTCTTTTTAGATCTAAAAAAAAAAAAAATGAATCTATCTATGTAAAAAAAAATGGGATGCAGCTTACTTATGGCCGCCATAAATACTGGATAAAGTCGAAATGTCAATAAAGGTTCAGGTAAGGCACGTAGGTACCTTTTCAATAAAGCTGCCAATTGAATGGATGATTGTTGATCTAATAATTCCATCATTGATATTGTATTCTTTTTCGCCAAGGTATCTTCTAATTGTTTCAATTCACGAATATTGCCATTTTTTCGAAAGATACCTTCCACAGACATATCTATTTAAAAAAAAAAAAAAGAAAAGATCAGGATAATGCATATCTATTTTTTTTTTTTTTTTAGTACCTCGTTGTAATAATGTCAATATACAATGTTGCATAAAAGGAGGTACCTTGCAATGTTGAGAGGAGAACAAGCATATCATGTGATCCAAATTCCCTGTCTTGTTATAGTGGTGTAATAGATGTCGATCCATGCTAAAATTTTCTTCTTCTTCCGATTTGATCCTTGTTTTGAATTTGTCCCAAAGGGATGGTTTCTTGCATTCTACCAACATCATCCATTGTTCCATAGAATACAAATGCGGCAAGTAGGCGCCAATGGTTTTAGCGGCAAGTTGGCGAATCATCAAATAATGTTTCGGCGTTAAGGCGAATAAGGATGGTGACACAGAAGACGCCATGAATGGTTTGTCGTTTTGAGTATCCAATGTAGATTGTTGCTTGGAAGGCCGACGATCAAATAAGTTGTATATCGAAGCACGTTCACCATGACGACTAAGTACTTTTCTTATACTTCCCATACGGGCGGATCGACTGGTTGAGAAGACACGACCGATGGTAGAAGACGAAGCTTTGATATTATCTTCTTCTAACGTATGACTGTGGATAGTAAAAGAACGCTTTGTTAAATGGGATGAATGATTGGAGAGTTGATCTTGAGGATGTTCACTGATTTGATCTAAACGATTTGATTTGGCACGTCTGATATTTCCGAAATGAACAGAACCAAATAAAGAAGGACGTCGTCCAGTAGAAGGATTCATATCTTTTGTCAGTCGTAAAAAATTGGTTGATAAAAATGGAGAAGAATCATCCTTGTTTGTATTGATTTTGGCGTGATTTTGTTCATTCGATTGTTTATCTAAACCTAAAATAAATTAAAAAAGATAAATCATCCACAAAAAAAAAAAAAAAAAGGAGTTACCTGAGGAAGAATGCATGACAAAATAAAGTCGAGAAAGAGCCAATTTGAGTAGGTATATATAGTATTGTAATTGAGTCAGATGTATAAAAGTGTTATTATCATTATCATCATTATGGGTAATGCAAGGATCACATACAAGCACACGAGTTCCAGATTCATTAATACATCGAGCAATCAGTAGATCATTGGTAAGAGGATGTTGACACTTTGAACAGATAAAACAACTAGGATGCCATTGTTCTTGATGATTTTCATGTTGATAGCAATCATTGTCGATAGGTTGTTTGCACGAATAACATTGTTCTTGAGGATGATCCAACTTGAAACGATCCAAGGGGAAAGGATCCTCTTTGAACCAGTAACGACCACCAATCCAAACCCGTTTTCTTTCCAATTCTAACAAGTTGTTTAAAAATCTTGGTATAGCATCAGCAACATGGCAATCACGTTCCTATATAAGAATTTATATTTTTTTTTTTAAAAAAAAAAAAAAAGATCAGTAAAGAAAAAGACTTTTTTTTATTATTATTACCAAAGATAATGCTTCAGTCAGGCCAATCCTTATTAACGTTTTCAAATTTTGAGCAAGACTTGTGACCAAACACAGTAATTCTTGTGTCACGCCCAATTTGTTATCTTTGAGAGAACCATCAGGATGAGCCAACAGATGAAAGAATCGAATCACTTGATTAGATACAATTTTACATTCCTTTTCGCATGGTAACACTTTTTTTAAAAAAAAATAAAATAAAAAATTAAGTAACAAACATTTTTTTTATTTTTTATTTACCTTTGTTATAATTAGTCATGACATGTCGTATATTATCCAAAGCATTATATAAAACTTCCAAATGCATTATAAATTGACTTGCCATTCTAAATCCTTCGACGTATGCCCCGGCAGCCATCAACAGGAGCATATCTGATATACAAGTAGCAGATGATTCTTCAAAAGAACTTAGATCAGTCCAAATTCGATTAACTTTTCGTTCCATTGCTAGTTGATTTTCTTCAAGTCGAACCATAGCCAATTTTCCATTATCATTCTCTATCAATAAAACAAAATTTTAATCCAACTATTTTGTTTATTTATTTATTTTTACCATGAAGAGTATCAGCCAATCGTACATTCCAAAACTATATAAAAAAAATAAATAAATAAATCATTCAATGTTTATTTTATTATTATTATTTTTTTTTTTTTACCTTGAAAATCATATAACATTCAGGATGCCATTTTTTTCCAGGATGAGTTTTATTTTCAACAAATTGTTTGACAATAGCTTGATGACAACCAGCACATTGAATTTCTTTGATAGCAGAGAAATGAAGTAAACAATATAATCGACCTTGAAATTCGAATTTAGGTTCTATTGGATCATGATCAGGACATTGGACACACATTTGAGCATAATAATGTTGTTCACATACAATTTTATAAGTTGTATTTTGTTTCAATGCATAAAACTTATCGGTAACCAATAACTGACAATCCTAATAAAATCAATAAAACATCAATCATTGCCACCTCCTCTTTCTTTTGATCATTTTCTCCTCCCCCTTTTTTTTTTTTTGATGGTGAGAAGAAGACCAAAAAAAAGGAGAGGCCATGTTTCCCCCCTAACGCACATACACACACACACTAATCACACATTCCTTTTTACTACCCATCTCTTCCCTCCCTCCCCTCCTTTTTTTTTGGTGACACTGTGCATTTCATCCATATACTATTAAACAAGTTTTTGAACTTACTTCACAGGTAAAGCAATGAGAATGATAAATTTGACCTAAAGCACGGATCAAGGTTCGATCTGAGGGTAAGCAAGGTTGTTGGCAGGCATGACAATAGCGTATAGTTCTTTTTCGTGAATTTGTTTTGTTCTTCGGAAGTGGCGTCGTGGGTATGGCACCATCATGACATTCCCTCTCCATCACTTTTTTTGTTTTTTAAAAAATAGAGATGAGGAGAGTATGAATGGTTATTATACGTATAAATAAAGAAGTAAAACAGAGAAAGAGGAAGAGAAAAAATAAAAAAAAAAAGTAAAAAATACAAAAAAAAAAAATGCAAAAAAAAAAATACAAAAAAAAAGGAAGGGGTAGTAAAAAAGTGAAGAAAGGAGTATTTACTTTTTTTTTTCTTGATCAGTAGTAAAAGACTAGTTTCGATGACAGTGGAATAAAAATAGTTAGATCATAAAATAACAACAATATGAAAAAAAGAGGGAAGAACGGAGTATATACCTACTTTTGGTTCAAAATAACTAAACGATCATGCTTTATTATTATACAAAATATATTTTAATTTCTAGATCTAATTAACCTTCTTCTTTTCAATCTACCATGATGTCTTCTATTGGTTTCAATGGTTTTTGCAAAAAGAATATCCAATATGGTTACCCACCGACAGTTTAGTATAGATGATACATACTCCAAATCTTGTTGTTTTTGTTTGTTTCTATGACAAATAAATAATAAAAAAAAAAAAGAATTTTTTGGTTAGAAATGTTTTTTTTCTCTCTCCTTTCTCTTTCTCCCTCTTTACCTTTGCTGACAGATGATTTCCCAACCCATGATATCTAATAAACCAGTGCCTTGTTCAAGTTGATTCCATTCTAATAAAGTCATTTCCAAATTGGCTTCCATTTCCCAATGATCCCATGCGTCAGGCTTTTTTTGAAAATGTAAATATCCACATTGTTGATCATCATTCATATCATATTCGTCAATACCATACACCTAAAAAAAAAAGGAACATATCTTTATTAGATAACATTTCTTTTTTTTTTTATTATTTTAATTATAATATATATTTACCTGATCTTGTCTTTGTTCCGTCATTCCAATACCATAATCAATTAGTGATCGATTATTCATCCAAGTTTCAAGAAGTTTCAATGGATCATCATCATCGGAAATAATCATCGTTTTGTTTCGATTTCTTTGGAGCCATTGATTGCATAATGGTGTAACCTGAGCTCCGGGAATATGATCTGATATATATCGAAGCATAAAAATATCCTCATCTTGCTGTAATTGATCCATCAATAAATTCACATGAGCTTCAACAATAGGATTGTGTAACCGTTTATCTTTTTTGTCATCGTTGTAGCGATTGATATGATAATAATGTGCATATTCTAATGTCGTCAATAATTGGCGTATATCAGGTCCAATGCTACGAATATAATCCATCAAATCCGCTACTGAGATCGTATATCTTTCTAATAAACATATCAAATGTAAGAATGGTAAAAGCATTTGAACAAGTGGTGATTCGTAATACACAATAGCTTGAAGTTGTAACATATCAAATGGGATAGCCAATGTATCTATATAAATTCAACAAGAAGGATCAGTCTCTTTCTTTTTTTTTTTTTAAAAAAAAAAGAAAGTTTTACCATTGCAAGTCATAATAATAGGTCGTTTACTTGTTCGAGCCAATTCTGCCACTGCGGTCCAGAACCCTTTATCACTTTGATATACCAAATCCACCTCTTCTAACAAGATCAAACTTTGTTTTGGTTCAGAAGACATTTGTTCATCATGAGTTGTATCCATTTCAACTAAATCATTCGTAGTAGATGGTGATGTTGTTGTTGATGATGATGCTGTTGTATCAGATAATGGTGAAGATGTGGTCTTTTTGGATGTAAAGAAATGCGTCAATAATTGATTAGGTCTGCTTGTTGTTATTGGTGTTTTCGAACTAGTTCTTTCCATATCCGCATCGTCCTCCTCCTCCTCCTCGTCATTATTATCATTGTTATTACTGTCGTCATCGTCCTTTTTTGGTGGAAACGCCTTATGACTGTGGAATCGGACTAGATGATTTTTCGTCATATCTCCAACCAAACGCATCACATCTTTATAAGATCGCTTGATACCAGGATAGATTTCAAATACTTGATAACCAGTTTCTTGAGCTGCTGTATATACACCTGCTGTTTTGCCCACACCATGAGGTCCAACCAATAATATCATATTCAAATCTTTCTTTGATTTCCTCTTCTTTTTCTTCTTTGTTGTTTTTGTCGGTACAAAGTCATCATCTTCATCATCTTCATCATTTGTATCCGTATAATGTTGTTCCATATCACGTTGTGTCACCTTTTTCTTTCGAGGAGCAAAAAAAGAAACGTCTGTTTTTGTTGAAGGCACTTTTTGTCGTTCCAACCAATCTCGTAAATAGCGATGATGACTTTGATTGTCTAAAAGATGTTCCACTTGACAAGGTCGATATTTTTCACACCAAGGAAGAGATGTGTCCAACTCTTTTCGATTCAATAATCCTTCACATGCAGGATATCGCCATCCACCTTGATCAAGAGGGTATAAAGTGTCCATCATTGATTCAATATCACATGGATATTCTTCTTCTTCTTCTTGTAGTTGAGAGATATGCAAGTCGGAGAACATAGATTCGTGTTGTTGTCGTTCTAATCGTTTTTGCCTCAGTGATAAAAGATATGTCTCACCTTGAGTTTGTACAATATGTTGTAATGGACAAGATCGTTTGTTGACTTTAACATTGAATGACGATGGTGGATAAGCATCATGCGTTGTCGCTTGTTTGATATGTCCACCCTTGAACACCGTCTTGTCAGGCCATGGAACCATAAGCTGATGTTTTCGTGTTGTCATGATAGGTTGGTGGAAATAAGTATAGTCATCTTTTTCCTCCTCGTCATCGCTTGGTGTTGCCTTGATGGGTGGCAAAAGTTGTGGAGCCGATCGTGAAGGTTGTGTCCATATTGATGCTTTCCGTGGTGGTGGTATACTGGCAGGATCGGATACTCTTATCTTATTCATGGACCGGATAATGGCAAAAGGAGATGAAGTTGCATCATTGTCTATTGATTTGGGTGGTGCTGATGCTGGTTTGACTTTTTCTTCTTGATCTACTGTAGTTTTGCTTGCTGTTGATTTAGCTTTTGCTGGTTGGAAAATATCAAAGAATTTATTTGGAGTTTCCTTTGTTGTTGATGTGGATAATAATGTAGACAATTGTTGTTGTGTAGGTTGTATCGGAGTAGGTGCTTGTATGGAACCATAGCTAGACAATAGTTTTTGTTTCTTGATTTTGACTTTTTCAGTAGGAGGTTCGGATGACCCATGGCCAGGAGGAAAATAAGGTCGAAGTATTCGTTTTACAGGTAATGATGAATCATCCATCCAATACAGTAATCAATAAATGAAGAAAGAAAATAATATGTATATATAAAAAAAAAAGAATAAAAAGAGCGCGACACTTTTTTTTTTAAAAAAAAAAAAATAACCCAAAGAAAAAAAAAATTGGCTGTTGCACGCGTGAGAGTCAATGATTGCCTACCCGCGTCTTAGTTTCAATATCCGCGTTCACGCGCTCTTGACGCATATCTCATTGTCAAAAAAAAAATCATGATATTTTACTTCTTCGATCTCTCCTATGATGATGACGGTATCATAGTGACAGTAATGACTATGATGGTCGATGATATATATCTACTGTATATATAAACTAGTGATTTCCCTAAGAAGACTTTGACATAAACACCCTCCCCCCGTAAATATATGACAGAATGATTTGTTCTCAATCACTGCAGGATTATCATGATAAAATGAATAATAGATAAAATGTTACCATCAGTATAGATATCATCATTGCCATAAAACCATAGGAACGTCAACTTTAGTTTGAATAGTTCCTGATGACTTTTTTTTCTTTATGTTTGCGTCATTACCATATTAAGCAAGCAGGATGGGCATGTACTTTGAAACACCGTTACCCTCACTGGTTTTTTTTTTTGTAAAGTTATCCCAGTTTCTCGCCTAGTTGACTGGCATCATTGATTAGTAAATCATCACCATTCACATGTAATCATCATTCATCAATCGAAATATCTATGATGATGCAAAGTAAAAGAATGTAAAGTGAGGGCAAATAATATATCGTTCACTGCTTGTCACCCCCCGCAAAACTCCCATTTTTTTTTTTTATAATTTGACACCCGATCTTTTTTTTTTTTCACTTTGCTTCTTTTTTCTACTCAACTACTTTTTTTTTAAATATAATGACAAGGGCACGCAAAGCAGCACAAGAAGCCAAAGTGTTATTAGCACCTATTCCTTTATACCGTCAGATCCTTCGAGTGCATCGCAATTTACCACCGGCCATGCGTGCAATGGGTGATGATTATGTCAAGTCCGAATTTCATCGACATAAAGATACAGATAATCCTGTTCATATCATTGGCTTTATTTCTCAATGGCAAGAGTAAGTATCTTTTATTCTGTTTTTTTTTTTTTTCTCTTGTACTTCTCTAGTTGACTTGTTCTTATTATTATCATTATTAGGTACTTGGAAACGCTTCAAAAACAAACAGCACCACGTCCACAAGAAGAATCATCAGCACCTGTACAAGATCATTTGGTCCGAAGTTTCAATACACCTAAAGACGGTTGGGGAAAACGATTAGAGAATAGTTTATTGGAGAAAATGAGTGATGAACAACTTGGACAGATTTATGAATTACGAACTCAAATCAAAAAGTCGGTCCATGGTGAAGATGATCAGCAAGAAAAAAAATAGATTGCTCCCTTTAGATAGTGTTAGATTCTTGTTTATAATAAAGATTATATTTTTATCATATTCAATTTATATGTAAGTGCATCATTATTTTATATATATATATATCGTTCATCAATTTGAATTAGTCATTGACATCAACACTATTGTCAAATCCAGCTCCCCTAGTTATTGTATTCATCATAGACAACAACAGCAGCAGCTAAATATCCATCACCCAAACAAATAATAATAAATAAAGTATAAAATAGTACAAAAAATAGAGATATTTATTATTATTTCAATTGATTTTATAATCAGGAGTATCACCCTTGAACATCCAAGCACGTTGTTCACCATTGGACAAATGAGTACAATCACCATTGAGGACCCATTCCCAGGATTGAGGAGAAGTACGAACCAATTTGGCCAAACTACAGGTACCAGATTTCACCCAAACGTTAGGATCCCCTACCAAAGCACGTACGGCGGTGATCACGGTGGCGGCATGTCCTGCCAATAAAATGGTCGATACGTCTTGCTGTTGATCCAACTGTTGAATTAATCTTGTCAAGCCTTGTTGTGTACGTTGATGACATTGAATCACGGTTTCAGGACCTTCAGGAAGTTCAATACTACTGTTATACGAAGACTGAATCGCCACCTCGGGAAAGAAGGATTGAAGATGATCTAGGTTGGTTGGTGGTAGATATTGAGGACTGGCTTCTCCATACCATTCTCTATAAATAAAATCATCAGTTTTTTTTTTTTTTTTTTTTTTTTTTTTTTTTGAGAATACTTACGCCATACAATGGTCAAGATACACAGGTACACCGGTCGTTTTGGCCAAAGGAGCAATGGTTTGCACTACTCGATAAAATGGTGATGAATAGATACGGTCGATGGACTTATCCTTCAAAAATAATCCCAACTCTTCAGCTTGTTGTAATCCTTCCGCCGATAACGGTGAGTCATGAGTCAGGCCTGTTGGATAAACCGTGGTAGGATTGACCCAATCTTCACGAAATCCATGACGTGTGATCCAGATTTCCTTCAACATTGTCTATCATCAAAAAAAAAAAAAAAAAAGAAAAAAGAAAAAAAAAAGAGAGTCGGCGTATATTGAATATTTTTTTTTTCTTTATTGAATTTTTTTTTCTTTTTAGTCTGTTTTTGCTGTGTAACATATGAAATGTAGTAATGGCATAAAATATGAAGTGTGTGTATATGTGTTTGCGTTGTGTGTGTGTGTGTATGAAATGATTGAAAAAGTGCATTGTGATATATAATTAAAAAAAAATGTGTCAAATGAGTAAAACGGGGTGATAAACTAAAAAAAAAACATATTCAAAAACCTAGATTGTCATTATCCATTGATGTTATCATAAAGTCCAGGAGGATTGACTACATGAAATTGTTGCGTAGCGAATTGTTTTTGTTGATCTTCCGCCATTGGTATGACATTGTTATTGTTATTGTTGTAGGTCACCGGATGAGAGATTGTTTGTACTTGTGTAGTGCTTGCTGATACAACGGGTGAAGTGTTAAATGGTATGGTTGTAGTTATTGGCGTTTTGTTTTGACTACGTAATCTTTTTTTTTTTTAAAAAAAGAGGAGTGAGATGAAAGATAATTATAGATATATATATTTATAAATTTTACTACTTACATTCTATTGCTTGGAGAACCTGTATCAATTGGGTATGGAAGTAACCGGAGACCAGAAGGAGATAACGCATCAGCATTTTGAGTATTCATCGTCGTTGTCGTCATTCTACCCATCATTTTTCTGTACTTACCACCGTTTGTTGGATTATCACGAACAAGTAACCTTCCACCCCCATTGTTGCTGCCACTATGATTACTATTATTGTTGATGACAAGTCCACTAGTACAAAAGGGATTGGACATATATACATCAGGTAGTTGTTGTTGTAACGATGGTAATGATGGATGAGTCGTAGGAGATGGTTGAATTGAATGATATGGTGATGAAGTTGAAATGACGGGAGTAGAAGAATATTGTTGTAATAAAGGTTGTTGTTGTTGTTGTTGTTGTTGTTGTTGGTATTGTAACAAAATGTTGTCTCTTCTTTTTGCTGCCTCGGATACTTTGTGATCTGTAGGATAAGGAGCTGCAGCTGATAATCGATGGTTGGTAGATGAAGATGGAAGTGCTGCTGTAGTTTGTCGTGGGGTCGATAATCCACTACTGTAAAGCATGGTAGAATTACCACCAGGTAAAGCTTGAGTACTTGGCAGTAATGGTGGTGCTGCAGATGATGAAGTAGGAGTCGTTGTAATAGATTGAGAATCTGTTACTCGTTTTTCATGCTATCATCATTTATTAAAAAAAAAAAAAAGGATCAATATTGAATATAGACAATATCTTATGTCTTACCATTTTTCGAAGAGTCCAATCAAAGATATAATCATACTGAAAGCCTTCTCGGATAAAAAGAGTACGGAATAACTTGTGTAGATAGGCATAGTCAGGACTGTCATCGAAACGAAGTGATCGAACATAGTTGAAATAAATGGTGAATTCAGTATGTAATCCACGGCATAATGATTCATGTGAAGTTGTCATTTTCTTTTCCATAATCTTGTCATATTTTTCTTTTTTTGTTCGAGCTCGTATGCCTTGCCAAGGTAATTGGCCACAACTAAAATAAACAAGAATATAACCCAAAGATTCTAAATCATCCCTTCTTGATTGTTCTAATAATAATAATAAAAAAAAAGAGTGAATAATAAGATAGAAATGAATTTTTTCTCTTTATATATATATATATTTTTTTACCAATGCCTAGATGAGTATTAATACTGGCATATCGTGGAGTGCCAGTTAAATTCTTGTTTTCACGATAGGGTATATGTGTCATTGTTTTGGGATCACGATATCGTTTTGCAAGTCCAAAGTCGATCATATTTACTTGATTGCCACGTCGAGCTGTTCCCATTAAAAAGTTGTCCGGTTTGATATCTCGATGAATAAAGCCTTTTGAATGTATAAATTCCACACGTGCCAACTAGATGAAAAAAAAGAAAGAAAGAAAGAGTTAATGTCATCATCTAAGAATAATATATATATATTTACCATTTGATCGGCTAATAAAAGTACAGTTTTCAAACTAAAACGTCGTTTGCAATAGTTAAATAAATCTTCCATAGATGGTCCTAGTAAATCCATAACCAGGACATTATAATCAGTTTCTTTGCCAAACCAACGTACAAAAGGAATTCCTACGCCACCAGCCAGTAATCGATATACTCTTGCTTCATATTCTAGTTGTGGATGAGTTGCTTTAGTACTTTCTAACTTGACTGCAATATCTTCGTTTGTGGATAAATTTGTACCTATAATAATAATAATAAAACGTTTTTTAAGTAAAAGGAAAAAAAAAAAGAGTAATATATATAAATATAGGAGAAAGTTTGACTTTACCAAGGTATATTTCTCCAAAGGACCCAGCACCAATCTTCTTGCCTAGTTTGAATTTATTACCAACAATATAGCCTCTTCCTTCTAAAGACATGAAAGAGTACAAACTGTATGATATAAGATGAGAAGAATGAACTTGGTTATTGGACTAAACTGGTTATACAATGAAAACAAGAAAACAAGAAAAAAAAAAAAAAAAAAGAAAAGAAAAAAAAAGGGAAGAGAAAAAAAAAAAAAAAATGGAAAAAGGGAAAAATGAGCCCGAAGCGGGGAAAATAATAATAATTTTTTTTCTTTTTTTTTGGTTGAGTACCTCAATGGTAAAAAAGACATTTGAAAAATACTTTTATATGATTCGTCTTCCGATGGATGGGATTTTTTTTTATTATTTTGGGATTTTATGATGACAGAAAACAAAGAAAAAACCCCTAACCCCACATCTTATTGAATTTGTTTATTCGGAATGATTTTATCTTCCTTAAGGATATTATTATTATTATCATATTTTGGATAAGATTTATTCTTCCTTTTTTTTTATATTTATATTTATAAAAAAAATACATGAAAAAAGTGTCCTTTTCTTCTCTCCCTCTCCGATTTGCTATATATGGTAATCAACTTATCCAATCATCATCCGAGAAAAGAGCGTCACAACCAAAGTAAGAAAGAAAGATTTTATTTTTAAAACAATTTGAGTTTTTTTTTCTTTTTCTTTTTTTAACCTTTTACTTTTTTTTTTTTTATTACATATATACCGCATAATTATGTCTTCTTCTCAGGTACTTAAAATCATTTTCAAAAAAAAGAAGTAGAATATTCATATATTGATTTTTTTATATAGCACGACCACCCCGAAGAACAAGATATTGTAGAAGAAGAATATCTACAACAAGACGATGTCTATGAAGAAGAAGTACCTGATCTCGGTCAAGGTGAACCCATGGAAGAAAGTGACGATGATGATATGGAAGGTAAAAAAAAAAAAAATAAGAAGAAGAAGAAGAAGAAAAAAAAAAAGGAAATATATCATTGAACACACTCTTTTTTTTTAAAATAGAAAATCCTTTGGAAGGTTATGATGTACGACAATCTGAAACAGACGAAAACTTGATGGAATTAGCTGATGATTCTGTTCAAGGTTTTTTTGATCATCGAGAACCTGTATATGCTGTGGCTATGCATCCAAAAGATAACCAACTTATTGTTAGTGGAGGTGGTGATGACAAGAGTTATTTATGGCGTGCTGATACTGGAGTCAAGTTATTTGAATTGACAGGTCATACTGATTCAGTTACTGCTGTAGCATTCAGTGTGGAAGGGGATTATGTGGCATCTGCTGGTATGGATGGTCGTGTCCGTGTTTGGAAAGTGGAAAATGGTGAATTATGTACTTCTGTTGAAGGTCCTGACGAAGTGGTGGTAAATGATTTTTTTTTTTATTGAATACAATCAACTCAATTTTTTTTTTTTTAGTGGATGAATTGGCATCCAAAAGGAAATGTATTACTTGCTGGTGCTTCAGATTCTACTATTTGGATGTGGGCAAGTAAGTGAATGAAACAGATGACTAATATAATTCATAATGATGACTCATCCATCTTCTTTTATAAGTGCCATCTGGAAAATTCATGAATATATTTAATGGTCATGCTGCGCCTGTGACAGCTGGTCGATTTACTCCTGATGGAAAACGAATTGTGTCTGTATCTGAAGATACATCCATGATTATTTGGGATCCCAAGACAGCTGTTGCTGAATTTCGTTTATCTGGTGAAGATGCTAGATTCCATCCTGAACCCATTACTACTTTGGCCATCAATAAGGATAGTACTTTGGCTATTTCTGGATCTATGGATGGTAAAGCTCGTTTGGTAAATATTACCAATGGTTCTGTAAGTATCGGCATTTTAATCTATTGTCTGTGCATGAGAGATTGACCTTTTTTTTTTTATTAGATTGTAGCTTCTTTAGAAAATCATTCTGATTCTGTGGAAACTGCTGATTTTTGTGATGTGTAAGTGAATTATTTATATGTCATCAGTTTGTATTTACTTTTTTAATTTATTTATCTAAATGATAATTAGTCTTGCTCTTGCTGCTACTGGATCTGTGGATGGTACTATTTCTATTTGGGATGTACAAACACAACGATTACGATCTACTCTTAATCATGAAGTAAAAAAAAAATATAAAAAAGTCATAATAATAATAATAAAAAAACTAAACCTTGATTTTATTTTTTACAACATTAGGATGCCATCATTAAAGTCAAATTTGTTGTCAATTCACCTCTTCTTGTGTCCTGTTCTGCTGATCGAAATGTGAAAATGTGGGATGCTCGAACTGGTGTATGTGTCAAATCATGGCAAGGTCATCGTGATGCTGTTCTTGATTTTGCGGTATCAGAGTAAGTATCCAAAACAAGAGAATGAAACCTTTTTTTTTTATTGATTTCTTTTGTTTTTTAATGTAGTGATGGACAAACAGTGGTGACTGCCTCTGATGATGGTGCCTGTTTGGTGTATAAGCTTTAGATATAGCATTCCATTTTCATTCCTATCTCATTTTTTTAGTTCATATCATCATGTATCATTTTTTTTTTTTTTTTTTGCTAATGTACCACTTATTGTATACTCATTATTTTTTTTCTTCTTCATCAAATAAACGTTCATAATCTTTTTTTTTTTTTTTTTTTTTTTTTTTTTTTTTTTTACTATGTATTCATTATTTCAATAAATAAAAGGTTAAGAATGAATTTTTATTATAAAAAGTTGGGTTCAAACAGGGAAAAAAAAAGATGATATGATATGCATGATTTATATGTAAATTGTCAATATGAAATAAAGGATAGGTGTGTATACATGAAGGGTGGAAATAATGTAAAAATTATTTTTTGGGGACATAATCTTTGGAAAGATCAATATGTGATAAATGAGTATTGGTAATTTTAATTTTCTTGTTTCTTGTCTTGGATCGTTTAACTTTAGGCTATGTATATATAAAAAAAATTCATATTTTAGAATCACAAATAGAATAAAAAAAAACAAAGATGTTTCTTACCTCGGAAACCACTTTCTTTTCAAACACTTCCATTGTTTTCAAACCAGCTAATATAGAAGAAGAAGAAGAAAAACAATATATTTAGTATTAACATAACCTATCTGACATGAAAATGTCATTACCGTTTTCAAGTTCTCTTGGAAGATCTGTTTCGTCGGGTATCTTGATATCTGACCACATTGTCTTGAATTCTATAGAAAACATTATCATCAGTTTCTTTTGATCTTATCTATAAACCACTTTTTTTTTTTTTTTTTTTGATTACCTGGATCCATATGAGTATTTTGTTCAGGATCATTATAAAACAATACCCTTGGATTACCATCCTTGTTCCGTACTACTAAAATTCGACTTTCTCCAGCTAATTCTTCAACTGCATCACTAAGTTTTGAATATGAATCTTTGAGGTCTTTGTAATCCATGCCACCAGTAGATTTCATAGATATTAGTAAAGATAACAAATCATCTTTAGATTTGATTTGATATGTTGGCTAATATATCAATATGAGTGAGTGGGATAAATATCAAAGAAATTTCTTTTTGACTAATAATACCTTGTATGCAAAAGTTTGATTGACAGGATCATAATCAATTTTATTGTTGGATGCTAATTTATCCCATAATGCTTGGTTTTTCGCAATATTGACCTTTGTTCGACTTGTAATACTGATGACTGATTGTGGTCCATCGGAATCCTTCAATAATAATAATAATAAAAGAATGTAAATCACTTTTTATTTATCTAATTGTTATATTTTACCTTTAGAAATTGAATCACTGTATATAGTTTGCTCATAGCATGAGAACCAGTCCCAGTATCAGCAGGTTGTGAATAAGCTATTATAAATGTGAGTGAATATGTTATGTCAGATTAAAAAAACAAAAAGTAAATAAGAAGACTTACCTCCAGTTTTCTTTGGTTTTCTTTTTTTATCACCGTCAAAAGCAGCCCGAGTATTATTTGAAATAGAAGCATGAGTGGATTTAGTATGATCATCTTGTTTGATAGTAGTAGCCGCTCGTTTAACACCAAGCATCGTATTAGCATTCAATGACTTTTTGAAACTTTTCACTTGATCAGTTAGTTGTGACATGATTATAATATAAGAGAATCAAATAAAGTAATAAGAACAAAAAAATGAATAATAATAATAATAACAAAAAAAGAGTAGATAATAGATATAAATGGGAGACTGTATATAAAAAGAAAGACTACCAAAGATCAATAGTGGGAAAGAAAAAGGAAAAAAAAAAAAAAAAGAGCAAGAAAAAAAAAGCTCTGGGTAATCTAAAAATATATAGAAAAAAACAGTAAGCGGAGTTCAATGAGAACCTACACTTTATTCAATAAAAAATGACGGAATTCAAAGAATAAGATGTCGCAAAAATAGGAAATAAAATATCGTAAGGATAGAAAATAAATGACAGAAAAAAAAAAATATAATTGTCGCATAATCAAATGTAAGAAAATAGATATCATGAAAAAAAGAGTAATCAAAAAAAAAAAAAAAAAAAGGAAATCCACCAATTGAGTTCACCAAGTTAACATATAAAAAAAAAAAAAATAAAAAATGAGTAATACTTATCCAAATAAAAATATTTCACTAGCTTACCATTTAAGTGTAATGTGATCGCCGTAGCGAAAGTAGGATGGCGATAACCATCCCGGAATTGTTGAATATAAAAAAAAAAAGGCTGACCGTAACCACGCAGATGCGCATTAGCGACCACGGTCAAGCCCAGAAAGCAAAAAAGAGGTAGATCAACGGAGAAACAGACAAAGATGCTTGAACTATTAAAGAGTACTTGTATAGAAAAAGATAGGCAAAAAAAAAGAAGGCAGATCAAAAAGTAAGCAGGTAGGCCAAAAAGATGAATATAATGTAAAGAAATAAAAAAAAAAGTTAAATCAAAGGGATCCTTTTATAAGAAAATGAATCACTCGTGCAATTATGAACTAATTTTAGTTGATAAAATGATGAGACAAGATGTAAGCGAGTTTTATCATCTTTTTTTTTTTTAAATATTAGCAACATTTCTATCTTTATATTGTATCTAATTTATCATCATTTTTTTTCTTAGCATTAACAACATTTCTTTCTTTATATTGTATCTAATTTATCATTTGTCTTTTTTAGTATCTACTTTATTATTTTTAGTATCTACTTCATCATTTTTTTTTGGTATTAGCAACATTTCTCTCTTTATATTGTATGTAATTTATCATCTACTTTATTATTTTTAGTATCTACTTCATCATTTTTTTTTTAGTGTTAGCAACATTTCTCTCTTTATAATAAAGTTAATTATATAAATGTTCACATTAAATTCTATTCTTACAATATCCATATACCAAGTGATACATGATACTGATTTGTTTTTGCCGTGTTTTAGTTTAATGACTAGATTTCTTTTTTTTTTTTTTTTTTAGTTGTTCTATTTTAAATGATAGTATGATTGTGCACAGCATACTTATTATTGCCATTTTTTAATTTCCATAGGTGATCATCATTATTATTATATTGATTTATCATGTTGGCTGATAAAAGAGTGTTTTGACATTTTTCAAAGAAAAAAAGAAAAGAAAAAAAAGAAAATGTTGTTCTGTCAGAAGATAACTAGAATGAAGTATTTTGTATTTTAGCAGAAATTTGTACTGTGATTGACGACAATGTTTCATCATCCATCATACAATCATACAATCATCCAACATATAATCATCCATTATCACATATCATCCATCATACAGTCATCCATCATCCATCCTGTAATCATCCAATATACAATCATCCGTTATCACATATCATCCATCATGAATCATCCTTCATGAATCATCAATCAATTGATACCTAAAAAAGAATGGACAACACCCAAAGCTGCTAAAAATATGAAAAGCTTATGTTACTTTTCTTTTCTGTCTTTTATTATTAATAAACAAGTTATCATCAATGTGTTGTGTGTTTTTAATGTACTCTACCGACATCTCTAGAGCGATATCTGAAAAAGTGATAATGCGACATTCATTTTGGGAAAGTACGATTTTTTATTTTATAACATCACGAAAAGCATTTTCTTGTGACCCGACAAAAAAACTTTGAAAACACTGTATAATTTTTTTCTTCTTGAAAGTGAAAAAGATCTTTTCCTAAACAAAATAGATTGTTGATCATGGGTAGCAGTGACAAGAAACAAAAGAAGGAAAAAAAGGAAAAGAAAACACTCGAATCCATTAAAGAGACTTCCACTGAAATAAAAAAGGTAAAATAAGGACAATGACTTAATTAGAGTCATAATTAATCTTTTGTTATGAATAATAGATCAAGAAGGACAAGAAAGAAAAGAAGAAGGAAAAGAAGGATAAGAAAGAAAAAAAGAAAAGAAAAAAGGATAAAAAAGAAAAAAAGAAGGAAAAAAAGGACAAGAAAGAAAAGAAAGGTAAGATATTAACATCAATGTTAAGTCTATTACTCACCATGTCATTTCTTTTTCTTTTTTTAGATTCTACTCCTCCTACCGTTGTGGACAAGAAACGAAAATATGATCAAGTGGATCAAGACGATAAGAATATGAATAATAAACAGACTGTAGATCAATCTGAACAGGTAAAAAAAAAAAAAAGACAAGTTGAAAAAAAAAATAGTTTTATTTATCTGTAAAATATATTATAGGAGTCAACGGGTGGTTGGAATGATTGGTCCAAGGCATCTTTTGGTGGTGATCAAGAACAAAAAAGTAAATTCTTACGACTCTTGGGAGCCAAAAAATCATCTGCAAACAAGGATGAAGGAAATAAAAAGAAGACTGGTTTATTTGGATCTCTCAAGAGCGCTATTGATGAAGATGAAGGTCAACGTATCTCTAATCAATTAGAAAAACAATTTCAAGATGGTTTGCAGTTCCGTAAACAACAACAAATGGGTCGTCGTGGTGGATTGGGCTTTAATTAGTTTAGTTAAATTTTTATATCCTATATTTTGTATACATATAATAATAAAACCTTCTTTTTTTTTTTTTTAAACAAAAAAAAATATATGATTTTCTTTTTATTTCTTTCTTGTTTTGATGGATTGAATATGGAGGCAAATATAAATTTTGACTATACTAAAAAAAATGTGTAAAGGAAGGTTTGAATATATTCTACATTTAATGGGACTTGGCAACGTCTACACAATAAAAAAAAATTAATATCATCCGTTTTATATTTTTCATATGCACTTACTTTGAACATCCAAAACAGCTTGATCCAAGATTTGTTGTTGAATAGTAGGGTCTTGCAAATCCTTTTGAATCTTTTCGATCAAGTAAGCAGCCAATTGCTTTTGTTCACGTTCACGGACACTAGTTTCATGACGAACCCAGGAATCAAGAGTACTCTTCACTTCTTGGGCAACAGCGACTTGTTGTTTAAGAGTAAAAGCTTCAGCTTCCAATCGAGCAGTTTCACGAGAAAGTTCGAAAAGAGTCTTGGTGACATCGACGAGATCCTTCATTTGACCAACTTGATCAATACGTTCTTGAACAGCAGATTGATGATCATCACGAGCTTGATTCAACACAGTTTTGATACGCTAAAGGAAAATCATCATCATTAGTTTCTTAACCATTCTCTCTTTTTTTTTTTTTTTTTAATTTAATTTACATTAATATGTTCGTTGCTCATAGCAGTGAAAGGTTCACGAAGATATTTGAGCAAAACACCCAAAAGACCAACAGAACCAACCAATACCAAAGTTTCTTCATTTAAAATGTAAATTTCCTTGGAGATCAAAAAGGTGGCCAAACCAGCACCAGTAGTAAGATAAGCAGCCTTGGCAGCAACAGAGTTTCCAGGAAGACTATCGAGAACACTGGCCTTCTTTTCTTCAACTAATTTGAATTTTATATATGTATGTCAATAGGATAGTTTTCAAAACATGTCTTTTGTATATGGTTGTTTCGTGTATATATGATATATTGAAAGTCTTACCCTTAGTTTCGGCAGTGGAAGAGTAGGCGCGAGTGCTATCACATGGAAAAGAAAAAGATGATGATTAGTTAAATGTCGAGTTAAATAGAATGGTTGACAAACTTTACAAAGCAACACCAGCAGTTTTACGAGAAGTGTTCATCAAAGCAGGGCGAGAAGCAGCAGCCACTATAAAATGAAAGTATAAAGTTAGTCATGGACACTACAAGGGATGTTTGTTGTTATTGTTGTTTTATGATTTCAACCAACCTGCAGCATTCTTAGACAATAATCGAAGAGCCATAGTTACTATTGTTAGAATAATAATAAAAAAAAAGAATAGAAACATTAATAATATGAACAAAATAAAAACATAGAATGAGAGAGAACTTACAAACTATATAAATTAGGATCTATCTAAACTAAAGAAGAAAAAGAAAAAAAAAAGACAACTTTCTTCTCTCCACCCCCCCCTGGGTCACTAACAAAACAGATATTTTTTTTTTTTTAATTCTCAGTCGGTGGCTCCATACAAGCGGTCGTTCAAAGTATTAAATAAAGCAATTGAAATAAATCATCCATTATCATATCATCATTAATTAGAATATTCAACAGTACTTTTATATCATCAATAAAGTATTTCATTTATTCATTTGATTCTTCTACCGTTTCTTGTTAAAAATTTACTTTATTTTTACTTGAGCAATAAATATGTTATTAATGGATGACAAAATAAGAAGATAGAATGCGAATTTAAACAGCTATTTAGATTAGGAACTATCTAAACTAACAGAAAAAAAAGAAAGGTTTTCGCTTGTATGTGCCAAAAGAACTCATCAAATCAAAATAGTTTATTAGGTAAAATCAAGATTACAATATACTACAACTATATAAATATAACTAACTATTCTGGTTTGATAAATCCCGTTCCTTTTGTATTGTTGTTAATTTTGGTTTTTTTTCGTTTTTCATCCTTTCCTTGTAAATCATCATCCTTTGTCCTTTTTGATTTGTTTGTCCTTCGCATTTGTTTGACTAATTCTTCATCTGTCATCGTTCCTTCCTTTTCCTTTTCCATTTCTCGTTTTAAACGTTGTTCTGATTCTTCATTTGGATTCTACATATATATATATTAGTTCATTGTCTCTATTTATATATATATATATGTTATCATACCTCTATACTTTTGTTAAACTTTTGATATGATTGTCTTCCAGTTTGTGTTGTTTCAGTAAAAGAAAGATAACTTGGTTGGTATTCGACACGTATTTTTCTATAAAATAAATAAATAAATAAATAAATAAATAAATAAATAAATAAATAAATATAAAAACCTAACTAAATGAACTTCTTTTTTTTTGATAAGAAGGTAACTTACGGTTTTTGTACTTCAGTAGATTCATAATCTATTTTCCATTCTGCTTCGGTTATAATACGTTTTCTTTCTTTTTCCATCTTTTCTTGTTGTTCCTTTTCCACCGATCGTTGCATAAACTATCCTTGGTTAAAATAAAAAAAATGAGTATTTTAAGAATAAGAAAGAAATGTATTACCTTCATGCCCATTAGTCTATTGGAAGGTTTCTTTGGTTGTTTTGTAATGTCAGCCATGTTGTAATGTATCTATATATGAAAAGAAGAAAGAAAGAAAGAAAAAAAGAAAAAAGGACAATCAAAAAGAAAAAGCCACCGCTTTACATGATCACTTTAACCACGGAGTATGAAAATTGATGAGTTATGTGTATCTGATTTCATGCTTTTCATGCAAAGAGGGAAAAAGAAATCATTGTGATAATCTAACTCTCAGTATCATTCAAAGTGCTATAGATAGTTTTATCATTAGATATTTAAAAATATTTTCTAGTATTAATAAGCATGTCATATCGATATCATCAAGTATGAAGGTGTTCATTTTCAAGTAAGTGTAATAATAATAAATAACATATTTTCTTTTTGATATTCTAGAATAAAATATTTAAAATAATAAAATTTTTATAAAAAGGATAAACAAAATACTATGACAACGTTGTTCAATCATTATTTTAACAAAGGGGGGGGGAAAGGAAATTAAGAACAATGTGATTTCCCGGAAATATTTATCCAGAGTTGAAACTCCACGCTTTCTTTTTTTCCCTTCTTTTTCTTTACATTCATTACATTCTTTTCTATCCCCCTTGAAACAATAATCATGGTTCTTCCTAAACCTGATTTGTCTCAAGTCAAAAAGTTAATTCCTCCTTTATCTGGTCATTTCCATAAGGGACAAGCAGGTAAAAGAAAGATCCCTTTTTAACAAAAAAAAAAAAAACAAATTATATAACGTCATTCAACTTGTTTAGGAAGAATTGGTATTATTGGTGGTTCTGAAGAGTAAGTTTTTTAATGTATTTTTTTTATTCAAAGGAAGCTCATTTTATAGTTGTTATATAGATATACTGGTGCACCTTATTTTAGCGGAATCTCCTCCATGAAACTGGTAAATTATTTACAGAATAGATATAATATAATACTTAACTTTTTTATATTAGGGCGCCGATCTTTGTAATATCTTTTGTGAACCTAGTGCTGCCATTCCTATCAAGGTAAAAAAAAAAAAAAAAAAATTAAAATATATATATATATTTTTCTTATTCTTTTGTTTTTCCAATCATGATTCTTTACTACTAGTCTTACTCTCCAGGTAAAAAAGAAAATAGAAATAACCAAAATATAGAAAATATCATATTTTATCTTTTTTACTTTTTTTATTAGATCTTATCGTGCATCCTTCTATGCGAACATCAAAGCAAGTGGAACAAATCTTATCTATAGAAAGGAGTGTTTTCTTGTTGGTTAATCTTTGATTTTTTTTTTCTATATAGGAACAATGATTCTGCTAGTTCGATGGTAAATGAAATCACCAATGTATTTTCTAGACTCCATGTCTTAGTAGTTGGTCCTGGTTTATCGCGTGATGATACTATGCAAGATATGGCTAAACAATTAGTACAACATGCAAGGAAACAGAATATGGCACTTGTAGTGGATGCTGTAAGTTGGAAGGATAAAAAATTGGATTTTATTTGGAAATCTCATACATTTATTTTTTTTTTCTCTCGTAAAGGATGGATTATACTTGGTTCAAAAACATCCTGATATTGTGAAGGGATATCAAAAAGCAGTCTTGACTCCAAATGTGGTGGAATTCAGTCGATTATGCAAAGCTATGGTAAGAATAAATCTTATTCATATCTTTACCTTATGTTTGATATTATTTTGTAGGGAATTGATACAGGGGGAAAAGAGGATGGACATCTGGCACAACAATTGAGTCAAGCTTTAGGTGGAGTGACGATTGTTCAAAAAGGTGAAAATGATATTATTGCCAACGATAAAAAAGGTATGATAAATAAACTAATAAGAAAACTTTATTAGAAACTGAACTTTTTTATTTATTTATCTATTTATGATCCAGTATTTGTTTGTGATGCAGAAGGTGGATTGAAAAGAATGGGTGGACAAGGTGATATTTTATCAGGTACTATTGCTACCTTCTTGGCATGGGGTAAAGGGTATGAAGAAGGTGTATGGAAGTAAGTCATCCTATAGAAAAAAAAAAAAAAGAAAGAAAATCCAATGTACCTGGGTCTATTATTGACTTTTTTTTTTCTTTGTTGATAGACATGACAATTCTATTCCATCTGCCGATATTCCTCTCTATGCAGCTTGGAGTGCATGTACCATCGTACGTGAATCATCCAGATTGGCTTTCAAGAAATATGGACGTGCCGTACTTACTTCACATATGTTGGAAGAAATTGGACATAGTTATGATACATTTATTCATCAATAGACATTAGTTTTTAATTAATTGAACTTTATATATACTTGAAATAAAAATATATGGTTTACAACTTTAGCAGCAAAATAATCACGATTGTATATACTTCTCAATAGGATTAACGATCAACGACTCAGCGGAGTTTACAGGTAAAAGGAAAAGAAAAAGCTCTTCAGACTGCTTGCCAGTCTCGTCTTTCTTTCTTTCTCTCTTGTCTTTTTTCAAATATGACAAATACGCCAAATAATTCAATATGGGAAGATCTTTTGACTTGGCAAAAGGACATTAGTAAACAGGATACACTTTTGGAGAAACGAAAACCCATTCACAATCAAGTACGTTGAAAAAATATATATAATGAAATAATTGTAAAACTCACCTTTTTTTTTGATTTTGTTTAGGCACTACCAAGTATTCGAACACCTGTAGAGTTTATAGTTGATCAGAAAAAGCCTACTGGATTGAAAGCAATTAAAGTAAGCCGAATCAAAAAAAAAAAAAAAGCTCTATTACTGATCTATTCTATATATTTAGGGAATCACTGGTAACAAGAAAACCAACGCCTCAACAATGATGCAAAAAGCTCAGGCAGCAAAGGAAATGGTAACTGGAAAAAAAAAAAGATAGAACAACTTTTTTTTTATTTTCTCTTCACTCTTAGAACTAAAGAAAAATGATTTTTATTTGTTTACCTATTGTAGGGAAATACCCACTTCCAGAAACAAAGATATCAACAAGCCATACAGTGTTACAGTGACGCGATTGATCTTGATCCAACCAGTGCCGTTTATTTTGTTAATCGAGCTATGGCACATTTGAAATTAAACAAGTAAATTCTATTTTACATATATTTATTCTTCAGGATGATAAAAAATGTTCATCCTTTTTTTTTTTTTTATTATCATAGTTTTTTACAGGCAGAACATGATTGTACCAAATGTTTAGCTTTACAACCAAATCATGTCAAGGCTCTTTGGAGGCGTGGGATTGCTTTGCGTTCTTTGGGTAGATCAAAAGAAGCCAGAAAAGGTAAAGAGAAACAGGAAACTGCAAATCTATCAATGCCTGCATGCAACTCAAATCGCCTCTTTCTTTTTTCGCTTTTGCACGTTGTAGATTTTGAACAAGCTCTTCAATTGGAACCAGGAAACAAACTGATCATTGACGAACTGAACAAGTTACCACAACCATCAAAGGTATACCTTTATTCTTTTTTTTTTTTGGGTATTCTCTAAAACAAGACTTTTGTTATTGATTATAGAAAAAAGAGGATCAACCTCCAGCAAAGCAACCTCGACGACAACTTGAAGTGAAGGTATTGGATGAAGCATATACACCAAGAGTGGATGTTGAAAAGAAAAAGGAATCAACAACACCAACATCACCAGCACCACCACCACCACCATCGACATCCAAACCGGCCTCACCAAAGGTAGCCTCACCTATGGGACTTTCACCATTGAAATTAACCTGTCCTCGAACGAACTATGAATTTGAACGTGATTGGAAAGCTTGTAAACGACGAGGGGATGATATTATCTATCAATATTTGCAGGTAAGGGAAGAATAACAAAACACAATGGTACCAATTTTTTTTCTTTTTGATTGGATTTATGTAGTGTATACCACCTTCTTCCTATGCAACGTTGTTCAAGTCATCATTGGAACCTGATCAATTTGAAAAGATGATTGATATTATAGATCAATATTATATAAAGTAAGAACATGGGTAGAAATGGTTTTGAATGTCTGATGATCTTTTTTTTTTTTTTTTTTTTTTTTTTTTTTTTTTTTTTTGTGTAGAAATAAAACTGACAAGGAAATACTAGATGTAATACAGGGTTTAGGTCAAGTACCAAGATTAGATATGTTAGTCATGTTCCTTGGAAAACAACACAAAAAAGGTATAGATTATAGATAAATGAAAAACAACTAAGACTAATATACATGTTCTTTTTTATTTTTATTTTTTTTTATTAGCATTACAACATATCTTTACCAAGTTGACAGCTGAAGTACCTAGAGCTACTTTAATTCCTTTAGCCAATAAATTCTCTATTGATTTATGATAATAAATGAATGTTATATTTTCTTTTAATGATAGTGTGGTAAAAGATCTTATTAGAAGAAGAACTCCTTGTCATTATTATTGATAAAGATTATTTTTCCCTCCTCCTTTTTATTGACTTTAGAATCATCTTCCCTCCTTTATTCACTTCAAAATAACAGTAATAAATATCTCCTTGAAAGAAGAAAAAAAAATAAGATACTAAGAAAAAAAAAACACGTATGTCTAGCGTCACTACAGTAGTTTCCAATACTAATATCCTTCTCATTAGTGATCTGCAGCTATTTATCTATTAAGTCTTGATAGGAGCCAAGTTGACAATTTACCTTTTATATCGTGATTTATATCGTTCGTTTATAAAGAGGAGAAAAAAAAGTAGAGGAGACAAGGAGGAAATGAATAAGCAATTATAAAGTTCAACTTTTTTTTTTATTTTCATTTTTTTCATTTTATTTTTTTTTTATATATTTCGTTTTCTACTTTCTACCTTTTGAATCATCCCCATTCCTTTCTTTTAATACAAGATGATAATACATTTCATTTATTTTCTTATTCTCATGATATCCTCTGTGATATGTAAAGATACTTTTGGATCTCATCGTTTGACAGCTTATGTGACTGATTGGGTAAAAATGTTGGAAACATAAAAAAAAAAAAAAAAAAAAAAAAAACTGATTCTTTCTTCTAGGCATTCCCAACATCCATTCCTTGGCATAAATTGGATCATGTTATTTATGCTTTTGCCGTCCCTGATCAATATGGTCGTCTTGGTCAATTCAATGGTGATCAATTACAACAACTCGTTACACAAGCTCATGCTCATCATAAAGGTTGCTCCTTAAGCATCGGAGGGTAAAAAAAAAAAGAAAGATTTATTCCCAAACTCGGTTTCTTTAATACCTTTTTTTTTTTTTTTTATTAGTTGGACAGGTTCTGTTTATTTTAGTTCTTTGATCAGGACACCTACTTCTCGTGAACGTTTTGCAAATAACTTGATTCATTTGGTTCAACAATACAAACTTAATGGCATCAATCTTGACTGGGGTAATTAATATAAAAAATTAAAAAAAAAGGTAAATACTTATTTTTTTTTTTTAATAGAATATCCTAATGCTGACAATGGTGTCTCTTGTAATCAAGCGTAAGTCAGACTACCCACCTTTTTTTTTTTTCTAAATATATATATTCTTTTGAATAGACATCCATACGACACGGAAAACTTTTTAACATTTGTACAACTGTTACGAAAAAAACTAGACAGTGTATCTTCTGACGAACACAAAGTGATCACGGCAGCAGTGGCATCCAAGGCATTCAATGGACGAGACAAGCAACCTCTTCGACGTCTGGACAAGGGTTGGTCAGTGGTAGATGCTTTTTATGTAATGGCATATGATTTGCGAGGCAATTGGGATACGGTGACAGGAGCCAATGCACCTCTGAAAGGACCAGGTACCACAGTCAAGAGTGCGATCAAGGATTGGATGTCGGCCGGCATTCCTCGCAATAAATTGGTGGTAGGCGTACCGTTCTATGGTTATGTGACACGGACCAATCCCAAGGCTAGATATACAACCTCGATGGCCATTCCTTTGGTACCCAACAGTGCTCAAATCCGAGGTGATAACTATGATACTCCAGAAGTCGAACCTTGTCGTGGTGCTTCCAAAGGTGTGTATTCTGGTGAATATCAATGGCGCTCCATTCAACGTGATGGTATTTTACACAATCAAGGGGGTTGGCATTCTGTCTGGGATCGTACCACTCAAACCCCTTATTCCGTCAATCGTGCTAGCAACAAGTTTCTGACGTTTGATGATCCAAAATCCTTACGCTCAAAAGCAGAATTCGTGGATGATTATGATTTGGCTGGGATTATGATTTGGTCATTGGAAATGGTAGGGCCTCTTTTTTTAGGGAGAAAAAAAAAGAAATATGTGTGGATGGCATATTGATACTTTCTTTCTTTTATATATATATATTGTTATTATAGGATGATAGTCAAAACTCTTTGTTAAACTCTTTACAATCGGTCCGTGATGATTGAAACACCATGGTGGTTCTTTCTGTTTTCCATTAGATCTATTCGATTTCCTTGTTACTCTTAGCCTTTGTTATTCCCATTCCATTCACTTTATTTATTATTGACCCCATTTGTTTTATTCCCTAGTTATTTATGCGCTAGAGTATTTATTTTATTCTCCCCCCTTTTGCTATCGTAGATTATAGTCGTCTTATTTAATATTTATAAATAAAGTATCTAACAAAAAACAATAGATACTAGTGTGTGCGCGTCTTGTTGTGTCTCTCTCATTTTTATTATATTATTTATTTGTACACGATATAATTCAGGTTCCATCAATGACAGGCTGGATCCATTACTGGTACATACACACTAGTCTTATAGGTAAAAGATCTGTGGTTAGATGGATGATACAAAAAAATTGTCAAGTTCAATGACTAATATTTTTTTTATTGTTATTATTTGTAGCATTTCCAATGAATAATAATAATAATAATAATAATAATAATAATAATAATAATATGGATAAAATCATTTCTAGACTAGACAATAATAATCTAAACTACGATGACTATCCTAAACTATTTCTATTTTTCAATCCAATAGATTTCAAAAGGTTTGATCGCATCACATCCTTCAGCCCTAGTGCACTTGTAATGATTGAGTTCAAGTTTGCTAAAGAATGAGCGTTCATCAGGATTCCGTTCCTTGTAAGCCAAAAGTACACGACACCGAGGGTTCATCATCAACCAATCCAGTGTTTCCAATAAGACATCGTGAGAACCTTGATTGTAAAGGACATCGGTAAGCAAGATCAAATCCACTTTGTTTTCATCGCCGAGCCATCCATTATCCTTGTATACCTTGGGACCCCACGAAAGTACTTTGGCTTCCACAATTGTTGTTGTTGTTATTGCTGAGATGTTTTGTTGCATTATTGTCGTAGCATCGGGTAAATCAGTCAAACACATCATGGTTGGTTTTAACACCTGCGCAGCAAATAGTCCCACCAATCCTGTGCCACTTCCTAACAAAATTACATCAATATATATATGTATATATAAAATAAATAACAACAAGCATCCTCTGCACAAAAAAAAAAAAAAGAAATGTATACCTAATTCCAGGACATATTCGCATTTGATTTCCTTTCGATGTTTCGTAATAAAATCACACATTGCCAATCCACAATCCCTACAAAAAAAAAAAAAAAAAAAAATTGTTGAAGATAAGAAAAAAAAAAGCCGAAGTGATGTACAACTTTTTTTTTTTACCATACATGTCTTGCAATACTTTGTTCTGTATCTTCACAAATGCGGAGTAGATGCTGTTGAGGTGTTTGTACCCAGCGTTGTGCTTGATGACCGCCGGCTGGATCCTTGACATACGGTAAAGATTGCTTTGGCATTGTTAATTGAATAGGCATGGACCAAAGAGGAAGAATCCAAACAGTGGTGTGGTTATTACTGGTATGATGAGGATAGGCTTGATACCAAACAGGATGAACGGGACCAGATCTATGTTCATGTGCCAAAGAAAAAAAGAGTTGAACATTTGATGATGGACGATGACTTGTTGGGACAAGTGAGATCCGAGTGACCATGGGACCTCCATGATAAGGTTGATAATCAAATGTTGATAAAGGTGCATCCGTTTTCTTCTTCCTGTTGTTGTTGTTGGCAACGCACTGGGCAGTAATGCCTTTCACATTGGTATCGCACCGCAAGGATAATGGTGCCTGAAAAGAACTATCGCCTAGATCATTTTCAATTGTCCAAACAATATTGAAAGGTTGATGGTATTCACATGTCAAAGGTGGTGGTTTCAAAAACCGAATATAGTAAAGGGAATGGTTCATAAAAAAGAAAGGAAAGGAGAACAGGAAAAAAAAAAAAAAAACTGGCTCCATCCAAAAAAAGAGAAAAAAAAAGTCGGACTTGAATGGATCAGCACTGATGATCGACAGATGCTATGTGTACCTATCAATAAGAAGATACAGTGTTTTCAGAGTTTCTTGTCGGGTCACGAGAAAATACTTTCCGTGATGTTATTAAACAAAATATCGTACTTTCCCAAAATGGATGTCGCATTACCACTTTTTTAGATATCGCTTTAGAGATGTCGGTAGAGGTGATTGATAATAGAATGATGGGTGGATGTTGGTGATGATGATGGAAGAATAAAAAAAAATACTGCGACTTTATTTGAAAAGTATATTAAAAAAGAAACGAAGTTCTTTATTGATATAATGGATCATCATTAGAGTGTTGATTCATCATCATGATTGTCCTGAAAGTAGTGGTTTTCAAAGTCCGTTTTTCTTTCATATTTTTTTTTTGATTTACTTTTCCTTTCTTTCTTTTCTTTTCTTTTCTTTGTATTGACTTTTAGTATATCAATTGGTAGTCTTTATTATTATACTTTTATTCAATAAAATTCTTATTTTTATTCTAACTACTTTGTTACATGTCAATGTAATTGATTCTAATCTTCTTTTGATGTATTATTATATTTTGGATACATTCTTTTTATTTCACATATATTTTTATGGGTGCGACTAGACGTTGGTACGTGATAGGGTGATAGGTTGATGGCATGAATGGATGACGGCATGAATAGATGATGATCGATTCTTTACATAATAAAAAAGCGCTGAAACATAGTTTTTTTTTTTAAATCATTTACTCGGGTTCTTATCTTTTGAAATCATCACTGAAACATACTATTGATCATTCCCTTTTCCCATAGATGATAAAAGCAAATTTGCATAATAGTTCCTTTTTCTTCATTACTGAAACACGCAATCGATCGATCTCTTTTCCCATAGATGACATCAAAGTTTGCATAATAGTTCCTTTTTTTCATTACTGAAACATGCAATCAATTGATCTTTTTTCCCATAGATGACAGATGTAAATTTGCATAATAGTTCCTTTTTTTTCATTACTGAAACATGCAATCGATCTATCTCTTTTCCCATAGATGACAGATGTAAATTTGCATAATAGTTCTTTTTTTTCATTACTGAAACGTACAATCGATCGATCTCTTTTCCCACAGATGATAAAAGCAAATTTGCATAATAGTTCCTTTTTTCTTTTTGAAACCATTTACTCGGGTCCTTTTGATTTCATAGCTAAAAAAGCGCATAATTACAGGGGTGATTTGTCTTTTTTTCTTTTACAGGGAGTTTGTTTTATTATAAAAGAGCATCCTTTTTTACTTCATCAAATTTTCTTTTTCTTTTTTTTTTTTCTTTGGGCTTGCCTGTCTTCTTTTGGGCTTGCCTGTCTTCTTTGGGGCTTGCCTGTCTTCTTTTGGGCTTGCCTGTCCCTTCCTTTGTCATCTCTTTCTGTGTCCTTTCCCTTTGGCCAATCTTCTTTTCCGTCTGTCCTCCCTTGTGGCCTATTTCTTGGTTTGACCTCGGTCGTTATTTGCTCAGGCGTGGTTGGGGTTACCTTCTCTTTGGGCCTGTCATCTTTTCCGTCTGTCCTCCTTTCTGGCCTCTCTTCTCTTCCGCTCTTTTTCCCCTCTGGGTTGACCTCGGTCGTTATTTGCCTAGGCGTGGTTGGGGTCGCCCATTTTTTTTTTTTTTAAAAAAAATATGTTGAAAATAACAACGCTTTCCGGGATGGTTATCGCCATTCTACTTTCACTGCAGTGAGAAATTGCTGCAGTGATCTCGATACATGTTTAGGCGTTCGCGCTTAAATTGTAAGTGAATAAAAATATATCATCTGGATAAATATTACTCATTTTTTCTTCTTTTTTTTCATATGCAAACTTGGTGAACTCAATTGGTGGATTTCCTTTTCTTTTTTTTGATTACTCTTTTTTTCATGATATCTATTTTCTTATATTCTCTATTTGATTATGCGTCTACTCTCTCTTTTCTTCTTTCTACCCTTACTATATATTTTATTTCCTATTTTTGCGTCATCTTATTCTTTGAATTCCGTCAATTATTATTGAATAAAGTGTACAGAAGATGATATATAATAAAAGAAAAATGTGGTTTTTATTATTTGTAGAATATGGTAGTATAAGTGAACACAGTCACTAGGAGCAAAAGAAAAGAGAATAGTAATGTTCTACATTACCGGTGAAGAATGCTTTTGTATTATAAAATTGTAAACTAACATTTCCTTGGAAGTTTATTAAACATATGAATCATGATAAACTAGAGGAAGGAAGAAGAGACAGAAATAAATATCAAGATTGAAAAAAAAGACCATCCATTCTAGTAATTATAACGATGCTACAAAAAAAAAAAAAAAAAAAGGATGACATATATTTAGTCATTTCTCCCTTGTTATATCTTTTTATTTTTTTATTTTTTTTTTTACCTGCAAATCTTGAAATATATCTTGCAACTATAAAAGAAAAAATAAAATAAATAGAGATGATTATCATATCATTCTTCGTTTATTATGATTATCTATTTACCTTGCTAGTGGCATTTTCGGCTAAATCTTTGACAGCATCCAGATCGGCAGCAGCTTGACCAACAAATTTGCGAGCAGCAGCAACAGCTTGATCTTGTAATATATCCCATTCTCCAGATGTTGCTGTACTTCGACGTTGTTGAAAATCGTCATCGTCATTGCCAAAATATTGAGAAGAAGAAATCGCTGAGGCACCGGAAAACTGTTTCAATCTAGCGGATTCGGCAGCAGATACTGCTGGATCATATTCATTTCGTCCAAAGTATTGATCTGATGATATTGCGCGCGCATTTCCAAATTTTTCCTTAGCCGAGGAACTGTCTTCATAACTAACGTTCTTTGTGGATGGTTGATTTGATTTGGATGATGGTTGTGATGATGCATTCAATCGAGACATACCAAAGCCTAACTTTTCAATGGCATCTTGCTCAGATGGATTACTAGTAGCTGAAGTTGATGATGTGTTTCCAGTAGATTGCTGTTGATACATTAGTCTAGAAGATAAAGAAGGAGGAGCTGTCGAATCCACATTTTCCGATGTTTCATTTGTATTGTCTTCATTACTGTAACCCAATTTTGCCTGTCGTTCTGTTTCCTTTTTCGCCCTTTCTTCCGCTTGTTCAAAGTTGAAATTTGTCGCCTTTTTCACACCTAATTTGTTGGACTTGACTCCACGTCTAGCACCTATTGTTGTTCGTGGTTTACGTGTTGTTGCGGTTGCTGTTGCTGGTGTTGTTGTTGAACTATCAATGGTATCTGGGGTTGAAGAAGGTTCCGAACCAATAACAGATGATGAAGATATATCAGTAGAAGATATGGCATCAGTTACAGGAGGTATTTCCGTTGAGGCATGAGAAGTGGTTCCTGATGACTGTTTTTCGTCAAGTGCTTCAGTTTTATCCATCGTCGTCTTCTCAGTAACGGGTGATGCTGTATCGTCCGAAGGTTCGAGAGAAGGCGATAGCGTTTCCTGAGGTTGTTCACCAATATCGATAATCACACTGGTAGGATTCCTATATTGTAAATAAAAATAAGTTAGTATTCATGTAACTCTTTCATTAATTGATTAATTTACTCGACAGTGTCTTGGGCAACTTTTTTGTCAAGTCGAGCCTTGTAAAGTTGACCAACACGACCACCATATTTCAATCGAGTATCTTTAGTAGTTGCTAAACCATTGTGTTTTGAAAAAAATTCCATAGCAGCTTGATTTCCACCTACTTTCATATATCGAAGTTGTTCCCAAGTCCATGTATCAAGAACAGTAGATCTAAATCAAAAAAAAAAAAAAGGATGGTGTTAAACTATTAAAGTTTTTTTTTTTTCAACTGTTTCTTCTTGTTTTCTTTTATTATTATTATTATTATTACCGAACAAAACTAATATGAACACCAAGATTTCGATGAGCAGAAGAGCATTCATTACAAATATAAACACCAAAAGGAATAGAGGACCAAGTTGGGTTTTTAGACATACAGTCAAAGCAAGACTAGAAAAGAAAAAGTGAGATAAAGTGAAGAAATAAATATATCGCGTTTATTTTCATATATTATACCTTGTTATATCTATTTTGCTTGAGCTTTTTGAAAATAGCTTCTATTTGTTCTTTAGTAGGTTCAGGCATAAGGGAATAATACTACAATGGAAAGGAAAGGAAAGGAAGAAGAGAGAAAAAAAAAATAAAAACTTGTAAAAATCCAACCCAATGAAAAGCTTGCAGCACATGTTGAAATTTGAACACCGATTCCTTTTCTAGTGAAAAAGGAACCAACCATGAAAGTGATCATTAGCATACGTTGATAAGAAGAAGTATTCGAAGAAGAAGTATTTAAAATTGGATTTCCTTTTAAATTCTTCCATTTCTTAATGAATAGATGATCATTATTATTATAATGCATTCAATTAATAAGATATTGTAAGTAGTCCTTTATCATGATTATCACGCGTATATATATATATATGTCTGCTTGAATTAATATTCCATCAATAGAAGAAATATATAGAAAGATTATCACAATTTTATATCATAGAAATTTCGTAGTCATGTAAGGAAGAATAAAATTGGTAAGATCTACATTGATATGAGTATTGAACTGCTAAGACCGGAGAATGAATTCCTTTCTTGAAACAAAAAGAGAAAAAGAATCCCTTCCCTGTCTCTCTTCCTTCTCCTTTTCTATATTATTTTTCACCTTTTTTTTTTTTTTTTTTTTTGAAAAAATATATTGTTTTGTTGACAACCATGAATAGTATTGGTGAAGATGGCAACAAGTACAAGGCAATCGAAAATAATCATCAAATCATGCTGATACCCATTCGAAATATGGATGACCAAGATTATGTCTTGTTCTCTGACGTCCAAGCTTTTGTTCCAAATGCTACAGCTCTCTTATCCAATGGCAAAATGTTACCTTTTGAAATAGATCCTATTTCACATTTGGAACTCTCTCCAAAACGTATTCTTGTATACGATGTAGAATCTGTTTGGCAAGTACATATACCTTCACACATGACTAATCAATTCTCTTCTACCTCTCAAAGAACCTTGGATCTAGAACAGAAATTGGATCAACTTGTACAACGCCTGGATCAACTTATTCATATCAATACAATGGTTTTGGATGAACATACATCTTTGTCTTCTCAACTACAAATGTTTTACAATAATCCCCAACTTGGCAATGAATCTAACATCACCAATACTGATTCGCTGATTGATACTAATCATACCGTGGAAAATGATACGCAACAACAACAACAACAACAACAACAACAACAACAACAGAAAAGACATCAGCGATCATCTTTACATGCCAACGAAAGTATAACAGCAAGGATACCATCTTCAATATTGACCACACCACGATCAGCTAGTCCACCTCCTGCCTTTTCTTATTCATCTTCAATACCACACACCTATACTTATGCTCACCATACATCAACCACCAATCGAAGATCTTCTAATACCCTCTCCTCGCCAAGTACGACTGCATCCACTACAACATCATCGTCAATTCAACGTCAGCAAACAGAGATAATATCACCTCCAGCAGCTGCAGCAACAACAGCAACAGCAGGACCATCATTATCATCAACACCCCCACCATTATCACAAATATCCTCTCAACGAATAACAGATGAAATGACATGTTCTTCTTCTTCACCTTCATCTGCAGCCACTACAGCAAGCACTCACGAAAGTACATCTACTATAAACAGTGGACCAGCAGAAAGTTCGAATCAACGACATCATCATCATCATGATGAACATCCTCACTCTGAAATGTCAGTAGCACCACCACCATCCTATGAAACATCTATTTTTGGCACGATCAAGTCTCTTACACAACATATTCGATTATTTGAAGAGCACATTCCTCATCGACACAAATCACCACGTTGGTTAGCTCGAAGAGGTGAATGGGTTGCCTATGAACCAAGTACGATTGAACAAGTGGCTTATCAACTGGTACAATTGGAGATGGCTTTACTTTGGACAGCTGTGACTGAATCTTGGATCCAGGAAAGAGAATCATGGTTAACTTTAGTAGCAAGCGCAAGAACTGAACGTCATTTGGCCGGTGCTTTAGTGAATCTTGAACGACATACTTTGGTGATGGATGATATTTGGCAAGAGGTACGGGATGATTGGACAAGTGAATTATTGGAAGTCATTGTTAGTGTTGGTTTTTAGATTATCATCTATTAAGAAAAAGCGTCAATAAATAGAATATTATATATATATACATTTATTTTTTTTATATATTGTTGTTGTTCTTCCTATTACAGTACCTTTTTTTTTTTTTACATTTATTTTTTGTTGATAGCTATGGATTGGAAGAGGATTGCATTAAATCGGTCATATATCATTGGACTATCATCACCTTTATCATCAAGGAACAATAGGTCCAAAAAAGGATATGGTTCAAAAAATAACAAATTCGTGTGAAAAGAGGCAAGTCATCGGATGTTAAGTTAAATGTGTACAAGAGTATATATGCGCAGGGTCCAGTAACTCAGATGAACTGCGGCAGGCACACTTTATAATGAAAGGATGCTCGCTTCCTATGGATATATCTATTTTTTTTTTATTATTATTTTTATTATCCTATTTTACGCTGTCCAACATGAACAAGTATGATGATCCAATGTTCTTTAATAAATACAAGGAGATGGCAAGATCACAAGAAGGATTAACAGCAGCAGGAGAATGGTCGAATCTGAAGACGATGTTACCTGATTTCCAAGGCAAACGCGTGTTAGATATTGGATGTGGGTATGGATGGTTATGCATGTATGCAATTGAACAAGGAGCGAGTTCCGTGGTGGGGATAGATAGTTCACACAAGATGCTCCAAGTGGCAGAAGAAAAAAAAAAGGCCATGGTGGATGGAGACAAGATTGTGTATAAGCACATGACGATAGAGGATATGGTATTTGCAGAACAATCCTTTGATGTAGTGTTAAGTTCATTGGCGCTCCATTATACAGCATCATTTGAAGATGTGATGGACAAGATAGCTAGGTATCTATGCAAGGGAGGTGATGTCGTGTTGTCTGTGGAACATCCCATTTTCACAGCTTATGGCACAGGTGATTGGATCTATAATAATGATGGTCAACCAGACCATTGGCCTGTCGATCTTTATTTTGAACAAGGTCCACGCCACACTCAGTTTTTGGGTTGTTCTGTTATCAAGTATCACAAAACCCTCACTACTTATGTCAACGGTCTCATTCGTGATGGTCGATTCCAGCTCACCAAACTCATTGAACCTTTACCTGAACAAGAAATGCTTGCTAGTATGCCTGATGAAGCTCGTCGACCCATGATGCTCTTAATGGCTGCAAAAAGAATCTAGTGATTTGAATGATGATCCATGATATCGGGATAAATAATAAAGATTTTGTAAAAAAGAAAAAAAAATGTTTTTTTTATTGATAAAGAGAGAGAGAGGGAATACTATATACAAACTAAAAAAAAAAGTGAATGGTGGAGTATATAAGATGAACTGGGAAGGTAATAATCTAATAACGTATGCGAGTCTATCGATTGGTAACACTATTCATAGGAATGATTTCATAATCCTTGGCATTCTTGGAAGAAGAGGAGATCCAGCCTTGACTTTTATCCAGGAATACTTGTCTTGCTTTCTCTACTGCTGCTGTTAATGGTCCTTCTTGATGTTCGTCTTCACGTTGATGATCCTTTTCTGCATCCGATTGTTTCCTTTTTCCTTTCTTTTGAGTTCTTGATGATGATGGATCATCAATATCTGTTTCCTCTTCTATTGTTTCCAAAGATATATCCATGTCGATTTCCTTTTTACTGCTGTTCTTCATATCGTTACTGAGAAGAATAGGTTTCATTTCATAACGCATACAAGCCCATTCACCACCCAAGGTCATAACAATGACTGCCACTAACTGGACTAACCACCATGCTAAAGTAGATGGAAACCGATGACTATGAATCCAACAACCAAATACATGAATACCATGAAGAGTCAATACAAAATCAAGTACTTGTCTAGCTCGTTGTACGATCACTACCACTACTGGAATGGTTGCCACAGCATTCACCATTACGACCAAACCCAATGTCCAACCAAATACATTATCCGTTTGTAAAGTTGTTGTTTGAAATAGAGCATCCAATGTCATAGGCATGCCTGATAAACTGAGTGTTATCCATAATAATAGGCTGAGTATGATGTAATATAAAGCTTGTAACGAGACGATCTATATGATGCAAAATAAAAAGAGTAAGCATTATCTTTTCGTTTTCTAGTGAAAAAAAAAAGTATGATAAATACCTGAGATATAATAAGTATCGGATCCCAGGTTGTCACTCTAAAAGATGATGCCATAAATATTAAGAAATATAGATTAAATTATTTTTGTTCGAAAATAAGAAAGAAAAAGAAAGAAAGAAAGAAAAAAAAAATGAGGGAGCAAAAAAAAAAAATAATCCCCCAAAATTGATCCTGTGATCAAGAAAGGGAAGATGGATAGAAAAAAACCCCGACTTTGATTTCTGAAAAAGACAACAAACATTACTTTATGGAATCATAATAGTTTCTATTATGACTTTAACTATAATAATAATCATTCAAAGGTATTTTGGTGTGAATAGGAAAAACAAGGCGATTTTAATCAATGTCCCATAAAATAATATCTGTTAATGACTCCGAAAAAGGGACCAAAAAGGATTTGTTTAACCAACTGAGTAACCTTTTATTATTTATTCATCATCACAATAATATGGATTCTTTCTTTTCTTTTTTTATTTTTAATTAGTAAAATAGTCACTTTTATTAAAACAATAAACATTTCTCTATCTATCTACTAAAACAAAATGGTAACAATAGTAATAACTTTTAGAAATCAACCCAACATTGACATTTACACTGCATGCGTGACAAAATCCATTGCTAGTAAACTAAATAACAAACAAGATCATCCCTATTCTATATGTTTCATAAAACGATAATCATCATCCTAGTCGACTGTTCGTTCTCTTTATTTTTTCTATTACCAGTATTCCAAAAAAGAAAAAAAAACCATTAATATTCCTTGATTCATATGACGTTCAAATGCTGTGTCACCCTATTTTTCCATTGAAAACAGTTCTATGATATGATTTTTTTTTTGTTACTTTGTCCTCTTTTGCCAGTACCCATCTTACCATCTTGTCCACCACAATACGTTGATGATCCATTGAGCCAATCCTCTGCTGTAGTTGCTATCCTAAGAATGATTTCATCATACTGTTACCTTGAATATTCTTACTATTTCGTGCCATTCATGATGTGTTGATCGACCCATTGATGGTGTATCTTGTTATGGATTATTTTCCCGCGATGATGAATATCCTATTTCACTTTTTGATCCTAACCACTGCCAATTACGAATGTACGTATCAAGTAGTAAGTATCAAGTAGCGATCGGTGGAATCAGGTCATATTTGTAATAATAAATAAAATGGATACTGTCAATGATATCATTTACTTACGGCGAACCAAGCTGGACAGGTTGTTATCATAGATTGGAATGTTTACTATAGAATGAAGCTCTGATGTCAAATACCAAAGAAGGTTTGCTGTTTCTTTGTTGTAGAATGCCTTAGACTATGGCTTGTTGTATATATCGTTTGTCAGTAAAACAAAGCTTGTTCTGCTTTATTTATTCTGTTTTCATTCTTTCTGATCATGTCGTAAGAAAATGTCCAACGTGTTAAGAGTTCATTCATTAGGATTTAATATTTATATATAAAAGAGAGAGTTCTTCCATTGAAAAATATGTTGTTGTCTGAAATATATGATGATAAATTGGAAAGAACAAGTTTGCCTCCTGTTTGTACACCAATATTTCACTTTTTTTTTAAATCCCGTTAAGCGGATAGATGTACCTAGTCATCTCTGTCACTTTTAAGTTCTCCTTAACAGAAAAACCCTAAAAGCATGGTTTCTAGATTTAGGAATGCAGGCATCCTTTCAGGAAGTCCGCGGACTTTACCATGTAGTACAAAATAATATATATTTTCTATACTTGCGCCTTAAAAAAAAATCCATCAAGGTCATCTTTCTTTTTTTTTGTTTTTTCCTTTCTCTTCTTTTGAACCTTCTGGCAGTCATCATTTCCTTTCTACGAACGGATGATTGTTCTATTTTCATTATTTTTACTATTACTAAATACATCGTTATGTTTAGCTGATGCTGTGCTGCCTAGAGCCTTTCTAGGTATGAAATCAAAAAATAATAATAATAAAAAAAAACAAATCAAATACTGAAATATAAGCTTTGTCATAGGATGTTCCTTAGTATTAAATGCAATTTATTGTTATGGGGGAATGGATGGTACTGTTAACGACGGTAAATATATTAACTATGTTCATACTACCAGTGATCTCTTTTCTCTTGATATGACCACCTTTGATTTTAATGGCAATGCATCATCAGCACAGACCAACTGGACAACCATCACTAATGCTGTGAACATGAAAGCCTTGTCACCTTTAAGCTATCATGTCACTACTGCTATCGCTGGTCAATCAAAATTTCTTGTCTATGGTGGTTTCAGTGAGAGTACAATTTCTAACCCAATCATGATATATGATCCTCCCACTCGTACTTGGTCCTTTGTATCTAGCTATGGCAATTGCTCGTAAGAAATAATTGTTTCATTCTCTTTTCGTTTTTCATTTTTCATCATCATTATCATCTATTATTTATAGACAATCTGGAGCTATTGTTGATCTTGGTGGAACCCAAACCTTCTGGACTTTTGTAAGGGATAACTAAAGATGATGATGAAAAAAAAATCACTCATCTCATTAATCTTTTTTTTTGGACGACTATCAGGGAGGTTACATGTAAACATAGTTTAATGCTCAAGCTTGTTTGATATTGCTGATTCACACCTATATACTTCCTTTTTTTTTTTTTAATGTAGTGGCGGTCTTGTTACCCCTAATACAGCATACCTTTTTAATTATGGAAAGGTAAGAAATGAAAGTAAAAAAAAAAAGTGAATCGTTATTCATCTCTCTCTTTTTTATATGGAATGTATCATCATTATAATCATTATAGTCTCAATGGTCAACGGTAGCTGGTGACACAAAAAATACAAACGTTCGCTATTCTTATACTGCTACTCTCGGCAATAATAATCGTATCTATCTCATTGGTGGGTTCGAAAATACTGCAGATTCCAAATACGCCGTTGGAGGTGTTAATATGTTACAAGTCAGATGGTACGATACTACCAACCAATCCTGGGGAACAGATATAGCTACTGCTAATGCGGGGTTGGTTTCACAACGAGCTTATCATACAACTACACAAAGTAAACTTAATCCATCCGTCCAGTTGTTTTTTAAAAAAAAAAAGAAAAAGAAAGAAGATCAAACGATCTATTGACGATCTCTTTTTTTTTTTTTTTTTGTAGTTCCTGGTACTACCAAGTTCTTAGTCTATGGTGGAAGTGTATGGATCGGAGAACGTAAGTAATGGATGATAGATGATAATAAAAGAAGAAAGGATCGAACTAATTCATGTATTAACCAATTTAGAGAACAACCTACCTAACGATTATGCATACACATATGATTACATTTCCAAGCAATATAATCAACTCAACCTTGGATCTGGTGGAGCTGGAAAGCGATCTGGTCATCAAGGTAAAAAAAAAAAAAAAAAAAAAAAAAAAAAAAAAAAAAAAGGAGACATCTGTGTCAAAAAAAAAGGAACATATTTAATAGCTTTTTTTTTGTTTGTAGCTGTTGGATACAAGTCGTATATCTTTATTTTATTTGGATTCGATGACAAACAAAGCCTTCGCAATGATATCAATGTTCTTGATGTATCTAATGCTACCAATCCAGTATGGTTAGGCACGAAAAGTGGTACCTCCTCTTCACAAAGTGCTAATGCATCAACTTCTTTGACTTCTTCATCCAATGATAATGAACTTTCAACTGGTGCTATTGTAGGCATTGCCGTTGCTGCTTCAGTTGTAGGTGTAAGTAACCAAAAAAAAAAAAAAAAAAAAAAAAGCACTGACTTATATGGTTTATATATGATGATCAGGTATGTGGTATTGCAGGGATATTATTCTGCTTGTATAGAAAAAAAAGAAAAGGAAAACAATTCGAAATGGAAGAAATCAATCAAACAGAACTTCTTAGCAAAACATGGATGGATGGTTCGGATGATAAAAAGAAAGGATCGATCAATCAGGATAAAACTGTTTGTACTGATGATTCTCCACCCTTTCAAAAAAGTGCATGTTATTCTCTCAAGCCATCAACTCCAATGATGGAGGATACTATCAAACCAATGTCAATGGACGTAGTCGATTATGTCAAGCCGATGTCACGAGATGAAGAAAGTTTTGTTAAACCTCATTCATCTGAATAGAAATGTCACAATAAAGTTCATCGATCTATAGATTCTTTTTTATTTCTTTAAAAAAATAAAAATAAAAAATAAAAGATAAAAAACAAAATCATTTTGTGTTGTACATTGTACACTGCGGGGAAATTTCATTCAGATATCTGGAATACTACAAGAATATATTTAGAGTTTTAAATCGAAATTGATAATTGGTAACGATTTTACAGAAATCCATTCTACGCCATTTCCAACACATCCATCACCAATAAAACCACGTTTCAGATAATAAATTGTAATTTTATTTGAATAATATGCTATGATACAGAGAATGTGCTAACCTATATGTAGAGAGGTAGGGGAGGCGATATGTAAAACTAAAAAAAGACCAATCATTTATGTATCGTCTTCTTTTCCTTCTGAGACTGCGCTCTGACTAGGTTCTGTTGTTTTCGGATGTCCTGGTTCTCTTCCTTGTTGCTCTTACTGTGATGGTTCCGGTTGTGATTGTGATTGTTGTCAAATATAAAATTGTTTACATATATTATATATGGACGTGCGGTTTTTACTCAGATTTTCCCTTTTGGCGCTTTCGCTTCTTCGCTTGTTTTCCGAATTTTGTGGTAACATCAGCAAGAAGTTCGTTCATAATGGTACCTATCTATTCTTGCCTTGATCTTGCGTTTGTCGTTTCTTTGGGTTGGTTTTTTTGATCATGTGTTCTTCGCGGTAACCCACTTGTTCAGGAGGTCGTTGTTGCGGTCAATCCATCCGTAGAATATTTTTAATGCTATCGAGTTCGGCTTGCAGAAGAATTTTCAAGTTTTTTGATAACTTCTCGTTGATAATAACTTGTTAATCGCGTTGAATCGCTTACGGTAAACATATTGGATATGATAAAAATGAAAAAGAAGGATATTTTGTAAGAGAAATAGAGGTGACTAAAAACCCAGTTATTTAAATGCCGTCGCATTTTATCATTTATCATTTATCAATTTTCTCTCTTTTTCTTATTTTATTTTTCTTTCTCCTTTTTTTTTCTTTCTTTTTAACAGTCTTGTACGGTCGCCCTATTTATGGAATATTCGTAGATGATATCATTGATCACGCCTCAAATTGTGACATACAAGACAAATGAAAAATAACATGTTTTAAGACGGTTTATGATGTAGTGCAAGCTCAAGATGAAGGTGGACTCGTAAACGCATACCATATGGAAGGCGGCTCTATGATAGAAGAAGATCTGCCAGACGACGTGATGGTCGTTGACATGGACGAAGAAACTGGACGAAGGCTATGATTGCAAGTGACATCTTGTGTACTGTAAACTCTGCATTAGGTAAAATAAAAATATGAAAGGCTATATACCAAAAAATTGAAGAAATTTTTAATCATTTTATTATAGAATCACCAGCAATTTTCACCTCTGGGCGACCACTTCCTGCTATTGATTTGGGATCTCAAATGGTACTACGATCTTGTGAACAATAAGAATACGACACAGCGATGCTGGAATTGGTAAAAGATGATAATGACGACAAAATCATAGAGGACTTGGGCAAGCTGATCTAGGTGGGAAAGGACAACCTCGACATGCTTCTGGGTATGGTGAACGGTGGCACCGATTTGACCTATTATGCATCTATCATTCAACTTTCTGGTAAGATATTTATAGAAAATATTGCAAAGAATATGCGAAAAGATTAATATAAAGTGAAAGAATGTTGCTAATTGTTTACTTTTTTATTTTATTTATGCTGTAGCAACTAGTTTATCTATTGAACGTGGTGGTTACCTTTTTTTTTTTTTTTTTTTTTTGCTTTATTCATGTTGATGATGACAAAGTGATCGCGTGATGATCTTACCCTGAAGATTTTTGTGGAAACAACTACAAGACCATGGCTGACAGCAGGATTCTCATCCACGTAGACATCGAAGAACCAGTTGACCGAGATAGTAGTGAAATGGATGATGTTGCTACAAATGTGGATTTGTTTGGGCGCAAAAATCCTGAAAATGGGTGGCTCAACGTATATACCAACAAGTGGACTGCCGATCATCCCTGAAGAAGGAAACCTAGTTTTTGTCGATAGTATAGTACATCTACATTACATGCTCTCACTTTAGACACAGCATCTTTATATCACGCCATGAAATCGTCTCTATCTCTCCATTCTCTTCCTCCACGGCTGTTCGATTATTTTTATTATATTATGTTATATTCGAATAAATATTCTGTATGTAGTATCTTTTTTTTTCTTTAGATGGGATGAACTGCTTTGATATTGGCTAGTCCTTGAGTTTATATTATTTGATCCATTCTCTTATACACCTAATAAACTGCTCCATTTCTAATGTTACATTGCTCTTGTCTCTATAGTTTCTCTGTCTTTTTTTTTTGTCTTTTGTAGTACTAGTAGTACTTACTATTGTTGCAGTGACAGTTATACATCACCTTTGGATTTTACGTCTCTTTGACAACAATCACCTCTCCAAAAATGCGACATCCAAAAATCATCCAGAAATCATCCAGAAATCATCCAAAATCATCCAAAAATCAAATTTGTCGCACAATTTGTCACTTTTGACGCAACGATCTCTTTATATATAAGCAATCCAAAAATCATCCGTGTGTCCTACGAAAACGATTGGCACGAGCAAGAAAACCATTATGGCGTGAGCCAGAAAAATGATTCGCGTTTGTCATGATTGGCTTGCACGTTTAAAAAAAAATCCTGCCAACCGCCAAGGAAAAATCCAGTACTGCAGACGATTAATATTAAAAATAGGAATAATCTACTTTGACACCAGCCCTTCTCCAATATCTCGACAAAAAAAAAAAAAAAAAAAAAAAAAAAAGAGGTACACAGCATTCCTTGGCCAACATCTCCGATCTTTGTGGATAATACAATCGGGCCGACTTTAAACCGGTTGATCGCATCAAGCCATATCTGTCTGCATCTCTGAAGTGATTGGTAATCATCCTCTAAATCCTACTTTACCTTTTCCAAGAGAAACTTGGCATCATAACAAAAGTATGATCAAAGGAAAAAAAAAGAAGTGATGGGACAATGATGCTGTAAATAGAGAGATATTAATAAAATAATGGGCTTTGTCAGAAAATCAAAAGCGCACAAATTATGATTTGCTACACAAACAAGAATAAAAGAAGAAAGTCTACACATCTGTGCAACCTACAATATATCGTTTGTGAAAAAAAAGGTACATTTCCTTGCTTTTTTTCTTTTTTTCGTCTCTTTTTCAATTTTACGAGACATCCATGATACTGCAACGTTTTTTATTACTGTCATCATTGTTGCTTTATTATGCACTATTGTCAACTGCTGATGTCGCTACTCCAAGAGCTTATCTTGGTAATAAATCATCCACTCAACAAAAAAAAAATCACACCACTTTACTAAAAAAAAAAAAATGAATGATCATCATTGTTATCATAGGTTGTTCTTTAGTTTTGAATCAAATTTATTGTTATGGTGGCTATGTACCTGATAGTGGTAGCAATGGAACTCAATACAATACACTCTCATCCAATTTTTATTCTCTCGATATGAGCAGTTTTGATTTTAATGGCAATGTATCAACAGCACAGAACAATTGGACAACCATCACCAATACTGTGGGTGCTAATCTTTTAATCCCTTTGGGATTCCACTCTACTGCAGGTATTTCTGGCCAATCAAAGTTCCTTATGTATGGCGGCGTGAGTAATACTGCCATGAACAATCCTATTGTGATGTATGATCCACCCAGTCGCACTTGGTCATCCGTACCTATCTGGGGTAACTACTCGTAAGAAAAAAAGAAAATTAAATCATCGTTTTTTTTTCTCTCTCCCCTGATCTCTTTTTTTTTTTTTTTTTTTGTAGAGATCAAACTGCGATTGTAGATTTAAGCCAAACTCAAAGCCTGTGGACTTGGGTAACACAAGGATCAAAAGCAGAAAGGAATACACTAATCTCATTACCTTTTTCTTTTGTGCTTATTTTTTATTTTTATTTTTTCCTTCTCCTTATCTTCTTTTCACAATGATGTATGATGATGATCGATCCTTATGATGACGATACAACAATTGAATGATGATGAATCAATGATGAACTAATTATGACCCAATGACGATGATGATTTATGGATGATGATAGGGTGGTAATGTGTAAGTGCGCATTGGTATTAAATGATATCAATGCACTTGGCATCTCATCTCTTTTTTAAAAAAATTTAACAGAAACTCAAGCACTACAGTTGCACCTAATATCGCTTACATTTTCAACTATGGTATTGTAAGTTAAATATCCAAAGAAAAGATGAAAAATATCTCATTTCTTTCTTTATTCATACAAACAATAGTCTCAATGGACAAATGTTCCTGGTGATACTCAAAATACAAATGTGCGTTACTCATATACAGCTACACTTGGAAATAATAACCGTATTTATATGATTGGTGGTTTTGAAGATCAACCAGGTGCCATTTACGCTACCCCCGCCACCAACATGTTACAAGTGAGATGGTATGATACTGTCAGTAAGAATTGGGGAACAGATCAAGCTACGATTGTTAATAGTAACCTCGCAACAGTATCACAACGTGCCTATCATACAACCACCCAAAGTAAAAAAAAAAAAAAAAAAAAAAAAAAAAAAAAAAAAAAAAATGGAATCATCTATTATTATTATTATTATTTTTGGACATCCACATTGACCATCATCGTTTTTCTATTTTAGTTCCTGGATCTAACAAATTTTTGGTTTATGGTGGAAGCGTTTTCATTGGATCACGTAAACTTTTCCGAAAAAAAAAAAATGATGAAGCCATAACTAGATGACATTGATTTCATCATGATGATAATGATGCATATCTAACTTTCTACATTTTTCCTGTTCTTAGAAAATACTATTCCTAATGATTATGCCTATACCTACGATTATGTTGCAAAACAATATTCTCTACTGAACCTTGGCACTGGTGGTGCTGGAAGACGATCTGGTCATCAAGGTAAACTCATTCATATCTTATGTATAGTGTAACAAAACCTTTTTTTTTTGTTTCCTTCTAGCTGTTGCGTACAAATCATATATTTTTATTCTATTCGGATTTGATGATCTGTTACTACTTCGTAACGATATTAATGTCCTTGATGTATCCAATGCCACCAATCCGGTGTGGGTGACACCCAATAGAAATTCAACCAATCCAACTGGATCATCCAATCCAACTTCATCCAACACTGAAAGTGCCTCTAGTAGGATTTCTCAAGGAACTACAGCAGGAATTGCCGTAGCAGCTGCGATTGTTGGTGTAAGTCAATTTAAGAGGATGATTCAAGTAAGCATAGCAACTAAACCAACCTTTTTTTTTTTTTTTTTTTTTTTTTTTACTATATCCAAAAAAAAAAAACATCATCATCGTCATCATCGTAGATTGCCATTTTTGCTGGAATATTATTCCTTGTATACCGAAGAAAACAAAAGCAAAGACAATTTGAATTAGAGGATTTGGATCCTAGAGCTCATCAAAGAGAAACATGGGCGGATGATTTACCAACACACTATCAAGATGGAAATCAAGACAATATGCCGCAGAAAGCATCCTACGCTGAAGATACCCTTACTTCGCAGTCTGAAGATTATACTCGAGTAGGATACGTCAAGCCTACTTCTAATGATAAATCAGAATCCACTAAACCATATGCAAATGAATAGATAGTAATAAAACAATATATATATCGTGTATGATTTCTTTCATATCTATCAATGATATTTACACAATTCCAATTTTTAAGGTACTATTTTGCGGAGGTTGGTAATACCATTGGTAAATGATGATGATTGGGAGAGATGCATTACCTGACCTATGACATGCAGCAGAGAATGGTTCGAATTTTTCAAATGGCTTTTTCTCGCTATGGAGCAAACTAACCGATGACACGCCATTATGCATGTTTACGCTACTTTTTAGGAGCGCATTCAAGGACAAAGAGAGTTTGAGGTTTGGAGGAATAAAAAAAAAATGAGATCGATTTTTGATTTTTACGGCCAAAATTTTCGAATTCTCAGCCAGATTTTGGTTGTGAAAATCAGTTCCCCTAACAATTCATTTTTACAATTATCACAAAGCTCTTATTTTCTACTTGGACAGTAGTATATGTTTTATTACACTTTATTCAATAATAATTGACGGAATTCAAAGAATAAGATGTCGCAAAAATAGGAAATAAAATATCGTAAGGATAGAAAATACATGACAGAAGAAAAAAAATATAATTGTCGCATAATCAAATAGAGAATATAAGAAAATAGGTATCATGAAAAAAAGAGCCACCAAAAAAAAAGGAAATCCACCAATTGAGTTCACCAAGTTAACATATAAAAAAAAAAGAAGAAAGAAGAAAATGAGTAATATTTATCCAGATGATATCTTTTTATTCACTTACAATTTAAGCGCGAACGCCTAAGCATGTATCGAGATCACTGCAGCAATTTCTCACTGCAGTGAAAGTAGGATGGCGATAATCATCCCGGAAAAAGTTGTGATTTTCAACATATTTTTTTAAAAAAAAAAAAAATGGGCGACCCCAACCACGCCTAGGCAAATAACGACCGAGGTCAACCCAGAGGGGGAAGAAGCGGATAAGAAGAGAGGCCAGAAAGGAGGACAGACGGAAAAGATGACAGGCCCAAAAGAGAAGGCGACCCAACCACGCCTGAGCAAATAACGACCGAGGTCAAACAAAGAAACAGGCCACAAGAGAGGACAGACGGAAAAGAAGACTGGCCAAAGGGAAACGACACGGAAAAAGATGACAAAGGAAGGGACAGGCAAGCCCAAAGAAAAAAAAAAGAATTTGATGAAGTAAAAAAGGATGTTCTTTTATAATAAAACAAACTCCCTGTAAAAGAAAAAAAGACAAATCACCCCTGTAATTATGAGCTTTTTTAGCTATGAAATCAAAAGGACCCGAGTAAATGGTTTCAAAAAGAAAAAAGGAACTATTATGCAAATTTTGATGTCATCTATGGGAAAAGACATCGATCGACTGTATGTTTCAGTAATGAAAAAAAAGGAACTATTATGCAAATTTGCTTTTATCATCTATGGGAAAAGATATCAATCGATTGCATGTTCCAGTAACGATTTCAAAAAAAAAAAAAAAAAAAAAAACTACGTTTCAGCGCTTTTCTATTATGTAAAGAATCGATCATCATCTATTCATGCTGTGATCCATCCATGTCATTATCCTATCACACTATCACGTACCAACGTCTAGTCGTGCCTATAAAAATATATGTGAAATTAAAGGAATGTATCCAAAATATAATAATACATCAAAAAGAATCAATCACATTGACATGTAACAAAGTAGTTGGAATAAAAATAAAAACTTTATTGAATAAAAGTATAATAATAAAGACTACCAACTGATATACTAAAAGTCAATACAAAAAAAAAAAAGAAAAGAAGAGAAAAAAAGAAAGAAAAAGTAAATCAAAAAAATGTGAAAGAAAAACGGACTTTGAAAACCGCTACTTTCAGGGCAATCATCATGATGAATCATCACTCTAATGATGATCCATTATATCAATAAAGAACTTCTGTTTCTTTTTTTAATATATTTTTCAAATAAAGTGGCAGTATTTTTTTTTTTATTGTTTTTCCATCATCATCACTAACATCGACCTATCATTCTATTATCATCACCTCTACCGACATCTCTAAGCGATATCTAAAAAGTGGTAATGCGACGTCCATTTCGGGAAAGTACGATATTCTGTTTAATAACATTACGAAAAGTATTTTCTTGTGACCCGACAAAAAACTTTGAAAACACTGTATATTCATTTTTTTTTAAAAAAAAGATAATAAGTACTAACATAATAATAATTAGTCCCTCTTAGATAAGCGCCCGCATTGGTTTGTTCCACTGTCCTCGGAGGGAGAACTGGAGTTCACCTGACGAGGTAATAAAGCGTCAAGAATACACGGAACGTCTTCCCGTAACATTTGTCGAACTTCCTCAACTGGGAGGTCAATTGGTTCAGACGTTGCAATTTGAACATATTTCAGTAGTTCCGATAGACTTGGTGCCACTTGATCATTCACTCCAAGTGATTGTTTCTTGTCAATCGGGGCGCTCAGGACACAGAGCCATAGAGAAAGAAACAACAAGATGCGGTACATAGTGGAATAATAAATACCCTAAAAATAAAATAGATCGTTTTTATTTACTTTTCACTTTTTTTTTATAGTTTATCACTCATTTATATATTTCTACTTTCTGTGATGACTCCTCTTTTTAGAAGCAAGCGTTTTACCCTGAAAATCGTTGTCCTTTTTTCTTATCTATATTGAATAAGGAGGTAAGTTGCATAACTCTTACATATTGGTAATTTGTGATCATGAATAATGCGTGATACCTCCCCTCTTAGGATCATCGTTATACATGAACAAAGGGAATGTGTAGAGAAATAATCATCTTTTATTCTAGTTTTCTGTCTACTACACAGGAAACAGAAGATTTTTTGATATCTCAAAAGAACAAAAGAAAAAGATCTCTTGTCCATCTATTGACAGAGCACATAAAAGTTTTCCATGATGATTCATGATGAAGGAAGTTAGATGACGATGACAAAGTGATAATGGATGGTATGGTCAAGGTGATGATCATGTTTAACAGTGGATAGTATAGTAATCAAGGAGGAAGGCTTACAGAAATTAAATACAATACTGTACCGCCAGTCAGTTCAAAATGTTTAATGCAAGCGTAGTATCATCTATCATCCATCATGTGTACTTGGTAGGGACACAAAAAAAAGAAAAAAAAGGATGATATTCCTCGTGCAGAGAAAAAAGGGTGGATTATCTTTTTTGAGATCGACAAGGGTACACCCTGGATCCTCAAAAAAAAGGAAAAGAAAAAAGGGAAAGGTTATATGCGTGGTCGCCACGCAATATTCTCAGGGGGTGAGATCCATTTATAGTTTTATTTAACAAGAAAAATTAGAAAGATCTACATTTGAATAGACATAAAGCTTTTTAGACTTTTTACTTAAACTTTGGGGTTGGAACACAAATGGAAAAAAAATGTTAAATTGTGGGCCAGTGGACGGGCTTCAAAAAAATACCCTTCTTATGCTTTTTTTAATTTTTTTCTTTCTTTTTCTCTTTTTCATCACCTTATTTTTCCACATTGGGTGTCCTCTTTGTTTTTACGATCTTGTCATGGTAGATTTTATTGGATTTGGAATGTTTTGAAAAAGGGATTTACAAAATACATGGGGAAACCGTTTCATTTTGGATGTAGGATTTAGTATAGGTAAATGACAAAAGTATTTTATAATGGCATATGAATTGCTTGACCTGAATTTATTTTATTGGTAATGTGAATGAAAGACTGACTGAATGTTAAACTTATTTTGGTTAGGTATAGCGGCTTGTTGTTAGGATCTTGGTGGTGGACGAACACCTCTGATTGGTTGGCGCTATAAGGGATACAGTAGAATGAATGGTAGCTAGTTTTATTAATTAGTATACGGATTACTTCTTTTTTTTTTTGAAATAAAAGCTCTATTGCTTTTTATGATACACAGCACTACACTTCCCCGTCTTTTTTTTTTTTTTTGCCTTTTTTATGATAATCATTATTAATTGGACGAAGGGATGACTGAATTGAGTTTTGATTTTTGTTTTGCTTTATCAATTGTGAAATAACATATAAGTTGTTACTAATACAAATGAGATAATATATTTATGTACCTTTAATCCAAGTTTGAATAAAATAATGATGATTTCTGAGCGAGTTACAAAAAAAAATAAAAAATAAAGAGATAAATAATCCATTTCCATCTGATGGTACAGTATAAAAACAACGTTATAGATTTAATTTCTAAACTAACCAATAAAACGACATTAGACGGTGCTAACTACTTTTTTGAGAGGAATTCAATGGTGGCAGTTTCATTAGATTATTACGTTTATTGGATGAGGAATAGCTGTTTTGACTTTTGTTATACAGTTTAATCTGTCAGATGGGGAGGAACTTTCAAAAGGCGTGAAGTCAAGCAGTAGAGAATTGCTTTGCTCTATCTTCGATCTAAATTTGCAATCATCATGGTAGTCATCATTGCAGACGAAATCATCATAACATCCATCATTACACAAACCATCGTAATAATCATTGTAAGCTATGACTTTGCATTTGCATGACATTATCTTTTTTTTCAAGAACCTGTTTTGAAATAAATGGTCCGAGCTCTGAGAATCCATGATCATGGACAGTGTGTGGCGTTTCAGGTTCGGGATCATCGTTGTACATAAACAAAGGGAATATATAGAGAACTAGTCACCCACTACTATGTTTTCTTTTTACTTTGCAGAAAACAGCGGGAGCGTTCAGAATCTAAAAAAAAAAAAAAAAAAAAAAGGTCGCCATACCGTGGATCTTCTTTCTAAAAAAAGATTTTTCACCCTGAACAATTCCTTTCTAATTTAACTATTTTGACTAAATGAATACATTACATATGTCAAGTGACATGGTATCTAATGATCATGAATAATGTATGGCATTTTAGCCATTAGGATCATCGTAGTACACGAGCAAAGGGGACATATAAATAAACGATCATCCATGACTATGTTTTTCTGTCTGCTACGCAGAAAATAGAGGATTTTTAGCATCTCTAAAAGAAAAAGAAAAGAAAAAGAAAAGAAAAAGAAAAGAAAAAGAAAAGAAAAAGAAAAGAAAGAAAGAAAGAAAAAAAGAAGGAAAGAAAGAAAGAGCATCATAGCAATTATATTGGGAAGCATCTCCTGTCTATCTATGGGCATAAATGCAATTCTTAAGACCGGTTTTATTTACGTTTCTTATTACCATACTTAATGGAACATGGTGTGTGGTGATCGATAAGTGATGATAGGTGATATGATCAAGGCAAAGGTAATGTTCAACACGAGAATGTATTGCGCCAAGGAGGGCTGTTTCATGATGGAACATAAATGCATGATCGACAATCACTTTAAAGTCTTTTGCAAGCACACGACAAATGTTATCTATCATCATCTATCGTCATCGGTTGCTGACCACCGTCACCGATTATCCGTCATCCATGATGATCATTCGATAGGCACGAAAACAAAATAAAGAAGATGATACTCCTCGCATAAAAAAAAAGGAGCAGGTGCTCTTGATATGGGTAGAAGTACGTCTCATATCTTCAAAAAGTAAAAAAAAAAAAAAAAAAAAAAAAAAAAAAAAAAAAAAAAAAAAAGAAAGAAAGAAAGAAAGAAAGAAAGAAAGAAAGAAAGAAAGAAATCAACATCTTTTCTTAACTGGCTACTTTTCTGTTTTTACCATAGGAATTTGTCTTTTAAAAACCATCCCTTTTTTTTCAAGGCAAGCTCATCAAAATGAAGATTATCATCATTTTAAGCGCATTGTTGATTTATGCTCTTGTATCAGTCATTTGCGACGAGGGATATAGTACAGGAGGGTTTTCATCTAGTGGTTCGATACCCTATAGGGCACCTAATAATAATAACAATAACGGATGTGGTAATAGCTTTGTTAGATGTTGCAGACGTACAAGTTCTGGCGCAATAGCACAAAGCTGTCATAGTGCAGCGGGTGGTTGTCCTTCTCTCAATAGTTTATATCCATGTTGATCAAAGTTTAAATTAAAATAAACGCTCTAGTATCCCTGAGATCTTTAAAACTTAAGATTTGTGTGGATTATGTGTGGACTATGGATTTTTTTTTTTTGAAGTGGAGGCAATCACTTATTATCCACTACCAGAAAAGAGACATCAATGGACAGAATGGGCTCAGACGATATCAGATTGTTTTTTGGAGTTGATTGAAATGAAAGCATTTTTATTGAATGATTATACCAATTTGATGAATAATTTTATTTTTGTTTTTAATTTATTTTATAATTTGGGAGATAAGTCATTATGTATAAATTATTGCATGGCGAAGAGAGCTTGACGTTTGGAGGAATGAAAAAAAAAAAAAAAAAAAAAACGGTCGATCTTTTGGATTTTACAGCCAAAAAATTGGAACTCCACAGCCAAATTTTGGCTGTAAAAACGAATCGTCGAGGGGTCATCAGGCGATTTTTGGAAAAATGGAGGAAATGCTTTTGGTGTTTATTGCACATTAAATGACAAGATAAGTGATAAAATGATATTAGATGATATTAAACTACTTTTTGATGAGGAACTTAATGGTGGTGATTTTATTCGATGATGATCCCTATTGGACGAGGGATGACTGAATTGACTTTTTCATTTTTAATTTACTCTATAAATTGGGAGATAAGATATAAATTGTCGTTAATATAAATGAAAGAGAATAGTTTAATGTATACTCATTCCAAATTTGATGCAATGATGATAACTTTTGAGTGAATTACAAAAATATAGAGTGGAACTTGTCATATTACAGCACAGCATATGACACTTCCGCATCGAATTTCTCGTTATGGAGCAAGCTAACTAATAAAATGATATTATCAATTGTTAGACTACCTTTTGAGAGCAATCTAATAGCATAATTTTATTGGTTAGTGTTCAATATTGGGTGAGCTATGACGGTATCGACGTTTATTTTTTATTTTATTCTACAAATTAGGAGGTAAGGTATAAACTGTTATTAGCACAAGTGAAAGAGAATGATTTCATCTATGTTAGTTCTAGATTTGGTACGATGATTATGAGTTTTGGATCAGTTACGAAAAAACAAAGACATACATGTCACGTCACAACACATTATAAAAGACGTTTATGCATCGAATTTCTTACTACGGAGCAAGCTGACCAATGAAAGGTTATTATGTATGCTTATGCTACTTTTTAGCACTGCAGTCAATGGCGAAAAGAGCCTGAGATTTACTAAAAACAGAAAAAAAAGGATTTTTGATTTTACAGCCAAACTTTGCTTGTAAAAAATCAATTCCCTAACAATTGATTTTTACCGTCATCACACGACTCGCATGTTTTATTTGGACAATCTGCTTTATTATATTCGTTTTAGAAAAAAAGACAATAAATAATAAATAGTTCGTTTTATATAAGCACCGCCATCATTTTTTTTTATTGTTTCAAAGGGTGGGAGAATTCGCTGGCGCGGTGTCTTTAAATCCTGCCTCCAGTACCGCCTAGAGTTCCTCCAAGAACTGGTACATGTTGATCTTTAGTATTCGCTGGCACTTGGTTCTTCAATGCTTTGTAATGAAGTACCAATCTAATCAGAGCTATGGGGTCTATATTCATATCTCGAATTACTGGTGGAACATATTTCAGTAGTTCTGGTAAAGCTTGTGCCGTTTGATCATTCCCTCCTATAGTTTTTGGAACTGAAGTATTCGTTGGCACTTGGTTTTTCAATGCTTGTTCTGCGAGACGTGTCGCTCTAAGCAGCTGTTTGTACGGTGGACCACTTTTTATAATACGTAGGCCTTCTAGATCTTGTCGACGATTATATGTCAGTAGCTGCGATTCACTACGTGCAGGTCGATCAGCCATTTCAAGTGATTGTTTCTTGTCCATCGGAACGCTCAGGACACAGAGACACAAAGAAAGGAATAGTAAGATGCGGTACATAGTGGAAAAAATAATAAATATACTAAAAATAAAATCGATCGTTTTTATTTACGATTCACTTTTTTTATAGTTTATCTCTCATTTATATATTTTTACTTTCTGTGATGACTCTTCTTTTAGAAGCAAGCGCTTTACCCTGAAAATCGTTGTCTTTTTTTCTCATCTACTTTGAATAAGGAGATAAGTTGCATAATTCTTACATATTGGTAATTTGTGATCATGGATAATTTGTGATGTTCCCCCTTACGTGATCATCATTATACATGAAGAACGGGAATGTATAGAGAAATAATCATCTTTTTCTCTAGTTCTCTGTATGCTACACAGGAAACAGAAGATTTTTTAACGTCTCAAAAAAAGAAAAGAAAAAGACTTCCTGTCTATCTATTGGCAGATCACATATAATTTTTCCATGATGTTTTATGACGAGGCAAGACAGATGATGACGATAAAGTGATGATGGATGATATGGTCAAGGTGATGATCATGTTTAACGTTGGATAGTATAGTAATCAAGGAGGAAGGCTTACAGAAATGAAACACCAGACCGCCAGTCAGTTCAAAATCTTTGTAATGCAAGCCTAATATCATCCATCATTCATCCTGTGTACTTCATAGGAACAAAAAAAAAAAAAAAAAAAAAGGAAGAAACAGGATGATATTCCTAGTGCAGAGAAAAAGGGTAGATTATATTTTTCGAAATAGACACGGGCGTACCTTGGATTTTCAAAAAATAGGAAAAGAAAAAAGGGAAAGGTTATATGCGTATCGCCAAACAATTTTCTCAGAGTGAGATTCATTTATAGTTTTATTTGAGAAAGAAAAAAATGTCAGATTGCGGCCAGTGGACGGGCTTCAAAAAAAAAAGTACTTTTCTGCTTTTTTTAATTTTTTCTTTCTTTTTCTCTTTTTCATGACCTTATTTTTCCACATTGAGTGTTCTCTTTGTTTTTACGATCTTGTCATGGTAAATTTTATTGGATTTGGAGTGTTTTGAAAAAGGGATTTACAAAATACATGGGGAAACCCTTTCATTTTGGATGTATGATTTAGTACAGGTAATGACAAAAATATTTTATAATGGGATGTGAATCGCTTGACCTGAATTTATTTTATTGGTAATATGAATGAAAGACTGACTGAATGGTAAACTTCTTTTGGTTAGGTATAGCGGCTTGTTGTTAGGATATTAGTGGTGGACGAACGCGTCTGGTGGGTGCTACAATAGTAGTGATAGTTTTGCTAGATAGTATGTGTATTACTTCTCTTTTCTTTGAAATAAAAATTATATTAATTTATGATATACAACAATACATTTCCGTGGCTTCTTCTTCTTCTTTTTTTTTTTTGATGATAATCATTATTAATTGGATGAGGGATAACTTGATTGGCTCTTCATTTTGGCTTTATAAATTGTGAGATAACATGTAAACTATTATTAATACAAATGGAAGAAAGTGTAGTCAATGGTGGAGAGTGATAGTGGCTCTTATGATAGTAAACTGCTGCAGATAATGGTTCGAATTTTCCAAATGGGATTTTCTCACCAAGGATCAAACAAACCAATGAAAAACCATATAAATGCTTAAGCTACTTTTTAATGGCATAGCCAATGGCAAAGGGTATGGTATCTGGACAAATAGTTGAGGAGAAAGGATGACATACAGTAATGAAAAAAAAGGCCAAGGCAAACGATACAATGGAATTAGATGATTTTAGACTACTTTTTATCGAATGATGATATCTTTATTTGATGATGTAAGTTCTTAGTGTCAAGATAATTCGAATACAATCACAATAAAAAAAAAAGACTAAACTAGTGAACCAACTAGGGAATAAGGGAATGATACTACATAATAACAATCAAAGATAATAATAATAGGAGAGAGCTAACAACGACTAAAAGAGATATAAAGAATGTGTCATTGGTAAAGTATTCATTGGATCAACAACACATTCCTTATCATCAGCAGTGACAGCGTACGTTTCAGGGTCAACATGGATCTCAGGCATAGCACAATTGAGCTTCATATGTTCCTTGCAGACCTTTCGACAATCCTGGACAGGTTCCACCTTTTTGCGCAAACCGTATCTCTTCACCGTGTCCACAGAACTTGGAGAGACGAATACAAAACAGCTTGCTGACAGACTTGATGGTTGCGCGCCATACATCGGCTTGAATATAATAGGTTGAGTTGTCGAAATTGATCCATTTGCATCACCCATCATACTCCATGCAATGATTCCACTCTTCATCACCATCTCAGGCTTTGATCCAAAGAAAGCTGGTTTATAGCATACCAAGTCAGCCACTTTTCCAACTTCAATTGATCCAACCAAATGATCAATACCATGAGCAATAGCTCTACGTACAAAAAAAAAAAATTCAGTAAAGAATAACCTTTTCAATCTATTCTACTTACGGATTGATGGTATACTTTGCAATATATCGTCGAATACGATAATTGTCATCCTTGACTTCCTTGTACTCTTCGAGATGTTTGGAATCCTTATGCTGTCTGTTGTAGTCTTGTCTTTTATTATAGCCTTGCCGCTTGTAATCCTCGAGACGTTTGTAATTCTTGTGATGTTTCTTGGCCTCCTGCTGCTTGTCATACTCTTGTTGGTTGTCATCCTCGTTTCTTTCATCTTCAGATAGTCTTCCACGTTGTAGTTTCATCTTGTGCGCTGTTTTCCATGTTCGTAAGACCACTTCACCGATACGACCCATTGCTAAACCATCTGAGCTCATCATACTGATGGCACCTATATCTTGTAGCACGTCTTCAGCTGCAATTGTTTCCGCACGAATTCGACTTTCCGCAAAGGCCACATCTTCAGGTATATCTTTAGATAGATGATGAGCGACCATAAGCATATCCAAATGTTCATCCAGTGTATTGCAGGTAAATGGCCGAGTAGGATTTGTTGATGATGGCAATACGTTGTTTTTCCCGCAAACACTGATAACTATACATAAGCAAAAAAAAAAAAAAAAAAAAAAAAAAAGAGAGAGAGAGAGGTGAGGATGCATTTTTAAGGCAATTCATTTATATGAGGACACTTACTATCTGGAGCATGTCCTCCGCCAGCGCCTTCGCTATGATAGGTATGAATTGTTCGTCCCTTAAATGCTGCGATAGTTGATTCCACAAAACCAGCTTCATTTAATGTGTCAGTATGAATAGTCACCTTTAGTAATACACAGGTGTAAAATAAAAAGAAGTTAAGTTCGCTGAATATTTTATTTTCATACTTCTTTTTTTTTTTTTTTTTTTTTTGCACGATTGTCATCCTACCTGTACTTTTTCGTCATCGCACACTTCCAAACATTTGTTAATAACTGCAGGTGTTGCGCCCCAATCTTCGTGAATCTTTAGTCCCAGACAACCAGATTGGATTTGTTCACGCAATTCTTCTATTTCGGAGCTGGAGCCTTTTCCAGTAAATCCAAAATTCAAGGGCAAATCATCTGTCGCTTTCATCATATGCTTAACGTGATATTTTCCATTAGTACATGTTGTAGCATTGCTGCCAGTGTTTGGTCCAGTTCCCCCGCCGATCAAAGTAGTGATTCCTCCTGCTAAGGCCTATTATAAAAAAAAAGACTTATCATTAAGATCATCATCTTCATAGTAATAAAGTTACCTCAGGACAAATTTGGGGACAAATGTAGTGCACATGAGTATCAATAGCGCCAGCAGTAAATATCTTTCCTTCACCAGAATAGACTTCAGTACTTGCACCCACGATCATTATAGGAGTACCGTCATCATCCGTAGTAACACCATCCATCACATCAGGATTTCCAGCCTTGCCAATACCCACAATGTAACCATTCTTGATACCGATGTCAGCCTTGATAATTCCGGTATAATCGATGATAACAGCGTTCGTGATAACCAAATCCAATACGTCTTCGTCACATTTTCCCGTAGCTTGACCCATGCCTTCACGTAGTACCTTTCCACCACCAAACTTGCATTCATCACCATAAACAGTAAAGTCCCTTTCAACACGAGCCCAGAGATCAGTGTCACCCAAACGAATCAAATCATCAGTAGTAGGACCAAAGTGATCTACATAAAAATAACGATCCAAAGTGTAAGGAGGAGCAGTTGGTAAAGAAATACCGTCAGGGTTATGCTTGAATCCCTTCCCTTCGAGGTTTTGAATGATGAGCTCCAACCCCGGACCATCGATCTCATCCACGTATCCAGTTGCTAGTTCATTACCACCAGTAATTCTTTTTCCGCCGCCAATTTGTACAAGAGTCACCTTTTTGAAATCACCAGGTTCAAAGCGAATAGCTGATCCAGCAGGGATATCCAATCTCATGCCGTAAGCCTCTTTACGATTGAATTCCAAATCGGCATTTGTTTCAATAAAATGATAATGTGATCCAACCTGTTTCAAAGACAAAAAAAAAAAAAAAAAAAAAAAAAAAAAAAGAAAGAAAAAAAAAATAAAGAAAAAAAAAAACAAAGAAAGAAGAAAGAGAAAATCAATAAACCTTATTTTCTATCATCTTTTTTTACACCTGCATTCTCCAATCTTTTTTTTCCTCCCACGTCTGCCATTGCCTCTTGACGTTTCTAATTTTGATAAGACTATTCCTTTTTTATTTATTTACCTGAATAGGGCGATCACCGTGATTTTTGACAGTCAAGGAGACCCGTTCTCTACCAGCATTCAATTCAATATTTCCAGGCATAGGAATGATGGCACCAGGAGCATCCCATTTTGTTCGTTCAGGAGGTAAAGGAAGAGAATCCCATTGAGGAACAGGCAAGAAGGAACCATAAAGAGCCAATTCCAAATTACCATTGTCAGTACAAATAGGATCATGTACAGTGACTAGAAAAGTCCCATCTGGAAAAGTACCTTCCACTTGAACTTCATCCACAGTATCCAAGGCTTCTTCCATAACGTGCCGCCGTCCAAGCATTTGTCTACCCATATCCATTAATTGTGCCACTGAATAGACTCCATCACGCATAAATTCCATTAATTGTGAGGCAATCAATGCTGTTGCTTCCGTATGATTCAACTTGACACCTCTTGCTAATCGTTTTTGTGCAAGTGCACCCACTATAATAGTAATAACAAGAATCAATTATATATTTATAGGATAAATCACCTGTTTTACCTTGATGAAGTAATAACTTATCAAGTTCACGTGGAATAAGTCTCATAGTATATATAAAAATAAAAGAGATAAACTTTGGGAAGAAAAAGAAAGAAAGAAAAAAAAATTCTGTCTTTCACTCGAAGATCAAAAAATTACTACTTGCATATTTTGTAACTCCTACAATTTTTATTTATGTGTGTACATATGTTGAAAAGGCGTGGACCATCGATTGAATGGGAAAATGTGGGCTGTAGATCTTTTTTTGGGAAGTGGTAATCATCACCCATTCCAGAAAAAAAAAAGGAAAGGAAAGGAAATGAAAAGAAAAAGGTTAGATCACAAGTTTCTGGGGAAGGTAGCACCAGAACCTAAAATAGGCAAAAAGTTTATTTTGTGATAAGGAGTGATCTTCTTGTTTTTATATATCCGATCAACATGAAACTCAAAAGAACTTCTTCTAACTTGAAGAGCATTACTGTAACCAATAATCACAAGACCTTTTGTTGACACAGCCCTAACTTTCTTGACAGTACCTTTTCCACCGTTCAACCTCCGACTTCAATTTCTGAACCTTTTCCCAGTTTCTTTTTTCCTTTCTTTTCTACTCTCAATTATACCTAGTCATTGTCAATTCTATTCCATGTCTGATGTTTCTTTTGAAGATAAAATCTCAAATACTTCTGCTGCTACTGCTCCTTCTCAATACTATCATAATCACGACCATACTCATGAAGACCTTGACCACCCTGGAATTTATGATGAACGTCCAAAAGCTCAATATCAAAACCGTGATTGTCTGAACGTGCATTTACTGTTGGTGTTGGAGGGTAAACCATCCTTTTTTCTTTACTGGATACGCGCTCACAGTTATTATATTTATTATTTATAAATATATCCCTGCTGGGTCTGGTAAAACTGCCGTGATGCTTGCTTTATGTCAACGTTTACGCGACACTTATTCCACTGCTGCTGTGACTAATGATATTTTCACTAAAGAAGATACTGAATTCCTAGTACGAAACAAGGCTCTACCTGAGGAACGTATATTGAAACTGGTGGATGTTCTCATGCTGTACGTCTTTTTTTTTTCTTCTGAACGATTCAAAGGGACGAAATTACGATAAAATGATGACTGATGACCTCTCTCTTTTTTCTTTTTTTGTCTGGATCCAGGCCATTCGGTAAGGAAAAACAAATGAACTTGATCACGTATATATATGGATGATGACGACAATCGCTCCTGATAGGTTTATGGATTATCTTTACATTCTTTATAGGGAAGATGTATCTGCCAATATGAATGCTCTTGAGATCTTGCATGCCAAGTTTAATACACAATTATTGTTGATTGAATCCGGTGGGGATAACCTTGCTGCCAATTACAGGTATAGCAGAATGAAAGTGTGAAAATAGCATTGATGACTATTGCTCAATTTTTTTTTTTTTTTTTTTTTACTAGTCGTGAATTAAGTAACGGTAGACCTTTGATGACTTCAGTCAAGTGATTAACGGAAAGATATATTTATTTTTTTGTGGCCGATCATATTATCTATGTGATCGATGTAGCTGGTGGAGATAAAGTACCTCGAAAAGGTGGTAAGTCAGAGTGACCGAAATAGCAGCGGAAAATGGATACCGCCATGGATTCGATGCTGATTAGTTGATTGGCGGCATATTTTCTTATACAAAATTATAGGACCTGGTATTACTCAGAGTAATCTACTAGTAGTGAACAAGACCGATTTGGCCGAAATTGTTGGTGCCGACTTGAATGTTATGGCAAGAGATGCTAAAAATATGCGGTATGCACATTCAGAACTCGTCGATATAATATGAACTTATTATTTTTTTTTTTTTTTTTACCTTTCTTGTTTTCTAATAGTGGAAATGGCCCTACTGTGTTTGCGCAAGTGAAGAATGGTGTTGGTATGGATGAAAACATTAGTCTTATCATCGGTGAATGGAGAGCAAGTGGTGCTGCAAAAGAATGAAATTATTTAATTTAGTTTACATGATGTGGTATAGATTTGTCTCATTTGTTGCAAATGATTTTTTTTTTCTGAATAAACGCTCGTTTTTAAGTATGGGTATTTATATCTGTTGAAAAGGTGTGGAGTATGAATCTTTTTTTTTTGGGGGGGGGGAAGATGAGGTCTATATATATGTGAATAATTTCGAAAGTGACGATAAACATCATTCATCAATAAATAAACTATGATATGTATGGACAAACCAAAGGGAGGGACGCGACTTTGAAAAAACCTACACAAGTTCGTTACCTTAAAAGGCTTTTGCATTTATAGTTGACTCTGGGATTGAAACTTAAAAAGTGTGGGTTTTATTTTTGCGCTCTTCCTTTCCGGTTTTCATCACTTTTTCTATTTTATTTAAACTTTCTTCTACCATCTCTCTCCTTTTTTCCCAGAAATCAAAACTAATCCTTCCTCTTCTCTTTAGTAGTGATTTGGTTAGTCAACCCTTGAAGCCGAAGCGAAGAAACGAGTGACAATAAAGGCAAAAACAAATAAAAATCCTCAGCGCGTATCATATATTAATCATCCACATTGGTCTCATTACATCTTTACTTAGTGAAACTGGGACGATTCATCAGTAGTTGATGGGACGCAAGACATAAATTAGCGAGGAATCTCAGCTGAACAGATATACAGAAGGATTCAACGTTAAATGACTGACGCACATGGGACTCAAGTTGACCAGAAGGAATATGACGATACATATGTAAGCAGGATGGATATACTACATGTCACGAGCGTACAGCTTTATTCGACAGCATGCATCATCGGATGTAATCGAATATATGGAACACAGAAAGTTTAGATAGCATTGGTAAATTAGCTGTTTGAAAAGAGGGCCGTTATACAGAATTGGTTTGACAGTAGAGGCATGCTACTTGTGTTTCGACTCACTTCTTTTTTGTTTTGATAGTAATCACGGCAGCAATGATTCTGATCAACAATTTGGGTGGAAGATATGGATGCCAAGTATTGGACAAATGCAAAAAGGGCTCATCGATTGATATAAAAAAGGGAATATCAGGAACATTGGGTCGAAATTTCAGATCAGTATATGGCATAGCGATGTTGGATGTAGCTTAGTTACTGTAATTGTTAGAATAGTCTTATTATTATCATGTTTTTGATTGAAATAAAAGTGTATCGTTGTAGATATAAATATCTCAAGCAAATGAAGATGCTTTTGCATCAAAAGGTGGAAATTACTATTAAGGAAAAGGGATTATAGGGTGGCGGCATGTAAGCATGCATTGATATTAAATGATACCAGTACATTATCATGGATATCATCTCATTTTTTTTTTTTTTTTTTTTTTTTTTTTGCATAAACACATAATAGAAATTCAAGCATTACAGTTGCACCTAATACGGCCTATATATTCAACTATGGAACCGTAAGTTAAATATCCAAAAAGAAGGTGAAATGTATCTCTTTTTTTTTTTTTTTTTTTTTTTTGATTCATACAAATTAGTCTCAATGGTCAAATCTTCCGGGTGATACTCAAAATACAAATGTGCGCTATTCGAACACAGCTACACTTGGCAATGATAATCGGATCTATATGATTGGTGGTTTCGAAGATCAACCAGGATCCATTTATTCTGTCCCACGAGTCAACATTTTACAAGTGAGATGGTACGATACTGTCAATAAGAACTGGGGGACAGATGTAGCTACAATTGCTAACGGTAATCCCGCAACAGTATCACAGCGTGCCTATCATACGACCACTCAAAGTAAAAAAAAAAAAGAAAAAAAAAAGAAAAAAGAAAAAAAGAAAAGGCACTTTTATTGACTAAAATAGATAAACAAATCATGAATCATGACGCTGAATGCAATCACGCAAGAGTGTCTGACAAGATGAACGGACTTCTGTATTTTTTAGGTTTTCATGTGTTCAGAAATTTACCATATGAGAACAAAGACGTGAAGCAGTAAAACGCAATATGACGCTATATTTAAATCTCATGGCGCATCTTCCCCTCTATCTGCGGACGATGATCCCTATATGGATGATATGATGATCTTGTGGAGGTATAGGGAAAAGTTTTGAATAAAAAAAAAAGAAGGGGCTGCGAGGAGTGAGCAGATAACATAGGGTCATCTGAACTGTACAAACTCAGAAAAAGATGCATGCACATGGCATCAAGGAGGATCATACTCGTTAGAAATCAATTGATCTAGGAGGATGACTTCTTTCAGTCCTCCTTGATTTTTTTTAAAAAAAAGACATTGAATAAATGATCCTTTAGGTAAAGGAGGAACTTCTTTTTTTTTCATCTCTATTGAGTGAAATGAAGACAATGCATCAAATGGTTATTCAAATCAGAGATGTTGGTATGTTTCGCCAATGAAAACAAAAGATGTGATGCACCGATGGGACTGATCTGCACCCCTTCAGAGTTTTTCGTAAGACTAGGAAGAAGTAAAAGAGTAATGTCTATCTCTTTAACTCATTTTTGAGGTATACTCCTGATTTTCTAATTCCTCCTATTGTGATTATCCTGGTACAAACGACACATACGGATATATTTATCAAAGACAATAGTGATGATAGCTAACGCGTGTACATGTGTATATTTGTGAAGGGGATAATGAATATAAATAAAGAGGGTGTCTTGATTGCTTCGTTTTTTTTTTTCCATTATCAAATTTAAAGCAAACTAGATATGAACTTCCACAACAACTCTTTCTTTGTCTTCTTGTTGGTGGTGCTTGCTCTCTTCGGTGTAACTGAAGCAAACTGTGACAGAGACCATGCGTGTATTGTGGGTAATGGTGGATGTTGGGCTATTAACCCTTCGTATTCTTGTCACGATGATCCAACTGCTTCTGCTTATAGGGCTTGTGGCCTCTTTAGTCTTTTCAAATGTAATGGTTGCTGTGGGTTTTAATAGTTTACATGTCTTGGTAGCTACTGCGCCTTTTTGTTCTGTTTAATTCACACTGTAAGTGTACCGTATATAGCCAATATAATATCCTATCTATTTCCCTCTTATTTTTTTCAAAATAAAGTATGATGACGCGATCGTCTTTTTTTTTTTTTTTTTTTTTTTTGTATAGAGCAAACAGTGATTGCAGATCTTGGTCAGACTCAAAGTCTTTGGACTTGGGTAACACAGTGATTAAAAGAAAAGAGTATATTGGTCTCACTACCTTTTTTTTTTTGCTTATCTTTTTTTCCCTCCTTACCTTTTTCAAATAGTGTATAATGATGATCAATCACTATGATCATGATGAATCAATGATACACCAATAATGACTCAATGACAATGATAGTTGAAGGATGATGATAATGATAACAGGGTGGTAATGTGTAAGTACGCATTTACATTAGACAATAGCCGTATACTTGGCGCCTCATATTTTTTTCTTTATTTTAGTTTAACAGAAACTCAAATGCTATAGTTGCTCCTAATATCGCTTATATCTTCAGCTACGGTCTTGTAAGTTAGATATCCAAAGAAAAGATGGGAGATATCTCATTTTTTTTTTTTTTTGATTCATACAGACAATAGCCTCAATAGACAAATGCTCCTGTGATACTCAAAATATAAATGTACGCTATTTGTATACAGTTACAGTTGGCAATGGTGACCGGATTTATATGATTGATGGATGGATAATATACCATTATCTAATGAAGGGAGTGAAACGCAGAAACCATCCTAGATTATTGATCATTCTTTAATATCTGAATCTGAAGATACTAAAGTTGAATCTATCAAACCTACTTCTAATGATAGATCTGAATCCACTAAACCATATGCAACTGAATAGATAGTAATAAAAATTTTCTTTGCTTGATTGCTTTTTTTTTTTTTTTTTTTCTTGGAATAGGCTTTTTTGGAAAGGCCGGAGATTCAATACTTTTTAATATCGACCTCTGTGTGGTTTTTTATTTTTTGATCTTTCTTTTCATTCTTCATTATTTATTATTATTATTATTATTATTATTATTATTATTATTATTATTATTTTGATTACGGGGATACTAGAAGGAGGAACTACTAATGGTAAAGTTAAATCAAAAAGACTGAAAAAGTTAAGAGGGATCAGCACAGTGTATTAATCTTAATATTCACTTTTGAACTTATTTGACATTAGATCGTTTTGGATCGCGATGGAACAATTCATTGATGGTTGGAAGGACATGGAGCAATGCATTTCATCTCGGCAACAAGTCCAGGGAACAACTATGATAATAGCGACATAAGCTTGATAGGTAAGTGCATAGCAAAGGTATGCAATATACTGTCATTTTGACGCGTTCTTCTTTATATCGATAGGGACAACAATCCATTTATGGAAAAGACGCGGGAACAAAAGCAGTTACACTCGAAAGGTGGCAAAGTGACTCGAGAATGGATAGATACATGCGGTATCACCACGACATCGGATCAATCTTGGCTACGTGGATATACTTCGATTAGCATAGAAAAATAATATAGTGATATCATTGTAGATCTAGTTGATATATATTATTGTTACTCTATTGAATATTTTGGAAATAAAAATTTTGGATCTGTGGATGTTGGAAGTAAAATTGCACGATAAAAGTATATTGTCATATTGTTCGTATGAAAGTCAGGGGAAGATGGACTGTCGAGGTGACAACATGTTAGAGCATAGGTCTTACATGATAACGCCACCAAAAAAAAAAAAAAAAAAAAAGATAATCAGCGATAATGATCATTATCATATATTCTATGTCCTAATGTTTGACGATTCTAACATACAAAAGCCTTTTTATACGGTAAAGCTAAGCAAAGGAAACGCATCATTGCTATTACTGAATTCTCGGAAGCTAAATGACCTCCCTGTTCTTGAAACACAAAAAAAAAATCATGCTTATTGAATATAGTAAATACATAAAACATGAATCATAATGCTGAATGCAATCATGCAAGATCAGCTGACAAGATAAACGGATCTTATATTTTTTAGATTTCCATGTTTTCAAGAGCTTACCATATGAGAACAAAGACGTGAAGCAGTAAAATGCAATGTGACGCTATATTTAAATCTCATGGCGCATCTTCCTCTCTATCTACGGCCGATGATCCATATATAGATGATTCGTTGATCTTGTGGAAGTATAGAGAGATGTTTTGAATAAAAAAGGAAGGGGCTGCGAGGGGTGAGCAGTTTAAGTTAGGAAGGCGTTAAATAACATAGGATATCTGAACTGTACAGACTCAAAAACAGAAAAGATACACACACATGGTGTCAAAGAGGATTATGCTCGTTAGAAATCAATTGATCTAGCAGGACGACTTCTTTCAGTCCTCCTTGGTTTTTTTTTTTTAAAAAAAAGACGTCAAATAAATGATCCTTTAGATAAAAGGAAGAATATCATTTTCTTTCATCTCTATTGAGTGAAATGAAGACAATGTGGCAAATGGTTATTCAAATCAGAGACGTTGGTGTGTTTCGCCAATGAAAACAAAAGATGTGATGCACTGATGGGACTGATCTGCACGCCTTCAAAAGTTTCTCGTAAGGCTAAGAAAGAAGTAAGAAAGATCGTATATCGCTGTAACTCATTTTTGGGTATACCCCTTGTTTTCTAATTCAACCCCCTGTGATTACCATTATTGTGGCACAGAGGATACACAAGGATGTATTTATCCAAGGCAATGGCGATGACAGCTAATGCATGTATATGTATATATTTGTGGGGTGGATAATATATAAATACGGATGATGTCTTGATTGCTTCCTTTTTTTTTTTTATTATCAAATTCAAACCAAACCAAATATGAACTTTTACACCAACTCTTTCTTTGTCTTCTACCTTCTGGCGGTGCTTGCCCTCTTCGGTACCATTGAAGCTTGTACCCCAGCCGATACTGCGTGCATTGTGGGTAATTCCGGATGTCTTTATTATGGCCATTCATGGTCTTGTCGCTATGATTCATCTGCTTCTCAACACCATACTTGTGGACTTTTCGGAGGTAGCCAATGTAATGGTTGCTGTGGAAACTAACAATTTTACAAGCTTGCATTTCTTTAGTACTCCTTGTGTCTTTTTATTCTATTTTACTTCATACTGTAAGTGTACCGTATATAGCCAATATATTACCTTCTATATTTCTCTCTTTCTTTTCTTCAAATAAACATGACGACACGATCGTCCTTTTTCTTTGATAATAGATAATAATAGAATTTTTCTTTGTTTGATTGCGATAGTCTTTCTGCAAGGACCGGAGATTCAATGCTTTTTAATATCGAGCTCTGTGTGGATTTTTATTTCTTGATCTTTCTTTTCATTTTTTATCACTAATTTTATTGTTATTATTACTATGCTTATGGGGACACTAGAAGGACAAACTATTAATGGTAAAGTTAGACCAAAAAAGACTGAAAAAGATAAAAGGGGTCAGCGCAGCGTATTAATCTTCACTTTTGAACCTATTTAACCTTAGATCATTTTGGATTATGATGGAACAATTCGTTGATGGTTGGATAGGCATGAAGCAATGCAATTCGTCCGGCAACAAGACCAAGGAACAGTTACGATAGCATAGGTATAGGCTTGATAGATAAATGCATAATAAGGATATACAATATATTCCATATTGACGCGTCTTTATTTTGGTGGGGACTGGTCTACAATCCATTTATAGAAAAGGCGGGAGGGGGTTCAAATATAGTGGCACTCGCAAGATGAAAAATGACTCGACAGTAGGGTAAACAGATGGGAATATCACCAACATCGGAACTGGTTTGGGCACTTGGATGCACTTCGGCCAGGACAGAAAAATAGTGTAGTGGTATCGTTGTAGATTTAGTTGATATATATATTGTTGTCTATTGAATATTTTGGAATAAAATTTTTGGATGTTTAAAGAAAAACTACAGTATACGATGACAATATATTATATTTTTATATTGTTTGTATGGAAGTCAGGGAAAAGATGCACGGTCATGATGATATTATTGGGACAACACATACATGATATCGTTACCAGAGGAAATAATCAGAGATGATGATGGTGGTAATGCATTCTATCTCCAGCACTTGAAAATTCCAATCCACGACAGTTTCTTAACATGCTCAACGTGCAATACTCTAAAAAAAAAAAAAAAAAAAAAAAGGAATCACATCTTCGGTGTTACTTAGTCCTCCCTAGAGAGATGGTGACCCAGTCTTTGGAACCAAAAAAAAAAAAAAAAGAAAAAAAATCATGCTTATTGAATATAGTAAATACATAAAACATGAACCATAATGCTGAATGCAATCATACAAGAGAGGCTGACAAGATAAACGGATCTTATATTTTTTTAGATTTTCGTGTGTTCAGGAGTTGCCATATGAGAACAAGGACGTGAAGCCGTAAAACGCAATATGACGCTATATTTAAATCTCATGGCGTATCTTCCTCTCTATCGGACGACGATCCGTATATGAATGATATGTTGATCTTGTGGAGGTATCGGGAAATGTTTTTTTGAATAAAAAGGAAGGAAGGCTGCAAGGGGTGAGCAGTTTAAGTTAGGAAGGCGTTAAATAACATAGGATCATCTGAACTGTACAAACTCAGAAAAAGAAAAGATACAGAGACATGGTGTCAAAGAGGATCATGCACGTTAGAAACAAATTGGTCTAGGAGAATGGCTTCTTTCAGTCCTCGTTTTTTTTTTTTTTTTAAAAAAAAAAAAAAAAGACGTCAAATAAATGATCCTTTAGGTAAAAGGAGGAACATCATTTCCTTTCATCTCTATTGAGTAAAATGAAGACAATGTGGCAAATGGCTATTCAAATCAGAGATGCTGGTGTGTTTCGCCAACGAAAACAAAAGATGTGATGCACTGATGGGACTGATCTGCACGCCGTCAAATTTTTTTGTAAGACCAAGAAGAAGTAAAAGAAGTACATCGCGCTCTAACTTATTTTTAGGTATACCCCTTGTCTTCTAGTTCAACTTCCTGTGATTATCATTATTGTAGAACAGAAGATACACAAGGATATATTTATCCAAGGCAATGGCGATGACAGCTCATGCATGTATATGTATATATTTGTGAGGTGGGGAGTATATAAATACAGATGATGTCTTGATTGCTTTCCTTTTTTTTTTTATTATCAAATTCGAAGCAAACGAAATATGAACTTTTACAACAACTCTTTCTTTGTCTTCTACCTTCCCTTCTGGCGGTGCTTGCCCTCTTCGGTACAATTGAAGCTTGCACCCAAGCCGATCGTGCGTGCATTGTGGGTAATTCCGGATGTTTTTGGCATAACCCTTCATGGTCTTGTCAGCCGTCTTCATCTGCTTCTCAACACCATACTTGTGGATTCTTCGGAGGTAAGCAATGTAACGGTTGCTGTGGATGATAACAATTTTACAAGTTTGCATTTCTTGGTACTTTTTGTGTCTTTTTATTCTATTTTACTTCATCCTGTAAGCGTACCGTATATAGCCAATATATTACCCTCTATATTTTTCTCTTTCTTTTTTTTTCAAATAAACATGACAACACGATCGTCCTTTTTCTTTGATAATAGATGATAATGGAATTTTTCTTTGTTTGATTGCAATAGTCTTTCTGCAAGGACCGGAGATTCAATGCTTTTTGATATCGAACTCTGTGTGGTTTTTTATTTTTTGATCTTTCTTTTCACTTTTCATCACTATTTTATTATTTTTATCATTATTATTTTGAATATAGGGATAGTAAAAGGACAAACTATTAATGGTAAAGTTAATTCAAAAAGACTGAAAACGATAAGAGGGATCAGCGTAGTGTATTGATCTTCACTTTTGAACTTACTTGACATTAGATCGTTTTGAATTGTTATGTATTTGATGGTCGGATGGATATGGAGTAATGCAATTCCTCCAGCCACAAGACCAAGATAAAACTATGACAATTATCGATATAGGCTTGATAGGTAAGTGCACGAAAAAGATATATAATATATTTACATGTTGACGTGTTTTCCTTTATTTTGGTAGGGATCTATACAATCCACGTATGGGAAAGGCGCGAGTACAAATGTAGTGACACTCGAAAGATGCAAAATAACTCGACAATAGGTTAAGCAGATAAGGATATCACCAACATCGGGGCTGGTTTGGACACGTGGATACACTTTGACTAAAATAGAAAAAAATAGTATAGATATATCATTGTAGATTTAGTTGCTATATATATTATTGTTACTCTATTGAATATTTTGGAAATAAAACTTTTGGATTTGTGGATGTTGAAAGAAAAAAAAAAATATAGTGTACGATGATATTATATTTTTACATTGTTTGTATGAAAGTCATGGAAAAGATGCACAGTCAAGATGACATTATTGGGACAACACATACATGATATCGTTACCAGAGGAAATAATCACAGATGATGATGATGGCGGTCATGCATTCTATCTCCAGCACTTGAAAATTCCAATCCACGGCAGTTTCTTAACATGATCAAGGTAAAATACACTAAAAAAAAAAAAAAAAAAAAAAAAAAAAGGAAAAAGGAAACACATCTTCGGTGTTACTTTGTCCTCCCCAGAGAGATGGTGACCCAGTCTTTGGAACCAAAAAAAAAAAAAAAAAGGAAGACATCCCTATTGACGAAAATAAATAAATAAAACATGAATCATAACGCTGAATGCAATCATGCAAGAGTATCTGACAAGATGGACGGACTCTTGTATTTTTTAGGTTTTCATGTGTTCAGAAATTTACCATATAAGAGCAAAAGCACCAAACAGTAAGACGTAATATGATGTTACATATCTCATGATGCACTTTGCCTCTCTTTCTGTACGGACGAAGATCCTTATATGGATGTATCCTTATTTGGATGATTTATTTGATCTTACTGCTGCATCGGGGAAATGTCTTGAAAAGAAAGAGGAGCGGGGAACGACAAGGGCCGTGAAATCGATATAGGATGGATATCTAAATGTATTAAACCAGAAGTTCTTGTAAAAGAAAAAGAGCATCAACAGAGGTATAAAAACTCCAAAAAAAAAGAAAGAAAGAAAGAGACACGCAGATCGCGTTAAAGATCCTTTTTCATGAAAAGTCCATCGATCTAGGAGGATAACTTGTCTTCAGTCATCATTGCTTTTTTTGGTTCAAAGCTTCAAACAAAAGATCTCTTATGTACAAAGAGGAACATCATTTTTTTTCGTCATTATTTAATAAAATAAAAACAATGTAACAATGACTCTTCAAACTAGAGAGATTTTATGACATTTCACCAACGAAAACAAAAGAAAAACTGATGGATGTAGTGATGATACTGATCCTGACACTTTCAAAAAAAAAAAAAAAAAAAAACTTTTTGTATCGGCCTAATTCATCTTTGAGGTATAGCTTTAATTTTATGATTAAGGTTATCCTGGTACAAACGATACGTAAGGACAAATTTATCCAAAGCAATGGTAGCAGTGGCATCTATGCGTATATACATTGTTTTTTTTTTTTTTTTTTTTTTTTTTTTTTTTTTTTGGGAGGGAAGGGTGGATGAATATAAATACAGAGGATGTTTTGATTGTTTCGTTTTTTTTTTTTTTTGTTTCATTATCAAATTCACATAATTCAAAGCAAACCAAATATGAACTTTTACAACAACTCCTTCTTTGCCTTTTTCCTCTTGGTGGTGCTTGCTCTTTTTGGTACAACTGAAGCTTGTTATCGAGAAGATATTGCCTGCATCGTAGGCAATTCTGGCTGTTTACATTGGAACACTCAATGGTCTTGTCATCCTGATCCATCTGCCCGTCGACACCATACTTGTGGTTTCTGGGGAACTAGCGAATGCGATGGTTGCTGTGGACCATAAATACTTTACAAGTTTACATTTCTTGGTATTTCTTGGATCTTTTTTTTTTTTTTTGTTCCATCATTATTTCATACTGTAACCATATCCAATGTAATACCCTATCTTTTTTTTAAAAAATAAAATATGACAATATGATTGTCCTCTTTTTTTTTTTGAATGAATTTGTTTGTACGTGTGGATGGATTTTAGTTAGTATGCTAAAATATAAGGCTTCGATGTTTGAATCTATCATTTGTTTGTACGTGCGGATGGATTTAATTTAGGATGACTTAATATAAGGCTTTGACGTTTGAATCTGTCACTTGTTTCATCTGCATTATGCTTCAAACTAAAGTCTGTGTGGTTTTTTTTACTCTCCGTCCTTGACTTATTTTTTAGCTCTTTCCGTTTTCTCCTTTTCTTTCCTTTTCTTTCTTTCTTTCCTTCCTATGATCGTTGAAAACCAAAAGGTTGGTGTATGAAATTGTATTATCCAAATGTAATCAGATCGGGGAATGAGTCAAGGTAAGGTATCGGATTAATATTAACTTTTTTTTCTTTCTTTTCTTTTTAACAGTATCAATAATTTTTTATCAAAGTTAAACTTTGCAGGTCGAATGATGCCACAATAAGTATATACTTAGTATTTTGATAGGCTATTTGATCGATCTACATTATTGCCTGGAATCAACTGTCAATGGAAGATAAAGCCAACATATTTTATTAAAGGAACTCAATACAATGATGGATCAATTAGGATAGAAACCTAGTATAGTATACTCTAACATTTAGCTTATTGATTTTTTTTTTTGGATGATTTGTAAAGAATCTGTTAATAAGTAATATTTTAAAAGAAAAAGATAGGAAGATCATAGGGACGATCATCATGTTCAGGTGGCTGTGGTCATTGTGATCTGATTTGTCATGATCACTGCGGTCAAGTATGATCGTTTGGTGAATCTGGGGGAAAGGGGGGAAATCAGTTCATCATTATTTGTGGCAATGATGTGATACTTTGGTCTCCGATTATCTTTTTGTATGAATAATCCATGAGGACGCACAGACAAAAAAAAAAAAAAAAAAGAAAGGGGAAGGAAACGTTTAAGGTTTATTCATGAGTATTATTAAATCAAAGAAACGATGATTAAGCAATGATTGATGACAAAGAACTATTGAGAAAATGAAAACAAATAAAGTGTAATCTGATTATCTCTCTCTTAGTGGCAAAGAAACTATTTTTTAATATTTGGCGGAACAATAAAAAAAAAAGTTCTTAAGCCATCCTTTTTTTTTTTTCCTTTTCTCTCTCATATTTTTTTTTTCTTTTTAACCTTATCATGGGGATTCATATTTCAAAAATAGAACATAATACAACGAAATCAAACAGACCGACTACAACAACAAGAACCTCATCATCTATATATCCTTATCTTCTTAAATCTCATACTAATGGTAATGGTCGTCGTTTAGAATATGGATGTCTCTTACCTCAAGGCATTTACCCTTGTGCATCTTGCGATTATGATGCAAAAGCTGTACGTAAATTTATCAAAGCAGGACTTTTGGCACCTTTTTTTACTGGTAAGCAGTCCTATTATTCTTATTATTATTATATTGTTGAGTGGTGGGAAAAAAAATAACTTTTTTTTTTCTTTTTTTTTTTAGGGTTGAATGATCCTCCTTCATTGGTAAAACAAGTGATACCTATACCCCAACAACAGAATAACAACGATAATAATGATTTCAATGATAACAAAACTGTTGTACGAATACGAAACAAACTCAAGCATCGGTTATTATTATTACGATCATCAACTCCATGGTTAGATCAAAATTTGGATAAGGATACTATTGAATGCCCAATTTGTTTATTGGTATGTACTAAAAAAATAAAACAAGTGGAGAAAATCATTGATCATTGTACTCATCATATTTCTTTTGTTTTGTCCAATTTTCTATAGTATTATCCATTTACAAATTATACTAGATGTTGTGGTCAACCCATATGCACAGATTGCTTCCTACAACTCCGTCGATCGGACGAATCACCATTGGATCCAGCCGCATGTCCTTTTTGTGTGCAACCTAATTTGGGTGTTATTCATATTCCTCCTGAATGGAGTCAACAATATAAGGTAAAGTACTTTAAATATATATATACTGAATTAGATTTATTTAACAATTCCTATTATAGATATTCAAACAACAACGTATGGATATATGTATGTTATGGGAACCAGAAGAGGATGGAAATACAACCGGTAAGAAACAACGATGGAAGAAATTGGGTCCCAATGACCGACATGTAGTTTTGGTGGATCAAGTACGACCAAATTGGCAAGATCAATTTGATTTGACAGCACAACAACAACAACGTCGTTCTTTTTACGAGGTGGATCAGCAACGAAGGCATCGAAGACGGCTTTCTGGTACTATGGCTGGTTCTGGCACCACGCGAAGAATCATCGTTCGTCCTACCATTCAACCTACTTATACCGCCAGCTCCATGTAAATATAGTTTATACTTTTATTTTTATTTTTATTACCTACATATATATATTCTAATAATAAACACTGTCGATGAAACTTTTGTTGAAATCAAGTATTGATATATGTGGGTGTATTCACTATGATGGATGCCAGTGGCCTCATTATTTAATGTACAAGATTGTTAAAAGTTGAAAAGGTTGTTCAGGGCATTCCCTTTTTTTGGGGGGGGACGGCGGCATTCGAATTTGTGATAAGGAACAGAAGAGAAATGAGTACCTTAAAACTTGATGGTGATTGATGTAGTGACATATCTTAAGGAAGCTTGAAATGTCTATGGACAGGATCGTTCATGTTTATTTCAAACGTCATTCAATAATGATATAACAAATCATCAAAATATAATTTTTTTTTTATTATAAGATATGTCTTTGATATTCTAAAATGTCTATTACTATACCCAACTGGTCCATCCTTCGTACATTAAACTAAGATTGTCTATACTAGTAGCTTGTTCAATTGTCTTTGCCACTTGCTCGGCCACTGTCATAGTATGCATATGATTGTCCAACAATAGATCTTGATCTTGACCTTCCAGTTTCTGTCGCACTCGTTGCATAATATTCAAACTAGGATTATCATGATACACTGATTTGTCTAAAAATGATAATAAATAATGGCGAAATAAACATCTGCAAAAAATAAAAAAAAAAAAAAAAAAACTTACCCTTTCTAGATGTCAACAGTGACATCGTTTTCTCTTGACGATGTGTGGTGTCTTGTACTGTCTTTTGTTGTTGTTCCAATCCAAAGCTTTCCAACATGCGTAAAGTAGAATAGTATTGATCTAACTGTTCTATCACATCTTGTACCAAGATTGTCTAAAATTAAAAAAAAAAGTAAGATAAACTAGACCACTTTCTTTTTTTTTTTTTGATTTTACCAACTCAGTATAGGTATAACGATGCCGTCCTTCTAATTTATTGCTATTGATCTCAATAAATCGAAGCACATTTAAAATCACCTATTAAAAAAAAAAAAAAAAAGTCAATCCATCTTGAAAATAAAAAAGTAGATTGCTCGGATTTACCTTTGCACTTTCTTGAGCCACATGAATTTCATGATTTTCTTCTATTTCCAACATCCGGATGGCATCCAATAAGGGCACAAATTCACCCATGGTCCATGTTGTGTTTGTTTGGTAAGGTTGATGTAACTGGTCAAACACATGTACTAGTTGATCCTTCAGTTGATGTTGAATGAGTATTGGGACACGATCATGTTTTGTACCTGAAGATCCAGTATCATGATGATGATGATGATCTTCTTCGTCTTGTTCCCAATCGGAAGGCGGTGATCCACTCTTTTGTTCGTCCTTCATTTTTTCATTACTGGATAGTTTGTTGAGCTCTTGATTCCTTCTTCGATCTAATATAGTTTGATCATCATCATCCTGTTCTTCTTCATCATAGAATTCGTCATCATAGTCGTCATTGTCAAAGACATGATGATCCTCTTCTTCTTGTCGTTGTTGTTCTTGTTGCTGTTGTTGTTCAAGTTGTTGCTTGATTGTCGAAAGTTCGATAGCAAGAGATGCATGTTGAGCTTCAAAAAGAACACTTGTTTCAGCTGCAAGGAAAAAAAAAATGAATAAACTTGCATACAACAGTTAGTTTTCTATGTTACCTAAGCGAGCAGCCATCAATGATAATCCTGAATGTAATTCCACAAATTGACGTTCTTCCTTGATCACACCTTTGATTTCCGATCCTTGACGTTCCAGTTGGATATTGTGTTGTCTCTGTTGCCAATCTGCAAGTAAGGGATCAACCACAAACGCATCTTCCAATAATCCCATCCATAGATCTTTATGTTGTCGCATCACTCGTAATGTTTGTTCAGCCGCCGTACGGAAAATACCACCACCACCACTACTCGTGTTTTCTTCTTGCTGTTGTTGGATACCAGAAGTCAACCCAAGAGCATGGATCATATTTCTTGTTAAACGATAAGGTACCCGTTCAGGCACACGCAACGTCGTTCCTTTTTCAAAGCATACATTGTAATCAATATGAATCACATCCCCTGTCACATCATCCAATAACATGTTGTCCAAATGTCGATCACCCAATCCAAGGACATAACCAACCATCGACATCACCGCCATGGATCGTGCCAACCGGGTAGTCTTGTTCAGCCAATCTCGACTGTCTGTGCTGGTCCACCATATCGCCCTGGACAGTAGATCATTAGGTGTTTGTGCTGCGAGATCTTGGTATACTTGGCGAAGAATCGGTTCAGGCCAATGTCGGCGATTGGCGGTTACACGTAATCCTGCTGCTTTCATTGCCGCAAGCACTTTATCGATGTACTGTTCCGTAGCCCGTGGAATTGGTAATTTTTGTTGTTGTTGTTGTTGTTGTTGTTGCTGCTGTTGTTGTCGCTGTTGTTGTTGCTGTTGTTGTTGCTGTTGTTGTTGCTGTTGTTGTTGTTGATGGAACAACGTATTGAGATATTCACGTTTCTGCCAATTTTTATACAGTGCAAACAAAGGAGTGGCACGTTGAACCCATTGAAGCATACCGGAATGATTACTCATAGGAATCACCGCATAGGTCCTTGCAAATAGATGGCGGGCACGAGATTGTCTATCTTCTTTCAGTAACACATTGGTGGTATTCAGGAGCTGCATGATGCGTTCGTCTAGTTGTAAATCCTCCAATCCTTTGAATAAATATGTATATGAGGAGCCATCCGTACCATGAAAAGTCAGCTTCTTGGGCTTTGTCTTTGTGGGTAATACCATCATTGTCGAACTAAAATGATGAATCCGTACACATAATGTTTGGTCCAAACCTGGCATATACATACTTGTTCCTTGAAGACTAGCAAGATACGGTGATACCTGATTCAAGTTAAGCACACGAACTTTATTTGTTTCCATAGTAAGACGTCGATGAATCTAAAGAGGAATTATTAAAAAAAAAAATATTAGACATCATTTCAAATTAAATAACAAAGATAGGTTTACCTGTTGGAATCGATCCCATCCTTTTCGATATGTGTCCATAGATTCAGGTCGAGAAAGTAATTCAAATGCACGCCGGATCGGTTTGCCAAAGGTGAGATTGAACCAAGTTTCATGAGGAGTCATTGTAGTAGAATCAATTGTCGCGATCATCAATTGTTGGATCGAAGCAACAACGTCGCGCATAGCATTGGTGTAGGTTGTTTCAAACCCTTCGTTATTATTGGTGCTGCGAATCTTTTCAAGATATTCCCATTGATTCATGATATCCAGTTGTAGAGTCGAAATCCGATGAAGCCAAGTTTCTTCCCATAATACAGTGATTTTCTCCAGTTCTTCTGTCATTCGACGTGTTGCTGTCCACACATTTTCATCTTGTTCCACCGTTGTAGTAGTAGTCATTTCCATAATTTGTTGACCTTGTTGCTGGATCAACTGTTGAGTCATATCATCATCCATACCAATAGAAGAAGAAGAGGACATACCAACAATCACATTATATATCATATCGTGAGGATAGGCCTCAACCAATTTACTAATCCATTGCCCCAGCATTGATTTCACAAAAGTACTTGTATGATTCTTCAATCTTGAATAAAGCTGAGGGATAATTTGCTTCCATGCCAATAATTGTGATCGTTCCCAGCATGGTCGTTGATGCATTTCTGTTTCGAACGCTGATTGTAAAGCTTCACCATATTGTACGAGAATTTGGACTAGGCGTAGTGTTGATAACATCATCATGGATGAAGGTGACGAAGACGATGTTGATGTATTGTCGCTACCAATAAGGTCTAGGTATCGGAAGTAAGCTGCCAAGGCTGATTGAAAATGATCCAAAAGAATGACTTGTAAACGATCCAAAGGTGCTAACAGTGCAGTGATCGTAGAGATGGGGAAGGAGCCTAGAGAGTCATACTGTTGTATTTCATTCAATACCTTTTTAGATTGTGTAAACTTGTTACTGGTTTCCATTTCATTCAAAGCTGCCAAAGGAGAGTACGTCTTGAAAAGATGCCATAAAAACTAGGAAAATGGTAAGAATATAAAATCAAGTCAGTCATTCCTCTTTTTTTTTTTGGATATCCTCTTTTTCAATTATGATGTTACCTTTTCTTCTTCTTGGTACAAATTAGATGTGGTAGAAAGTGCATCTTTCTCTTTTGAAATCAAGTCCAACCAAGTTTCGCGTATGGATTGAATAACACCAGATATCGATCGAGTCGTGGAATCTGGTTGTTGAAGTATATGATGAATATCGTCTAAAAGCATGCAGGCACGTTCATAATGATAAGTTGCATAAATAAACCATGGTGTTGCCCACGAATCACCACTTGTGTCGATTGATTTCTGTAACGTCTCAAGCACACGTTGTTGCCATATAGAAGTGTCATCTAATCCTTGAGACTGTTGTTGTTGTAGATGGGCTAATTTCAGGTACATCCGACTTGCAAGACGCTGTTGCTCAAGATCTTCTGCTTGATCGCGGGTAATGGTATCAATCAAAGTATATAAAGCTGAGCATGTATCATTATTGGTAATTGGATGAGGATCACCACCAGCTAGAGCCAATTTGATTTTTTCATATTCAATCAGATGCTTCTTGTTCCTCGTGACGACTGGGGATGTTGACGTGTCCAATAATGTTGATAATTTGCTAAGATAACGCGAAGCAGTCTGGTAATTGTGTTGTTTCCTAGCCACATACGCTGTTGCAAGATATATATCATAGAGTGTAGATGACATGTTGGCATTTGGAACTGCGGATGTAGTGGTGCTGGTGATGGCATTGGAAAGTCGTATCCAGAGTTTGGTATCAGGTAGTGTCGAACAGTCGTATCTTGTTAATCCCATTGATATGTTTGATTGCGTCCATTCCATAGCAGCTCGTTGTATTTCCATATTACCTTGTTCAAGCTGTAATTCAATAAGCTGTGTACGACTATGTGTAAAGGCCAATGTATCGGTATACTCCTCTTCTTCTTTTTCAAGGCAGGTCAATAGGCGATGGCAAATCGAGTTGGAGAATGTCTTGTTGTCGGATACGTTTAAAGTCGCTTTTCGAAATTCATTTAATCGGGCAATTTGCATCATTGTTTCCAGGTTGCAGTTGTCGTTGAGTTCGTGTATCAAAGTTGGCATGCTAGTCTCGGTGACCGTGTTGGACCCAGTAAAATCGATCAACTTTGTCGAGATGTTAGTGCTAAAGAGGTAAGGGTAGGCTTGGCATACAGATTGAATGGCATCATAATCCTCCAGTGATGTATAAAAATGAAGCGCCTAGAGAAAAAAAAAAAAAAAAAAAAAAAGGAGGAGAAACATTTGAGTTCCATTTTTCAAGTAGATCAGATATATCATTGATTTCACTTACTTTTCCATGAAGCATATCTAGAATATCATGACTATCTTTATGTTGCTGATTATTGTTCATCACTGCAGTATCAAGTTGGGACAACAGCTGAATTGCTTTTTCGTCGCATCCCTATAAGAAAGAATCGTGAGAGAGAAAGTAAAAAAAAAAAAAAAAAAATAGTCAGAAACGAGATAGATAGGTTAACAATATTGGTGACTTACCATGGCAAAGTAGGCAGCAACTTGAAACCAAGAAACACTCGCTTCATCTTTTGTATTAAGCAGTAAAGGACCAACCAATCCAATAAAACACCAGGATTTGTTCAATAATTCCACTGATTTATTTGCACTGTTGACATGGTGTTGATACCAAGATTCCAAACCCAATATACTGTCTTCTAATCCTTGGCGAATGCATACAGAGACTATATCAATGACATATTTGTTGATTTTCTTGAAAAAGCCCAATGCAGAATCGATGGAACAATCCGACAATGATGATTGTGTCCATGGAGGTGTTTGATCCGATAAGTATGTAAAAGCTTGTTTCAGAAACATGGTATCCCAGTCCAATTTCTTTGCACCTTGAACTATGAGAGGCCGTATTCTGGTAAAATAATCTTGACATGTTTTTCGATTGGTGTGGAAAAAGGTGTAGCTTGCTTTGGGTACCATAGGAATAATGATCATTTCACTGCTATTGTTGCTATTATTGACATTGGTATTTCCTTCCGCCGCATTGTAAATTTGAATTTCCAGTCGCTCCAATAAATTTAACAACTCATACAGTGATTCCTTATGGCTAGTTGATATTGCACCAGTAGTTGGACCATCCACCAATTCAATTAATTTTTTTTCAAACGCTGCAAATGTCTATTAAAAAAGATAAATGAATATATGTGAGTATAATTTTACAATAATTTTCATTTGAGTACCTGTTGAGGACCACCAAAAGGAGTACGTAGTCTTGATAAAATACAATAACGCGAACATTCCCACATGGACCAGTAATAAAGTAAAGATCGAGACCCGTTCATCAAAGCTGTCATTTTTGTTTCATCCAAATCTACACAGAAAAAAACAAGAGAATGAATTTATTTTCTTTGATCTTTTTCTTTGAGATATCTTTGTTTTCATTTACCTTTCAAAAAAGTCGGTTGAATACTTTTCATATATTGAATCCCACCACATGAATGGAATAAACGACGAATCCAATCGAATGAAGTATCATGACTATTGACCAGGCCATTCTGATCATTTGTTGATGTAGTACTCATTTCACTTGACTGACCTGCCATAAGAAACGATTGCATACCAAGATGTTTCATGACTATTTCATAGTGGACAGGTCGAAAGGTACCAGTATGAGGTGTCGCCATCATCATTGCCTTTTATAGGTTCGATAGATAGAGAAATCAAAAAAGAAAAAATTATCAGTTCACGTTCTATTAATCATTGTGATTCATGGTTACATTACCTTGAGAGTTGTCATGATCCGATGATTGTCTTGTTCTACAGTACCATCAAGAGATGTCATGATAAATGGATTTAGAGACTTTAGAAGGTGTTGACTTTTACTTCGTACGGATTCCGAAATGCTGTTCATACTATAAATAAAATAAAAATGTGAGTTAAATGATAAAATATGACGTGGAGTAAGACTTTTACCTGTTTTGTAAGTGATATACCATCCAAGCAGGACCTATTGTGTTAGCCAACATAGAAGAGCCATATTTCTTGCAAAATAACATCAAACAATCAATCATTTTTCCTTTGACGTGTGGACTGGTTTCATAGGCAAGGCGTGTCATCATTTCCGTCAAAAACACCGGTTGTAAGACTTTCTCAGTGGATGTTCCGACATGATTCATCAAAAAATCACAATACCGTAGAAGGGAATGTTTGGCATGAAGCGAAAGTGCAGGCCAATGACCATGAACCATATCTTGTAATAAGGTAGCCTGATTATCACCCATCATTGCCGCTGCTGCTGATGGTGATTCTACTTTGGTAAGCAAACAAGTCCAGTATCGAAGTAACATATCCAATGTTGTATCATATTGATCGTAATCACCAGTTTGCCAAAATGCCATCATCACTGCAATCACTTGATTTTCATGTTGATTTCTGATCTTGACTACAAAGTCCATTTGCGTGTTGTCGTTTGCTGTTGAAATCACTTTTAATGCCGACGCTGTATCCAGTAACAAGGTGCAATAAATATTTGTTTCCAAGCAAGGAGTCTTGACCGCCGTCTGTTGGTCTTGTTTGGACGTATATCCTAATGCCAACCACTGAGTGCTGTAGGTAAATAAGTAAGATGGATCGCACATATCGATGATGAGCCGTAATACTAGGAGAACACCTTTTCGGGTAAGTTGCCGTTTATTTTCAAGTAGGGCGAAAAGTGGAGATACGTTGACATCTAATAATTCATGTAATATATTTTGATCTGGCGTACTTGATTTCCAACTATCAATCATCTATACATGCGAAATAAAAAGAATTACTAACTATCGTTCTTTGTTCTTTTCTTTCTTTTTTTTTTCTTCTCCTTACCTTTAAAAGATATCCAATATAAACTTCATCGTTCATAGAAGGTTTGCCACGTTGAGCAGTGATATAATAGTAGTAGGAATGTTGAAGAGGTTGTATGGTATATTGCCGAACAGAGAATAACAAAAGTAAGATGCGATTTGCTATAAAATAGAGAACTGATCAGTCAATCATTCGTATTCTTCCACTGTTCTCTTTCTTCTTACATTGATCAAACCAAATTTTACTAGGTTGTTCTTCGAGTTCCAAAACTTGTAAGAATAACATGACAGTATCCGATCTAAGTTGATCAAATGTTGAGGTAAGAGGATGATGTTGACCCAAGGATGGTATCCAAGATACAATGACTTGTAAGAGAGAATGAAAACAACTATGATCAAAAGGAGTAAATAAAATAAAATCAGATTTTTTCTTTCTAGGATTATTTTTTTTCCCTCCTTTTCTCTTTTTTACCTTAAGAGTCTATCACAAGTTGGCCAAAGTTCTTCATCCAAGGATTTTTCAGGTTGAATTTGTTGTAATCGGGTATACAAATCATGAAGAAAGTTTTGTAATAATTCAAATCCAAAAGCCAATGTCATTTGCCAATAAGGAGTATAGTTTTGAAATGAATCTAAAACAAAGAAGAAAAAAAATCAAAATCTTGTTACTAAACCAAGAAGACATTTTTATTTTTATGTTACCTTGTATCAATTGTCTATCTTGATCAGTCACATCAGGATCAAGATACCAGCCAACCAATAAACCCACTACATCTTGAAATTGGGACATAAACGTATTGCTGTAATAGTGAGCGATGCTGGATAACACTGTTAAAACATGATTCAATTGATTTATTGCTTCGGTACTATCCAAGAAAATCACCAAACTACCCATCACTGATACTGATAAGTCTTGTAATTGTCGTTGAGTATATGGATCCATTTGAGCATGAACAATAGTCTAAAATAAACGTAAAAAGAAAAAAAGAAAAAAAAACAAAGGTATCAATAAAAGGGGTTCAAATTGCATACAGACAGAAAGTACCTCTTGTAATATCAACAACAACCACATCTTGTATTCAGAAGAAGACATATTTGACGTTTGTTGTTGTAAAGGATTGTTTAATCGATCCAAAACCCAGGCCGTCAAAAGATCCAAACGAGTATAACAAGCGGCAGCGGCAAGGATACGTACTAAGCATTCTTTCAATGTAGTCGGTAAAGTAGGATTGGCTAATAAGATATTGAGTCGCTGTTCAGAATAGCGCGTACATGTTTCGACTATTTGCATCATATCTTGACGATGCCATTGTATCACTCCTGTTTTACTAGCTTCCTCAATGAATTGATCCAATTGTTGAGCATACTTCGTCCGTTGGTCATTTGAGAGATGATGATCAGGCGTTAATACTGTTTCGAGTAGATCAATTGAGCCTAGATTTGCATTGCTTGCATTTCGGCTTGTCATATGTAGCACTATAAAACAAGTAGGAATTAAAGCATAGATATGAATACATATTTCTTGTAGATAAAAAATAAAAAATAAAATGTATGTATCTTTTTTTTTTTTTCTTTTTTCATGTAATATTATATTTACTTTGTGAGCGTGACGAATCATACTGTAGTTGCCGCTGCTGTTGTTGTTGTTGTTGGTGGTGGTGATACTGCTGTTGTTGGTGAGGTCGATGTTGCTGCTGCTGTTGTTGCTGTTGTTGTTGTTGACGTGGTGGTCTAGGTTGATGATGAGTATATCCTGTATTATTCCCAAAGGGATCGGGTTTTACATTATATTCCATGCAAATATTGTGTGCGGCAGCAAATAGCAAAAAAAAAAAAAAAAAAAAAAATAAAAAAAAGGCTGAATAAAGAAGAAGAGTTGACAATTTTAAAAGCGCAGATTTTTTTTATATATTGTATTTTTTTTCCAGCGCAAACACGCAGAGTCAGAGCACTATTTACAAGACTGAATAAAAAAACAAACAAATAATTGTATAAATGCATATATTTTTATATATATTTGTTATATAAAAGATGGGGGGGGGGTAACTAATCAAGTAGAATCTACTGCTAATAATAATGATACTAATAATAATAAGAAGAGTAAAAAAAAATAATAATAATGATAATGATAAAAATGGATCAAAACTAATAACTAAAGTATATAATATGTAATCAACAGCATCCACCACCACCAGAAGAAGCATTACCAGAAGGAAGTGACGAATTGCCTTGAGAGGGAGCTAATTTAATACCATTCGATTCGCTTGATAGATCGATATCCCCACTTTGAATCTTCTTTTGAATAGTATGTGCTGTTTTGACAAAAGCTTCTTCCACATTATCAGCTGATTTAGCAGATGCTTCCAAAAAGAATAGATTGTTATCCTTTGCGAATTTTTCTCCTTCTTCCCTTGATACTTGACGTTTACTTTCCAAATCACTCTTGTTACCGATAACCATGATGACTGTATTTGGGTTGGCATGTTCACGTACATCTAAATGTCATAAAAAAAAAAAAAGATATCAATACCCTCCTTTCGCAATTATCCTTTCCTATTTACCTTGTAACCATGTTGACAAGTTTTCAAAAGTTTCACGTCTAGTAATATCATAAACTGTAATAAAGGATATACATTAGATGAGACTGCGCCAAAGAAGGGGAGGATGAAACACTTGTTTTTCTTACCTAATAGGGCTCCAGCAGCACCTCGATAATAACTACGAGTAATAGTTCGAAATGATTCTTGACCAGCCTATAGATATAATACCATAAATTTTCCTAAAAAAAAAAAAGACAAGGTAAAAGAGTTCAACTTACAGTATCCCAAATTTGTAATTTGATTTGTTGGTCATTAACAATGACAAACCGGGTACCAAAACCAACACCAATGGTCAAATCGTGAGCTGGCATGAACCGTTTATCCGTAAACTGTAAGAGAAGACAAGACTAAATAAATATAAAACGAGTAGTTAATATACAAGTTACTTTTTATTTTTCGTCATTTACCTTTCCAACACCTTCATAATGAATAAAATAAATAAATAATAATAATAATACAAAACATGCGGATTAGTTTCTTCTCTACCTCCTGTTTATTCCTTCTTTTTTTTTCTTCTTTTTCCTTTTTATACTTACCAGTGTCTCCGATAATGATATACTAAAAATTGTTAATCCATGTTAGTTTCATCAAGTAAACATACACACACATAGGTCATGGTTTGTTTTTTTTTGAATACAAATAAACATATACCTTTGTGTTTCTTTTTTATTTTTCATTCTATAATTCATTTTTTTTCTTTTACCTTGATGATATAACTATAAGCGTAATTCGACATTAAAAAAAAAAACAACTAAATATATATAAAAGAAAAGAAAAGAAAAAGAAAAGGAAAAGGAAAAAAAAAAAGACAGGACAACCAAAAGGGTTTTCCCAATGATCAATAAAACCCACGTGTGATATTCAGACGCCGCTGAATACTGCAACTTTTGTGCGAACGGTATCAAGCAACCCTAACATCAATGCACCGTTCCAACTATGATACACAAGAAAAAGTAAATAAAAAGAGAATGAAATTTCATTTTTCATTATAAAGAATAATAAAATCATAAGAGTTTATTTGAGTAGATGACAAATAAGTAATATACATAATTAACTAATACGACCAACTACAAATACAATAATAAAATAAATACATTTGAAAGTAGCAATTTTTTTTTTCTTTTCTTACCTTGATATAATATCTGGACGATGAGCAACAAGAATGGCTGCAGTTCCAAGGCCAACAGCACTGACGAGGATCATTTTCCAAGGAGGTGAAGAAGAATAGGTGAGGAAAGGAGGAATCATGTTGATTGACTTTGATGATTTGATCACGTCTAAATTAAGAGGCAAACGATCCAAAGGAGGTAAAGTTAGAACATCACAAGCTTGAGTTACCCATTCTTCTACATTATTTTCAAGTAGCTGTTGATATTGCTGTTGTTGTTGATGATGATGACGTTGTCTTGAAAGATAGATACTTGTTGTGGAAAACAGAAGAGAGTGGTGGGTATTGATGGAGGAGACTTGATCAAGAGCAACATTACCATACTTTTGAACCAATAGAGGATTCCATTTGTTTTCTAAATCAACCATCCATTTTATCCATCGTGTCACGTCTAAATGTCGTTGTTGTGGTAATTTGGAAAGATAACTGTGAACAGTACTGGGATCGTCCATTGAGAAATGGTTGAGAATGGTATCACGATGCATCATGACCAATGCTGCTGAGGCGTAAAGGGGCATCATTGGATTAGAGCTGAGGAATACGTCGAATAATTGATAGATGGAAGGTAAATCATCGAGATCGTGACTGAACCAAGTGATTACCCAACTAAGACAATAATAAGGAAGAACACCCGTCCTAACAATAAATAAAGTTATTAGTTAATAATCAATATAAAATAGATATAACTTGTTACATTTGAAGAAATTGATGTAGTTCTTCATCTTCTAATCTGAATAGGGTATCCAATAAAGTAAGTTCTCTTAGAATAGGTTCAAGAGATTCTAGCATCGCATCTGTTCATTATCGCCACAAAAAAGAAAAATATGTTAAGGACAAAATGAAATAAGTGATCAACTTTACATATGCATTGAAAAATGATAATAATAATAATAATAAAAAAGGATATCTGAGATAAAATAAAGCAACATGACCCATTAGTTGACTTGCTCCTTCCTGACTTTCAAATAAGAGTAAGAAAACTGTACATACATCATGGAATCCCTAAATCAAGAAACAAATGAAATCAAGTTAGAAATAGATTTATTTCTATTCTGAATCGATTACCTGATAATAATGTAACTTCGGATATTTTCGCAATACTTGAACAATCACGTGGTTGAGTTCTTTTTGAAGTTTTTTCTTTTTCTTTTCACTTAAACCTATGGATAATAAATAAAAAAAAAAATTAATATTATAAATCATTTTAATTTTATATATATATTACCTTTTGGATATGTACCAAGTGATCTTGCCACATCTAAAAGCACTTGTTGTTCGTCTTTATGCGGCACTATGATTAAATCAAACGTGATGATGATGAGGGCGGAGAATGGAAAAAAAAGAAGGATGACTGGAAGGTAGTAATCATACTTACTATAGTACTTTTTATTCTGTTTATTCCATTGAGGACAATGTAATAATAATGGCCTTTCATATATGAAAATAAAAATAATAACAATCAATATAAGTTGAAGATTGAAAAAGTAGTTTTTTTATCCTTACCATACTTTTCGACGTAAAGAGTTTGATACAAATCCATTAGGTTGGCGTCCAAGAAGTCTTAGTTTGTCAAGGTCTTGTATCTGAATAGCTTCCAAGATTTCGTCTTTTTTTCTTTGTTCCTGGAGTTCATCCTTGTCGTATTCTAGTTGTTGCTGCTGTATCTTGTCTTTCTTACCTCTTGTGGTTTGTTTCTTTTTTTTTCGTTGCCGTGCCATTGTAATGAAAAAGAGAAGAAAAAAAAAGCGGAGTGCTTCGAGTCCAATTTTTTTTTTCTTAACCTCCCATTTTTGTAAAAAAAAAAAAAAAAAAAAAAAAAAAAAAAAAAAAAAAAAAAAAAAATCGCGGCTTTCTTCCTCTTTTTTTTTTTTTTTTCTTTTCAACTTTTCCCCTCTAGACAACATATAATGCGTACCTTGGTATTACTATCGCCTATATTACTCAGTACTTTGTATTTATTTAATGTCACTAACGCGCAACAACAACAAGAAGAACGCTTTGATGAACAATTAGAATTGACCACTTTACCTGATGGTAAACTTTTGGCACATTTCGAGTTTACCACACATGTTGAAGCAAGTACTACAACGGATGCCTCAAGTAAGTAAATCATGTACCATTTATCAATAATATTCTCTTGTTTTTATTTTTTACTGATATAACATTATTAGTACTTGATTATAGTCTATTTCCCAAAGTGATTGGTCAAGTACTCCAAACCTATCAAGTACGTGATATGCATCTGACTTTTACACAAGGACGCTGGTTATATGAAGAATGGGGTTATCCACCATTATCGTCCTCAGGTACTGGAGTAGAACTATGGGCTTGGATGAATGATTCTGGAAGGTAAATCAACTTTAAATGGGAATATCATTTTTAACGTTTTTTTTTTTTTTTTTTTTTTTTTGATAGTGTGGATAAGAACTGGAAATCGTTGACAAATGTATTATCCGGATTATTTTGTGCATCTTTGAATTTTATCGATGAAACTTTGACAAATGAACCAAGATTATCATTTCGTCCTGAACCCATCAAAGGCAACAAGGATAATACCACTACTACTTTTTACAATGATAATTTGAATGACACAAGGTTACGATATGGCGCTTTACCTCATGAAAATGTGTGTACTGAAAATTTAACACCATGGATCAAATTACTTCCGTGTAAATCCAAAGTAAATTCTAATTACTTTTATGATATATATATATATATATATATATGACTCAACCATTTCTTTCTTTTTCTATCATTTAGGCTGGCGTTGCGACATTATTGAATGCTCACAAGATATATAACTCCAACTTTCACTCCATGTCAATTCATGCAGCTTCTATATGCAAGGTAATCATAATAAAAAAAGATCCTTTGTATCAGTCTTTTTTTTTTGATGATTTATATATATATATATATATAGGATCAAGATTGTACTGAACGAATACTACAATTGAAACAAACTGTCACTTCTGTTATGGATCCTGTCAGAGAAACAAGCCGTAGAGATTGGTCCTTATCTTCTATATTTGATCGCCAAGTCTCAGGATCTTGTCCAATGGCAAAAACAAGTCAAGTCAAGGTTATCACTAAAGAAGCAGCGTCATCTTATCAATTACAACCTCCTCCTATCAATACAATCACTATTGAATCAACACCGCCTTCTTTCTTGGCCCTTTATGACCTGCATCAAGGTAAAAGAGAAGAAGAAGAAACAGAAAAGATAAAGAATTCAAATACTCATATGGTTCTATTTTTGAAATAGTATCATCAAATGAAGAATTAAATATTAGAATGACATGGCCCGAATCTGTATTTGAATACCGTAAGTATACACGTATTGATATCATTTGATCCTTAGTGCTTATTCTTTTTTTTTAATATTACTTTAGCACTAGAACTTCATTCGAAGCCATTGGTAACTGCTCATCGATATTTTACGGGATATGGTCAAGAACATGGTGGATTACGCATTACTGTACACAATGATCATCCTGAAGAACATGTACCTGTAACATATTTTGATTCCATTCCATGGTTCCTTCGACTTTATCTCCATTCACTCAAAATACAAATCAATCAACAAGGAAAGAAGATGGATGAAGCAGGTAATTTAGATAGTTAGTGATCACTTGATTTGTTCTAATAATAATTCTTCGTATTAGATATCATTCAAGATATGTTTTATCAACCTGGCATTGATCGATCTCGACCCAATGTATTGGAATGTCAATTATTACTTCCTCCTCAATCTGTGGTAATTTTGACAATTGATTTTGAAAAAGTATTTTTAAAATATACAGAACATCGGCCTGATGCGAATCGAGGTTTTGACGTGGGGTAAGAATTATTTGATGGAAAAAGAAATGAATCATTTTTTTTAATGGGTTTATTTATTTATATAATATATGAAATTAAGATCTGCTGTGATAACTGTATGGGATAACAAGAGTCATGAACTTCAGTAAGCAAGAAAAAGAAAAAAAGAAAAAGAAAAAGGAATATGTATATTAACCACTCTTTTTTTTAATAGGACAAGGATATATACTGATACATTATTAGTTAGTCTTCCTACGCCTGATTTTAGTATGCCTTACAATGTGATTACTTTGACTTGTACTGTCATTGCTTTATTTTTTGGTTCTATCTTCAATTTACTTATTCGTAACTTTGTAATGGTGGATGACAAGGAAGATTAATCTAATATTATGCATATTACAATAATAATAAAACAATGGTTTTTTAGAAAAAGAGATTTTACTAGTTGGTTTTGAATCTCCGTACGTGATGCTTTTTTTTTTTTTTTTTTACATTTTACGATTTTTTTTTTTTTGTATTCTTTGTCTTTTTTTTTCCCAAACTAGATCCCATTCGTGTCTCTCTTTTTTTCTTTTTTTTTTTCTTTTCTTAATTCTAACAATAGCAATGCAAGACATACAGATGAACTTGGACTCTAGTCATCATGGAACTATTGTAGCTGAGGTACTGGCTTTACTAATATCTATTACCGATATTGATACATTACGCAACAGCGACATGAAAGCACGACTCGATAGTTTGACATATGAAGAACTATCCTCTTCCTCAACAGAAACACACCAAGTTCACAGCAATCAACAGTCAATGGGTATATCTACCAGTGATGATCCCTTAACTATACTTGATCCTACGATCCATAGTTTGGGTTACATGTATTTCATGTAAGTTTACATTTAATTGTGGGGTAAAAAAAATAATAATAATGATATAAATATTATTACAAGAAAACAAGACTCTAGAATATACACTAATCTATTTTTTTTTTTTTTTGGAATAGTACTGCACGATGTCTCAAAGCAACGGATCAACAAACGACTTTATACTTGTACAACACTCTGAATCAGTTTGCGAATGTAGCAGATTTGGAACAATTGAAATTGGCTGGTCCATCAAGTAAAATACTCTTATAGATTTGATTTGATTTTTTTTTTATGTATAATGGTGGATGTTGATTTTTTATTATTATTATTATTATCATTTGGAAATAGTGGAACGTATTGTCATGGCCTTGGATCATGTAGCCAAGATTCAAAATAATGTAAGATCAGTGATAAAAAGTGAACATAAAAAAAAAAAAAAAAAAAAAAAAAAAAAAAAAAAACTCATCCTATTATTCTTTTGTATAGGAATTACTGCCTTTGGTGCCACTTTATATCTTGATTACTCGATTATCATCGTCTGATACCACGGCTAACCTCAATTTATCTAATGGCATCTTGACCATTTTCCATCCAGCGTTAGCCAAACAATGTATCCTATCCAAAATGTATAGATACCCTTTATCCATATTGAACCATGATATTGTAAATGTAGATCCAGAGGTAAGAAATAATAATAATAAAAAGGTAAATCATTATGTCTAATTATCATTATTATTTAGACATACGGAACGACCATTCAACATTATCTTTCCTATCATTATTATGGAGGCATTCTTTATATTGGCAACAAAGAATTTGAAAAAGCATTTGATTTCTTCTCTTTGGTGGTATCAGCTCCTACTCAAAAAGCCGTTAGTGCCATTCAATTGGAAGCATACAAACGATATATCTTGGTATCTTTAATCCGTTATGGACAAGTAAGTAACTTCAACAATTATAGATATTTTTTACATTGAAAAATGTTATCTTATAGGTTTGTACGTTACCTCGATATGCATCCAATGCAATTGAAAAAATCATCCGGAAACGACATGCCCCTTATTTGAATTTGATGAATGCATTTGATGATATCAAGAAACTTATCTCTGTTATTCAAAAACATCATCAAGTGTTTGATTTGGTAAATTGGAAAAATTGGATCATTGATGGAAAATCTGAATCTATATTTATTATAAATAGGATGGTTTATTGGGATTGACAAAACAACTCATTCAAGCCAGTTATAGGCAAAAAATCAAAATGCTTACCAAGGTTTATGTCAAAGTTAAATTGGATGATATCTATGCTCAGCTCTCCGGCGATACTCCTCCTTCTCCTTCTACATCCTCTTATTTACTTTCCAAATATCAAGTCGAAACACTCCTGGTGGATATGGTAAATAATAATAATAATAAAAAATAGATATGGATATAATAAATTCATTATCTATTTTTTTTTTCATCATCATAGATTGGCAACAATGATATTCAAGCTAGTATATCGATTGTTTCTATGGATAATGGTTCTCAAGTCAAGATGGTTCATTTTGATGAAGAACAAGGATCTGTACCTTTCTCTGATCAACGTTTAGAACAAGCCATCATCAACATTACACGTATCAATGATCAACTATCAAAAGTTGATCAACGAGAAGGACTCAATAAGGACTTTCAAAGCAAGGTAAAAAAAAAAAAATCAGGAGATGAGCCATGAAAAAAGGAAAAAGTTTGTTAATTCATTTTTTTCTTATTCTTTTTCTTCTTTTATAGTATATGGTGTTAAGCGCCAATGGCGGTCAACTTGCCTCTTCCTCTTCTGCGTTTGATGAAGATATGGATGTTCCTCTGGATGAAGATACCAAAAGATATATGTAGTGGCAGTCGTTTGTACTATGATTCCTTAGATGTAGACCCCATAGTTAGTCCTTCCATACATTTTACTTTTTTTTTTGGTAATAAAGCTTTCTTTTTTTTCTTTGCGAATAAGAGTTTATATCTACAGCATGGTTTCTTTCAATCGATGATGATGATGATGTGTGATATGATCCACCTATGTTTTGCCTGTGATAATGTCTGTATAAAAAACTTCCAGTACTGCAATAAACGATCCTACGATACTTCTTCCATTTTTGATGACCTTTGGATAAATAGATAAAATGATGTATAGGATGATTCACAAGATGAATTATTCTATTTGAGTGTATATGGGTTTTGTTCTTTATTGAATGAAGAATAACAAATAAATCAAAAAACAAAAGTGGTATCACGACTATAAAAAAAAATGCAGTATGTATGTATCTATGTATATATGAGTAGTCATTGGAGAGATATTGAGTGGACAATGATGAAGTATAGGAATGAATAATAAATAAAAATAAATTACAAATGTCTAAGATTTTTGTTGTTGTAATTCATCCACAGCTAAGGCACCTGTTTTAACACCTAAAAAAAAAAATGAATAGTATTAGTAATTTGTTTGATCAAAAACTTTATTATACTTACTTTCACTGAGAGGAGGAGCAGATTTCACCTTTTTCTTTTTCTTGATCTTTGGTTCTTTGCTGGATGGTTTTCGTATCACACTAACAGGTACAGGAGATTTGTGGACCAAAAAGGTAGAAATAGAACCCATGAATAATCTAAAATAATAAATAATTAAGTCATATCATTCTATCTATATATAATATACCTTACCCTTTCACTGAGTTTCGTCCTCGGCTACCACATACCACCAAGGTCAAAGGTAATGATAAAATCATGTTATATAATACGTCCTTGATTCTACCAACAATAGTATATGTCCTAACTTTGATGTTAAATAATAACATTTGTCCTAGAACTGACTTGGCCATTTCCGTCACCTTTTCCGACCCCATTTTCAACTAAATAAAAAAGAGATTAAGTACTATTTATTCCTATATGTCAAAAAAAAAAAAAAAAAAAACTTACTTCTGATTTGAGGGAGAGACCAGCTTTTTTGACAGCATCAGGATTATCTTCACGATTGACAGCTGCCACAATATGTAATTCATCCCCATCACGCATCATAGTGCCCATGACCCATTCCATAGCATAAAAACTTTCATCGGAGAAATCACAAGCAACCATATAAGCACGAGAACGTCTTCGAGGAGTCATATCTTCCTCATCCAATAACATAGTTCCTGTGGATCCAGCGCCATACATCATGGTGACAATATATCGATCGTTCTTTTGTATCAAGCTAGGTTCGGAGAAGACCAAAAGTTGTTTGCCACGTTCACCTTTCCTTTTGGTGGTAGAAGCTCGGCGTAATTGAGATTTTTTGGAAGAAGGACTACTGGTATCGGGGGTCATATCTTGCGTAAAAGGTATATGTTTGTTGGCTTCTGTGGTTTGCCATAAACGTTCTTGTTGGATCAGATCTTCCTCATCCTCATCGGAAGAAGACGGTGATGATAAAAAGACTTCCCGTTCATCAGTTGGTGTTTGTTCATCTTCAGATGATAAGAGAAGAATGTTAGGATCGGGTTTATCTTGAATAATGGCCGGTGATACCAAAGGTGTTTCAAGTTTGTTCAAATGTTGCATTTCTTGTACAAGTGTCTCATGGTGTTGATCGGATGTATGTACCGGTTCTTCCGTCGTTAAAGGATGTTGACCAGAGTAATGCATCAATGGTTGTGAATTTTGTTTTAAAAAAAAAAAAAGAATAAAGAAAAAAGACACAAAAAAGAATAGAAACAAAAAGGGAAAAAAGCAGAAAATTTTTTTTTCTTCTTCTTTTATTCTAAAAAGGTAGAACTTTTCATGATAAGAAAAAGACCAGACTCGGCCGGAAGCCAAAAAACCTACACAAATAGGATCATCGCATTTCCTTACCATGCATTAAACCACCGCTGTTTTATTTCTTTATTTGGTCGATTATATTGAAAAAGAACGGGCCATCATCCCATTTTGTTTCCATCCATTCAAACTCCATTCAGTTCCTATCTGATGTCTCTTTTTTTTTTTTTCTTTAAAGCCATTGTTTAATTAATGGTAAGGGAATAAGTCTTATATGTTATTTATTATCATATTGTATTTCTGCATCATACTCGGATAAGAATTTTCCCATCATATTTTTGTACGTCGGTCATCCCGATATCATCACCTGTCATACTTCATCAAGTATTACCGTAAAAGTATATTAGATATATATATATATATATATAAAGAGGAATGATTTTTTTTTATTCAGGTAACACGAATCATTTTTTTTTTTTAAGAAAAAAAAAAGAAGACAAAAAAAGTATCTAAAAAATAATAATAACCTAATCTAGAGTTGAGCCAATTTTGATTTGAGTGTAGCAACCATTTCATCACGAGTAATAGAAATACCACCACCTTGAGATTCATCTTTAGAGCGCATATCCTTGATCCTAACCAAACCTTTTTCCAATTCATCCGTACCAATGATCACTGCTAAGGGAATATGATCCTTTTCACACACTGCAAATTGCTTGTCCAATTTGGGTTTGGTCTTGAACATAAAGGATGCCTTGATATCATTATCCCATAATTCCTTTGCCAATTGCATACGTTCTTTCAGTAAAGAATCACCAACAGAGATAACGTACACTTCCGTTTCATTGCTCTTGATATCTGCACTTTGTTGTTTAGCCATCAAGATAGAGAATACACGTTCAACACCAATAGAGACACCAACACAAGGGATCTTCAAATTGGGTTCTCCCTTCTTGTTCGTACCACTAAACATACCCACCAAGTTGTCATATCGTCCACCAGCCGCAATGGATCCAACACCCACAGTAGATTCATCTAATTCATCTTCTTCACCATTCTTATTCTTCTTTTTCTTCTTGTCATCTACGACACCATCTTGTTCTAATAAATATAAAAAAAAAATTAGCTTGTTTCCTCTATTTTTTTTTTCCTATCAATGAACTTACTGGGTGGAGGTGCTGATTTTTCAGTAACTGCTTCATAGATAATCCCGGTATAATAATCCAAACCACGAGCCAAACTGAGATCAAATGACATCTAATAAAAAAAATTATGTTTGAGCATATGTATTGTTATTATTCCAATTATCATCAAGCTAACTTACCAAATGAGTAATTTCAAAAGCATCCATAAAATCAAATAGTAATCCCATATCAGCAAGACCTTCCGCGGCATTCTTGTTTTTGGTCAACACTTCATCTTGTAATAATTTTTCCAATAAATCACGGCTTCCCTTCAACTTGACATATTCCCCAATCTTATCTGCCACTTCAGCATCCAATCCCTTTTCTTGAGTCATTTCCTTCTTGACATCTTCCCAAGGTAACTAGTTGTAATCAATAATAATAACAACAATAATAAAAGATGTGAGTCGCTTGTACCCGTTTCATCGATTTTTTTGTTTCATCCTTTTTTTTTGTTTTACCTTGTCTAATTTGTCGACTGCTGATGAGATAGGTCGAATGTTGGCTTCAGGTACACCGCACACTTGGAAAATACCATCCAAAATTTTTCTGTGATTGAGCTATGAAACAAAAAAAAAAAAAAAAAAAAGTAAGGACATTTATCCACAAACCAATTCAATAAATACTTTTTTTTTTTTTTTTACCTTGACAGTAAATTTGCCCAAATCAAGATTGGTAAGAGCTTCACACAAGATACGTAAGATTTCAGCGTCAGGAATCATAGGATCATAAGAACCAGCAATATCGAAATCACATTGATAGAATTCACGCATACGACCCTTGGTCATAGCAGGTTGGTCTCGTCGGTATACCTTGGCAATATGGTATCTTTTCAAGTTTTGATATTCTTTCCCGTTCATGGCCAAAAACCGAGCAAAAGGCACTGTCAGATCGTATCGAAGAGAACATTCTTCTCCACCTTGATCAGCCAAATCGTAAATCAATTTGGAATCTTCACCATACTTGCCACTCAAGATTTCCTTCAGTTCAAACACAGGAGTATCGATAGTCACAGCACCATGTTTTTTGAATACCTTGGTAATAGTTGAGAATACCTTTTCTCGAATAGCCATTTCCTTATCATTATAATCTTTTGTTCCCTAATAGAAAAAAAAAAAGAAGGAATATTTAAATTGAGTTGATTGTTGTATTTATAGACAAAATGAATTAATGGTTATACCTTGGCAGTCTTGAGAGTAAATGAGTTTTTGGCTGTCTTTGTCTTTTTAACACCTTCCAAACCAGCTAATTCTTGATGAAGTGTACGTAAAATGGCAGCTTCAGGTTCAACCACAGTCTTTTCGGCACCTTCTGCTTTTAATTGTCGTACTTTAGCAGCTTGTACTTCAATAGCTTGAGTTAATTCTTCTTTTCGGTCAGCCATCGTTGTTTTTCTTTAGAAAAAAATAAAAAAAAAAATAAAGGAGTAATAGTATAAAGAATAAAAAAAAAAAAAGGGCAGTTTACTCTCTGACCAAGAGGCTTATAAGAAAGAAGTAATTGGGTGGCAGTTTCCAACCCCGCTGTCATTTTTTTTTTCTGACACTGACTCATACAAGAGTATACTGACTGAACAAACATAGTAGAGACTAAAATCAGATGATGATAAGAAATGTTGACAGGTGATGACTATTGATTATAGGTATGGAATCACAAATGAGAAAAAAAAAATGAAGAGATCGCTTGCAACAGGTCGTCAATGTTTGTTATGACTCATTACATTTTATTTTGGCCGATAGGTAACACGAACACTCCCTTTTTTTTTTTCTGAAATGCATAACAGTTAACTAGCATTAAAATAACTAGATGAATAAATTATAGAGTTTATTCAAATTAATATGATACATATTTTCGAAATAATAATACACAAAAGTGGGATAATAATAAAAAAAAAAAGGGATGTTATTCATCACCATGAGGTTTACTGTAATCAGTGGATTGATAAACAGTAGGTTTGATGGTTTCTGTGATGCCTTGATGGAAGTTTTCAGGTAGTCGAGTGTGATCATCGATTGCCTTTTTATTATCTAAAAAGGGGGATGGCACGCTGGAGATATTGTTGGTGTAAATGGGTGTATCCGTTGTATGATCAGGAAGATCATAAATAGGTATATGAGATCGAGGATCCAATTTTTCCAATTCAAATTGTCTTTTTTGCTTTTTCTTGCGATACATAAAGAATAATCCCCCAGCTATGGCTCCAAGCTATCATCATCATCATCAATAAAGAAAAAAAATGAATGAACAAATGATTGTCGTATGATAGTTTTTTTTTTTTTTTTTTTTTGGATAACTTACACCGACCACCACAGCTGCTACAGCAATCCCGGCAATAGCATTAGTAGATAAACCTTGAGAATCTACATTGTTATTACTATTTCCATCGGATGGGATGTCACCACTACTGCTATTGGTTGGAGGAGGACTGTGCCATACAGGCTGCGATGCATTACTTACATCCATGATATTGACGTCTCTATGTAGTTGTAAATTTTGATCAAATCCAAACATAATGAAGATATAATTCTTGTAACTAACAGCTGTTTATTATTATTATTATTTTTTTTTTTAAAAAAAAGAAAACTGGTGAGCACCAAGGTATGTGGTGATAGATGATGACTTACCAGCATGTGCAGATCGTTTTCCAGCGCCACCCGTAAGATTAAGTAGAGTATACTGTTTAGCAGCATAATCGTATGAATAGGCATAATCATCAGGAATGGTATTGACTAAATATATAGAAAAAAAAAGGATCAGAATGGATGTATTACAAAATACCATCAAATCTACGTTATGATAGCCTTGGATAACAAAATGTACCTTGGCCAACAAAAACACTTCCACCATAAACCAAGATTTTAGTAGATCCAGGAACTATCCAAAAAAAAAAAAATTAGGATCGGATAGTCATCCTCCGCTCTTTTTTTTTTTTTTTTTTTTTTTTTTTTTTTTGCTACTTACTGAGAGTTGCTGTGTGGTATGCACGTGCGCTGACATTCTGATTGGAAGTGGCGGTATCAGTTCCCCAAGCGGATGTATTGGTATTAAACCATCGTACTTGGTGCATATCTACACCTTGACCATTATCAGAGTTAGTAAGGGGTGTGTTTTCAAATCCTCCAATGATATAAATGACATGATCAGATCCCATAGTGGCTGTATATGCGTAACGAACATTTTTGTTGACAGTATCTCCAGGAATTGCAGTCCATTGATTCTATCAATTGATGATGATGGTTAGTAAAAAGAAAAAAAAGTGTCATCTTAATCATACATACCGCTCCATAGTTATAGTTGTATACGACGTTATCAGCATGGTAACTAGTATCATTTCTATATGATTAACAAAAAAAAAAAAAATTGGAAGGTAGAAATGATGGGTAAGTAATTGTCTACTGCTAGAAATATTTGAATGTGTTCCTGTTAAACTTACATGTTACCACCCTATTAAATTTAATGACAATATAAATATATAAGTAATTCATCTTTGTATGTATATTTATTTTCCTTTTTTTTTTTTAAAAAAAAAAAAAAAAAGGAGTATAATCAAGCGCACTTACCCAGGTCCATAAATCTTGAGTATTATCATTGTTCACGATACCACCAATTGCTCTATAATTGAAATAAAAATTAGAGTTAAGTGCCTTTTTCCTTCAAAAAAAAAAAAAAAAAAATAGAAGAAATATATATCTATACGTACGTATATTGTCCATAATCCTGGATGGAAGTCCATGTATTACTTGGTGGATCGAATTCAATGAGAGGATTGTAAAGAAAATTGCTAGCACCACCTCCATAAACGATGAATTTGCCATGATTAGCGATACTTGAAGTCAAAGCAGCACCTCTGGCTTCCACAAGACTTGATCCAGTGGTGCCTGTGATGATTGTCCAGTTAGATTGCGCGGTAGTTAAATTCCCATTAAAGTCAAAACTACTCATGTCAAGTGAGAAAAAGTCATTGGTAGGGTTTAGAAAATTGGATCCTTGATATTGACCAGTATTACCACCAAAACAATACACCTTTTCCAATACTAGAGAACAACCTAATCATAATAAAAATGTGTTATAAAAAAAATTTCAAGTAACAAAAGCTATTCATACGTACTGATGAAAGCTCTAGGAGCAACAGCGTCTGCTAATGATAAAATGACATGATCAAGTAATAAGAATAAAACACAAGGTAGTAATTTCATCAATATTATTCAAATCGAAGAAAAGAGAAAAAGAAAAAAAAAAAAAAAAAAAAAAAAAAAAAACTTCAATCTCTTATACAAAAAGAGCAGCCCGCAAACTGGGCTTGGACGATGGTGCAACGTTGTTCATCTTGCTTTCTATACGCCAGTTTGTATGAATCAAACCAAAATAGGAAATGAAGCTTGTATTTTAGCTTAAATTTGGTGGTATACAATTTCTGCCTCTTACACTTCATTAACACCGCCTACTTACCAAAAGTGAACAATATAAACCATTGGTTTTTTTTTTATTCCTTCGATGTAATGGAATAGATCCTAGATGCATGTTGACGAGAATGGATCCAAGTATATGCATACATCCTCAATTTTTTTTTTTTTTTACCTCATAATACTTCTGCCAGGTCTCCGCTCAATTTATTTCTGTTATACTGTCAGTTTGTACAACTATATCCTGGAGACACGATATCATTATCCAGCTTTACTTCTACCTCCACACTTTACTATCCACAAAATGTCCTTCACACATCAATAGTTTGATTATAACAATGGTATATTTTATTTCAGTTTTCAAATCATCTAACATTAGACACATATTGGTTTTCCATGATAACTAATTTACGATCACAGAAGGAAGAAACCAATGAAAAAAAAAGTCTTGCATAATGCAATCTAGCGTCAACGTCACATTAGCCTTTTGTATTCATATTCATCATCCAGTCGTTGTACCCATATCCATCAATATCTGATGCATCCATCGTAGCAAAATAATCATTGAAGATTCACTGAAATGTATACATAAAAAAAAAGACAATTTATTGATTATCTAACGTCATACAGAAAAGCTAATCTTCTAATTTTCTAGACATGGTCATTGGTATCATTTGGTATTGTCCTTTGTCTTGATTTGATTTCGATAACTTGTAGTAGTTGTAACCAATAATACCAGCAATAGAAATAATCAATCTATTCAAAAAAAAAAAAAAAAAGAGTCAATATCATTCAATCCTTCCCTCTCTTTTTGTGTACATCTTACCCAAGGATATTTTTGGTGGTAAGTACATCACCATAGATAATCACAGATAAAGAGATGACAACGATTTCCTTACTAATACCAGCCACACTGAGGGTCACGGTGTTTGTACTCTTAATCAGTGCCAATTCAGATAACAACATGGCAAAGGCCAAGAATCCACCAATTGCCATCAGACCAAAGGATTCCATCACATGGTAGATATTGTCAAAATGTTCAGATTGTCGAAACTGATCCATAGGGTGTTCCAACAACAAGCTAAGAGTCAACATGGTTATAAACATGACGGGACTAAGATAATACAAGGTGGCAATGGGGCTGCTGATGCCAATACGATCTTGTTGTAATAGCAATTGGGTCAAATTCCATCGTAAACCAGAAACAACCGCGGCGACCAGCACCAGTATAAACCCAACCATATCGAATTTCGTTTCACCTTCTACCGTCAGAAACACACCGAACACAATCACCATGATGATCGCAATCAATGTCACTCTTGGCTTTTCAAATCCAAATAGAAATGAGAATAACAAAACCCATACCGGTGTGCTTGATTTCACCATCGTATAAAAGGATAAGGTAATAAATACAAGAGATGCATTCGCACAACAAATTTCTACTGCAGCGGCTACACCACATGGTACCTTTTCAATTAAAAAAAAATTGATTGTTATTGAATAATTATAAAAAGAAAAAAAAAGGATGCATCGTGGATTTTTTTTTTTTTTTTACTTACCACTTTATATACATAATTTGATGTTGATATACCAAAGGTGGAAGTATCTTGACCGGATGAATTCATTGTTGGCGTTCGCCATCGATCACCACCAAAAGTCATCATCAAAAAAGTAATGATGGAATGAAGAAGAGCATGAATAGCACTGACCAACAGAGGAAATTGGAAATTGAAACGATCCCGACCCATGAGATTTTTGTTGTACAAGGAGAGAGACGTGGAGAAGAAGTACCAGAGTAGGATATACATGAGATTCTTGAGGATATTTTCATGTTGTGGTTGGATCAAATGACGGCCCAGGAAGAGATCGGGTTTCGAAGGATGATTAATATTGATAGAGATGGCCCCCTTTTCTGGTAATGTTGGCATAGTGGTTGTGAATGGTGACCGTAAAACAGGTGAGAAATCAACGTTAGCCAGTTTGTTGTTGTTGCTGCTATTGGATGGATGACTATTGGTGGTAGTGCTGGTGGTATAATTGCCTGATTGTTGTTGATACTGTGAATGCAGCTTGAGAACAGGAGGTAAAGAACCTCTTCGTCCATGGAATTTGTTTGATTGTTTCCCTGTAGATGGCTGATGTAATTGTTGATGTTGTATTGACGAAGTTCGATGATGGCCTACTCGTTTTGGTTGATCAGTTGTTGTCCAGTTATTACTATTGTTGATTGGTAAATGAACATCTGATGCGCTGATGGGAGTCAAATTCGAGGCGCTTTTTAATTTCTTGATGGATGAATATCTTGGTGAACTGATGGATGGCTCTAATATGGTATCTGGACGAGAATCTTCATCACTATGTCGCTTCTTATGGTCGTCAAAAGTGGGTGCTGATACAATGTCATCCATATTATTGCGGGAGATAGAAAAGAAAAAGAAAAAGAAGAAAATAATAACCTCAGGGAGAAAAGAGAAAAAATAAATCTTGGAGCGGGAAGTGAAAGTCTCGTAAAGTGATTTATGTATACAGATCTCTATGTAAGAACTTGATGAACCCAATCTAACCATCCTATATTCTAGACATGACTTTTTTTTCTTCTTTTACGTCTGTAACCCTCTTTTAAATTTACCTGAGATATATCATCATTGTTATTACTACTTCTATACGTTCAATTACTGAACGTGGTAGGGTAGTGCGTGCCTTCATCCTTTTTTTTTTATTAACTATTCACTTCTTGATGGTTGCAGTCATAGCGTCAACACGTGGGAAATCATCCATTTCATAATGTGTTATAGCATGCTCACTATTTTATCAGATCCCTTTTCTCTTCTGTAGTAAAACTTTTTGCTCAAGAAAACATCATCAGGAAAGTTTCGTATATTTTTAATAGAACCGCGTAAAATTTCTAATCAGTAAGCAACATCACAATTTCAAAAAAAAAAAAATATGAAGATTACTGTCTTATTCTCATCATCCCTAGCACTATTGATGATGATTGACAGCGATCGATCAATCTCTCTCTCGCTCTGCAACGGACTATTGAGCCATGGACACCACTCGAAGAAAATGAAAATGCAGAGAACATCATAATAGGGCAACAGAAATAACAAGTAACTGGCTTTATTTACAATGTTATTGTAAAACGGCGGGGGGATAAAAGAAATGATCGTAGTTAAACTGGAAGTGGAAGTAATGCATAGCAATTATATGAGCCAGCGGGAAACCTCTCGAACGTATAATTTCCAAAGATGTCGCCAGGAATTATAGTGGGTAAAGGGCTTTCGGAAACCTGACAGTTGTCATCATCGAAAAGTGCGCACTCAGAGAGCGGGTGGACATAAACACTATCAAGTTGAGCGCCGTTTTTTGTGGCAGGAAAACAAGTATCAAAAGATACTGTAGTAGGTGATTGGTCTCCAGCATAGTAAAGCTCGATATCAGAAGCAGCAGTAACCATCAAACACATGGAGGATAATAACAAGCATATAATTTTCATCATTATAATCAACGACATAATAAATATTAATTAAGAATGACAAGAGAATGAAAAAAAAGAGAGAGATAGAGAGGACAAAAAAATAAGGTATTTATATATCTTGACAATAGATGATGATGATTTGTGTTATTAGAGTATATGGATACTTCTCTCCTTATGGATTGTATGATGCATTAATTTTGCATAAAATATAGGAGATTGAGAGTAAAATATAAAAATGATCTGATCTATAGCTCATATATTGGACGAACACTGATAAACCAAAGATCATCAATTAAAATAGTGAATAATGGTTGATCTATTGACTCATGGTTTACTGTCATGAAGATGGTTAAAAGCCCTAGTGACTGATGCCGGCAATTTTTTTTCTTTGGTTGGTAGATCAGTCCTGGTAAGTATTATTCCCCCTCCTCTTTATAGGTTGTATGCGAATTAACCCTTAAATTCCTGCACATCACTTGTATACGTGTCACATCATATGCTATATTACAAAACCCTCCTGTAGAAGCGATAGATATGCATGTTTATTATAGTTACCATCAACATTATAGGTCAGTATATCAATCATCATCCACTATTTGAAAATGTTTACTCTCCATCAAGTCCTTGAATCTTGTGTAGAGGTAACCTAACATGCCAATCAAGCAGAGAATATACCATTATCATATGCAATATTGTCGACTGCCGCCATCATTGCATATCGTCTATCGGCATATTCATGATCATCTTGTCATCCACTCATTATCCCACCATCCTTTAATGATTGTCGTAAATATATGCCAGCATAGGAATATAACTGTTTTACAATGATGGCATATATCCCCCACAAAAAAAAAGAAGACATAATATATATAAATCAGAATCTTTATTATAAAAAAAAAATAAGTTTGATCATCGTCATTGTTGTTATTTCATATCCTATATTTACACCGTATTTCGCAATACTACAAAAGAAAAGAAAAAAAAAGAAATGAGTATCCAAACAATCAATAAAATTGTCTCTAACACGCTTCTTCATTCCATCTTACCGAGAACAACTGTATCACCACGAAGAAACATCTTGCTAACGAATCGATCCTTGTTTACAGCCTTGGCTTTTGTTCCTTTACCTGTTTTGGGAGTTTCTGTCCACATCTATAAAGGAAAAAAAAAAAAGGTGAGATCAGAATGTCTAATACGTTCAACTTAGATTTTTTTTTCAAATTACTTCTTTGACATTTTCAAGCACCATGTTACAATGACGATCGAAAGCCTTGACACGAGCCAAGAGTTTGTGGTTGTTGCGACAACTGATGAGTACTTGATTGTTGTTTTTCACGGATTGCTGTAATACTGATAATGGCCCTGTATTGAATTCCAATTCTTCTTGTTGACGTAATTCTTCTTCCGTCATTTCGGATCGTGATTTGGTCGCTATCGCACTATACATGTAATGAACGTATTTAAATAGAATAGATGAAGAATCGATTTGACATTGACAATAAAGGGAAGAATGACACAACAAAAAAGAAAGAAAAATGGTTAGTTTCATCTGTATATTATTATTTTATTATTTTCGTTTAATATTCATGTTCATCGAACAGATGAATATAATGATAAAACGTACCTCATTGTGGTGTGGATATAAAGAGAGTTATTATTTCGAAAAGAAAAAAAAAGGCAGGAAGGAAGACAAAAAAAAAAAAAAATAGAGCGAGGCGTATGAGCAGTCCTAAACGGGATTTGAAAAAAAAGCAAGTGAGACCAACTCATCAGAGCGTTTGACCAGACAAGTTAAGGATTCTCGCGATTTGAAAAGGAGTGTCATCATCAACACGTAATTTATAAAAATATATATGTTTGTATGTACCTGTGTATATAAATATGTATGTACAGATGACGTGTGAATATGGGCTAGTATGATATACATGAGTTGTTGATGCATTTGATTTACTAAGAAAGGAGTATTCTACCAAAAAAATAAAAAAAAAAAAAAGAATAGGATGATAATGAGAATGATTCTAATCGTCAGCATGATTCGTTTTTTTTTTTTTTTTTTTTTTTTTTTTTTTTTTTTTTTTTTTTTTTTTTTTTTTTTTTTTTTTTTGATAATGATGATACAGTTTAAGATAATTGGAAAATGAAGTGTAACCAATGCAACGCCAGAACGAATTTAACCTAAGTACGGACATGCATTTGGTTATATGGCGAAAAAAAGAAAAGAGTCGTGTACAATAGTGAATGTAGAGAAAAATAAGTACAAATAGAAAAATTTATTGAAACAAAAAAAAATAAGTACAATATGCGGTAGTAATGATAATGAGTATAAAGAATAAAGAGTAAAAATATATATATAATGGGTAGGATTACTATTCTAACAACAACAAAAAAATAAATAAATATAAATACGCCGAAGGGGTTAAGGGACGGGTCATACTTAAACTTTGTTTATTGTATTGCCAATTGAGAAAGAAGGGGGTCGAGTCTTTTCTTCTTTCGAGATGTTGTTGTTTGATGAAGGGTAAATGCGTTGTTTCGAGAGATAAGGGACAAGTGGTTTTTGAAACGTCGGATTCGGACTGGTTATCTTTTCTTCTGGTGTCAAGTTGGGCTATATAAGTTCATATTAAAAAAAGTGGGATTAATATATGAGATCATATGAAGAAGTTTTTTTTTTTATTTTACCTTTTCTTCTAATATGGTTTCATTACTTTCAGATACATGAATATAATGTGTTCCTTGACCTTCTGATACATGTCGTGCTATACCATCATGATCCAACGTCACTTCATACACTGTAGGCTATTCCAACAATCATCATCAAAAAAATCAAAAAAAATATAAATCAATAAGTATAAAATATATATATATGTCTTTGTCTACCTTTTCTGAAGAATGACAACAACCCATAATGTATAAAAAATAAAGAGAAAAAAAAAATAAAGGAAAGAAAAGAAAGAAAAGTTTTATTTATGTTTTTTTTTTCATTTTAAATACAAAAAAAGAATCAAGTTTCACTATCTACAAACAAATAAAAAAAAAAAACATGTGTACACAACTAGTTAAATGTCCAGCATATAATATCTATTGCATTTCAGGGCGTTCATCCTCGTCATCACTATCACTCCATGCATCCAACTAAAAAAAAAAAAAAAAGGAAACAATAAAAAGGCAAGTTAATTTCCCAAAGATCAACAAATAATAGTTTACATTCATTTCCATTGTTGTTGTTATATCATATATAGAGGAAGATCCATCTTGATCGACAGGTTTAGTTGGTTCCCATACTAGGATTTCGCCTTCATTGGATCCACTATAAAGTTCTTGGTAAGAAGAACGTTGTTCCACACTTGTCACCCGACCATATGCACCTTTTAGTCGTTTTGTCAACCGACCATCCATTAAACCAAAGACAAGGACTTGTTGATCATCACTTGGAACAAATAAAAGAGGAGGCCATACATCTGCATCAGATACAACAGCTTGAAGACAAGATTTGAATCGGTTTCGCCAATAACTGCCATAGTTCACAAATGTATTATGACCATTGTTGGTATCCCATAATCGAATCTTTTCATCCATACCCAAAGTCACCAAATAACGACCATCTGAACTCAACGTCATACCATTCACTCCTTTGTTCCCATGAGCTGAATTCGTTTCTGCAAGTGGATCACGATCAACTAATGAATCCCCTCGAGAATATGCATATAAAAATTATCAATAACAAATCATCATGCGGTATATTTTTTTTTTTTTGTGCTTACTACTATTTTCTTGATCAAGTGACATGATACAAGACGCCGCCCTTCGAATATCCCATACTCTAACTGTTCCATCGTTTCTATATCATATATGATAAGATATTTTTGTTCTCGGGCTCCCTTTCTTCCTTTTTTTTTTTTTTTTGTTTTGTTTGTTTATTTATTACCCTCCACTATATAATATATGTTCTTGAGAAGGAGACCAAATACATGAATAAATTTCTCCAGAATGACCCATCAAAGAATGTGTAAAAGCACCACTTTTGAGATCACATAATCTTATCCTTGGTTCTGCTGCTGCACCTAGATGTATGAAATAATCATTCGTTTTTGATTATTATTTTTTTCAATATAATCCAATTATTATTATCCAACTTACTAGCTACAAGACAATGGGATGCAATAGGTGATATGGCTTGACAATAGACACGAGAATCCAATGGAAATGTACATGCCGGCTTGATTTATCCCATGTTGATCAAATATATCAGCATTTATAATATCTTATTTTTATTGATCTGACTTACTGTCATTGAGTTTGTGTCCCATATTCGAATAGATTTATCAAAACTTGAACTGATGAACATCCCCGTATCAAAAGGAAACCATGATAAACTGGAAACTGCATATTTATGTCGTTCATATCTAAAGAAGAAAGAAAAAGAAAAGATAAGAATATGATTTCTTTCGATTCCTTTTGTATTTTTTTTTCTTTTTGACCTTGAAACACTGGCAATAGGTACGATCTTGGTATATTTTCCTTTAGGTGACATGTGTAAATCATATATATGAATTCTGCCATCGGATCCTCCAGACATGAGACTATAATATAAATGATAAGAAAAAGAATGGAGTTCATTTTCCTACTTACTAGCGTTGTTCGATCGTTTCCATCTTTAAACAAGTCACTCCACCTAAAATGAATAACCATTGTATTAAATAAAAATTGTTGTGGAAAATGATAAAAAAAAGTTGAAGGTTACCTCGATGTGCTCTGGCGACTTCTTTGGATTGACTAAGTTGAACATTATAAATACGTTTTGTTGTTTCGGCTCGTTTGATTCGTATTGGTTGTAAGGATCCCTGCTCCCGTTTCTTCAAGAAACTATACATCAATTTGAAATAGAGTGAAGAAAAAAGAAGAATAAATTGTACTGCGAGATATGCATATCAAAAAAAAAAAAAAAAAGGATCGGATTGTGAAATTTCTTTGGATACCACACACTCTCTCTACAGTTTCCTGAGAAGATACCATTATAATAGTAGCTTTTTTTTTATTTGTTTAAAAAAAAGGTGAGTAGTCAAAAAGAAAAAAAAAAAGTCAAAATTGAATCATTTAAGGAGAACAAAATGATGGATCAAAATTATTCAACAATGCGTAAAGTGGAAAAAAAAGAAAAGGAAAATATGAGTCAATAGTCTGAGATCAAAAAGTTCTGTGTAGAAACAGACTGACAAAGGAGAATCGGGTGGCTGATTGGGTCTCATCTTTTTTTTTTTTCTTTCTCTTTTTTTTTCCCTTTTTTTTTCTATTTTTCCCCTTCGACAAAATACACATCAACCAACATGGCCAGTCTTGAAATATTACAAACCTTAGTTCTTGAAACTTTAAATAAACAAAATGTTATTGAAAACACCAAGGATTTGACCACCTCTGATAACCAACCTATTGACCAACTTGTTTTATTGGGTGCCCTTAATAGTTTAAAGTCAAAAGACGTAACGTTATTTTCAACACCATCTAATACTTTTTATTGACTCAACGATATCTTTTTTTGTTTTAATAGATGATCGATTATTCCTCTATTGACCGTGAATTATGGACTTTAACTGAAGAAGGACAACAATTGGCAGACCATGGAAGTCATGAAGCTCGTGTTTTCGATGCTGTACCTGCTGGAGATGAAGGTATTGCCATTAGTGATATTCAAGTAAGTTTTTGAATAGGGAAAAGAAAGGAATGATGAAGAATAAGAAATCTCATCTATTCTTTTTTATTATTATTATTATTATTGAATTCAGGCAAAATTGGGTGATTCTGCCAAAGTAGGTCAAGGCAAGGCATTCAAAAATAAATGGATTTCCAAAAAAGGTGGCAACTTGATTCGCTTGGTGGACTCTATTGTGGATCAAACTCAATTAGATTTAAAGCAAATACAATCTGCAGGTACTTTACAAGATGCCAAACTTTTGACTGAATTGAAGAAACGTAAATTGGTCGATAAACAGTAAGTTTGATAAGAGAAAAAAGAAATAATAACAAGATTATATTAATCCATCTTTTTTTTTTCATTCTTTTTATTTCATAGAAAAATCACTTCTTTCCATGTTACCAAAGGTCCTGAATTCTCATTAGAAATTAAAAAGGAAGCTACTGATATCACTTATGAAATGTTACAAAGGTAAACATATAAAAGTAAGGGAAGGAATAAATAGATTGATGAAATTTTATTTATAGTGGTGAATGGAAGACTGCTTCATTCAAGAAATATAACTTTGATGCTGCTGGTGTTCATCCTAATGGTGGTCATCTTCATCCTCTTATGAAAGTACGACAGGAATTCCGCGAAATCTTCTTTGAAATGGGTTTTGAAGAAATGCCAACCAACTGTTTTGCTGAATCTAGTTTCTGGAATTTCGATGCTCTTTTCCAACCTCAACAACATCCTGCTCGTGATGCTCATGATACATTCTTTTTGAAAGGTAAATAATAATTATTTATTTATTTATTGAATACTTATAGGGATTATTGATTAGATCCTGCTACAACTGATCGTTTCCCTCGAGAATTAATGGAAAAGATCAAGAATACACATGAAACTGGTGGTGATACTGGATCTATTGGTTATAATTATAAATGGAAGGAAGATGATGCTGGCAAGATGTTATTACGTACTCACACCACAGCTGTCAGTTCTTATATGCTTTACAAACTGGCAGAACAAACAAAGGCACAAGGATTCTTCAAACCTGCAAAATATTTCTCCATTGATCGAGTGTTCCGTAATGAATCTGTAGATGCTACTCATTTGGCTGAATTCCATCAAATCGAAGGTGTGATTGCTGACAAGAACCTGACACTTGGTAACCTTATCGGCTTTATGGATGTCTTTTTCAAAAAAATGGGTATGGATAAGATTCGCTTCAAACCTACTTATAACCCTTATACCGAACCAAGCATGGAAATTTTCTCTTATCACGAAGGATTGAAGAAATGGGTAGAAATTGGTAAGATGGCATTTATTATTATATATATAGGTATACTGACCTTTCTTTTTTTTTTTTTTTTTGTAATGATTAGGTAACAGCGGTCTTTTCCGTCCTGAAATGTTAGAACCTCTTGGTTTACCTTCTGATGTACGTGTAGTTGCATGGGGTCTTGGTTTGGAACGTCCTACCATGGTAAAATATGGTATCAACAACATTCGTGATTTGCTTGGTCATAAGGTGAACATTAGTATGATCAAGGAATATCCTGTATGTCGATTGGACAAGAAGATGGGAAAAGAATTGATTGGTTTAAGTCAAGATTAGATTATTTAGATAGATAGTCCTTTTTTTTTTTTTGTTATATATGTTTTGTTTTATTTTATATATATATTTTTTCCCTCTATCTCTCTGAAGTGATTAGATATGTTGCTTTTGTTGATTATCTATATTACTTTTTTTTATTATTATTTCAATAAACATACACATTTTATATATATATACATTTTACTCTCTGTATTCATTTTACGATGATCATGATGGATAGGATGTGTATTAGGTGACGATGGATCCATGGATGAGGATGATATTTTATAACTTGCTTTGTATGTTCTTTCAATGCTGATGCCTATAGGTGATGTAAGTCATCCACTTGAAACAACAAATCATAGATGATGATGATGGTAACAACATCTGTCTTATGCAAAAGGATGATCGTTCGTGCCTTGCATGAGCTTTTTTTTCTAAAAAAACTTTCTGAACTCCCTCTCTCTTCTCTGAAGAACAACAGGGGGAATTGAAGGAAAAGAACAACCAGGTGATTCTTGATCAATCCCTGTCAAAAGAAATGTAGTAACACGGATCATCACCAAAAAAAAAAAAAAAGAAAAGTTGTCATCTCTCAAGAATTTGACTCATATGTCTCCATAAATACAAACTAAGCCGTGGGCTGAGATGATGTAGCTTGCATTTATTCGCTGTACCATTCTGTCATATACCTTTTTTAGAGTATAAATAGTTTCCATATTCCGTAGCTTTTGGCTTTGCGGATAAACTGAGTCTAAACACACACACAAATATATATATATATATATGCAAACCATAAGCAACTTCTTTAAGAAAAAAAAAAAAGGACTCATACAATTGATCATCACTATGACGAACACTTATACCTATGTTTTTATTCATGGTGCCATGCATGGAGGATGGTGTTTTGAAAGAAAACTAATCCCTCTCTTTAAAAAAGCAAACTACCGTACTATTACATTTGATCTCCCTGGCAACGGAAAAAACGATGATACTCCTATAGAAGAAATTACGTTGGACAATTATGCAAAAAGGACGATCTCAGTGATTGATGAACAGACAAAGCCAGAAGAAAAAGTCATCCTGGTTGGCCATAGTCTGGGTGGGTTGACAGCCACCATGGTAGCAGAAAGAATTCCTGACAAGATCCATTGTGTTGTGTACTTGGCGGCGTTTTATTTACAAGATGGTCAGACTCTGGTATCGGCCAACATCCCCACCAAAGGAGCATTCTATGTGAAAGACGAGATCTATTTAGGGATTGATGAGGATGATATGGTGGATGCATTCTATAAGGATTGTGATGAGGATGATATCCAGTTTGCAAAGGCCAATGTCACCAAACAATACCTTGGTCCCCAATCTGAAAAATTCAAAGTCCAGGGTGTGATTGACCATATCGACAAATATTATATCAAGGCTTTACACGATAAAGCTATTCCTCCCGAATCACAAGAAATGATGTATAAAAACAAAATCAACAATGTCATCGAAATAGATTCTGCTCATTCACCTTTTTTTTCAAACCCGGATGAGTTATTTACTATTTTAACTAAATTAATCAAATAAATGGATGTCTTGGCATTTTGATGAACACAAATATTTGTAACAATCAATAATAAAATAAGGTTTTTATTGTCTTTTCCTTTTGATATATAAAAAAAAAAAGATATACATATATAAAAAAGATGAAGACCATACTGTACAAAGGGAGGAAGGATATAGATATAAAACTACACACAAAAAAAAACAATCATATAAGAATAAAACCACAAGAATAACCATTTTTTCCTTTTGTCCCAAAAAAAAAAAAAAAAGATGCTGATTCATTTGTTATTGTTGTTGCTGAGAGGAATTCGGTAAATCAAAATAATCAATGACATTGGTACGAGGATGGTCCAGACGTTCATTCATAATTTGATTGGTAAAGCTGCTTTTCCGTCCACAAACCCCTGGAGCACCAGCTAAGAAACCATCGGCCCGCATTGCTAATAATTTATCCAAAATCCCCAACCAACCTGGATCCTGTCGAGCAATATCATATCCAATAGGTAACACAGTCCAATTTGCAGGTGATGATGATGATGATGATCCATTTTGTTCATCCAAATGAGTGACATGTACTTGTAGATGTTGATAAACATATTGCATAGCAAGATGATGATGAATGGTAAGACTATGTGGTGAAAAGGATGCTGAAGCTGGTCGCATCTTGGGATTCGTTCCATTGTTGGCAATCGCATCATCTACATCTTGTTCGTCAAATACATGTGGATAATCCGTCAATAGGAATAAAGTGGGTTGTTGATTATCCGTTGTTGATTCTGCTGAGCTATTATTGAGAGATGACATAAGTGGTGCACGGGTGTTGAAATAATCGACCAAAGTATGAGCACATTCCACTAGATTGGATGCTGGTTCTACTCTTTCTGTACGCCAATGGACAGCCCAATAAGGTGATAAGGTATTAGCAATCTTGTCTGCTTCCGATATGACTTGTTCACTATAGGGTATTGGTGTTTCTGCTGCTGGGTTGTGGATAAAAGGAAATCTAAAAAAAAAAAAAAAAAAAAAAAAAAAAGGAAAAAGAAGGATAATTAATCCAATTTGAGTCATTAATAATAATGATATTTTATACCTTCGATCATAATAAACCCCAAGTACTTCAATTTTATCAGTGATTTCATCTTGAACACTTTCCCCAGTATCAGAATCACGATAAATTCCCAAGAAAAAGTCTTTGACAGCATCTTCATAATAAAGTCGTCTAAGAGGATTAGCAGTTTCATTCAAATAAAGTCGTCGTTCTGGTAAACCGTTCATGTTGAGTAATTGTTGAGAAGCAAAGCAATTTTCAGGTTCAACGGCGTGACCACGTAAGTTGACATGGATATGCATAGATTGAGAAGTAGCAGGACGATCGATGGCATGTCGTTCCAAAAGCCATTGTTTAAAATCAGACATAGTGATATGTTGAAAATGTTCTTGATTATTGATAGCCCATGATCGAGAATAATAAAATTCAAAATCATTTTCTAAACAAGCACCTAATCGACTACCTCCAACGTTAGGTAAAACTACGGTACGATTCACCAATCCTGACATGAATGCTAATTGTCGAAAATGCATTTGAGCTTTTGATTCTATTAATAATAATAATAAATAAGTGATGATCCATATTTGTTGTTTATTTATTATTTACCTTGTTCCATAATAAAAAGTGGTAATATAAAACGACAAGGTCCACCACAATATTTTTCATCAATTTGTTGTCGTTTTAATACAAGATCTTTATTATCATCCTTATCATACATTGTTGGTAAAAGCCATTTTGAAGGATCATGTAAAGAATGCCATCGGTATAGAAAACCTGTCATACCAAGTACAATGATAGCTAAAAGAAAGACTTGAATACGTCGAAACGGATACATGTCTTTTTTTTTTTTTTAATGAAAATGAATAATGTAAGATGAAGAAAAGAAAAGAAAAGAAAGAGAGAAAAAAGAGTGGTCAAAACTAGTCTAAATGGTTTCAAAATTTATTATATGGTTCTTTTTTTTTCTATTAACTAATTTTGGAAATCAGCAAAAAGGTCAAAAAAAAAAAATAGAAAAATATAAAGTCAAGTCTCCTTATTTTTTTTTTTTTTTTTTTTGTCTGAGAGGAATTTTTTTCATATATTGGTTCCCCTTTTTGTATATCGATATTGACTCTTTTTTTTTTTACTGTCATTCTTTCATTTTCAAAATAATTATCATCATCATCATTATCTATAAGCAGGGATCTTCCAATCTTGTCGATCCTTCTCATCCACTAGGTTAGCTCTCCGCTTAGTTCGTTTTTTATAGTCAAAAGAAAATCACATCACCGGCAAAATGGAAGATTAAGAAAGGGCCTGTGTAACTAAAACCAATGTATAAAAGGGAAATTAAAAACTATGATATTCCTTTTCTTTTTATTTTTTTCCTTTATTTCAATATGTATACAACTTAAAAAAAAAAACTAAAGATAAGAAAGAATCTAACAAAACATGGTTACTATGGTAACATCAAATATATAATAAAATAATAATCTACATTTATATAATATATACTATCTCTATTAGTTCAACCATTGTTTTTGAGCTTCATTCACCTTGTTTCTAAAAATACTAATCACCTTGGCAGGATCTTCAGCCTTAAAAATCCCAGTACCAGCAACAATCACATTAGCACCAGCTTCAGCAGATACATCAATTGTTTCCATAGCCAGACCACCATCCACTTCAATATCCAGATTAGGATAAAGTTCACGTAATTGTTTTACCTTGGGCATACATTGGGCCATAAATCGTTGACCACCAAAACCAGGTTCTACCGTCATCACCAATATCATATCAGCTTGCTCAGCCACCGCACCAATCACACTATCCGTTGAAGTGCCAGGTTTAATCGCCACACCTGCTTGCATACCTGCATCATGAATTTGTTGAATAAGAGCCAATGGTTCTTTGGTTGCTTCAATATGAAAAGTATACATTTGTCCACCCGCTTTAGCAATATCATCCACCCATTGACTAGGATTAGATACCATCATATGACAATCTATACATTAAAAAAAGGAAAATTAATTGGACTTTTCATTGGTGAAGAATAATAACAAGTAGTACCAAAATAAGCTTCAGTATGAGGTCGAATAGCTTGAATGATAGGTGCACCCAAAGTAAGATTGGGGACGAAATGACTAAAATATATATATATATATATATATATATATATAAAATTCATTAAACATTTCATATCAGATAAAAAAAAAAAAAAAAAAAAAAAAAGTAACCACGTGCCATGATACAGTTCTGTTTTTTTTTTTTTTTTGTTGTTTTCTTTTCTTGACTTACCCATCCATAACATCTAATAAATAAATGAAAGTTAAAAAGAAAAAAAAAAGGTGAATTCAATGTAGAAGGAAAGTAAATTTTGTCAGTTTACCGAGATGTAACCAGTCAGCCCCATTCTTTGTCATTCTTTTTGCTTCAGCAGCCAAATTGGCAAAGTCAGAAGAAAGCATAGAAGGTGATATTTTAGCAATAGGCATGATGTTAAGGATATAGAAGAAATAAAGACGAAAGAAAAAAGAAAGAAAAGAAAAAAGAAAAGAAAAGAAAATAAACAATAATGCCTTATTGACCGAATACCATTCCAAAAAAAAAAAGGTCGAGAGAAAGATTTGTTATGTGTTGGGGAAAGGGACTCCGACTCAGGCTACATTGTTTCATTTTTCGTGATCCTCCACATCTTTTTCCTTTTCTTTCCCTTTTTTTTCTCCTATTATTTATCTTTTTATATACAATGATGTCTTCAAACTCGAATTCTATTGAAGTAAAAGAAACTATTGACAGTAAGTTATATATATCTGTATATATATATATCAATATATGCTCACTTATTACATTCTTTTTTTAGTTTTACATGAAATGTCCTCCATCCTGAATACTAAACTAGATAGAGAAACTTTGGCCTTATGTATTTCTTTATGTGAAAAAGGTGTTAACCCCGAAGCATTAGCTGTAAGTATTCTTTTGATATAAAGAAGGTAAAACTGTGTAAAATTGACTTCATTTTGGCACCTTATAGGCGGTTATTAAGGATTTACAAAAGCATCAAGGTTCTTCGTCATCACAAAGAACGTCAACTACCAACTTACATACTTAGTACCTTTTTATTTTAGTTTTCCTTTTTTTTTTTTTTTTAGTAATATCACTATCATGTTCTACCTTTTAGGATAGATATTATTATCATCATATTTTGTATAATATTCACCATGCATTGGAACTCTTTTGCTTACCATACCCAATAAACTCCGCACAAGCCACTTGATTTTTTCTTTCACACTTTTTTTATAGGTCCCTTCTTTTTTTTTCTTCTTTTCTTTTTCCATTTTTTTTTTTTTTTTGTCACTCATACAACATTATACAATAATCATGTCTACTCGATTCAAAGCTGCTGAAGAAGCTACACAACGATCAACTGATAAAAAGATCAAAGATAAACGTATCAATAAACAACGTGTCATGTTATTGTCTTCTAGAGGCATTACATACCGGTAAAGTCGAAAAAAAAAGATATTATCAATATTTTTAGATCTAATCTAATAAAATTATTTCTTATTTATCTATAGTCACCGTCATTTGTTGACCGATTTGGAAAATTTCTTGCCTCATTCCAAAAAAGATGCTAAACTCGATACCAAGTCTGATCTGTACCTATTGAACGAACTCGCTGAACTCAACAACTGCAATAACGCCATTTTTTTCGAAATCCGTAAACGTCAAGATCTCTACTTGTGGATGTCCAAGACTCCTAATGGTCCTTCTGTCAAATTCCATGTTCAAAATTGTAAAGTATTAATAGAAGATCGACCGTTTTTTTCTATATTTCTAACTAACTTATTTCTATTCACCATAGTACACACGATGGATGAATTAAAGATGACCGGCAATTGTTTGAAAGGATCACGCCACGTGTTATCATTCGACAAGAACTTTGACAGTGAACCTCATTGGCAATTATTGAAGGAATTATTAGGACAAGTATTCAACGTACCCAAAGGAAGTCGTCGCAGCAAACCTTTTGTGGATCACGTCTTGTCTTTCTCTATTGTCGATAATCGTATTTGGTTCCGCAACTATCAAATCTTGGAAAAGACCCCACAAAATACTCCCAATTTTTCATTAGAGGATAAGAAGAATGATCTGTCTTTGGTGGAAATTGGTCCTCGATTTTGTTTGACTGTCATTCGTATCTTTGATGGTTCTTTTGGTGGCCCTACTGTCTTTGAAAACCCTGAATTTGTCCATCCCAACTATGTAAGTCAGATTATAATATATATATATAAGAGAATGAGAGTGATTGATCCTTGATGATTCTTTTTTTTTTTTTATGTGTAAAGATTCGAGCTGCCAACCGTAAAAGTCACAATCAAAAGTATGCCATTCGACAAGCCAACATCAAGCAACGTCAAACAAGACTCATGGAAGCAGAAGGTGAAGAAACTGAACTCAGTAACAAGAATGTCTTTGCATAGATTTCTCTCCCTCTTTTTCATCATCATCTTATAGTTTAGTTGTACATTACTACTTTCATACACATACACTCCATCATCATCCCTTTTTATTATTATTATTTTTTTGCCTCTTCTTTGTCATCCTTTTTTTTTTTTTAAAAAAAAAAAATCGATCGAATAAACCATGTTTATCCTTACTTATAATCAAAATGAAAATTACCAACTTCGGATCTTCTCGGCTGAGATGTGTAACATGGTGTCGATGTTAGTGTCTGTATTGGTGCAACAAACATACACGCACAAAAACAAAAAAAAAAAAAAAAAAAGTGAGTTGGGTGATATTCTTCCCCCTTCAACGTTGAGTTTAAGCTTTTTTTTTGAAAAGTAATGACCCTCACTGACATTTGGAGATCAAACATATATGGTACAAGTATTATTTCTCTCCATATATGCACGCTCATCCTTTTTTTTTACATTATGTTCATCAATAGAAATTAGCAAATGGTTTAAACCAAACGAAAAAGAACCTTTCAATATTGTCCTTGTAGATATCCAAAAAACGGCTGAAGAAAACCGAGTGTGCTGTGAGGAAGTAGAGCTCTTAGGTGGGCTACTAGTGGATTATATCGCTTTGTCATATCGATGGGGAGAACTAGACGAGCAATTTGTACCAGCCACCGATGATTATTATGCCCAAATCACCTCCTTTCATTTGGATGATTTTTATCGTCTGTGCAGGCGTATGCTCAATGAACCTGATTTGAAGGAGATCAAATATGTATGGGTGGATGCCATTTGTATCGATCAAGGCGATGATCATCGTAAAAAGGCTATCATCTATCGGATGACTGATATCTACCTAAACGCGACATATATTGTTGCCGTACCTGATTTACACAAGGAATCGTTGATCACCGTCAGTAACTCCGATAAAAGGATGTATGAACAAGTCCAAAATAATAGATGGTATATTTACCATTTTATACATGAAAACATTGAAGATCTGTACCGACTTGATGATGATTGGAGGTATATGCTAAACAACCCATCTGATGATACACGGCAAGCTTATAATATGAAAATAAGACGTGGAAGAGTAAGTGGATGTATGGATGGATAGATGATATTCATCTCGTTTTTTTTTTTTTTGTTTTTTTTTTTTAAAAAAAAAAATGATATATAGTTTCTATTGGATTCTGAAGAGAAAGAAATCGAAGCTTGGGATATACTATCCAAAGAAGATCCTAAGGATAAGGATGATCACAACCAACAAGAGTGGATAACAAAGTATAAGACGATCACAGAAAAACTATTGGAAGAGAACAGACAAGAAAGGATACGGGATGCCATCCATCACTTGCAAGATTTATTTCGAGATTGGGCAAATCGAGCATGGGTCATCAGTGAATACAGCATTGCCAAAGAAAAGAATGATGGAGAAATGAAATACTGGTTTATTCATCTCGATAAGGAAGATGATTTTTATGGGAAGCCTTTTTTTACATTAGATTTTCATCAGCCACATGAGAGCTATAGCTATGATCGGTTTCATTGGTGTTTTGATTATTTTAAGCAGTACCACAATATGATGATAGAGAGCACGGTCAAGCGGCCATTTCTAGAGATGATATTGAACTCTCGAGCCACCAAAAATGAAGATAGGTTCCATGCCATCTTACCCTTATCACCAAAATATCACAAGATCAAAACATCCAAGGATACCATCTCTCGTTGGCATATATCCAATATGAAATCCGTCAAATTGAAGTTGTATGAAATCTTAGACACAGAGGACAAGCTTCAATTGCTTTTATCTTGCGCCAGAGAATCACATACCCTCTTGCCCACCTTTGCATCGACATCGAATTCTTGCCCGGATACATTCCGTCTTTTTGCCAGTGTCGTTTCCTTCAGGTTGATGATGATCAATTTTGATCTTAGTGATCCATCCGCCATCCACTTTGGATTCAGTCATTGTGGGAACTATCGTGGCCCATGTCTTCACTTGCGGCCTATAAAGTACTACGTACATGAGCACTTTGGTTCACTATTACAGGACAGGGACGAGGTAAAACGATACAGTAGAGTCATCAAGGAGCTTGGCATTGAAACCCTGGATGCATCCTTCAAGTTTGTGACAATCTCGTCCTTTTGCTCTAATGACGAGGTCGATATCACTGGTGCTTCGTACAAGGACTTGGTGATTCCACTTTTTGGCAGCATGGACAAGAATGTTTGGATAGTGTGTCCTCTTGATAGGCAAGATAAGAGACGGCCTCGATGGTCTCATTACAACAAGGATTACGTCTTTCGAGTTTATTGATAAAGCTATATAGAGTTTGTTGGATCATTGTATGAAGAAAGGCATACGAAAAAGTAGAGTGATGATAATAAAAGTAGTTTTTCAAATAGTATTTTAATAAATCAAGTTTAAAGTTGTATATTTTTTTTTAATTTCTGTTTTTGGTTTATGCATAAAGGCAAGCGTTTGACTATTTAAAGCTTGTAATTTTTTCCATTTTCAATTTTTCTTCCTCTTTCTTACCCAATTTTTTTTATTTTATTTTTTCAAATCTACACTTTGATGAAACAGCGACAGCAATATGATATCAAAGGTATTTTTACAGTCCGTTGGTATGGGCAAATGAATATAGAGTACAGAAGGGTAATCAAGATAATCCAAAAAAAAAAAAAAAAAAAAAAAAAAAAAAAGGGGGAAGATGCAGAAAGATAAACTTTTTATTCCAAGGTTGAATGACATACGCGTTGGGATTAACTCTTCTCTTTGTAGTTCATTGGTAGCCACTTCTTAATTCAATAAAAGACAGTTTCATTCTTGCTGCTATCTCATGTTCTTGGTTCGATATAGGTTACTCATGGTGCTGACACGACCTTTCTTTTCTTCTTGCTTGGTTTCAAGGTAATAAAGTCGACAAGGGTTTTTTACATTAGTCATTGATATATTCCACGAAGAGGTTGATGGTGGTGTGCTTACTTGAATCCTAATTTTTTTTTATGTGTTAGGTATCTGTCAAGCAACGGTTTTGATCTATTTTTAAGAGGAAGTATTCAATATCGAAATGTGAACCAGCTGCTACTTAGTATTGGAAAGGAGGTTTCTGCAAGAACGTGTATACAAGTACTCCCTGGTCCTATTTTATCGTAAAAGTAAGTAGTATAGTTTTGGATGGATTGGGATCAGAGTATTATTAAAGCTCATATATATCTTATTTATTTTATCAAATAGCCTCTCGCGATAGTATAAAAGATAACAATATTCAACGGCACTGATGTGGAAACGACAACAAAGCGAAAGTAAAATTAGCCCGAATATTGGCGACAATTTGTGGATTTTTATTGCAAGTGTGGTAGATGATATGCTTAAAAAAAAAAATAGAGAGACCATATTGCCATTCTTCTTTTGTACTCATTTTTCAACTTTTTTTTTTCTTTTTTTTAGTTTCAAAAAGTCAACAGGATAGGATTATCAACGATAACAAATGCGAAAATTGGTTTACTGGATGGAAAAAGGCTCTTGATTACCATGTGGATGCAGTATTGTCTTGAAGTGGAACAGAAACAAAAAGGGCAAACTTGGAAAAGGCACAAAGGGATGGTGGTTGTCAATAGGAATCTCAATGTACCACAAGATGGATCAAGGCTTGGCGAATGCAATTAGTTTGTAAGTGTGCGGATCAACATCATGGTATGGAAAGTCGTACTTATTTTTATATTCTTCACTAGGAAAACAAGTACCAATTCAAATCGTCCCAGAATACTTTTGATGACTGGCTTAGTTATTGGTTTTATCTTATTTTAGTCATGTTTTGTATGAAATAAACTTTATGACACTTTTTTGGAGTTTTTGGGAATCAAGTTTAAATGTTTTATTGGTTGATGTGATGTTCTGTTTTGATCAGTATGGAAGATTGACCAATCATGAACTTCAGGGGAATTTTCTTCGTCTTCTTTCAGATCTGCATTATTCTGTTCCTTCTTTATTATCCTCATCATTGATCACAATAAAATGAATCCTTCGCATATACTCTTTTCCAGGAATACGTATAGTCTTAGTTTAGGCTTTTCTGAAGGTGGTTTACACAATAGGCTTAGCGAAGATATCCGTAGCACAAAAGATTAGAAGTGTAAGACAAACAAAAAAAAAAAAAAAAAAAGAAATAAAATTATATGTTAACGAGTGCAAGTGATAGGATGATACTTCTCTTTTACCGTGGTGTTTCTATGTATCGATGACTCTCATTGAAGAAGATGACATTTCATCGATTTATTACTCATGTGATGAAGACGAAGGTAAGAGTGTATAAAGTAAAATTAAAAAAAATAAAATGGTTGCTACTGGAGGGTTTGCTAAAAAAAAAAAAAAAGAAAATGCATTCCTATGCTTACAGTTGTCTATATTCAATGGATATATCATAGAAGAATCTCTTCAAATTGACGACATTGATTTCTCGGATGATCAAGGTCCGTTCGACATTATTCTAGTAGATATTAGAAAAACGGCTGAACAGGGGCGTGTTTACTGCGAAAAAATGGAGATCTTAGGTGAGCAGACAGTGGACTATATCGCTTTGTCATATCGATGGGGAGAGCTAGACGAGCAATATGTACCAGCCACTGATGATTATTATGCCCACGTTATTTCTTTTCATTTGTATGATTTTTATGCCTTGTGCAGGCGCATGCTCCATGAACCTGACTTGAAAGATGTTAAATACGTATGGGTGGATGCTATCTGTGTCGACCAGGGCAATGATCAACGTAAAAAAGCTACCATCTATCGGATGACTGATATCTACAAAAATGCGACATATATTGTTGCTGTGCCTGATCTACACAAGTATTCATTGATCACGATCAGCGATTCAAATGAAAGGATGTATGAACAAGTTCACAAACATCGGTGGTACATTTACCATTTTATCCATGAAAATATCCAACAGCTGCATCGACTTGATGAAGATTGGAGATATAGACTGAAAAATCCATCTGATGACACTCGACAGGAATATAAAAAGAAATTAAAAGTTGGGAGAGTAAGTAGAACGATTGATGGTTAAATAGAATTTACTTATATCTTTTTTTTTATTACTTTTATTATTATTATAGTTTTTATTGGATTCTGAGGATAAAGAAATTGAGGCCTGGGATATTCTATCCAAGCAAAATCATAATGATGATCATAATCTACAACACTGGATAACTATGTACAGGACAATCACGGAAAAACTATTGGAAGAAAATAGACAAGAACGAATAAAGGATGTCATCTATTACCTAGAAGGTTTATTTCGAGATTGGTCCAATCGAGCATGGGTCATCAGTGAATATAGTATTGCCAAGGAACAGAACAAAGGGAAAATGAAATACTGGTTTATCCATCTCGACAAAGAAGATGATTTTTATGGCGAACCTTTCTTTACATTGAATTTTAATCGTTCAGATGAATTGTATCCTGATATCCCAGACTATTGGTATTTTCGAGTATTGGGGGACTACCACAACTCTATCATGTCCAATACTGTCAAACGCACATTTCTAGACATGATGCTCAACTCGCGAGCCACCAAAAACGAAGATCGATTCCATGCCATACTACCTTTATCATCAAAGTACGACAAGATCAAAAGATCCAAGGATACCATCTCTAGCTGGAACATATCAGATATGAAATCCGTCAAATTGAAGTTGTATGAAATCCTAGACATGGAAGACAAGCTTTATTTGCTTCAAGGTTGCTCTAAAGAAATACAAACTCTCTTGCCTACTTTTGTGTCTAAATTTGACCCTGATACCATCCATTATTTTACCTATGTGTCTTCTCTCCGTTCATCCGAGTTCAATTTTGATTTTAGCGACGCCATCCAGTTTGAATCTAATAGCAAGTGTGGAGATTATCAAGGTCCGTGTCTTCACTTGCGGCCTAAAAAGTACTACATACATCCGATGGATTCATTATTGCAGGAGGAGGTAAAAGAGTATAATAGAGTACTCAAGGAGCTTGGTTTTGAACGTATGGATGAGTCTTTCAAGTTTGCGACAATCTCATCATTTTATGCTGATGATGACAGCGACATCACTGATCTATATGAGGACTTGGTGATTCAACTTTTTGGCAGCATCACCAAGAATGTTTGGATATTGTGTTCGTTTGATATGGATGACGAGCGATTGTCTCGACAGGTCCATGTCAACAAGGATTACGTCTTTTCCGTTTATTAAGTTAATAAACTTTATGTTGTTTTGTATCATCATATCAATAGGGTAGTAAAAAAATATGGTGATGATGATGGTAGTCTTATATATCAATAAATCAAGTAGTGTATTTTTTTTTAATTTCTATTTTTGGGCTATACATCAAGATCAGCGCTTGAATATTTAAAAGTAGTAATTTTTTCCCGACTCTATTTTTTTCCTCTTTCTTCCACTTTTTTTTTTATTTTTTTTATTTTTTTTTAAATCTACCCTTTGATGAAACAGCGATAGCAGTATGATATCAACTTTTTTTTTTACAGTCCGTTCATATGGTGACTAATGGCATACATTCTCATGTTATCACATCTTCGATTGGTTTAATGACAAGCGTGCAGAAGGATAGAATACAGAAGGGGTAATCAAGGTAAAAAGTAATTCGAGAAAAAAGAAGGTGTAAAAAGTCAGGCTTTTTATTCCCAGATTGAATGGTACACGCGTTATAATTAACTCTTCTAGTTTTTGGTAGGAGGCGTATTCCTTCTTGCTGTTATCTCAAGGTCCTGGTTTGATAATGGTTACTCATGGTGCTGTTATGAACTTTATTCATGCTCTTGTTACCACTGGAAATCCTGTTCTACTTTTTTTTTTGTTTCACTTACAGCAACAACAACGAATTCCAACTATATTATTCAGTACAATGATATCAGGTAACAATACAAACGGGATCATACCTCTTGGCGTATCTGTAGTGTTACAAGGGAACAAAAGAATTGTCCAAATAACGTATGGGATGGCATCATTGAAAAATTTTGAAGGTAATGCAAGTATGTACGGTGGCATATCTCGATGGGTTGGAACGAAGGATGATATTTACGCCTTCTTTTTTTTTGGGAAGAAAAGATACGATTAGATCACCGGCAATATTAAACAAAGACATCCTTTTGGATGGTAAGATACTTCGATCGTATTGACGCAACTGGGATGGAAAAGGAACAAAGGGTATTTACGAGGTATAGACCGAACGTGATGACTTACAACTGGAAGATCTATGGCGCAACAAGCTGGTGGCAATTATTGGTAAGATCACGAAAGAACCATCGCCGTGATATTCCTCAGCTAATATGATTTTTAACATATGCAGTAGGTACTACTTGATGGTCTTCTGTGGTTATTGGACAGAATGGAAAGGAAATGATACCAAACAGGTTTCTTTTTGGTATGTGAGACTTGTCAAGTCAATATACTTTGGTTTATTAATTTAGCTTGTGCCTATAGTTAATAAAGAAATAGAATTTACGTCCATAAAATAGGATGATGATGATGGTTTATTTACACTTGTTTTTGTATCCATATATATATATATATGACACCAATATGCGAATGGAACCCCATGTTTGATTCATATTTCGTCTTGATGAGTCGAATAAAATTCTGTTAATTCATTTGTATCCGTTAATGATAAATAAAAAGATTGATTTTTATTGAAAGTATAAATAAACTAAAATTATTCTAAGGAAGACTATACTGATTTTTGTTGATTAGAAGTATTAATCACGGCCATTTCACGCCATTGACCATCATATCCTGCTTTCCATAATCTAACTGTACCATCACTACCGGAAGAAGAGAGAATGGTACCCATGATATTCCATTCAACACGCCATACCTACTCATTAAAAAATAAAGATTTATTTATATGATCCTTGACTACCAGTACAGATCTCCATTTTTTTTTTTTTTTGGTATTACCTCTGCTTGATGTTGACCGAATTCAGCCACCATTTCCACATGAAAGTTACCACTTGATTTAGTGGTGGATGATTGCTTGCTGAGTACGTTCACTCTAGTTCCATCCTTTAATGCCATGGTATCTGTCAATTTGAATATCCGTACATAATGATCCTTGCATGCAGTAGCAATCAATTGATATGATCTAATAGTTAAAATATGAAGGAAATCATCAGTCCCCAATCTTTTTATTCTATTCTGATATATCATTATATTTTACCTGCCCATACTAGGTGCCCAGCTCACATCATTGACTTGATTTGTATGTCCAAATAATAATTCACCAGGATACCATCGATTATGTCCATCATGTTTAAAGATCTATCCATAGTGTAGATAGATATATACATATTAACAAAAATCAAAAAAAAAACTACCAGATTCAAATGTATTACCTTTGCACCATATTCTTTTCCTAAGCCAACTACCATCATTGGATGAGATGTTCGATTGGGACACCAATGAATACAATATCCACTTTCAATATCGATAGGTCGGTGTTGATGATGTTCAGATTCCAGTGGTTGATGTTGATCCAAAGAAGACATCGTCAGACTTGGAGCAACACCTGGTAATGTCATAGGAGGAGGGATGCCGGGTGTCGCAGGAAGATGGGTTCCAAAAGGTAACTGAGGGGTATCCATGGAATTGCTGCCACCACTTGAACTTGAATTTGGCGTTTGTAATGGAAGATGTTGTTGAAGATTGGAGGGCGGTGAGCTTAGATTACCAAGATGAGGTGGATGTAGTCTTGAACCTGACATATTCTGTTGTTCTTGCTGTTGTTGTTCTTGTTGCTGCTGTTCATATTGCTGTTGTTGCTGTTGTCGCTGTAATTGAGATTGTGATAGATATGACTGTTGTTCCTGATCCTTGCTGTTGCCTATAGATTGATGATCACCCTGTTGTGAGCTTGGTGATGATGAAGATGATTGTTGATGCTGTAATTGTAATTGTTGCAATTGCTGTGGTAATTGTAATTGTTGTTGCTGTAGTTGTTTCTTCTGTTGTTGTTGGAATGGTTCTAAATTTCCTTGCTGTATTTGTTGAAGTTGAAGTTGTTCATGAAGTTGATGTTGTTGTAATTGTTGTTGTTGAGATAATAAAGACGATGTAGGTGCTACGCTGGTGAGAGCTGGAGTGGTCATGGCGGATGATGAACTACCTTTACCCATATCTATAGTAAATTCCTCCATTTGAGACCATTGTGTCAAGTTAGTAGGTTCCAACGCTTCATAAATTCGAATAACTCCATCCGCTGAACAAGAAGCCTATAAAGAACAAAATAAAAAGTTAGAATCAAAGTTTTCACACACTACTTATTCTATTACCAGTCGTAAAGCTCCTTGCATGGGCGAAAAAGCAATGTCCAATACGGCACCTTTAGATTCCACTAATCGAAATCTTTCAGACCATCTACGTTGAGAATTCTTGGATTCTAAATATATATATATCCAAATATATGAGTAAAGAAAAAAAAAAGTTGGTAGATAATAAAAAAAAAAAAACGATCATGTATCTACTTTACCTACAGGTTGTTCTTCCCAAATCTTGACTGTTCTATCAAATGAACAACTTGCAATGATTTGACCATATTCAGGAGGAGCCCATAAAGCCTTCATAACAGAACCATCGTGAGCCTTCCAAGCATCGTTCAGTTCCCATACCGCGACCTCGGGTGTTTCTACAAAGTCCCATACTTTAAGTTTTTGATCCGATGAACAAGTTACTAGTCTTTTTCCATAATAGTCATATTCTATGCCATGTACTAGATCTTCATGACCTGTTTCAAACTTTGTAAGGCTGGTCATACAATAAAGCTGAAAAAGAAATGGAAAAGAGAAAAGGAAAGCGAAAAAAAAAATGTGAGAGACAAAAAATAAAAACAATGAACTGTGTTTTAATTTTTTCGCTTCACTATCTTCTTTTGTATGGAATCAAAAAAAAGCCAATCAAAACACATTATTTTTTTAATAACCAAAAATAGTTCGGGTGATAAAACTTACCACATGGTACGACCCTTATTGACAATGAGCATTTTCAATTTTCTCTTTATGTATATATAAATATTCACTATAAAAAAAAAGTATATCATTGATATTTATCCCCTCTTCTTAAATGTGATTTCAAAAAAAAAGGATCAATGTATTATATCTGTATCATAAAAGGGATGAGTAACATGTTACTTATTTGCATGAATCTCTATTAAAACACCGCATCAGCTTGAAATGTAGGTTTATTTAAGGACGTTTACCCAGTAACTATAAACTCATTGATGGATGATTTCATTGACCAAAAACTTATTGATTGGACGTGGAAAGCAATGTCGATAAAGTTTGTAAACGGTCTGACAAAAGAATCTACGTTGAAAGCTAAGTGACCCTACAAGTAAGAGCGACATGGGATAGAACACAAAAAACAGCAATATATATATAATGAGTTGTGGACCAGCTATTACAAGAAAGAAAGAAAAAAAATGGTCAAATGATATAAATATAGTGGACTTTCTTACTTTGATCCGGTATCAAAACTTGTACAAGTCTCAAGGCAATGATAGAAGTGAAGTGGGCTGCTAAGGAGATTAGAACACCTCTCCAAATATTAACCAGGATAAACCAAGAACGATGGTCTTCATAATAAGGCCCCACATTTTTTATCAGGACATCAGCCTCTTTAGTAGGTTCTCGTGAGGATGATTGATCTGTTGACAAATGGGTAGATGTTATTGGTAACAAAGGTGAAGTTTCAATTTCGTTTGCCATGGTAAAAAAAATAGGATCAAAAAAAAAAAAAGGAAAAAAGAAAAAGGAAAGAAAGAAAACAAAAAGGAAATTATTTATATCATACTAGTTTTTTTTTCGGGAGGGACGGATAAAAGCAAACTGCGCAAATAGTATTCGTGCGACAGAAGAAAGTTCCCTGTATTACAGCTATGATTCTGTGGAGATGGGGCTAATAGGGGAAACTAGCCAATGGCACTTTTGAAAAAATAAGAAGGTGTGAATGAGAAACTGTATACATAAAAAAGAAAGAGAAAAAGTGGTCCACTTGTAACTTTGGCTATGGATTATGATTTAGTTTCTTTTGTACTGTCAGGTCCATTCTGTTCCATTCATCTTCATCTATTGTCCAAGTAATATGTTACAATACAACTTCATGTGCAATCATCATCATTCGATTACCTTCCCAGAAGAAGCATGTATAAGAACATTTGAATATATCTTTATTGATATGAAAGATAAAATGGATGTGTATAAAGGACGAAGGAATAATAAGGAATACAATGTATAAATAAATAAAATATCAAAGATAGTAATAATAGTAATATAATAAAAAAAAAAAAGGATTAAACGTAAACTGAAAGTTCTAATTGTTACCAAAGAATCGAGTCATGACACTAAGATAATGAGAGGCAATGGTTTTCTTATCATTTTGATAAATGGTCATCAAAGCACCCATAGATAACATGAATAAAAGGGTATCACCATAAGGCACATTCTTTACATAACCACGCTTGACCATGGATCGCCACCAAGATTCCATACCTCTTGTAAGACAATAAAGCCCAAGTTCTTAAATATCAAAAAAAACAAAAAAAGGTATCAATAAGAGTATATATATATTAACGAAATGATCTTTTTTTTTTTTACCTAATTGACGTCCATGTGCTTCCAATAATACCATACTACCACCCACCAAACCTGGTAAATAATAAATCCATCGACTTTCTCTTCCTGTGAAAGGACGTACAGCACAAGGTGTTGCAAAACCCATAGTGACATACATTGCCAAAAATAAAGACGATCGTGTGGCAGATTTCAAGAATTTTCGGAAGACAGTGATTGGACTATTTCAAAAAAAGTTGTGAGTCTATGATTAAATGATTCTCCTTTTTTTTTTTTATTATAATTATTATTATTCACTTACTCTGATTTGAGTTGATTATATCTAAATACCAAAGTCATGATCTAAAAAAAAAAAAAAGGAAAGGATGAATACCATGGATTACATTCATTCATTTTTTCTTTTTCTTTTTTTTTTTCAAACACTTACGACGTTCAAAGGAACATATAATTTCAAAGCACGACCATATTCATCACGGAACAAAGTGAATTTGCTACGAGTACAAGAATCATCTAAAGGATGTTGCAAGGCACATAGAGTAAAAGAATGACGAATATTGTGAGGAATGATGGTGGCGACATTAGGACTGACATGTTGAGAGATATATTCACGGGTGGTAGTATCAGTAGGAATACGATGAGGTAAAGAGGTAGGATCCACATCCATTCGAGTCACAGTGTCACAGATAGAAGAAACAAGAGGTAAAGCCATATTCCCAAAGTCACCTTTCCAACCAGCATGAGTCAATAAAAATGCAAAATAAGACTTGGGTAATGTATCACGATCAAACAAAAAGGCATAAATGATTTGTGCATTGGCAAGCATCATCACAAGCGCACCAGCATAGTGTTCTAACCCTTTGGCAAGTATATCTTCAAAGGATCGATGTAAGGTCAATTGACGAGGTTCATCTTGTTCAAATCCTTTTGCATCCACTTGTTCTTTGAGTCGATTAAAAGCTTGTTGACGTCGTTGTTGTCTTGATTTGGACCATTGAGTCATCAACCAGGCCCCACTAAACTGAAGACTCCGTGTTAAAAGGTATAACATCATTGATTGACGACGTCGTTTATCAGGATCAATCATTAAAGATAAACCAGCTATTGTTCCAGCTACAAATGCATTCAATCGATCAGATCCACCCTCTTTTGTCCCACGTAATCGCCGCATCCCACAAAGAATCCCCTTATAACTACTAAGGAATGTACTAAGGAATAAAGCAAACAATGCCGTATCTCTAATTTGAGAAAAAAAAGGTAAAAACCATTTGGTCAGTTTTTTTTTTCATCATTTTCTGTAATTGTTGTTACTTTACTTTCCAGCCATGCGTTTCAACATACTTGGTCTATATAATAGGATATAAATATAAATAAATAAATAAAAAAAAAGAGAGAGAGAGAGAGAAAATAATATTGTTTACTTACTTTTTGAAGAGTTTTCCAGTTAATAATAAAGGTAAGACACCAATAAGATACTTCACAACAAAAGCAACAGTATAAGCTTTGATAAAACCACGCGTACAGTTCTGAGTACAAGTTTTGCCTTCATGTTGACATTTATAATGACGTTGTTTGACCTGAGCTTGAGTTAATTCTAAATTTAAACGACTGAGGTTTTGACTATAAAAAAGAGAAGAGGAATGAGTTGAGAATAATTGACCAAAAGAGTATAATACCTGCTTAGACGTTTTAATCTTTCTTGAAAAGAACGAATAGAAGTCAGGACAGCTTCCGTTTCTCTGTCGGTTAATAGTTTGGAGACAATTTGAGCCAAACTTTCAAGGAAATTTTCATAATAAGAAGGAGGAACGGGTGGAAGGGAAGAGGACATGAAAAAAAGAATAAAGGAAGAAAAGAAAAAATAAGAAAAAAGAAAAGAAAAGAATAAAAGAATATAATAATAAAATAATATTTTTTTTTTCTGCTGTAACCAGTGATAACCATGTGATTCACGCTTGAAAACTATGACTGAGTTAGAATGTTCCCTTTTCTCATCCCCCAACCAAACAAGAGCTCCATTTTGAATTTTTGCATATGGACTATTAGAAAATAATCATTCTTTTATATTTTTATTTTTATATATATAATATGTGTATTATGAATATTGTGTAAATGATTTTATTTTAACTATTATGATGATGATGATGATTAAATATTATAAAATTATATTTATAATTTAAAGAAATAAAGAATTAAAGAAATATAATAATAATGTTTGGGGTATTGATCAACAAAGAGGTCTCTCCACTACCCTCTTTGGTGATTTCCTTTTTAAGTTCGACTGAGATGCAAAAAAAAAAAAAAAAAGGAACAGTCATTTTTTTCATAGTTTGCTTTTCGATAATGTAATATTTTTTTTTACTTATTTTTGGATTTTATAACAATCCCATTTTCATCCAATCAAATTCAAACTAATTCTGTCAGAGTTTGAAAATGTTGAAGATTGCTTTTTTGGACCTGTTCTCCCTAATTTTTTTTATTTCTTTTTCTTTTTTTTTTTTTTTTTTTTTTTTTACCCTCCCCCTTATCATATTTATTGGACTTATAGAACATCTATCTTACTGTTATTAATTAACTGAATAGACATCCTTTTTTTATTTATAATTTTTTTATTTGTTTGTTTGTTTGTTTGAATACATCATCATCATCTTATTTATAACAAAACCATGGCATCAGATTCCAATCTTTCAACTCGATCCACCAAATCTGTTTTAGATTCATCTATGGTATGGTTAGGTCTTTATTTCTTCTTCAACTTAAGTTTGACATTGTACAACAAAATCATCCTATCTTTATTTGATTTCCCTTTTCCTTGGACTTTGACAGCTGTACATACTTTATGTGGTGCTATTGGTTCCTTTTTATTTTGGAAAGCTGATCTTTTTACTCCTTCTCAATTGGGTGAAAGAGAAAATATGGTCATGCTCATGTTTTCTGTCCTTTATACTATTAATATTGCCATTAGTAACGTTTCTCTGTAAGTTGATTTATTTCCCTTTATTTATATTCATACTCATTCTCTTTTTTTTTTTTCTTTTTGATAGAAACTTGGTAACTGTACCTGTAAGTATAGATATTTTATTGGAAGAAAAGATTGATCTTAATTTCATTGTTTTTTTTTTTAAAAAAAATAGTTTCATCAAGTAGTACGTGCAATGACTCCTTTGTTCACCATTCTTTTGTCTGTTATGTTCCTCAGTAAATCATATTCAAGTATGACTTATATCTCATTATTTCCGGTAATAATCAAAAAAAAAAAAAAAAAGAATTAACTCTCGATTATTTATTAAACTATATTTCTTTTATATATATAAAATAAAAAAAAGGTGGTAGCAGGTGTTGCTTTTGCCACATTTGGTGATTACAATTATACAACCATTGGATTCTTTTTGACAGTATTGGGAACTATCTTGGCAGCTGTAAAAACAGTGGTTACAAATCGAGTACAAGTAGGTCGACTCAAGCTTCATCCATTGGATCTATTATTACGGATGTCTCCTTTAGCCTTTCTTCAAACTACCGCTTATGCCTATCTCACTGGTGAAATGGCCCTGGTACAAGAATTCATGCAAACACGCGCCACATGGTCTTTTGTCTTTGCTTTGTTGGTCAATGGCGTTTTGGCCTTCTTTTTAAATGTAGTAAGTTTTACTGCTAACAAGAAAACAAGTGCTTTGACTATGACTGTGGCTGGAAATGTCAAACAAGTACTATCTATCGTTTTGGCCGTGGTGATCTTCAACTTACCTTTGACTTGGATGAACTCTGTGGGGATTTTATTGACTCTTGCTGGTGGTGCTTGGTATACGTAAGTGAAATTATTTTTTTTATTTTATTTCTGTAAAAACATGATTGATCTCATGATTTATTTATTACAATAGTCAAGTGGAAATGCAAGAAAAGAGTCGTGCCAAGAAATTCAATGATTCTTTACTGGTAACTACCATGACTCGTGATGAAGCTGGAAAGCCTCAATTTTAGATAACACAACCTTTTTACATTTAGTTTCTTTTTTATTGCATTCATATATTTATTCCTTTTTTTTTTTTGTATTCAGCACTTATATTCTACTTTGTTTACCATCATTTTTATCATCATACATCATTATCATCATCCATCATTATCACACCCTTTTTTTTTTTTAGTTTATTACACAAGACTGGGCACACACACACACATACATATATATATATACACAATATACTCACATAATAAAAAAAAAACTTCGTCTTATAGATCATCATAGCCAAAACATACAAAAATTGGATTTTAGAGTACTTATTCGTGGAGGTTGAAAAAACATCATACCAATTGTAATGATGGATGGGTGATATTACTCCTCCTTTTTTTTTTTTTTTAGTTGACTCCATAGATGCAGAAGCTAAGAATTGCATTAGGTTCAAGAAAATGGTTTGTTTTATGTCTTGTTCAAACTTGGTGTGATTTTTTCATTTTACAGCCAAATTTTTCGAACTCCTCAGCCAAATCTTGGCTGTAAAAACCGATCGTCAGGGTACCCTCAGGCAATTTTTGGAAAAACCGATGAAATCTTTTGGAAATCATCACCGATAAAATGTTACTCTATGATGTTAGACTACTTTTTTTTGAGAGGAATTCAATGATGGTAATTTTATTAGACGATGATGGTTATTGGATGAGGGATGAGTATCTTTGTTTTCGTTTTTGAATTTACTATAAATTGGGAGGTAAAACATAAATTTAGGTAACTGAAAGAGAATATCTTTATGTATGTTCAGTCGAAGTTTGGGTGCGATGATGATATTTGTATTACTCCTTTTTTATCTAATTCCTACAATAAAAACGCAACTATACCAATAAAGAGCCTTATCATTTGTTATTATTTTGAAATAGAAGTCCATGTAAATGTATACGTCGTCTATGTTATTAAGAAATAATCAACATCAACATCAGGAATAATGGTATGTATTCATCGTCATCAGTAACAGAAATAAAAAGGAATCTTTGTACAGCGGTAAGGAAAAAGAAATAGATACAGTATCAATATCTTTATATATTTTTATTTTTGTTGTTTTATAAAGATAACCAAAGCCTAAATGATCATATGTGCGACTGGTGTAAAAAGAAGTATATAATGCATCCATCCAATCCATCCTTAGTTTAAGCACAGCAGCATCTTTAGGTGGATTACATGACCTTTTCAAGCACGGTATCATAGTCTACCTAAAAAAAGTAATAGAAAAATAAACACGTTCAATAATCCTTTTCGTCTCTTTCACCTCTTAATCCAAAATGTTGTATCATACGACTTCTTTTTTTTTTTTAATTTTATTTCCTATTGCCTACCTCAGAAAATGTCGCGCCTTTAATGTACAAACCTACACCGTCCAACTTTGAAAGAAAATCATCCACGTTGGAAGCATATAAACCTCTTTCTCTAACCTTGGAACGATCAGGGTTCCTATCATCAAGTAAATATATGTGTGAGAAAGAGATGGTCCATTTCTTTTCATAGAGAAAGTCTGGTCAGTTCCTTTATAATCAGTTGGCTTACCAAAAGTAGAAAACAATTTTGCTGCGATGATTTTGGTCAGGTCCCTTATAGTTAAAATCATAAACAGCATAGCGAGGTTTGTCTTCAGGAAGATTGCCAACGAATTCATCATAAGCATCACCAGTTTTTTCAACAATAATTTCTTTCAAGTCATCTATCAATAATAATAAAAAAAATGGAGTTTAATGAAATATCATATATGGATCCCATACTGTTTGTTTATTTGCTGTCACTTACCAGACAACTTAAATATGATGTACCTGAACCTCTTGGAAAGCTTCAATTCACGATAGCATACTGCACATTCGGAGTTGAGATTGATAAGTGAAGACTGCATATGTATCATCATGAAGATAAAAAGAGATGAGCGCGTTTCATAAAGACTCCATCACAAGACGACAGAAGAAGGAAAAAATATCTAGTTGGGTTGACTTTTTTTTTTATCTTTTCATCATTGTTACCATATTGAAACGCCTGTTTGCTTTGCTTTGCTTTTTTTTTAAAAAAAAAAAAAAAAAAAAAAAAAAAAAAAAGAACAAGAAAGAAAGAAAGAAAGAAAGAAAGAAAAAGAAAAAGATTTTTTTTTCCTTACTACTATTTGAAGCAGGTATACGATTTAGTGTAACGTCCCAGAAAAAAGGCCGAAGATTTTCCCTTTTCGATATATCAATAAATGAGGTTAGGTGAGATATTGTTCGCTAGTGGATGATGGATGGGTATTTTTATTCTCATTTTTTTTTAATTTACCCTATAGGTGATAATTTGAAAGAGAATGTTTTTCATGTATGTTCAGTCCAAATTTGGTGCGCTAATGACAGTTCATTTACAAAAGTACAAAGAAGGTGCATGTCTACCCCATTTGATGTTATAGAACAGATGATTCGAATTTAGGATAAATAGGCCAAAGAAAGATCAGTCGAGTCACCAGAAGAAAAAGGTAGCAGTGACTAGATGAGAGGGGATCTTTTTCATTAGTTAAAGTTAAACGTTTGGCGGGAATTGAAATATACGGCAAAAGTTCAAGGAAAGAAAAAAAAACAAAAAGGTTGTCTCTCTTTCTTCTAGTAGCTGTTTTCTTTTTTTTTTTTTTTTATATAATATATATATATATCAACAAATGTGGTTTGATGGATTGCGACCAGTACAAGCACTGGAAAGATCAAGTGAACGTACAAAACTGACCTTAACAGCTGTGGCAGCTTCAGCATTGACATTAATGGCAGTTCTGGGATACCAAACAGCTCGACGACAAGCACGATCACGCCATGTAAAATACAACATTCAACATGAACAACAGCATGTGTCACAGCATATCAATGCTCTTGGTATGATTGAAACCAATACAACATGTACAACAAATAATATGTCAACCACTCACACCTCCACCACAACACAACAACAAAAAGAACACGATCCGACATTGATTGAAGAACAATTAGCACGGAACCAAGCCTTTTTGGGAGCAGAAGGATTGGCAAAGATACGACAGTCTCATGTCGTTGTGGTTGGATTAGGTAGTGTTGGTTCGTGGGCAGCATTAATGTTGGCAAGATCAGGTGTACAACATATTCGATTGATTGATCCTTCGGTACTGGTGGCAAAGGACTTGGCTTGTCATGCTGCTGCTACTCCATCTACCCTTGGTGTACCTAAAGTCTCAGCTCTTCAAGCAACATTGTCACATATTGTTCCTTTTGTCCATATTGAATCTATTATTGGTGAATGGCAACCTCGACTTTTGGGAATGATGGATCCTATTCATACGTCTATGACTGACAACAAAAAGGACGGCAAGATCATGGTGGTGGATTGTTTGGGCAATAATTCTATGGATGCTAAACTCAAGTTGATTGAATTCTGTCATTCTCATCGTATTCAAATTGTCTCTGCCTTGGATCCTGGAAACAAAGTCGATCCTACTCGTATTCAAATCACTGATATCAGTGATTCTTTTGGTAAGTCAAATCTATTCAAATACATATATATATATATCAAAAAAAAAAAATAACCAATGGACATTGATTTTGTTTCTTTCTTTTTTTTTTTTTTTTATTTTTAGATGATCCTTCTGCTAAAGTGATTCGTCGTCGATTAAAGTTGATGGGTATTGATCGTCATCTTCCTGTAGCTTATTCATCTGAAAAACCTATGGATCCTAAATTCATCAAAGGTAAGAATAAAATAAGGTGGAAAATGGATGCTTACCATTTATTATTATTATTGTTAAAGATCAAGGCATTATTACCTCTATAGAAGAAGGCATACCAAATATTCATGTACGACATAGCCCTGTGGTTGGATCCATTGCAGCAATGTACGGAATGGCCCTGACAACCTTTATACTTTTACAACTGGCGGATTTCCCTGCTTATGAATTACCTCCAATCAAGTTACGCGATAAATTATACACACGGATACATCAAGAAGTCAATAAACGAGAACGACATTATTATCATTCTCCGTAAGTAAAAAAATAAAAGGAAAAGAGATAGGATTAACTGGTTTTTTTTGGTAGGGATACGGAGTTGAATTTGAAGCAAGTGGAATACATTTATGAAGAAATTTGGCATGGTAAGAGTGTATTATCAGGACCTCAAGAACGTATTACTTTGGCTCGTTGGGATCGTACTCGTCCTCTTGGGTATTTGAATACCGTCTGTATGTCCAAAGAAGAAGCTAGAGCTCATGATGTACTACCTATAGATACCAACTTGAGACAATATTATGGAGACGGTAATAGAAACCAAAAAAAAAAAAAAAAAAAAAAAAGATTCCTTTTACTTATTCTTTTTTTTTTTCTATCTCTATAGATGTGGTGGATTATGTAGAAAAACAATTAGATGAAGAGGCCAGATTTGAAAAATTATTCAGCTAGTAACTAGATTTTTTTTATTTTATATATTGAATAAAAATTGGAAGGGGGGAATAGAATGATGATTTGATAGACAGATAGAAAATCAATTGAAGACCATAGGATGATGATATTTGTTGATATGCGGTTTAATGAAAAGCAAAAGGATGATGATGGGATACAGATGGACTACGTTTACTTTGCAAAGATCGAGTCTTCTTTTTTTTTCTCAAGTGTCCTATCTACAGTTATTCAAAACTTTGGAAAGGGTATAAGGGTAAGAGTTGATGCATAACATCTAAAAACGCGTAGTCTATTTGGTAGTGAAGGAGAAACTAAGGTCGTACTGAAGGAGAGATTAGTATCTTATATTTTTTTTTTTTTGAATTCGATATGTAAAATGAAGTTTATCTGTAATGACGCGTACGGTTGATGAAATAACGCGGTAATTACAAGAATTTGGCTAAGATAGTGCACTTTTTGCTTTGATACATCGTATACACTTTAAAATGCAACATCCCCATCCCTATCATCATGTATCATCATTTATTATTAAAGGACCAGAACGTTGGTATGATTTATTTACATCCAATCGTTTCAAAACGATGATACGCATGTAATGTCGGAAGATACGGAGGAGAAAGATTTTATTATAGATGGCTGGTGAATTACTAAAATTGGTTAACTGCTTGTCTGTGCAACTCTGTCTTTTTTTTTCAAATTCCAACGATAGGAAAAGTGCCTCATCTAACCCTTTCATTTTTGATCACATAACCGAAACCATTATTCACCGCTGATGAGATGAATAAAGTGCGTATTTTTAGTATTGATTTTCCACCTATCATATAACATCATCATCAGGTAAAAAAGAAAAAAAAAAAAGGAAAACATAGTGTGATAAGTCATCAAACGCCATTTCACTTTGGTCTAGACAATCATCATCGAAAAAAAAGAACCAATTCATTCTTTTCATTGCACCTTTTGACAAATAAACAAACATTAAAATATCGTTTCAAGATAAAAAAAAAACCTTCTTATTGATGAAGACAACAAAAAAAAAAACTCACACGAACGTATGCAAATGAACTGGGGCATTGTCGGGTATCATCCCGTATGTGTAACGTAACTGTCACACTTTGCAAAATAGGCCTTTTTTGAATATAGAGTATAAATATATGTTCCAAATATAGAAAAAAAAAGCAAGTGAATGGATCATCATTTTGGATTGAGACAAAAAAAAATATACATTTTTTTTATTATTCAAGAGAAAATACAATTATATGTAAGAGGTGTATGTATATATGTACATCAAATTTAGAATTCGAAACCAGTTTCCTTGGAGTAGAGAGCTTCAGCTTCCTTCTTGGCGTGGCTAAAAAAAAAAAAAAAATGAACATTTTGTTTTCAACTCCATGATGATGTATGATACTTACTGCTTGGCCTTTTCCTTGTCAATCCAGTTCATACCCTTGGATTCGATGAAACCATCAACGGAAGCAGCAGCGAAACCAGCGAGGAGTTCCTTGGCAAGAGCGTGGTCAACTTCTTGACCTTCAGCCTTCTTCTTCTTGTTCAAAAGGTGAAGAGCTTCGAAACCAGCAGCACCGGCAAGAAGTTCGTGGGTCCATTCAGACTTGTGTTCTTCAGTAGCTTGGTCAATGGATTGGAGACCTGTATAAAAAAAAAAAAAGAAATGAGATGGATGATCAAAAAAAAAAAAAAAAAAACAAATGATCATGAATCAAATTTACTTACGGTTATAGGTTTCTTCGTGGTGAGTCATGATTAAAAATATATATAAGATAAAGAAAAAGAAAAAAAAATAAAATCATCATCAAGGTTCGCTTTATATATCTTTTTTTTTTTTTTGATGGAACCAGTCCCAATGCATTTTTTTTTTTTTTTTTTTACAAGAAAACCTTAAATTTATTGAGTGATTAGTATTTTGATATCCAGCCACCCTATAAGATATTCAAACCACATCGCCTTGGCGTTTCATTTTGGTAAAGATCACCTTTTTTCCCACTTGACATCCTTCCTCCTTTTTCCCAGCCACACTCTATTTAGTTGAATGTCTTTTTTTTTTACTATACCTAATTTGTCTCTTGCTCCGTTGAAGATTATACTTTAATTGCTTACTTTCAGGACACGCCACTATCAATACTTATGACGCGTCTCTCAGCTTTGACGGATGCCTTTAAAAAAAAATAGAGATTCGTGCTTATACCAACGTCATGATTGGATTCATTATTCAGTGGAGAATAAAAAAAGGCTCAATTATTCTTTCATCTTTTGGTAAAACGGTGCTTAGGAAGAGTTGACAGAAACGACAAGTTCGGAGAACATGGATATATCATGTACATTATCGTCATGAGTGTAACAATCAATAGAATGAGAGAGAAAGTGAAAGAATGGTAGGACGAACGGTCGCCTAATTTAGTCAGGAAACAAAAAAAAAAGATGATGTACCACCCTTATTTTTTATCACCACTAATACAGCTGGTAATAATGATGATGATGATGATGATGATGATGATGATGATGATGATGATGATGATCTTTACCAATCAAATTCAAAAAAAAAGCAAGCACTTTTTCTATTTCTTTTACGCCGATGATCATCGTTAACGCGTCCACCGATGAAAAAAAAAAAAAAAAAAAGAGAAAGAATCATCATATCATAGACTAAGAAAGGCACTACGTGGAAAAGTCTCTCCCAAAACAAGACAACTTGGACTGGGTCTTTCATCCTTCTCATTCTTCTTCTTAACTCCCATTTCAATCTTTTAATGCCCGCGTTCCACTTGCATACTTGATTGTCCTATTCATCCTTTGTTGCACTTGACAACACACAGACTAAAAAACGCTACATTCTTACGCTAAAAAAAAACTCATCACGTATCTATTTTAGTACACTTGGATTACCCTGATACAAGGACTCGTGCGTAGCATAAAAAAAAAAAAAGAGGGATGCTCGGACCCTCCGAATGAAAACACATATATATACATAAGATGTACATACAATCTACCACTACTATTAATGTACAAGAGTCACTGTTTTATTCAACTAGAAATCACTACCAAGTATAAACTAGATATAAATAAAATAACCAAAGCCCAGGTAAGATTCTATTTCTTGAATAAACCTTTCTTCAACCATTTGGGTACACTTGCGGGAGCCTTGCCACTTGCTGAAGAGGATGTTGATGATGATGTTGGAGAAGAAGTAGAAGATGGTGATTGTTCAACAGGCACAGTCAAAGGTTTGATTTGATCCAAATACATTTGAGAAAGAACAGAGGATGATGATGATGTTTTATCAAGCCATACAAACATAACATTGGAAGCTGGTGCCAATCCAGCTTTGTACAGAGTCACTTCAGGTTCCGTCAATTTCGTGCGTGGTGGAAGACATAACAAAAAGGCACGATCTGGCGTCGCCAAAGTAGATGCAATAAATTCATATAATGCCGCCACTAATCAATAATAATAATATCAGTACACTTGTCCTATCATCCCATTTCTCTCTTCTTTTTTTTTAAAAAAAAAAAAAAAACCTTTTTCTTTGGATTCAAACACGGCTTGAAGAATAGTATGATCAGGGAATCGTACACGAATAGTTGTCTTGGGATACTTTTTCATTCGTTCTAGTTCTTCGGCATTTCGCATTTTTTGTGTTTTGAGAGGACTACAAACAAAGATAGCTCAGTAAACTAATAAATATATATATCACTTCCGTTCCTTCATCACTATATACCTGTCTTCTAGATTCTGTCGATGAGCCACTTGTGCTTTATATAACTTTGCCACTTGATTAGAATCCAATTTGAAGAATGATTCTGGTATTTCAGCTATTCATCAAAAAGAAATAGATTAATGATCCAAGTGGTTGAATTACTTACTATTCAATCTTTTTTTTTTTTTTGTTCTTCATTTACCTGGTGCTGGCGAATTAGCAGGAGGACTGAAGACTTGTATTTGTCTATCTTTTGGAGGTACTGGTGGTGGTGTTGGAGTAGAGGATGTTTCTTGTTCAATTGATGCCATGGTATGTATTATATAAAGATATTTTTTAATAAAAGAATGAAAGAGGATAAAACAAAAGACTGGACGGGATAGTAGATGAATTGAATATGAAGGTTATTAAGGAACAAAAGTGGAAATAAAGAAACAAAAAGAAAAAAAAGTGAGAACAGCAAAAGGGAAGGAAAAAAAACAGTCGGAAGATGAAAAAAGAGAATCAAGTGTGGGTCGATAGTTCCATTTTGGGATGCAGGTATGATGGGTATTGAATAAAGTGTAAAGTCCTTCCCTTCCCTTTTTATATATTTCTCCTTGGTAAAAAAAGAGAGAGAGAAAAAAAAAAGATATGCATGGAATGCGTTATTTGTTTACTGGTCATTATAGTTGGCAGTAGATCATTGTGATTTCTGTCAAGGAGGTTACTTTTAAATGATACACAATCAAAAAAGAGAAAAAGGTTATTTCTATATAGTCAATTAACTGCTAGCTAAGTATAGAAATAACCTCCTCTCCTCTATTTTATCCTGATGAGAAAACCAGATCTTTCTTTTTTGTTTATAAAAAAAAAAAAAGAAAAAAGAGTTTAAAAGATAAATAACATGATGAAACGCATGTTTCATTGGAACCTTCGATTTTCAATCATCATCAAAAATAAATAAACATTCATATTGAATCATTGACTCCTTTTTTCCTCTCAATTTTCCTCTTTATTCTTCTTCTTATTGGATATAGAATAAGAAAGAACAATTAAATTTTAATCTTATCATCATCATTCATTATCATGACAACAGGAAAAATACAACAACAACAACAACTTCTTTCTCCTTCTTCTATTCAATATCATCATAATAATGGCTATCAAACCATTCAAACTCCCTCATCGAATGATCAAATTGAAAAGCGAATAATGCCATCATTTCGTCAACAACGTCGTCCTATTCAATTACAACAACGTCAATCTCAACGTGCATCAAGTTCACATAAATTATCACGTTCTAGTAGATCTTCAGAAGCCGATCATCGTACGATTTTGAAATTATTTTTATCTACTTGTTTTATATTAACTGTTTTGTTTGTATTTAATCGATTTCTTTATCTTTGGAGTTATGTCCATGAAAGTAAGCATGCGGATATTAAATATCCTTATCTTTGAACAATGAATTTTTTTTTTTTTTTTTTTTTACTTTTCTTTTTCTACTTATAATCTATTAGGTCTTTCTATTGAAGATGCAACTAAACTCATTAAAGAAATACCTTCCACTGAACATATTCAAACCTATATTACTTCATATGCAACACATCGTTTAGCAGGCACTGAACATGCTCAAGCACTTGCCAACTGGACATTTGGAGAATGGCAACAGATGGGAATACACGATATTCATATCGAAACATTTTATCCTACCTTGAATCAACCTTCTTATTACCAAATCTCTATTCTTGACCATACTTCTCGTGTCATTCTAGAATACAGTCATCATCAACAAACCTTGACTTCTCCCTTTCCTCCATTTCATGGTAATAATCTTTAAACAAACAGGAACTTTTTGATTTACACTTTTTTTTTTCTATAGGTTATTCTGCAAATGGTAATGTGACTGGACCCGTTGTATATGTCAATTATGGTCAAGAAAGTGATTATCTCTATTTACAAACAAAAGGCGTGAACTTTACTGGAACCATCGCATTGATTAGGCACGATAATAGTGGAAATGGTGGTGGTAGTGATAGCAGTGGATTAGCAGCAGGTACACAAGTGGCATTGGCCGAGCAACATGGCTGTAAAGGTGCATTGATTTACGCAGATCCTGGTGATGATGATGGTCCTGCAAGAAAATGGAATCCTGATGGTGAACCTGAACAAGCCTATCCTTTAGGTCCCTGGCGACCCTCTACATCGGTACCTCAAGCTTCGGTGATGAATATGGCCATGATGATAGGTGATCCCTGGACACCTGGTGTACCCATGAAGAATGGTACAATTAATAATAATCATACATATGCTTTACCTGGAATCCCCTCTCTTCCTTTATCTTGGCAACAAGTCATTCCTTTATTACAACTGACGACTGGATTAGGTGTTCCTGCCAATGTGAACTGGCGTGGTGGTGATGATGCGAACCATACCATTGATTTTAGTTCAGGTCCCAGTGTGTTACCCATTCAACTCGTCAATATCAATACTTACAGTCCCAAACCTATCCATAATATCGTGGCTCGTATTCCTGGTCAGAAAGAACCCAATCGTGCTGTCATCATTGGATGTCAACGTGATGCATGGTCTACTTCTGGTGTGGTTGAGAGTGCTTCATCATCAGCTATTATGGTAAAAAAAAAAAAAAAAAAAAAAAAAAAAAAAAAAAAAAACTGTTGCTATAATTTGTACTTATTTTTTTCTTTTGTTTTTCTTGCATAGCATGAACTTGTTCGGACTCTAGGGTTATTATTACAACAAGGTTGGAGACCAAGACGGACTATTATTCTTGCTTCTTGGGATGCAAGTGCCTATGGTGCATTAGGATCTACAGAATGGGTGGAATCTCACAAGGACTGGATCAGCAAAGAAGTTGTAGCATACATTGATGTTGGAAGCGTCGCTGGATCAAGATTTAATGCTCAAGGATCACCTTTACTACATGAACTTTTATATGAAGTTACTCAAGATCTTTTTGATCCTCAATATGGTCCATCTACTATATATGATACCTGGAAACGTCAGCGACAATCTTCTGCCATCAGCCACTGCAAGGATATCACAACCACTACATTACAAAAAGAACAAACGACTGCTGTAGGTGGAACCTATGATCCTACGGTATTAGTGGATCCATTGAGAGTGAGTGATGATGGCTCTGCCCTCTTTCATCATTTAGGTGTCTCGACTCTTTCTCTTCAATTTGAAAGCAATCATTTTGGTGTGGCATATAGTGAACAAGATAAGTAAGTGAAAACAAGATCAAGATAACTCATAGCAAGTCTTGACTTTTTTCTTTTTTTTTTTTTTTTTTTTTGTAGTTTGGATTGGATGGCGAAATTTGGAGATCCAACATTTGCATATCATCAAACCATGGTACGATTGATGGGGATATTAGCGTTACGACTTTCCAGTGAACGACTGTTACCGATGACGATGATGGATTATTCTGTGCTCTTATTACAGTATACAGATGAACTCAGTGCAAGACAAGGTTGTCAGACATTACCAGCGTTGACCACGTCCTTATTGATTCTTCAATCCACCAGTGTTGTGTTTGATCGCAAAGCAAACAAGTACCGACAACAACTCGTGACCAAAAAGCATTACAGCAAGAAATTGAAGAAACATGTACGACAATACAATCAAGCCATGATCAACTTTGAACGTAGTCTCGTGGATCCTTTAGGTTTGCCTGGTCGCAATTGGTATCGACATGTCGTGTATGGCCCTCATCCTTTACATCCTGCTTCTCCTCTCATGTTTCCTGCCATCGCTCAAGCAATGCATGAAGACCGTCCTATCTTTACTCGCCAAATGGAAGAACGTGTCGCCTCCAAGATCATGGCTGCAAATAGTGCTATCAAATTCTAGTATTAGTTAATATTTGTTTTTACCCTCTTCTTTTTTTTTAGTGTTACACCGTTCAATAAACTTGTTTTTTCAAAAAAAAAAAAAAAAAAAAAAAAAAAAAAAGCCAAACCGATTCCTGTTTTTTTTTTTTTGGCATAAACTGGGATATTCTCAATGGTTGATGAAATTGAACATACTGGTGTCATCCTTTTTTTTTTTTTGATCAACGTAGAACAGGATCAAACATGCATTGATTTACGACAGTTTACTGATAATGTACAACAATGATATGTATTGAATGGATGGATTGGCATGTGATATGATGTACGTATGATGATGACGATAAGATACTGTGCAACTGGTTGATGATGAAGTGATAATGATCGACGTGCTGACAGTAAGACTAAAAGATAAAATCAAATTAAATTGTTACAAAGTATCAACGCAAGCTAATGATCAACAACGACTATCATCAACAAAGATTCTTCAAACTTTTTTTCTGGCCTTTTTTTTTTTTTTAAAAACAACTATGCTGTCAAAAAAGAAAAGGCGTGGGAGTCCCCAAAGGCGTTCCCCTTTTTTGGGAAATTGTCAAATGGAGGGTCTCGCGGGTTTTCAAAAAGTAGGCCCGTCATTTTTTTTTATTATTTTTCTTTGGGCACGGACTCATAGTAAAAGAAGGCAAAAAGTCGTGACCACACTTTGACTTGGTTTCAAATGTCTGGTTTTTGATTTTTTTTTGTTTTGTGTTTGTTTGTTTTCTTTTTTTTTTTTTCTTTGTACGTGTATCCTAGAACTTTTACGTTTGATTGTCTCTGAAGACACGACATATATATATATATATATTTATATATACATAATGTATTCAAGATGGCAAAGATATAAAGAAAGTGTGGATGGGGTGACATTGCATTCATTTGGTCTAGGAGTGATAGGAGGCATGATGTTGATGATGACAGGACATTTGGCAGGTCAATATCAACTTGACACAAACACGACTCATCTTAGAACAAGTTTAGAGCAGATGAAAAAGAAATATGAAATTGGAGGTGGTGTTCCTTTTTTATCCAGAGATAATGTAAGTGATCGATTTAAAAATAACAGACAGGATAGATATTCTTTGAACTCATGAAAAGAAACGAATAGACTTTTTTGGAAAATTTAGGAACCCGCGACCATCATCATCATGATGAAAACTTAGTGCAACATAGTTGGAATAACCTTGTTTACCTTTTAGCTGATTGTTTGAATCAACATTGTGCAAAAAAATACGTGATTACTCACACAACAATACCATCATCATCATCATCATTAGAATAAAGAAATTTCCTTTTTTTGATACCCAACCTTTTTTTCTTTCATGATTATATCGGGTAGTTTCTCGGTGGATCATCATCATCATTGATGCATCATATCATCTGATATCAGTATTATCGACTCATCAGTCTTACTATTATTATATGCAGAGAAATGGACGAATGATGAATACTAAATTCAACGCATGAGGTACTTCATATGTATAAGTAAGTATGTGATGAATTCTTGAAATGGTATTACTTTTCTAATTTTGTATCATTCCTTTTTTTTTTGAATGGGAACTAATACCATCATCTTATTTGACAGAGACTATTTGTTTGTTTGTTTAATAATTTTTCATAGTTGTGCAAGAGGCGGAATTTCAAACCAAAGGATAGATGATGCCTATTGCCAAATTGTTTATTTTTGGTTGGATAGTAAATCATTTCTTTTCGTTTCTCTTTTTTTACTCATTTCCTCCTGATTTTTTTTTCTCACCCAAAGCTTTTTTTTTTTGGATTGGTTTTTGGGTTTTTTTCCCCTTTTTTTCTTCTTTTTTTTTTTCCAGTTCTTGTTTCTTATACCAATGTCCTCGTTATTGAAACTACAAGAATCAGTATTATTTAAAATCATCTATTACTTGAATTTGCAGGAACTACAACAATTAGGACAATCGTGTCGACAATTACATGGACTCATATATAATAATCCTCGCGTATGGCATCAACATGTATTATTTCCTGCCAAAGACAGTAGGTTGACAGACAAGTTTATTCAGCAGCTAGTACCACAAATAACTCGACATTATGGGATTCAAACACTTCGACTGATACAACTTCCACTGAGCTGGCTTGGTTACTTATTTATCTTTGATCAATTTGCACACTCGGTAGATCAAATTCAAGTGGAAACAACTCATGCTGTATTACAAGACTTGGTATATCATTTGACGGTATTTGCAGCCAACCTGACCGTGTTACAATCTGACAATCATATCCCTATTACTTTTCGGCAGTATTGTCACGATGCATCTTATTATTATCAAGTGCTTGTGGATCATCGTTTTTTGGGTAAATCAAATGTGACGGATATGATTGAATTATTTGACACAACTGGGCAAACACTTGTTTCTAAGTTAGATGACCCTCCCTTTGAACGATTACGACAATGGCAAGTGGTTTGTACTGATCATAATGATGATGATGATGATGACAACAAAAAGGATTGTTTGACCCGACTTCAATGCATAGTATCTTTTTTGGCAGGTCGACAAGTCACCAATAATCTAGATCCACTCGTAACCATTGGACAAAAACGAACTCAAGATCAGTTGGAACCTTCTTCAAGACAAAGACAGAGATTGGTACCTCCTCCTCGTGCCTCTTCCCTTTATGTTTGATTATTATTATTGGTTATTTTGTTATTACCATCATTGTATCCTTCCTTCATTTCCCCCCTCTCCTTCAGTTCCCACGCACCCTATCTTTATACCATGTTATCTACATCCCCCCCTTTTTTTTTCTTCTTTTTGTTCATCGTATAGTAATTGTATGACATAGTAAAAAAAAAAAAAATTAGTTTACATATTATATTCCCGTGCAAAATATTTATCAACAGAAATAAATAATTAAATATATATATATATATATGTCAATCTATTATCACTTTATATATGTATATATTGATAAGCTTATGGCTTTTCTTTTTTTCTTCTGTCGGTATATAACAAGGGTTCTTGAGATTGATATCGTGATATCAATGCAAGGGAAAATATCCGAGAGGGTATTTGATGGCATCCTCATCCCATGATTCAAAGAGTCTACTTTTATTTCCTCTTTTAAAAAAAACCTATCAATCTCAAGTGATAACTTTTTTCCCTTATTTTCATATTTTGCCACCATCATTACTCTATTTTCTGCTGGCACATGTATATATGAATGATTTACTTCCCACGCGCGTACATTGGGCTGTTTTAATGCAAATGAAGGGATGATGATGACCATTCTAGGCCAGACCCTTTTTTTTTTTTTGTATAGCTTGGTTCCCCTGACTTGAACTCCTTTTTTTTTGTCAAAGGGAGGGAAGATGACTTTTATAAACCATAAAGATTAGCCATAATGTCCTTTTTTAGTTGAATGAATGATGACTACGTTGAAAGGTAAGAAAAGATACCTTTCCTTTACCCGAGTCCGTATGTTTTTCTCTCTCTCTTTTTTTTTTCCTTCTATATGCAGATCAAAAGTAAATATTCCCAATTTTCTCAAATGTACACCCATTTCATAGAGAAATACTATATATATATATATAACCTGACATATTCAGCCTTTTTTTTTTCTTGTTTTACTTTTTTTCTTTTTTACTTGCTATCTTATTTTGTTTGATTTCTCTTTTTTTTTCGTCATCAATATTGCCACCTATATCATCCATCTTTCGTATCAACGTTATTGATTATTAACAATGTATAGCAATATGACTTATGTGGTTAAACCTGTCAATCTTTCTGGAGGTCAATGGTAATACAAACTCCTGACATGATCCCCTTTTCTTTTTAACTCATGTATCCCAATTATTTTTTCTTTTTCTTAAAAATAAAAATAAAATAAAAACCTATATAGCGCCTGGTGTGGAAAGTATGGTCACAAACGACCAAGTTGTCCTTTATTGAAATAATCTCCACATTTGTGTGCTCCCTTTTTTTTTTTTTTTTTTTTTTACATACTTGTGCGTAGATCGCAGATTATCTCCTTCACTCCTTTATTTTTCTACTGACCGATTGATAAAAAGAAGAAAAAAGGTATTCTTCTTTTTTTTTTTTACGTTTACTTTACATTCAAGAATCACATATTGACACACACATATATATTATATTTATATAATTTTATTGATCTATCAGAAAAAAAAAAACAAATATTCTATGCCATATGTATGCTTTCTATCCAACTGTAAATTATATTTCATGGATTACTTTACTGACTAACCCCATAAACTATTGATATCTATATAATTATGATTACCTTTTTTTTTATTATTGTGTTTTAACCGTTTTGCATAATCATCAATAAATAATAAATAATAGGTTGTCTTTTCCATCATCTATCTTGCCAAATTCAATACCATGATTCAATTGGCTTGCCTTTGCATAAATGGGTGGAGTCTGAAATATGAGAGGGAAAAAAAAAAAAAGGAACTGTACCTTTTAAGAAAAAAAAAAGCTTCCACCTCATTCTGCCACTTTCCATGAAATGACGCCCTTCAACCAATCAAATGTCATCGGGGTGAAATAAGCCACGAAACTAACTTTTTTTTTTTATTCGGGTCCCTGAACTGTATAACAGTTGTTTTTATTTCTTTTTTCTCTTCTTTTCTTTTTTTTTCTTTATCTTTTTTTATTTTTATAAAGAAACACATTTTTTATTATGTCTAAAGCTAGTAAGTATTCGATTTCATCCTTTGAAATGATCTTTCCTTAAAAAAGAAAAAGGTGTACTTGTGTGTTTAGAGATAATATCACCTATTACTACTTTACTCAAAGTGGTAACCAAAAAAGGAGGAAAAAGATCAGGGGAAACATAGAAACACAACAAACAAACAAATAGTGACGCGTATTAACTTCTTTTTTTTTTTTTGCTTTTTCCTTTTGATTAGTTGGTATTGATTTGGGTACTACGTAAGTTATTTATTTCTAAAGAATAAAAATATAAGATACTAACCTATCCTCTTTTTTTTTTCTTAGTTACTCTTGTGTTGGTGTCTGGCAAAACGACCGTGTGGAAATCATTGCCAACGATCAAGGTAACCGTACCACTCCCTCTTACGTTGCTTTCACCGATACCGAACGTTTGATTGGTGATGCTGCTAAGAATCAAGCTGCTTTGAACACTGCTGGTACCGTTTTTGATGCCAAGCGGTAAGTGACTTTTTTTTTAAAATGATTTTGGTTATTATTTTTTTTTTTGGTTGGAAATTCAAACTCATCTTTCCATTCTTTTCTTTTCTTTTCTTTAGTTTGATCGGTCGTCGCTTCAACGATGCTGAAGTTCAATCTGATATGAAGCACTGGTCTTTCAAGGTCATTGAAAAGGATTCCAAGCCTATCATTCAAGTTGAATTCAAGGGTGAAACCAAGACCTTCACTCCTGAAGAAATCTCTTCCATGATCTTGATCAAGGTATTATTAAAAAAAAAGTTAAAAAATATCAAGTGTTATTAACATATGTTCCTTTATTATAGATGCGTGAAATTGCTGAAGCTTACTTGGGTGCCGCTGTCAAGGATGCTGTCATCACTGTTCCTGCTTACTTCAACGATTCTCAACGTCAAGCTACCAAGGATGCTGGTTTGATTGCTGGTTTGAACGTTCAACGTATCATCAACGAACCTACTGCTGCTGCCATTGCTTACGGTTTGGACAAGAAGGATGATGGTGAACGTAACGTCCTTATCTTCGATTTGGGTGGTGGTACCTTTGATGTCTCCCTTTTGACCATTGAAGATGGTATCTTTGAAGTCAAGGCTACTGCTGGTGATACTCACTTGGGTGGTGAAGATTTCGATAACCGTTTGGTCTCTCACTTTATTCAAGAATTCAAGCGCAAGTTCAAGAAGGATATTACTGGTAACGCTCGTGCTGTCCGTCGTCTCCGTACTGCTTGTGAACGTGCCAAGCGTACTTTGTCTTCTTCTGCTCAAACCTCTATTGAAATCGATTCCTTGTTCGAAGGTATTGATTACTACACCTCTTTGACTCGTGCCCGTTTCGAAGAACTCAACCAAGATCTCTTCCGTTCTACTATGGAACCCGTTGAAAAGGTCTTGCGTGACTCCAAGATTGATAAGGGATCTGTCCACGAAGTTGTTATGGTTGGTGGTTCGTAAGTATCTCTATTTTTTTAAAAAAAAAAAAGAAAGAAGAGAGAGAGTTTTTTCCAAATGAATCTATATTGACCTTTTTTTTTTATTATTATTATTTCATTTGAATAGTACTCGTATCCCCAAGATCCAAAAGATGGTTTCTGACTTCTTCAATGGTAAGGAACCTAACCGATCCATCAATCCTGATGAAGCTGTTGCCTATGGTGCTGCTGTTCAAGCTGCTATCTTGTCTGGTGATACCTCTGAAAAGACTGACTCTTTGTTGTTGTTGGATGTTGCTCCTCTCTCCTTGGGTATTGAAACCGCTGGTGGTGTGATGACTGCCTTGATCAAGCGTAACACTACTGTTCCCACCAAGAAGTCTGAAGTCTTCTCCACTTATGCTGATAACCAACCCGGTGTGTTGATTCAAGTGTTCGAAGGTGAACGTGCTCGTACCAAGGATAACAACATCCTCGGTAAGTTCGAATTGTCTGGTATTCCTCCTGCTCCTCGTGGTGTTCCCCAAATTGAAGTTACCTTCGATGTCGATGCCAACGGTATTTTGAACGTCAGTGCTTTGGATAAGACCACCGGTAAGTCCAACAAGATTACCATCACCAACGATAAGGGTCGTCTCTCCAAGGAAGATATCGAACGTATGGTCAACGATGCCGAAAAGTACAAGGCTGAAGATGAAGAAGCTGCTGCTCGTATCCAAGCCAAGAACGGTCTTGAATCTTATGCTTACAACCTCCGTAACACTCTTCAAGATGAAAAGGTTGGTGGTGCCCTCCCTGAAGAAGATAAGTCCAAGATCTCTGCTGCTGCCGATGAAGCTATCCAATGGCTCGATAACTCTCAAGAAGCCTCCAAGGAAGAATATGAATCCAAGCAAAAGGAATTGGAAGAAATCGTCAACCCTATCATGATGAAGTTCTACCAACAAAATGGCGTAAGTATTATCTGATGATTGCAAGAAAAGAACAAAAAATAAACGTAGATACTGATTATTATTATTTTTTTTTTTGTGATGAATTTAGGGTGCTGCTGCTGGTGGTATGCCTACTGGTGGTATGCCTGGTGCTCCTCCTTCCAGCACTGATGAAACTGATGGTCCTTCCATTGAAGAAGTCGATTAAATTTAATCACTTTTTTAAGGATCTCATTCTATTTAGTACATAGTCTTTTTTTAAAACAACGCATTATTTCCCTCTCTTTACAATATTTATAGAATATATGTACATTTCTCTATTATACAAAAAATAAAAAGCATGTTTTGTTTGTCCAATGAATTTGATGTTTTTATAATAAAGATCATCCTTAAAGAATACATAAGATCAATGGAAAAATGGTATCTCTTTTTTTGAATTGATGCTGTGAATCCATACACAATTGAGTTTATTGTCCAAAAAGAAAAAAAAAAGATAACTAGAATGTCAATAGAAAGTCCCTTTTTCTTCTGTGCATAACCATAAATAAACGACGATGATGATAAAAAAAAACTCCAAATCAAACTAACAACTAAAGGATCAAGTAAGAATTTCCACACCAGTTTCAGTTACCAATAAAGTATGTTCGAATTGAGCTGATCGTTTACCATCTTTGGTGGCTGCTGTCCAATTATCAGGCCAGAGACGTTCTTGATATACACCTTCACAAATCATAGGCTCAATGGTAAAAATATGACCAGGTCTAACGATACCAATAGCCTTGTTATCTAACAATGAAAAAAAAAAAGTTAAGTATAACAAGTACGATCCAAGTTTTAGAAAAACTTACTTGCATAATGATGAACATTAGGAGCACAATGGAATAATTGATTAATGCCATGACCACAGAAAGCTCGTACCACAGAAAATCCGTTCTTTGTTGCATGATCTTCAATAATTTTACCAAAATCGCGATACCGGGCACCAGGTTTCACTAAATATATATATATATATATAAAAAGAGAGAGAAAGATATTGATGTTAGAATCAATGACAACAACCTTGTCATACAACACACACACTTAATTATATATATATCAATGTCTTTACCAGCAGCAATAGCCATTTCCAAACATTCTTTGGTGGTTTGTACTAATTTCTTGCCAACATCATCCACATTGCCCACCAAGTATGTTCCATTACTGTCACCATGGAATCCTTTGTAGAAACAACTAACATCAATGTTCAAGATATCACCATCTTCTAAAGGTCGTTGATCTGGTATACCATGACAAATAACTAGAAAAAAAACAAAAAGCATTTGTTATTCATCTGTCCGTTGTTATTGTTGTTGTTCTCAGTAATATTTATATGCTTACCTTCGTTTATTGAACTAGATAGTCAATCCAGTGAATAAAAACAAATTGAGTAAGTAACAAAAAAAAAAAAATAGTCGATTGAAACCTACGTGCAACATGATTTTGGGAAATAATTGTAGTTCAATGGAGAAGGATAAGCACCCCGTTCAATAGTGGCTTCATGCACAATACGATCTACAATTTTTTTTTAAAAAAAAATGGTAAGTTCACATATGTCTTTTCATACCAGGTATCATCCAAGTCTCAGTTCCCTTCTTTCTTTACCAATTTCATCAGTAGTAATGCCAACACGGACGGCTTTGGCAGCAATTTCCAGGACTTCACGAGTGATCTATTAGAAAAAAAAAAATTCAAGAATAAGTGGTTGAATCAAAATATATATAAGTATAGATAAATAGATGAATATCTTACTCGACAAGCTTCACGCATAGCTTTGATTTCTTCTTCGTTACAGACTTGAATAGCAGCACCACGAGACTTAAATTCGGATTTGGGTATACCAGTAATATGATAGTCAGGTTTTTGAATAGAGTCAGGCACAACTCTACGAGCAGACAAAGGATATACAGCTCGAAGAGGACCAGTATAACTAAATGTTGGGAAAGGATCATATAATTCTAAAAGAAAAAAATGATATCAGATCATAAAACAATATATATATATATAAACTATTACTGTAACTTTTTTTTACTTACTCTTTGTGGAAGCATGTTTTGATTTATGAACGCCCTAAAGAAAAAAAAAAAAGAAAAGTCAATTAGAATCTATATACTATTTTATAAAATAAAAAAATATCATACCCAAGTCTTTTTAAAGCAATCTTGAGAACAGAAAAAAGATCCTTCTGCAATATTTTGTTTGACACATGTTGGACATTGAAGTTTGGCAAAATTGCTGCACTCTAAAGAAGCGCAAGTGTTTGAAGCCACCAAAGTTGCCATGTTGATTTGAATAAAATAGGAAGGAAAGAAAAGGAAAAAGAAAAAGAAAAAAAAATAACAATTCAGGTGGCGGAAAAACCGGAAAATAAAAGCGCCGTAAAGGTGGGATAACTCTCTCTGTTTTTTTCAAAAAAAAAAAAAATCATGCTTCATATGTTGCCATCATCGCCGCAGCTAAAGCATCTGATATCGCCGCAGTTAAAGCAACCCGATTTGAGTTATTGTGATTATCGTTACTGGATGTTTTCCCACCTTTCTTTTCTCCCAATCTATAAAACCTGGATGATTCAAAGAAATAAACTCGATTTACCCCTCCATATCATTCTTTTAGATCATACCTTTTTCATCTATGTCAGATCCCTATGTTCTTCACAAAAGAAAAATAACTGAAGTGAACTGGCATGAGAAATTATTCATAGCTGCTTTGAAAGGAAAAAAAAGATAATCATCCAATCATTTCCTTTTCTTTTTTCGCAATCATGTAGTTCGTTAAAGAACATGTCTGGCCTACAAAGAAATGACAATAGTGAGCCCACATCATTATCTATTTACGGATTAAGAAATAAAAGAACGGTATTTGCAGGTAAAGTGGTAGTATTGTGGACTACCTCCCATATTATTCCATCCACATCCTTTCAAATCAATGCGGGTGGTTCCTAAAGAAAAAAAAAATACTCCTTGGCGCTTGTCTTTGACAGGTGATGGGCAAGATAAAGTATCTAATGCATTTGGAAACTTGTCTTTACCTGATTGTAAGAAGACAGAAAGATTTTCCTGCTCTCTCTATATGGTCCCAATGATGATCATCACAGTCCTCCTTTTAGTCGTGTGTAGCGATGATGTGATGTGGTAGATCTTTTGTATTATCCACAATCATGGATGATATGCAGTTAACTCCTTAGAGCAAAATAATAAAGGAAGGAGAAAAAAAAATGATACAAAAGCTTGTTCTTAAAGACAGGAGAGGATCATCACAGGAAATAAACGAATATATAAATGGTAACAACGAAAAAAAAAAAAAAAATACTTTTTCCTTATTGATTTTTTTCTATACATATCAAATAATGCATTACTATACTTTTTTATGTCTGTCTTTGATTTCTTTCACCTTGACGAATAGTGTTTATGGTGCTCCCCCTCCAAACCCCACTGGTTCACCTAGCGGGTCAGCTCCGGCTCCTGGTCCATCAGGCCAGACTTCGCAAACAGAGTATCAGAAGATTGTCAAATGCTTCCCAAACGCTCAGCTTTCAAGCCAGGTTTCAGAAGCAGAGTCTGAAAAGATTATCCATTGTATCGACGACGTCCTGGGCTCCTGCGGTCCGTTTTAAGTTGCATACTGCCAAAGCCAATAGTGGTGCTTAGTTATATGATAAATCAACAATAGTCTACTGTTTAATATCAAAATGCGTCTTTGTTCTCTGTTATGTAGCTCATCATCATGATAATAAACATATTCCTTGTTCGACTAAAAAAAAAAAAAAAAAGAAAAAGAAAAAAAAACCAAGAATGGTATGATGATAAACATAGAGATTGGAAAAAAAGGGAATCACTGGTTTTACTAACAACGTAAAAGTTACAACCCGACAATGGATCGCATGAATCGTGATGATTTGAATGATGATGATTTGAATGATGATGATTTGAATGATGATGATTTGAATGATGATGATTTGAATGATGATGATTTGAATGATGATGATTTGAATGATGATGATTTGAATGATGATGATTTGAATGATGATGATTTGAATGATGATGATTTGAATGATGATGGTTTGAATGATGATGGTTTAATTGTGATGGTGATTTAATTATGATGGCGATTTGAATAATGGTGACGGAACGATGATGGTTGAATAATGGTAATGGAATGATAATAATATTTCCAATAATTAGTCTACGTATCAATCATCATCATCATTCCAGTATAAGTAAACAGCATTCTCCAGCGTCATACATGAATCAACTATCATCGTTCATGAAGCGCTGTTACTAATCTTAACGCTAATAATCATCCAGTCATTCATACGCCTATTATATATATATATATATATATATGGTAAAAAAATTCAAAGCTTTTCACTCGTTGAGGGTTTGATCGATCTGTCTCTCGGCCTCGACAAAAAAAAAAAAATAAAATAAAATAAAAGAATCCACAAAGAGATCTTGCAGACGAAAAAAAAAAAAGTGGAGCTGACCTTCTGTCAGTTGTTCTTTCTCTCTCTTTTTTTTTTTAGAGCTTGTGTTTAACAAGAGATGGAAATGATAATACGCTGAATTTACTATCTTGTCTTTACCGGTTTGTAAGGATGCAGAAAGATTTTCCTGTTTTCAGCATCATTCCAATGACGATCATAGGTGAGTACTGCACTATCCAACTCCTCATTTTGGTCATGTGCAGTGATGATGTCGTAAATCCCTTGCATTATCCACAATCGTGGGTGGTATGCAGTTAACTCCTTAGAGCAAGATAGTGAAGGAAGGAGAAAAAAAATGAAACGAAAATTTATTCTTAAGGACAGGAGAGGATCATCACAGGGAACAAACGAGTATATAAGTGCCAAGGAAAAAAAAAAAAAAAAAAAAAAAAAAAAAAAAAAGAAGGTGAAAAAAAATCAATCTTCTTTTTTCTTTATTATCGATTTTTTTCTTTATATCAATCCAAATAATGCATTACTATACCTTTTTGTGTCTGTCTTTGATTTCCTTCACCTTAGTGGACAGTGTTTACGGTCAAACCAGTCCCACACCCACTAGTCCTTCACCTTCTGGCTCAACTCCATCTCCCAGTTCTTCACCTCGACCAGGTGAACCATCAGGTCAGAGTCCAGAAGCGCAAGTCCAAAAGATTGACCAATGTGTCGAAGGCGTTCTAGGTCCAAACGCTCAGACTTCAGATCTGACTCACGAAGCACTATACGAAAAGGTCACCCATTGCATCCAAAACGTTCTGGTCCCAGACTCGCAGATGTAAGTCGCACCTTAGTACTGCCTACCAATAATGGCGCTTAGCTATATATAAATCAAAGATGATCTATTATTTAATACCAAAGATGCTTTGTTCTTTGGTATGTAGCTCATCATCATGATAATAAACGTATTTCTTGTTTGAGTAAAAAAAAAAAAAAAATGAAACGATGATAAGAAACCATAAAAGGAATTGAGAAGGGTTGAAATAAAAAAAAAGAATGAAATGACTGATTACACTAGCAGCGTAAGAGCTATAAGCTGATCATGGATCATATGAATGATGATTATTTGAATGGTAATGGTTTGAATAAAGGTGATGGAACGATGATGATTGAATTACGTTGATGGAATAATAATAATAACACCGCCATCATTATCCTCCAGTTATTGTACAATAAATCAACTACTATCATTCATGAATTGCTCATACTAAGAGCTTGGATGGATCAGATTTTAACAAGAGAAAAAAAAAATTGAAAAAAAAAATACAAGATTGATCTTAGAAAAAGCGATCTTTCACTTTTACAAATCTTGAGTCTAATTATATTTTTTTTCCCTTCTTTTTTTTTTCTTCTTTTCTTTTTTCTCCGTTTTTTCACATATTCTTTTGGGTATCGTGTATACATAAAGAGTACAGATTAATGTATTTTTATCTAGTTTACTCTTAAAGATTCATACTACAAAACCAACAACTTCTATTTTGGTAGCTCTCTTCTTTCTCTTCTATATATATTAACTCTCTCTTTTTTATTTTTATTTATCTTTACTTTTAGATATACTCCTTTTGTGGACTCATTAGATAACAGGATCAACTGGATGGATGGATATATGCAGGTGTCTACTGCTTCTAGATTATCACTTATTTGACTTTTTACCTTCATTGTTAGTTAGTTACCAATAAGCTAGTGTATCTTTTATATTATATTCAATAAAATCATATTCATATATAAAACCAGCAAGGTCATATAACAGAGATTAGATGAATAGGCATTGATCATCCATAAGAAAATAAGCATACTGTCTCTTCACTTGATCTGTAGATATAAATACAGTATGACATCGGCATCAAAATACAATTTTGTTTTATTATATAAATAGATAGTTTCACAATGGTGACAATAAATAGATACCCAACCACAAATCAACACGATCTATTTGCATTAATCCATAATAATAATTTTATCATTGTTTTTGATTCACTTTTTTTTTAAAGCTGAAAAAGCGATTGGGATTGAGCACGGATAAATTACCTCCGGTTATAGTACGTGCGCTCAGTTTCCTTGTTTGCTAAAAAAGGAATTCGCTTGACGCAAGCGCTATCTGTTTCAGCGAGGGAAATAATATATAAATGCATGGGAATCTAAAATTTTTTTTCACGCTTCCCTTTCCATCTTTTTTTTTTTTCTTATTTATTCTTATCTCTCCCTCTCTCTCTTCTCTGTTTATATTTACAAATGGCTGAAAAAGTATACGTGATTGGTGCTACTGGCAACATTGGTCAAAAAGCTGTACAGAATCTACTTGCTAAAGGAGTGGCCACTACCATCTATGTACGTGATGTTGAAAAAAGTAAAAACCTCTTCAAGGAAAACAAACTATTGACAATAGTGCAAGGGGATTACGATAATTTGCAAAAGTTCAAGGAAACCATTGGTGGACATACGCGTTTGTTCTATCTCATTACTGATCTTCCTCGTATGCCAGTTCTTAAGGAACAACTAGCCAGTTGGGCCTATGAAGCTGGTGTCAAGCAAATCGTGGATATTTCCTCCCGTTTCACTCAATTCCCATGGCGTACTTCTTTTATTGGTGAAGCACATCGTCTGGCTGAAGAAAAAGTGTATCATCTGGCTCTCAAGCATAACCGCAACTTTGTCGCTCTTCGTCCTTCTCGATTCTTCATCAATCACCTTTGGGTAGATGGTCCTACGATCAAGGAAGAAAATGCCATTTATGATAGCAACGAGAATGATGCCAAAATCGAATGGATTTCAACTGATGATATCGCGGATGTGGCCACTTTGGTATTGACCGATCCTGTTGAAAAACATGGTAACATGGCTTATCCTTTGATTGGTGATAGTGTTACTGGTCCTGATCGTGCCGCTATCTTTACCGAAGCTCTTGGACGTACTATTACTTACAAGAAAGTGTCAGCTACCGAAAAATACAATGGAATGATCAAGAATAACATTCCTCATGGTATCGCTTTAGATATTGCTGTGGTTGATACTTTTGATCCTCCTACAAAGATTGTCCCTGTCCTTCTTGGTCGTCCCTATGAAACTTTGAAAGAATGGGTCTTCAAGAATAAGGATGCATTCTAGATCATTAGAATAGTTTATGTAGTTGTCTATAATAAATTTTGTTGGGTTTGAAATCTGCTATTCATGTGTAGTCTCTTTTTTTTTTTATCGTTGTTTCTTTTTTTTTTTTTTTCTCTCTCTCTCTTTTCGCTTTTTTTTTCGTTATGAAGGTAACTCCTAATAGGATCTATCAATATACGCGTTATTCATATAGATATTATTATTATTATTATTATTATTATTATTATAAAAATATAGATTGCTATTGAAGGCTGCTGTCATGGACAATTGGATGATATTTATGGTACAATCAAGTTACTAGAACAAAAAGATAATATCAAAGTAGATCTTGTATTGATCTGTGGTGATTTCCAAGCTATAAGGAATAGGGCAGATTTACTATGCATGGCCGTACCAGAAAAATATCGTGAATTGGGAACTTTTTGGAAATATTATGCTGGATTGGTCAAGGCACCTTATCCTACTATATTTATTGGAGGTAATCATGAAGCAAGTAACTATCTCTGGGAACTATATCATGGTGGCTGGGTCTGTGACAATATCTATTATCTGGGGAACGCTGGTGTCATTCAATACAATGGTATTCGTATAGGTGGTCTATCTGGTATTTTTGGTGGGAGAGATTACTATACAGGTATTAAAAAAAATAAGTCTTCACTAGGCAAAAAGAACAGGAGACACTGGTTGAAATACTTACCTTTTTTTTTTTTTTTTTTTTACTTTCTTTGAATGATAGGTCATTATGAACATTCACCTTACTCACCATCGGATCTTCGTTCAGTTTACCATTATCGTGAATATGATGTTAAAAAATTACTTCAAATTCGACAACCTATGGATATCTTTTTGTCTCACGATTGGCCAAGAGGAGTGGAACGATATGGTGATTTGGCTTCCTTATTACAGGTCAAAAAATTCTTTTATCAAGAGGTAATTTGTATTATGCTTTCTATAAGACATACTCATATCCTTCTTTTTTTTTTTTTTCTTAGGTACGGTCGAACACTTTAGGAAGCAAGCCAAATGAAGAACTTTTGACACATTTGAAACCGGATTATTGGTTTGCTGCTCATTTACATGTCAAATATGCTGCCTTGGTAGATCATGACAAGTGGAAATATCAATCTTATTCTAGCTCAGTACGTGATGTTCTAGGATTATCATCTACTCTCCAACAAGTACAAGGTCAAGATGAAGGAAACAACAATAATGAAAACAAACAATCACAAGAACCACAAAGCATGGAAGATGGTAATACTACCAGCACATCTACGGAACAACCAGTACAATCAAAAATGGAGGAGGCAGCAGAACAAATGGAACAAAATGATTCTTCAAGTAGACCTCAAGTGACTAGATTTCTTAGTTTGGATAAATGCTTACCTCGGAGATCATTCTTACAGGTATACACTGATTAAAAATACCCTATAGAGAGAGAGCATAACTAATTACATGTCATCTATATATAGGTCGTTGATGTCCCAGCCAAGAATGAAGATGGTTTTACTTTTGATCTTGAATGGTTAGCCATTACTCGTGCTATGCAACCTTATCTTAGTGTCCAATATCAACCGATACCCATGCCTCCCGAAGAAGAAGTACAACGGTAAGAAGATGGAAGCATGTCCAATAGATGATTCATTTCTTTTCATATATATATATATATATATATATATATAGAACTGTACAACAAGAAGCAATGTATCTGGATATGCAACTGGATGCTGATGCCTTGGAACTGAAGATACCAAACAATTTTACGCCGACATCTCGACCTCACCAACTCAACCTTACACTGACTAGGGATGAAATGCATCAATATCGTAAGTTTCAATTTAATATATATATATATATATATATATATATGTATTGATATTCATGATCCAATTGGTTTGCTATGATAGAGTTACCATTTTTGAATCCTCAAACAACGGCATTTTGTGATATGATCGGCGTGGAAAACAAGGTGAATGTACTAGGACAGCCGCCCATAGTAATACAGCCACAGCAACCTGATATGGATTTTTCAACGGTAGACGAGACGGTAGCAATCGACACGGTAGATGGCGCACATGATCAACAACAACAACAACAACAACAACAACAACAACAAGGTTCCATTGATGAATCCAGTAATAAAAGTGAAATCAAGAATGACCAACAACAAGAATCTGTCCATGCACCCGTCAGCAATGAAATCAAGGATGACCAACAAGAAGAATCTGTATCTTTGAACCGGTCAGTGGAACAACTAGAGGACAATGTGGAATCCCCAAATAAAAAGTTGAAACAGGCATGAATCCTGGTGTGATACATAGAATGATAGATTTGATACATATAGATCGTTGATTAGCTAGTATTATAGTTTTTCTTTTTTTTCTTATTCCCGTTATCTATTTATTTAAAATTCATACAAACATCATCTACTGTAGTTTCACCCCAACCATCATGATTGAAACTAATCTATTTTTGTCTTCCTCATCCAAACATAGATCATAAAGTCATCCAATAATAACAATATGTTTTTTTTTATTCAAAAGATATACTTAACTAAAAATGATATATTAATTAACTAACAAAAAAATTGAGATATGTACAAAACACCCATCCGACCAAATTTTCTAATTCTTTTCAAAAAAGTCCCGTTTCAATAATAAGAGTTGTTTTTTTGCAGATCGTCGTTTCTTCTTGTGTTCAATTTGAGACCATTTCTGTTGCATGGCCACTAGATAATCGGCTACTTGATCCTGTGCAAGACTTTGATGAGGTGAGATATGACACTGGCCATCTCTACTGATATCCAATGTAATTGTCGTTGTTGATGGTTCTATAATAAAAAAAAATGAGATTTTCATTGAATAAATGAAAAAGTTACCTTTGTTGTACAAGTCTAATAATGGTCTATCCAAAGAGAAAAACGCAGAATGGGCAAATTCTTGAACTGGTACATTAGTCACTGGAATCCAACTTGATTTACCAGTCGAATAAGCAAAACTTGTATAATAATACATTGGTCGTGAAATAAAAGAGGTCATCATTCTACGAGTACATAACATGATGAATGAAGAATTCAAAAAAAAACAAAGTATATTTACAAAAAAAAAATGATAAAAGAAGAAGAAAAAAAATGAACCCACTTTTTTTTTTTTCTGCACTTCTGAGATTGAATCGTGTAACATATAAAATTTATTCATTTGATTGGAGAACAAAATAGAATGAAATACATTGTTGTATATATATATATATATAAATAAAAAAAATTTCGAGAGATCATCCATCATTAGTCTTACCAAAAATGGACACCTCGTAAGCAGCATGAAAGGTTCAGAAGAAGGTAAAATAACAACTTGGTTGACTTGATCGCTACGTCTGCCCAGCTCTCGATAGTAGTTTTGAATGCCATCATCTATACAATGAAATGAGGATAACCTACAAAATTCAGTCATACAATTGATTGGTAACTCCCACAAATGAAAAATATCCAATACTGTAGATATCTTTATTATTTTATTTTATTTTGTTATTTTGTAATGATAGACTAAATGATCATGTGTGTATATTATATACGTATGTGTGAGTTGTGTGAAATGAAGAATAATATCCATCCAACCCATCCTAGTTCAAGTAGAGCGGTCAGCCTTGTGAAGCACATCTTGATAGTTCAGCTAAAAGAAGTAATAGAAAATTAAAAATATGTTCAGTCATCTTTTAACTCCTAGTCCAAAATGATGTAATACAACACCTATTTTTCTTTCTTTTTTTTTTTTTTTTCTATTACTTACCTCAGATAGGTCAGTGCATTCAATTTCCATATCCACACCAGTCAATAACCTACGGAGAGCATCAGTGTTGGAATCATATGCCAATTTTTTTTCAATATCAGCATCATCAGGATTCCTACCATCGAAAAAATAATATATGGAGAAAGAGATGATCCATTTCTGAGGAAAGCCTAATCAATCCACCCACTCCATTATATGGCTTACCACAAGTAGAAAATGGTTTTGTTACGATGATCTCCTTTAGGTCCCTTATAGTTAAAGTCATAAACAGCATAGCGTGGTTCATCTTTAGGAAGATTACTGAGGAATTCATTATAAGGACCGGTGTGATCAGTTTGTTCAACAAAATCGCCAGTTTTTTCAACAACAATCTCTGTAAAGTCGCCTATCAAAAAAAAAAAAAAAAATCATGACAATATATAGATATATATATTGCTGTTCATTTATTGCTATCACTTACTAGACAGCTCGAAGATGATATACCTGAGCTTTTTACCAAACTTCAATGCCTTATAGACCTCTATAGTTAGAGGACTGACAAGAGTATTAGAATCCTATATATTATGATAAAAAAAAAAGGTATGAGTACGACGCTTTTCATAAGCTGAAAGATTCCATCACGAGACGATAAAAGAAAAAATACATCCGATTAGTCGATCTTTTTTTTGGTTTATCTTTTCATCATTATTACCATATTAAAAGAGAAACAGCGTCTTGTTTTGTTTTGTTTAGAAGAAAAGAAAAAAAAAAGAAGGAAGGAAGGAAAGAAAAGAAGGAAGTTTTTTTTTTTTTTTTTTTTTCCTATTTCTACTTGAAATACAAAATAAAGTAGGTATATAAAGCTAGATATGATCTAGTGTAACATCCTAGAAAAAAAAAAGCCGAAAAAAAGGCCTTCCCTTTTCAGTATGTATACATGGATAAAATGAGCTTAGATGATATGATGATCATTATTGGATGAGAGAAAAGAGGTTGACATTTCATTTTTAATTTACTGTATAAATTTGGGAGATAAGGTATAAATAGTTGTTAAGACAAGTCAAAAAGAATATTTTTATCTATGTTCAGTCTAAATTTGGTGCAAGGACGATCATTTTTGGATGAATGACAAAAGTATAAAGAGGTACATATCTACCCCATACATTTCACCAAAAAAAGGAAGAGGATTTTGTTAGGGGAAAGGTTACACTGGAAACATTGAAGCTCCTCTTTTTTTTTTCCAGAAAGGATAATAGAAAAAAAGAAAAAAAAATCTATGATGATAGAAAAAAAAAAAAAAGAATTTCTAACTTGAAAGAGGAAGGGAGTAGCGGAGACATACATAAAAAAAATGAAAATAGAATTATTTGACACAAACCCAATCAAGAGTTTGAAAAGATTTTTTTTTTTATTCATCTAGATGCAATCGTTCCTTTACTTTTTCTTTATACTTGTCAGCAGCTGATTTTAAGAAAGAAGAAGGTTTATCATCAGTTAATCTGAGTCGAGCAATAGGGACAAGATCTTCATCATCATCTTCTTGTTCATCATTTAATAATGAAGTATTTGTATGATAATAATAAGGTGAACGAGGAGATTGTGGTAATCGTCGAAGAGTAGCTGCTAAAGGAATATCATCATCATCATCATCATTATATTTTATATTAGTATGACGAGGTGTAGAAGGTAATGGTGGTTGTTTTTTAAGAGGATGAGGTGATATTGGTAATGGTGGTGGTGGTTGGTTATGTGGTTTTTCCAAGTCATGTGCAGAGGCGTATTTCCTTAAACGACGAGTGGGGGTTGAAGTTGTTTGTTTTGGAATAGGTGGTAATGGTGGAGGAGTGGTTTGTCCACATAACTTATCAAAAGTTTGTTGTCTTGCTATAGTTCGTTGATCTGCATGTTTACCTACTGATTTCGAACGTGGCCTGCCACGGGAAACTGTATGATGATTGTTGGAAATGATAGAAGAAGATAAAGGAACTGTAGTTCCTGAACCAAGTGATGATGTAGTATTTGATTGAAATAAAGGTTTTGGTTTTTTTGTACGTTTTGTACTTGAAGATGGTTTTAAAGTCGATATCATTTTTTTGGATGAGAAGGAGAGAAAGAAAGGAAAAAAAAAAAGTTTATTATTATTTTTTTTTTATTATTTTTGAGTAATACAAAGAATTGACCGAACTAAAAAAAAAAAATCAATTTTTATTCATTGGCTTTGTGTTACTTTAACCACGTTTTTCATAGTTGAATAGTTTAAGTAAAAAGGAGAATCAAAAAAGAAAAACTGACAGGTCTAGTTTATATATATATATCAAAGGCTCCCTTTATTTATTTATTTATTTAGAATCTTATGCAAAAAAGAAAAAATTTTGAAACGAAAAAGAAAAAAGGATCATGCAAAAAGAAAAAGGATTCGAAAAAAGTAATTATCAAAAAAAGGCATATACATAATATTGGGTGCACGAGGGGTTTCCAGACTCCGTTCGTGATGTCCCTTCTCTTGCATCCCCTTATTTTTGTTGCTTTTTTTTTTTTTGTTTCTTTTTCTTTTTTCTTTTTCTTTTTTTTTTCTTTTTTTTTTTTTATTTATTATTTATTATTTATTATAAAACTCATGACAATATCACCACTTGCTTATGAAGTGGCACATTGTTCTTCTTGGGATGAAGATCGTAGTCCTGAACAATTAGTAAACTCTAGTCCTGGTAATGACTCCTCACTTTATTCACCTGAAGAAGAATTGGGTAATGTCAAAGTCAAAGGTTGGCAAACTATTAAGTAAGTTCATACAAGTTATATTTTTTTTTATTATCTCCTCTCTTATTTTCCCTCCTTTTTTTTTTTTTTTCTTTTTAGATGTTCTACTTATCCTCAAGATCTAATCATTCATCTCCTTTGTGGTCCCGCGCGTATTGCGAAGATTCAACTCCTGTCTCATCATTTCAAGATTGCTACAAAGATCGATATTTATATTGGTTTACTTAAAGAAAGTGAAGAAGATCTTTCCCAACAAAGTGACGATGACGATGATACTGTGATACAATTTACAAGACTTGGGTAAGGAGTAAAAAAAATTATTATTATTATTATTATTATCATTTATTGATCATAATCTTATAGATATATTTGTTTTGACAACAATGCTCGTGCCCAATTTCGAGCTCGCGAATTAAAATCCATTAAAATCAATTCTGATGGTGAATATATTCGTTTAGTGGTTAGAAACTGTCATCAAAATAGACTCAATACTTATAATCAAGCAAGTTTATTTTTTTTTCATTTTATTTTATTAACTCATGCACTAACCTCCGATTTTATATTGCAACTAAATTAGGTGGGACTATTGGCTTTAAATGTTCTTGGACAACCATTAATGCATAATACTACCTCTTCCTCCTTATCTCAAGTATGTCATAGAAAAGAAAAAAAAGTGACATGGATAAAATATTCAACCTACTCCTTTTTTTTTTTTTTTTGTATAGAATCATATGACTCGACATCTTCCTTTGGATGAATCTAGTATGCTTAGTTCATCAACAAGAAGAACAAGTGTATCAAGTACTCATAGTTTGGCTCATGAATTGTCTACATCTGGTGTAGTTGAATTGGAATTACAACATTGGACTTCTTCTTTAATTCATGCTGAATCCTTAGCTGTCCGAGGTAAATATAAACTTTATTAAAAAAAAAACTTGATCACGGTATTTAATCATGACTTCTCTTTTTTTTTTTTTTTACAAGACGAATCTTATCAAACTGCCAAAACATACAAATTTATTAGTGACAAGTTATCCCGATTTTCTAAAATCTTGGTAGATTTTGAACAAGCAAAACGACATGCTGTAGATACCAAGGATTATGATGAAGCAGAAAAGATCAAGGGTGACATCAATGAAATCAAACAAGCAGCAGAAATGATCATCAAACAAGCCAATATCCGTATCACTGATGATGGACAGGTGTTACCATTGGATCAAAGTCAGGCAAGTGAAAAGGAAAAGGATGATAAAGAAGTTTTATTAACATTATTATTATCAATAGTCAATCGAACAAGTCATTGATCTGAATCAACATGATGATAATGGAGAACCAGTAACATCACAAGACCAAATGTATGATGAAGCTATCGCGAAATGGACCAATTTTGATGCAACCAAACCTAACACTCCCGAAGCAATTGAAGACGATGTTCCGATACCATCAACATCCACTACATCATCATCACCCTCTTTGGATTTAGCGGAAATGCTTATGCCCCCATATCTCACTTCCTATCATTCCGATAAAGACGACAACAACAACAACAATAACAATGAACCTATACTTCCTCCTCCTGTTCTATCTTCATCCATGTCAGCAAAAATCGAACGTCGAAAAAGTATGGCAAACGATGATTCGACTATGGTATCACAACCACCTAGCACAATGTTATCTGTGAATGAAGAAGAAGAAGAAGAAGAGGAAGAAGAAGAAGAAATGATAGATCCTGATACTGTGCCTGAACCAATCATGGATGAAGAACGAAAAGCTTATGAAGTATCTATCGATGTATTTGGTGAAGAAATTGTCGCCTGTGTTCTTAGTATGAAATCCAAATGTCGTGAACGAGGTCTGCTTCATATTCAACGTTGTGTGGACGCTGCATGTCAATTAGCTACTACCGATGGTCTGGATCAGTTGCCAGATTTGTTTGAAAGCCCGGAATCTTGTGATGGTGATGATAGACCTGTTTATTTGATGAATGCCACATTAATGATGATTCAAGAAGCTATTATGGATTCAAGAGAACTTATTGTTACATCGGCTATCCAAATATGGCAACAACTCAATGGTAAATAAAATAAAAAAATTGACGTTTTTTTTTTGTTAACTTTTTTTCTTTTTGAATATAGATTTTTACCTTGCAGCCAAGATTGATCCTCAGTCTATCTCGGAATGCATGACACGAACATTTTCTGGTTTATTGAAACGTAGTGGAGATACCCATCCTACTATCCGATCCAATGCAGTTGATCTTGTCTTGATTCTCTCACATACACACCATGTGATTTCTCAGGAAAATAGCCTTCTAGATGATTACATATGCAAACCTGATCGACTGATCCATCAACATAAAGAAGCTTTGGCTCGTGTCCAATTGGTGCAACGCGCATTGGATGAATTGAAATTACAGGAACAAGGCGGTATCATTGCTTTAGATCAAATAATGGCTTTTGTAATGACTTATCTTTATCATGGACATGATGATGTACAACAAGAGTCAATGCGTCTACTCTTATCCATTGGAACACTTGTTGAATGGAAACAACTGTCTCCCTTATTAGATGATGCTACTCGACGTTCATTACAACCGGTAAGAACTTTTTTTTTAAGAAAGTGCCATTTATTGAAGTTTATCATTTGTTCAATAGAAATTACAAGGTAAACCAGAATCACCAGTTCCACGCCTATTATCAAATAAAGGAAATACTATGGCTGAACTTCGTGCATTAACCGTCCAATCTGGAACCGAAAAGAAATCAACAACTGTTCGAAAAACGGATACCAATACCAAACGTCGTCCTGTTACTGCTGACAAAAAGAAAACAACGACGGCACAAGGTAACTAGGAAACAAAAAGAAAAAAAATAGTTGAAAAACTCTGATTATGTATTCTTGTCGTATATAGTTACCAAGAAACCAAATAGTTCTAATACCAATACCAATAAACGAACACAACGAACAACCTCATCACGACCTACTACCACGAATAACAAGACATCTGAACCTACACAAGATCCAGTGGCTGATAATAAGGAAAATGCGTAAGTATAGTACAAAATGTATTCCTTTGATTCATTAACTTTGTTTTATTTTCTTAGTATGTGTATCTTTTGTGATGAATACAACGAACAATTCAATGAACAAACCTTGATCACGCATTATTACAAGACCTGTCCTGCTTTGACGAATTGTCCCATGTGTCATATTGTAAGTGCCATATTGTAAATGGATATTTAAACTGACTCATTTTTTTTTTTTTTTGAATTAGATTTTGGAGGTGTCCACTTTACAATCACATACTGTGACGGATTGTGAAAAACGACATTTGATGAAACAATGTACTCGATGTAAACAAGCCATTCCTGTAGAACAATGGTTACAACATACCCTGAAAAATGCATGTGCAGGTAAGGAAATCATCAAAAAAAAAAAAAAAAAAAAAAAAAAAAAAAAAGGATTCCATTGACTTTTTTTTTTGGATAGCCTATACCAACCCGGATGAAGTACGATGTCCTCTCTGTTTAGTGACCATTGAACCAGGAACAGAAGAAGGATGGCGACGTCATTTATTGACTGGCGAAGGATGTCCCAAGAATCAACGTCGTCGTGATACCGCTCCTAAAAAGGTGGCCAAGAAACCCTCAGGTACTTTGGAAAAGAAACCTTCTTCTTTACGCATGAAAACATCCTCCCTCAAGAAGAAATAGTTTTTTTTTTAAAGTTTATTTGTTTTATATAATAATAAAGATGAATTATTCATGTTGATCAAGAGGAGATCATATCATATACATATACGGGATAATAATAATAAGAAGAATAATAAGAAGAATAATAAGAAGAATAATAATAAATAAGGAGAATATTATATATACATCATAAAGAGGGGAATATACATCATTTGAGATACCATAAGGATCATCCAGAGACTTGTCTTCGATGATAGATCAAAAACCCAAAACACAGGAGAAATAAGGTGATATATTGAGAAGGAGATAATAAAGCACCCATCCCTGCTTGCCAACATGTATTTTTGAAAACCTACCAAAACAAATCATGAATATCCTTTTTTTTTATTATTATTATTATTATTATTTACAGGAATCCATATATAATCAGGAGCACCAGGACGTTGTTTACTAGATTGAAACTTGCTAACGGGGATTTTTCTTGGTTCAGAACATCGAATGATTTGACCAGCCAACATCACCATCATCAGTCCCAATAATAAGACAAGAAACGTCCATAATAAATGATAATCTAACCATCCTAAAAAAAAAAAAAAATGAAGTTCATATCACAATCATTTTTTATTATTATTATTATTTTACCATGCCATAATTTAGTTTCTTTTGGAAAAGAATAATATTCCAAACATACATTACATTGAGGTGAACGTAAAATCCAAGCCTTAAGACATTGTTCATGTACATATTGTCTAAAAAAAAAAAAAAATAAATAAATTCATTTCTACAAATAATATCAACTTACACAGAACCACGACAACAACATGGAGCAATGAATTTAGTATCCCCTTCTCTTGTATTTAAACAAATCGTACATCGTTTGGTTTCTTCTAGAGGTGGTGTCTGGGTTCCAATTGCATAACACGAGTTAATGATATCATATAATATATATATATATATTTACCTTGTTAAATAATGAAGGTTTGTCCCGTTGATGAAAAGCTCCTTGTCGAACCAAACGCGGTACATTATCTTCCGAGCTTTCATCAAAGGACATGATCCAATCAATAAACAAAAGATGGAAAGACACACACACACACACACAAAAACTAATTTTTTTTTTTAAAAAAAAAAAAATAATGTGAGACGCATGTAATAATCCAAAAAAAAAAAATCCCTTCAAATAGATATATAAAAAAAAGAAAAATACACATTACCCAAAACTGTTTTTTTCCACCCAAAAAATGGCAAAGTAAAAAGAAACAAAGAGAAAAAAAAAAAAAAAAAAGGAGACCAAAGAAAAAAAAAAATGCGTGGGGAATTTTTTTTTTTACGCCCAGAAGCAGGAATCAAACACATGATAAACCAAATTTATTTAGGATGAATTTCTAACCAATACTAAACAACGATCCCATCCTTGTTTATCCTTGATAGTCTTTACCAGATGCCAACCTGTCCAAATCAACAAGATACGATCCTTCATACCTTTACCACATTCTAAAATCACTCGACCATCCATAGCAAGTAAATTGGGTGCCAATTGACTAAGAATCATATACCATTCAAATCCTTGATGTTTGGCATATAAAGCTTCGGAAGGTTCATAAGATAAAGCCATTTGTTGTTGAGAAGATGTCATTGTTACTGTTGGATCCAAATAGGGAGGATTACACACAATCAAATCCACCAAACCAAAGGTATCGTTAAATGTCACTTGAGCCATGTCCTTGCATAAAAATCGAACACGTCCAGAGTCTTGTAATAATTGATCACTGTTCTTTCGAGCCATCATCAAGGCATCATCACTGATATCCACACCTACGCCTTCTACATCTTCCACTTTGGCCAAGATCGACACAATCAAATTACCACAACCTGTTCCCATATCCAAGATCCGCCGTTTCCTTGTTGTTTCTTCACGTAACCAATCAATCGCTGCATCCACCAAAGTTTCCGAACTAGGTCTAGGGATCAAACATGCTTTATTGATTTCAAATCTTAATCCATGGAATGTCTATAAAAAAAAAGGTGTTAGTCGGATGTTTTTTTTTTTTTTTACTTTTTTTTTTTAATACTTTTTCACCCAATGTATAAGCTAAAGGTTCTTTGCCAAAACTTTCCACTGAATCCATAGAAATATCCAATCCAGCTTGACGCATTTCTTTGATCCGACGTTCACAAGCACGTTCCCAAAACCGTTGTTCACGTTCTACAATAAACTTGAATTTATCAGGTATATCACGCATCACTTGAATCGTCCCATCCTCAAACAATTTATCCATCTTGATCGAATATAACGTCATATAAAGTCCTTTATCCTTATGTGTCTTGAGAGGTCGAGTAGCCGCCGAATTGCCAATGATGGTATAACCTCGATGAAAGAAGAAGCGTCTTACAGCCGCACTGGACCAAGGTGTCTGTAATTGCAACCGAACCGAGGAAAGATAATCAGAATTGTTGGATCGTGTCACCGATACAACATCGAATGATTTGAATAATTGTGTTCCACTGGCTATAGAGAGATCGTTCACAGCATTGTCCACCACATCCTCCTCTTCCTCATCATTATTATTGTCTGTTCCATGAATGTCCGTTTCTAATGCCACAGTGGAAAGATTGGGTGGTACTTGACCATGACAGAGGACTTGCATACCCAATTGAATTGCACCTTGATTGTATCGTTCGATCATACGTTCTTTTCCAGATTGTGTTTTCGCAATCAACAACTATACAAAAAAAAAAAAGAAAGAATGTTAGTACTTTGTTTCATTATATACATGAGGATTTACCAAACCAGAAGCTGCTTTTTGAAGACAGTAAGGAGTCCATATAAGATCACAAGGATTTTTAAAATGATATCGAATAGCCTTATCAAAGATACTATAATTCTAACCAAAAAAAAAAAAAAGTAAGTATGTCATTTATTATTATTATTATTATTATTATTATTTACTATGCCAGGAGGTTTCCAAATAATGGCCATATGAGCATCTTGATAAGCAATATCAATTGGAATATGAGCTATTCGTTGAATTTGTTCTTTTGTCTTGTTATAGTCGAGCTGAACAATATCGTTTTCTTGCAAGATCCGAGTTTCTTCACAGGGTACCCCATTGACCGAGATCTCACCACGTTTGAAACTTTGACGAGTATTTTCTTTCGAATTCACAATATGACGATAATGTGTCATGATCCATTTACGAACACGGACACCATGACCACTCGATCCTACCGTTGCTTTGACATGTATAATGGTATCAGGCATCCATATATAAATTAAAAGGGTAAAGAAATATGAAAGAAAAAAAAATTTTTTGTTCAAAATTATATTTTGGCAGATTTATTTTTTAAACAACGAAAAGTCTAAGGTATGATGGGGGGAAAAAAAATGCATAATGTAACAAAAATATATATATATATATAAAAAGAGAGAAAGAGGAGGGGGAATCAAAAAAAACTAATGTAATAAAGGTTGTCGTTGTTCACCATCATCAAAATGATCTTGTCCACTCCAATGATCATCCACTGTCTTTTGTTTTCGACACATACAAAACAGATAACGAAGACCACGATAAGCATTCATCAATAATTGTTTCACATCCTTCCAAAGACTAGGACGACCATGAATGATTCTTTCCGGACGAAGACGATCACGACCATCTATCATGACCTGAATACAAAACACAACTGCACCCAAGACACCTAAAGCTGTGGCTGCCGAGATCATAAACATGATGATTTGTTGATATCGTACGGCATTCATAATAGGCGCACCTCCCAAGATAGACCCACTCATCATCCCAGGAATCGAGATCAGACCAATCACAGACATTTGATTGATGGTAGGTAACATGGCCAATCGAACTGCTTCCACTGCTATAGATTGTCCGGCTTCCCATCGACTTGCTCCAAATGCTAGATAAGTTTCCATTTGTTCCTTATTGCTACTCACACTACTTAAACAACTACTGAGTGCCACCGCCATACCACTTAATAAATTGCCCAAGAGCATACCCATGGTGGGGATAAATGTTTGAGGTGCCCAAAAAGGTGTTTCATCCATGGCCCATTTTGTACCAATAATACCAACCAATAAAACCGAACATGCTGTAGACATCAATACTGATAAAAACTAAAGAAAGTTAAAAAAGTTAAAAAAAGAGATCATCTTTTTTTTTTTTTTTTTTACCATGCCACTATAGGATTGTTTTGATTTATTATAAACTGTTTCATAAGCACCAAGAAGAATCAATACTATAGTCATTCCCAATACTATCAAAGGATTATTTGCTTTGAATACATCTTCCAAGATATATCCCTAAAAAATATGGATAAACCTTTTTTTTTAATTTCCCGATAATATTATTTTTTTTTTTTTTTTTTTTTTTTTTTTACCATGATAGTCAGTTGAACTAAACATCGAACAGCTGCAATGATTAATGACTTTTCAAGTTTTAATTCCAAAAAAAGAGAAACTCCACCTAAATTAAAGAGAGAGAGAAAAAAAAAAGAAAAAAAAAAAGAAATGTGAGACGATAGCTTAAAAAAAAAAAAAAAAAAAAGGAAGACTTTACAATTGAACAAAATAAAACAACCAGCAATAGCCACATTTAACCAAGTAAGATTAGGAGTACCAATAGGATCTTGAGTTCCACCATTAGTTTCATTGGTTGCTAACCTTGTCAAGTCAAGAAGTAAAGACGGTGTCATGAGGAAAAAAAAAAGGGGAGTGTTTGGTAAAAAAGAAAAGAAGAAAAAAAAAATGAATTCGATGTCTCCCGCTTTTTTCCCAATAAAGTATTTCAACCACCGCGACACACCAACGACTTTATCGAATCTTCATCATCGATAGAAGGCACACCATTTGCATAACAATAGAAAATTTGTTTGAATATTTTATTATCAAAACTTCTCTTATAAAAATCATCATCCATTAAAGTCTAAAAAAAAAAAAAAAAAAAAAAAAAAACTAGACTAAAAAAAAAGTCCATCATATATCAAAGTTTTCTTTGTAATTGAGCCATGGTAGAGACCACTTTTCGATGATGAAAGGTGATGAAGGATGGTCGGGTATCTATTTTATCAATGGTCCTAATTTAAAAAATAGAAAAAAATATATATCATTGGAACACATACAATCTATTTTCAATACTTACATTTTCACAATTTCATTTTCCATCAAGATATTCTTGAAAGGGTCTGTGGACAGGATGACACCAACCAAAGCAATAAGCGCTGAACAAAGACATTCCACCACAATCTAATACATATATAAAAAAAAAAAAAAAGAGAGAGAGTCAATTTATTATTCAAATATTCAACTTCTTTTTTTCTTACTTCTAAAGGAAGGCTAGATTCAATATGATCCGTGGCTTTCAAATACGCAAGGTCTAACATATAAATATACAGTAAGTTTCCCTCTTTTATAATGATAAACTTACGTTCATAGGTAGAAAAAGCAGCGTGGCATAAAAAGAGACTGCCTATAAGAGCAATGGCTTTGCCAGTATAGACATGTAGACTCATATCAACAATGTAAAAAAAAAAAAAAAAAAAAAAAAAGAGACAAAAAAAAATTCAGAGAGAAAAAAAAAAAAAGGGATTCCAAATCCCGCATCCCCTTTTTGGACATGAAATTTATTATAAAAAAAAAAAAGAAGGTATACTACAGGTAGGTACAAAAAGTAGATAGAAAAAAAATAAAGAATCTAATGAATAATCCAGTTGGTATAATCATAATCCATGATGAAAGGAGGTCAAGGAACTGGAAGGTGTCAAATTTTCGGTATCTTCATTGAAAAAGTCGTCCAAATCTTTCAAAGCATTCATCAAATCTTCTCCATGTTGAGGAATGGTTGATCTTGATGATGATCCTTCGTGTGGTGATATAGTTGATGATGGTGGTGGTGCTGGTGGTGCTGGTGGTGGAGGTGGGGGTGGTGGGGGTGATGAAGTGGTTGACGTAGAGATGGATAAATCAGATAAAAGTTGTGTCATGGGATTGATATCTTGTTGATTCTTTTCATTTCTATCATCTATGGACCTAGGAGATGTTGTCATCATACCAGCTGCCACTGCCGTCACTGCCGTCACTTTTTCATCACCCGTCAATAAAGAGAAATCTTCAATGGAGAATTGAATGTTGTGTTCAATAGGTGCTTGGTTGGTAATGGATGAACATTCAAACACGACAGCATGAATGTTTTTTCTTGTCATCTTGGTACTTGCCATTTCATCCATACGCCAAATGGTGGTCGTTGAGCCATTGCAGGAATCCGTTTGAGTAGATAACGTAGAAGGAGCATCACTCGTTTCTTGTTGTTGTTGAGGTAAGGCCGAGATACCACTGTTCAGGATCGCCAATGCACGGTCAGCATAAGGGGTTTGTACAAGTTGTAACAAGGGCGTCAAGGTTGTCAAATCAATTTGAGCATTGGTCTGTAAAACATAAGGTACCAGCACTTCAATTAACATCAATGTCTTGTCACGATAATAATCCAACGTATTCTTGATCATCAATAACGCAAACATCAATGCTTCATTGCCTTGTTCTGTCAAATAAACAGATCGAAGAGAACCAACCAATTGTTTAAGATAATCCATTTGGAATTTCGCCTTTTGTTTGGGATAAGTCGATAACAGTCGTTGTATTTCACCAAGCCCCACGCGTTCTGCCAAAATTGATAACTCGTTGGCCAATTGCATCGCTTCAGCATGTTCCTCTTCTTGTTGATCCAATCCATATAAAAGTCGAGGTACCGCTCCTAATAATAAATACATGAATCGTGTAGGTGCAGGATCGATCAGAGGTAAATTGTCCAATAACATGATAGATCGTAAAATCGACCATGTCTTTTCTTCTGCCATGGCAAATTGTAATCCCTTGAGTAATAACGGTTGTAATCCATCAAATTCACTAGCCCAATGAACAGGAAAACTGTCTGTCAAAAGTGATCCCTTCAATAGTAGTTTGTCCAGTACCACTTCCAATAACGCCAAAGCTTCCACATGTTCCGAAGGGAAAGGACTATAGAGACAGGCCACTGCCGCCCAAAACAATTGAGGAAACTGTTCGATTTGAGTAGAATCCATTGCACGCGCCACCTCGGTCAATGTCAAGATGATTTCCAATGAAAACCCACGGATATCTTCCGACTTGTCTGCTGCCGTATTCGATAATCTAGCCAACATATCCGCCAACATGTGTTGATTGAAAGCAGGCATTAATCCTCGGAAACATTGGAAGGATCGACAAGCAATGTGCCGTACAGAACAACAAGTAGCCCATTTCAATGCTGTCTCGCCCCATTTTTGTCGTAAATCCCGGTCTTCATGACTGAATACGTAAAGAATGCGTTGTACCAGATCCTTGAGTTCTTGTGTACTTTGTAATCGTCGATTCTTGGTCGGTGTGATGTTTTCATAAGCCCATAATCGTTTCCCTTCTTTAGAAGATAACCATTCAATCACTTCAAGTCCTTGTCTTGACATATCAGCATCCAACGATTGGCGCACCACAATGGCATGAATCAAATTGATAAGAAGACATCTTGATTGATCACATACAATGCTTGTCAAATGATCCAGCTGAACAAAGATCGTGTGTAACAACAGAGGAAGATGAGGAGCCAGATCCGCGCCTGCTTCGATGGCCAAATCCACAAGATACACCATCGCCAATTGACCCTTTGAAAAAGCAGGTCGTTTCGCATAAGGAGGTAATACCTTGTCAGTATCTGCTACAAATGTCGTACCATGAAGACGGTTCAAATAATGATGACTGGTAGTTGTACAAGATGGATCCTTAATTTGAGGTACCATAGATCGAGGTGTGATCTCTGCAATAGCTTCTTCCACTACTCTGTTGAATGCTGGTGTACGACCAAGACAAACAAATACCCGTTTTGCATGCACCAAGAACCAAGGATTGCGTTTCTCTAGTCCCATGTCTAATAGATAGGTGATGATCGCCCGTACATTTCGTCCATGATCCACGAGTTGATTCCATAATGCTGCAATTTCCTTAACATAGATATCACCGAACTTGATGGTGAGATAATAAAGATTAGAAAGAACCACAAATGCCGTTGTGCTGAGTTCCACTTCTTGTCCATGAGATACTGGCGATGATGCTGCTGATGAAGATGATGATGATGGTGGTGGTGGTGCAGTAGTCGCTGTTGTTGATGATGAAGATGATGATGAAGTTGTTGGAATCATGGCTAATTCTACTTTTCGTAACCAAGGAATCAAATACCCTAGTACTTCACGTTGACTGTTGGCACTGATATGTTCAAATCGTTGAGTAATTTCCGAAAGCATGCTATAAGTTTGTTCAGGATGATCCACAGCTAGACGTGCTGAAAGTAATGTCTGTGTATGTTTGTAAATGGCCGGTAGACTACTGGTAATTCCAATTTCATATTCCTTGGCACAAGAATCCCCAAATACACGTTCTTCCACCGATCGTAAAAGTTGCATTGCTGATTTTCGAATCGATTTTTTCGCATCACCAGCCTTGAAAAGAGCAAGACTCATGATTTGATGAACATGACAAGGATAATCTTCAACACGAGCAATAATATCAGATACTGCTTGGAAATAACCTTGAGTAAATTCTAGTTTTGGATTGCCAGCATAACATTGTTCAATTATATCATCCAGTAGTAGAGGTTGATCTTGATTATATATCAATACAGCTTCCAAAGCTTCCCTGAAAAAAAAAAAAAAAAAAAAAAAAAGATAAGAAACAAAAGAATTGTTGGCTTCTTTTTTTTTTTTTTTGGTTTGATTTTCTCTTCTTACCTTGCGATTAAATGATTTTTGGGATCAGGGCTTTCAAATACAGCATCAATCCATCGAAGTACATTCAACATATCAAATTGAATCACGGCTTGTCGAGCTTTCTTTTGTCCAAGGAAGGTATATAAAGGTCCCCTCTATTAAAAATATATATATATATATATCAATAACTACCAAAAAAAAAAAAAAAAAAAAAAAAAAAAAAAAAGAGAGAGAGAGACTTACACATAACATGGCCATCGCTGAAAGAGCAGCTGTTTCCAAAGCCTTTCGTTCTTCTTCCATCAATTTAGTCATACTAGCACGATCCTTTGCTTCTTTGCATTGTTCCAAAACATCACGGATCATGGCTGCTTCACGAGTTCGGGTCACGTTTGCATATGCACCATAGCCACACCATTCTTCAAACATCTTGTATAGTGACAGTCGAGTTTCAAAAGACATGATCGCAGTCGGATCATCCAAAGTCATGACAACTTTGTAAACTTGTTCCACCAAACGACAAAGATACACCCGGAGTTTATGATATTCCCATTCCAATTGAACATCGGCACCACCTAAGAACACCTTGGTTTCCTTGATATAAGACATGATCAAGAGAGCAATAGTTTTGTAGTCATTGTCAAATTCAGTAATATGATCGACATGATGGGCTGTTAAACAAGATGCAGTAGAGGCCAAGACATGCATAAGGGAAATCCTTAGACGATCGTTCTTCTTGTTCCGTTTGTTTTGATATGGCTTTTGATTGTTGCGATGTTTGCCTTCATCCAAAATCATCCTTATCCATGACTGTAAATCGTTCATCAACGTCTTGTATGCATCTGGATGAACATAACCAAGTCCATAAATCGTCCCTTCACGAATAGGTCGGTTGTCACAAGGTAAGAAGGAGAGTACCAGTCGAAATAAATCAGATGCCGTTTCCAGTTTTTCCATTACTGCTGATCCTTTTCGTCCACTACTAACCCATGTTGCTGTAGGATATCGTCGATCAGCTTTCAGATGAGTAGTAGAAGAACTACTAGTTGGTCCTCGAGCTACTTCCGATTTTGTCGACTTGATGCCAACCTTGTCAGAGGCAGTAGCGCAAGCAAATGCCAGATACACTTTCCATTGATCAATCAAATCAGTTCCCACCATCATCTTTTGATTAGCATTGATACTTTTTGCCATACTAAGAGTCCCTGCTGCACCTGTTTTCACCGTTTCAAGAGATGCCAATAATGCTGGTTGAATTTGAAGTAATCGATCGCATATGTTATGTCGACAAAGAATCACCGTGTCCGGGAAATGTACAAATGCTCGTTTGATTAACTCCATGAAACAAGTATGCCAAATCCATTGATCTGTTGGATCATCCGATGTCGCTAATTGTACCAAGATAGGTGACGCTGTACGTCGTTGATATTGTTGAAGCCGAACTCGAGTTTCTATCGATAACTTGGTGCCCCAAAATTGATTCTTGTCCTTGTCAAATTGAATCAGTTCTTGTCCCACCGCTGCATTTTCAAGCAAGTCCAGTAAGCGCCCATACGTTCGTGTTTTCTTTTCATCTACATGTTCCCATAATTGCTGAATAAATTGTTGCGTGGACACCATCGTATCAGACAAACTACTATCATTGGCAGATGTTGTGATCACCAATGTTTCCACTTCCACTTGTGATTCCAGTCTTGCTTCAAGTTTGGCTGCCCATTGAATCATTTGAATCGCCATCTGTCGTACCATCCATGATTGACTACACAAAAACATCAATCCATTGGCTTCTGTTTCTTCCACCATGTCGAATAATCGTGTTACATCCGATTGTACATCTGCACTGAGACTAGGAGAAGGACATGCCATAACGATTTCCCGTAAGGAACCTAACTCTACTTGATTTACCCAAATAGCCAATAAATCCACATACAGTTGTAGAACACCACCACAAGTAGGATTATCTTCTTGATCACATCTACCACCAAGTCCATTTGCAAGAGATACGATGACATTTGATACCTTGTCCTCTAAACGATAAACAAATCTTGCATAACCAGTGACCACTGTTTGACTATCAATTTGCTTGGCAATACGACGAAGAGCTTGAGATGCAGCCTGGATGACTTCAGGATCAATATGGACTGTATATCTTGCCAACATTTCTACAACACGAGGTAACGGAAGTCCAGCAGGCATTAAACGAGGCATAGCATCCAAGATAGCTCGTAATAATTCAAAATAAGGTTGTTTATCTTTAGCATAAGATACCGCAAAATGACTGTATTGATATTGTACTTGAGGTCCACTGCTGTCCGAAGTCCCACTTCCTCCGCTTGTAATAATCGCAGGTGCAATGACTCCACCATTGTTTCCAACCATTGTATTTGCAAAAAGACTGTTGCCAGTAAGACTACGAGAAGCACCACTACTGTCGCCCATCAAACTGTTGCTGTGATGTTGAAGACTGTTGCTGATAAAACTACCACTACCATTTGGACTTGATCCACCAAAACCGCTGTTGTTGATCATACTATTGTTTGTATTTCCTGATATCATTGACATTTGTCCAGAAGTTGTTTCTATTTTCGTTCCTGCATTTATTGCTGCTGTTACAGATGATGATGAAGAGGGTGAGATGGCAGCATTATCTGAAGGAGAGCAAGAGGTCAATGTTCCACTAATGTTCGTCACCATAGATCGTTGAATAATGTTCTTTTCATCCAATACAAGTAACCTTCCAAACGACTGATCCAAACTAACCAATGCCCTTGTCAATGTATCCTCCATTTTATCTGTTACTTCCATCTTGATTGCACGAATAGGAGCCGTCAATACATCAGCGCTACAAGCCATAAAGATACTTGATAATCCAGTAGAAGCCATATCTGTATCGACGGGGAAAGGAGGTCGCTGCTTGTTGTTTTCCAAATCCGATAATAAGAGTTGAAATGCACGAATAGCTACAATCATACGCTCAGGACTAAGATATTCCCAATGTATCACAGATGAGGAATGAGGGCTGCTAGATGTTTGGGAACTCCCTGTTGTTGTAGATGAAGATGTTTGATTTGATGCCGTTCCCATTGATAATTGATGATCCATATTTAAAAGATAATAAACGATATTGTTCATTGCTGTTTCTACGTCGCGCATCAAGGCATAGTAAGTGATAAGAATAAGGTGATCCAATGATACATCAGAAGGGTAAATAGAGCGTCGAAAAGGAGGAAAGAGAGTTTTAATCACCAAGTCAAGTTTTTTGAATGTTGTCGAGGTACTTTCGGTGCATCTGAAGAGATAAGTCCATGTCAGACGTGAGACACATCCAAGTGCCATTTGACGGGTATATTTATCCTAAATAAATAAGAAGAAAATCAATTGAAATGTTCGTATACTTGTTTCATTTATTTACCTTGCTGAACTTTTGATAACAACTATCCAATACAGATAACCAATGTTGAGCAAAAAAATCCTTTCGACTAACACATAATAAAGTTGTCACCAATGGAAAAGCCACCTAATCAAAAAATCCAATTCAAAATAATTAAGTACAACCTTTTTCTTCTTTTTTTTAGTTAACTTACATTTATATGTTTTGGTTTCAATGTCATTTTCAAAGCACGAGGATAGACAAGATCGACAGTTTTTGCCCAGGCAGGAAAGTTGACTTCTGCTACGGCTACTTCAGCAACAGGAAGCAAGAGTTGGACAAATAATCCAGCATACGCATGTTTCACCTTGATACCATGTGAGTTTTTGAAAAAGCCAGCACAACTTGACAAAAAATCAGCAGTTTCTTCCAAAGCATCCACGGGATAAATCTAATCAGAAAAAAAAAAAAGAATAAAATGAGATCAAAAAGAAGTAGATATATATATATATATATATTGTTTACCTTGATTTTGAGAAATCGCATACCACGAATCAACATTTCCATATGAGATTGACGTTCCTTCATGATAGTATGACTGTTGTATTTTTCCAATTCGGCAATGAATCGATCACTGACAGAAGCAAATCGAATATTTGATAATTCTCCAATAAGTTCGGCAAAAAGGTCCATACTGGCGGTACGATTTCTTGATCGTTTAATGGCTTCCCTAAAAACAACAATAATAATAATATTATTATCAGCATGTGATGATTAAAATAATAATAATAATAATAATTAACTTACGGATCAGGTTTCTTCAATTGATTGAATACAATTTCTTCTAAATTTTCACCTTGTTCATCTGGTAAAGCATCAGGAGTAAATCTTTGGACAATAGCAATCAATGTACGACAGAGAATATAAACAGAAGCAAGCTATAATAAAGAAATACAAATAGTAAATAAACATGCGCATAAACATTCCATCTTTTTAATGATGAATCTTACTGATTGACGTTCTTTCAGAATAGATTGAACATCCCTAGCACGAGATAATGGGGCTGCTTCACTATTAGAAAATATATATTTTTAGTTATGTCATAATTTACTTTTTCTTTTTTTTTTTTTCTTTACCTCATTCGTTTCACTAACATTGGATCTAATGGTTCAATTTTAGTTTGCCGCCACCGCATAACAGCATCAATGACCGGTTTTTGTTGTGTAGTTGCCAATTTTGCCAAAGATTGTATCAACCTGTCAAACACTGGATCCGAATCTTCACCAAGTAATAATCGTAAATCCATATCGATTTCCTAAATCAAAAAAAAAAAATCATATATTAGTAAAACTATATAGATTATTTTCTTTTTTTTCTTTTTCTTTCTGTTTTTCTGTTTTTCTTACCACACCAGTGTTCAATACCATGGTCATTTTCTTGTCGGCTAATTTTTCGAATTGTTCAAATACAACATTTAAAGCATAGTCGGAACTAAGGATGCCAACTGAAGAAGAAGAAGAAAAGATGGCATTGGTAGGTAATTTCATTGTTGGTGACGTTGATTTTCCAAGTTGTATCGTTTTATCTTTGTTGTTTGATTGTTGCCTTTCAAGATACCGAGAAGAATTATTAGGTTTTAACAATCCATTTGTATTATTATTATTATTAATGTTGCTTGTTATTGTATCTGGAAGATTGATTGGAGGAGTAGGTGGAGATATAGAGGGTATCCTATGATGAGTTTTATTTGTTGAAGAATGCATATTATTTGATGATAAACTACCAGCTGGTGCTTCGCGATGATCAGTAGAAGACGTTGGTTTATTGGTATTGGAGGATATAGAAGGTGTGAAAGAATGTTGTAAACGTGACAGGGGCATATCAATTAGAAAGAAGAAAAAGAAGAAAAAAAAAAAAAAAAAAAAAAAAAAAAGGAAAAAAGGGAAAGGGGAGTTTTAAAAATCAAGAACGAGTGATTGAATTTTTCGTCAAAAGAACACAAAAAAAGTTGGCCGTTAAGCCGAATTATTTTATTTGGTTCCCTCTTTTTACAGTTGCAAAAAGAATGTCAAGTCAAGCTAGCAATATTATACGGTTTTTACATACCATAGAAGGTTTAAAGGTAAAAAACTTTTTTCAAATTTAGTTTTATATTCATAAGATTCATTCTCTTTTTTATTATTATTATTATTATTATTTTAGCGTACCAAACGTACAGGTTGGCTTGATAATGGGATCAAAGAACCAGAATCAATTGCAGATCATATGCATCGTATGGGTATTATGGCCATGTTGGTGGACGATCCTTCTTTACAACGTGATAGGTAAATTTTTATAATTTTTAATAGAATAATGAGCTTAAAGCAATTCATATATAGGTGTATCAAAATGGCCATTGTACACGATCTAGCAGAAGCTGTAGTGGTAAGTTCTATGGATAACATTGTATTTAATATAACTCATATCAACTTTATATTTAGGGTGATATAACTCCACATGCTGGTATCAGTAAACAAGATAAATTTAATATGGAACAAGTAAAAGAAGCATTTTACATATACATAGATATTATATTTATTTCATTCTTATTAAAATATATAGAACGCAATGAATGGATTCAAACAATTATTAGGTGATACTACAATGGCACAGGAAATAGTCAATTTATGGCATGAATATGAAGAAGGGAAAACACCTGAAGCTTTATTTGTCAAGGATTTGGATAAGTTTGAGATGATTGTACAAGCATTGGAATATGAAAAATGTAAGTATTGAAAAAAAAAAAAACAGGTCTTGTATTCATCTAAAATTGTATTATTATGTATAGCCGATAAGAAATCTTTAGAATCATTTTTTGAATCTACTCGTGGTAAATTCAAGCATCCTGCCGTCAAAGCATGGGTTGAAGCATTATATCAAGAACGTCAAGAAAGCAACAATATCAAGAAATAGATTAATCTAGATTATTATTAAAACAATAAAACAAACGATTATTATCATCATCCTTCTTTAAGGTCTCTTTCTTTTATATATATATATATATGTGTGTGTGTTTGTGTGTGTGTCTTTCTATTCATTCTATTATCTCGTCGTACAACATGATTTGCATTATTTTGAATTGTATGATGTGACCTATCAAGAAATAAACTGTAAAAAAAAAAAAAAAAAAAAAAAAAAAAAAAAAGAAAGAGATGTCTTCATCAATATTAAAGATAGAGACATGATGACAATAATATTCACAAAGTTTCAAATCATATTTTTATTCATTCTGCACAACAGTACATGACATCCAGAGGTATAAGACTACCACTACCTTCTAAACTATTGGTATCAACACTAACTACAACGTCCATATCAACATCATCATCGTTCCTGCCTTGTTCCAGTATCATCGTCGTTACTGTCGTAGTAGGTTCTGTCCTTCGAGCTTTCTTGGGAGGAAGATACTCCTTTTGTAGAGCAATGTTGTTATTGGTGTATTTTTCATCCTCGTCATGTTCCAAAATATCTGTAGCAAAAAGAGTTTCAACTGTCTTGTCCATCATAATATCGTCCTCCAAGTCACTTGCATCCAGGTCATGTATCAAAGAAGTATTGGATAATGAAGGAAACCAGTTATCATTGTTATCTTCGTCTTGGTCATTGTTGCTGTTGTTAAATGAATTCATTATATCTAGACTTTCCACATCACTGCTATCGTCTTCAACTATGGAAGGAACTGTTAACATGTGCGGTAAAAGAATCCTTACTTCGCCTTCATCCAATTCACGCACAACAACAGAAGATGTCATAGGATGCATGCTGCCATCTCGACCATAGGTGGTAGTGGAATAGGATTCGTGTCCGTGACCCATTTGTTGTACAAAGAAAGAAAAAGAAGACGAGAGAAGGGGGGTGAGTCCTGTTTTATGCCTATTTTTGGAACGCCGGTCTGTGACCAAAGGAAAAAAAAAAGAAATGGGGAACTGATCACCATTCATTTAGAAACGTTCATGAGAGATATGACGTATCATCAAAGAGTACCAGATTCATTTTATTTTTTATGATGATGGAGTAATAAAGTATTATTATTTACTATGATCTTTATTTATTTATTATTATTATTACTGTTTTTTTGGTGAAGGATTTGGTATGGAACTATAAACGTAAATGGGATTGTTGATAAGGATGAAAATACGTCAGAACGGCATCATATATGTATGTAGGAGTATAGAAGAGAGGCAAAGCAAAGATGGAATATCGCCTTTTAAGGAATAGTTAACTACCAGGACTTGTTTTACTACAATTCATTTAAAAGAATAAAAAAAAAAGGAAGATACGGACGATCAAGACTTTGCCTTATCATTTCGACAAGCAATGGCGTCTGCTTTTTTTTTTTTTTCTATGAATCTATTTCTATTGGTGCCCAGATTACTATCATTGAGGGTGGGGAGGAAGGCGGCATGACGCGTGCGTTGACCGAAATTTCTAGACAGGTGACACTAAAAAAAAAAATGTCGCGACAGAATTAAAAAAAAAAAAAAAAAAAAAAAAAAAAAAAAAAACGGGGCTAAAAATCAACCAATACGAAAACGAGGACACGACAAAAAAGGAAAGAAAAAAAAAAGGTCAACGATTTTTATTTAAAATACAAATATACAAATGGTGGTATAATACCTAACGATAAAAAAAAATAATCATCATCAAATATATGAGGAGTAATACAAAAAAGTGGGAATGAAAAAGAGAGAGAGAGAGAGAATAAATTATGGAAAGAAAAGAAATGGACAAAAAAAAAAGGGGAATAAGGAATTGACATTTTAATCTTCTTGGGTATGGTGTCCAAACATCATCATAGCTTCGGCAGCCGCAGTAACGGGTGATGAAGGTGCTTTGCCAGTAGTAATAATAGTAGTAGTAGTTGTTGTTGAAGGTAAATGATGGTCGTGATCTTCGTGGTAAGGATCACTATCGTCACTGTCATGATTCGTTCCTAATTCAGATAACTGCTGATGACATGTATGATGAGAATCATCCGTATCCTGTTGTTGATCTTGTTGTTGTTCAGTCATGGCTATAGCATAAGATAAGTAATCTAAGGAACTTTTGATATGTCGAGACTGTTGTTTTGGTTCTGATGTAGAGTTGATGATGGTAGCAATGCTAAATGGTTTATTGGAATTGATTTGATTAACGGATTCATCATCAGTAGGTGGTGAAGGTGGTGTATGAGTATGAATGCGTTTTCGTTTGCGATCCAGTGAATCATAAGAATGATCATCATCATCATCATCATTGTTGTTGTTGTTGTTGTTATTGAAACGCTGATTATCATCGTGTGGACTGTTACTGAAGGGTGACGATGAAGCATCATCTGATAATAATAAAGTGGATGATCCTGATGTGGTAGGTGTTGAGAATGATCGAGTCAATTTAGCCTTCTTTTTTTTTAGCTGAACATGGTGTGAATGACGACGATAATGATGAGTAGAAGAAGGATTATAAGACATAAACCCGCTTGGATGATAATGATAATGAGGATGAAGAGTTCTATTGTCAAGAATGTCACGTTGTGTAAACCGGGGTGTCGGTAATGCATCAATCATTTGCCGTTGTCTTTCTTTCCAAAATGATTCCACATCCAAAAGTGTATTTTTTTCCCAACCATTGCGTAACTTGAACTTTGCAAAACCCAATCTGGTCTTGAGTGACTCTAAATGCTGTACGACGAAAAAAAAGAAAAAGGAAAAAAAAAAAAAAAAGAGAATTGTCAGAAATCATTCTCAATAATGTTGAATAATATTTTTTTTTTTTTTACCTTGGACATATCAATATCTTGATGTCCTCTGTATAAGTTATGATTCGTCATTTATAAAGAAGGTAAAAAAAAAAAAAAAAAAAATTTATATATACAAAAAGAAAAAAAATGCTATAAAGCACAAAAAGAAAAGAAAGTTGAATGAATAAGGAAGAAAGATGAAAGAATAGAAAATCGATTATCCCCTCCCCCTTAAAGAAATCTGAATGGACGCGGTCCCTTTTTTTTTTATTTTCTTGAAAATATCGCGCACGGCACATTTGGGGGGTCGTACCTTATTAGATCTCCGTGTGTGCACTTTGATGCCGATTGTCCCCCTAGAAATTGGGAAAAAAGAAAAAAAACGCGGTACTCAAAGCGCGACACATTGACTTTTTTTTTTTTTCCTTTTTACCTCTCTCTAACGTCACTTTGTCGTCCTATCTTTTTTTTTTTTTTTTTTTTTTTTTTTTTTACATTCGTCCTTAATTTTCCTTTTTTGATGACTCATAATGATTATCATCATATCCCTTCATACTTTTTTATATTTGTTTTAACAAAACTAGAATGAAATTTCTTTCAAAACATAACATCTCTGTTCACAATCAGTCATCATCACCTATTCATCATTACATATCATCTGTTCATCACACATTACTTATTCATCATATATCACGTATTCTTCACATATTACTTATCCATTACATATCACTTATTCATCACTTATCATCCATTACATATCATCTATTCATCACATATCATCCATTACATATCATCCATTTTACCCATGATCCAGAGACTTATAAAAAGAGTAAATAAGAGATTTTATTTGAGTGGTATCAACAAAAGGGAGGACTGTACTACCAAGAGACCAATGTACATAAAAAGAAAAGAAAAAGGATCGACTACAATGGAAAACAGCAAAATGCAATACATCCCGGACTATGAATACCCCACAAGACTTATTCTATGTCCGCGAAACAAGAGAGAAAACATATCAGTTAGAGTTGCATAAAGTATGTTAACCTATTGTTATTATTACCTGAAGTTTGATTGGCTCCATATCCGACTCGAGATGGTTCATCTGTAGGTACTTGTTGGTAACGTAAACCTCCACTTTCAATATCTTCGAATGAGTCATTGTACTTATGGACAATATAGAAAGCATGAATCACACCGGGAACTATACAAAGAAAGAAAGAGAAAAAAAGAAGAAAGAATATATAAAGATGAGAATATATATATATAAATGTTGAATGATTAAAAAAAAAAAAAAAAAGACTTACTTGCACCAAGTATGGTCAAACAAACACTTATCAAGAGATCAACATTACAACCACGTTTGATGAAAACGGCAAGAGGAGGGAAGAAAAAGGCAATGACAAATAAAGCTATATCTCTACCAGAATACGCCATTTTGTTTAATATATAAGTTTGTATTAAAAGAAGAAGAAAAAAAAAAAGAAAAGGGAACGAAAAAAGAATTGAGCGCCAAGAAGGAAAAAATACCCATGCTTGGCTGCCTAGATAAATTTAAATACCGGTACTGCTGTGTCATTTGTGTGACACATCCATTTCAACCTTTATTATTTTAAAAGACATATTCATGTGTTAATATAACTATTTGTGTACAAGCTTAAAGCTTTGAACATTTAAGGTAGGTGAAATATTATCTTGATTGCCTTGGAAAGTCTTGCTATGACCTTGGTAAGCATGCTTGTCATAAACAGTAATTTGAAGCCAATCAGGAGCAGTCAAAGAACCTACGACAGGAATATTGGCATTTGGACGACCAACATGATTACCTTCACCTTCACTATCAAGTGAACCACAAATAAATCCAGCTTGTTCTTGTTGATTAGGTTTCTTGTAAAAGTAGACACAGAAATCATCAGTATCACGGGCCACCAAGTCATTTTGTTTAACATCACCAATAGGACTAGCCAATACTTGTCCACCAAGAAGAACACAAGCTGTTAAGGTAATCAGAGAGAAACGCATTTTGATTGATAATATATTTGAAAGATAAAACTAAATAAAAAAAAAAAAAAAAAAAAAGAGAAATCATCTCCTTCTTTTATATCTTTTTCCCTGCATTTTTGTCTATTTTTACATCCAAAACTTGATCCCTTCTTTTTTTAGTCCATCATCCTTTCTTTTTATTTTTTTTTTTTGAAATAAAGGACCGAAGGATAACTGATTTTCAATCAAAAGAGAAAGATTTAGAAAACTGTGCCTCAAAAATTACCTATTTATAATCAAAATAAAAAAAAAAATACTTATGAACGAACTCTTACTTTAAAAAAAAAAAAGGATATATTTTTATATCCTCAACGATAACTCTATATAGAAATTTGCTAACGTTAAAAAAACTGTGCCCTCTTTTTCGCTCTTTTTCTTTGTACAACTTTAGAACGAACATATAATAATGTATCTACATGAAACTAAAATCATTTGCATGATGCGGACATTCAACGCTTTCAACCCCTCCACTTTCCATCCCCCCCAAAAAAAAAGCATCTACCATCTACATAAAAATGATCCAAAAAAAGAAAAACTCTTCATTGGTAAATATTTTTACCTCCTGATTGCCACACTGCCACACTTCTTTTTCTTTTTGCCCTTCCATTTGTAACTTTAAATCTCATCTTATTTGTATTCTCTAGTTTAGCAGAGGTACATCATCCCTGTTTATGTTATCTGTGATAAATCATCATCATTGCATTTATAATACATCATCCTATCATATCATAACATCAATTTGTGTCTATGATCAATCAAATCCTCATAGAACAAATGATCACGGGATATGATCATCCAAGTACAAATGTTGGTAACGATTAACCATTTCAGGTAACATCCAATGCAATTTTCATCGTTGATTACCAGGCTCTCATACGGAAAGGTTGAAAGCTCAACAAAAAAAAAAAAAATAAAAAATAAAAATCACACTACTTAATTTTAAGCTGGTGAGTTTGAAACTTTTGCTTGTAAAATTTCCCCAAACTCTCTTTTTCTTTTTCTCTCTCTCTCTATTTCTTTACTTTCGTTTCTAGCCTATGATTTATAATACAACTTATATGTCTTTTCTCTATTTCTCTCCGGATAGTGACATGGCATGTCTCTAATTATGGCATCGTCATTTGTATACCAAACACCAAAGGTAATGTTAAAAAGTAGAAGAATAAAAGATGAATGGGAAAAAATAATACTAACCTCTTTTTATGATTCCTTTTTTTTCGAAATCCCTTTTAAGATTCATGTGAAAAACGCAATGACTAGATGGTATGTTATCGTTTACTTCGTCTTTCTTTTTTTTTTTCTTTCATCTGGTAAGTCATCCTTTTATTCTTTCTCATTTCCTTTCTCACACTTCTTTTTTTTTGGAAATAAGATGCACTATCTTCCTTTTTCTTTTACTGTTCCTTTTTTAGGCTTTCTCTCATTCCCTTTCCATATCTCTCTCTCTCTCTCTCTCTCTCTCTCTCTCTCTCTCTCTCTCTCTCTCTCTCTCTCTCTCTCCATCTTGCATTCAACTAATCTAAGTGATACTTCACTATGTTTTTTTATTCTTATTGTGCACAATCGATGTGAATAGAGGACGCGATTACATGGATTTACGAATGCAATAACCGGAATGCAATACAATCGAAAGAATTGCGTTGGACGTACAATTGGATTAACCACATGAATGTGCAACAGAATTCAACAGGATTGGTAATACTACAACTTCAATAGAAGAGGTTTGCAGTGGAGCTTGGGCAAGAAAAATCAGTATATCATGATCTTCTTCTCGTTTAGCTGGTCTCTTCCCTTGGTTTGACTTTTTATTGTGATGATGCTTTTATTCATACTATAGTAGTCTTATTATATTATGCCTTCCCTCTTTATACAATTACATTAATAAAATCTTTTTTTTTTTTTTTTTTTTTTTTTTTTTACTATTAATGCTGTATAATCGTTACATCTAATATTCCTGAACCGACTCCAACAATCCATTATTGTATAATTCAAATAATACGTTATTACTCTATCATTATTAGAATTCATCATCCATCAACAACCTCAACAAATAATCATTGATCTTCTGTGCCATCCAACAATCAATCTTATCCTTTCCAAATCTATTCTTTTTTTTTTTTTTTTGCCATATAGATCCAATATTCACAACGGTCAAATAATCAAGACTGCTATTTTTCATGTTCTGTCACACTATAAGGGAAAAAAAAAAAGGAAACAACTCCACAATTTTTTTTTTCTTTTTCTCTTTCTCTGTTCTCAACATGGCTGCGACCATTCCTTTTTCTTTTTTTTTTTTTTTTGTGTCAACGGCGACAATCATTAATAACTACGGTAGCTACGGCTATTTAATGGACATATTTTCATTTTTATTTAGTTTTTTTTTTCAGTTAGGTTTTTTTTTTTTTCTTCTCAATAAAAAAAAAATAACAATCATCAATTACAAGTCTTTATTTTATTCTACAAATCATTATGCCAAATCTGGTTTTCTAAGATCTAATCACTCAAATTTTGTTGACTGATAAAAAGATGATCATACATGCAGTTTTTTTTTTTTTTTTTTAACAACAACATCATCAATATATATTCCAATCAGAAGGAACCATCCACTCAAAAAATCTACATCATTACAAAAAAATTATAACAATTCTATTCTTATCCAAAAAAGAAAAATATGATCATCGATCACCTTTGTCAAATCTAACAAAAAGAAAAAGTATCAAAGAAACCAAAAAAGGATACATTAATTCAATCTCCGACAGCGATCAAATATAAAAAGGAATCGTCGCCTGCAGGATTCGAACCTGCGCGGGCAGAGCCCAATGGCTTAGCAGGCCATCACCTTAACCACTCGGTCAAGACGACCTATAAAATCAGGGTTCTTAAATTTCATTATATTCCTCATGATTAATTTCAGCCAATCAGAAACAAGTATTAGCCATTTGGTGCTACTATGTCTCAATTCTGGTTGGAAACAATGTGATGATGATCATGCCAGAGCGGGGTTACAAATCCTGGTCCTCCTCTTTTTTTTTTTTTCTATCATTGACTTTTCGATTTTCTATCTTTTCTGAATATACTTTATTCTATTTTTATATTATTTTATATTTTATATTTTATTTTATCATTAATATATACTTCTCTTGATTTGTTTGAACTTTTTATTGTATTTCTTTTGGTGTTTACATTGTTAGTTACATTTTAACATTCTTTTTGATTCATTGTAATAAAACACACTTTGACTCAATTCACAGACGATTTTCCCCAAGTGCCTTCACGTTTTTTTTTTTTTTTTTTTTTTTTTTTTTTTTTTGTTAATAGTTGATTGATTATTTTTATTTAATAAAAATATGATGGATTAATTGATGTTTTGATATTTTTATAAGAAAGATTAATAATAATAGTGTATTATACAGTATTTGTATGATACTAAGATAGTTGATTGGATTAACAAATATAAAAATAATAATAAAAGACAAATCGAAAATACGATGAGACTGTTGATATAGTTTATTTCAATAAGAATTGAATGAGAGAGAAAAAAAAAGAAAAAACTATTCTAATCCAATCTTAAATGACAAGAAGCTGAGATCTTAAAGTTACACAATAATATCAGTCTAGATACGACAGATACAATATTTTTACACTTTGTTCACTAATAGATGATGCAGTTTCAAAATAGGATGTCGACAAAATAGGAAATAATATATTAAGTATAGAAAAAAAGAATGGATGATGGGATGAAGAGATGGATAGATGACAAGGAGAACAGGAATGAAGTTATCATAAAAAGAAAAGAAAAAAAATAGTTAGTTCTATGTATGAAACATCCAAATTTTTAATAATCGATGCTTACCAAAATAACAATAATATAATAGTAATCAATAAGACAAGCCAAAGATGAAGAAGTAGTAGTAGATAAAATATATATAAAAAGGATAAAATAATTATGAGCCAAAACTTTTTTTTTGCTTGCTTGCTTTTTCTTTCTTGATTTACCTGTACGCAACAACTTTCGTCATTGCTTCAGTGACTTCAACAATCATCCAAAGAGAAAAAAAAGGGGGATGATGAACCATAGTTTGATGGCAGTCGTGAATAATACAGAAAAAAAAATTTAAAAACTAAAAAGATATAAAAAAGAAGATGATACTAAAGACTAGGATCATTGTTAATATCATCATCATCATCATCATCATCATAATCGTATTTTTAAAAAAAAAAAAACTTACTAGGAAGCAAGAAGGAAGCAAATAGACCAGATGGTCCGTCTTAACCTTGTTAGGTTGTGTTCCAGAAAAAAAGAGACTTGTATTGATGTGGATGTAAGAAAATCTTGTATTTGTATAAGTTGGTTTAAAAATTGATATGAAGAAAGATAAGGAGGTTATAAATGGAAAGAAAAAGAAAGAAAAAGAAAGAAAAAGAAAAGAGAAAAAAAAATGGTACATTTTAATATTTTTCACATGTAAAAACAAACAGACCCAGCAATGTAGAGGAACCTAACAAAAAAAAATAAAAGGTTTCAGTAATCTTGCATTAAATTACTGCGATAAGATACATTCATAAATGTAAGCATGTGATGACAAAAATAATCAATGGCAGCATCACCAGACGTCAATATTATTAAACTCCTCTGAATATAATGAGGGTATACTACAACATGTCATATAATTCTATTCGGTATAAATATTGCTATAGTACTAGAAGGTTGTATAAGAGGGTTCTATACATGTAAATATACTTAGTAAAACAAAATATAAAAATACATCCAAATATAAAATAAAAAGCACATCATAAAGAGTGTTATTTCAGAACATGATGAGGTGTAATAAAAAAGATAAAAAAAAATAAAAACTTTGTTATACAAAAGTAGGCTCATCTTAAAGTATAGTGAATGTACTATAAAAATGATTTATTATATAATAAACTAACTAAAAAACAATAACAATAACTCATATACTAAAAAAATAACAACCCCAATGACGGCTATCACTATTAACGCATCCTTGTATCCTAATCCAAAACCACGTATTCCAGAATATACATTCGTTTGTCCACAATCGATTATTTGACCTTTTGCAATTGCATTTCTCATGTCAAGAATCGTGCGTTTTCGTTCCATACAATCATCTGAGAAGTAATCCTTTCGATTTCGAGAATTGCTTGATGAAGGGCCTACGACCAAAAAAATCTTCCATTGCGCTACTGATATTCTATCACTTCTCCAATGAGCATTTCTGTCGAATGATCTGATTATCGATGTGATGATAAAGCGTTCCTAAGTCATTTAAATATATAAATGAAATGATCTTCGAGTATCGTGATATGAATACTTTTTTTTTTTTTTTTTTTTTTTTTTTTTTTTTTTACCTATTTATAGAGAGATCGAAACAACATGCAATATTGTTGTTCTCGTTTTCTTTCTTCCATAGCGTCGATCCATCATATTCATCATATACATTGTACTATATCCAGTTGTTGCTCCAGTCATCATTCGTCTTGTCGTCGCTGTATAATTGGTATGGTTCCTTTTCTGCAATCGCTAGGTGAATGGCTTGCTAACCCTAATGCTAATGACACCAATCTTTGCTCATAAAGTTGTACACACAAGTTTTGTTGATGTTCAGACCAACCATCGAAAAGACTATCCATAATAACTTGATACAGTACTGCAGATGGGTTATCATTAATAAACTTGATCAGTTGCTGCTTATATTCTTCCATTGGTCTTGGTCTCGGTCTACGCTTTCCTTTCCTTTCCTCCGTCAGCTGTCTTTCCTTGTATGTTTTTCTCCATCATTGAGCTGTTCATTCGCTGACCCCAAACATCTTTCATGCTTTTGAGGTTGACACCAGTTTTTCCAAATGAGAAAGGGTAATATGAGAATTTGAATTGATTACAACAAGTATTATATGTATGGGAATTGGTCTTTTACCTTTTGCTTGCGTTCTACGATCGGGTCATTCCATTGTGGTATATTCCTCTTGTTCTTCCTTCCTATGATTCCATATTAATTAGTACTTCTAGCTTGATACTGCTATTGTCTTTTCTTCAATCACTTTCATCGCATCGTTCCCATTATAGTCAGTAAGAGTGAAGCAATGTAAAAGGTCAAAAAAAAAAAAAGAAAAAAGAAAGAGAAAAAGCTAACAAGTGCGGAAGTACACCAAGACAGCAGCAATAAAAGCGACATCCATTTCAAGAAAGCCCATATTTTATTTTATAACGTCACGAAAAATATATTTCTCGTGACCCGACAAAAAACTTTGAAAACACTATTAAGTGGAAGTCTTCCCGATGTTTGGTTTGCACCTGTCGGGGTCTCTCCCTATTTTCATTGTATTCTCACTTTTAATCTTTTTTTTTTTTTCCTCCCCTTTGCCTCTTTTCTTTATCTTTTCTTTATTACTTTGGTTTAATTTACTTGGACAATATATTTTTATTGTTAGTTTTATTTCTACATATATATTTTTGGAATGAACTTGCTTTCACGTATGCGCGTCAAGTACCAACAATCTTGGGATTCTAATCGAGGACCAGCCAGTTATTTTGGAGTCTGTTCAATATTATTATCAATAAACAACATCTCAATACAAAGATGATTGCCAATGCTCACACAAGGAAAAAAAAAGAAGTAAGAACATAAAATAAAGAGCAACATTATTATTAACCATCAACTTCTTTGTTTTTACTTTTAGAAGGTCGCTGCAACAGAAGAGGTAACATAAAAAGATAAAAAACATACCAAAGTCAAATTAAAAAAAAAATATTATTATCTTTCACACAGGCAATGAAGCAGCTGAATGACAGCGGAAGATATGATGGACTGATACACTGTTGCACCTGCTTTCGGTCGTTTGACGACAAAAGTATCTTCTACAGTGAGAAGAGAAAAAAATACACGAAGTTTTGCGCGACCTGTCGTCAAAAGGACAAGGATGTAAGTAAAAAGAACAGTATGGCATGAATATTGCATTGGAATTAAGGACTAATATCTTATTTATTGTATGATCCCCTCATATAGCGACGAAAGAAGAATACAAATAAAGCCGTAGATGTAGGTGCAGTATAAAGAAAAACCAACCTGAAAGAAAAAGACGTCTTGGAAATAACGCTGTCCTATAGATGATCAAGGAAGTCAACGAAGACCTTCAAGCTGGCAAGTCTATCGACAACACCACTACGGTTAAATGCGCCAGCTGCATTCGAACGGTGCCTCTTTCTGATTTCTACAGTGAGAATTTGAAGCAATACTTCCATACTTGTAGCGAATGCCGAACTGTGGGACGCTCCGTAAGCTGACGTAATCACTGGATAATATGTGGTAATTGGAATGATAAATTGATTAGGTTTTACCTAAAAAAAAAAAAAAAAGGCAAATGCAAATTGAAACTTATCGATATTTTATTTCGCATTTTCTTTAGTCAGAGGTAACATGCATGAATTGGAAAAAAAAAGAGGATGATGGAATAGTTATTGTTGTTTATAAACATTATGCTAATTTTTCTCATACTGTATCTTACCTAGATCATCGACAACCTGGATCAGTCTCTCAAGGATCGTTCTCAGGTCGACAACATCAAGATTCGCTGCAGAAGATGTTTTAACGAATGGAATGCAGAAAGCTTTTTTTTCCCATTGCTGAAGGAAAGTACACGACAGAATGTACGCGTTTTCGCGATGCAAGACTAAAGGTACGTAACAAAGCATATTATATACTGTACAAGTTCCTGCTACTTTAACATAATTTTTTTTTATTATTATTCTACACAGAATGGCTGTTGTATCCGAGGTTTATGGAGTTACAATTGATATCATAGATTCAGTAACACAAACTCTTTTATTTAATACCAGATTAGAATGGCAGATTAATATATCAATTAGTATTTTTTTATTTTTATTAAGATACTCTTTTCTCTCATCAATAAACTATTAATCAGTTTCATTGTATTTCTCTCTCTCTCTCTCTCTCTCTCTCACTATTTTTTATTTTATTTAACTAAACATCACAATGGCGAAAAACACATACTTGCCGCTATCGTAAGCTAGAAAAAAAAAAAGGTAAACTCAAGTATTGGCTTCCACGATATCAACATAAAGATGTACAAATCGATCGGTTAGACTCTCGATTCGGATACTACCACTGGAATGTAGTCAGTTCACGTCGAACATGCAAGTAGTAAGTCAACTGGGATGATTCGTTAATTTTTTTTTTTGTTTGTCTAATATAATATATTCATCATTTATTCATAGGTTCTTTGGACACATTCCTTTTGACAAACATATGGGAATCAATAGGATCATGCAATTCTGACTCAATTCTGGCCCAGCTCCGAGTTCCCTTTATTTATTTTTCTTTTTCCTTTTTTTTTTTTCTCACCCTCTCTTTTCGTTTATTTTTTTTTTTTTTTTTTTTTTTTTTTTTTTTAGTTTTAGAATGCAATTATTTATTTGAAGCTAATAAAGAATTATCTGTTATCTTCGGTCAAAATTTATTCCTTACGTTGTTTTATTAAGTTCTCAACATCGACTAATGTTATATATGTTTTACCTCTGGCTTGTCTAATCTGTCTGTCCGTCTGTGCTGATATTTACCAATGCTTCTGTCACGTTCTTGATACTTTAGTGTTGACGACTTCCAAACAATCAAAACGATTTAGAGTAGCATGACTATCCGATGGAAACAGAAACAGTGTGAATGCCTTTCCTTTGAGGACCTAGTTGAATTCATCAAACATAAATGAAATGTAATCACTGGAGTATAATGGAACTGGAAACCAAAGAGAGACAACCTCCTTCGACTGTCGGGCAAATCGAATAGATAGATAGTCAGATTGGATACATAGAAATCAATATGCAGGTCAGATTCCTACACCTCAACATAGGCAAGAGCAACTCCAGCCAAGAAGACGATTTTTTTTGACTGATACTATCATATGAAAGGTAACAAATTCGAAGTGTTACTGCGATTACAGCAGCTGCATAACGAACATCTTCGAACAAGACCAGCAATCATATCCGGAATGACATACGACAACGACGACAACAATGATAATAATTAGATAACGGAGGACAATAGGTATGGGAGCTGATGAACTCGTATTGGATTTTTTTTGGAGGAAGAAGACTTTATAGAAGATGGATGGACAATACCTAGATGATAACAATGACAACTGCGAATTTGATAATCTTGATATCGTTAATCATCGGACATACTTGACTTTGATGGAACAGCAACCGCATGAAGAGGTCAAAAAGGCGAGAAATTCAAGTCCATCACTAATACAATCGAAAATAAGTTTGAATCTCTTTATTTTAGTTTACTTATTTTAGTAGTCCTACTTTATATATATTACATTATTCATAATCTTCTTGTCATTAAAATCTCCTTGAATAAAGTTTTTTTTTTATTTTATTTTTAGTTCATGATGGTTTGTGCATGATGATAGATCAAAAATAGGATACGGCAATAATCGCGATCGCTCCTTTCTTATTTTTTTTATGCGTTTTCGTGATAGAAAAAAAATTATAATGAATCAGTGATATAAAATAGTTTAGTACAACGATCTTGGTTCTTTACATCATTCACTTCTACTCCTTGTTGGTCAATCTACTTTTTTTTATCTCGAAAATCCAAATGAACTGATAAATAGAAATAAAAATAAATAAGACTGAAAGATGGAAAGAGTTGGTGTCTAGTCACTACCTTTTTTTTTTCTTTTGATAAATCTGTCATTTGGCTTATTCATGAAAAAATCGATCTATAAAGTCCTTTCATTCTGTAATATCACATGGAAATGAACATGTACCTCTTTTATTCTTTGTTATTCACTCAAAAATAGTCATCATTGCACCAAATTTGGACATAACACAGAAAAATCCATTTTCGTTCAGTTCACCTTCTTTAATTTACAGATTATCATTGCACTTATAGAGTAAATTAAAAAGAAGTCAATGTCACCATCCAGTCGTCATCATTGGCATGATCTTTTCAATCTTATTTCCCCCTTTTTTTTTTTTTTTTTTCAATCATCAACTATCTATCATCCGTCATCAATACACCTTACCATATAGTTTAATTCTACAAACAAACATATTTACCAATGGATATCAAAACATATACCCATTATAATCATTATCGTAAATCAGTAACACAAAGTTGCTCTACGATATCGATAGGAATCAGAAATAAGTAAGTACGCCTTGTACAGTTAGGCTCGGGAATGAAATAAAACAGGACAAGAAGAAATTGATGTAGTGTTACTGCAATTTAGAAGGAGTATAGGAGATACTAAATTTTTAAGACAAGATACTTCGTCTCACAACTTCCTTGTGAATTTAATAAAAAAGGAACTTCCCTTGTATTATTTACAGTTACCTTATTCATTTTCTTTCCCGGTTCTTTATTTAATGATCCATCACCTTTTTTTTTTTTTTTTTTTTTTTTTTTTTTTTTTTACAGCCTTCTATCTTTATTTCGATATTTTTGATACAATGTTAACCTTCACAAGCCTATTCATCCTATTTTCACTTATCACGCGTGTATTTGCACGTAAAAATGTGACAATGCCCAAAAATCAAGATCAAATACTCATTGATGGAAATTATACGTCGGGATACTATTGTGTCAAGGATCCTGAGGGTCATAATGTACAAACGATTGAAGGTGATGATATGCTTTTGTATAGGACAGACACAGATTCAAACAATGTGTATTTAATGTGCTCCGATAGTGTACCTGACTATGGCAACGAAGAATTGTGTGCACAACTAGAAAATGGCAAGATAAAACTTATTTCAGATCCTACCTCTTATTCTGATTTTAGATTTGTTGATCAGGGCTGTGGCTGCAGTGAATGTGCAACGTATATTGCTGCACAAGATTGGGATTATGAAGCAAGTGTATTTGCAGGAATAAACTGTGGTAATAATGGTCCGTGTGATTACGTTGATGATCAGGAGGAAAATGGTGAATTTTACGTTTATGGCGGTAGAGATGGATTTGCACAGATCTCACTACTAGCATTCTCTCCTTGCACGGATGGCACAACAACTATGAACAACTTTTATTTTAAAGATGGTGATTATATTCTACAAGCATGTGATGATGGGATGTCTAAGGATGCATCTTTTTGTGTGGCAGAATTAAGTAGTGTTTCCTCCACCACAGATTGGTATTTTAAGAAAAGCCCAGACGCAAAGTACGACAACGTAGCTTGTGCCTAAGTGCCTCGATTTATTTTATTTTATTAGTATTGAAGTCTTTAAACTCTGCTTCAAAGTATTTTCCAAAAATAAATAAACAAACGAATGATGAATAAATACTTAAGCGGGAAACTTTATTGATTAAGGCGATCTTTTTCAAACATATTGTATTGTGTTAGCATATTTTCATCCTTCCTAATTTGGAATACCATGTAGCTATTGTACGAATTCTATTTTTGGGTTGATCGGAAGCATTTCCGGATCAATATATACCAAAAAAAAATAGATGGTTGGATTCAACAATAAGATCTGAATGTTTATTGGAAAACAAATTGTAGACACAACAATGAAAAGCTAGGATATATAATTCAAAGGAAAGAGGCAATAATCAAGTTTGAAATCGACAAAAGATGCTGTCGCGAATTATCATTTTGCAAAAAACGTTATGGACAAAACGGTTTTGGATCAATTGTATTCGGATTAGTATGGACCTTCTTATATTAGCATTTACATTATAGATGTAGTTTAGCTATTCTTGTTTTATAATAGATAAATGATGATTGTTTTTATTTTTGTTTATTTGAAAAGATGATGCGTGATGAGTATAGGAAAACATAGGGACCATTACAAGACAGATACTTTGTAAATAGAATCTTTTATTTGATCAAAAAAAAAAAGAACGAATCACAAAACTAAGTAAATAAATAAAAAAGAATGATGTTGCTGTATTCATCATTGTATGAGTCAAATGAGTGAGGAAAAAAAAAAGGCAATGTGCTTGTATTGTAAAATATAATGATGAGATATATGCGTAGCTATTATTACTACGGAATTAACCTAGTCGTCTTCTTCGTCTTCTTCAAAGTCTTCATCGTCTTCTGCATCAAAATCACTTTCATCACCAGATTCGTACCAACTATATAATAAAGAGAGAATAGATCAGTCAGCCGTGATAATAATAAACCTTTTTTTACATACAAATTATCATCTTCTTCTATTTCCACAGGAGCAGCGATCATAAAATCCTTTTCTGATGTTGGCATTTTGAATCCAGGAGGAATATCTTGTTTAGAAATTTCGACTTGTTCTAATAAGAAAGTTTTATGTTAGTAGAATTCAATAAACGAGGAACAAATAACTTACTTTTCACGATCTCATCATACAATGCTCGGTCTTTTCTAAATGCCACCTAGAAATAAAAGAATGAATTTGTAGGGTGTGTACATAAAGATAAACAATTATGTCATTGAATAGGCAACAAAACTTACTCCTGCATCGACATTGGCTGGACTTGAGCAGTTAGGATCTGCTAATAATGAGATGATTGACATAAGGACACCTATAAAAATATTTAAATAAAAAAAATCAATCAAAAATAGAAAGGATGATAATAAGTGATAACTTACTTTCTACAGACTATAAATAGGGAAGGATGAGGGGCAGGTTAGAATGACTATCCTCTTTTTCAATTTTATTTCCGTCTTAACGTACCTGTGTAGGATTCCATCTTTCCTATAATACGATATAATTAATATGCCGTTTTCATCATCTTCAAAGATAGATATATTGAATTTTTACCTCCGCTTTTTCACCACTGATAGGATCATCCCCAGGAGGATGAAGAATAGATATGCAGAGCCTACCATCATCATATACTATATTCAAAAAAAAAAAATGAGTGATATTTAACTACATTTTCTCATTTACCGTTTGGATGATAAAACTCGCGGTCAAACCGGAAAGTAGGAGGACGGAATGGATAATCATTGGTAAAAGTCATGGTAGCCTAATATTTCCCATAGGGTTGGTTAATTGGTAGAAACTAAATGGTTCATTTCTTTCTATTACCTTGAAATAACCACCTTCATAAATGGTGTTTGGTAAACCGATAATTGCTACTGACCTAGGAGAAAAAAAAGTCAATATAAAGTTATTTTCCTTTAAAACCAAAACAATAGTAATAAATGTATACCATTCAAAGATGTTATCGTTTTTCAAATCAACAACAAAACCTGGAACAGGATTCCTAATGAGGTCTAAAACAAATAATAATAATAATAATAATAGTGAAAGTGAGAAGAAGAAGAGTAAGAAGTTTCCTTTTGGGTTTACCTTTGAATTGACGTTGAAGAGTATTTGCCGCAGACGACATGTAAAAGAGGTATTTGTGAGTTAAGAACAAAGGAAGAGAGAGAGAAAAGAAAACGAAAGGAAAAAAAAAAGGGGAGCCGATAGAAGAAGGGAGGAAAAAAAAGAGTCTATTTAAAACGCCGTGACTAGATAGTACACTACATTTAGAGGACTTGCTTTTCATTTTTTTTTTCTTTTTCATTCATTTGTCCGCATGATTTTTTTTCCCTTTTTTTTCTTCTTTCTTCTTCTTTCTTTTTTTTTTTAACTGCTATGCTGGATGATAGTATAAGTCAAGAACAACTTGTATATCGTATTGATTGTGATAAACATTTTACCTCTAATGGCGCTCCTCCCATTCTTGTTTTACAAAAGGATTCTGTTAAACCTCCCATTCTTATTCTTCAAGGTATTCAAACTCACCCTTCTCTTACGCCAGGCAAGTCCGAAATAATAATAATAATAAATAATAATAATTCCAATTTCTTTCTAAATTTGATACCTGTTTTTTTTTTTTTTTTTTTTTTTAATACTCAAGTTATTAGGGATGAACGAAAAAATAAGAGTCAAGGTTATATATTACAGGATGAAAGGAAACCGTCATTATCAACAACAATAACAACAGCAGTAACAACACCTTATTTATCATCTGTACAAACTGAAACTTCCTATCCATATCCGACGACGACTAATGACCAATTTTTATACCCACCCCAATCATTTCCGATAGATTCATCACAAGATTTTTCTTCTTTTGGACAGCATTCCTCCGGCTTGGCATATAGTGACACAATACCTCCTTCTTCTTGGTCTTACAATAATCCCAACAATAGTACTTTTACTTCTCCCTCTTTTGGACACAACCCCTATGATGGCATTTACGGAACATCGGCAGATATCGACACCCGCCATTCATCCTATGGTTACACTCAAAGCGAACCATTTCATTGGCAGCCAGCGTACTACCAACGAGATCAATGGAATCAACCGTATGATGATGAATATAGAAACGAAAGGATGATGTATGATGGATCATATATGACTGGAAGAAATGGATATATGGAAGAAGAAAGAAGAATGATGATGATGATGCCAAATTATAACCAACAACAACAACAACCTATGCCATATCCTTCATCCTCATCATCATGGCAACACTATCACAACAATATCGATGATGGAGAAATGCGATCTTATATGGATTGGAATAACCATGGGTACAATTCGTTATATTATCAACAACAACAATATCCTGAATCAATGGTAACAAGTAGACGTCAACCTGCATTTCGGATAGTGAATGGTCCAAGAAGATCAAAATCTGTTTCATTTGCTCCACTTCCTGGTCAAAATTAATAGTTTATTTATACCAATAATTATATATATATATATATGTGTATTACCTTATTTATTGTTTGATTATAAAGAAATAAAATGTATTTATAAAAAAATGCTATGCAAGTTGTATAAAAAAAAATAAGAAGATTAGTCAACCATAATTTCATTTACCGACAAAAGTCAACTTTCCAATGAGATCTCTCTCTTTCTAGTGTGTGTGTGTGAAAGTGAGACTATGGGTCTTTATCATTGTCTACAAATAAATGACATGACAACCAACCCAAAAAGAACTGAGTTTCATGATCATCGACCAAAAAGGATCTCTATATGAACGAAAAATGATAAACAATCTTTTCCAACTATCAATTTTAATAATAAATAATAAATCGTTTCTCCCTTCTTTTTATCTATAAACAAAAAAAAAAAAAAAATAATGAAAAAAAAGGGTGTGGGCCAATAGGAGGAGTTCGTAGTGAATCTTTCGAGAGCGTCAGCAACCAAAAAATTTTATTGTCCCAGAAGTCTTATTTTGCCCTCTTTTTTTTTGTTTTTTGTTTTTTGTTTTTTTCCTTTTCTTTTTCTTCCTATCTCCATTTCTATTTTCACTTCTTTTTCTTTTATATATATATATTTTGGAAGGAATCCGTCATATTTACTTTTTTGTTTATTTGACTCATTTTTCCCTTCCGCTTTGTCTCTCCTTTTTTTTTTTCGTTACTTGATTTGAATCTCTTTTTTTATACAAAGGAAAGAAAACCGACGAAATAGTGCGATTTTGTCAGTAGTTCTTCTTTTTTCTTTTGTATTGGGCTATTTCTTCAATTTTTTATCGGTAATAACAACATTAGATCATTACTTATCGGTCACATACACTGTATATACTCACACAAATATATTCTTTATTTGGTTCATTATTATCTTTCATTTCGATTTATCTTTCAACAACAACAACAAAAAAAAAGACGGAAATACGCCCTTTTGACGATTGATTTTGGTGACTCTATTCTTTTATACACTTTTTATATCAGTACATCCCTACGGTACGTATACATTAGATGAAAGACCAATACACTCTCAAAACAGGAAAAAAGATGAATGATGGTGGAGAGAGTCTTGATCACTTGATTATCTATGGAAAAGAGGTGGAGACTAGTGGACTTTTGGAAAAGATCAGTACCATTATGTTTGGTGGACTAACAAGATGGGCAATGAAAAATTGAAATACAAGATTCTTACCTCTTTTTTTTTAATATATATATTTTTTATCATAGGTACTAGCAAAAGCAACACATAACTACACCGGAGACTTTTAGCCTTCCATGGCGAATCAACAAGAAATGTTCAACCCATACATGGCGGCTCAACAGGGTAATTATCAAGTAGATCCTCAAGCATCTTCGCCACAACAACAACAACAACAAACTCCAACGCAACCACAACAGCCACAACAACCACAACAGCCACAACAACCACAACAACCACAACAACCACAACAGCCACAGCAATCACAGCAACCACAGCAACCACAGCATGGTCAACCCAATAATATGATGAACATGTCACCGTCAGGTTTCCAAGGTCCACCAAATGCCAATGGTTATCCACCTCAAATGTATTCTCAGTCATTCCAACAACAACAACCTTCTCCTCAGATGGGTCAATTACAACAACAACAACAACAACAACAACAACGATATATGCCCGGTTACATGCCATCACCTCCTCCTGGATTCAATGCTAATCAAGGTTTTATGCCACAAGGCTTCCCACGACCCATGATGTATCAACAGCCTCCACAACAACAACAACAACAACCACAACAACAACAGTCGCAACAACAGCAACAACCATCGGGTGGTCAACAACCTTCACCATCACAACAACAACAACAAATGTCTCCTCAAGAACAACAACGAATGATGTTCTATAATATGGTACCTCATCCAGCCATGCAACAACAAGCTGGAATGCATCCTGGTATGTCAGCTCATCAACCTCCTTTCAATATGCCTCGTCCTCCATTGCAAGGATTCAACATGCAACAACTACCACCTCCTCCTCAATTTACCAATGGAATGAATGTTCAATTACATCAACAAAGGATGCATCAATATCAACAAATGGTTCGAATGCATCAATTACAATATCTCCAACATCAATCTCAACAACAACAATCCCAACAGCAAGCTCATCCCCAATTCCGTCCCCCTCCTGGTCAACCACAACATTTTCAACATCAATTTAGATCTTCAAATGCCTATCCTGGTCCACCTCAGCAATATCAATATTATCAACAACAACACCAACAGTATCAACAGCCTCAACCTACTCGTCGATCAGGAAGACAAGCCAAGAAGAAGAAACCATTATATGAAGATTCCTCTGATGAAGAAGATTTGGTAAATGAATTTATTTCTCCTATCAAATATATATACATATGTACTGATTCGTTTTTTCCTTTTTTTTTTTTTTTTTTTTTTTTTTTTTAGGATTTATCTGAAGAATCGGATACTGAAAAAGATAGTGATTTTGAAAGCGATGAGGATGACACCAAGAAACGAAAGAAGAATGGCTCTGATGAAGAAGAAAGCGTTGTTATACCAATGGGAACAAAGGTATGACTTTTCTTATCTTAACGATAGGTGAATCAATTGTTAATCATCTCATTTTTTTTATTATTATTATTTTCCTTTTGTATTATAGGAATTTGAACGTATCCTTGATTATCGAAAGAATGATGAAACTGGTGAAGAAGAATTATTGATCAAATACAAGGTAAAAAAAAAAAAAAAAAAAAGAAGGAAAAAAAGAGGGAAAGGGATTTCACTGATCATTTATATATATTTGATTGATAGAACACAAGTTTCCATCACGTCGATTGGGTACCATTGGAACAAATTGAAGCTGAACATTTGGGTAAACATCGGGTCAAGAAATTCATTCGAAAATGGGAAGATGATGGTGAAAAAGGCGAAGATTTCCGTGAATATCTCAAGTTGGATCGTATTGTGGATGAAGGTGAATTAGAAGATCCTTCTACTGGTGATCTCAAAATCTATTATCTTTGCAAATGGAATGCTCTATTTTATGAACACTGTACTTGGGAAAAAGAAGAAGATGTTGAAGCGGTAAAATATCCAAAGAAAAGAAAAAAAATGAAAATTGTACTCATATTGTTTGTATATATAGATTGATGAACACAAGGTGGAAGAATTTCATGAACGTCGAATTATTCCTGAAGCCAAACAAAATCCTCCTCCTCCACGTCCTGATCTTAGTCGATTTATGAAATATGACCGATCTCCTTCGTAAGTATTCTATAAAAATTAAATCATGGTTATCATAACTTTTTTTTTCTTCTTTATTTATATTCTTGTTAGGTATCGGTATGGAAATGAATTACGGTCGTATCAATTGGAAGGGTTGAATTGGTTACGATTCTGTTACTACAGTTTCAGATCATGTATTTTGGCAGATGAAATGGGTCTTGGTAAGGATGATAAAAGTTTTACTTTTTATATGGGAATGACTGAACTTTTTTTTTTTTTTTTTTTTTTTATCAGGTAAAACTGTTCAATCTGTTGCGCTATTGAATGATATTTATCATGTTCTTGGGATTAAGGGTCCATTTATCATTATTGCACCTCTATCAAGTAAGCATTTTATTGAAATTCTATAATGATATACATTTGAACTCATTCCTTTTTTTTTCAGCCATTCCTCACTGGGAACGTGCTTTCAAGGCGTGGACGGATTTGAATGTCGTTGATTATCGTGGTAGCAACTTTGCCAGAAACTTGATTGTGGATACTGAATTCTATTATAAGGATGCCGAAAGTAATAACATCCCTGATCGTTACAAGTTTGATGTCTTGATCACAACATATGAAATGGTAATCAACTGGATTTGATTTTTTTTTCCCATTTACTGATATACAATTTTTTTTTTTTTCGTTATAGGCTTCTTCCAGTGCTCCCTTACTTAGCAAGATTCAGTGGAAATGTGGTGTATTTGATGAAGCTCATCGATTGAAAAATAAGGTATGCATTGAAAATAGGAGATACGTTGATACTTACTTCTGATTTGTTTTCTATTTTTTTTTAATTTTAATTTTCAAGCAATCTAAAGTACTTGAAATATTAAAGACCTTTTATATGGAACACAAACTACTATTGACTGGTAAGTCCTCATTTTTTTTTTGTTTTGTTCATACCTACATTTATACTAACCTTTATTAACATATATTTATAGGCACTCCATTACAAAACAATTTGGATGAATTATATAGTTTACTCAGCTTTATGCAACCTGATGTCTTTAGCGATGAAAATTACTTTTTTGCAGAATATGGATCTTTACAAACGGCAGCTCAAGTGGAAAAGTTACAAGCTTTATTGAAACCCATCATGTTACGTCGATTCAAAGAAGATGTGGAAAAAACTATTCCTGTCAAGGAAGAAACAGTGGTAGAAGTGGAATTGACAAATCCTCAAAAGAAATGGTATCGTGCAATTTTGGAAAAGAACTTTAGTTTCTTGAAGAAAGGTGCTAAAAGTAAGTTATATGAATTAATTTGATGACATAACAAATTCATTTTCTTCTTTTTATATAGCCAACAAAGAAATGCCTCATCTTCGCAACATTATGATGCAATTACGAAAATGTTGTATTCATCCTTATTTATTGGATGGTGCTGAAGAAGTGATTGTATCCGAATGTAACGCCAAAACTCCTCAAGATCAATTCACTTGTTTGGTTCAATCCTCTGGTAAATTGGTAAGTCCAAAAAAATGAATAAGATGATGTCATACTAATATATATATATATATTATTTGTAGGTGCTCATCGATAAACTTTTGAAGAAACTTATTCTTGGAAATCACAAAGTGCTTATTTTCTCTCAATTCACAAGGTACCAAAAAGAAAAAAAAAGAATAAAATGAAAGAATGAATAACAAACGATTTTTTGTTATTTTATTATAGCTGTTTGGATATTCTATCGGATTATCTTCGACGACGAAAATATGCTTTTGAACGAATTGATGGCTCAATCCCTGGTGATCAACGTCAAGCTGCTATTGATCGTTTCTCAACATTGCCTATTGAAGAATCATTCGTCTTTTTGTTATGTACTCGTGCTGGTGGTGTTGGTATCAATTTAACGGTAATTTTATTTTAATATTTCATTTAAAACCATGAAGGAGGCGATACTTACCTTATATATATATATATATATATATATATACATAGGCTGCTGATACTTGCATTATTTTCGACAGTGACTGGAATCCTCAGAATGATTTGCAAGCGCAAGCACGTTGTCATCGTATTGGTCAAACTAAACCTGTCCAGGTAAGAAATAGGATATATGATTTTCCATCAAATATTAGATAGTAACTTTTTTTTTATAAATTTGTTTATTTAGATTTACCGTTTGATTTGTGCAAACACGTATGAAAAGGATATGTTCGATAGAGCTGGTATGAAATTGGGATTGGATAAAGCTGTCATGTCAAGATCTGGACCTACTGGTGAACCTGATAATGGACAACCTAATAAGCATGAATTGACCAAGCAAGAAATTGAAGATCTATTGAAAAAGGGTGCTTATGGAGCTATGTTAGATGATGAAGCCAGGTAATTACATCTAAAAAAAAAAAAAAGAGAAATGAAAACTCATTCCATTTTTTTTTTTTTTATTATGATAGTACTCAATTCTGTGAAGAAGATATTGATCAAATTTTGGAAAGACGTACAAAGGTGATTCGACATGAAGGAAATGAACAAGGATCAGTATTTTCCAAAGCAACCTTCTCAGCTGGTTCTGGTGATGTGGATGGTGTTGAATTGGATGATCCTGACTTTTGGGAAAAATGGGCAGCCAAGGCCAACATTGATACATCTGAAGCTCCTGAAGAAAAGAACAAATTGATTCTTCAATCTCCTCGACGACGACGCAAAGTAGAACGATTTGGTACCAAACATGTTGACAGCAATTATTCCGACAATGAAAATGAAGATTCGGATGCCTACGAAGATGAAGACGAAGACGAGGAAGAGGATCAAACAGCTACCCGTGGTGGTATACTTGGTCGACGCGGAAGACGAGCAGCAAGTGCCAATAGCAGTAAAGCATCCACACCAACAACACCTCCAGCAAGATCAACACGTGGTGGACGAAGAGGTGGTGGACGAGGTCGTGGTGGTCGGGCTGGTGGTCGTGGTGGAGATACAAGTGCTAAATTATGGACCATGTCTGAAAAAGCGAAATATGGACGCAAACTGATGATCTATGGTTATGGTGCTTGGGAACAAATGAAGGATGATTTTCCTCGTCGAACAGAAAAGGATCTCAAGGCAGTGACAAGGGCGTTGATGCGGCATACTCTTCCTACTCTTAACAAGGAATCTGAAGATGACAAGAAATTGGCGGCTGATATCGAATCCATATTGACATCAGATGCAAAAGAAGAAGTCCCTGATGATGACACTGTCCCTTATAAGAATAGTAACAAACGACAAATCGCTGAATTTAGGTCATTTTTGATTGATGCTACTGATGATTATATTGAACATATTGAACGCAAAGGTAAAAATGATATAAATATATGTAAAAGAGGGATTGACATTATATTTTTTATTTATTTATTTATTTTGAAAAAGGACGAAATATGTTATTACGTATTCAAATGTTACATACAATTCGGGATAAAATTGTACCAAGTGTTTGGGAAGAAGCCAAGAATATGTCGATCCCTCACGTGGTTGGTGCACGACCAGCAAAATGGTGGGGTAAAGATGAAGATCGTAGTTTATTGCTTGGTATTTGCAAACATGGTTATCAACAGTAAGTAGTTATTTTTTTTTTTTTGATTGGTACTGAATTTTTTTTTTATTTTGTAGATATATGGATATTCGTAATGATCCTGAATTCTGTTTTGCTAAAAGGAAATATTTGGATCAAGAAGAAAGTGGTTCGAATGGTAACAAGAAAGAAGATGAAGAAGAAGATGATGATGATGGAGCGGAATTGGATACTGTAATGGACGATGCCAAGGAAGACAATGATGGCAAGGATGCTGAAGATAATGAACAAGGCGATGAAGATACTGTAAGTGGATAATAATGATGAAGCATATGAATGTTAACCTTTTTTTTTTTTTAATATAGGTATATGTATGGCCATCTCGAGCAGATATTGGATTACGACTTCGAAGAGTGATTATTGCTTGTTTACGGGAAAGTAGCCAAAATGAACGAAAACGTAAAGCACCGGAAAAGACACCTATTCGACGTACACGACAACGAAAAATCGCGGCAGCACCTCCTGCACGACGTGGTGGACGAGCAACACGAGCTTCAGCCAAAGCATTTTCAGCATCACCAGCCCAAGAAGACAGCGATGATTCCGAACGAACCACTTCCCTTATCGCTGGCGATGATGGTGACCGTCTACGTGTGGAAAATAATCTAGACATCGGTGACAAGACGATGATTGAGAAAATGGCCAATGTACCTATGGACAATATCAAGTCCACCGTAGCCAAGGATGAACTCAAGGAAGAACAGATGAATGAAGAAGACAATGAACAAATAGTCGAAGACAATGAACAAGTAGTCGAGAAGAAGGAAACATCATCAAATGACACAATATCATCACCACCATCTACTCTCACTAATGGCCATTCGGACAACATACCACCATCAAACGACACTTTAGAAGTAGAACCATAATCAATCTTTTATTGTTTGGCTGGAAATCATGAAAAAAAGAGACAAAAAAAAAAAAGACAATATAGACTTCGCACACCTTGAGTCTTTTTTTTTTTTCTTTCTTTTTTTTTTCCATTGATTTTCTTATTATTATCCTCCCTTATTTGTTTATTTTAGTTCTTAGTCAATCCCTCCTGTTTACATATACAAAATACTAGATTCCGTTCTTCTTTTCTTTTTTTTTATATATTATTTTACATTTTTTTTTTTATATACAGTCAATAAAATATTACTTGAACACCCTAGATTGGTTAACTTGATTTAATGCTGTGTCATCACACATATATTTTGTTCCATTTACTATATATTGAATGATCCGTCATTGTCTTTCATGCTCCAGCCGTCTTTCAAACATATCATGGTATAAAATTCTTGATTTCCGAAAAAAAAGGATTTATTGATAAAAAAAAAAGAAAAGAAATATCAAAAGGTATTAAAAAAAAAAAGAGGGGGGAGGGAGAAAAATGCCAAAATATATATACAAAAAAGAAGGTATGATGAATGAAAAAGGAATGATAAAAATAAATTAGATACTTTGATGACCAGCACTATAATAATTTTGATAATACTGATTCCAACCATGAATAGCTTGACCTGCCTTGCCACCAGCAGAATAAGGAGAGCCTGCCACAGGAGCTGGAGGTCGCATCATTAAAAGATCATAATAACCACCATGAATGGGTTGAAATCGCCATTGATTGTCCTGTTGTTGTTGATACATACTATAATAAGAGTCTTCCTTTTGTTCTTGTTCTTGTTCTTTTTCATTTTCATGAGCCCATTCTAATTCAATAGGTTGTCCTTGAATATCAAATCCTTGTAATGCAAAGATCGCAGTACTTGCATTTGCATGTGTATCCAATCTAAATAAATAAAGGATCCGTGTAACTATCATCAACGGTTTTTATGATGGACTTACGTTACAGTGGCACCATATTCATCCATCTCGATATGAGACACATAACCATATTGTTGAAAATGTGACACGAGGTCTTGTTCTAATAAAAATAAATGATCAGATAAATAATAATAATAATAATAATTTTTTTTTTTTTTTTTACCTGAGACTTGTGTCGGTAAGTTTTTCACATACACGGAAGTATTGTAAGGAGGGGTCTGGGCAAATATTTGTTCGTACGACCGATTGTTGGAAGTGACACGAAAAGTGGTAGAAGGATGCATTGGAGTATTAGAGAAGGATGGTGTAGGTGGAGTGGAAGGTCGAGAGGTATAAGGAGAAGACAATGTTTCTAGAATATGATGATTGGCCCAATAACATTGAATTTGTCCTAATGTATTTGTTTGTCCATTCATTTCTTTCATGGCTTGTTCAGCTTCTTGTTTGGTTTCAAAATCAATGGTTCCATGGTCTGCCATGACTTCCACGTGTCTAATCATTTAAAAAAAAAAAGATAAATAATTCTTGGTTTTTTTTTTTTTTTTTTTTTTTTTTTTTTACATTGGTGAAAAGGATTGAAATGCTGATTTTAATATAGAAGAAGTAATATCTTGACCAAGTCCATAAACATGAATAGTATAATAATGATGTTTCTTTGTTTGATTTGACCATTGAATATGAATTTTCTAATAATAACGAGGATGAGAAAAAAAAAGATGGTTTCACAAATGACATTACCTGACCCAAGATAATTCTTCCATCCATTGTATGTAAAACTTGTTCAGCACCTCGACGTTCATGAAATTCAACTAGTCCAGATTGATTTTGAGTCTATTAAAAAAAAAAGTTTTAGCTCTCCGATCAAACTAAAATAACATCATCATGTATGTATATATCACTGATAAGATTAGATTTTTTTATATATTCTAAACGTGGGAATCTTACATTGATTTTGACATGATGAACAGGAGAGATCATTGAAAAAATATCTTTCAACATGTTTTCTGTGACTCGTTCATCTAATTGAGTAATATAAAGAGTAGTTGTTTGATGTGGCATAACAAAATAAAATAATAAAAAAAAAAAAAAAAAACGAGATACAAAAAGGAGAAAGAGAGAGGTGAAAAAGGGGAGACAATTCCATTTATATGCGGAAAGTCAATTTATAACGTCATGGAAATGGGGAGGGGGTGCAGATGACAAGCATCTTTTTGATTGGAGGACAAAATCAACCCAGAAGAAATAGATAAAATTACTCCCACCCTTTTTAAAGCCAAAAAGAAGGTTCTTTTTTAGTACGACTTTTTTTTTTTTTACAGTACAGTACTGGATTTTTCCATTCGCTTGGCGGGTGACCAGATTTTTTTTAACGTGCAAATAAACATTTTGACATTCATTGAAATATGCGTTGCTACGGGAAGATTATGTCTTTATGAGTGGGGCGATTTTCAAAGCCCGGTATTTTTCTTCTATGGCGAGGGCGAGCATATATATATACATATATATTCAGGAATCATGATATGAAGAAAACATTGATATATACGATAGTATTACTGGGACTTCCTCTTTGCAGATGATGAAAAAGAACCCTGTTACCTATTTCCTTTTTTGATTGATCACATCTGATGTTTCCATCCAAAAAGCTTGTTTATTGAAATGTACAAATGTAATAATAATATCACTAAAAGAAAAAACTATCCTATATGCAATCAAGCCAAAAAAAATACCTCAATGTGGATGATGGCATTGTCGTTGGTTGAGTAAGAGATCCTTGAGACCTTGTGATATCAATCCATGCATGGCTTCAGTAGTGATTTTTGAACTAAAAAAAAAAAAGGGAAGATCATTAGATCCATATCGGCTTGTCACACTCCATCAATCCATTCTTTTAATCTATATTCTTTTTTTTTTTTTCTTACCTATCCTTTGTAACCTTGCTTAATTGACTTCGATCATTCTTTTTGCGATCACCATAATAACCACCCATACGACCCAGCATACCATAGTTTGTTTGTTCCAATTTCTGTGTTAAATCAGCCATTTGTCTTATAGCATACTCCCGATTCTAAATTTGAAAAAAAAGTATTAACGTAAATATAGATTTTTCTTTTTCATTTGTATATCAACTTACGGTCAAAAGAGGAGATTGTGATAATGTATGTACCCAGTATTTATTCCATAACACTTCCAATAACTGATTATCCAATGATGATTTAAAGTGGGAAATCTCCAAAGGATAATATCTATAGAGGAAAAAAAAAAGAGAGAACATGAAGAGGGATGAATTCAATATCTTTCCTTTTGTATGTAAATATATGTGCAGAGAAGGTTGATGATCAAAAAAAAAAAAAGACTCACTCTTTTGCATGAACACCAAAGTCTTCAATCTTGTCCAATGGAATGGTTTGATATTCAGTAGGTTCACTGTCGGTTGGTTTGTATCCCTATATATACAAATATATAGATGAAAGAATTAATCCATGTTCATTCAATAGCATTTGTAATTTTTTTTTAATACCTTGGGGTACGTTCGAAAAGCACCGATTTCTACTTTGCCAGCAGACATGGTTCGATTAGGATCAATCTAAAAAAAAAAAAAGGTTGAATGATCATCAAGGAAGAAAGAAAATATGTATCATGTCACAAAAAAACAACAACTTACTACAACGGCCACAAAAGGTTCTTTATATTGTTGATTTAAACTTTGAGTACCCACATCAATCCCGGATAACCAACAACCGTAACCATGATGAGAATGATACCAACCAATGACATTTTCCAATCGACCAACTTGTTTGCTTTGTTCCATATAAGTCACCGTGTATTCATACGCCTCATTTTGTGCATTAACGCGAGTTTCTGTACCTTCTACTGGTAACGCAAACGCATCCATTACAATCATAGTATCCCCTTGTACTTTACCTTGCATCAGTCCCATCACCTCCATGTTCCCCCTGACCGTGAATGCATTACCTATATTTATCAACAATAAAATAAAATAAAGGTAAGATAATGCGTTTTTTTTTTTTTTACTGTTGAACCTCTTACCATCTTGATCAAAGCTATAGCAGATATTTTGACATGTTTATATTAATGAGGACTAATAACAAAAAAAGAGAAAAAAAAAGTTCAGTATTTTTAAAAATAAATATTCAATAATAATAATAAATATTTTGACATGTTTATATTAATGAGGACTACAGTAATAGAAAAAAAGAGAAAAAAAAGTTCAGTATTTTTAAAAATAAATATTCAATAATAATAATAAAAAAAAACTCACTCTGTTTTCCATGGTTTTTGATTGACTTAGTCTCTATTTTGTTCTGCATCGTAATAATAAAGTTGGTCTTGGATATCCACAACGTTATTTTCCAATTGCCAATTTTTTAAAGCTATTTGTTCGTCCATCCTATTTAGGGAATTAGTCGGTGTGTATATATATAGATATATAGATATGTGTGTGTGCACGTGTGAATGAATGTAAGTTGAGTTGTTGTACTATGGAATAAAAAAAAAAAAAAAAAAAAAGAATACCCTCAAAATTGGAAGATACGTGATTGGCTAATTATCTTCTTTTATTTGTTATATGTGACTCCGCTTCTTTTATGGCAGAATAACTTAGTCCTTTCTTCTATGTAAAATTTTATCTTCATTTTCTTTCTTTTTTTTTTTTTTTTTTCTATTGACGTTTAGTTTTAGTATATCAATCAGTAGTCTTTAGTAGTTATACTTTTACTCAATAAAGATGTTTTATTTTGTTACAACCGCTTTATTGCTTGTCTACGATTACTTTTACTTCTGAAGTATTCATCATGCACCTTTTCTTTTAGATCTATTCTTTCATTTTTATACATGCTTTATAGATACTGAATACGATTATACGGGACACCTAGTTGAATCACACTGGCACTACCGCTGGTACATGCCGAGCACCAGAAAAGAAAAGAAAATACTGCAAATACACATTTATTTTTTTTTTTTTAAAAAAGAACACACCTGCCACCCTTTTATTTTATTTATAAATTTTTTTCGGAAGATAGTCTATCGAAACGAATTATCGAGGCCTGCGGGAGTGTCGAGAAAAGCCATTTCAAAGGTTGCGTTTCGCGTTCTTACAAATGCTAGGATAAATGCCGAAACAAGATGCCCATGTAATGGCGACTAGTAACTTCATCAAAAAGCCAACAATTCAGCCATAAGAATACACTTTTATTTATTTTTTTTTACCAACGCAAAAAAAAAAAAAAAAGGACCTGGTCCACAAAAACATCCACCTCGTCCAATCAGAGAAGCTTTTTGGACCTGGTCCAACCAAAAAAAAAAAAGGACCTGGTCCAATCAGAGAAGCGCCTAGTGCATGCAAAAATTGGACCTGGTCCACAAAAACATCGACCTGGTCCAATCAAAAAAAAAAGGACCTGGTCCAACCAAAAAAAAAAAAAAGGACCTGGTCCACAAAAACATCGACCTGGTCCAATCAGAGAAGCGCCTAGTGCATGCAAAAATTGGACCTGGTCCACAAAAACATCGACCTGGTCCAATCAGAGAAGCGCCTAGTGCATGCAAAAATTGGACCTGGTCCAATAAAAAAAAAAGGACCTGGTCCAACCAAAAAAAAAAAGGACCTGGTCCAATCAGAGAAGGGCCTAGCGCATGCAAAAATTGAACCAGGTCCAATCAGAGAAGGTTTTTGGACCTACAAAAAAAAAAGGGCCTGGTCAAAATGAAAAGCAAATTCTTTCTTTTTGTCCTTTTTTTAGAATGAAAAAAGTAACAAAAGAACAAGCCATTTGCATGCTATTTTGCAAAGAATATAATGATGAAAATGTCGTAAATCTTGGAAAGCGTTTAAAAGAAATGGAATTAGAAGTCTGTTATATTCATGATCCAACCGAACCTGTTTTAATCCCAATTCGTTCGATATCGGTAAATCCATTAAAGTATCACCTGTATGTTCCTCTTTCCATGAACAAGGGAAGTAAAACAAACAATGACAATAGTTGAAATGCCTGCATACTACTTTATTTATATTTTTGTCCTACATATCATTCAGTATTTATTTTCCAATAAACGCTCTGGCGCTCCGCTGGAGCTTTTCGAAATCAAAGATTTGTGTGGACTCTAGATTTTCTTTGGAAGGTGTGGACTATAGATTGTTTGGAAAGTGGGATTATAGATTTGATTGGAAGGTGTGGATTATAGATTTGATTGGAAGGTGTGGATTATAGTTTTTTTTTTTTTTTTTTGAAAAAGTATGGACTATTGATTTGACGAAAAGATGTGGACAATACATTTGATTGGAAGATGTTGATTATTGGTCTGATGGAAAGGTGTGGATTATTTTTTTTTTTTTTTTTGTTTTTGGGAAGGTGTGAATTATTGATTTGATGGAAAGATGACATCACAGATCGCTTTTCTCCTATCTAGGCTAGAAAGGATATACAGTAATAGGTAGACTTACCTTTTTTTTTTTTTTTATAATAAACATAATTATTAGGTCAAATAGGTAGAATTTAGGACTTCTATATAGAGTTGAATAAAAATTGGTTTTCTAGGTAGAATTTAGGGTTTCTATGTAGAGTTGAATAAAATATTGTGTTCCTAGCCCTAATTTGGAAGGAGCATATTTTGCCCACAGGCTCGCTGAGCGAAAATTATGCATTGCCAAATAAAATAAAAAGGACGTTTGTTTATTTTTACTCTTCTTCTTCTTACTTTTATCACGTTATTGTTCCTTTTTTTTTTCTTTCTGTTCTATGTTTACCTTTTAAGACAAATCAAAGTAAGGTATGGAAATAATAATAAAAGATTATCTATACATACATTCATTGTATTCATGAACTGACTGAATCATTCTTTTTTGCCGTGTGTGTTTATACCTTTTAGTTAAACAAAGTGAACACAAGTACCTTTAACCTGTTATATGCTGTATTACTCATGTTTAATAAGGTAAATCCATTTCATTATGTCACCAACGTTATATGATATTGATCTCTCTCTTTTTTTATTATTTGAATCTGTATTCTAGATATAAATATGACGATTGTAGTAAGTTAAACAAAAAAAAAAAAGATAAAGATACAGTTGTTCTCTAACCTTTTCTTCTTTTTATACACGAATCATTCCAACCTCTTTGCTATATGCTTTTCTCTATGTGCTTTTACAGACATTCACTCTTATTAGTTGTAAGTTTCAAAAACAAGTTCTTTCCTCTTCTTATTTCTAACTCTACTTTTCTTCTTTTTTTCTTTTATACGCGTTCTTTCGACCTTGATGTTTTTACTACAACATCTGTCCATATAGGATTATCGTTCTTTCTTCTTCTCATCCTTCTTACTTGGGTATCCTGGACAATGACTATTACTGAATATACGTCTGAAAGAAAGAAAGAAATCTAGATACACGAAGATTGATCATTATAGTTTCATGTCAATAGGATACTACGAGAAGTGGCTATCCGTCTGGATCAGCGAAATGGATGAACAGGGTGTATTATAGGATTCAATTGGATTCGACTTACAATCAATTAGAGATATCTTATTGGTCTTTTTATCCTATTCTGGCTTAAAGCATTAGTGATTCTTTTTACTATCATACTTAGTATACAGTTATACACATTTACAATTCTTTTTGTTTAATAAAATTATATTCATTGTCACTATTTACAATCATTACTTTTTTTTTAATGTTATCTATCATTTCCTTTCAAACAACTGTTTGTGTGCCTGTGTTCCTTAAATAAATTAAATTATATGAAAAAAAGAAATATATTATGAAGTCGTTCTCTTTTTCATATATTTTTTATCACTTTTTCTTTAATATCAAAAACTAACCTTACTTCTTTATAAGTACTTTACTTTCGTTAGTACATTACAACATATTCTTTCTCTCTATTATATATTACTTTGGCACATCGCCTTTACCTAGTCGGACTTCTCGTTGCATTTTTATTTATTTCGTTTCCTAACAATTTTCTTTTTCTACCTTCTCTTTCCTTTTCTCCACACTTTTTTTTTTTTTTTTTTTTTTACTCCTGCGCACTTTGTTCGTCTCTCCATATTGGCTCATGATAGGTAACATATAAAATACAATGACAGAAATGGATTCTTATTTTATTATTGTCAATTTAAAAAAATAAATAAAATAATAATAATAAAATAAAAATAATAAAATAAAAAATAGTATAAAATACAATTAGTTACTTGTTTTATAGTTAATTCATTCTAGTGTCTACAATTTCAAGACCTCTTCTTGGTTGGACTCTCTCTTTCTTCGGATTCCATTGCACAGCAAATGCAATTCAATTATGCACAAGTATTTTTGAAGGACCTTTTTACTGCTTGGTTAGTCTTCCTTATGATATTTCAAAATTTCTTTTCTACTTGTTTGGACTCTCTCTCTCCCTCCCATCTGTCGCTCATTGTGGTGATGTTCTCTTCAATATCTCTTTGCTATTTGGTTGGACTCTTTCTCTCTGTTGTTTTTTGTATCTGTAGATATCAAGATTGTCGTCTGTACAACCAAACTAGTAAGTTGCACAAAAAAAAAGAGCATCAACCGATATTACATACAATCACTTGCTTCTTTCTTTTTTTTTAGATCCTTCTTTTTATTGTATTGTTATTGATACATTGACACTGGCGCATGATCCAAGGTAATATGTATATGTAAAAGAAGAAGAAAAAATGAACAACATCGATGGATTACTACTCATTTTGTTGATTCTTTGTTATCTGTTAGGTATCAGAATAGTGGTCTATACAGTCAACTGTCGAATGGTCATCATTACTTTGTACTTAGCTTTTGGTCAGACGAAGATCATGGTGTATTGATCTTTGTTTGTTTACGGGCAATGGACTTGGTCGAGGATGATCAGTCTCTAGAATCGTTTATGAATCTAGTGACTGAATTTTGTACTCAAGTAGGTGGAGGGCAAAATGCAACACGTAGGAAATTCAGTTATTGTCTGTTGATCGTGTTGTTTCATCCTGGAGTCCTTGTTAAGTCCTGACATTTGCGGTATTTGGTTTGGAAAGATTATTGAAGATCATATCAATGACTGATAGTGGAGCGCTATACGTAAGACGGTACAGCTATCTTTCTTGATGATCTGAAATTGTCTGATAACTGCATTTGGTAAGCCTTTATTTCTCTCCGAGCCAACTGTTATGATGACATTGGGTTTACTGGTGGTACAAAACGCTCGATGGTGCAGCCAAGGTAACTTGTACATGGAAAAAAGAAAAGAAAAAGAAATAACATTGATAGATTACTGCTCATTTTGTTGATTTTATCTGTAGCTTGCTAGATTATCGTCTATATAATAATGGTGATACAAACATCCAATGATATAGCCAAGGTAACATTTCTATAGAAAAAGAAAAAGAAATAAACATTGATGGATTACTACTCATTTTGTTGATTTTATCTGTAGCTTGCTAGATTCTCGTCTATACAATAAAGGTGATGCAAACATTCAATGATATAGCCAAGGTAACATTTATATAGAAAAGAAAAAAAAAGAAAAGAGAGCATTGATGGATTACTATGCACTTTGTTAATTTCATCTGTAGATTGCAAACCATACAACAAAACCAAGATCGAATGCCTTCTACGTTGGAATGGCTCTGTTATCCAATTGAAGTGTCTGTATCAAATAAAATAGTCCTACCCAAAGTGCAAGTCATGATCATCGTCCTGGTGATAGCATTAGTTGTGATTCTGATCGTAGTTCATGGATATTATCGATTATAGTGTAGTTACTTATTATTTTAGTTATGTAGTATAGTTATGTAGTATAGAATATTTGTAGTGATGAAATAAAATTATGATTTCAATAGTATATTTGTACTGATCAAATGAAATTCCTTGTTCTGGAGGTCGACCATACCTATATTTCAACCGTAATAGTGTCCTACCTAGATTTAGTATATTTTTGTCATAGATTTATTGAAGTCAAATATTTTTATTATTTCTAGGCCTAGCTATTTAGGGGGGGTCCTAGAGGTCCTAGAATGCATATCTAGGCTAGAAATTGTATAGGAGTCCCCTAGACGTCATAGTAATGTTTTCTGATGATGTGGACTACAGATTATCTTTTTAGAGGATGTTTTCATTAATCATCAATCATCATCACCAAACATCGTCAAGAGGAGGAGAAAATAATTTATCGTTTTATTGGATATTGAATATATATATTATAAAAAAAAAAAAAAAAAAAAAAAAAAAAAAACTATAGAAGGACGTCGCGATATACAATATTGGCAGTTTGTGGTTGAGAATTGCGAAATGGTTGTGGGGTTGCCACTCGAAGATTTGACGGATCTCTTGATCGTGAGAGAGCTACATACAGTTGTCCATGGGCAAACACTTGATCTTTCAGATACACACCTACATAGTCCAGTGATTGTCCTTGACTCTTGTGGATGGTCATTGCAAATGCTGGTCGTACAGGGAATTGTCGCCTTCCAAGTTCTTTTGCTCCGCTGATAACCACTTGAAGATTCCCAATCGGTTCGTCATGATGCTGATCTGCTGCTGTCATGAATTTAACGGCGTAATGGTTGTTGTCATGGATGATTTTTTTGAAGAAGTTGGACGGTTTCAGGCTTCAAATGAGAGATCAAGCTTGTTCGCCGTTGCAACTGTTCAGAGGCATCATGAAAGTAAATCTATCGTAGAGAGGAGAAAAAAAAAAAAAAGAGGTTAGTGGATGATGATTTGATTTAAAAATATTAAATTTATATACTTGCCTGAGAAACATTGGACTGTTGATAGTTGTTTGATCGTAAAGCACCAATACAGTGGTAAATGGTTCCGTCAATTCTGAATGTTGTTGGTCTGTTGCTACCTTGCCAAAGAAGACTTTGATCCACATTTTCCACGATGGACGCAACGGCAAACAAAGTATTGTATGATCGAATGTTGGTGTGGAAATCCGCAATCGTTTCATTTGTGGTTCTGTCGCCAAGTAACATGTAAAGCGTTTCTTCTGGAGGTGATGTTGGAAGTGGGAGGTTGATTTTACCATTTGAACAACATAAGCTGAATTGCAGACGGGTTGATGTTGCGGATTGAAGTCAATGGATACTCCCTTGAGCATGTACTGTGCCAATAACCTTCATATTCCCAGTAACAATCATATTATCCATCACTATAACGTTTTCCTTGATACACATTAGCGTTCCGCATGTTGAACAGATAGTTTCGGAGGGAGTAGATGCCGGTGATAGTTGCGACCTTGATCGTCGCGAACATAGGGACCAAAAACAGATTCTGGGACAAATGAAGTAGAAGAAGCAGCTTGATTGTACTGTGCACCTAGACGCTCGTCGATGATGTTTAATTTGTTGAAAGGACATGACCTGTTATGTGCACTTGAATGACCTCTACGACCACAGCGAGAGCAAATGAGAGAAGAGCTGACGCGCTGGTTGGAACCTCCATGTAGTTGATGAGAACCTTGATGTTGATGAGAACCTTGTTGTGGTTGAGAATCTTCATATCTTCGCCGAGTATTTCTGTTTAAAGGACAGTCGTAATGGGTTGTTCGAGAATGAGTGTCAGATCCTGTCGTATCAGCGTATTTCGTAACCATATGCGTAAAATAAAACTAAAGAATGCATTCACAAATAAATAATAAAAAATACATCGTAAGATGGAATCAATTACATTGACGTGTAACAAAGTAGTTTGAATAAAAATAAAAGTTTTATTAAATAAAAATATAACTACTAAAGACTACCAATTGATATATTATAACTAAAATTGTTATAAAGAAAGGAAAGAAATAGAAAGAAAATAAAAATTACCGCATATCTAAAAATAAAAAATAAAAATACGGACTTTGAAAGTTACTATGCTCATGATCTTTTTGATACTATCAAGAAAGATATATATCAAATGTACAAACGCTTCAGGGCAACTAATATAATGAATCACTACACATATGATGATTCATCACATCAATAAAAAAAATAAAATACTAATAAAATTATACTCTCCGTATAACAGTATTACAAAGTAAAATAAAAAAGAAAATAAAATAAAATTTGGTCACTAATCTTAAATATGGTGTAATCATACCAGTATTACGTATTACTCACTACGTACTTATATATAAGACCATCAAAACTTTTTGTGTAGATACTTTGCCTCTTTTTTAATCATCTTCGAAATAAAAAGAAATCTCACAGACTTGTTCTCGTCCCCTTTTTTATTTTTTATTTTTATATTATTATTATCAATCACCACCAACATCACAGATCCGCACCTGCATAAACTGACGATATTATGCGCAGTTGGCTGTTTGTTATGATTAAGTGGACATTCATAATGGCTTGTTCGAAGATGAGTGGTAGATCCGCACCTACAATGACGGATTGATCTGTTCATTCAAGGAATATGAAAGGATATACGAAAAAGAGAAAAGCTAAAAAAAAAAGGAAAAGAAAAGGACAGGAAAAAAAAAAGCTCAGGCCGAATAATCTCAGATGACTATAGATTTCTTTTTTTTGTGTGGTGTGGACATATGATATAACACGGATGAAAAAAAAGACAATTTCAATCATAAAAGAACCTATAATTTATTATTAGCATAAAAGTCATAACATATAAAAAACATAAAAAAAATAAACGAATGTACTTACCGTGCTACTTCACGGTTCAAATAAAAATGAAAATAAAATAAATAAAGACTAAAGAAAAATAAAAAGGAAAGAAAAGGAAAAAGAAAGAAAAGGGCATAAAATAAAAAAAAGGGCATAATTTAAATTCCATATAAATAAAAAAAAATAAAAAAAAACATTCAGCTATCAACATAAGCACTTAGATTTCTTTTTTTTTTGTGTGGTGTGGACATAAGCACTCTTTTTCGTGTGGATGATTGTTTTTGTTGAAAAGATGTGAACAATAGACTTGACATGAAGGTGTGGACTGCAGTTTTTTTTTTTTTTTTTTTTTTTTTTTTTTTTTTTTTGGATGGATGATTATTTTTGTTGAAAAGATGTGGACAATAGATTTGACATGAAGATGTAGACTAAAGATTTTTTTTTCAGAAAGAGTAAAAAGGCAGATTTTTTATTGGGTGGCTAATGTAACTTCCATATTTTTTTTTATGTATTAATCAACATTTTTTGGCTCTTTGTACACATCCCGTACGGCAATTGAACAATTCAAGAGTTTTGACATCATTGAGCAGTTGGGCACGATTGAAAATTTTGATTTTATGTTGAATGGGTAGTTGATCGATAATTATATTTTCCAGGTTTGGGTTATCACTATGCATAAGGATTAATCATGTTAGCTAAAAGTATGTACATTTAACTAGATTAAATTACCATAACCATTGTTTCAAATCTTTGACATTGGTGGTTAAGCCAGCAAAATCAAGCACAACCATGCAAACTTTTTTTGTTGCAGCCAGGTAGGAAATCAAATCTATAACAAAATGTTAGACTCGCGCAATGCCTCTTACATCAACTTCCTTACCTTGTGTAGTGCCGGAAGCGTTCTTAAGTTGGTGAATGTCAAATTTAGTTTGGGCGTCCCTAGCATTGAGATTTTCACCAGCTGATGAATAAGGCGACACGAATACCTTGTCTACCAATGATCTTTGTTTAAGTCGATTGATCATGTCCTGCAGCAGTCTTAATCTGGTATCATCGTCCTCATTTGTTCTTGATTTTCTACAGTATCCAATTATTTGGAATCCATCTTCCTTCAAATTTTTTATATGAGCTTGATAGTTAGGTATATAATCCTTGATAGCTTTGACCACATCATCTATAGAAAAATGTAAGCAATTTCTTTGTAAATTGTGTCTTTCTTTTTCTACTTGTCTCCCTCTAAAAAAAAAACTGCACTGAGACAATATTATTTCTTACCAATCAATTCGTCTTTCAGGACGAAGACTGTTCGGTACCGGATCTTGGAGCCAAAACTACCCTTTCCAGTTTTTCTTGTTACTTCCGCGTTCAGGAGTGAGACCTTCGCTTGTGTACACCATCTGGCAAAGGCGATATTGCTTTTTTCGTCAAATTTCGTCGTGTACCTCGACAATATTTCCATTATGCCATGCATTGTCATAAGTTTTTTTTGATAATTGTCATTGAATGGTTCGTGAGGTAGAAAGACTTCGTCAAGAAAAGTCTTGATCATGGTATCCGAGACTATTATAAATGGTTAACACTTCGAATGCTTATTTTCTTTTTTATAATTACCCAGTGGAGACTCTACAGTACGATCTTCTTGTCCTTTCAATTTATCCGTCATGTCGTTATCGTTGCCAAGGGAATATAAATGGTACCTGAATGGGTTGGAGCTTTGTTTTTGAATTGGTAATATAAATGGTTCCATGGGATTATCGTCTACATAGCAAATCACCACGTCTCCCATTTCCTTCAATCTGTTGTTCAATTTTTCAACGTTTGTGTCGTTGTATACTTCGCAATATAACATGCATAGTGCTTGTTCTTGTGTTATTTTCATTTTTTAGGAAGAAAAGGACCAGGTCGATGTTTTTGTGGACCAGGTCTTTTTTTTTTTTTTGGTTGGACCAGGTCCAATTTTTGCATGCACTAGGCGCTTCTCTGATTGGACCAGGTCGATGTTTTTTTGGACCAGGTCCTTTTTTTTTTTTTTTTTTTTTTTTTTTTTTCAATGGCGCGTGATTCTCTCACAATTGTTTTTTTTTCTTTTCTTCTTTTTACATATAGTCGAAGAAATGGTCTATTCAAATGAAATACAAGAACAAAATGGACTATCATCTACGTGGCTTATTTGGCTAAAACTGCAAATCATTCTTGAACACTGAACTATGTATGCTTCCCTTAGCTTGCCTGCCCTTTATAGTTGCTTGGATTCAACAAGTAGGTCTACCTGTGATTTTCACTTTTGTGTGAATCATGCATGCTACCATCGCGCTTGTCCACCCTTCTATATTGCTCGGGAATAACAAGCAGGGTTTACCTGTAGTTTGGTATTTTTGTTTTTGATGATTTCAGTGTTTTTCGAAATAGACGATAAAAGTGTATAGTTCATTTTGTTTTTGATTCAGGTAATATGTATCCATTATTGTGTTATATTCTGTTTTCACATTTTTTTCTCTTCCTTTTATTCTTTTTACATATAGTCAAAGAAATGGTCTATTCAAATGAAATACAAGATACAAAGTGGACTATCATCTACGTCGTTTATTAGGCGAAAACTGCGAATCATTCTTGAACATCGAACTATGTATGCTTCCCTTAGCTTACCTGCCCTTTATAGTTGCTTGGATTCAACAAGTAGGTCTACCTGTGATTTTCACTTTTGTGTGAATCATGCATGCTACCATCACGCTTGTCCACCCTTCTATATTGCTTAGGAACAACAAGCTGGGTTTACCTATAGTTTGGTACTTTGTTTTTGATGATTTCAGTTTTTTCGAAATAGACGATAAAAGTGTATAGTTCATTTTGTTTTTGATTCAGGTAATATGTATCCTTTACTGTGCTGTATTTTTTTTCACCTTTTTTTTTTCTTCGTTCTTTCCCATATTATCCCTTGGATATAATGTAAGGTTAGATATTAGTAGAAGAGTCTCAACACCATGATCTCACTCTTTTTATTCGTTTTATATATAGTCAAGGCTTTTTATTCAGGAACATGAGTAGCACTTGGGCTAGGATCGCTAATCAAGGTAAATAAACAAAAAAAAAAAAAAGAAAAGTATCACATTATGCAACGTTATTATTTGAATATTCATCTCTTTTTTCCTATAATCTGTTGGCAAACAATTTAGAAAATAAGTTATCTTCCATGCTAGACACATTTATCCTTTCTGTTCGTATGTTTTTAGTCCAACTAATAAACTGATCCTCGATTTTTTTTTTATAATCAATTGGAAAATACTATTTTCATCTTAATTTGTGATACTTATGTAGAAAATTGATTTGACTTTTTCTGTACACAAAATAATCTTCATTGTTGAAAATTACCCGAAATCTCCGAATGCTTCATTCTTGGGAAAAATGAGCAGGATTTCGTTCTTTTCTCTTTCTTATGTCGTTTATTGGCGTATATTTTTTATATTCGTCCTAATGGCTATCGCTTTATCTCATCTACCTTCATCTTTTCCTTTTTCTGAAAATAGCGATGATACTACTGATTTAAATACATCCAAGAAACGACAACTAAAGCCTCATGTCAAAACTGCTTGTGTAAGAGAAGAAACTAAAGTCTCTTTTTTTTTTTTATCTAATTCTTCTTCTTTTTTTTTTTTTTTGTTATAGATCAATTGTAAAAAAGCTCATTTAGCTTGCGACCGTAAGTACTAAACAAGTATATATATATAATATTGACCCCTCATTTACCTTTTTTCTTTTTTTTTTTTTGGGTAGTATCAAGACCTTGTAAACGTTGTGTCTCTTCTGGGAAATCAGAGAGTTGTCGTGATATTCAACACAAGAAACGAGGACGACCAAAGCGAACGGATAAACGACAAGCTATGAAAGCAATGCTTAGACAAATACCTTCCTCTTTTATCATGACTCGACCTTCTACTGATAGAGAACAATTTCATTCTTCTACGATGACGGTAAAAATCATCATAAAATAAAGGGGTCCATGAAACTGATCATCATGTTTTATATATAGATGTTTTTATCTATGGAATTATGTTGTGCTCGTGTATCAGATGAATCATTAGACTTTGTTGGTTTATATCCACAAGAATTCTCACATCGATCACTTTATGACTTTATTGTACCAAAAGACATCCATTTAATCGCCCGTATTCATCGATCTTTACTTGACAATGCTACTTTCTGTGAAAAAGGTCCTTTACCATCAACGCAACGCACAACCGCTGATTTTTTCACCTCCTTCCTTCCTTATCAACTGTCCACGATCGCCAATGGTTCCATGACGTTGAAACAATCCCTTGTCTTTAAAACTTCGGATCCATATCGATATCAACGGTTACAAGCTAGATTTTATTTGGGTGGTGGCACTGGCGCTGATTTGTTCAATCCAACTTCTTTACAACATTTATATATCGTTTGTGTTCTTGCAAAACCCGAAGAAGAAGAAGATGATCCAACCATCCCTACCTCTCCTCAGGAACAAATTTCTTTAAGAGATGTGGTAAGTTGTGAAAAAATCTGTTTTTATTTATATATATAAATACAACCATGTCTCATTATATATATATGTCGATTAGCATTTAGTATCACCAACAATGATGGAAAATCAGTCATTATCACCTTTGAATTCACTTTTGAATGATCATCAATCTACGGATACCATGATGACACCTGATACTTTGGACACTTGGACGAAATCATCTTCATCACCAATCAAATCATCCAATGATGATGATGATGATAATGTACATAGACAAGAACGACGAAATGGAATGAAATCATCATCTCATATCCAAACATCTCATACTATGGTTACTCATCCTTATCAAGCGTACTATCAAACCATGTTATCCAGTCGATTATCAAGTGAAGCTCAAGCATTTGCCTCCTCCTCCACAGAAAGCAATCTATCCTCAATCAGTAAGAGTCGATTTCCTTTTCGACAAAAGCCATCCTATCCATTGACTCGATCGACTTGTGTTTATCATGTTTCTCCTTCTTCGTCTTCTCCTTCTTTATTCAAATCCTCTTTGACTTTATTTCCCTAATATATTTTCTGATTTGAAATAAAATTATTTGTTTTATACCCTCTTTTTTTTTATGTATTCCATAAAAGGATATATGTAGAGGAAATTGTACTTTAGTACCTGCAGAAAGATGACGAAATTTTTTTTTTTTTTTTTTTTGCGGGGGTGTGTGATGACTCCGAAAATGTAACGTTGGATCTTTTTTTTTTCTCTTTTTTTTTTTTTTTTTTTTTTTTTTTTTTCTTATCACTTGTATTATGGCGACAAATCCTATTGAACTTGGCAAAAAGTTAGCTGCTTACAAGGCAGTGGATGATCATATTTCACCCGATGATAAGGTGATTGGTATTGGATCAGGCTCGACAGTGGTCTACGTAGTGGAAAGGATCCTGCAAAAACCCGAATTACGCCATTTGATCTATATTCCTACTAGTTTCCAAAGTAAACTATTGATTATTGAAGGTGGTTTGAATCTTGGTAGTATTGAACAGTAAGTAATTTTTTTTTTGGTTTTGTTTTATTTTAAGTTTGACGCGTTTTATATGTTTAGATATCCTGTGATTGATGTGACCATTGATGGTGCTGATGAAGTGGATCCTCAATTAAATGCTATCAAGGGAGGTGGAGCTTGTCAATTCCAAGAAAAGGTTGTAGCTGAAGCAGCCAAGAAATTCATCATTGTTGCTGGTAAAAATAAAATGATTTTTTTTTATTTTTCTTTGCTCATCTTATTTGCCTTTTTTAGATTATAGAAAGAAATCAAGTCATTTAGGTGTTGAGGTAAAATTCTCTCTCTTTTTTTTACTTGAATTGATACATTTTTTTTTTTTTTTTTTTTTAGTGGACCAAAGGAGTTCCTATTGAAGTGGTGCCTATGGCCTATAAAATGGTCATGCGTCAATTAGAAACCAAATTATCCTTGAAACCCATCGAATCCAAACTTCGTATGGTAAGTTAAAAATATTATATTTTTATTTTTTTTTAAATCATATGTTTGTTTCATTTAGGCCATCAATAAGGCCGGACCTGTGGTGACGGATAATGGAAATTTTGTTATTGATACTCATTTTGGTCCCATTCATGATCCTTCCAAACTTCTTCAAGAAATCAAATTATTGACTGGTGTCTATGAGGTTGGTTTGTTCTGTCAAATGGCTCAAGTCGCTTATTTTGGTGAAAATGATGGTTCCGTTTCTACTTTGGAAGCCAACTAGATCTATATATATATATATATGTTGGAATAATAAAATTATGATATCCCTCTATGAACCATTACTATTATTTGTTTTGATGATATATAATGATGATAGTGATTCTATGATGATGACTCTAGAAATGAACTTTATGATGATGAATGATAATTTTTCAAGGGTGCCTAGGATGATGATCAACCATTATAACTCATATGATACAGAAAGAAAAAAAAAAAAAAAAAAAAGAAAAAGGAAAAAAAAAGTTCTGTTGTCACGGTAACTCCCAAGTTCGTGTATCTTGATAAAAAAAAAAAAACCCGCCTGTAGCGTTTTTGTCGCGCATATATTTTTTTTTTTTTTTCAATATGCGCGGCGCTTTTTTTTTTTGTGTTCACAATTTCCGATGGGGGAGCGTGACAAAAAAAAAAAAAAAAAAAAAGCGCGTTACTCTATCGATAACCAACAAACAATCATCTATTTTTTTTATTTTTGGTAATGAATTCCCTTTTAAGAAACTATTTGATTTGTTTATTGACTGTACAGAGATAAGAGAATATGGTAAAATAAAATGGATGAGAAAAGAAAAAAAGTAATAATAATAATATAAAAAAAAAAGACGGGGTTCAACAAATAAGAAGGGATAATGCTAGATAATCGATTCAATTTTCACAAAACAAACTGAAGTTTGGGGTTCGATGGGGAAGAGTGGAATCATATGGTAAAAAAAAATTGTAAAAAGGTTGTAGTAGGGATCAAATAATGAATGATATTAGAGATAAAAAAAATGGAAGAAAATCAATTTAGGCCTTGGTGGATCGCTTAGCAGGAGCACGCTTGGAAGTAGTAGTAGCTTTCTTTGCAGGAGCCTTGACATTAGCCTTTGAAGTGGTTGTGGATCGCTTGGTAGGAGCCTTCTTAGTAGTAGTAGTAGTAGTGGCAGCAGCCTTCTTGGGAGCAGCCTTCTTAGGAGCAGCCTTTGTGGTAGTAGCAGCCTTCTTGGGAGCAGCCTTCTTGGTAGCAGCAGCCTTCTTGACAGCAGCCTTCTTAGGAGCAGCCTTCTTAGGAGCAGCCTTCTTGGGAGCAGCCTTCTTCTTTTCTTCAGTGGATTTTTCGGGTTTTACCAATTTGACGGTACCGGAAGGACCTAATAAATGATCATCATAATACAAATAATAAAAAAAATGGTCAATACAATGATCATCCCAACCTCCAACGCGCGCATATTCTTCTTCCCCTCGAAAAAAAAAACTTATTTTTTTTTTCTTTCTCCCGCCTCCTTTTTTTTTTTTTTCAAAGGGAGAACAGGAAGAAAATTTTTTTTCACATCCATAAAATATTTTTTTTTTTCTAATCCTAATCATATTATTTTACCTCTAGGCAAAGAGAAGATACCCTTGAGAGAACCACGCTTGATACCAGCAGAGATTTGAGTATCGAAAGGCTTTCCACGAGTAACACTATAATTGGCCAAAATATAATTCTTGATAGCAGGACGAGAACTACCCTTACGTTCCTTCAAAGCAAGAATGGCAGCTATAAAAAAAAATAAAATAAAATATATAAAAAAAAAGTTGAGTAAGATAATTCCCGAATACACTATCTATCTTCTTCTCCTATCATATCAACATATTATCCCCCTTTTTTTTCTTTTTCTTCTTATTTTTCTTTCTGCAACTAACCTTTAATCATAGCTTCATACTATAAAATCATAAAAAATAAGAAAAAAAGGTAATTAGTTTTTCTCTTTGATATCATCATGATGGTTTATATTCATTACGGGAGGATGTTCAGATTTCTTGGTGGCGATCTTAGCCTTAGGAGCAGCAGCAGAGGTAGCCATATGTGTATATGTATATGTTGTTAAAAAGAAAAAGAAAAAAAAAAGAGTAGTGGAAAAAAAAAGAAGAGTTTGTGTGTGAAAAAAAAAAGAAAAAAGAAAAGAGAAAAGAAAAGGAAAAAAAAAAAAGGAAACGACGCAAAATTATATAAAAAATTTAACTTGGAAGAGAAAAGTGAGTAGCGTGTGTATTTGAATCACCGGCCAGTTCTTTTTTTCCCTTTGTTCAACTGATTTCTCACCAATCATACAACGCGCTTGAAGAAACATAAAAATTCTTCAATATCCGCTTTTTCCTTATTCATAAGAATTAGGGGAAAAAGATGGCGGATCATTTACTAACGACACCAAATAAAAGAATGATTGACATTTCGTCAAAAAAAAAGCACGTACATATATACATACATACATATACATCGCATTCTATATAAAAAAAGAAGAAAATTGTATAAATGATTTTTTATTATTATTATTGGAAGGGTAAATAGATGTAAATATCACTAAAGTAAGATTTCGTATTGTTCCCTTTGTCGTTGTTCTCTAATCTGTTCCAATTGAAGAGCTCGTGGATTATTTATACTGTTATTATTGACAGAAAGTCGATTGGGTAAAGTCATGAATTTGGGCATCGGTCGTAATTCCAAATCTAAAGAGATATTGATAGCTAAAATATGTAAAAATGTGAGTGATGGTCTTTTTTTTTTTTTTTTTTTTTTGTTACCTGCTTGTAAATGTTCAATCCAAGAAATCATTTCTATATGAGAACCAAGTCGAAAGAGTAGTTGCGATCCTTGATCTAAAGTGAGACGTAACGTATGAGGATATTTTGTATAATCCCAAGCCCTAGAAGCATCTGCACGAGCTAAACTAATGGTAGAAACTGGAGTTGCACATTGTTGTTGTTGTTGTTGTTGTTGTTGTTGTTGTTGTTGTTGATCACGATGTCGTTGATATTGTCGTTTAATAAATGCAAAGGCACTATTCGATGATTGTGATGATGATGATGATGATGAGATGGTGGAATTATTATTAGTAAAAAAAGAGGCAAGAGGATCATTATCACCAAGATGAACACCAGAAGTACCATGACCAATTCGACTAGGTCTAAACAATCCTTTGTAATAAGAAGCACCAGCAGCCATTAGATCACTCTTTTTCTTCTTGTTCTTCTTGTTCTCATTGTTAAAGATAATAGTTGTAGGAGATCTTGTTGCATCTTTTGCATGATATAATCGAAGAATAGTACCCCAAAGTTCCACATACATTAATTTCCATGATCGTCGTCGACTTTTAATATCTGGTCCATCCTTTTCCTTTTTCACAAAAACATGACCCATTTTGTAAACCGTACAATTGTATGCTGGTAATTCTTCCCGTCCTTCTTCTTCCCTTGGTAATATCACACACGATCGACATTTTTCCCATCGTTTACGTAAATACATATCCCGTTGTTGTTGTTTTTGTTGTGTTTCTTGTAATTTGACCAAATGATATTGAGCCCTTTGTTCTCTAATATTAGCTCTAGTTTCTGCTGTGGTTGGTGAAGATTCATAAATACGGAGAGGATGCATTCTTGTAGTATCAGATGAAATCCAGTTGGCAGGCATAGAGAGAGGTCTTTTTCGTTTTGATCGAAAGGATAAACGTTTGATTAACCCACTTTTATTTCTAGTATCGTCTTCATACGGAGGAGGTGGTATTGAAGTTGAGGTTTCATTAATGGTATTAGTTGTTGTTGTTGCTGGTGTATTTAAAGTAGCTACAGATTCACCTAAAACTGATAAAGTAGACGACCAGCGTAGAGATTTCCTTTGTCTTGTTGTAAGGTTTGGACGAGTATAATGATCAAATAAAGTCACAGTACGATCAATGAGTTCAAGTTCAATATGTGATCCTATGACAAAAAAAAAAAAATAAGTTTGATAGAAAACAAAGAAAAAGAAAAAAAAAGCTCACCTGGGTTACACAGAATTTCAGTTGCTGAGATAGATCGATTATCATCATCATCATCACTATCTTCTTCATAATCTAATGATGTAAATAAAGGTAAACCATTTAAATGACGATGAAGAGCTTGAGTGAATAATGCTAATCTTCTACAAGCATCAGAAGATTCAACACCAATATTAGCAAAATCTTCTGTATGTTTCATAGCTAGCCAACGAAAAACATCAATATTGCGGCTAATGAAAATTGGTATGCATAATTCAAGTGAGAGACTAGTCAGCAGTACGTTTAATAATCCTAACATAACCGAATGGAAATTTAGTCTTACTGTTATGATTTATATCCTCCCTTTTTTTCTTACTTTTTCCTATATCATCAATATAAGATCCTGTTGTAATAGATGATGATCCTGAATATATACTTGTCATTCAATATAAATATATATAAAGAAGGTACAAAAACTTAATAATAATAATAATAATAATAATAAAAAGGATCAAAAAAAATATAGACAATTAAAAAGAAAAAAAGAAAAACAATCAAAAAAAAAAAATAAAATAAAATAAAAAAATTTTATTTTTATAAATCAAAAAAATAACTAAAGGATAGAATAAATTCAAAAAAAGGGCTCGTGATTAACATCAGAAACTAAACGAATAAAGATCAAAATCGGAGCATGGACAAGCATAAATATAATTTCATTTTGATTTTTGATGCTATATTAAAAAAAAAACAAGTTTAATCATTATTGAATAATAATAATAATAAATCTTTACTTCAGGTTTATGAGAAGTTTCATAATCAGCATGAACAAAAGCACGTTCAACATTCGGTAAAGATTCTAGTTTGATCTGAAGGGCTTCTCCAATATCGTGTGATTCTGAAAGCGGCATATCAGGAGGAAGAACAATATCTACCTCCACAAATAAATTATTACCAGCAAAATAAGCCCGACATGTGTCAACTTGAAGTACTCCAGGATGAGTTAATGCTATAATATAATTATAAGAATAAAATTATTTTATTTTATTTATTTATTTTTACCTATATAAGTTACTCTTTGTAAGAATCCAACATCTGCACTTTTTCCAACAATTAATTGAATATTTTCTAAAAAGATAAAACAAAAAAAAAAAAGATCATCAGTATATCATCTTTTTTTTTTTTTTTATGTGTTACTTACCAATCAAAGTATTAACCCAGCTGGTCAAAATGATAAGAGCAATGATAATACATCCAACAGGATCAACCCATCCCACAAGTTTAGTTCCAATGATACCAGTAATCAATCCCAGGGAATTCACGAGTAGGTCATTTCTATGATCTTGTGCCAATACTTTAGCAGATGAATGATGAGACAATGAAACACAATAGAGATAGAGGATCAGTTTCACACCTAATAAACAAACAAAAAATATATAAGATAACATTTTTATTCTTTTTTTTTTTATTTCTTACCTAAAGCAGTAGCCACCATAGCAATAGACATAGTAGATAAAGCTGGTTCAGTATCTTGAGATGATAATTTTTGTCCAGATTCAATCTAATAATAATAAAAGATAAATAAACGATAATAATAATAATAATAATAATAATAATAATAATAATAATAATAATAATAATAATAATAATAATAATAATAATAATAATAATAATAATAAACTTACAATCAAAAATAAAGCTACACAACCCATCAAACAAGAAAATACAATAATACCGGCAGTTTCCATTCTTGCTTTTCCCTAAATCAAAGAGTTTATTAGTTTCAAATGCACTAAATAATATCTTATTTTATTTACAGCAGGGTATTTGGTTAAATTTGGTTTAGCTGCTTGTCTAGAAGCCCACATCAATACTACTGAACTCAATAAATCCATAAAAGAATCAGCCATGGTAGCAAAAATAGATAAAGAACCAGATGTAATGGCTGCAATCAATTGAAGGGCGAATAAAATAACGTTGGCCACCACTGATCCATATACGGCTATTTTCAACTATTATATCTATTAGATTTCATTTTTTATTTATTTATTTATTTATTTTTTTTTTTTTTACCTTTAATAATTGTTTTTCTTGTTCTTCTTCATTCAAAGGATTCAAAGGTCCCAACATATTATCAATCAATTCATTTTGATCTCGATAAAACTGTCGTACCTTTTTTGAACTGCCTTGTTCTTTTAATATCTTGAGATCATCTTCTGTTTTTTTACTAGTGCCTAAAAATAAAGGATCACTTGTTGGTTCAACACCTGCTTCGTTATCCATATTATGAGTATGTCGATGTTGTAGATGAGTATTGTCGTGTTCATTATACGCAGTCGTATGTCCCCGCCTAAAAGATACTTGTTGAAGTTCCACGTTTTGTATAGTGTTAGTAACAGTTGTTGTCATTTTTATAATAAGATATATATATATATATATAAAAGAAACTTCAAAAGTAAAAAAAAAAAAAAAAAAGGTGAAGAGGAAAAGAGATATAATGATGATACGTATTTTCAATTCATTCCCCACCAAAAAAAAAAAAAAAGATCTGCGCTTTTGATTTTGAATCCCGCTTTTTTTTTTTTTTTTTTTGCTGCTTACTTGGCAATCGGTCTTTTTCTTACTATTTTTACTTCTTTTACGCTTGTTCTTCTTCTACTGCCTTTTTTTTTCTTTCTGTAATCTTTCTTCTTTTACTGTCCTTCCATGCTTCATGAATTACCTACTGAACTATTATGGACGATATTAGATTATTTGCAATATGAAGATATTGATACATTACTTTCTATTGGACCTTTGGCACCTATGGTTTCTACCTACTTGCAAAAACATTATCGATTCCATTTTCAAGTCGCCAGTTTACTACGATGTTATGAAACCTTGACTTCTACTGAACGACAAAAACAAGATACCCGTTATGATACAGCACAACAAATTTTACATATCTTATGCTATCATGTCCAACAATGTTCTAAATTTGATCAACGAGCAGAGTTTACGCAGTTACTTGATATTTTACAACAATTAGTAGTACAACGAGTACTCTGTCCCTCTTTATCTCAAGGTCTTGAACGTGATTATGCTTCTCTTTGTTTGGAAATTCGACATATTTATCTTCATACTGCAAGTATTCGTGGTTTACATGATCCCGTAAGTTATATATAAAAAAAAGAAAAAATACAAAATAATAAATTCATATTCTATTATCCCTTTTTTCTTAGAAATATCGACGACGAAGTACAAAACATCCTTTAGCACCATTTTTACCTCGCGATTATACCTGGATATGGAGACAACATTGTGCGTTAATCAATGAATGGATTACTCCAAAGATGCCTTTGGTAGGTACCTCTTGGATAACCACTCTTTTACCTTCTCTATCTACATCAATACCATCATCAACTTCAGCATCAGAACATCTTCAAGAACTTTTACTGCGAAGAAGAAAAGTATGTTTACAATTTGCAAGATTCTTTGGCATGTTATTTGATATTACTAGTTTATATTTGGAATCCAATTTGGATGGTACTTTTGAAGAATGTGTACGGGAATCATTAGTATCAGGTAACGTTGAAGGTCTATTATTACTATGTATTGCTTCGGATCGACCTGTGGATGTGGATGGGATGTGCTTATCAGTTTCCCATGCTGGAGAACAATTATGGAATTATTTGGATACAATGGATGAATGGATGTCAACAAATCCTACTCCTGAACAATTGGCAAGACAACAACAAGAACAAGATATAGCTCAATCAGATGAAACTTCAATATCTCCTCCAGAATGGTTAATGCCTGATCGTTATAAAGTTCAAGCTGATACAAAATTTCGACTCAAGGTAGGAAAAAGTATTCTATCAAAACACACGTGATTTACCGTTTTTATATTTTGTGGTAGATGTTGAATCATCTTTATCAATTAGGTTGGGATTGGTTTCAGTAGATATGTTCACTGTGGGATTGACCGGACTTGAAAATTGGAACCAACTTTTTTTTTTTTCACACTTTTTTTTTATTTCCCTTCCTTTTTTTTCTTTTTTCTTTGTCTTTATCAACCTTGATATAAAAAAGGTCACCCCCTTTCGTTTCAACCTTTTTCTTCTTTTCTTGATACACAATTCATTCTCTATATATATTCATGTATATTCCCTCTACAATCTTACTAGTACGCTTTGTAGTATAAATAAAACACCTTTACACTTTATTTGATCTCGTTTTATTTTATACACACTTGGACACCAACAACAGTAACAACGAAAAAAAAAAAGGTAGCTTTTTATTTTATTCGTCATATATCTACCTTTATATCAAAACTGCCCGAGATCGAATGCATCTGATCACTTCTCAAGCAAGGATATACTTGATATGCAGGTGAGGATTCTTTATCCGAGTTTTAGATAGGATGAACTGATCTTTTTTTTTTTCTTATACATAGTTATGTATCACTTGGTGGATTTATGGTAAGGATGAAGAAAAGAAAAAAAATTTATACTTATTATTATTAGACGGTATGAAAACTCTTCAGGAAATACAAGACTGATTTTTTTTTATTTTTATTTTTTTTTTATTAAAAAATATCGATATATATATAATATATAATTTCATTTGATTATTCTAATAGTATGGGTAAGGTTTTTTTTTTTTTTTTATCAATTTCATGTCAAAATATGCATCATGTACTCATATATTTTTTTTCTTTTTTTTAGTTATGATAGCGGTGTTATATCTTCATGCTTGGTAATGCCTGCCTTTACGAAAAAATATCAATTAGGTGATTACAATAGTTCTGCTAGTGTTGCTGCTGTCACGGTATCACTTGCCACTGCCTTTCTTGCATCTTTTGTAAGTTCACTTTTAACAAATACTAAAAAGAATATTACTTCTGATGTCATTGTTTCTTTTTTTAGGTATCTGGATTTGTAGCTGATAGATTGGTAAAAAGAAAAAAAAAAAAAAGAAAAAAAAAGTTATTTTCATTACTGCTTCTAAACTAATATATTTATTTCAGGGGCGAAAACGATTATTTTATATTGGATGTATATTGAACGTACTTGGATGTGTTGTCGAAATAGCAGGACCTAACTTGGCATCATTTCTAGCTGGAAGGATCATCACTGGACTGGGATTAGGGTATAGTTATACAAAAAAACAAGCCTTCTTCTTTACTGCTTTTGGTGATTAATCATGACCTTTTTCCTTTTCCTATCAATAGAGTTTTCAGTATGCTAGTACCACTATGTAATGATTGAATTACCAAAAAAAAAAAAAAAAATAAATAAACTCACGGGTAGATCTTTTTTTTTTATAGATCAAAGTGAAATAGCAAGACCAGAAAATCGTGGTAGATTGATTACATTATATCAAGTTGGCTCAACTTTGGGTATGACTGTTTCTTATTGGATTTCTTATGGTACATTTGTAAATCAAAATGATGATATCTCATGGAGATTACCTATTGCGTTTCAACTTGTACCTGGCGGGTTACTTCTCCTTGGACTTCATCTTATTCCAGAAAGCCCACGATGGTTGATTTATAGGAATCGATATGATGAAGCATTAGACATCATGGCCTTATTACGAAGTGAAGGGGATAAAAAGGATTTAGATTTACAAATGGAATTTACTGGTGTACGACAAGATGTATGGTTCGATAAACATTATACTCGGAAATCATTTGTGGCACTATGGTCAACTGGTATTGAAAATAATCTAACAAGAACTCTACTCGGTATGGGTATTCATATTTTTACTCAGTTATCTGGTATCAATGCTATATTGTAAGTGGAAAAGAAGAAGAATTTTTTTTTATTGATGACTGATCATGTTTTTTATATTTTTAGATTTTATTTACCTCATATTATGGAAGCATCTGGTGTGATGGATCTTACAACCGCCGTTCTAGGTAAAAAAAAAAAAAAAAAAAAAAAAAAGATATAAACATCAGTGAATATTTGATATATATATATTAACCTGCTTTTTCTTCTTCTTCTTGATAGTTGGAAATGGGATTGTGGGAGTGGTGAACTTTTTGGGTACACTTCCTTGTTTTTGGTTTGTAAGTATCACCATGAAATGAATGGATAAAGGTTGATCAATTATTATTGTTGTTATTTTTAGATTGATCGATGGGATCGACGTCGTGTTCTTGTGATTGGTGCTTTGGCAATGGCTATCTCGATGGTGGTTGTGGCTATTTTATCTGCTATTTATGACAATACTTTGGCAACCAGTTCGACTCGTCTTTATATTGGTACTACTTTCTCAGCAATGCATGGGGATAACAAGGCAGCTACTTATTCAATGGTGGTATTTTTATGTATTTTTATTGCTTTCTTTGCTTTATCTTGGGGTCCTGTTGGTTGGATTTGTAAGTGGAATGATTTTCCTCACAAAAAAAAAAAAAAAAAAAAAAAAAGATAGGAGACATCATTAACATATATATTTTTTTTTATCTTTATATAGATCCTGCTGAAATTTATCCTCAAATTATTCGGGCAAATGCAATGGGTGTGACCACATCTGCTAGTTACTTTTTCAACCTGGTGGTGACTGTGATAGCACCTCTGATGTTTAAAGGCATGCTTTGGGGAACCTATTTATTTTTTGGCTGTATCTGTATCATCATGGCTTTGGTTGTACATAGTTATTATCCTGAAACCAGGGTAAGTAAAAAAAAAAAAGATATGGTATCTTTTTTTATTCTTTTACCTGGATGATTGACTCATGTTTATATATATATATATATATAGGGACGATCCTTGGAGGAAATCAATTTGATCTTTAGTGGGGCGTTGATTGATCAACGACCTGGTGCTCATCATCCAGCTACTGCAGCTGAAGCATTATTACATTTGGAACAAATACAATATCGCGAGAAACGGGATCGATTAGAACGTATGCAATTAGAAGCAGAAGAAAATGCCTGGACTCCCGATCAACTGACAGGTCCAATCTCAACTGTGGTTCAAGCATTAGAATCCAATTTACCTATTGCTCTTGGACCAGTACCATCTTCCAAGTCACAATATGATGAATCAAAAGGATCGACTTCTACACCTCGACGTGCATCTTTACATACCCTTCGACCTTTCCATTCTAGACGTGGCTCTTCTGCTCAAACTCTTGGCAATAATAATAATAACAAGAAGAAAATGCCTCCTTCAACATTACCTACCGTACCTAGCTCTATGGATTCTAATTCTTCTATTCACAATATACCGATCACAACTTTAAATGAACCAACAACAAAAACAACACCTCCTCCTTCTTCTATATCTGACCATTAGAATTTTAATCGTCGAAATAACAACGTTGTATTTTTGGCCCACCCCTGGGGTTTTAGTCACATAGAAATCATTTGTTCTTTTATTTTTTTTTTTTTTTACTGGTTATTATCTATTTTATTTATTTGTATATATTATTATTTTATTCATACATTCTATTTAATTAATAAACTATTTTTTTTTTATGATGGCATCTATCAAATATTATCTGATATCAACTTTTTTATTTTTTTCTTTGGGAATCTCCAACATTTATGAAAAGTTGACTCCTTTTTTTTTCTTTTCTTTTCTTTTCTAGAAAATACGATATCAGTTGCTTGATAATAATGAATGATCATTTGATTTGATTATAATTTCTTTTGTATTAAAGTAGATAAAAAAAAACTGTCATCTATCAGTGAACAAAACTGTATGATTGGCTTTTGCTATGTTTGTAAGAAATCCCATTTTTGTAATACAATCGGCCATTGAAAGTGGTTCATTTTGAATGATAAAATAAAAGATGAATCTGATTGGATGACTTCATTACTAAGATAGATTTTTATTGGACTGGGTTTAAGAGTTTTTTTTTCTTTTTTTTTCTTCTAGAATAAGGCACATATATATTTTTTTTGTCATCATCCCTCCGATTCTATTTTTTTTTTCTTTTTTTAAACTGATGAATTTTTCTCTTCTTTCGCGTACTTTTATTTCTTCTTCTTCTTCTCGTCGGTTTTTTCATACTACACTTTTCAACATGGCTCCTAAACATCATAAAGTCGCTGTCATTGGTTCCGGTCCTGCTGGTAAAATAGAACTACTATTATTTCTTTTCTTCTTTTTTTTTTTTTTAACATTTATTATTTTCTAGGTCATACTGCTGCCATTTATTTAGCTCGTGCCAACTTGAATCCTATTCTTTTTGAAGGTATGATGGCTAATAATGTTGCTCCTGGTGGTCAACTTACTACCACTACCGATGTTGAAAACTTTCCTGGGTTCCCTGACGGTGTGATGGGTGGTGATTTGATGGAAAAGATGCGTGCTCAATCTGAACGATTTGGTACTGTGATCGAAACTGAAACTATTACCAAGCTTGTTACTACTCAACGTCCTTTCCAACTCTGGCGTGAAGGTTCTGAAGGTGATGCCGAACCTACCGATACTGCGGATGCTGTCATTATTGCTACTGGTGCATCTGCCAAACGTATGCATTTACCTGGTGAAGACCAATACTGGCAAAATGGTATCTCTGCTTGTGCTGTTTGTGATGGTGCTGTACCTATCTTCCGAAATAAACCTTTGGTTGTCATTGGTGGTGGTGATTCTGCTGCTGAAGAAGCTATTTATCTTACAAAGTGTAAGTTCCTTTATCTATTTAGAGGATGAGATGATTTAATGTTTTTTTTTTTTAGATGGTTCTCATGTCAATGTTCTTGTTCGTCGTGATGTTCTCCGTGCTTCTAAAGTCATGGCCAGTCGTCTTCTCAAACACTCCAAGATTACCGTTCACTTCAACACATCTCCTGTCAGTGCTCTCGGTGATGGTAACTTGTTGACTCATGTTGCTACCAAGAACAATGTAACTGGTGAAGAAGGCAAGATCGAAGCTAATGGATTATTCTATGCTATTGGTCACGATCCCGCTACTAGTTTGGTGAAGGATGTGGTTGAATTAGATAGTGAAGGTTATATCAAGACTGTACCCGGTTCATCTATTACCAACGTAGAAGGTTTGTTTGCTGCTGGTGATGTACAAGATAAGCGTTATCGTCAAGCTGTTACTAGTGCTGGTTCTGGTTGTATGGCTGCTTTGGATGCTGAACGTTATCTTAGTGAATTGGAAGCTGAACAAGAAGAACTCAAGAACTGAATACACTCGGGCCCCTCTTCTTCTAACAATGAAAAACCAAAACTTTAGATAGATTACATTTTTATATATTTTTATTCTCTCTATATATACATATACACTTTTCTTTAACTTTCCCCACTCAATTATATTCATTCTCATTTTTATATTATTTCTTTTTGTTTAATAAAGTCAAGTAACAGAGTCCAAAAGTCATTTGTTATTATACTTTTTTTTTTTTTTTTTTTTTTTTTTTTTTTTTTGTTATTGAGCGATGAATTTAACCGTTTTTCCTCCTACGAATTCTTTCAATCTTGCCCCACAAAAATGGGCTAAGTGCGTCGGACAATGAAGCTGCAGCTACCTTTAGTGGTTATAAAAAAATGGGAGAGGCATTTTCACTTCCTTTTTCTTTTATTTTCAACACTCTTTTTTTCCTTCTTTCATTCCCACAGTCTATTTTTACCCTTTCTTTTTACTTTCTTTCTTGGATTTCCTTTTTACCTATAAGCTTAGCAAAACATTATGATACGGTTTAACTGTATTTTATTATGTTACTTTATCATTGCAGTTTTCATTCAAGTCCAGGCACAAACCATTCATGACGATGTAGTGGAGAATACTTACCGATTACCCGATCCCGTATTGGCTGACAACAACAACAATAACTATAAAGATAACATTCTAACCGACTTTTTGGTGGACGAGGAAGACGAAGAAGATGACGATTCTGTTGAAGAAGACGATGAAGACGATGAATTATCTACTACTTATGATATTGATGCTGAACCACTTCTGGAAGGCGGTTATTATGGATATGGTCAAAGCAAAGAACAAGAACAAGGTGATGAATTAGGTGAAGAACTTTATGTGGAATACGATGACGAAACTGATAATACGGACAATACTGGCTTACTTTTTGAAGATGATGAAGAACCTTTGGAATTTAAGAATAATGAAGATATCGATATCAATGAACTCTTATTTGAATCTAGTCAAAAGGATCAACAACAATATGATCATTCCCTGGTGGACGCGACACATCAACATATGGACGATTTATTAGGCAACGCACATGAAGCTTTGGATACTCAACCAAATGATGATGATAGCGATGATGATGAACATCCTGATCATTCTATAGATACAGATGATGCCACCTCTTTATTCCAAGATGATCCATTGACTCCTGAGGATCATACTCACGATATCGCACCACCACCACCACCTCCTCCTTCTCCTCATCATGATGACTTTATTTACACTCCTGATACTTCTTCTCAACATTCTCGATCTCATTATAAATTACCTTTGTTTGGTGTCTTACTGGTCCTTGTTCTTTTATACAAATCCAAAAATAAGGTAAATAGAATGAAATAAAAAGGAGTCGTGCGGAGATCGCTGTAATTAATCGCTTTTTTGGTTATATGTATGTAGAATCAAGGAGGTCGTAGTAAATTTTTAGAAAAGGAAGAAAATAAAGGATTACCGGTAAGAAAAACAGAAATAATAATAAACAAATAAACAAACTAATCCATCATTATATTTACTTTTTTTCATTTTTTTTTTTATTCATAGTTACATAACAAAGGTATACAAAAAAAGTATTTTTGGTTTTCAACAATAGTCTAATAAAGTATATTGTTATTATTTCATTAGATATTAATACCCCAGATATTGTGTCATACCCTACCAGTGCACCCACTGGTTCCATTCTATTGTCCTCACCTACCAAACAGGGATTTCCGACTATTATCAATCAAGAACAGCAGCCAACACAGCAGCAACCTCAACAACAACAACAGTCAATACACCAACAGCAACAAGAACAAAATGGGTTTCATGGATATTTGGGTCGTCGATCATCAGCTTCTTCAACAAATAGCGGACGACACCATTCATTATCGGGCGTAGCTGCAAGTGCTGTCGGAGTCCATGGTGGTCACACACGTCGTATTTCTTTAGGTCATCCAATACATCATGCTATCAAGGAATCAAAATGGGAAGAAGATTGGGATGAAAAAGTGGAAAAACATAGACAATGATCCTTAATATTATTCCTAATTGTTTTCTTCCATTCTTCAGCTTTAGTATATTCTCTGTTTACCCTTTTTTTCTACCTGTATATTCTCCTTTTCTCCTCCTTTTGTTTACCATCATTAATGATTATCCTTTTTTTTCATCTTCTTTAATTCTTCTCTTGTTATCCAATGAAAAAAATAAAAAATAATTGTGCACCTCTTTTTACTTTTTTAATTTCCTGAAATAGAATGAATATTTCATATATACAGACAAGTTGTGTGTTTTCTTTATTGTTTAAAAGAAGTAAGACTACAAAAACAAGTGTTGATCAATAATAATAGTAGTAACAATAATCGATTGTCAACAATCGAAGAAGCAGCCTGTTCTTGACAAAATCAGTACCACCTATTCTATCTATGACAATCATCATCAACAAAGGCAGTGAGATTATTTACATATCATGCCTGTCACCCTACGAAATTACCATAAAAATGCATCATCCTCCGTGCCACGTTGCTTGTCCAATATGGCAGATCATGTTCCTATCCATTCCTTTGTTCCAAAATTGATGCCCCTAGAGAAAACTGCATGGTAAATCAAGCGCCATTCTATCATGTGTATTAGTGATCGAGCTCCCAACCCCCCCTTTTTTTTTTTTGGAAAATGGAAAAAAAAGTAAGAATCGATAATGCAATAAATGTGATGATGTATTCTTAACTTTTCTGAACATACCATTGATCGTATCTGAAGTCATTGCCTTGATGATGACTGCCAAACGATATTTCGAAGGGACGATAGCTGTGTATTTGTCAGAATAGTCCATTATAGGTACCAAAAAAAAAAAAAAAAAAAGAGATTAGACAACAGCCCACCAATCGGTATAAATAACTTACAATAGCAATAAAGATGTCCATAAATAGTATTCCTTTTTTGATTGCCTCATATCCTGCTAGAGGCATCGCTGTTAGTTGACCTGTTGGTAGTCTTTTTCCATTTGATGAAGGCGACGTGACATCGATGATTTCAAAACTATCACCTATTTTAACAATAAAAAAAGGGGGTTAGTTTAATTACTACCTTTTCTTAATCCAGCCCAAATATACTAACCGCAATGCAAGATACTTTCTTCCAAAAGGATAACAGCCGATTCCACTTTCTTGATATTGTTTGTGATAATTATATTTCTCGAGAATCCAACACTACAATATGTGCCTGATGGATAAGGTAACAAAATATAAATATGTCTCCCTCTTTGTAATTATCTTTTTTTTTTTGTCAACTGCTTTGTTACCTTGGTCTATAATAACATCAAGAGATGTGAGAATACGCCTTGTGTCGCTATTTGATATATCGACTAATATATGTGAATCATTGCTTGCCATGAGAATATGAAGGGAGTACAATAAACTAAAAGACCTGAAAGAGATACCGCTGCCATGCGTATAGATGAGTATGAGGGAAACAAAGAAGGAGTCAGACTTCCACAAGAACAGAACTCTATGATTGACATCAAAAAGGATAATGAGTACGCGTGTATAATTCAACAATAGAAAAATATAGTTCCTCCTTCTTTATGTCCATTTCTTTTGTAACCCCATGATCACCGTTTTTTTTCATTTGTCCTTCCTTGTATTGCCAGACATAGCGATGAAGGTCTGATGTAGTGAGGGTTGTGTATCTCTAGTCAAAGTAACATAGCAGTCGATATTGTAAGCGCTGTTTTAACATCGTGAAAGAAAAGTTTCAAAGTAGAGAAAGAAAAAGAAGAAGAAAAAAAAAGAAATTTTTACTTTTTTAAATTGTGGTTTTGCGCAACCCAAAAATAGAAATTGAAGATAGAATGTTTTATTTTCATAATAAATTGATACTTTTTGTAAAAAAAAAAAAATTCCTTTTTATAAAAAAAATAGTCATTACTGTTCAAAATAAGGTTAATGCAATTTTTATATTTTGTGACCACAACTAGCCAACTCTTTAGCCTTTGCAGCCGTTAGTTCAATGGTTTGATTAGCCCAATTCATATAATAGTTTTTACACGAGTTGGTTTCAAAAGTTAGACATGCCTTCAAACCCGCCTTATTCACCTCAAAAGTCGTTTTACACGCTGGTTTATTGTGTGCGTAACATGCTTCTTTGCATTTTTCACCGGTAGCTGAAGCAGCATAACAATGATCATCAATGCCCGGATGGCATTGACACAACTCTTTCACCCCAAAGACATCGAGATCACATCGTTTTTTGTCAATACAGTTGTCATCCAAACCGAGATCACACTGGCACACTTTATGCGTGGCTGCTACAGAATATGGCTGATATCCACAATGCCAACCATAAGGGCATACGGCGCCATCAAAATCACAATCGTCTCCTGCATGGAGCGAGCACCGTCCGCCAATGCATTGCGCCCAATCCTCGCAAGGAATACCGCTGGAACAATCGTCTCCACCAAAGGCAGTGTGCTCACAGGTGGGATGATCAGTGAATGTTCGTTTATGGCAATATAAGCCAGGACAACACCTTTTCTGATCATTACACGGCTGCCTAAAATCCACACATGAGGAGGGAGCTGGGGGTTTTGCGGGTGGATAACGACAACCACATTTCTTATTTTCACACGTTTCTACACCTTTACCACTACATTTAGGACATCCGCTTGCATTGGTACATTTTTTTGGAGGGGGGGGACCAGTGACAAAAGCAGCAACGGTAGCATCCGCACAATAACAGTATTGAGAGTTACAAAAAGCGGTATCATAATTGGGATTCTTGCAATGCTTTATGTGATCATTACATATTTTATCAATCGGTTCGCTTTTGCAAGTAATTGCATGATTACCATCGCAAATAGGAGAAACCTCACCACCTGTAGTAGAACCAAGGAGAGCAAATACATTAAGTTTTTTATTAGGCGGGCACGGTTTATTGGATAGTGCGGAGCACTGAGTGAAAATAAGAGCACCCAAAATTAATACCAGTGGATACATCGTTTATAGAAAAAACAAATAAAAAAAAAGTGAAAATAAAATGAAATAAAATAAAATAAAAAATAAAAAAAGATGAAAATATAAACATAAAAAAAGAACTTTTTTTTTAAATAGGCAGAACGGATACTTTCTTGTTGAAAGACGCCAAGCAGTAGTTGCATGCAGGGATGTATGGATGATGAGGATAAAAGCTTTTAACAATGGCCCGATGTTTCTTAGAAGAAAAGGATGAAAAAAAGGGGTGGGTTTCCTGCGTTACTTCAACATAGGCTGATTGTTCATTTCCTTCTTCACATACAGTGATGACTCCTAGGGAGCTTATCCTCTCGATTCATGGACGATCAACGCTGCATGCATATCTTTCTCCACTCACTCACAGTGAACAAGTATCAAGGCTTTTCTTTTAATCGCTCATCATCGTTATTTTTTTTATAGAAAGGCAGGTTCGTTAAGGGGTTGAATTCCGACTACCGTTGAGAAAGATTGTGACTCATCCGTATCACCATCGTTGGTTGGATCACGTCTGTTGATTGAATATACAGTAAAGAGGATGCTTACGCTCTTTTTTTCTTTGTGCATGAAGTTTATTTTTCGTTTCTCGTTGCGATTAGAGACCTTAGGAGTCGTACATATTTGCGGTGATCCTTGTTTTATATTACGGAAATGGACGGTACTGATGATCCGTAGTTGATGATAGATGGTTGGAAAAAAAAGGGGTCGTGAACTTTTGTAGATTTTACAGGTGGTTGATGCATGCTCCAAGAACTCACATCTATCATCAGCACTCTTTTCTTTTTTTCTATTTACTACCTTCAAAATGATAGTGACTCTCATATGTCATGAAATCATCATTTAGGTTCAGGAGCATTTTATCAATAATGTCAGTTATAGATATCCCCTCCCTTTTTCTAAAGAAAAATAGAGCAAACAAAGAAATGAGTTACGGTTTTTGCCTATCTCTTTTTGTTTTTCAATATCCTTAAATGGAATAAATATTTCATTTGTCATAGATAATGTAGATAAGTTGTGTGTTTTCTTTATTATTCAAAAATAAGTAAGACTATAAAAGACAAGTGATGAAAAAAAAAAAAAAAAGAAAGATCGATTGTCAACACCACCAAAAGAAAAGCAGCCAATTGTTCTTGACAATATTAGTACCGCCTATTCTATCTATGACAATCATCATCAACAAAGGCAGTGAGTTTATTTGCATACTATGATCATCACACTACAAACTTGCCATAAAAATGCATTATCCTCCATGTCACGTTGCTTGTCAAATATGGTAGATCACGTCCCTATCCATTCCTTTGTCCCAGATTTGATGCCCCTAAAGAAAACTGCATGATAAATCAAGTGCCATTCTATCATGTGTATTAGTGATCGACCTCCCAACCCTTTTTTTTTTTTTTTTGAACATGGAAAAACAAGTAAGAATCGATAGTGCAATAAAAAAATGATGATGTATTCTTAACTTTTCTGAACATACCATTGATCGCATCTGAACCTATTACCTTGATGATGATTGCCAAACGATATTTCGAAAGGAGAATAGCCAAGTACTTGTCAGAATAGTCCATTACAAGTACCAAAAAAAAAAAAAGAGATTAGACAACAGCCACACCAATCGGTATAAATCACTTACAACAGCAATAAAGATATCCATAAATAGTGTTCCTTTTTTGATTGCCTCATATCCTACTAAGTGTATTGCTGTTAGTTGACCTATTGATAGTCTTTTTCCATTTGATGAAGGCGATATAACATCGATGATTTCAAAACTATCACCTATTTTAACAATAAAAAAAAAGGAGGTTAGTTTGATTACTACCTTTTCGTAATCCAGTCCAAATATACTAACCACAATGCAAGATACTTTCTTCCAAAAGGATAACAGCCGATTCCACTTCTTGATATTGTTTGTGATAATTATATTTCTCGAGAATCCAACACTACAATATGTCCCTGATAGATAAAGTAACAAAATGTAAATATGTCTTCCCCTTTGTAATAATCTTTTTTTTTTGCCAACTGCTTTGCTACCTTGCTCTATAATAACATCAAGAGACGTGAGAATACGCCTTGTATCGCTATTTGATATATCGATTAATATATGTGAATCATCGCCTGCCATGAGAATATGAAGGCAATACAATGAACTAAAAACCCGAAAGAGATTTTGCTACCATGTGTATAGATGAGTATGAGGAAAACAAAGAAGGAGACAGACTTCCACAAGAACAGAACTCTATGATTGACATCAAAAAGGATAATGAGTACGCGTGTATAATTCAACAACAGAATAATATAGTTCCTCTTTCTTTATGTCCATTTTTTTTCGCTACACCATGATCACCTTTTGTTTTCAATTGGGTCCTACTAGTATTCCTTTTTTTATATTGCCAGACATCGCGATGAAAGTTTGATGTAATGAGGGTTGTGTATCACTAGTCAAAGTAACATAGCAGTCGATATTGTAAGTGCTGTTTTAACAATGTGAAAAAAAGTTTCAAAGTAGAGAAAGAAAACGAACAAGCAAAAAAAAAAAAAAAAAATTCTACCTTTTAAATTGTGGTTTTGCGCAACCCAAAAATAGAAATTAAAAAAATATAATATTTTATTTTTATAAAAGATTTCCTTTTTATAAAAAAAAAAAAGTAATTACCGTTCAAAATAAGGTTCCTGCAATTTTTATATTTTGTGACCACAATCAGTCAACTTTTTAGCTATTGAATCAGTTATTGCAATGGTTTGATTAGCCCAATTCATATAATAGTTTTTACATGGTGAGTGCGCATCACTGCGTGTGTAACATGCTTTGCGGCATTGCTCACTGGTAGCTAAGCCAGCATAACAGTAATTGCCAATAGACTGGTGACATTGACATAACTCTTTCACCCCAAAGAAATCGAGATCACACCGGTCTTCCGTATAACATGTACCATCGTCTCGAAGCTGATCACAATGGCATATTTTATCCGCATTGATATCTTGACAACTCATTCCGTGGGGACATATGGCGCCATCAAAATCACAGTTGGATCCTCTTTTGAGCGAGCATCGCCCACCAATGCATTGCGACGTACCTTCACATGGAATACCGCTGGAACAGTCTTCTCCAATAAAGGCATTTTCCACGCAGACGGGAGGAGCAGCAGTACCGAATGATGGTCGCCAATGGCAATGTAACTCATCACAGCATCCTTTCTTATCACACCGCTGCCCATGATCGGCACATGAGGGTGGATCTACACATTCTTCGTTGATACATACTTTGCCAGGCGGACATGTGATACGACCAAAGTCAAACTTGACACCCAAAGAAAGAGTTGTACATCGGGGTGGGAGTAGACATTGACACGTGTTATTTTTACACGTTTTCACATTGTTATTAGCACATTCAGGACATTCGTTTGCATTGGTACATGTGTTTCGACGTATGCCATCAATCATAGAACTAGCAGTGGTGGCATTCATACATAAACAATAATGACCGTTACAGAAAGTGGTATTCCAATTGGGATTATTGCAATTATTTATATGAGCGTTACATGTTTCATCGATCGGTCGGGTTTTACAAGTAATTGCTCGATGATTGTCACCGCAAATAGGAGCAAAGTTACGATATAAAGACTTGAAGACAATGTTTTGACTTTGACTTCTATTTGGTGCACAATACAAATCGACTTGTGCAAAACACTGAGTCAAAAAAACTACTGCCCAAATGAATACAAGTACGTACATCGTTTGTAAAGTTTATAATAAAAAGAAGCTCAAAAAAAAAGAATCTCGTTTTTTCTTCCCACTTTTTTTTCATAAAAAAAAAAAACTGAATGGATGCATTTTCTCCTGATTTGACTTTATTGGAAGACGCCAAGCTAGCAGTAGCTGGTTGTAGAGACGCATGAAGGATGATGATAAAGGCTTTTAACTATGATCGGGTACTTCTCAGAAGGAAAAAAAAAGGAGCTTTCTGCAACATTTCAGTCGCGTACGGAGATGATCCCTGGGGAGATTTACTCCTCTTGACCCGTGGATGATCAACATTGTATGCATCTCTTTTCTTTCTTCAGTCACAAACTGAACAAATTAAGGGCTATTTTATTTTTTATAGAGAAGTAAGTTCATCAAGAGATTGAATTACAAAGATTGCAACTCATACATTTCACCATCGTTGGTTGGACCTCGTTTGTTGATTGGATACACAGAAAAGAGGATGCTTACACTCTTTTCTCCTTGTGCATCGCGTTTATTTTTCTTTTCTGCCTGGTGATTAGAGATCTTAGGAGTCGTATATATTTGCGGTGATCCTTGTTTTATAGTACGGAAACGGATGGTGCTGATGATCAACAGTTGATACTGGATGGTTGAAAAAAAAAGGAGTTGTGAACTTTTGTAGATTTTACAGGTGGTTGATGCATGCCCGACGAATTCACATCTATCATCAGCACTCTTTTTTTTTTTTTTTTCCTATTTACTACCTTCAAAGTGATAGTGACTCTCATATATCATGAAATCATCATTTAGGGTAAGGAGCATTTTATCAATAATGTTAGTTATAGATCCCCCCCTTTTTTTCTCTAAAAAGAATAAAGCTAACAAAGAAATGAGCTACGCTGCTGTCTATCTCTTTTTTCTTTTCCATATCTTTAAATGGAATGAATAGTTTCATTTGTCATAATATAATGTAGGTAAGCTGTCTGCTTTCTTTATTATTCAAAAATAAATAAGACTACAAAAAGCAAGTGATGATCAAAAAAAAACAAACTAATTTTCCAATGCCAACAAATGGGAAAGGGCCCAATCGCTTTTGACAAAGTAGCATCACCTATTCTACCTACAGAAATCATCATCAGAAAAATGTGAGCCTATTTGCAAATAATGATCGTCATACTACAAACTCTTCCATGCCACGTTGCTTACCTAATATGGTAGATCACATTCCTATCCATTTCGTTGTTCCAGATTTGATGCCCCTAGAGAAAACTGCATGGTAAGTCAAACGCCATTCTATCATGTGTGTTAGTGATCGATCTCCCAGCCATATTTCTTTTTTTTGAAAATGGAAAAACAAGTAAGAATCGATAATGCAATAAGGATGATGATGTATTCTTACTTTTATGAGCATACCATTGATCACATCTGAAGCTATTACCTTGAGGATGATTGCCAAACGATATTTCGAAAGGAGAATAGCTGAGCACTTGTCAGAATTGTCCATTACAAGTACCGAAAAAAAAGAGATTAGACAACAGCCCCCATCAATCGGTATAAATCACTTACAACAGCAATAAAGATGTCCATAAATATCATTCCATTTTTGACTGCCTCATATCCTACTAAGTGTATTGCCGTTAGTTGATCCATTGAAAGTCTTTTTCCATTCGATGAAGGCGACATGACATCGATGATTTCAAAACTATCACCTATTTTAACAATAAACCATAATGCAAGATACTTTCTTTCAAAAGGATAACAGCCGATTCCACTTCTTGATGTTGTTTGTGATAATTATATTTCTCGAGAATCCAACACTACAATATGTCTCTGATAGATAAAGTAACAAAATATAAATAAGTCTTCCCCTTTGTAATAATCTTTTTTTTTTTGTCAACTGCTTTGCTACCTTGCTCTATAATAACCTCAAGAGATGTGAGAATATGCCTTGTAGTACTATTTGATATATCGACTAATATATGTGAATCATTGCTTGCCATGAGAATATGAAGGGAGTACAATGAACTAAAAGACCTGAAAGAGATTCCGCCGCCATGCGTATAGATGAGCACGAGGGAAACAAAGAAAGAGGCAGACATCCGTAAGAACAGAGCTCTATGATTGACATCAAAAAGGATAATGAGTACGCGTGTATAATTCAACAACAGAATAATATAGTTTCTCTTTCTTTATGTCCAGTTTTTTTGCAACGCCATGATCACCTTTTTTTCAATTGAGTCCTTAGTATTCCTTTCCTTGTATTGCCAGACAGAGCGACGAAGGTCTGATGTAATGAGGGTTGTGTATCTCTGACCAAAATATCAATGGAACATAGCAATCGATATTGCAAGCGCTGTTTTAACAAAAACTGGAGTAACAAAAGTGAAAAAAAATTGAAAAGAAAAAGAAAAATGAAAATGAAAAAAGAAAAGTTCTATTTTTTAAATTGTGATTTTGCGCAACCGAAAAATAGAAATTAAAGAATATAATATTTTTATTTTCATAATAAATTGATAGCACTTTTTATAAAAAAAAATAGTCATTACCGTTCAAAATAAGGTTAATGCAATTTTTATATTTTGTGACCACACTCAGTCAACCTTCTAGCCAATGAATCAGTTATTTCAATGGTTTTATTTGACCAATTCATATAGTAGTTTTTACATGTGCCGGGTTCAAAAGTTCTACATGCCTGCAAACCCGCCAAATTCACGGTATAAGTCGTTTTGCACGCCGGTCTGTGTGCGTAACACGCTTCTTTGCATTTTTCACTGGTACCTGTGCCAGCATAACAATAATCGCCAATGCCCGGACGGCATTGACATAGCTCTTTCACCCCAAAGAAATCAAGATCACATTGTTTTCCGATGTAGCATTTGCCGTCTACCCAAGAATGATCACATTCGCATCTTCTATTCGTGCCCGTGACAAACACATTCACAGGTCCACAATGCGAACCATAAGGGCATACAGCGCCATCAAAATCACAATCGGAATGAAATTGGAGTGAGCACCGTCCGCGAATGCATTGCGATGTATCCTGGCAATGAATACCGCTGGAACAATCTTCTGTGTTAAAGGCAACGACCTCACAGGTGGGATGATCATTGAATGTCCGTTGATGGCAATAGCCATCACAACACCCTTTCTGACTACACGACTCGTGAAGCTTGGCACATGAGGAGGAGAAGGCGGAGGAGGAGGGAGCTGGGGGTTTTGCGGGCGGATAATCACAACCACATTTCTTATTTTTACACGCTTTCACACGGTTACCACTACATTTAGGACATTCGCTTGCATTGGTGCATGTTTTTGGAAGTATGGAAGCGAGATAAGGGTCAGTAGAATTCCCGCAGTAGCAAACTTGGTCGAGACAGAGAGCGGTATGCCAATTGGGATTATCGCAATTCTTTATATGGGTATTACATGTTTCATCAATCAGTTTGTTTTTACAGGTAACCAGTTGATGATTATTATCGCAAATAGGAGAAATGATTTGAAGTATACCAGACAAAAAAGATTTACTCTCTTTATATTCTTTAAGTGTATTTAACGGACAAGGCTTATTGGATTGTGCGGAGCACCAAGTGAAAAATAAGACCACCCAAATTAATACCAGCCGATACATCGTTTATAATAATAATAGAAAAAAAATAAAAAAATAAAAAAAAGAAACTTTTTTTAAATAGGCAGAACGGATACACTTTCTGGTGATTTGAGTTTGTTGGAAGATGGCAAGTTACAAGTAGCTGGATACAGGGATGCATCAATGCTGATGATAAATGCTTTTAACTATGATCGGATGCTTTCTCAGAAGAAGGAAAAAAAAAAACTTTTTTTTTTTTTTTTTTTTTTTTTTGCGTCTCTTCAACAAAGGCGTAAACGCCCACTTCATCTTCCCCTACGGTGACGATCGCTAGGGAGGTTCGCCCCTGTTGATTCCCTCTTGATCAGTATTATATGCATATCTTTATTTCTCCATTCACAAACTGAACAAATCATGACCACGGTTTTTTAATCCCTCACTATCGTTATTTCTTTTATAAAGAATGCTCATTAAGAGATTGAATTTCGACTATCATCGACAAAGGTTGCAACTCATACAGTTCACCATGTTGATTGAATATACAGAAAAGAGATGCTTACACTCTTTTTTCCTTGTGCATCGCGTTTATTTTTCTTTTCTGCTTGGTGATTAGAGACCTTAGGAGTCGTATATATTTGTGGTGATCCTTGTTTTATAGTACGAAAATGGATAATGTTAATGATCAATAGTTGATGATAGATGACTGGAAAAAAAGGGGTGGTGAGCTTTTGCAGACCTTACAGGTGGTTGATGCATGCCCCACGAATTCACATCTATCATCAGCACTCTTTTTTTCTTTTTTCTATTTACTACCTTCAAAGTGATAGTGACTCTCATATATCATGAAATCATCATTTAGATTAAGGAGCATTTTATCAATAATGTCAGTTATAGATCCTCCCCTTTTTTTTTTCTCTAAAAAGAATAAAGCGAACAAAGAAATGAGCTACGCTGCTGTCTACCTCTTTTTACTTTTCCATATACTTGAATGGGATGAATAGTTTCATTTGTCATAGTATAACGTAAATAAGTTGTGTGTTTTCTTTATTATTCAAAAATAAATAAGACTACAAAAACAAGTGATGATCAAAAAAAAAAAAAACTGATTTTCCAATCACAACAAACGGGAAAGAGCCCAATCGCTTTTGACAAAGTAGTATCGCCTATTCTACCTACAGCAATCATCATCAGAAAAATGTGAGCCTATTTGCAAATAATGATCATCATAGTACAAACTTGCCGTAAAAATGCATCATCTTCCATACCACGTTGGTTACCTAATATGGTAGGTCACATTTCTATCCATTCCCTTGTTCCAGATTTGATGCCCCTAGAGAAAACTGCATGGTAAATCAAACGCCATTCTATCATGTGTATTAGTGATCGGTCTCCCAGTCCTATTTTTTTTTGAAAATGGAAAAAACAAGAATCGATAATGCAATAAGTAATGATGATGCATTCTTACTTTTCTGAGCATGCCATTGATCGCATCTGAAGCTATTGTCCCGATAATGATGATGACATTGTAGCCAAATGGTCCTTCAAAGAGAGAATAGTAGAGTGCTTGTCACGATAGTCCCCAAAAAAAGATTAGACAACAGTCACATCAATCAGCATGAATCACTTACAACAGCAATACAGATATCCATAAATAGTGTTCCATTTGGTTGCCTCATATCCTGCTAAGGGTATTGCCGTTAGTTGACCTATTGATAGTATTTTTCCACTTGATGAAGGCGACATAACTTCGGTGATTTCAAAACTATCACCTAACTTAACAATATAAAAAAAAAGGGAGAGTTCAATTACTACCTCGTTTTAATCCAGCCCAAATATACTAACCGCAATGCAAGATACTTTCTTCCAAAAGGATAACAGCCGATTCCACTTTCCTGATATTGTTTGTGATAACTATATTTCTCGAGAATCCAACACTACAATATGTCCCTGATAGATAAAGTAACAAAATATAAATAAGTCTTCCCCTTTGTAATAATCTTTTTTTTTCTCAACTGCTTGCTACCTTGTTCTATAATAACATCAAGAGATGTGAGAATACGCGTTTTATTACTATTTGATATATCGACTAATATATGTGAATCATTGCTTGCCATGAGAACATGAAGTCAATACAATGAATTGAAAGAGATTCCGCCGCCATGCGTATAGATGAGTATGAGAGAAACAAAGAAGATGGCAGACTTCCACAAGAACAGAACTCTATGATTGACATCAAAAAGGATAGTGAGTACGCGTGTATAATTCAACAACAGAATAATATAGTTCCTCTTTCTTTATGTCCATTTTTTTTTGCAATCCCATGATCACCTTTTTTTTTCAATTGGGTCCTTAGTATTCCTTTCCTTGTGCTGCCAGACATAGCGATGAAGGTCTGATATAATGAGGGTTGTGTATCACTAGTCCAAGTAACATAGCAATCGATATTGTAAGCGCTGTTTTAACAATGTGAAAAAAAAGTTTCAAAGTAGAGAAAGAAAAAGAAGAAGGAAAAAAAAAGAAATTCTGCTTTTTTAAATTGTCGTTTTGCGCAACCCAAAAATAGAAATTAAAGATAGAATTGTTTTATTTTCATAATAAATTGATAGCACTTATTGTAAAAAGATATCTCTCTTATAAAAAATAAATATGATAACTACTATTCAAATTATAGAGTTCCGTGCAGTTTTTATATTTTGTGACCACATTTAGTCAACATTCCAGCCAATAAATCAGGTATTTCAATGGTTTGATTAAACCGATTTATATAATAGTTTTTACATGAGTCGGTTTTATAAGTTTTACATCCTTTGAGACCCGCCAAATTCACAGTATAAGTCGTTTCGCACGCCGGTCTGTGTGCGAAACATGCTTCTTTGCATTTTTCACTGGTAGCTGAACCAGCATAACAATGGCCGCCAATTTCCGGATGGCATTGACATAGCTCTTTCACCCCAAAGTGATCGAGTTCACATCGTTTTTTCCTAGAACATGTACCATCCCACCGATAACGATCACAAGTGCATATTTTATTCGCAGTTTCACAATGCATATCATAAGGGCATACAGCACCATCAAAATCACAATTGGCTCCTTCTTGGAGCGAGCACTTTCCGCCAATGCATTGCGACGTACCGTAGCAAGTAATACCACTGGAACAATCTTCTCCACTAAGGGCATTGTGCTGACAGGTGGGATAATCCTCGAATGAACGTTGAATGCAATATAAGCCAGGACAACACTTTTTCTGATCATCACACCGCTGCCTAAGGTCGACACATGAGGAAGGACCTGGGGGTTTTGCGAGTGGGTAACTACAACCACATTTCTTATTTTTACACATCTTTTCGCCTTTATTACTACATTTAGGACATTCGCTTGCTTTGGTACATGTGTTTAGAGGTTTGGAACCAGTTAAAACGCCAGCGACGGTAGCGTTGGCTGCGCAGAGACAATATCCATCTTTACAGAAAGCGGTACCGTAATTGGGATTCTTGCATTGCTTTATGTGAGTATTACATATTTCATCAATCGGTTCGCTTTTGCAAAAAATTGCATGATCACCATCGCAAATAGCAGAAACCACATGAAAACCAAAGATATTAAGGTCAGTAGATTTATTTTTTAACAGACAAGAATTTTTGGATTGTGCGGAGCACCAAGTGAAAAATAAGACCACCCAAATTAATACCAGTCGATACATCGTTTAATAATAATAATAATAAAAAAACAATAAAAAAATAAAAAGAAGAAACTTTTTAAATAGGCAGAACGGATACATTTCCTCATGATTTGAATTTATTGCAAGACGCCAAGCTAGCAGCAATTGGATGTAGGGATGCATAAAGGATGATGATAAAGGCTTTTAACCATGATCGGGTGCTTCTCAGAAAAAAAAAAAAAAAAAAAAGAGGAGCTTTCTGCATCATTTCAGCCAAGTACAGAGATGATCCCTGGGGAGATTTGCTCCTCTTGATCCGTGGACGATCAACATTGTATGCATCTCTTTCTTTCTTCAGTCACAAACTGAACAAGTTAAGGACTATTTTATTTTTTATAGAGAAGTAAGTTCATCAAGAGATTGAATTACAAAGATTGCAACTCATACAATTCACCATTATTGATTACATCTCGTTCGTTGATCGGATACACAGAAAAGAGGATGCTTATACCAGTTTTTCCCTTGTGAATCGTGTTTACCTTTTCTTCTTCTGCGCTGTGATTAGAGACCTCGTTGCATTGGAGGTCGAACATATCTGCGGTGATCCTTGTTTTGTATTACGGAAATGGATGGTGCTGATGATCAGTAGTTGATGATGAATGGTTGGAAAAAAAAAGGGATTGTGAACTTCTGTAGATTTAACAGGGTGGTTGATGCACGCCCCACGAATTCACATCTATAATCAGCACCCTTTTCTTTCTTTTTTTTTTCTATTTACTACCTTCAAAGTGATAGTGACTCTCATATATCACGAAGTCATCATTTAGGTTAAGGAGCATTTTATCAATAATGTCAATTATAGATTCCCCCCTTTTTTTAAAGAAAAATAGAGCAAACAAAGAAATGAGATACGCTTTTTGCCTACCTCTTTTTATTTTTCAATATCCTTAAATGGAATAAATATTTCATTTGTCATAGATAATGTAGATAAGTTGCGTGTTTTCTTTATTATTCAAAAATAAGTAAGACTATAAAAGACAAGTGATGACCAAAAAAAAAAAAAAAAAAAAAGGAAGATCGATTGTCAACACCACCAAAAGAAAAGCAGTCAATTGTTCTTGACAAGATCAGTACCGCTTATTCTACCAACAGCAATCATCATCAACAAAGGCAGTGAGTTTATTTGCATATCATGATCATCACTCTGCCATAAAACCGCATCATCCTCCACGCCACGTGCTGTCGATCGTCTAATATGGTAGATCACGTTCCTATCCATTCCCTTGTTCCATATTTGATACCCCTAGAGAAAACTGCATGGTAAATCAAACGCCATTCTATCATGTGTGTTAGTGATCGATCTCCCAACCCTATTTTTTTTTTTTTTTTTGAAAATTGAAAACCAAGTAAGAATCGATGCAATAAGGATGATGATGTATTCTTTTCTGAGCATACCATTGATCGCATCTGAAGCTATTGTCTTGATAACGATGATGACATTATAGCCAAATGGTCCTTCAAAGAGAGAATAGTAGAGTGCTTGTCACGATAGTCCCAAAAAAAAAAGATTAAACAACAATCACATCAATCAGCATGAATCACTTACAATAGCAATACAGATATCCGTAAATAGTGTTCCATTTGGTTGCCTTATATCCCGCTAAGAGTATTGCCGTTAGGCGACTTGTTCATAGCTTTTTCCATTATAAAATCGACACAGAGTTAACAATTTCAAATACTATCAGCCTACATAGTGTAGCGGTCATTTTATTAAAAAAAAGAAGAGGTTTAGTTTAATTACTACCTTGTTCTGATCGAGCCCAAATACATTAACCGCAGTGCAAGGCGCTTATTTCCAAAAAGAGCAGAATTACCTTAGATATACCATTCCGAATGACTACCAGATTCCATTTCTTTTTCTGGTGAGTAGCATACTATAGTGCGTCCCTGATAAACAAAGTATCACAATGCCGATAAGTCGTCCCCTTTGTTATTTTTTTTTGTCAACTGCTTTGCTACCTTGCTCTATAATAACATCAAGAGATGTGAGAATATGCCTTGTATGACTATTTGATATATCGACTAATATATGTGAATCATTGCTTGCCATGAGAATATGAAGGCAGTATAGACGAAAAGACCTGAAAGAGATTCCGGCGACATGCGTATAGCTGAGCATGAGGGAAACAAAGACAGAGGCAGACATCCGTAAGAACAGAACTCTATGATTGACATCAAAAAGTATAATGAGCACGCGTGTATAATTCAACAACAGAATAATATAGTTCCTCTTTCTTTATGTCCATTTTCTTTCGCTACACCATGATCACCTTTTGTTTTCAATTGGGTCCTACTAGTATTCCTTTTTTTATATTGCCAGACATCGCGATGAAAGTTTGATGTAATGAGGGTTCTGTATCACTAGTCAAAGTAACATAGCAGTCGATATTGTAAGTGCTGTTTTAGCAATGTGAAAAAAAGTTTCAAAGTAGAGAAAGAAAACGAAGAAGCAAAAAAAAAAAAAAAAAAAAAAATAGAAATTCTACCTTTTAAATTGTGGTTTTGCGCAACCCAAAAATAGAAATTAAAAAAATATAATATTTTATTTTTATAAAAGATTTCCTTTTTATAAAAAAAAGTAATTACCGTTCAAAATAAGGTTCCTGCAATTTTTATATTTTGTGACCACAATCAGTCAACTTTTTAGCTATTGAATCAGTTATTGCAATGGTTTGATTAGCCCAATTCATATAATAGTTTTTACATGGTGAGTGCGCATCACTGTGTGCGTAACATGCTTTACGGCATTGCTCACTGGTAGTTAAGCCAGCATAACAATAATTGCCAATAGACTGGTGACATTGACATAACTCTTTCACCCCAAAGAAATCGAGATCACACCGGTCTTCCGTATAACATGTACCATCAACCGACAGACGATGATCACAAAGGCACATTTTATTCGTGCCGTGTTCAAAAACGTTCACATGACCACAAAGAAAACCATAAGGGCATACGGCGCCATCAAAATCACAGTCTGATCCTCCTTGGACCGAGCACCGCCCGCGAATACATTGCGACGTACCCTCGCAAGGAATACCGCTGGAACAATCTTCTCCAGTAAAGGCATTTTGCACGCAGATGGGAGTAGCAGCACCGAATGATGTTCGTTGATGGCAATATAAGCCATCACAGCACCCTTTCTGACGACACTGTTGCCCATGACCAGCACATGTGGGCGGATCTACGCATTTTTCTTCAATACATACTTTGCCAGGCCGACATGTGATACGGCCAGGGTCGAATTTGGGACCCAAGGGAAGAATTGTGCATTTGGGCGGTTGTCGACACCTACACTTATTATTTTCACAAGTTTTCACTTCGCTATTATAACATTCAGGACACGTATTTGCATCGGTACATGTGTTTCGAAGTTTGTCATCGATCATGGCATTCACAGCGGCAGCATTCATACATGAGCAGTACTTACCATTACACATAGTGATATTCCAATTGGGATTATTGCAGTTCTTTATATGAGCATTACATGCTTCATCAATCGGCCGGGTTTTACAAGGAATTGGTTGTTGATCTTTACCGCAAATAGGAGCGAAGTTACGTACATTATCTAATTGATTCTTTTGAGTTGTATTTAATATACAATAGAAATCCATTTGTGCGAAACACGGAATGAAAAAAAGGACTATCCAAATTAATGCCAGTGTATACATGTTTGTAGTATTTAAAAAAAAAGAAACAAAAAAACAGCTCAAAAAAGTACTTTTTTTTTTTTTTAAAAAAAAAGAGAGATAACAGGTAGACTTTCTCGTGATTTGAATTTATAAGAAGAAGTTAAGCTAGCAGCGGTTGGATACATGGATGCATAAACGATGATAACCATGATGTAGTGTCTCTCAGGAGAACAAAAAAAAAAAGGAGGACTTTTCTGTATCGTCTCCGCAAAGGCGTCAATGCCTATCTCCTCTTCAGCACAGTGATGATGCCTAGGGAGCACTGCCCCTCTTGAACCAGGATGATCAACATTGTATGCATTTCTTTCTTTCTCCAGTCACAAACTGAACAAGTTAAGGACTATTTTATTTTTTATAGAGAAGTAAGTTCATCAAGAGATTGAATTACAAAGATTGCAACTCATACATTTCACCATCGTTGGTTGGACCTCGTTTGTTGATTGGATACAAAGAAAAGAGGATGCTTATACAAGTTTTTTCCCTTGTGATCGTGTTTACTTTTTCTTCTTCTGCGCTGTGATTAGAGACCTCGTTGCATGGGAGGTCGAACGTATCTGCGGTGATCCTTGTTTTATCTTTCGGAAATGGATGGCGCTGATGATCAGTAGTTGATGATGGATGGCTGGAAAAAACAGGGGCTGTAAACTTTTGTAGATTTTACAGTTGGTTGATGCACGCCCCACGAATTCACAACTATCATCAGCACTCTTTTCTTTTTTTCTATTTACTACCTTCAAAGTGATAGTGACTCTCATATATCATGAAATCATCATTTAGGTTAAGGAGCATTTTATCAATAATGTCAGTTATAGATCCCCCCTTTTTTTTCTAAAAAGAATAAAGCTAACAAAGAAATGAGCTACGCTGCTGTCTACCTCTTTTTACTTTTCAATATCCTTAAATGGAATGAATAGTTTTATTTGTCATAATATAATGTCGGTAAGTTATGTGCTTTCTTTATTATTCAAAAATGAACAAGCCTATAAAAACAAGTGATGATCAAAAAAAAAAAAAAAGAAAACTGATTTTCCAATGCCAACAAACGGGAAAGGGCCCAATCGCTTTTGGCACAGTAGCAGCATCGCCTATTCTACCTACAGCAATCATCATCAGAAAAATGTGAGTCTATTTACATACCATGATTGTCACCCTATGAAATTACCATAAAAAAAAATCATCCTCCATGCCACGTTGCTTGTCCAATATGGTAGATCACGGTCCTATCCATTCCTTTGTTCCAAACTTGATGCCCCTAGAGAAAACTGCATGGTAAATCAAGCGCCATTCTATTATGTGTTAGTGATCGGTCTAGAAGCCCTATTTTTTTTTTTTGAAAATGGAAAAACAAGTAAGAATCGATAATGCAATAAGTAATGATGATGTATTCTTGACTTTTCTGAAAATGCCATTGATCGTATCTGAAGTTATCGCCTTGATGATGATTGCCAAACGATATTTCGAAGGGAGGATAGCTGAGTACTTGTCAGAATAGTCCATTACAGGTACCAAAAAAAAAAAAAGAGATTAGACAACAGCCCCACCAATCGGTATAAATCACTTACAACAGCAATAAAGATGTCCATAAATAATTTTCCTTTTTTGATTGCCTCATATCCTGCTAAGCGTATTGCCGTTAGTTGACCTATTGTTATTCTTTTTCCATTTGATGAAGGTGACATGACATCGATGATTTCAAAACTATCACCTATCTTAACAATATAAAAAAAGGGGTTTAGTTTAATTACTACCTCGTTTTAATCCAGCCCAAATATACTAATCGCAATGCAAGATACTTTCTTCCAAAAGGATAATAGCCGATTCCACTTCTTGATATTGTCTGTGATAATTATATTTCTCGAGAATCTAACACTACAATATGTCCCTGATAGACAAAGTAACAAAATATAAATAAGTCTTCCCCTTTGTAATAATCTTTCTTTTTCTTTTTTTTTTGTGAACTGTTACCTTGCTCTATAATAACATCAAGAGATGTGAGAATACGCCTTGTATTACTATTTGATATATCGACTAATATATGTGAATCATTGCTTACCATGAGAAAATGAAGGCAGTACAATGAACTGAAAGACCTGAAAGAGATTCCACCGCCATGTGTATAGATGAATATGAGGGAATCAAAGAAGGAGTCAGACTTCCACAAGAACAGAACTCTATGATTGACATCAAAAAGCGTAATGAGTACGGGTGTATTATTCAACAACAGAATAATATAGTTTCTCTTTCTCTCTCTCTCTCTCTCTCTCTCTTTTTTTTTTTTTTTTTTTTTTTTTTGCAACCCCATGATCACCTTTTTTTTTCATTTGTCCTTCCTTGTATTGCCAGACGTAGCGATGAAGGTCTGATGTAATGAGGGTTGTATATCACTAGTCAAAGTAATATAGCAGTCGATATTGTAAGCGCCGTTTTAACAATGTGAAAAAAAAAGTTCGAAAGAAGAGAAAGAAAAAGAAGAAGAAAAAAAAAAAGGAAATTCTACTTTTTAAATTGTGGTTTTGCGCAACCCAAAAATAGAAATTAAAAAAATATAACATTTTATTTTCATAATAAATTGATAGCAATTTTTATAAAAAAAATTATTGTAATTACCGTTCAAGGTAAGATTCGTGCAATTTTTATATTTCGTGACCACATTCAGTCAACTCTTTGGCCATTGCGCTCGTTATTTCGACGGCTTGATTAGCCCAATTCATATAATAGTTTTTACATGGTTTGTGTGAGTAACATGCTTCACGGCACTGTTCACTGGTAGCTGATCCAGCATAACATTTGTTGCCAATAGATTCGTGGCATTGGCATAATTCTTTCACCCCAAAGAAATCGAGATCACATCGTTTTTTGTCAACACATGTACCTAGCAAAGAGTGATCACACATGTATATTTTATGCGTGCCTGCTTCAGAAGATCTCGCATATTGACAACTCGATCCATGAGGGCATACGGCGCCATCAAAATCACAATTGGCTTTTCGTTGGAGCGAGCATCGTCCGTGAATGCATTGCGACGTACCCTCACAAGGAATACCGCTGGAACAATCTTCTCCACTGAAAGCATTATACACACAGGTGGGATGATCGCTGTATAGTCGTTGATGGCAATGGCCGCCACAGCACGCCTTCTGATCACACCGTTCCCCGCGTTCGGCACATGTGGGTGGATCTACACACCTTTCATTCCTACATATTTTGCCAGGTGGACATGTGATACGACCATAATCGTATTTGGGACCGAAAGAAAGAGCTGTGCATCTGGGTGGATTTTGACAACTACAGCGGTTATTTTCACAAGTTTTCACTTCGTTATTAGGGCATTCAGGGCACGTATTTGCATCGGTACATGGAATTTTACGTGTGGCAGCGAGAGCAGACGCAATAGTAGTAGCTTTCGTACAGACACAACCGTCATCGGTACACATAGTGGCATTCCATTGAGGATTATTGCAATACTTTATATGAGCATTACATGTTTCATCAATCGGTTGGGTTTTACAAGTAATTCCTTTATGATTATCATCGCAAAGAGGAGAATAGTAACGAAATTGGGCCTTTACAGAATTCTTTTGAGCTGTGCTTGCTGCACAGTACCAATCGTATAGTGCGAAACATTGAGTGAAAAAACAAAATACGCAAATGAATACCAGAACATACATCGTTTATTTAAAGAGAAAAAAATGAGGTTCTTTTTTTTTTAAAAAAAAAAATAAAATAAAAAAGAAATAGAGCGAACGGATGCACTTCCTCGTGATTTTAATTTATTGGAAGTCATCAAGCTAGCAGTAATTGGATGCAGGGATGTATGGATGATGATGATAAACACTTTTAGCTATGATCTGGTGTTTCTCAGGAGAAGGAAGAAAAGGAGGCTTTTTTTGCGTCGTTTCAACAAAGGATCACCTCCCCTTCACTCACAGTGATGATCCCCAAGGAGTACCACTTGATCCATAGATGATAAGCTTTGTATGCATATCTTTCTCCACTCACAAACTGAATAAAGTCAGGACTACGTTTGTTTTTTCTTTGCCTCAATTTTTTTTTCTTTCATTTTTCCAGAAAGAAGAATTTTAGAGTATTCATTTACGGAGTTGAAAATATCACGTCAATGAGGATGATAGGGATGGTAATAGTGAGGTTGATTTTTTAATTTGTTGTATACATTGGGAGATAACATATAAATAATTATTAAGACAGGTGAAAGAGAGTGATTTTACGTATTTTCTCTTCCAATTTGGTGCAATGATGATGAGTTTTGAGCGGCTTATAAAGTATAAAAAAATACATACTCTAATCCATTTACATGTGATGCCACAGCATAAAAAACATTTATGGATCAAATTTCTCGCTATGGAGCAAGTTGACAGATGAAAAGTCATTATCTATTCTTAGATTAATTTTTTTTCAGAGGGATCCAATGGTAGTAGTTTTATTGGATGATGATCATTATTGAATGAAAAACCTTGGTTTTTAACAGTGTAGCGAAGAGAGTTTGAGGTTTGGAGTACTGCAAAAAAAAAAAAAAATTGGATCGAAGCTCATATGCATTTTGTAGCCTATTATGGGTGTGGATATGATATTTCAAATAATATAAGACACAATAAGATTCCTTTGCAGTTTTATCTGAGAAAACAAAAATTAGAAAGATCTACACTTGAGTGGACATGGGCTTTCTGGATATTAGACTCTTTGCTGTGGACTCTTTGGGCTTCAGCATGGTGGGTGGCATTGGGACAAAAAAAAAGAAAAAAAAAAACAAAAAAAAAATCATGTCAAATTGTTGTCAGTGGACGGACCTACAAAAAACAATTCACCTTTTTGCTTTTTTATTTAATTTTTTTTTTTCTTTTCTCCATCAGCTTTTTTTTTTCACATTGGGTGTCCTCTTTGATTTTACGATCTTGTCATGGTAGATTTTATTGGATTTGGGACGTTTTGAAAAAGGGATTTACAAAATACATGGGAAAACCCTTCCATTTTGGATGTAGGATTTAGTACAGGTAATGACAAAAATATTTTATACCCTTTTTGATATGAATTACTTGACCTGGTTTATTTGATTGGTAATATGAACGAAGACCTGACTGGAACTTCTTTTGATTAGGAATGAGAACTTGTTAGGATCTTCATGGTGGGCGAACTATAGTAGATACAGTAGAATGGATAGTAGCTGATACTTTTTATTGGTTAGTGTATGGATTACTTTTTTTTTTTTGAAATAAAAATTATATTGCTTTTTATGATAAACAGCAATACACCATGGCTTTTTTATGATAATCATTATTATTGGATGAGGGGGTGATTGAATTAGTTTTTTATTTTTAATTTTCTTATAAATTGGGAGGTAAAGTATAAGCCGTTATTAATACAATGATATCAAAGAAAAAAAAAACCAGCGACTGAATGAATCAATAAAAGATGATGTGCTGGTTCTTTACTCAATTGAAGACATTCTGCCGACCAATAATGTCGTATATCTGATAAGTAGTGTCTGATGATTATATGATGGATAACGAGTAATGACTGATACTAGACAGTACTTGATTCCTGATGGTTGAACATATTAGTGGAGAACAATAGTAGTTTAAATAACAATGAATGATGACAGATAACAACCGTTAAACATATGAGAGATGACGATAATATCAATGAATATGATTTTATCCAATTGTATACTGTATAAAAGGAGACCACCAATATCATCAAAACTGCCATCCACCAAAAATACCTTTTATACAAAAATGCCTCGCTGATGGCAACCAGTTGCATGATTTCATATTTGAAGTTTTGTTAGGATGAAATCAGCCTTTGAAGCTGACTGTGAATCAGTTTTTTTTTTTATTATCTTGCTATCTGTCAAAATCTTGACATTTGTCCAATTCACACATTTTGACCATTTCTCACACTTTTGACCAAGACCTTCTTTTCTTTTTTATATTTTTGGTCTCATCTGAATCACTTCTCTTACACAGTTTCATCCGTTACTACGTTTTTTATCATATTCATCAGTTTCATCCGTTTTATTTTCTCATTGTTTCTCATCATGATTATCATCATCTAAAAATAATCTTTAGTTTTTGTATATAAATACATCCAGTAGTCTATACATTTTCCCTCTTTGTCAAAGTTTTATTATAACAAATTCAATTGTATAATCATCCTGGCCACTCTTAAGAAATCAATCATCTTAAGTTTTATATGTATTATTTTATTATCAAGTTACATTCAAGCTTTTATTATTTTATTTGATCATCCTCAAGTGTGATCAAATAATCAAGACATCTATTTCCATATTTGGGACATATATTTAAATTTACCTTATACTGTTTCGTTCTTTTTTTTTTTTATAAAAAGAACTGGTGCTCACTACTCACCAAATATTTTTGATATTATTATTTTAATGATATCATCCATCAAATTTTATATTTTCAATCATCCGTTAAGTACAAAAAAAGCTTAACAGTTTCTTTCAGCTGAAATTTAAGTAGATTGATTGGGTTTTACAAAATAATAATAATAATAGTAATAATCAAAAATCAATAAAGATAATAATGTTTTATTTTCATAATACTCTGATAGCACCTATTATAAAAATATTTCTTTTAAATAAAAAACGTATGGTAATTATTGCTCAAAATAATATCAATGTACGGGCCCGCGCAATTTTTATATTTTGTGACCACAATCAGTCAACTCTTTGGCCATTGTGCTCGTTATTTCAATGGTTTGATTAGCCCAATTCATGTAATAGTTTTTACACGGTGAGTCGGTTTCATAAGTTTTACATTTTTGGAGACCTGCCAAATTCACAGTATAAGTCGTTTTACACGCCAGTTTCTGTGCGTAACATACTTCTTTGCATTTTTCACCGGTAGCTGAACCAGCATAACAATGACTGCCAATGCCCGGATGGCATTGACATAGCTCTTTCACCCCAAAGAAATCGAGATCACACCGTTTTTCCTCAATACATATTTTTTCATCCAACGTAACGTGATCACATTGACATACTTTATTCGTGCCGAGTTGAAATGCGTTCGTATGCTTACAACTAGATCCATAAGGGCATACGCCACCATCATCACAACTGGATCCTATCTTGAGTGAACATTGTCCACCAATGCATTGCGACGTACCATCACAAGGAATACCACCGGAACAATCTTCTCCAATAAAGGCTTTTTCCATACAGGCGGGATGATCACTCAATTTTCGTTGATGGCAAAATAATCCATTACAGCACCCTTTCTTATCACACCTCTGCCCATGACTGGCACATGAGGGTGGATCTACACATATTTCGTTAATACATACTTTGCCAGGCGGACATGTGATACGCCCAAAGTCGAATTTGGGACCGAAAGAAAGACTTGTGCATGTGGGCGGTAATCGACATTGACATTTGTTATTTTCACACGTCTTCACATTGTAACCACCACATTCAGGACATTGGTTTGCATTGGTACAGTTGTTTCGTCGTATGGTATCGATAACAGCATTGGCAGTGGTGGCTTTCGTACAAAAACAATATTTGCCACTACATATAGTGGTATTCCAATTGGGATTATTGCAATTCTTTATATGAGTGTTACATGTTTCATCAATCGGTAGGGTTTTACAAGTAATTGGTCGATGATTGTCATCACAAATAGGAGAGCTGTAGGAACGATATATTTGATCTAAAAAAGCGTTGTGAGTTGTATTTGATGCACAATACGAATTGATATAGGAATCGAATTGTGCAAAACACTGAGTGAAGAAAACTACTGCCCAAATGAATACCAGTACGTACATCATTTATAAAGTTTATAATAAAAAGAGAAAGCCCAAAAAAAAAGAAACTCATTTTTTCTTTCCCTTTTTTGACTTTTTATAAAAAAAATGGAATGGATGCATTTTCTCCTGATTTGAGTTTGTTGCAAGATGTCAAGCTAGCAATAGTTGGATACAGGGATGCATTGATCATGATGATGAACGCTTTTAACTATGATCTGTCGTTTCTCAAGAGAAGAAGGAAAAGGGAGCAGTTTTCTGCATCGTTTCAACAAAGGCGTAGATTCTTATCTCCTATTCGCGTACAATGATGATCCCTAGGGAGATTTGCCCCTCTTGATCCAGGATAACATTTGCATGCATGTCTTTCTCCACTCACAAACTGAACAAAGTCGGGGCTACGTTTGCTTTTTCTTTGTCTCAATTTTTCTTTCTTTCATTTTTCCAGAAAGAAAAACTTTAGGATTCCATTTACAGAGGTTGAAAAATATCACGCCAATGAGGATGATAGAGACGGTAACAGTGAGACGTATTTTTTTAATTTGCTGTATACATTGGGAGATAACGTATAAATTATTATTAAGACAGCTAAAAGAGGGTGATTTTATGTATTTTCACTTCAAATTTGGTGCAATGATGATGAGTTTTGAGCGAGTTATAAAAGTATAAAAAATACATACTCTAATCCATTTGCATGTGATGCCACTGCATAAAAAAACATTTATGGATCAAATTTCTCGCTATGGAGCAAGCTGACGGATGAAAAGCCATTATCTATTGTTAGATTACTTTCTTCGGAGGAATCCAATGGTACTAGTTTTAATGGATCGTCATTATTGGATGAAGGACCTAGTTTCTAACAGTGCAGCAGGTGGCGAATGAGAGTTTGAGATTTGGTAACTGCAAAAAAAAAAAAAAAAATTGGGTCGAAGCTCATAGATTTTGTAGCCTACTATGGGTGTAGATAGGTATTCCAAATAAAATAAGACACAATGAGGTTCCTTTGTAGTTTTATTTGAGAAATCAAAAATTAGAAACGTCTACACTTGAGTGGACATGGACTTTCTGGATATTCGACTCTTTGCTTTGGACTTTTTGGGCTTCGGCAAGGTGGGTGGGATTGGGACAAAAAGAGCGAAAATAAATTTCTTTTTTCTTTTCTCCATCAACTTTTTTTTCCACATTGGGTGTCCTTTTTGATTTTGCGATCTTGTCACGGTAAGTTTTATTAGATTTGAAGCGTTTTGAAAAAGGGATTTACAAAATATATGGGGAAGCCCTTTCATTTTGGATGTAGGATTTAGTACATAATGACAAAAATATTTTATAGTCTTGTTATATGAATTGCTTGGTCTGGATTCATTTTATTGGTAATATGAACGAAAACCTAACTGGATGGCAAACTTCTTTTGGTCAAGAATGAGAAATTGTTAGGGTCTTGATGTTGGACGAATCCTTCTAATTGGTACTATAATAGATACAATAATGGGTAGCAGTGATAGTTTTTATTAGTAGTGTGTGGATTACCTCTTTTTTGAAATAAATATTGTATTGTTTTTTTATGATACACAGAAATACACCATGGCTTTTTTATGATAATCATTATTATTGAATGAGGAGATGACTGAATTAACTTTTCATTCTTAATTTTCTTATAAATTGGGAGGTAAAGTATAGGCTGTTATTAATTGAACTAGAATAATTTAATATATATCCATTCCAAATTTGATGTGATGATGTTGATTTTGGACAGTGTTGCCTATCGACTTTATACGGGAGTACGCTTACAAAAGCGTAAAAGGATTCTGTACATATCAACCTCATCAAAGTCAATGATCCGAGTTCTTAATGAATATGCCAAAAGGGGAACCAGTAAAATTACCAAAAGGAAAAAAAAAGCAGCGGCTAGACGAGTCAATAAATGGAAAAGATAATGTGCTAGTTCTTTTTGCTATTGAAGATGTCATGCCGATCAATAATATCATATACCTGATAAGTAGTCTTTGGTGATTGTGTGATGGATAACGAGTAATGACTGATACTAGACGATCCCGATGGATGAACACACTAGTGGATAATGATGTAAATAAATAATAATGAATAATGATGGATAGCAACTATTAAATATATGAGAGATGATGACAACAAAAATGAAGAACAGAAATGATGATGATAACATCAATGAATATGATTTCATCCAATTGTATACTGTATAAAAAGAGACCCCCCGTAGCATTAGAATTGTCATCCATCACAAACATCTTTTATACAAAAGCACCTCTCTCATGGTAACCACTTGGATGACTTCATATTTGAGGTCTCTTCCGCCTGAAATTTGAGCGGATTGATTGGGTTTTACAAAATAATAATAACAATAATAATCAAAAATCAATACAGATAATAGTGTTTTATTTTCATAATAATGTGATACCACCTATCGTAAAAATATTTCTTTTAAATAAAAAACGTACGGTAATTGTCGCGCAATTTTTATATTTTGTGACCACAATCAGTCAATTCTTTAGCCATTACAGCCGTTATTTCAAAGGTCTGATTAGCCCAATTCATATAATAGTTTTTACATGGTGAGTGCGCATCACTGTGCGCGTAACATGCTGTACGACATTGCTCACTAGTAGCTGAATTAGCATAACAATAATTGCCAATAGACTGATGACATTGACATAATTCTTTCACCCCAAAGAAATCGAGATCACACCGTTTTTTTGTAATACATGTACCATCGTTTAGAAGCAGATCACAAAAGCATATTTTATTCGTATTGACAACTCGGCAACTCGATCCATGGGGACATATGGCGCCATCAAAATCACAGTTGGATCCTCTTTTGAGTGAGCACCGTCCACCAATGCATTGCGACGTACCTTCACAAGGAATACCGCTAGAACAGTCTTCTCCAATAAAGGCATTTTGCACGCAGATGGGAGGAGTAGTAGCACCGAATGATGTTCGTCGATGGCAATGTAACTCATCACAGCACCCTTTCGTATCGCACTGCTGCCCATGATCGGCACATGAAGGTGGATCTACGCATTTTTCTTCAATACATACTTTGCCAGGCGGACATGTGATACGACCAAAGTCGAATTTAACACCGAAAGAAAGAGTTGTGCATCTATGTGGGAGTCGACAACGACAACTTTTATTTTCACACGTTTTCACATCGTCATTATCACACTTCGGACAGTCGCTTGCATTGTTACAAGCGTTTCGCGGCTTGGAGGCAGCGGCTCTACCAGCGTTTACACTATTAAGAACGGTGGCATCCCCGCAGACACATATATTATTGATACATACAGTGGTATTCCAATGGGGATTATCGCAATGCTTTATATGAGAGTTACATGTTTCCTGAGTTTCGAGTTTACAAGAAATTGCTCGATGATTATCATCGCAAATAGGGCGCACGAAATTTACAAATGAATTTTTAGAACTGCTTTGATTTATTTTTGATGCACAATACGGATTGTATTGTGCGAAACACTGAGTGAATAAAAAAGCCACCCAAATTGATACCAGAAGATACATCATTCCCAGGATTAAAAAAAAAAAAAAAAAAAAAAAAAAAAAAGAGCTCAGAAAAAAGAATTCTTTTTTTTTGAAAAAAAAAAAAAAAGACAGAACGGATGCATTTCCTCATGATTTACATTTATTGGAAGAAGCCAATCTAGGGATAGTTAGATTCAGGGATTCTAATGATATAGATTTTTAACTGTGATCTGATGTTTTTCAGGAGAAGAAGAAAAAAGGAGGAGTTTTCTGCATCGTTTCAACAAAGGCTTAAACATCCATCTCCTCTTCATGTACAGTGATGATGCTAGGGAGTTTTGTCCCTCTTGATCTAGGATAACATTGCATGCATACCTTTCTCCACTCATAAACTAAACGAAATCATGGTTAATTGCTTTGTTCAATCGCTCGTCATCGTTATTTCTTTCATAAAGAATGATTACTAAGAGCTTGAATTTCGACTACCGTTGAGTAAAATTGCTACTCATCTATTTCGCCATGTTGATTGGATATATAGAAAAGAGAATGCTTATACTGTTTTTTTTTCCTTGTGAATCACATTTACACTTTATTCAATAATAAATGACGGAATTCAAAGAATAAGATGTCGCAAAAATAGGAAATAAAATATCGTAAGGATAGAAAATAAATGACGGGGAAGAAAAGAGAGAGTTGACGCATAATCAAATAGAGAATATAAGAAAAATAGATATCATGAAAAAAAGAGCAATTAAAAAAAAAAAAAAAAGAAATCCACCAATTGAGTTCACCAAGTTAACATATAAAAAAAGAAGAAAGAAAAAAATGAGTAATATTTATCCAGATGATATATTTTTATTCACTTACAATTTAAGCGCGAACGCCTAAACATGTATCGAGATCACTGCAGCAATTTCTCACTGCAGTGAAAGTAGGATGGCGATAACCATCCCGGAAAGCGGTGTGTGTGTTTATAACCTTTTTAAAAAAATGGGCGACCCCAACCACGCCTAGGCAAATAACGACCGAGGTCAACCCAGAGAGGAAAGAAGCGGAAGAGAAGAGAGGCCAGAAAGGAGGACAGACGGAAAAGATGACAGGCCTAAAAGAGAAGGCGACCCCAACCACGCCTGAGCAAATAACGACCGAGGTCAAACCAAGAAACAGGCCACAAGGGAGGACAGGCGGAAAAGAAGATTGGCCAAAGGGAAAGGACACGGAAAGAGATGACAAAGGAAGGGACAGGCAAGCCCAAAAGAAGACAGGCAAGCCCAAAGAAAAAAAAAAAGAAAAAAAGAATTTAATGAAGTAAAAAAGGACGTTCTTTTATAATAAAACAAACTCCCTGTAAAAGAAAAAAAGACAAATCACCCCTGCAATTATGCGCTTTTTTAGCTATGAAATCAAAAGGACCCGAATAAATGGTTTCAAAAAGAAAAAAGGAACTATTATGCAAATTTTGATGTCATCTATGGGAAAAAAGATCAATCGATTGCATGCTTCAGTAATTAAAAAAAAAGGAACTATTATGCAAATTTGCTTTTATCATCTATGGGAAAAGAGATCGATCGATTGTATGTTTCAGTAATAAAAAAAAAGAACTATTATGCAAATTTGATTTTGTCATCTATGGGAAAAAAATACATCGATGCATGTCTCAGTGATGATTTCAAAAGATAAGAACCCGAGTAAATGATTTAAAAAAAAAAAACTATGTTTCAGCGCTTTTGTATTATGTAAAGAATCGATCATCATCTATTCATGCCGTCATCCATTCATGCCATCATCCTATTATCCTATCACGTACCAACGTCTAGTCGTACCTATAAAAGTATATGTGAAATAAAAAGAATGTATCCAAAATACAATAATACATCAAAAGAAGATTAGAATCAATTACATTAACATGTAACAAAGTAGTTGGAATAAAAATAAAAACTTTATTGAATAAAAGTATAATAATAAAGACTACCAATTGATATACTAAAAGTCAATACAAAGAAAAGAAAAGAAAGGAAAAGAAAAGAAAGGAAAAGTAAATCAAAAAAAAATATGAAAGAAAAACGGACTTTGAAAACCACTACTTTCAGGGCAATCATCATGATGAATCAACACTCTAATGATGATCCATTATATCAATAAAGAACTTTGTTTCATTTTTTAATATACTTTTCAAATAAAGTCGCAGTATTTTTTTTTTTTTTGTTTTTCCACCATCATCACCAACATCGACCCATCATTCTATTATCAATCACCTCTACCGACATCGCTAAAGCGATATCTAAAAGAGTGGTAATGCGACATCCATTTTGGGAAAGTTCGATATTTTGTTTAATAACATCACGAAAAGTATTTTCTCGTGACCCGACAAAAAACTTTGAAATCACATTTATATTTCTTTCTGCGGTATGATGAGAGGCCTATTTGCATTGGTACCGAACGTATTTACCGTCACCCTTCTTTAAACTATGGAATGGAAAGTGCTAATGATCGATAGTTGGTGATTGGAAAAAAAAGTATGACTTTTTACAGATTTTACAGGCGCTCGACACATATTCCGCAAATTCATATCTACAATCGACCTCCTTTTCTTTTTCTTTTTTTTTTTTTTTTTTTGAATAGAATGCATAATTCAGTAAGTAAAGATGAAGTGTTCTACGCATATCATGGATCATGTACTACATATCTCCCTCCAAAAAAAAAAAGAAATGTTTGAAGCGATTGCTCATTCTTTGAATATATTGATGTTGGCAAATAATCCCTTCAAAAAAAAAAGAAAAAGCGGAATACTTGGCACGATCGTTCACCTTAGGTGCATGAATACTTCCCCAGAAAAAAAAATGATGAGATGAGAACAACAATCACATTCATCAGCATGATTTACTTGCAACAGCAATAAAGATGAAATTGTCCATAAATAATTTATCATTTCTGGTTGCTAAGAGTATTGTTGTTGTTAGCTTGATCTGTTGATGCTTTTCAGTCGGATCAAGTCTGTTGTCAGAATATGTTGATGGTGTCAAATATCGTCAAAACAAAATAGAACAACAGTGATGGATGATGTTTCCTCTCCGCTTTCTCCATGAGGATCATCAACGAATAATAGGAGTTGGCAGGTCAATCAAAATGTAGGACATCAAGCATTGAATGGTCGATATATCTGAATCCACTTTTTTTCTTTTACGTGGAATGGAAAACCATGTTTTCTAATAAAGGAGTGATCATGAGGTAGAATGGCTTTACGATGAAGAAAAAAAAAAAATAGAAAAGGCTCTTTCTTTTTTTTTTTGGGAGAGCATTATTTTCTGCGGCAACTTATGACTCAAAAGTGTGATATCAAATCCCGAATTGGTACGGTGGGATGGAAATATCAAAAATTGCGTAGTATATGGCCACTGTCGCCTTCAAGCACTGAAAACGTGTGATGTTTACATCTAAGCCCGATGGTGAATTGAAATATGAATAGTCTGCTACTGATACAATGTCTTTCTTTTTTTTATGTATCTTTCTTCTGTCCATCCAGCGATTATTTTCTGCGGTGTTAACTTCGATTTTTTGTTTCATTTATCCAAATTGTTTTATCTGTTCGTGTCAAGACTCTCATTGGGTATTATTTCCATGAAAGGAAGATTTACTTTTGACAAAGAGATCGTTTCATACTTTTATCCATAAAAAGCTACTTATAGATACAGTGTTTTCAAAGTTTTCTGTCGGGTCACAAGAAAATGCTTTTCGTGATGTTATAAAATAAAAAATCGTACTTTCCCAAAATGAATGTCGCATTACCACTTTTTCAGATATCGCTTTAGAGATGTCGGTAGAGTATGTCACTGATTGATGATTGATGATTGATGACTGATTGTTAGCTGATTCTTTTCAACAGGCCATATTTGGAAAAAAAAAGAACTATATTTTTTATATTGTATTATCATAATATTCACAGTTAAGACAGGGGTATAACAATGTAATATTCATATCTTGTGATGTTGATGTAAATTTGCATAATAGTTCCTTTCTTTTTTTTAAAAAAAAACATTTACTCGGGTCTTCTTTGTTTATTTTCATTAACTGAGACATTCCATCGATCGATGACGAATGTAAATTTGCATAATAGTTCTTTTTTTTTTCTTCTGAGGTATTTTTGCCGGGTTTATTTTATTCTTTGATCAAGTGAGAGATATAAAAGTGTGCTATTTTATTTTTCTTTTTTTTTCTGTTTCTTTTTTCCCTTTTTTTTTCTTTTAATTTCTTTATCTATTTTGATATCAATTTTTAAACCAATTTACAAGCATACAAGACCTTTATATCCATCCATACCAAATACAAGTTTTTTTTTCTGGACAAAAACCTTACAAGAATCAAGACGGGCCTTTAGGTCCATTTGCTTTTTTTTATATATATACTTATTGGACTTCCTTCTTTTCTGTGCTTGCATTAATAGTAAGTTTCTTTTAATGATACTGATTGATGATGATACAGTATATTAATCATTCTCTTTTTATTTTTCTTTTTGAAATCTCTCTTGGTGTTCAAAGTGAATATCAAACCTGTAAACAGCAACATATAAAAATATGTTATCGCCTCTTCGGAGGACGCATTTAATGCTTCTCTACAGGTAAGTTAAAATAAATAAATATAAAAAAATGGATATGTTGACTAAATAATATTTTATTTTCTGTTATTCAAAATACTCAATGGAACTACTACCACTCCTTTTCTTCTTGTTCTTTTTCTTCTTATACTCTCTATTTGATTATGCGACAACTCTCTCTTTTCTACCCCGTCATTTATTTTCTATCCTTATGATATTTTATTTCCTATTTTTGCGACATCTTATTCTTTGAATTCCGTCATTTTTTATTGAATAAAGTGTAGACACCTTAATCCATTTCGGTCAAATTTAACCGACGCTTGAGTTTCATTGTTTGACAAAAAAAAAAAATTGGAATGCCTAGCTTTGGTTACCTTGAATTTTTTTTTTTTTTTTTTTTAGTATAGTTGATCCGAAGGTCCCCACTTGATTCAAATTTAATTTATAAAAAGAGAATCATTTGCATTCATCCCACCTATTTCTCAACCTCTCTTTTTTTCTCTCTCTCCTTTTTTTTTTTTTTTTTTGATACATACCTTCTCTTCACGCAGGATGCCCACACAATCAACATCAGAACATCCTGTGCTCATTATGGGCGCTGGTCTTTCGGGATTGACACTAGCACAGACTCTGAAAAGACAAGGTATTCCTTACAAGGTCTTTGATCGGGACATCAGCCGAGATGGTCGCGCCAATCAAGGATGGTCCATCATGCTTCGTATCTGTCTACCTTACTTATTGGAAGCATTTGATGCTGATTTCCTCAAAACACTTGCAGCCGAAGCATCTGTCAATCCCTTGGACCCTGAAAGTGCGCAATTTGCCTATGTGGATGGCATCACCAATAAAAGATTGGTGTTTTATGATCCAAAGAATTATCGTTCGATCTCGTCATCTGATGCATTGGAGTTCAATATGTATCGCGTCAACCGCAAACGATTTCGACAGTGGCTGATGAAAGGCATCGATGTGACATGGAACAAACGCATGACAAGTTACAACATCACGCATGATGGCGTAATTGTCACTTTTGCTGATGGATCTATTGAAAAAGGCTCATTTTTGGTCGGTGCTGATGGTGTTCAGTCCGCTGTGTGTCAACATATGCTACTCAACTACGATCATCAAAGGGGAAATAGTGATGATACTTTCAACAAGGTGACGAAAATCAACCCAACACGTCTGCTAGCCACCACACGCTGGATCACGGAAGAAGAACGTGATACTATTCAGTATTTATCGGAAAGTCATTTTGCTGCATTTGGTCAATTAGGCAGGGACACGGATCATCCAGAAGGCCTACGAGCATTTGTATCTCTTAACGATATCCGACATCAAACTGAAAAAAAATATGAACTTCTTCTTGTGCTCTCCCGCTATGATGATCATCATGTCATACCTCGTTTAAAGGATCCAAAGGAACGATTGGAACAATTCAAGGCCTGGGCAAAAGATGGTTTGGGTGGTGCATTGCAAAAGATCTTTCTCGATACGCCCGATGACTCTGAAGTTGTGGACGTCGCCATCCGTGAACGGGCTCCTCAACCTGATTCTCTTGCTCAGCATCAAGGCCGTGTGACCTTGATTGGTGATGCTGCGCATACAATGACCATGTTTAAAGGCGAAGGTAAGAAAATAAATACAGGTAGACGAAAACAATCCACTAAAGTTTTTTTTTTTTTTTTGAATAGGTGGCAATCAGGCCATCATAGATGCTGTTAAACTAGGTCAACTTTTAGGAAAGGTACGTGATGGAGATATTTCTCTTGAACAAGCCATCGATCAATATCATGAAGAAATGATCCCTCGATGTACCAAAGCAGTGGATGAATCGAACGAAGCATGTTATCTTGCTCACAAAGCTCCTGATGTAGCCATTGCCAACCTCAAGGCTTTGATTGAAAATGCAATACAGGAATATGAACAACGGCAACGTTCTCAATAGCAGTAATAGTAATAGCTTGTGATATTTAGAACTCTTTTTCATGTTTAAAGCTTAATAAAATACAAGGTTTTGCCATATAGACTCCCGTCAATTGATAACGTTATCTTCTTTTTTAGTTCTATTTTTGCATGAAGTGGAACGCTTGAATAAATTTAAAGGTAGTAATTTTTTCCCGGCTGCTTTTTCCTCTTTTTCTTCCACTCTTTTTTTTTTTTTTTAAAAAAAAAAAACCTACCTTTGATGAAACAGCGGCAGCAATATTATACCAACAGCTTTTTTTTTTGGTAGTCCGTTCGTATGGTGTGCCCAGTAATACATTATGCTCATACATCTTTGATTGCAATAAGGAAAAACGTACACTAGGATAGAATACAGAAGGGTAATCAGAAAAAGAGAACGCACAGAAAGACAAGCTTTTATTTGAATTATACCCGCGTTATAATTAGCTCTTCTCTTTGTAGTTAATTGGTAGGGGCTTATTGGTTTTGGGAAAGGTGGGCTCATTCTTGCCGTTATCTCATGGTCTTGGTTTGATAATGGTTACTCATGGTGGTGTTATGAAGTTTATTCATGCTCTTGTTGCCACTAGAAATCCTGTTATACTTTTTTTTTATTCACTTACAGCATCAACGACGATTCCCAACTATATTATTTACTAGAATAATATTAGGCGGTAATGCAAAGGGAATTATACCTCTTGGCGTATCTGTAGTGTTACAAGGGAACAAAACAATTGTCCAAATAGCGTATAGATGGCATCACAGAGGGCTTTTGAAGGTAATGCAAATATATATGGTGTCATGTTTCGATGGATTCGAACGGATGGTATTTTAAACTCGCCTTTTTTTTTTTTTTTTTTTTTTTTTTTTTTGTGAAGAAAGATAGGATTTGGTGAACGGCAACATAGACGAAGATTTTTTTTGAATGGGAAAACACCTTGGTGATCGTATCGACGCAACCGGAGTTGAAGAGGAACAGAAAAAAAAAATACTTACAACAGATTTGGGACAAGGTATAGATGAAACGTGATGATTTACAAGTGAAAAATCTACCGCGCGGCAAGCTGTTGGCGACTCATTGGCAAGAAAGAGTACAAAAAATCATTGTCGTGACATGTGTCGGAAAGGCTAATATGATTTTTACATATGTAAAAGGTACTACTTCATGATCTTCTATAGTTATTGGACAGATTGGAAAGGAAATGACATCAACCTATCGTCTTTTTTAGTACGGGATTTATCAAGTCGGTTATACTTTTGGTTTTTGTTTATTAATTTAGATTTTGTGTTTATAGTTAATAAAGGAACAGAGTTTACATCTATGAAAATGCAATGATGATAATGATGATGATGATGATGGTAATGGTTTATTTACACCTGTTTCTGTGTTCATATATATAAGGACGTGGTTGTGCGTGATATAATATGCAAAATGTGATTCATACCCTACTTTGTCTTGATGGGTGATACGTTGATTGCAATTCATGCTATCTCCTAATTCATTTTGTTTATTCGCATCCACATCTAATAAAAAAAAAGGATTTGTTTATGTCAGTAAACAATAAGTGATGGGAAACGAAAAATCAAAAAATAATAATAATAATAATCGAACATTACTTCCATTTAGAGTGGTGCCCACCAATCAGAGAACCCAAACTATGATATTTAAACTTTTTTCGCATGAGTGTCCAAGAACACTACAAACTCGGATTCTCGGTTGAGATGTGTAACATACTCTTTGTTCGTACCTGTATTGGTGCGACAAACGCACAAACATACATATAAAGGCGATTCAAATGATACTCTTTTTTTTTTTTTTTTTTTTGAGAAGCGATGACCTTTACTGAAGACGAAGGTAGGACGTGCATAGGTTATTAATGGAGGATAAAGGAATCAGTATTATCTCCCTTCATATATGCAGACTCATTATTTTTGCACTGTATTCATCAATAGAAATAAGCGAAACGTTTAAACCAAGTGAAAAAGAATCTTTCAATATTGTCCTGGTGGATATCCAAAAAACAGCTGCACAAGAGCAGGTTTGCTGTGAAGAAATGGAGTTCCAGGGTAGCGCAGTAAGATATATTACCTTATCTTATCGGTGGGGAGAGCTTGATGAGCAGTTTGTACCCGCCACCGATGATTATTTTGCCCATGTCACCTCATTTGCATTGGATGATTTTTATAACCTTTGTAAGCGAATAATGGCTGAACCCGATCTGCAAGATATCAGGTACGTATGGGTGGATGCTATCTGTGTCGATCAAAGCAACAACCAACGTAAAAAGATTGTCATCTACCGGATGAATGATATCTACAAAAACGCGGAGTATATAGTTGCCATACCTGACCTATACAAGGAGTACTTGATCAAGATCAGCGATTTGAATAGATGGATGTCGTACCAGATTCAAAGATATAGATGGCATATTTACCATGTTATTCAGGAAAATGTCCAAGAGGTGCATCGACTTGATGAAGACTGGGCGCGTAAACTGAAAGATCGATCATGCCAGAAAGATGAATCGAATGTAAGCTAAAAAAAAAAAAAAAAAGGTGTACAAGTTGGATGGATGATGATGGTATATTTTTTTATTTTTGCCACATTCATTATATACAGATATTGGACTCGGAAGAAGAAGATGATTATATCTACCACCGTTTATTCGACAAACGCAATCAAAATAAACAAAGCTTGACAACCGAGGATCAGTTTACAGGGAGCCTATTTGAAAAAAGGAGATGCAGAAGAATAGGTATGGCGATCCAATACCTATTAGACCTATTTCTGGATTGGTCACGCCGTACATGGGTTATCAGCGAATACAGCATTGCCAAAGAACAGCGCGAAGGAAAAATGAAATACTGGTTTATCCACCTTGATAAGGACAATGACTTTTATGGAAAGCCTTTTTTCACATTAGATTTTTATCGTACAACACCTGGGCATATCTATGACAACAATCGTTGGAACGTTGATTCCGCTTCCTTCTATCACCCTATGATCATCAGTAATACTGCTCATCGCTCATTCATAGACATGATGCTGAGATCTCGAGCCACCAAAAACGAAGATAGGTTCCATGCCATACTACCTTTATCACCAAAGTACAACAAAGTCAAAGTATCTAAAGATACCATCTCCAGCTGGAACATATCGGGTATGCAATCAGTCAGATTAAAGTTATATGAAATATTGGACGTGGAGGACAAGCTTTACTTGCTTCAAGTCTGTAAAAAACAATCATATACAATTTTACCCACTTTTGCATCCAACTTTGATATGACATTAGTCCCCTTATATCCCTATACACCTTCCGACACCTTTTTCGAATTTAATTTTGATATTACCGATCCTTCCGCCGTCTACTTCGAAAGCGATCATCTGAATAACAGCAGTGGGTACAAGGGACCATCTCTTCACTTGCGACCTAAAAAGTACTACATACATGATTCGTTATTACAGGATATGGATGAGGCCAAGAGCTACAGTAAAGTAATGAAGAAGCTTGGCTTTGAAAGCATTGATGAGTCTTTCGAGTTTGTTACCATCCCATCATTTTGCACTGATGATGAAAGTGATCTCACTAGTTTGTATGCCTACCCGATTCACCTTTTTGGCAGCATGAACAAGAATGTTTGGATAATATGTTCGTTTGAACTGGACGATATGCAATTGTCTCCGCGAGTCCATGTCAACAAGGATTACGTCTTTTGCGTTTATTAAATTAATAAAATATACTATATGTTGTATTGTATCATTATATGAATAGGATAATAAAAAAAATATGGTGATGATGATGGCAGCCTTATATATCAAAAAATCAAGTTAAAGTAGTGTATTTTTTTTAGTTTCTATTTTGGGCTACACGTCAAGATCAGTGCTTGAATATTTAGTAGTAATTTTTTCCCGACTCCATTTTTCTTTTTTTTTTTTTTTTTTTTTTCCCTCTTGCTTCCTCTTTTTTAGAAGAATCTACCCTTTGATGAAACAGCGACAGCAATATGATATCAATAGTTTTTTTATAGTCCGTTCGTATGGTGACTAATGGCATACATTCTCATGTTATCATCTTTGATTACTGTAACAACAAATGTACAATAGGATGGATTATAGAAAGGGTAATCAAGGTAAAAAGTAATTCGAGAAAAAGGAAGCCCAGGCTTTTTATTCCAAGGTTGAATGATACACGCGTTATAATTAACTCTCCTAGTTTTGGACATATTGATTTTGGAAAAGGCATATTCCTTCTTGCTGTTATCTCAAGGTCCTGGTTTGATAATGATTACTCATGGTGCTGGCATGAACTTTCTTTTACTCTTATTTGGTTTCAAGGTAACGAAGTTAACAAATGTTTTACATTGTCAAGCTTATATTAACTGATAGGGTTGAGGATGATTTACCTACTTGATTCTTTTTTTTTTTAATGTGTTAGGTATCGGACTAGCAATCATTTTTGCTCTGTACTCAGGAAGAGAAATGTATCGAAATACATCATCCAAATCAAAATGTGAACAAGCTGTTAGTTAGTATTGGAAAGGAAGGTTTCTGCAAAAGAACGTGTATCCAATATACTCCATGTACTTTTTGATCGTAAAAGTAAGTAGTATACATTTGGATGGATTGGAATCAGAGTATTACTAGAACTGATCTACCATATTTATTTTATCAAGCAGGACCTCTCTATTTTCTGTAAAATGACAATATTCAAATATTCTCTTCAAGGCGATGACATCTTTACTATATGACGTGCCTTCTTTGTTATTGTAAGTATAGCAGTGATATGCTAAAAAAAAGTGTGAACATGTTGCCATTGTTGTTTTGTACCGAAATCTTAATTTTTTAGTTACTTTTTTCTTCGTCAAAAAAGGCAATAAAGTAAAAGGTAGAAAATCAATGACAACAAGTACGAAAAGAGTGTGCTTGATGGAAAGATGCTCTCGATTACCTTGAAGTTGCAGTATTATCTCGGAATGGAATAGAAACAAAAAGGCAATTTGGAACGATGATGGTGATTGTCAATAGGAATCTCAGTGCATGACAAGACGGACCAAAACACAAGAACGGCGGATGCAATTAGTTGGTAAGTGTGTACGGGTCAGCATCATGGTATGATTATTGGGAAATCATAACCTTTTTGCATGTATTCGTTAGGAAAATAAGTATCAATTCAAATCGTCCCTGGTATAGAAGTGGCTGCACTGCGTCCTAGTCAATCTTTATAGATGTAGACATCAAACTAGTATACTTTTGATCATTAGATTAGTTTTTTAGTTTTTTTTTTTATTTTTTTTTTTTATCGTCTCTGAAATAAATTCTCTAGTGCATTCTTTTTTGGAAATCTTACTTCTGTGTGGAATTTGAATTCCTTACCAGTTATGTGGAAGATTGGGTCACCGTGGATGATGATTAGTGGATGACAAAAGGAAAAGTGTTATTGGGCGACTCGCAAGGAGATCTGATGTATATCTGTTGATTTCGCTGTAAAGTCTTCTATCATCATTGTCGTTCCTGTTATTGAAGTTCTTAATATTGGCAGTTATCATATAGTTACAGTTCAAAGGCATCTTTTCTGCTAACGTATGCACCACCCAAAGATGATGACAGAAAATAAAACAATTTGACACTAAATGTGCCAAGGAAAACCAACATCATGGTCGTCAACAATTAGTTTTTATTAAAAAGGGCTAGTCTTCAGACAATCCTCCTGTTTTATAGATAGAATATCTAGAGACTCTGTGAAGATCATTGACAATAACTCTGTTTTCCTTATTCCTACATGTTTCTTCTAGATGCATTACAGCCATTGAATGGCGTCATAGCTTGCGCCATGAAGTGATACAGGGTCTATATCCCGGTTGGCGTAAACCTGTATTTTGTATGATTTTTTTTATGCAAGGATAATAGAGTATTTCAATACTTAGATAAAAATACAAATGGGAGCTCTCTTTTTTTTAATTAAAAATTTAACGATAAAAATTACAAGATGATGAAATTTGTCTACGGACTTGTACTCTTTTGTTTCTACTTGATTGGTGTGAATGCAGATCATGGTTGCTATAAAGGTTATTGTTGGTCAAATTGCATGGCAGCTATACTCTTTGTAGAGTATGAATGGTGCTATACAACTGATACAGGACATTCTCAAGATTATAGCTACGTAAAATGCACAAGAGATAATGAGTGCCATAAAGACTGGAGCTGTGCGGGTCCTTGTTCACTTTAATTGAAATAAAATGTTTATTTTTAATTAATAAACTGAATTACGTTTGAAAAATAACGATAAAATACGATTTGTTGATGATCATCTATCGATTAGACAAAGGTCTCTACTGTATGGCGAGTCTCAATTTCTCTCTCTCTCTTTTTAGTTTCCATTTTTGGGTTAGAAAGGCAAGCGTACTTCAACTATTTAAAAGAAAAGAATCCCCCCCCGGCTCCCTTTTTTTTCTTTTTTTTTTTTTTTTTTTTGTTCCTCTTCACCTTTTTTTTTTTAATTTATATTATTTGATAGCGACACAGAATGATATCAGTAGCCTTTTTTTTATAGACCGTTGGCACATTGACTAGTGTATTCTCCTGGTATCTATCTTGTACTGCTACCTCTCACGATAAAGGAAGACTAGGAAGCAATATGAAAGTGTAATCATGGTCATGGTAAAAAGTGAAACATGGGAAGAGGAAAGATTTACTTCAAGGTTGAATGACACGTTCTCATTATTTTTCCTTATTGATAGACAATTTTTTTCTTCCTATGAAAGACTGCTTCCTAGTTGCCTCATACATTCCTCATGCTTTACTCTTGGCAAGGCTTTTCTTTTATTCCATTTGCATTCAAAGTAACAATTACACATAGTGAATGATTTGACGATGATATATTCACTTTGTCTTTCTTTTTCGATTTGATAGCCATCCGTCAAGAAGTATTTTAGTCTGGATTCTCAAGGAAAAAAAACTTGGTAACCGTATCTAGCGCGCGTCATCATTTAGCTGTAAAGGTAAATCAAACGGTAAGATATTGCGGTGGGTTCAGAATGAACCAGTATGATGCCTCACCTTCTTTTGACATATATATATATATATTTGATTAGTACGGAATGTTGTCTACAAAGATGGTGCTCTCTGTTGACAACAACCTAGTTGATGAATATGAATTGAATCGATTTAGTGCCTTCTACTTGATGATCTGCAGCTTAGTTTAGTTTAGCTTAGTTTTTTTTTTTTTTTTTATATGAAATAAAGGCTCGTAACTCCATCGACATTATGTACAGCGGAATTCAAAGATGATGATGATATCGATATATATATGGCAACATCAAGCAATGTAAAAATAGAGTGGGATCAAATGATGACTTTTTTTTATTTATTTTTTTTATATGTATTTCCCATGTATTTATTTCCACTTTTTCTTGCCGATGATCTGCAAGGTAACTTTGTCCTCAAGATTTGACAATTGCACCAATTGATTTGTGTTCTGTTGGAGAATGGTATATTTGAGATGGCCTTGCACGACGACGACATCAAAGCCGTTCGGGAACATGCGATGACAACAGAGCACTTCAGCATCCGTGTTATTGCTTTCTTTTTGTGGGGCGAGATGTAAAGTATAGGTGGCAGAGTGATGATCAAAATCCTCACCTAAGAATTGACAGTGATAGATGGTGGTGGTAGGGGGGAATCCGTACTTGTCATGATACTGCGTGACCTTTTGCACACATTGAGGGACTTGTTGTAACGTGGGTTTAGCCAACAGAGGCGGCACCGAGCCACCCATATCCAGTTGATTGATAAATGTCAACATCAAACCATTTTGGTATCGACTAATCTTCCATCCTGAACAAATCACTTGGCCTCGTACAAACCCTGCCACTGGTGGATTGATCTCATCATCCTCTATTGAAAATAATCCAAAATACAATGTCCCATCTTGTTCAACCTGTCGTAATGTGATGGTGGAGAAATCCCGTGGACTACCCAAAAAAAAAAAAAAAAAAAAAACCATGCATGATTTGATCAAAAAAAAAAAAAAAAAAAAGAAGGAATGAGTGAACATTTTTGGAGGGAAAAACAAAGGGTTTCTAACATTACACGGCAGGCCAGGTTGCTTTGGTTTTACCATAAGACAAACTACTATACCGTGATCGAATAACTCTGATTTCTGATCCATCAAATTTACTATCCCCTAACCCAAAAAAAAAAAAAAAAAAAAAAATTAAGGTCCCAACAGCAACATTATTTTGTCTTACACTGCCGACGACAAGTTGAAAAAATGATGATAGAACTCATATCCAAGGGACGAAGGTTGACATTGCGATAATGATAATCTCCACGAAACACCACAGCACCAGAAGGATGATTGGATTTCTGATGACTCAAAATCAGCCCATTTTTCTCAGATGTCACTTGCCATTCATTGAGGGGAGAATTCACATAATGTTTCATCAAGACCATCTTATCTTCCAATTCTAGTTGATGATCATTGTATTTTTTTTGTTCAGGCACTGTCATTGTAAAAATATTAAAGATGAAAAAAAAAAAGAGCGATAGATAGATTCCCGCGTTTTTAAATCTATAAAATAAGGAGATCGGATATGTAAAAAGAAAAAAAAAGTTCATTTCTTTTATTATTAAAAGAGGGGAGATGTCAAAAGGTCATGTAAAGATAAAATAATAATAATAATAATAATAAAGGGGAACTATTTGGTAGGGAGACATATTCAATAATAAATCAATAAATAAAAAAAAAAGGGGGGGATAGGCATACAAAAAAAAAAGAGGAATAAAAAAATAACAATAAAAAAAAAGATCAAATGGAATAGTCAGTAGGTTGATGTGTAGAAGGATATACTTCGGGAGATTTCATATTGTTGTTAAAGGGTAAAATGTCGGTAGATGAAGGCGTTGTAGGAGAAGCCATAGAATTCCATAATCGAGAATAGACACTGGAGCGTTTTGAGGAGGTGGTGGTGGACATGCTATCAGTGGACATTCTTGTGGCTGTGGATTCATCCCTGACCATAGCAGTGGATCTTGCTGTTGACAACATCAAACCAGTGCTGTTTCTATTATTCATCATGACAAGGGATGTAGGTCGTTTGGGTGCAGCTTCATATTCCACAAGTTTACATTTAGTTTCGGCCAATAATTTTTCCAATTCACGACATCGAAGTTCGGCATCCACATATTTTCGTTGATATTCTTCAGGATCACTATGTTGTTGTCGTTTTGATGATGATGTCTGTTGTTGTTGTTGATGGAAAACGGAGCCTTCACCAAATAAGGTATGATGAGCGGCAAACACTTCTTCCGAAAATGAATCACGGGGCTTGAGATATTCTTGCTTTTCACGTTCCAAATCTCGTACATGTTGTTCCAAACGTGTCACTTGTTCTGTCAAGGCCAGTTTCTCCATATGTAGTTCTGCTGAGGTTTGTTTGGTGGCCATCATGCGTTCTGATAATGTTTCGTTGGCCTTAGCCATGGTGTCGATTTCTTGTGCTTGATCTGCCGCCACCTTCTCCAATAATGCCATTTGATCCAAGTACATTTGTTCTTTGTTTTGTGATAGGTTGAGTTGTTGTGTCAATGCTTCGTTTTGATGACACATGGCTTCATATTTTTGTCCCATTTCAAAATTGGCCAATTTCAATGTGACAAGTTCTTGTGTAATGGTTTCTATGTCATCATCATTGTTGGAGGTGGCTGTGGTGGCTGTAGTACTTGCGATAGGTGAGGTATGAGAGATATAAGAATCATTGTCGTTATAATCGTCGTCGTCGTCGTTACTGTTGTTGTTATGATCCTTGTTGTTGTCATCATCGTCAAAAAGATCCACAATATCATCATCATCATCATCGTTAGTTTGAGAAGTAAGGGCAGAGGCAATCAAAGAGCCAAAATCACCAGTCATTTGCAAAGTGGACACAAATTCACGGAATTCTTGATCCTTTTCCAATACTTGTAATCGGGAAGCATTGGCCTTGTCAACCAAGGAAGAGAAAGATTGAGAAGAATTAGACATGGAGCGGTATTTTCTAAGTCGTCTTGTCAAAATAGAGTTGCGTTCCATCAATTTATCGTTGGCAGCAGTATAATCCATAGCATGCATCTTCATTGTCATGACTTGTTCAGTAAGATGAGAATGTTCCTTTTGTAATTGAGACAAGGCAAGAACAAGATCTTCGATTTGTTGATGAAGCATAGGTACAGTACGATCCACAGAAATTGCACTGGTAGGAATAGGACTGGTAGGCGTCGTAGGAGATTGGACCATAGGCTTATTATTATCAGCACGCCAAGAGAACCAGGAATCACGTTTGTTTGATGATGATGATGTTGGTGATTTTAAAGAAGAAGTACTTGATCGTTTCCAACCACCAAATCGAATAGCCAATACTTGATGAGCACGATTCTTTTCTTGTTCCAATTCCTTATCATGAGTATCAGCAATATCATCCATCTTGGCCTTGGTAATAGCATGTGATAGGGCCATTGTATCAGCAATCACGGCTTCAGCATCGGAATCATAGGCAGTTTCATACAATTGTTTGGAGCTAAGGTACATCATCAATTGTTCAAAATCATGGATGGCCAACAAAGTATCTTCGTTCTTTTGCATCATAGCAATGGCAACACGCGTGATTGTTTCCACTGCACCTTCAGCAAATACCAAATCATAAATCCGCATCACCACATGAATAGGTAAAGAATAGGCAAACAAGGTGAGATACCATTGAGAGGCGTACATGGCAGGATGGATGGAATGGAGTGATAAGTGAGCATCCAAACGAGGACAAAATTGGGACAATAATGTTTGGAATTGATGAAGTCGAAGATGTAAACCTTCCATATTGAGAGTAAACATTGTTCTCATTTCGTAAGTTTCCATCAACCTAATACAAAAAAAAAAAAAAAAAAAGAGGTAAGGTTAGAAAGCTTGGAAAAAAAAAAAATAACAATACGCACTAGGTCGATCCTTTTTTCTGTGCTCTCTTACCTAACAAATACACAAAAAGCTTGTTTTTCAGGCATCTAAACAACAAAAACAAAAAAAAAAAATTAACAGGTGATCTGACGAGAATTTTTTTTTTTTCACTTACAGTCATCAACAAGGGCCCGACCAGAAAAGCAAGACCTTGACAATAACCAACTTGAACATCATAAATACTATAACTAGTCAAGATACGTTCCATAGCTTGTTGACCAAGACCACCATCAGATTTAAACATATCCACTGTAGGGAAAGTACGAGATAAATCACGTTGAATGACACGAGCATAAGGAGAAGAATGATTGTTGTTATTGTTGAGTAAATCATCATACATGGTTTCCAAACGAGTAGAGGCTGATTGGGCCATGGCTTGCCACATGACACCACGAAGAGGATGAGGAATGCCACCATGACGAAGTTTGGCAGATACTAGATGAGGCAGTTTAGCAACCGCGGTGGGGAAATCTTCTACAAGACATTGCCAAAAATCCCAATCTGAAATCTCACTTGTATCAGGAGATAATGGACTTGTCAAAGCGGTAGAATGATTGTCAACCAATTGTCGTAAGGTATCAAAGTCAGCTTGTAATCGATTGGCTTCCATCGAGATAGATTTGGGATCAGCTTGAAGTAAAGCATTTTGTCGTTCCAATCTTGATAAAAGATATTCTTCAGAATCCTATTTAAAAAAAAAAAAAAGAGATTTAATAAATAAAAAAAAAAATAATAATTTTTTTTAGTGTTACCTGTGGAGGTAATTTGGCATTTTCTTTTTCCAATTTTTTCATTTGTTCATCTCGATCTGTACTACTACTATTATTATTGTCGTTGTTGTTATTGGTGGATATCTTTGCATATAATTTCAATTTTTGAGGAGAAACAGGAATACGACGTCGTTCAGCCAAAGTCAAAGTAGACGTGGATTTTTCCAAACGTAAAGGAGCCAAATGTCGAGTTTCTGCTGATTTGGAAGGTTTTAAATGAGAACAAGGTAAAGCAAGATGATTGAGATTGGCGGCTTGTAAGATTTCATCTACAGAAACTGGACGGTCGGCTTGTTGAAGGTGATGAAGTCGTTCCAATACTTCAGGTGCCAGTTGTAACTTTGTCATGATGAAGCGCGTTTTGTCGCTTGTTGAACGGGTATCGATAAGTTTCTTTTTATTGGTAAACAAGTTGGTAAAATACACAAAGGAAAAAAAAACAATAAAGGTAATAAAGAATGAGTTGGTATACACAGAAAAAAATAAAAAAAAAAAAAAGAAAAAAAGAAAAAAGAAAGAAAAAAAAGTGAGGCACCCGAATCTCTCTATTTTACTTTATATAAAATTGGGACTCCGGCCACGTGCGACAGGAAAAAGTTAAAACACGAGGTATTTCTCTTTTTTTTCTGTTCATTTCCTGGAAAAAAAAAAAACTGGAGAGGTATTCTATTACCATTAGATATATATTTCTCTTTTCTTTTTCTTTCACTAAATGATAAATATGATATTATTTCTTTCAGTATAAGAAAAACTAGAATAGGAAAGAAAAAGAAAGATCCCTTATCAAATGCAAACTCACCCTTCAGGAGGCGGGGTTGTCCTGTCAACCATCAAAAAAAAAAAAATACAAATTCTTTTATTTGCATATTCAACATCGTGTCTATAGTTCTTTTTTTCCCTTTCATCCCCCTTTTTCTCCTTTTTTTTTTAGAATCAAATTTCTTCACTTTTTATTGATAATAATACAATTCTATGATCTATCTAATTTACTATATACATATTTCTTCATATAGTTGATTTTTTCATCATCATCATCTATTGTTTCATTCAATCTATCTAATAATGTCATCATCAATACTCTAAGAACAAAATAATAATAATAATAATAATAATCAATGAGTTCTCTCATCATCATCATCTAATATATATATGGTACCTTTCTACATGAAGTGACTTCGCATCATCCATAAATCTATCCAACTAAAATAGACATTTGAGTTTTGATGATTTTTCTTATCTATTTCAATTTTTTACCATTGATTTCCATTGATGGTTTTCTTCATATTGTATCATAACCACTAAGACACGAACAATCACTTGTACATGACCATGAAACAAATCATACCAATGATTCAAAAAAGAATGGATACCAGATGAAGGATAACCTACATAGAAAACAAAAAAAAAAATAGTTAAAACCAAATCATATCACTTTTTTATAAAAACTTACCTTTCAAAGATTGAATCCATTGTTTCAATTGACAACAACAAACAGTCATTCGATCATCCAAAGTAGGACATATCAACCATGCCATATAGGTAGATAGATCATCCATCTAAGTGAAGAATTTGTTCATTTAGTAAAAAAAAAAAAAAAAAAAATTGTATAAACCTTATCTGACCAAAGAGAAAGAGGATCCATACACCAACTAAACCAAGTATCAATACATCGAGTCATATAACAAGGCATGATTAAACAAAATAACCAAGCTTGATTACGTCGTTCTACCAAAGTAAAAGGAGACCCAGTATAGATAAATCCAAACGTTGCATGGAATGGTGCCAACAAGTCACCTTCTTTTTTATGTTGCATATGCAGCATGTTCTCCGGAAGATCAAGAACATGGACTAACTCAGCCATCTTGATCCAAAATAGTCGCACCATTCGCCAATCGGCCACATCTTGCGATACCCATCGAGCCATCAAACAAAATGATCGCTGCACTAAGGAAGGACAATGTCGCAACCCCTGCAGAAACTCATCTTTTTCTTCTTCTTCTTCTTCTTCTTCTTCTTCTTTGTGTACATCTAAATGCAAGTCGATCCAATCCAACCATTCACATTCAAATATATCAGGTACTGCTTGCCATAGTTTTGTCTTGAGTTTCAAAGGCCACTTTTCATATTGTTTCTTATTGTTTATCGCATGTTGAATAAATCGAGGGGATAAGTAACTTTTTGAAGTCCTTTTCTCTATCGGTAAGTACTTGATATTTTGATCCTGTTGATCCAATTGTATGGCTGCATCTATTAATCCTTCCACAACATCAATCATAGATGCTTGTTCCCATCCTACTATTGCTAAATCACAAAGTTTGTGTAACTTGGATATCTAATGATTCCAAACAACAATGCTCTTTATTAGATATGATTGATTGATTTTTTTTTCTTCTTTTATGAGCTTACCGAAAGGGTGCCATTATGTAAGTGTTGATGTAAAAGGGGTATGATTTTGGTATGTATATGTTGTTCAAAAGCCTGAGGAGACGATAACAAGATAGGTTGAGTGGTTGGACTGATACGTCGTAATCGTTGAATACACCATGTCGAGGATCTAATAAATAATAATTTAATACTCTAATAATAACTATTTCATACTTTTCTCTTACTTGGTATTTGACTTTGAAGTATCTTCCATATCATATTTCGTATATTCTATGATACAATTCACTACGAGTTGTGCCAGTTTCACTTGACAACCTACATAAGGATGGATCTACAGAAAAAAAAAAACTATGTTGAGTATTCATTTCTTGTTTTTTTTTGTGGGAGTAAACTTTACAGCCACTTTAGTCAAAAGAGGTCCAGCACGAGGGTATAAAGAGGTACATTGAGTAACTGAGGAACAACGCGTCAAGTCCTAAATATATATAGAAAAACAGTGGTGAGTCGATTATTTTAAACAGAGAGGTCAACTTGCCTTGAAAAGTGTATCAAAAAAGTCTAATAAAAACGAAATATGATCTATCAAATCAATAGAAGAACGAGAAGGAGAAAACAATGCTTCTATTCGGTCCCAATCCATGACATGATGGTTACCAAAAAAAAAAAAAGTCAAAGAGAAAGAAAGAGTGAGAAACACGGGCTGACTTTTTTTGTTTTCCCGTTTTATTTATTTTTAAATTGGGAGCACTAAAATCAACACAAAAATTTGGAATATATTCATTTTTTTTTATTATTGAAAAGATGTTTTATACATAAAAGAATATATTTTCATGGGGAATGAAAGTAAATACACAATAGTTTGTGAAGAGAGAACTATCTAATGAGAACTATAAACTAAAAAAAAAAAAGGATGATGATAAATAATAATAATAAAAAAAATGTGTTTTTTTTTTAAGCAGAAGCAGCCTTTTCACGCATCAAGTTCAAAGCAGAACCAGCCTTGAACCATTCGATTTGACCAGCGTTGAAAGTATGGTTAAGAGTAATATCTTCAGTAGCACCAGAGGTCTTGTGGAGACGGAGAGTCAAGGGCTTGCCTTCTTGGAAATCAGTCAAACCAACAATGTCAACCTTGTCAGAGGGATCGATCTTTTCATAATCGGCAGGATTGGCGAAAGTCAAAGGCAACATACCTTGCTTCTTCAAGTTGGTTTCATGGATACGAGCAAAGGACTTGACAATGATGGCAGCACCGTTCAAGAAACGGGGTTCAAGAGCAGCGTGTTCACGAGAAGAACCTTCACCATAGTTTTCATCACCCACGACAACCCATCGGATACCTTCAGCCTTGTAATCACGAGCAGTTTCGGGCACACCCTTGTATTCACCAGTGTATTGGTTCTTGACCTTGTTCACAGCATCGTTTTCAGCATTCACGGCACCAATCAACATGTTGTTGGAGATGTTATCCAAGTGACCACGGTACTTGAGCCAGGGACCGGCCATGGAGATGTGATCAGTGGTACACTTACCCTTGACCTTGATCAAGATGGGCACATTGGTGATATCATTACCATCCCACTTGGCGAAAGGCTTCAACAATTGGAGACGGTTGGACTTGGGATCCACAGCAACAGACACACTAGCACGGTCGGTAGGAGGAGCTTGGTAGGTGTTTTCACCAGCATCATAACCCTTGGGAGGCAATTCGAAACCAGAAGGAGGTTGGAGCTTGTAAGGCTTACCATCAGCACCAGTCAAAGAATCAGTGATGGGGTTGAAGGTCATATCACCAGCAATGGTCAAAGCAGTGACGATTTCAGGAGAGGCAACGAAAGCGTGAGTAGCAGGGTTGGCATCGTTACGACCAGTGAAGTTTCGGTTGTAAGAAGTGATGATGGAGTTCTTGTCACCCTTCTTGATATCTTGACGATCCCATTGACCAATACAAGGACCACAAGCATTGGCAAGCACGACACCACCAGCGTTAGTAAGAGTGTCCATAATACCGTCACGTTGGATGGTAGCACGGATTTGTTCGGAACCAGGAGTGATGGTGAACTTGGCCTTGGCCTTGACACCGTGATCAGCAGCTTGTTGAGCAAGAGAAGCAGAGCGAGCCATATCTTCATAAGAGGAGTTGGTGCAAGAACCGATCAAACCAACCTTGAGTTCTTGAGGCCAGTCATTCTTCTTGAGGGTTTCCTTGAACTTGGAAAGAGGAGTAGCCAAATCAGGAGTGAAAGGACCGTTAATGTGAGGTTCAAGAGTGTCGAGGTTGATTTCAATCAATTCATCGTATTGGGCGTTTTCATCAGCACGGAGATTGTGAGCGAAGGATTCAGCATATTGAGCAATACCAGCACGGTTGGTAGCACGGAGATAATCACCCATACGGTTGTTGAAGGGGAACATGGAGGTAGTAGCACCGATTTCAGCACCCATGTTACAGATAGTACCCATACCAGTACAAGAGATAGAATCAACACCATCACCGAGATATTCAACAATGGCACCAGTACCACCCTTGACAGTCAAAATACCAGCCACCTTGAGAATAACATCCTTAGGAGAAGTCCAGCCACTCAATTTGCCATTCAACTTGACACCAATCACCTTGGGACACTTGAGTTCCCAAGGAATATCAGCCATCACATCCACAGCATCGGCACCACCAACACCAATGGCAACCATACCCAAACCACCAGCATTAGGAGTGTGAGAATCAGTACCAATCATAAGACCACCAGGGAAAGCATAGTTTTCAAGGATGATTTGATGGATAATACCAGAACCAGGACGCCAGAAACCAATGTTGTACTTGGCAGTAGCAGTGGCCAAGAAATCATATACTTCCTTGTTAATATCAATAGCACGAGCCAAATCCTTTTCACCACCCACTTGAGCTTCAATCAAGTGATCACAATGAACAGTAGTAGGAACAGCCACACTGGGAAGACCAGCAGACATGAATTGTAACAAGGCCATTTGAGCAGTAGCATCTTGACAAGCAACTCGATCAGGACGTAACTTGAGATAAGATTGACCACGAACAATATCTTGGTTTTCAGCATCATCCAAATGGCCATAAACAACCTTTTCAGACAAAGTCAAAGGACGGTTCAATCTAAATTAAAAAAAAAATCAAATAGATGAATATCTATCGCGTTTTTTTTTTCTCTCTCTCTTTTATTATCACACTTACCGCTTACGAACAATTTGCAAATTATCTTCAATACGTTGATAGTTGATAAATTTGTCTTGTTCAAGATTGGACATGGGTACCTTTTGAGCAGCAAAGTTACCACTAACTTGAGCATAAGTACGAGCAGGGACGTGAGTGCGAACAGCAGGAACGAAAGCCTAATCATATATATATATATATAAAAGAATTAATATATAGAAACACGTCATATCTCTCTTTTTTTTCTTCTTTTATCCTTATCACTTTACCTTGGCGGCCTTCATGAATGAAGATGAGGACAACATTATATTTAAAAAAAAGGCTCTGACTGGGCAAAGCTTTTGTGAAAAAAAAAAAGAAGAAGAGAGGGGGGTGAAGAAAAAAAAAAGTAACAAAGAAAAAAACAAAAAAAAGAAAAAAGAAAAAGAAAACAAGTGGAAAAAGAGTTCTAGGGAGTTATTTGTACGTGATTTCAGAGACAGAAAAAAGTTTTTTAATTCCGATTCATGTGAAGAGTTCAGCTGTTTCACCAGCCACTTACATCCCTTAGATCACGAAAAAAGTGAGGTATTGGATCATCATTCTAAAATCAATAAAAAATGATGATTTATTACTTTTTCTTTCTTTCTTTTTATATATTCATACTATTTCCCATTGAATCTGTCTATCTTATTCCCCAAAGGCACACCTTTTACACGTAGGAGAGTAAATCGGTTCTTTTTTGTACAGCGTAACGGGGCCATGCAATTCATATAGTCAGGGCCGAGAAAAACCATTTTGGCTCCGACTGATCTCTCTTTCTCCCCTTGGGCTTATTGTTTATCCACACCCTTACAAAAAAAAGCAAAGACTTTGAATTTCCTAAAAAAAAAAAGATCTAATTCATTTGATATTATTTTTTTTTCTTTTTATATTATTTTATTTTATTTTATTTTTATTTTCTTTCTTGATTGTCATGATGATCATCAGGGAACGGCTTGTTAAGGAAGAAGAATGAAGAACTATGTCATCCGAAATACAATTCATCCTCCGGCACATGTGTTGGGAATAAAGTGACGCCTAAAGGAGTAATGTTGGTTACTGAATGATGAAATAATAATGATGCTGATAAAACTTTAAATTTTTTTTTTTGTTATCAAATCATCTACCTAATAAGGAGGAACTACTTTTATTTTTTTTATTTTTTAATCATTATTATTTGTCTTTCTTTTTATTCTTTATTAAAAACAAATGATGTACAAATCTTGATGAATTTATTATTTCTTTTCTTTTTCAATGGAATAAAAGAACTAAAACGATCAAAAAAGAAAAAAAAATCATTTCCATAATAAGACAAGGATGGAAAAAAAAAGACATTGATGATGACATGATCTTGTGTTAGGACGAACCCTTTTTTTCATGACCCCCCACATTTTTTTTTATTTCCATTTGATGGCCCTTCTTATTCTTTTTTTTTCATGACCCCTTCCATACCTTTCTTTTCTTTCTTTTGACGATGGCCCCCACTTTTTTTTTCATGACCCCTTAACGATTGTGATCAAACGATCATAATAATCATGCATTCAAAGAAATTCTTTTTATTTTGTAAAAACAAAATAGGTGATATATAAATAATAATCTATAATTATAATTGGATTCTCTTAATGATGTAAAGGTAAAGGATGATGATGATGATGATCATTTGGTTTTAAAGTAGTACAGGCATCAAGAGACGAGACCCAAGGATCCGCCAAAAGATGAGACAAGGAATAACGTTGATTGGGATTGGGGTCCAAGACATGCGCCATGAGGGATCGTGCATATCGAGGAATATAAGCCAATAAGGTGTTCTGATCTTTTAAGTACATTCGATAATTATCATCTTGACGAGGTCGTGGGATACGCCAAGCAAATCGTCGCAGCACCATACATACAAAGATGATTCCACAAGACCATATATCCGCTGCAAACGCATTGTATTCTTGTTGACTATATTGTTCTGGTGCAATGTAAGGATCCGATCCACATACGCCTATCAAAATAAAAAAAAATAGAAAAGTAAGAAAAGATATATAATAAAAAAAAGGGATTGCATTTTATTATTATTATTATTTACCAGAGCATAGTCGTTCTTTGTTTTCAAAAGGAGATCGGACAACTACTGCTGTACCAAAATCAATGATTTTGATAATATGATGTTCATCCATCACCAAATTATCCAATTTCAAATCCCTAAGAGAGAGAGTGTGTGTATGAGAATATTAAAACAAAAATCCTTTATTTTTTTTTTTTTTTTTTTTTTTTTTTTTTTTTTTTTTACCTATGACCAATGCCCATGTCTTGAAGATAAGCAAGTCCATTCAATAATTGTCGCCAACAACAACCAATTTCAGAAGGAGTTAATTTTGTTTTCATGACAACCGAGAATAAATCACAAGGAGCATATTCCATGATTTCATAAAAACGATCATCTTCTTGAATGATATCCAATGTTTCAATGATATTATCATGATGAAGTGTAGATCCAATACAAAATTCAGCTGTCACTTTCTTGACATATTCACGCTCCGATTCCTGTGGTCTCCGTTTTCGGAATTGTTTGACTGCAAATACTTTATTATCTATTGCTCTTCGGATGATCCGAACTGATCCTCCAGATCCTTTACCCACAAATGTACCTAAATAAAATTTTAATTCAGTGAGTTATATTATTATATATTAATTTTTTTCTTTACCCCAAGTACCATAACGAGATTCTAAATCTTTATTAAATTCATTTCCAAAAGAACTATGACTTGTTGTAGATTTTGAATGATTTGATTTAGATTTAAAAAAGAATTGTTTCATATCTTGAAAGAAACTATCATGACGTTCTAAATGATGATGATAATGAGTTTGATGATAATGATGATTATAAATTGGTTTCTTAAAAATGAATTGTTGTCCAGAAGAAGAAGAAGAAGAAGAATCTTCCTTCTTTTTATGATATATTGATGAAGTTTGACAAGTCATTGGATCAGGTGTAACAGGTCGATATGTACTGACATTTTTCTTTTTAAATAATTGAAAAGAATCATTTAAAGATCTATTTTCTGATTGTTCAATCATATAGAAAAATAAAATAAAAATATAAAAGAAACAAACAAAAACAAAAAAAAATGATTCTTTTTAAGTAAATGATCGGAGGCAGAAACAAAAGAAGCTCATGCAAAAAAGATTATTCGGATGAGTATGATTGGTTAACTACAAGTTTCATTTTTTTGACTGGTGAAAACTTGTTCTTTTTTAACTGAATAAGGGGAGTATAAAGAGGATGATATTTTGTTGCACTTTATTCACGTGTTCCCATCAATAAAGCAGATGATCTCAGGTCATCAAAAAGTATCATTCTCAACATCATCTATATCACAAATAACCAACTTTCTGGTGCGTCATCAAACATCACTTTTTTTTTTGTTTTGGAATCCCTTTTTTTTTTTTTCTTCTTTTCTTTTCCTTTTCTTTACTCAACTCCCCTTTTTTTTCTCTTTTTTTTTTTTCTTCTACTCTTTCTTTTATACCTTATTTTTCATAACTTTCATTTTTTTTTTGACTTTTTTTTTAACTTTTTTCTTTTTTTGGTTTTTTTTCTTTCTCTCTCTCCCCCCATTCCTGATCTTTTCCCCCAATCTTCCTCTCGCTCGCTCTCTCTTTCTTTCTTTCTTTTTTTGTTTACTTTCCTTTTCTTTCTTTCTTTCTTTCTTTCTTTCTTTCTTTTTTTTTTTTTTTTCTTACATTGACCGATGACACAAGAAGATGATCTGGAGTGGTTACAAGTGGATCCTAGTCCAGGTAAAATGTTATTGTTTAACAAAATAATATTAACAAAAAAATAATATTATTTTGATTTTAGGGTTACTCTCACAACTATGTTTGCATATGGGTGTCCAAAACGTTCAAGTGGAACCTGTTTTATCAATAGATCGAGATTTTTTATGTGATCAACGGTAATATACTATAATAGAAATAATCATATTTTAAACTTTTTTTTTTTATTTATTGATTTAGACCGGTCTACGGAATGATGATCTTTACGTATCATAAAACATCTCATCCATCTTCTTATATTTCAACAAAAGATGATTTTACAACAAATGATCATCTTTATTTTGCAAATCAAGTAAGTCTTATTGGAGTCTTTATATTCTTTTTGATGATTTTTATCTTTTTATGCAGATGATTATAAACTTTAATTTCAAACACGATACTGACGCCTTTTTAACCTTTTTTTATTATTATTATTATTATTCGTTCTGTTATTTTTTAGGTGGTAAACAATGCCTATGCTATGCATGCCTTACTAAGTATTCTTCTTAATTGTGATATCATTGATATTGGTCCTACTTTGGTGGAATTCAAACAATTTACAAAAGATTTTTCTCCATTGGTAAAGGCAAAAAAAGAAAAGAAAAAAAACAAGGGGGGAAAAAGTAGATCAGGGGTTAAAAAAAAAAGGAAAGGGTACGATGCTTATTATGATATGTATCTAGTATATATATATATATATATATATATATATTTATATATATTAGATATGTATTCTATGTAATGTGATGTTGTTATTATAGATATAGATTGAACACAAATACTTTCTTATTATTATTATTATACTTATTTTTTTTTTTTGATTTTTGCTACTGACACTTGCAGGTCAAGGGGCTAAGCCTTAGCAATAGTGATGCCATGCGGGAATCTCAAAACCACGTCGCTAGGTAACAAAAAAAAAAATAAGGAGTGATCAACAACTTTATTTTGATATATTTTGTTTAAGGTTGTGGCCTAAGAAGAAATCGACTAGTAGCCATGTCTATCATTATGTTAGCTATATTCCGTTTGAAGGTTACTTGTGGGAATTAGATGGTTTCAAAAGAGGTCCTTTACGTCTAGGTAAAATAACAAAAAATAGTTCTTCATTTGATTCACAACCTTTTTTTTTAGGTCCATGTACAGATCAAAACTGGTTAGATAAACTTCAATTCGAATTGGTACGAAAAACAGAAGGGTAAGATCCACCCTGAAAAAAAAAAAATGATAGACACACGTGAATTCGATTCTAATTTTTTTTTTTTTTAGATATCAAAAACAACATATACCTTATTCCATGTGGTCTGTCATTGAAGATCGACGAAATGTATTACAACGAAAATTACAAGCAAAACTATATTATAAGGAACAAGTGGAACAACATTTAAATCATCACTTTCCAGAATGGAGGATGGATGTTCAACAATGGGAAGAGGAATATCAACATGCAATGACCGATGTAAAGTATTTAAATATCATAAAAAAAATTTTATTCAATTTATATATATATAGGCACAAAATAGACGAGGCATGGATGTAGCGGCACATATGACTTTATCAAGTAATACATTAGATGATGATTATCAACAATTAAAATTACAATTACAACAACATCATCAACAGTATGATCAACATAGTCATCAGGATCAATTGAAAGAATGGAGAGATCTTTGGTTACAAGCTCAAGATGAAATCTTACGACTTTATAATTGTTTGGGCAAAGAAGATGAGAAACATCATAATTATCAGGTAAGGAAAAAATGATCCCTTTTAGTGTATTCACTCTTCTTTTTAATTTGTGAGTAGTGTGATAATCTTCGACGACAACACGATTATGGTCCCTTTATTACTGCTTATTTGGAAGCTCTTCATACTCAAGGTCGTTTACAATCACTTATTACCCCTCCCTCTTGATACCTTTCTCTTTTTTTTTTATTTCCTTAGATTATCATCATTACCTTTCTTCATTTGTTACTCTATTCCTTTACCGTATGCATCCATAGTTTTTTATTTTTATTTTTTACATGTTTATAAATATATGTCAATTTCATTCTTCTTCTTTTCTCTCGTTTATATATTTAACTTTTTTTTTTTCTTTCATCGTACATTCATTTCTTTATTGGATTTATGTTTTTTTTTTCTTTTATTAGTTAACCTTTATTAAGAAAATAAAAAAAAAAATTACCTCTTCATGATGATGGTTGCCGTTTTTCCCCAGTTTGCTCAAAGCAACGTCGCTTTCAATCCCAGCAGTTTTTAACATCTGAAACTTTTTTTTACTCATGATCGAAGTGCATAATAAAGATATCATACGGTAACATTACTTTTTATCCTCTAGAAAAACAAAAAAGTCATCACATGATTCTATTGATCAAATTATATAAATAGGTTTTATTTTTCCTTTTATTGTTGTAAAAAAAAGAAAACGTCATTTGCTACAGAAAAAAAAAAAAGATACAAAATGAAAACTAAACTAATCATCCCAGTCGGGAATCATGGAGAATTCATAACCGGGGTATTTGTAATAGGCATAATAGGCAATGTAAAGATGGTAGGCACCTAATGACATAGAAAGAGAGGTAAGCAAAAAAGATATGAAATGAATAGACTGGTCTTACCAGGGATGAACATGATAGAACCAAGTACAAGAAGTGGGATGGCTCGACTTAGATATTCTTCTGTGGCTATAAAACCCAATTTAATCAAAACACCAATGGTAATCAATATAGATCCAATGGTGAAAAGTAATGTGGCAAGTCCAATAGCTTTCCAAGGAACTATACAAAAAAAAAAAACACATTAATAATCTTTTATTATTATTATTATTATTATTATTATTATTATTATTATTATTATTATTATTATTATTATTATTATTATTATTATTTTAGTTTGTTTATCTTTACTTTGTACTTCGGGTGTTGTGAATTGTTCAGCTGTAAAACCTCTATCTTCTTGTAATTCTGCTAGTTGTTTTCGTTTAGATTTCAGTTTGATGGGACGCATTTGTATATGAAAAAGAAAGAATAAAGAGAAAGAAAAAAAAATGGCTGGTCCGATTTTTTTTTTTTTTTGAATTCTTTTTGGTAACTTCCGACCGCAGACTTTATATATAAGAATATATTTATTGAGAAATAATGAAATAAATGTGGAATATAAAAAAAAAAAAGAAATGCAATTGTATACATAGGTAATGAATGAAAAATAATAATAATAATAATAAACTAGGAAAAAAATCTATATAAAGGAATCTACACGCCACAAAAGAGATTGAGTAATAATTGATTTTCAACATCCACGACATTGCGTCTGCTATAAGTTGTGCCTTGATAACGACATGTATTATCTTCCAAACCTAATTGATGTGTATCCCATAATTTGACACGAGGATATTCATGAACAAGATCACGGACTACGTTGGCAAAAGCCCGGCTTCGACCAGCATTCCAAGAAGTATAATAATGTTGTCCAGTACCAAAGAATTGAGGTGTGCGTAGGATGATGATTTGGTCAGGATAAACAGTGGTGGTCATATGATGAAGCAAATCAGATAATGCATTGGCAAATTGACTTGGTTTCATTCGACTCAATGGAATATCATCATTACCTACACCTACAATCACTAGATCAGCTGGTGGTAATTGATCTTTCACTCGCATTGCCATTTCCTGTCGCCAATCTTGAGTGGTGATGCTGTTGATGGAATTATAATGTACCTTGTTATCTCCCAAAGCTAATGGAATGTTATGATCTGCTGCCCATGGATATAATAAATGATCAGGATCTTCTAGATCATCATTACAAATACAAGTGGCTTCAGGATCGTTGTTTATATCACACCAATAAGGAGAGGCTAAAGTTTTCAAATTTCTAAAATAAAAAAAAAAAAAATTAGTTTCATTTTCAAAAAGGTTAGACTAATTATTATATTATATTTTTACCTTCGTAAATTAGCATCAGCCCACACATGAATCGTTTTTCTACGTAAACAACGTAATCCATCTTGACGAGTATATTTCATTTCACAATGATCAGGAATAAATTGAAATTGATTTGTATCATTTCGCCAACTACCTTCCACAGGTTGATTAGGTTCACAAGCAGGTTGTTGAAGAGAAGGATAAGCTGAAGGAGTAACAATGACCATATTACTGGAATCAAAACTGAAAGGTTGATAATTATGTTGAATAGGTGTTTCCCAAAAATAAGAACGAAATTCAGTGGTACTTTTCAAGATATAAGAATCACTGTGACGGAAATAAACGTTGGCATAATAAGCATTACTTTGTTTTGGATATTGATGTAAAGTAATAGGAATTCTATAATGTTTTCCAATAGCCGTCATGGTGATACTATCAGGTGGTGCATAATGAGATTCTACTTTGATTTTAGATGCTGCTGGTATAGGTCCAAGCTAAATAAAAATAAAAATAAAATAAAAAAAAATGAATTTCCATATAAATAAATAAAATGATCACTTTACCAAAACAACAATACATAATCCATTTTCTTGTTCAATAATAACATTATCCAAAGTAAAATTACCATCAGGTAATAAAAAGAATGATTTGGTTTTCCATCCATCCCAATATTGTCGATCTGAAGCTCTAAAAAAAGAAACAAAAAAAAAAATAAGCGGACTTTTTTTTTCCTTATTGTTGTATTATATAAACTTACAACCAAGGAATATCACCTTTATCACAAGGTTGAATAATAGAATTATCATCAGAAGAAGAAGTTGATAAAGAAATAATAGGTGAAGCTATAGGTAAATCATCTTGTTGTTGTATATATAAACTTGGTTGATCATTAGTTGAAGATGTGGCGTATTGGTAATATGAGATGGTTAATAAAAATATCAAAAAGGTACCAATAAGGATGACATGTCTTTTTTGTGAAGACATGGAAGTCACCATATTTTTAGATTCAAACTACTATCACAATAAAGTATAGAAAGATGAGGTTATAAAAAAAAACAAAGAGAAAAAAAAAAAAAAAGAAAAAGAAAAAGAAAGAAAAAAAAATAGATCGGTCGAGACAGTGAAAAGGTTCAACATAACCTAAAAATATATTTCATTCTCCGCATTCTCTTTTTTTTTTTTTCAGTTGAAGATCTCTTTTTTGCATCCACTTTACAAAAAAATATTAGGGAAAAGAGGAGCTAAGGTTTTTGATTATTTTCTCCTTATGTTTCTTTTAAGAAATTATTATTTATCAACATTCATTCATTCATTCATTCTTTTTCCCAAAAAAAAAAAGAATAATAATATCATCCTCATTATTATTATCATAAAAAAAAAAGAGATTTACCCATATTGGTTTTAGCGTGGCTGCTTAATTCACTTGATTTTTTTTTTTTTCCTCTTAAACGTAGTGCAACCCGAACGAATCAACTCCTTTCTTATATTCAATCATATTCCCTCCCATCTTCTCATATACCCCTCATCTCCTGAAAAATTAAAAGGATGATTCATTATCTTATTTGACATTATAAATAAAACGACATAACAAAAATATTACTTTTTTTTTTCTTTTTTTTTTTTTTTTTTTTTAAAAAAAAAAAGTTATCATATCAATTGTCACACAAAACATTCAACATATATCTTGCAACATGGTATCCATTTTTTTTTTCATGTTCCGAGAAATTAAGCTTTTCTGTTAACCTTTTATACCATTTGCTTACTATAAAGATATCATCATCATCATTTTATCATAAGCATGATTCATCAATCCAGTATCATTCATCCCATATTATTATCATAACATATCATACCATCTTGTCGATACATCGGTATACTGGTCTAATATAAATGTGATGAGAAAAAGAAAAGTTGAATTTCTCCACATTATTTTCCTTTTTCAATAATAGTCTCGTAAAAACTATTATCTAAACAACTCATGAGGTTATTTTTTTTTTTTGGTTATCACTTGAATTTTTTTTTTTTTTCGTCAAGACTTGGTATTTGGAATATCTTTTTGTCAAGTTGAAATCCTCATAGATGTTTTCAAACAATTTGTTGATGATTTCATAAAGGGGATCTTGGATATTTCAGGGAAAGGGATCTACCGCTCCTCCACTCCGGTGCTTGAAAAGAAATGGTTAGTATCAACTAAATATTATTTGTATATGTGCACTTACGAAAAAAAGAAAAAAAAAAAAGAAGATCCAAACAACAAGGAAGAACGAGAGAGACGCAAGGACGAACAACCAGAGGGAAAGCAAGACCAAGAACAGCGAGGAAAACGGGAAAACAAGAATCAATGTGTGACCAGGTGAACGGAAAGAAGAAGATATCAACAAGGAAGTAGCCAAAAAAAGCAAATGATTTTATTTTTTGTGTAGAAGAAAGAAAAATAATAGAAAGGAGAAAATAAAAAAGTCTGTTTTATATTGTTTTTTTTCTCCAATCACATTGAAGCTATCAAATAATCATCAATGATCCAACCATTATATGTCATAAAATAGCATATAGAATTCATATTTCATAAAATAAAAGGCTAACTTGTAAGAGATCATGTATTATTAAGAGCATAAATTATTAAGAAAGGGTTTAGGGTTTTCAGGAAATTGACGGACTTTGGATCTTTTATCGTTTTTGGGAAATATCAAACACGAATTTTTTTTTTTCATTCATTTTTACTTTTTTTTTTATTATTATTCATTGAGTTTCAATGTCAAAGGATGCGATAATGGAAACTATTATTGGACCCATGCCTATTGATCCTGATGATTCAACACTTAACAATGATAAAGATACTTCTTCTCAAGACAAGAATAAAAAAAAAGACGATATGGACACGAATGAACCTAGTAGTGCTATTGATACTAATGATATTGATACCGAACTGGATTTAGCACTGGATAATCATCTTCGTGCTATGGATCATCAAATACAAGATGACGAGGATGAAGAAGATGATTATGACCAAAGCGATACACCTTCTCCACCTGCTTTATTCTTTTTATCTCAGATTGGCAATAAATTGGACCATTTGGAATACGATCAACGCATCTTACATATAGCTAACACCAACATAGTTGACATGTCTTGGCAAGATCTGAAGACCCTTATCAAAGACACATTCTCAAAGGTAATATAAAATATTTATACATTATGTTAATTTGTCAACAGTCTAACTCCTTTTTTTTTTTTTTTTTTTTTTTAGCAATGCACAGCCTTTGAACAAGGGATTTCTGATACAGACGTACTATCAGCTGTTAATGGTATCAAGACAAATATATATCATTGTATTGATCATCATTCTGGGTAAGTCAAAGATCTATATTAAGACCAGTTCTGATATAATTCTTTATTATTTATAGAATTCCTTTTACTATTCAACGATTATGCGAATTGATCTCAGAACCTACACGACACTATGAATATTTTATCAAATACCTTCATGCTATTGAAAAGGTAAACTTAAAAATTGATCAATGCAATGAAATATATATATATATATTAATTCCATCCTTTATTCTTCTTATTAAAAAAAATAAAGGTTTTATCAGTAGCATCTACTTTGGATTCATTTTCAGAAGATGATCCTTCTCACACGAATGGATCAACAGAACAATTGGATCATATGTTACATTTAGGATATGAAGTGACTCTACCGACGTATACACCCATTTCCACCGAAGATCAAAAGGATGATGATAAGGATACAATTGACAATGAACAATCCCAGTCTAATGGCATCTTACATGATAATAACACGGAGGAGAAAAACGATGTAGATATGGATACTCAAGATGATGAAGCAACAGTGACAGATTCTTCTTAGACATCCTTGTTCCCCATGATATCTAGTTTATTTTAGTTCTTCTTTTTGTTTTTTTGTTTTTTAGTATATATTTATATATAATCTTCTTCTATTACAAGTCATTTACAATTTTATACATATCATTTTTTTTTGAATATATATATATATATTGATTATATTTTATTGATAGATTTGTATTTGATATATATATAATAAGTGTGTAGATATTCTAATAATAAAAAAATAATAATAATGGAATGAAATGAGGGATATGGACAATAAAAGAGGGGGTAACTAACGATAGTGAGGTTTCATTCTGGAAAAGGCAAATACACCAAGAATAGCAACACCCAAAAAAGTGATGGCAGCAGGTAAAAACAATTCTTGAGGAATTCCAGCAATTTCCACAGAAGGTGTTCGATGTCTTGATTTCCTTGGAGAATCAGTTATTATTTGTTCATCCACATCCGAATGTGTTTCTTCTTGGGTTTTGTCATCTAAAGGTTCAATCGGGGTAGGTGTCTTTGGGCTAACCGTTTGTTCCACAACATAACCGTGAAGCATATCAATAGTGTTGGGGATGGAACGATCGACGACAAATAACATGATTCTATCCTTTCCAGCCTTCCGAGCAAGTTGTAATGCATCACGTACATCCGAGTCCGAGGTCATCAAGACTTGATCATCTTCATCATCCACATACGAAATCGTCAACCAGTCCATACTACCATCATCTTCCTCTTCTCCTGTCGCTGCTAGATGGTCTTGAATCAATTTGGGTCGTACCATGTCGAGGACTTGTTGATAGGTCGGTTCCGTGATCATGAATCGGTGGCTTTGCCCGTTGGGTAATTTGTACTTGAAGGCAATACGATCATCTGTCTTTTTATTTTGGGAGCGTGAACGGTCCTTTTGATGGGATGAAGTGGCCGATTGATTGTCATCATTATGAGCTACCATACTTGCTGATTCATTGGGCGTGATTTCTGGGAATTCTTGTATGTTGGCATCTGGAGAAATCGCATTTTTCGCACGTGGTTGATGAGGTGATTGACGATGATGATGTTGTTGAGAAGCTGTGTGTGATGCTGAAAGAGAATCTGATAATTGTGATTCCGTTTCCGTATGTTCATTTTCTCCAAAACTATCCCAAAATCGTGACCACATAGGACCTAATTTTTTATTTTAAAGAAAAAAAAAAGTCAGCTACTTTTAATCTATAAGAATTTGCATGAATTACCTTCACCATCACTACCTTGAATACTATTAATCTGTAAAAAAAAAAAAAAAAAAAAAAAAAAAAAAAAAGGAGGAAATCAATTCATGGTCTTATGAAAATCACATGATCATTACCTGTTCGAGAGTAGCATAAGTTAATTTCAATACATCTACCATACCAACAATAGATCCTTCTTCCAAAACTGGTAAATTCAAATAATGTCCATCTAAACAAAAAAAAATAAGTTTCTATATTAAACAATAGTTTGATTACTTACCATTCATTCGACGTAAAGCTTCCATGATAGTTGTTTGAGGATCAGCACAATCAGGGTTAGGTGTCATGACACGAACAACAGAGCAATTGTCAGGAGATAGACCAGCGGCAACCACACGAAGAACCTAAAAAAATAATTAGTCACTAAAAAAAAGTAGAGATTGGCTCCTTTCTTCCCCCTCCCCCTTTCCTCTTAGAAAACCCATACTTACAATATCCTTTCTGGAAACATAGAAGAGAAAAAAAAAGAAAGAGAGAGAATAAGACATCATATCAATAAATCCTCTTTCTTTGTTTACTCACGTTGTGAAAATCCCAGCTAAACCTTCTCTATCAGTAACAAGAACAGCGGTAGTATGATGTTCTTTCATCAATCGAGCCACTTCACGGACATTTGTCTTGACATTAACTTCGGCAGGAGGATTGCCGTCCATAACAGAATTCAAATCAGGACATGACATTCGATCACGTAGAGCTTCCATATATTGTACCAATTGGACAGGACCACTTGACCATTCACGTTCCACTCCTTGTAAAGCATCATATAATTTTTGAGATGATCCAAAAGCGCGTTCCATTTTATCTAAAGCTTCATATAAACATTTGGTGATATCCAATAATCCAAAGATATCTCCTTCTTCATTACAAACAGGCTATTATATATAAAGTTAAACCCCCTGACGATAGTTTATTTATTTATTTATTCTTTACCAAATGACGGAAACCACGAGATACCATCAGGTTTAAAGCATCAGTTGCACTTGTATCAGCAGTGACACACATTGGCATTTTCGTCATAATATCAGCCACAGTCGTCGTCCTAAAATGGCAATCAAGTACAACAACAACAACAAAAGAAAAAAAAAAAAGAGAATTGAATTTCTTCCGATCTCGTCCAACTCTGTATTGTTCTTTTTTTTTGGTTACCTAGGATCAATTCCATTAGCAGCAACTACTCTATAAGCAATATCTTTAGCCTATTCAATATAAAAGTTAAAATAAATACTATAGAGGAATAGTTCTTTTTTTTTTTCTATTTACTGTAAAGATACCACTTAGATGATCATTTTCATCCACCACTAAAACACAGTCTCCTCTTTTGGCTGCCATAAGTTGAGAAGCTTCGATAACCAATAAATGTTCTTTGACTGTCAAAGCTTGAGTAGGTCTTAAAGCTGATACTGTTCCTGGTACTTTTCGTCCATGTCGTATACCTCGACTATTGCTTTGTTTCTTTTTGGAAAGTTCTTGTTCAAGTTTTCGTCGTATCGCCTTTTATTTTTTAAAAAAAAAAGAAAAGTTATGGATATAAAAAAAGAATGATAATATTTATTTTGAAGGGAAATCTTACCTCATCCTTCTTTGACTGACGTTGTCGACTACCAAGACTAGCTGATTCTGAAGTATCAGCACGGGAAGGTGCTACCGATGGTAACCTACTACGATGTTTGGTAGACATGTTTTATATTCGGTTGATAAAGAAAGAAGGGGAAAAAAAAAGAAAGGAAAAAAAAAGTTGAGAAATGAACAAAAACAAGGGCGATTCTTTTTTTTTTTACCCTGGCGGAGCCGGAATAAAGGTTGCCCCTGTGTGTGTGTGTTTGATACACTAGAAAGAAAAATAAAGGAAACACTAAAAATGGACATCAATCCCTTTCTTTTTTTCAATAATACAATACAAAAGAAGAAAATGTTCATCTATGTATCTTGAATATTGAATTTGATACTTTTAAATAATCTCTCATCACGTTAATATATAGATATATCTTCTTTTTTTATAAACAGGAAATACATAAATTATATTATATGACATATTTCATAAAAAGCTGGAATTCATATAAAGAAGTAGGTTCTTTTTTTGTTTCATTTGAATAGAAAAAAAAAAAACTATCATTCATAAAGTCCGAACACTATGTAGTTTATTGTTCTTTCTGTAGGCAGCTTGGACCATGAGAGAGAAAGAGAGTGTACGGGGAAAGCACTTTCCATAAAAGGCACCTGACCTGAAAATGGTTCGGAGGCTTAGAGGCACATGGGGTTAAGGTGAACTGACAGCATTTTTTTTTTTTTTCTTTTAGCAAAAAAAAAAAAAGAGTTGGATTGCTGTCTGACTTTTTCCAAGCTATTTATTTTTTTTTTCTCTCTCTCTCTCTCTCTTTTTCCTTTAGTTTTTTTTTTTTTTATATCTATATATATCCATGTTATCAGTTTGTAGACGAGCTGCTACATTGACCCCAGGATCTCTTCGATTCCTTAGTCAACGACGATGGAATAGTGATAGTAGTAGCAACATCCCACCCAATAATAATAATAATAATGAAAAAGACGAAGAATCAACTAGCAAAGACTCACAGTTTGATGGATTATTGCATGTTTTAGATGGAAGTGCCTCTAAAGCCAACAAGACTTCAGCAGTAGAAGGTATTACTAGTATTCTTAATGAATCCGCCAACAAACAACAACAACAACAACAACAATCAATTTTTGGTAGTAATGTGGGTGATAATAATTATGATATGAGTTATTTATCCATCTCTTTATCTTCCATGACCCATGCACCTTATCAACTTCATGTCAATGCATCATTTAATAATACCATTATTACCTTGACACGACCTAATGGTTCTCCTTTGGTAACTACTTCTGGTGGTAGTGCTGGTTTCAAAAAAGCTCAACGAAGTGGGTATGAAGCTGCCCATCAAGCTGCTATTCAACTATTGGAAAAAATGCAAGCCAAGAATTTACAAATCTCCAATGTTCATATCATCCTCAAAGGTTTTGGTCCTGGTCGTGATGCTGCTTTTAAGGCTTTGGTTGCTGGTGCTGCTTGGAATGTTCGACGTATCACTGATGCTACTCCTGTTGCCTTTGGTGGTTGTCGACCCAAGAAAGCTAGACGTCTTTAAGGATTATTCTTTTATATTGTTTTATTTTAAATATTCTTGTACATGTAGATTTTTTTTTCTCTTAGATTAGTTTCTTTTATTTGTTGTCATATTCATCCTTCAATAAAATGAAAAAACCTCACTTTTTTTTTATATATACTTGTCGTGACTCGAAAATCATCCTATATTTGTCCACCAGGGGGGAGGAAAAGGCATCCTTTCTCTCTTTTTTTTTTTTCTTTTTTTTTTTCTTTCTTTCTTTCAACCTTCATACTAATTTGATTATCAATATGCTCAAATCAACTCAACTATTACGTTCTCGTGTCTCTCCTTTTATTTTTCAAAAGCAACAACGGACAATCGATCTTTACAGCAAACGATTCTACAAAATGAGTGTAGGTTCCATAAAGAAAGGTCAAATTGTTCAGTTCAAGGACAAGGCTTGGAAAGTGTTGAACCGTGATCATTCTTCTTCAGGACGAGGAGGGGCTGTTATCAAGGTAATAATCAATAAATAAATAAATAAAAAGAAAAAAACTTTTTCTAATGTTGATATATATCATATTTTAGATTGAAATTCAAGATATTCGAACTATGGCCAAGTCAAATGAACGATTCAAATCAAATGATACCTTGGAAAGTAAGTATTTTATTGGAAAAAAAAAAAAAAAGAAAAGAAGAAAATAAATTCATATTATATACATATATTTTACTTAAGGAAATGAATAGTTTTGAATTTGCAGGATGAAAACTATCAATTTCTTTATTCCGACGGTCCACAATTACATTGTCTTCATCCTGAAACGTTTGAAGAAATTATTTTGACAGGTGATATGTGTGAAGGTGGAGAACGATCATTAGCCATGTTGGAAGGTAAAGAAATAAAAAATAATAATAAAAGAAAAAAGAAGATATACTCATTCCTTTTTTTTTTCTTTTTAAATAAACAATAGATGGTATGCCTATTGCTATTAGTTTCTTGACAACACCAGAAGAAGGAAGACAACCAGCAATATTCAAATTACCTGCCAATTATGTATATACAGTGGATTCAGTGGTAGAACGTGCTGGTCAAGCTGCCAAAGGAACCGTTTACAAAACTGCTTCTCTTTCTAATGGTGCCAAGTTACAAGTCCCTGAATTCGTACATGAAGGTGATCGCATCGTGGTGGATATTGAAAATATGAAATACGTCAAGCGTGAATTATAGTGATTAGATTATCCCTTTTTGTTATATAGACATCTTTTATCAGTTAATATATCTAAAATATAATACGAAATTTTTTTTTTGTTCTTTGTTTATTGTTGATCATGATGGATGAATGGAGATTGTTCCCTGGTATAATGGTTACTATTTTAGGTTCCCACCGTGAAAATTTCATTCGTTGAGTAATCCGGTACTAAAATTAAAACTGTTTTGTGGGGTAATGGAGTGTGTGTGTGAATGAGGTCTACGCTTTCTGATTGATATCATATGGTCCTTTCTCGGAATGGTACAGAATGTAAAATATGTCTTCAATAGTAGTAGTCTCATTCTCAGCCTGTCTTTTCAGTCGAAGTAAGACTGCAAAATCGATAACCCAGTCGCTCCCGCCCCTGGTTTCAACCTGCCAAATTGTGCTTAAAATAAACTCTAATGATGGAATCTTACCGAAAACGGTGAGCCACGCCATCCTAACATCTGACGTCTTCGTTAATTATACATAAATGGAAATCCTCATCGGCACAGCTCCTACCATATTTCTCCGGGTTTTCAATTGTAAGATGGGCAATAGAAACAAACGTATCATCGTCATAGTAATACTATAGACTATTTTAATCATCAATTACCATCATTCAAATCATGTAGGAGACGAGTTTTTTTTTTATTTTTATTATGATCTACAAACCATAGGTAACATCTTCAAAGACTGTAATGATTCACAAGAATATAGATCGCGTGGCTGAATGAACAATGGATATTGTTACAATTGATTTTTCTTTTTTGAGTCATAAGAAATGAAATGTTGGCTTTACGAAACAGAATATTGCCCAAAAAGCGACAAAAACCGATGATGAAATCTACTGAGTATGAAATTACGCTTAAATCATATGACCGAAGTTCATTAAAAAGGTTTTCTTTTTGATTGTCACCTTTAAAAAAACCTCTCTTATCTTCCTTTTTCTCGTCTTTTTTTTTTCTTTTTTTCTTCTTTACTTTCTTATCGAACCAACATACTACTCTTTTTTTCTGGTTATTATTATGAATTATCAAGAAGCATTTGACAAGGTTACTCAATCGATGCCTAACCGTCGTGAACTAGAAACGGTTGGCAAAATGACAGCCATTGGTCTTGCCACCTATATTGTCACCAAGGTAATATAAATGACAAACGCGTAACTTATATTTTTGAATTGTTTTTTTTTAATATTGAATAATATTCTACTTCTCTTATTTTTACCAGAAACTATATGATGCTTATGTCGGTCCTCTTAGTGGCGTGCCCTCTACATTTTATGCTAAATTCTTTACTATATCAAAAGGATCTTGGGACAACCCTGCTGGTACCTTGTAAGTAAAAAGGACAAAAAAAAATAATAAATTATGCGATTATTTACATTTCAATTCTAGATTTAAAAAATACTTGGCTTATACTGACAAATATGGTCCTGTAGCCAAGTTGGGACCGTCTACTTTATTGATCGCTGATAAGACTATGATCAAACAGGTGTTACAACAAGATGATTTGGAAAAAGGGGAAATGTATGATTTGTTTAGAAGTAAGTGGATCATTGTAAATATGAATCTTTTTTCTCTTTTGTCTCTTACTTTTGATCATACTCATCAACATATTATTTATTTATCTGTTTTTCAAATTTAGAAAATGGAATTGACACTACTTTCAATATTAGGGATAAAGATGCACACAAACATTTACGACGATTGATTTCACCTGCATTCTCTATCAAATATCTCAACTCTTTAGAAACTCATATGCATGATATGTTACAAAACCTATTGGATAAGATCTATAGCAAGGTAGGGGATCATCCTGAACAAGGTGCTGTTGTGGATATTTGGAAATTATGGCAACATCTTGGTCTTGATGTTATTGGAACTACTGCTTTTGGACAAACCTTTGATATGATTAAAAATGAATCTCATCCTGTTCCTGATAGTATTGCTTCAGAAATGCGTTGGTCTAATTGGGTAAATATATTTAAATTGATTTTTTTTTTTCATGATACTAATCATTTTTTATAGATTATTGCACATCCTTATCTTACCAAGATTCTCACTTTGGGTCGACCTATCAAATCCAGTCCCGTGATCACCGATGTAACCAAAAAAAAAAGCTCTTTCCCGATCTATGTGTACAACTAATATTAACTTTAATTTTTTTTTTTAATAGTTCATGATGAAAACCATTGAAGCACGGGTTACAAGTGGTGAACGTCGTCATGACATTTTACAAATTTTATTAGACACAAAGCAAGCTGAAGATCCCAATGACAGATTTTCTGATATCCATATCATCACTGAAACGATTCTATTTTTGATTGCTGGTAATCATCATCATTATACCAAGATTTTATATATTGACTCTTTTTTTTTATAATAGGTTCAGAGACAACTTCAAACACTTTGGGATTTGCTGTGATTGAACTTCTTCGACATCCTCAAGCAATGAAGAAACTGCGTGATGAAATCGATACTTTGGAATTTGTAAATCCGGAACGACATATCTTTAACCATGACCAACTCAAGAATCTACCCTATTTAAATGCTGTGATCAATGAAACATTACGATTGGATCCAATGGCAGCTAATGGTATTGAACGACGAGCAGAAAAAGATGTAACTCTTGGTGGAACTCTATTTGTTCCTAAGGGTACTGGAATTACATGCAACGCTTATCATGTCCATTTGAATGAAAAATACTGGCCCAATGCTCGCTCCTTTGAACCTGAACGTTGGTTGCCTAATGATACTCCTGGTAGTGTGAAACCCGATTTGGATGCCTTTTATGCTTTCAGTATTGGATCTCGCAATTGTATTGGCAAGAATTTCGCTTTGATGGAAATGCGTCTGGCTCTTTCTGCCTTGATCAAGCTGTTTGATATCACCGCTATTCCTGATGAAATGGAACAAGCCAATGATATTCGTCATTTTGTTACTTTGACTGTGGCTCAGAACAAGTTCAATGTTATCCTTCGTCCCCGTCGCGTCTGATCAGTAGAAGTAATTGTAGTATATATATAATAGTGGTAGTTTGTAGTATAAGTTTAGGTATCTTGATCCAATATGTTTTTTATGTTTAATTTATATTTATCTAATTTCATTTGAAATAAAGAACATTTTTGTGTATATTCTTTTTCTTATACAGGCAAAGCGGATACCATCGGCGGGTCTTGAATTTCCTTTTTCTTTTCTTTCAACTGAAAAATAAATCTCTAGTGCTCATTTCCCTTTTCGTTGTCTCTTTTTCTTTTGCTACTACTTTTTTTTACAACATGGCCTTTTGGAAGCCTGGAACTATTGCTCCTGGTAAATTTATAAAAGATTTATCTAAAAGAAAAATTAACAAGATATACTAATACTTTATTTCTCAATGGGAATAGGTAGCTCTGTTGATCGTGATACTGAAAACGAAACTGATACAACCGTTATAGCTCATGCAGAACAGCAATACAGACATCTTACTTTAAAGCAACAACGAGAAAGATTACCAGTTTTCAAACTACGTATGTTTATTACCCATTCATGATAAAAACGATCTCCCAACTCTACACTCAACTTGGATAAAGGCATCTTTCTGGATCTATCTATTCACTCAATGTTTGATCTTCTTTCTTTTCTGTAGGACGTGAACTGTTGTATTCTATAGAGACTTATCAAACAACCATTGTTATTGGACAAACTGGATGTGGAAAAACAACGCGTATGTACAAAAATACCTCTTTCTTCTTTTTTATATATATATATTTTGACTGACCATTTTATACTAATGATTCGTCATTGTTCTTTTTTCTTTCTTTCTAGAAATACCACAATACCTTGAAGAGGCAGGATGGACTCGCAATAGAAAACAAATCGCATGTACTCAACCTCGACGTATAGCTGCAACCACTGTTGCTCAGCGTGTAGCCGATGAAAAAAGTGTCAAACTTGGTGATGAAGTAAGTTCTTGTTCCAAAAAGATTCATTTAATTGACATTTATATCTATACTAGGTGGGTTATCTTATTCGATTCGATGATCAAACGTCATCCAAAACTCGTATCAAATACATGACAGATGGTATGCTATTCCGGGAAACAATGATCGATCCATTATTGACAAACTACGATGTGGTGATGATTGACGAAGCGCATGAACGAAGTTTATACACTGACATTTTATTAGGCGTCCTTAAAAAGTAAGTAAAAAGAAAAAAAGGATTTTTTTTTATATTAAAAATGGGGTTTATTTCATTTAGAATTCAAAAAAAACGACCGGATTTACATGTTATCATCTCCTCAGCAACCTTGGATGCCGAAACGTTTTACACTTTTTTCAATCACAATACTACCAAGGATCGAAGCAAGGATACTGCCAACATTATCTCTTTGGAAGGCCGAATGTATCCTGTAGATACACTTTATGTAGATGAACCCGTACCTGACTATGTAGAAAAGACGATTCAGACAGTGTTTGATATACATACTCAGGTAAGACTATTGGATTTTTTCAACTCAAACAAAAAAAAAGGTGACTGAATCATTATTTTTATAGGAAGCTCGTGGTGATATTTTGATCTTTCTTACTGGACGCGAAGAAATTGACCATGTTGTATCAGAAATCTATGATCGTGCCAAAACGTAAGTTTATTTGTGAAAAAAAAAATAGAAAAAAAATGCGCATATTAACTTCCTTATGAATGTTTTTTTAGATTGCCAAAGGGTAGTTTATACCTTGAACCATTACCTCTGTATGCTGGATTGACTTTACAAGAACAACTTCGAGTTTTTGAACCAACACCAAGAGACTCTCGAAAAGTGATTGTATCTACAAATATCGCTGAAGCTTCTGTTACCTTGGAAGGCATTGTTTATGTTATTGATTGTGGGTTTGTCAAGGTAAATAGAAGAAGAAGAAGAAGAAGAAGAAGAAGAAAATAATAAACATAAGATGGCATGACTCATAAATGAATTTAATATTATAGATTCGCGCTTACAATCCAAAGACGGGTATGGAAGCTCTTGTGGTTACTCCAATTTCCAAAGCATCTGCATTACAACGTGCTGGGCGTGCTGGTAGAGTAAGACCTGGAAAGGCATTTAGATTATATACTGAAGAAACATATAATACTCTTCGAGACACAAGTATTCCAGAAATCCAAAGGTAAAAAAAAAAAAGATGTATGATCCAATTGATATATAATAAATATATATTATATTATTTCTTATCATTAGAACCAACTTGGCACCGGTAATCTTACAATTGAAAGCTCTTGGGATTGATAATGTACTACGATTTGACTTTGTGACAGCACCGCCTGCAGCATTGATGATACGTGCATTAGAATTACTCTATTCTTTAAAAGCACTGGATGATGTTGGACGATTGACACTTCCACTTGGTATGACACTGGCTGAATTCCCTGTGGATCCCATGTTAGGCAAGATCTTACTTTCATCTGGTGATTTTCATTGCAGTCAAGAAATAGTCACTATTGCAGCCATGGTATCTGTACAAAACATCTTTATTCAACCATCTCGGAAAATGGATAAAATGGCGGTACTGGATATACGACGACAGTTTTGGGTAGAAGAAGGTGATCATCTCAGTTTACTCAATGTGTACAATGGATTTATTCACAATGGCAAATCTGGTAAATGGTGTCACGATCGGTTATTGAACTTCAAAGCATTAGCAAGAGCCATCCGAATTCGACAGCAATTGGTCAAGTATTTGAAACGGTTCAAAGTACCTATGGTGAGTGCTATGGATTCAACAAGTCTGGATCAAGATCAACAACGTCAAATAGCATCCGAACGTATTCGAAAATGTCTAGTCAGTGGTTACTTTTCACAGGCAGCAAGAGCCGAACCCGATGGAAGTGGGCGATTCCGTACCATCCGTGATGGTGTGTTACTCAATATTCATCCTGATTCTGTCCTCTTCAATCGCAACCCATCATGCGTTTTGTTCCATGAAGTCGTTGAAACAAACAAGGCTTATATGCGCGACTTGACTGCTATTGATGAAGCTTGGTTGGCTGAACTCGCTCCTCATTTTTATCAATATGCAAACACCAAGAAATAGTGATAGTTCACCCCCTCCAGTTTAGATCATCACATTGTATTATTATTATTCCTCTTTTTTTTTTTTTTTTTTATCCATCCATTCATTCTATATCGAATCACATACACATATATACATATATTTATTAAAAAACAATGTTTATTCTATTTTTTTTTTTACTTATTTATTTTTATGATATCATATTATTATTAAGCAAGCTTTTATATTAAAGTTGCCTTAGTTTATTGATCATCACCAAGAGTGATCGCACACTTTATTCAAGACATTCATTTCCATTTTTGGACAATATGTTTAAAAACATCTATTCTTCTTTTTTACTCTTTTATAAAAAGTACTGGGAAATATCACATCTTTATCACGGCAGGCCAGATCATGGACAGCGACAAACAATTCGCCTAATACTTGAGTTTCTTTCCAATTGTTCGCATAATTTGCAGTCTTCATAGTTTTGTCTTTAAGGACCATGAGCATTTTGTGATTCTTTGTTAGGATCCCAAAATCAGGTTTAGCCACGACACGCTCTTATTTTGAATGCTGAGAGTTGTATCGGTCGATATAAAAATAACGAGACAAAACGTAAGTGTTTTTTTTTTTAACAATAAAACTTTGTTAAAGAGAAAAAGGAATAAACCCTATAAAAAGCTCCTTTTATAAATAAAGTATCAGATTACTCTTAAAAAAGAGAGAAATAGCAAGCCCGGGAACTTATATATATATATATGTGAGTCTTTACCCCTGATTGATAAAAGATACAGTAAAAGAAGAATATGATAAAAATAACAGTATGATCAAAAAAATACAATAATAAAAAAAGGACCATTGTAACGTTAAAATGGAAACTTTATTGGATAAAAAGTATAACTAGTAATCTCTACTAACTAAATGATATAGTAAAACAAAAAAAGTCAACACAAAGAAAAGAAAGAAACCAAAAATGGAAAAACACGATCACTGTATAATTTTTTTTTTTTTTTTTTTTTTTTTTTTTACTTTTAGTCAATTCTGTATGCAAGACAACATTTCCAAGTTTGATCATCATCAACAATGATAGAAATATTATCTGGTAAATCTTTATTCCAAAACCTGATATCACATTGGTATGAATTACCATAACCATTTCTTCTGGATCAAAAGGGCGGACAAATTTTGGAATGCCGCTTATAAAAAAAAACCAGTCATGACGTTAGGTTTATGATACGGTCCAGTTTGTAAAACGCGAAAAAAAAAGTTTGTTCTTTCTTTCTTTTCCTTGCTGTTTCTTTCTTTCTCTCTTTCTTTCTTTATTTGAATACCATCGTTTTATATGACTTCATCACATCTCGACGAAAAGTTTGATGGGTAAAAATAACATAATATTCTTTTTATTTATTTATTTATTTAACTATTATTCTTTAACAATCGTTATTTATTTTTTGATCTTTTTTATTAGAACTTTTCGCCAGTTGTTTGACACTATTGAACGAGGTACGGAACAATGCTCAACAGATCGTTTACAAACTATCTTAGAAGAAAAAACAAGTCAACTTAGTCTTGGATTAGATTACTTCACTGAACCTTCCACTACTTCACGCAGCAAACTCATTCCAGATAAACCTCTCAATCTAGACAGTATCACTTTTACACTTAGTACCGATGAAAAAGATATTGTTTGCCTCTTTAGTGATGCCTTACAACTCAATGAACAACAATGCGCCATTCTTTGGAACTCTTTTCGACAACAACACCCATCCATTGTATCCAAGTTTTTCAAACATCGTCAACAACAAAAACAAGATTCATTGTCAAATGTTCAAAGCTATGATGAAATGTTTCTTGTCTTTGCTCAACTTTACTTTATTGAACGTTTGTCATTATTACAATCCATTTCTTCATTACTTCGACTATGTCAACAACAAGATGATTCTATGCAACAACATCCTTATACGACAATAGCTATTGATACTGTGGAAACTATCAACAACAAAACGGGTGACGACTTGCCTGGGCGACTTTTGGTACAGTTTAGTCGTCTTGTACGTACTTCTGTTCCTACAACATTTTCAACACCACCTTCTTTGGTTCATGAATATACTCAACAACTTCTCAAGGAACAAAAAGCTTTACTGGAAATTATGATGATTTATTATATCTCTCGATCTTGTCCTGCAACCACCGTTCTCAACATTTACAAGGAATTTGAAGCCAATGGATTTGGAATGGAACAAACGTTTGGTCATATGTTGAATGCGACAGGTCGACATTTACGTTCTGAAGTGTCATACCTTTGTGTTCTTTTATCTGTGGAATTACTTCAACAAGCAACAATGATAGACAACGGTCTCAAATCCTCACCTGAAATCATCATCTCGCTCAACGATGTGGTGTCATTTTTGGGGGACATCAAGGAACACGCTTTACCTATATTGGCTTGGGTGGATTTTCTTCAATGTATGGATACGATTCTTGAAGACAATGACAAAAAGGACTATGGAAAGGTCAAGGCTTTATTACGCGGAGAACAAATTCACTCACACGATACTGCAGCATCAAGTCTTTTATCTTCAAAAGAAAGACCCAAACACACTCACAGTACTAGAGTTTCAGCAACCACGACAAGATCCAATCGTGTACCACTGACTGAACAAGGACCAGAACTTCTTCAACGTTATATCTCGAGAGCATTTGGGCAAGGTGCATTCGACTATATCCATACTATTTTATCAACAAGTGACTTAATCAAGGATGATGATGTCAACAAAGTGGGTTACCTCAATATATTATATGAATTGCTTTATAGGTTTACCTTGGATGTACGACTCGAATTATTGTCTGAACATGCGCACAGTACTATAATTCAAGATTTTTGTTTACTTCTCAAACATGAGCCTGCGTTATGTTGTCGATTCTGGAATGGTAATCAAATGCAAACACCAACAACAATGGATATGGATGACAACGATGAACATTCAACTTCTTTGGCTCAATTATTCTTGAATCCTGAAAATGGTCGGTATCCTCGTCGCTTTACTGATATCATCCAATTGTTGACAGCTGCCTGTGGTGATGTCTCGACATCCAGTGATACTTCTACTACAACAATGATCACTCCGGTGAAACATGTCAATGATTTCTTGTTTCCTACTGGTTGGCCTGCCTTGATCTTGAAACTCTCTCACTATTTGCAAGCTGGTGATGATGCTCCAAATGTGAATGATGTGAACTCCATTTTACAATTATTGGAAAGATTCCTAACTTTGGCTGGTTCTACATTGGTGACTCGTTTGGTTGAATTGATAGAAGAAAACAAACCATTTGGTGCTGCCACTGGTCGCTCTCCTTTTTTGGTTTCCATTTTATGTGAACTTACTACTCGCGGTTGTGCGATACCTGGTTGCAACGTTGAATTATTGACCATGTCTATCAAGTGTCTAACAGCTCTACTTCCATTCTACCCCACTGACCTTTGGTTGTTTATCAGCACATCTTGTTTGTTTCCTCGTCCTTTGGAACGGGACCCTCTTCTGGCGGTATCTTTCAGCAAAGTGCCTACTCGTAGTTTGGGAAGTCAACAAGCAGCTCAAGTCACCCATGTTATTGAATCTGTAGAATGTGAAATTGGCAAATATTCTATTCTTTTGGCTCTTTTGGATTTGATTGGTGGATTGATTAAGGATGTACAACGACATTGGTGGACAATACACGAAAAACATACAACTGCTACGGCAACGACTACCAATGCAACTATGACTATGTCAAGTAGCAATACTGTTAATTCAATTGGTGTAGATGAACAATACAAGGCTGAAATCTTATCTGGTTACTTTCACTACCTTATGGCACATATTTTACCATACTATGCTGGCTGGCGTTACAAGTCTGTATATGATCGGTATTTGATTGGATCCAAAATGATGGCTATCTTTATCGAAGTAGAACGTTTCTTCAAGTTTGACAGCAGCTCTACTATTCCCACGGATGTAATCAGAACGAAGGAAGTATCTACTATGACCAAGGTACGTGATGCTTTGTTGTATCGTTTCTTGAAGGATGAATATACAAGTCAATTTTATCTTTCACCCATGTTGGATGTGATGGCTCAAGGGGCTTGGATGGCCGAAGATCTTTATGCAGCAAGTCGTACTACTGAAGCACGTCAAGCGGAATTATTGACAAAACTTACTCTATCATTTGTCAAATCTTTATTACAACAACAAGAACAACTAGATGGAAAAACAAAGGTAGACTCCACCTCGACTCACGTGGGACTATTGGAAAAGGCCATGTTAAATCATCGCACTGGAAATAACGGCAAGATGGACTTTTTATACCGTTTAACTCTACTGGTCCGATATCGTCAACAACATGATGATGATGATGGCAACCTGATGGCGATCCCTATTTTGGCTACCAACATTTTCTCTCTGTTATGTCTTTGTGTTTCACGATGGATGGTGGTACCCAATTTTGTTCAATATCTTGGTGATACAGATCAAGCGCAATCGATTATCAAAAGTTATTTGGCTATTGCTAAAGATTCTACTCAACCTGAAAATCTACTTACAAGTATTTGGCAGATGATCTCTCTTTTGGTGGAAACTCAACCTAGTTTAGCTTTATTGTTTATGGAATGTGGTGATGCAATCATGCCTAGTCCAAAGACTGCTGTCAAGTTACAAGATCAACAGAAAAAAGGAAAATCTCCATCTGTCACATTTGCACTTGATTCTTCTTCTCAAAACACAACTGGAAACAATGGTGAGACATCAAGCAACGAATCTGCTGTTAGGGCTGCTGTTGAACTTTTGAACTCTTGGCAATCACTCTCTGTGGAAAAGCCTACGGTATTATCGAATGTGTTGAGGTTTTTGGCAACTTTTTGGCAACTAGCATTTGATCATTATGCTATGGTACAACGAACTCGAAGTGATACTGGTCTTTGGCAAGCATTGGAAGCGATTCTTCTCAATCCTAGCAGTTTGGTTTCAAACAATACAAAGAAGAATATTGTGGAACAACAATTACAACTTGAAAACGAATTATTCAACAATGTGGATTTGGACAATGATGATACCAAGCAGGTGCTTTCCAAGGTGCAACATGTTCTAAAAGATATCAATAAATCTATTCAGCAGGAATGTTGTATGCATTTGAATCGAACTTTTATCATGCGACTTGTATCTTTTGAAATCCAATTGACAGCTGGATCACAGGCATCTCAAGGCGTGACTATGGCAATAGGTGATATGTTACCTACTGGACTTAAGAATCTTCTTATCAAATTGGGTGAACCTTCTAAACTTCAATGGATGCGACGTGAATTTATTAGAAATCATTTTGAACCTTCTCTCGCTACTCAAATAGAAGACGATGCTTGTCGTGTTTTGGAATTCTGTCCTTGTACTTCTTCTGAAAGTGATATTAGTCCTCTTATACAGATGGTGACAAAAGTTGGTTTTGGTGATGATGCAAACAATGGTCAAGGCCAAGGTCGTCAATATGGTACATCTTATCTCTATGATCTCCCATTGGCTGTTTCTCGTATTTCTTCCCTTTATCGTCAAGCTGTACAAGTATTCCGTGAAGATGGAGACAATGTTGTTGATGGGGTAACGACAATGGTTCTGGTAACTCCAAAGGTACAGGCTCTCCGTTTGGTCAAGCAAATTTCATTCCAATTCCTCTCGTATATAGGCTTTGCTAATATGAACTGGTCCTTAGTGGATTCTGAAATGATGCTATTACAATCCTTCAAAACCTTGATGGAAACAAGCTCTGGGCATGTGTCTGAAGTGATTTGGCACTCCAAAACCAAGCCTACGTTGTATACATTTATCAATGAACTGATTGATCAAATGATTGAAGATAACCAAGATGCTACGACAAGACAGAAACAACAAGTACACAATCAACAACAAAAGCATGAGCATGAACCTGTGGAAGCTCAAAATAGTGTGACGTTGACCAGTCATCAGCAAGTGGTTGGTTTGATTCGTGCTTTGGTAGAAGATTGGATTAGTTCTGAAAGCGCTTTATTAAACAAGTCATCATCAGCACAAACCTTGAGAACGGAATATGTCAAATCGGCTGTGTCACTCGTATTGAAACTGTGCAAGCTTTTGGATCGTGAAAACTATGCTCTTAAGGATAATATCAACTTCTTCTCTGTGGCCTATCGTCGTCCTCTTTTGGAATCTATCTTATTATGTATTCGAACAGTGCACGCATTCACTCTTCCCACTCCTATTGATGGTGAACTTACAGTAGCTCTTGCTCAACTTCTTCAAGTGACATGTGCAAGTTTTGCAGGTGTGGCCAATAATGCAATTACTCAACAACGACAAAAATCAATGACTCCTGTACCGGATGATGTGGCGGAAGAATGTATGAAGGATGTTACAGTTGTGTTGGCTTTATTAGGGGAACTGATTAAATCAAACAAGTATGGGCGTTCTCTCCTTCCTGTTGGTGTTTGGTTGACAACATTTGAAAACAATGATACTATACCCATGTTATTGAAGTTGGCTTATCATGGTATGGTGTTAGTAGTGGATGAAATGGAAAGGTAAGTTGGAAATGAAAGGAAAATCGAGCAATGTTTTTTTTTTTTTTTTTTTTTGGAATCTAACCTATTTTTTTTTTTTTGATATTTGTTACTACTAGTCAAACTAAATTCGATACTTCCAGTTTATACAATATTATGGTGTCTCCTTATGCAGAAAATGCAATGTACTTTATGGTTGCTTTGGCCAATATTCCAGAAGCAGCTTTTGCTCTCAAGAATCATGGTGTCATGGATTTACTCTGCAACAATGCTTTATCAAGACGACTGGAACAAGGTAGCTTAGATATATTTGTACGATTCGGAGACAAAGTAGTTAGTGGTAGGAAGAACAATAATAATACACCTCAAGATACTATCAGTGGCGGTACAACAGCAACGGATCTTGGTGTGGGTGGATCTGGTTTTGTGGAACGAAATCCTTTACATATTTTATGGTGCCAAATGCTCAATGTGGTTAGCAATATCATTCGATTGGTCGGTAAAGAAGATGATGGTGTATTACGACATGGTGTACTCTTTATTCAAAAATATAGTGGTCAAGTGGATCGAAGTTTTGCTATTGCTAATGGTGCCAATGATTCCCTTCTTGGACTGGTACCTTCTGAATCCATCTCCTCGCCTTTGATGACGGAAATCGAATGGTTGACAACAATTCTTTTTGGTTTGGCCAAGCAATTGGATCGAGTGGCTGGTTATGCTGTCAATATCTTTATGGCTTTCAAGAACTGTGGACTTCCTTTGGTAAAACGATACCTTTATCATTTTACTCATCCCAATCATATGCAAGCTCAACTTTTCCCTGTGGATCAAGATGAAAAGTATCAATCACAAACGTTTATTGACTTAGAAAATCAAAGATCAGTATCATTCCAATCATCACAACAACAAACAAATAGTGAACAACATACAAGTCAACTGATGTACTCCACTACACAACGAGCCATCCGTATTGCAAGAAATATCCTTGGGTCTATTGTACTGTTAACAGAGGCAAAATCAATACTAATCAAGAGTAATAATGAATGGCCCTTCGGAAACACGATTCTTTCACCTGATACACGAACTTCAACATCCTCCATATCCTTTGGCGTCATGAAAGAATGGATTGTCACCTGTTTACAATTAACCCAAAAGACGGCATCATGGATCAAAAACCAACAACAACAATTACGTGACATATCATCTATGCCAATATCAACATTATCATCAGCAATACCATCATCGTCATCTTCAATAACAGCATCATCATCATCATCACCATTACCACCTTCGACCTCTTTTTCACAACCATCTGTCACCGATTTGAAAGCTTTACTGAGGACATTGGAATTCAGCATTGTCCTACTGACCACACAAACTGTCCTTTGGATTGCTAAACCTGATATACATCAAGATGAAAGAAAAATGATTGCCAGTGACAATCTCAAATCTTTAGTGAATTTATTGGATAAGACGAATACCACACTGAAACAATTGGAAGGTACCATGACCGAAATGAAGAATGAATTAGAATTATTGGAAACTCAAGTGATTGATCCATTGAAATATTATTTGATTATTACTTATTTTGTGTAAACCCAAGCAATGAATAAATTAGATTTACATATATATATATATTATTTGAGAAGTCTTTATGAAGAACATGATTTTTTTTTTTTATTCTTATATTTGATGATTACTGCTTTTTTTTTTTTTTTTTTTTTTTTTGGTGCATTAATTGTGACTGTGCGGGGAAGATAGAAGAATAAAATAGTCGGAAAATGGTGGTCAATGTAACGTCCTCTATGTCTTTCTTTCCCGATCCCCTTTCCTTTTTCTTGCCTTTGATGCAATGACGAAATCCGCTGACGATAGACTTCCACCAAGGATTCTTTCGAAAATCATCAATCACCTTCCTCCATTGTCACTGTTCACCGCGTCACAAGTCAACCGTCGATGGTCGCGTATTGTCAAGGACCTGGGTGCTCTTCGGCTTGATTTCCGAGCGTGTGGTCCTGATGCCACCGTTAGTGACTATATGGATATCCTGAAAGCTCAACTCCAAATAGTCAATTGCCAAGGTATTCATTATGTACTCGTTTACTCTCCACGGTCATTATCCTCCGTAGTATTTGACCGATTACAAGCTCTCTGTCCGAATGTCGTCTATTTTGATTATTACTGTACACCACCCTTGGATGATCCTCAACGTTATCCTCCTCTCGCAAGAAAACCTCATTTCTTTTCGCCGTCGCCCACGAGTCCTAATGGTTGGAAACATATTCGTCATCTTCCTTCGTGTCATGGTGACAAAGGCTTTCAATGGATACCCTATTATGCTGATCAACTGACCACACTTCATGCTCACCCGACCGATTTTGTCAAGGTAACACTTGTTGAGAAAAACTATATGTTGCTGACCACACCTGACCTGCCTTACCTGACAGATTTGGTGCTAGACATTCCTCACAAACTGGATGAACGCGCCCTGCATGATATTCACCAACATTGTCCTCGCCTAACGACATTGACATTACGCCGCATGCAAATCAACTGTCATTACCCGAACAAAGAAGGATCGAAATCCGTGCTGCAATCACTGACACTTGATCGTATCACGCTTAGTTCTTTTCATAACCTCCTGTACCTCACCTATGCCTACCCTGAACTTCGCCGCCTTATTGTCCGATTGGATTATCAAATCGTTCTTTCCTCTGCCGCCAAAGATCCCAAGCAACTCAATCAGATCCGTATTCATTGGCTCAACATGATCATCCGATTACATCGACTCATTTGTTTAAAGGTGGTACTGGAAAATTGGTATTTTCAAGATTCTCCCGTGTTGGATGTATGGCCTTGTACGGAACTGATCCGATGGTACAAAAGTACCAGCAAGAAGAAACTGACATGCTTTGAAACAAGATTTGGTGATATGTATGTGGATCTTAAATGTCTATTGAACCCTGATCCTAGTGGAAATCTGAATATCCCATGGACAAAGACGAATGCTGCTTTAAAAACCAATGATTGGCCTATATGATAGTATATATATTATGAATTATTTTTTAGTCAATAAAATGTTATTTTCTTCCTTTGAATGTTTTTTTTTATTTTATTTTGTCATCGAACCATGTCTTCCAATGAACATGTTTATCTTAAAATGAAGGATGATTTGAAATCATGGATCATCGACTCGCTTATGACTATAAAAATAATATACATAATAAAATCCTGCAACAAAAAAGAAAAAAGTGGCCTACGGAGAAGCGTTTTTACATCACCTTCCTTTTTTGTAGTTTGTCTTGATTCAAAGTGAATATCGGGATTTTCCATGGCTAGCACCAAAAAAAAAAAAAAAGGGAGAATCAAGCCTAGCCTATATTCTCCCTCTCTTTCTTTTACATATATTTATCATGGTAAGTGATGAAAATACATATCAACGACATGTACAAATACGTTATAGATGGATGAAACGAATGGATTAGATGGATAGATGGATGGATGGATGAATTGGTGGATGGATGGATTGGATGGATAATTGTTAAAAAAGAAACGATCAACAAGACTATCATGACATTATTATTCATCTATTCAACTCATTCACTTCTATACACACACACACACGTACGCATGCACCAACACGTTCATCTTTCTTCATCTCTACTATCATTTTTTTTCTTCAATTCATTCCAGTCTATACGATTTCCAAATATACATCATTTATAGCATGACACTAATTACATTTTTATGGATATAGGCCAAGAAGGACGTTGCTGCCAAGCCTAGCTCCTCTTCAGGGGGAAAGAAGGCCAAGAAGAAGTGGTCCGCCAAGAAGGTCAAGGACAAGGCCAACAATATGGTTGTTTTGGACAAGCCTACTTATGAACGTTTGTTCAAGGAAGTACCTACTTACAAGCTCATCAGTCAATCTGTCTTGGTCGATCGTCTCAAGTTGAATGGGTCTCTTGCTCGTGTTGCTCTTAAGGAACTCACTGCTCAAGGTCTCATCAAGCCTCTTACCATTCATCACGCTCAAGTTATTTACAGTAAGTTTAGGGAAGGATGATTTTTTTTTTTTTTGGTGATAGGATGTATTGTCACGTTTTTTTTTTCTATTTTACTCATTTTTATTATTATTATTATGATTATGATTAGCTCGTGCTACTGGTGATGAAAAGGCTGCCAAGGCTAACGATGAAGAATAGATTTGATCCTTTTATTTATTTTTTTTGTTCTCAAATCAAATAAAGCAAACCCATATATCTTTATATCAACCTCTTATTATCTCAAATGGCATTTTATTCGTAGAATGTGTTTAGATCATTGGATGACAATTTTTTTTTATTTCTAATGTTTTCTTAAATAGATGATTTGTAGCAAGTTTTATCATTCGCTAGTTTTTTTAGAAAAAAGAAAAAACGTGAAGCGCGATTATTTTTTTTTTCTTTTTCTGCACTATGATTAGAGTTTTTCTTTTTGCATAAGGTTTGAATATATTTCTGGTGATACATTTTTTTCTATATTACGGAAATGGATGATATCAATAGAAACTTCCTTATTCCTTATCATAATCTTTTTAATGATCATAGCTAAATCAATAATTCACTTTTTCTATAATATATAAAAAAAACTTCAGGAGTACTCCGCTCGCGACGTTACTGACTGGTTTTTCACGACTTTTGCGCGCCTGACTTTTTGTTGTCGAACATCTGCAACTTTTTTTTTTTTCCTTTTTCTTTTTTTCTTCTTCAACATTATATTTTTAACTCTCTACAATTGGCTTCTTCTTGGCAAATCAAAGTAAGTTTTTCAGTGTTAATAGTTATTTTCATAGATTATACTGACTTTTGTTATGCTTTTTAGTTCGTACCAAGGACGCTTACTTGTTCTTCATTGTTGTCAAAAGTACCTGTCACAAAACGACGGTAGATTTGTTCGCTTCTTCATTACTGATACTGAAAAAGCTCAATGGTTATACTGGATAAAACAAGAAAACGGTAATTTGAATGTGAACAAGATCATGGTGCATTGCAATCAAGCAGAAATATTTGGTATTAAGGAGATTTTCAAGTATTGGCACATCAAACGTGTTTGGGAAAACCAATAAGAAGATTTCGAAGAATGTTACGAAAAAATCGATTCAAGCCCGATCTGTAACAAGAAGCCAGTTCCTGATGTATTCTGAAAAGGTGGGAGCTTATCCAAAGAAAAAGAAAAAAAAATTGGACTTTTTTTTTAAAAGTTACTCACGAAGTACAGTTTTCAGAGTTTTATAGGTACTTCATGAACACTTCCAACAGAGCAGAAAAATGGATAAAAGCTTACAGACAGGATGCCACTTTTCATACCAACAACTACATGGAGTCGTATCACAATCAGCTCAAGTCGTATCATTTTGGAAGAACAAGAAACAAGCGTGTTGATCGTATTATTTATTTATTATCTCAAGTTGTGATCAATGATTATCGTCAAGGAGCCGTTCAAGTACGGTTTGGTTATAAGCAAGTAGTATCTGACTTGATCTATCCATTATTAAATGAAACCGTGGAGCCTCAACCTGAACATTACAACAACAGATCAATGTTAGTAGCAAGGAATCAAGATGTTGACAAAATCAATGATCTTGCAAGGCGCCCGCTTTCCAGGTGAATCAAAAAGGCATATGTCAACCGATACCATTATCGATAGCGATGATCCATGACTCAGCATTCGCAACTTATCCCTGTCGAATTCCTTCGCACCATCAACGCTAACGGTCTTCCCTCTCATATTCTTGATTTGAAACTTGGTTATGCCCTTGATTATTCTCCGCAACTTGGACCCTGATGTCGGTATCCGCAATGGAACAAAGGTCTTTGTATCTATCCTCAATGATAGATCAATTGTCGTCAAGCTTCTTCAAGATGGTCATCAAGGTGAAACCTTTCATCATCCCCCAAGATCAACATGTGTACTAAAGAAGGTGATTGCCCATTCGTTCTTCGCCACTTCCCTGTACGACCAGCATTCGCAATGACAATCCACAAGAATCATACAACATACTCTGGACATAGTGTAAGACCCAACAGAGTCAAATTCTTTTGCCTACTGACATATGTGAATTGCCTTTATTTGAAGAAACTTTGAAATCACTCTGGATCTGGCGATCCTTTCTTGAACGCCTATCTAAAAAGATGAAAGTTGCTCAGACAAGAAACAAGTTACGGGACGTCGGTTGTAGTCGGTACGAAATCATCTCGCCATCCTATTCTCTCCCTCATGTCTTTTTTACTCCAAGGAATAAGCGAACAGGCTCTCTCTTTTTTTTTTAATTCTTTCTCAATAAAATTTTATATTATACAATTACAGACATTACTATGACGTCTAGGCGACGCCTATACAATTTTATATTTGATTTGTGATGGATGATCATTAGTTTCAGTATATCGCCGCTTCTAATTGAATACAACAAAAAAGGTAGTCTTTATTATATAAATAAATTTTCATAAAAGACTAATCCACTTGGTCCATCATCACGACATAAAAGCCCCTTTTCTTCAGCCATCTATTAAAAAAAAAAGTAAGTACTCCGATATACAGTATTTATGTCATTTATTATTACCTGTAATTGTTCCAATGCTACAGCCAAAGCCCAGTTTTCCAAACTTGCCAATTGAAGAGCTGATAAATGACCTTGATTTTTTTTAACATGATCCACAATTCTTTTGGAAGCCTGATCATTGTTCATCAAAGTGGATTGAACCACCAATAAAGAAGAAGAGAGCTGGCGTAATCGATATGGGAGTTGTAAGTATTCAAATTGTTGACAAGCCTTGTACAAATCCTCGGGAGATATCAATGCCACTCCTCTTGCTCGATTGAAGATACAATAGATATCAGTCAATGGTCGAATGTCATTTTCCTTTTTGGTATAAAGTTTGTCCAAGAATTCCGCCAATTCCCTACTTAATTCTTGATGATAGATGGATCCTGCTGTACCTCTTTTTATATATATATGTATAATATGAGATGAGAAAATCATATCAATTTTTTTTTTTTTTTTACTTTGTCACAGGATTGGAGATACCAAGATTAATCATGTAGCCACGTAAAGTAGAAAGATCTTGATCATTGGGATCCTTATTCATTTTACTAGAAATAGTTTCAGCCAGCTTGACCATTTCATTAGCATTGGCCATCAAACGATCCAAATCTTGAAAAGCATCTGTCATAGTATCATTGGTCACAGAGGATAATTGTTCGATGCGTTGTTGAATTCCTTGAATCCCCACTGCCCTTCGATCTATATTATTCCCAATGGTTGTTGTTGATGAATCCTTAAGAAGAGAAGAAGAAGACGTGGAAGAAAAATCCCATGCTTTGGTAGAGATGGCTGTGTTTAATTTGGTGAGAAATTGTCCCAATCCTCCTTTTCTAAAAGATAATTGTACATGAGTATCACTTTTGATAGGAGGAAGAGAGGATGAAGATTCGGAAGGTGATGGAACTGAAGAGAATGAAGAAGAAGAAGATTGACTTCGTGGTGGTAAAGAAGGTGGTAAATTGTTGGATAGTGGGGTATCGCACATTTCACATCGAATCATACTGGCATGGTTGATAAAAGTACATGCTGGACATGTTCCTGTTATGTTTGAATTATCATTTTCAAGTTGTGAAGTATTGCTGATGATGGGTGGATCCACAGTACGTACACCACATAATTCACATTTTTCAGTCAAAGAAGTATTATCATGAGAACAAATCGGACAGGTCCATATACCTACAGCTGCTGCCAATTGCATTGTTTTTGCTGCCTGAGTGGATAAAGAGTCAGTATCGGAAACCATCCATAATGCGGTTGTTGTATTGTTAAGAATATCTATATCCAAATATAATATCAATTTGGGTGATGATCGAAGAAATCCTCCCTAATAAAAAAGAAATAGTTTAATATTATTTTAAATAACTTTGAAAAAGATTACTTACATATTGGTCAATGTTGGTGATGGCTTTGATGGGAATATCCACAGAATGATCAAGAGGTTTTTGATTATCAACATAAATGATGCGATGACTTGTCAAATAAAGAGTACCTTCTTGATATCCTTCAAGCTTTGACTTTCTACATGTAAATAATAAGTTGTTAAACGGTTGTATTCATAATAGAGAGTCTATTTACCCTTCATAAAGACCAATATGTGCTTGTTGAAGTAAAAGTGATTCTTTCGGTAATAGTTCGGGTCGTTTGGAAGAAGAAAGTTGACATTGTTTAAAGTATTTCATCAAAAAAAAAAAAAAAGAAGTAAAGAAAAGTAAAGAAAAAAAACGCGTAGCACTCAAAACTCTAATTCAATCTCAAAGGACACGTGATTAGTTTTTTTTTTTTTTATTATTATTATTATTATTATTTGAGCCAAACACATATTCATCATAAGCAATAAGATAAAAGTAAAAACATAACATGTAACTCATTCCTTGAATTTTCTCCAAAATGAATGATGACATTTTCATTTTCATTTTAATAAAAGTGTATCTTGGCTTCTTTTTGACTTTTTGAGACATATTGTAATTAAACACAAAAAGCTTCGGAAGAGCCTTAAAAAAAGAAGAAAAAGAAGAAATAAAAAAAAAAATGGAGGGCTTTTTATGTTTGAATGAGTATTGTGACGGTTGTCCATCTATATGAATATAGTCCGCCTTTTTTTTTTTGATGTTCAGGATGCACAAAGTGACCCCTGAAAACACAAGACTATCTGTAGTTGCATCTAAAAGAAAGAGATGAGAAAAATATGTACAATAAAAAAAATCAAGGATGATTTTTATTTGATAAGAGTCATATACAAAATATATTATGTAAAAAAAAAAAGAAAGAGAGAGAGAGAAAGAGAGAATGGGGGGGGGAACTATACAGAATAATATAAAATAGCAAAGAAAGTGTCAATAATAATAATAATAAAGAAATCGAATAGGGGGGAATAATAACAATAATAACAATAAGAGAGACTAGTGAGAAGTAATAGGTTCACGACCACGTAAACTGGCAGTAGCAAGACATTGATTCACTACTTCTAATAAATGATTATTTTCCAAAGCAGCTGCTACTCGTTCTTTATCGTTGAGTTGTTTGTTGACAGCACCTTCAGATTGATGAGTACCTTGTCGTACACGAATATCGACCTTGTAACGTTCAGGTAAACTACGTAATAATCGTACTCGGATACACAATCCAATCAAAGTGGCCATGGAACAATGAGGAATAGTAGGTGTAAATTCAATCAAGATTTGGTTCTTTTCATTATCGACAGTAATATGTTGATTTTGAGTCACATTGAGTTGTTCCAAAGTCAAAGGATGTTCCGGATCACTAATAGACCGAATCAAGTCAAAAATTTCGTCAGCATCAATAGGATCTTGAATATCATCGTCAAGTTCAGCTTCAGTTTCTTCTCTACGGACTACTTTAGTATTGTATACTGTAGGATTGGCATTAATCAAATTAGAAGACATTGTATAATTTAACAAACTAGAATAAAAAGGGAAAAGGAAAGAAAAGATGACAAATAGCTCGATTTGAAAAAAAATAAAAAAAATAAAAATAAAAAAAAACAGTCGGAATGTAATTGATTTGATTGGTCAAGTCTTTCTTCAAGTCACCACAAATAACACCGCATTCCTTTTTTTTTTTTTTTTGTATATAAATTTTATTAAACAATAGTTTGAACATAACAAAGAGGACTAGAGGGAGAAGTATCAAGAAAAGGATCGGAACGTTTAGGAAGATAATTTCTAGGACGTAAGGGACCAATGATTTTATCCGCACGCATCATATTGACTTCGGCCACAAGCATTCGAAGATGAGCAGAATTCATTCGAGGTTCTCTACCACGTATCATCTGACGTTTAGGACTTGATAAATCGACTTGTTTATTATTATTATTACTATTGTTATTATTGGGTATACAATCTTCTTGTTGTTCACCTTCAGACATGGATAAAATCCAGTGTTTACCTTGCCATGCTTTTTGCCAGTTAGCCCAACTATTTTCTAATAAAGTTTCTCGACTTTCCAGTGACTTATCATTTTTGATCATATCATGCTGTTTTAATAGATCGTCATCACATGCCACTGCATCATCGTCATCATCATCATTCGGTGCTTGAAAGACTCGAAATGTTGCTAAAGGCACGTCAATGGGAAAACAAGCTGCATCATTTGACCCATCCATTAGCGTTCGATCATTATTGTTGTCAAAATTGTAATCCATATCATTGTTAAGAAAAGACGATTCGATACTTGTATTGGTGGATGTAGGTGTTAAAATAGGACAACCATCCTCTTCGTCTGTATCCTGTTTTCCATCATCATCATCATCATCATCATCGTCATCATCATTATCATTTTTAGTATCTGTTGAGGACATCATCATCATCAATTGTGATTGTACGTAATGTTCACACAATAGACCGGATAAGGTAGATGCTGTAGCACTATTGATACTATTATCATAATAGGTTGGAGAATAATAATAATATTGTTGTTGATCGTATGTTGTTTCTGAAGGATCGTCGAATACAGAATCATTTGTATCACTACTACTGCTTGAACTATAACTTGATGAATCTAAAGATGGCGGTGATGATGAGTAAGAAAAACTATCGTGCGATTGAATGGGTGCTGTTACTTTAATAGGAGATAAATATGCTGTTTTCGTAGATGGTTGTGAGGGCATGAATCCAACAGGTGAGTTCATCCTATTTCCTGCAGTTTCGGTATGTTTTGAAGGATATGTATCTTTTTTACTTGAAAACCACTTGTTAGCTAATGACGTAAAGAAAGAGGGGGAAGATGAGAGTGCTAACTGAAAAAAGGGGTAAGGGGCCGTTGCGGATGATTCTTGTGTCTATAGATAATATATATTATATATATATATATATATATATAATAGTAATAAAAATAATAAAAAAAAAAAGAAAGGTGAGCGACAACATTCTTTACATTCACTATTCATATCGTTACCAATGCAGGTGCTGTTTTTCTTCGTTTCTTATTGTATGAAGGTATCACACCATAAGGAAGTATTGTGGGAAGAGAATTTCGATGATGGCGATGACGATAGGTTTGATGATGATTTTCATAATGATGATGATGATTTATGTGTGAGGGATCAAAATTGGTAAAGGAATCTATGGTTTGATTCATATTTTATACTATAAAAGTAAAGGCATATAAGAAAGGATGATGATGAATGATGCTATATAATAAACAAGTTCAATAAGTTCAAGAAAAGAGGATAGGATAAAGGGAATGAAACAAAGAAAGAAAGATAAAATAAGAAAAAAAAATAGACATTATCATAATTTTATTTTTAAGGGGCGACTGTATAGAGATAAAGAGGGGAACAGAACAAATTACCTAAAAGAGCATCGTGCGACTTAATGATAATGTATGAAGTTCCCGTCCTTGACTATTTTATAGGTCCCGCACGGAAATGAGTTTGCTCACGTGGACTCGCTTTTTCTTTTTTTTTTTTTTTGTTTTGATTGGGGAAGAGATCTCCATGACGTAAAGGCTTCAACTTTATGTAACTGCTTAAAAATAAAAGATACTTAGACTAAGGAGATATCTCCCTTTTTTTTTTTTTTTTGTTCTTTGATCCCAAGGATTATCATCATTTTAGATTGAAAAACACAAATGGTTTGAATTTAAAGTGAATATGGAATATTCCAATTTTTATAGATCAAAATACAAAATCTCATAGCCAGGACCTCTGCGACACTGTTATTTTTGACAAAACATGAACTTTCACTGAAGATATATATATATGTATGTATTTCTTTTTGTGAAATCAAAATGGGTGGATTCCCTTTTCATATGACTCTATTTGAAGCTTTCAAAACTTTTAAAACGATAGTTGATGAAAGGGGAAAAGTATTTCCTTATAGAGTGATGATGAGTTTTATTTGTGGATCATGTGTAAAGTGGCTCGTTATCTTGTACCACTATTTAAAGGTATATATTATTATTGTTTTTTTCTTTTTGTTTGGTTTTGTGTTTTCTTACGTAGTCCAATAATGTCACATCAATAATAACCTTTTTTTTTTATTTTACTTTTTTTTTTCTTTCCTTCTTTTTTCATTTCATTTTTATTTTATTTTATAGTGATCATTTATTTAAAACGATGCCATTTAATCAATTTGATCCTATCTCTTTCAATCATATCAAACATACATTCCCTTTATTAGATAGCGACGTCTCGGTAGAAAATACTATTTATTATCTTTCTTTACTCGAACAATTCCAACAACTTCATCATACATTTGCAACTCATTTGGATACTTTCCATGCAAGAGCTGAGTTACGTTATCAAGCTTGGATTCAAGGATGTCAGAAAAGAATTGATAATACTTCTTCTTCCATCATCATCCCTCCAATCGGTAATAAAAAGAACAACAAACAAAAAGACGAATCATGATGAAATGAATAACTTATTGTGGGAAGGATAGATGTTGCTTATATGAGTCATGCGCATCTCGTATCACCTTTTCGATTTTATGAAGATTGCCAAAGAATGATGCCACATATGTTAAATTTTCCAATGCCATTAAAGCAGATAGTAATTTTCTTTTTTTTTTTTTTAAAAAAAAAAAATAGAAATGATTAAATACTTTTTTGTTTATTTTATTTATTTATCTATTTTGGTAGCATTTCCAACGAAATGCTCCAAATAGGGAATCAGTCCAATTTTGGACATCGGAGTGCGCTAAAGGAAGGGATGAACCCTTCATCTTGACAATTGATGATATGAATCAACAACTGCCTGGTTATCAGGAATGTCCTTTATGTAAAAAATGTTTTAAAATATCAAGGTAAAACAAAAAAAAAAAAAAAAAAAAAAAAAAAAAAAAGAGATTATTCATGCATGATTTAAATTTATGTATGGTTAGCCATGACTATGGAAGATGGCGAACAGATCCTACAGTCTATTTAAAATGTTGGTATTGTGATCAAGAATATAATATTCATGATGCAGCTGTAGAACAAATAGTGAACGACCTATCAAGAGAAAAACAACCCACAGAAAAAGAATCTGCATGGATTAGGTATCCAGATTCAATAGAAAGAAGGATTTATTTAGTAACCTATTTTATACTTATTTATTTATTTATTTGTTAGAGGAACCATGTTGAATAATTTAGGCATGATTAAAAAGTCAGTTACTGATCCAGGCACAGAATCTGTTATTCAACGATTACGACGTACCATTGGCCATTCTCCACCATCATCATCTTCATCATCATCGATAAATCAAACATCATCTTCATCTGTTTCATCATCAAGAGCCATGATCGAATTCATTGAAAAAAGTGTTAGACGAAAAACAACATCGATGTATGATATTGAACCCATCCTTTTACGACAATTGCATTTTAGAGCATTAGAACAAGAATATACATCAGAAGAAGAAAAACAAAAACAAAACAAAATTAAAGGTAATAAAAAAAATATATATTGATCTCTATATTTTCATTCATCTATTCTTCTTTTTTTCTCAAAAAAAAAAAAAGATCTTGCTTATGCAATGAATGCATGTTATGGAAACAATCCAAGTCCATTCTCATTAGATTTAATCCAAGCTGCCAAGAGACAACACAAAGAAGGTATACGATTATTGAAGGAACATTGGTTACTTCCAGATTCGATGGTACTTGGTATTCGACGATATAAAAACTTTTTGTTACTGATCAATTATCATCATCATGATCAAGGTGGTGGGATGAATGTGGATTCTAGTGAAGAGGAGGATGATGGATATTATTTGATCGGATCTAGAACAACAGCAGATGTAGATGTGACATGGCGTACACACATGTTATTCCCAAACCAATATCGACAATTCACCTTGAGATATTTGGGTCGGGTGATGAATCATGAGGATCCTATTCCTCATTATCAATTGGAAGAGAATGATAATATTCAAAGATCATCAGTTCGACGTTATTCTACTTTATTATCAAGAAGAAGAACAAGAAATCATCATTCAGTTTCTCGAGTTCATCCAAGACCTAGTTTTGGTTTAGATTATACTCATGGTTCTATTGTAGTGGATGATCCTATTGATTCTATCTCTTATTATGGTAAGTTTTTTTTTTTTATATATTTATTATTATTATTATTATTTCTTATTCCTATATATTTATAGGGGATAGTGATTCTAATGGATCTCCAATGACAAAAGATATACCAGAATTAGAAAGAAAATCAGCAGAAATTAAAAGATCAACGTAAAGTATTATTGTGTATAATATAAATATTAAAACGATTGTACTCATTTCATTATATCTTTTATCATTTTGAATAGTATTAGTAAGTTTAAAGATATTTAAAAGAAAAAAAAAGAGAACTCATATATATATTATTCACTAGGTACTTGGGGTAGTAATAAACGAGATAGTAAGTTTTTTTTATTCATTATTTCAAATGAAATATATGATTTATTATTATTATTATTTTCGTTAGGTGCGACGATGACAGAAATTTCAGTTAGTACATCATCAAGAAATAGGGATACAGGATATCATTCTATGACCAGCGAGAATTACTAATTATAATGAATAAAAATTACTGCCCAACAACGTTGGCATAGAGGCGCAGTTTGAAAATAAGTTCAAAAGGTTTTTTCTTTTTTTATTCTATTTTATTTTTTTTCTTTCTTTCTTATCTTTTTCTCTCAACTCCGTTTCCGAAAGGAAATCAATATGAAGGTAAAATAGTATTCATATACATAAAATTGGATATTCAATTGATAATATTTTTATTTAGTTAATAAGCAAGTCTATAGATAAAGATGAATCTGGTTCAGTGACATTGTTACCTGAAGAATTGGAAGATATGTGGCATGTCTATAATCTTATTGCAAAGGACGATATGATCAAAGCAACTACTATAAGGTAAATAATTAAATAAAAAAACTATTACGATATTTATATAAGGAAGTGATTTATTTCATATTTACTCTTTTTTTTATATATAGACGACTTCAGTCCGAAAGTTCTACTGGATCTACTTCAAGTCAACGTATTAGATTAACTTTGACTATCACAGTAGAAACTGTTGACTTTGATCCTCAAGTGGGTTTATTACGTATCAATGGTCGTGTATCAAGTGAAAATGCTCATGTTAAGGTAATAAATAAATTAAATAAATTAAATAAATAGAATTAATTGATCCAAACACTATTCTTTTTTTTTTTTTTTTTTGTAAGATGGGAAGTTATCATACAATCGACTTGGAATTAAATCGAAATTTTACTTTATTGAAACCAAAGTGGGATGTAATCGCTTTAGAACGTGTAGAAGATGCATGTGATGTCACTAAAAATGCTGAAGTAGTAGCTATTGTATGTCAAGAAGGTAAATAATAATAATAATAATAATTAAAAAGAATAGGATGGATAATTGATTTGAATGTTCACTTTTTTAGGTTTAGCCAATCTTTGCTTTTTGACTCAACATATGACGGTTGTCAAACAAAGAATAGAAATGCCAATTCCAAGAAAACGAAAAGGTTCTGTTACTAATCATGAAAAAGGTCTTACTCGATTCTATGATCAAATTTATCAAGCCTTAATACGAACAGTTGATCTATCTTTTATTAAGGCCATTATTCTTGCTAGTCCTGGATTTGTCAAGGTAATATATATATATATAATGATGATAATTCTATTTACTCTTTTTATGTTCTTTTTTTTTCTAATTAGGATCAATTATATGATTATATTTTTGATCAAGCAGTGGTAAGAAAATAAAATAAAATAAAATAAAAACAAGTATAGAAATGAAATTTAATTCTTTTTTTTTTTTTTTTGTTATTAAAAAGAAAACCGACAACAAAGCATTATTTGAAAACAAGTACAAGTTTATTCAAATTCATAGTTCAAGTGGACATAAACATGCATTAAATGAAGTGATGCAAGATCCAGCGATTTTAGCCAGATTAGCGGATACTAAGGCAGCACGGGAAGTACAAGCTTTGGATGCGTTTTATCAAATGTTGAATACGGATGCAGATAGGGCGTTTTATGGATATGATCATGTTGCCAAAGCACATGAACGTGGTGCTATTGGTACATTATTGGTTACGGATGAATTATTTAGATCGGCAGATATGGATACTCGTAAGAAATATGTTACTTTGGTAGAACAAGTCAGAGAAGCTGGTGGAAAAGTATTTGTATTTTCAAGTTTACATGTATCTGGTGAACGTAAGTTTTTTGAAAAAAAAAAAAAAAAGACAAAAAGAAGAATATTAAGAAAATATTTCTTTATTTATGTAGAATTAAATCAATTGACTGGTGTAGCTGCTATTTTGACCTTCCCATTACCAGATATTGAAGATGATGAAGATTAAAAAAAAGTATATATATTATTATTATTATTATTAGTTGTAGATATATCTTTATAGAAACATTTGTATTATTTATCAAAAAAAAAAAATAAATAAATAAAAAAAGTATGATTATGATCTTTTTACTTGATATACAGTATTGTTTTGGTAGTATTTCATTGTTTTTAATAAGGGACCTACCTTACATCTTGGCCGGGAATAAAGATACACATGTTGAATTCCCGTTGAAGAAAAGCTTTGAGGCATCATTACCTGAAAAGGAACAAAGAAGTTTGCTATTGGTGACACAGACAAAAAAACATCCTTTTCTCTTTTTCTCCGTTTTTTTTTTTTTTTTTTTTTTCTCTTCTTTTGATTCTTGGTTTCTCCATTTTTATAACTATTCTTTCCTTCCTTCCCACATTATATATATATAAATACATTCGTTTCTTCTTCTTCTTCTTCTTCTTCTTCTTCTTCTTATATTCAATAACAATACACATACATACATATATATATATATAGATAATATACATATGGGAAATACGGTTGCCACTCCTTCACACACTTCATCACGATATCCTCCACCTCCTCGACCATCAACTGCTGGTCTTCCATCCTCATCACCACCATCTTCAAGTCACAATCTTCGGAAAATGAAGTCATCATCAACTTTATCAAGCTTGGGAAGATTATACCAACATGCTAACCATTCTAGTGCTTCAGTCGTATCAAGGTTATCAAAATCAAGTACTCGACCGTCTTTACAGACTTGTAACGATAATAATAAAATATTAGATATTGGAAAACCAACACAGTTTGAACATGGTATTCATGTAGAATATAACAAAGACAATGGCAAATATATGGTAAAATAAAATAACAAACAAACTTTTTTTTTCTTTTTATATTAACATATTTTATACTTATATAGGGATTACCTGATGTATGGCAATCAAACTTACCAAGTGATGATGTTCTAGATACGAACTATATTAATCCAAACCTTGTCCCATCTCCTGTGAATGGTAAAAAAAAAAAAAAAAATTTTTTTTATATGTCCATCTAAACTTGTCAAATATATTTTATAGGTAAAAAGAAACCAACTCCATCTGTTCGATCTGCTACTACTATCTCTTCATCCTCTACAAATACCACTAGTACTAGCAATACAACAACAAAAGACATTTCTACATTATCCAATACATTATTATCAACAAAAAATAGATCAACCTTGTACGATAAAAAACCATCATTGATAGGAAAACCTTACAATATTCAACATCATATACACGTAGAAGTAGATCAAAATGGATTCAAAGGATTACCATTGGAATGGCAAAAGATATTAAAGGCATCTGGTATCAGTGAAGATATCGTAAATGCAAATCCAAAAGCAGTACAACGTTTAATGCATGTACGAATGCCTGATTCACTACAACAACAACGACAACAACAAGATACCAAGTCGGATCATACCAATAACAATGATAAAATATCAGAATTACCTATTGGATTTGCTCCTCCTTCAAGAGCTCGTCATTCAAAATTAGCTCCATTACGTCGTCCATCTTCTTCTTTCATTGATTCTACTTCTTCTGTTTCTTTGGCTTCCTCTCATACATCTACTTCTGATATCGAATCACCAATAGGTAATATATATATATATATGATCTTGATTTATTATACTGATCATCGAGTTTTTGATTCCATTTTTTTGTAGATGTTAAAAATGAAGATCAAGACAAAACTCATTTGGATTTGGACTCTAACTTTATTGGTAATGAATAAAAACAAAAGAAAATGTCTGAACAACTATTATTGATATGTACATATAAAAATAGATGATATTATTGATCATGCTGATCCAACTCAACTCTATACGGACTTTACGTTGATTGCTGAAGGTGAATCAGGTCCTATGTATGCTGCCAAACAAATCAGTACAAATCGCATAGTATGTATTATATAAGTCATTAATACTTGCTACATTATACTTATTCGCTTTTTCTTTATGTATATAGGTAGCCATCAAAAAGATATCAAAAGATGCGGAACAAAAGTTGGGCAAAGTACGAAACGAATTGACTACCATGAAAATGAGTCGACATCCAAATATTGTTGAATTTATTGCCTGTTATATAACAGATACGGAAGTATGGGTAGTAATGGAATATATGGATGTTGCATTATCAGATATCATCTCAATTGAAACAACCAACAATAATGATGATAATGATGATGATATGGAACAAAAGGATTATCGTGAAAGAATGACTGAAGATCAAATGGGACGTGTGGCTCGTGATATATTACGTGCTCTTGGAAAATTGGATCGACTTGGAAGAATTCATCGAGATATTCGTAGTGATAATGTTTTGATCAATATGCGTGGAGAAATCAAATTGACTGATTTTAGTCATTGTGCTCAATTAACCAAGAATCAACCGAAACGAAATTCTATTATTGGAACTCCTTATTGGATGGCACCTGAAGTGATCAAAGGTCAAGAATATAATGCAAAAGCTGATATTTGGTCTTTGGGTGTATTAATGATTGAAATGTCTCAAGGTGATCCTCCTTATGTAGAATATCCTCCTCTTAGAGTAAGTAATAAAAATAATGGATCCTTTTTTTATATTATATCTAATTTTTTAAAAAAAAAAAATAGGCATTATTTTTAATTGCATCCAATGGTATTCCTCCATTCTCAGAACCTGATCGTTGGTCTGAACAATTCAAGGATTTTGTACAAAAATGTACTACTGTTGATCCAACTAAACGCCCAGATGCTGCTACTCTTTTAAGGGTAAGATAAACAGTTATAATGTGATTGATGATTAAATTCTCATTTTATTTTTATTTTTTTATTATTATTATTATTTAAGCATCCATTTGTATTGTCTGTAGCCACAAAGGAAGATATTGTCAAATTGATTGAAGAAACTAGACAACTTGAAGAAATGATGGACTCAGAAGAAGAGGATGATTCATAATCAACAAAAACCTCGCATACAACATATATTATTCCCTTTTTACCTCATGTTTTTATATTGTACTTTTTTTTTTTCTTTTTCATCCTTCCTTTTTATTACATTAAAGTTTAGTATTACAGCATTTTTTTTTACTAACATACCTCTCATCATCATGAATAAAAGATTTAAAGCAAATCAATTGTAGTATTTTATTATTATGTAGAAAATTAATTTGTTTTAACTATGCTTGAGTTCGAAACTAACCAACCGAACAAATGTGATCTAAAGCTGGTATCACGCCCGACTGGCTTTTTTTTTTTCTTGCTCTTCCGACCTAAAAAAAAAAAAAAATAATCATTAAAACAATCCCAGCGACGCGCATTTTTTCTGTAGTCTTTCCTTTTTCTTTTTTCTTTGTCTTTTTCTTTTTATTTTTTATTTATTTTACATACTCAACTTATTGGTACATTATCCATTAGTTGAAAACTAGAAAGATCATGGTAAGACAAACTAGAACCATTGAACAGTTTATTATTATAATAATAGAATGAAATAAGGAGATCCATCCTTTTTCTTTCTTTTATTTTGATATCTAATATAAATCTCTTTTTTTTTTTTTCTTTTTCTTTTTCTCTATTTTTTTAATGTCTTTTTTTATAGTATCATCATCTATACAACTATGGTGAATCTTCTGATCAAAGACAAACTACTTTTCCAGAACCAAATACTCAATTACAACCACAACAAGCAAGGACACCAACCATTCCATACAATACAGTAACCTATCAGCAACAACAACAACAACAACAACAAGACTCAACTACTACATCTGACTCAGTTCGGTCTTCATCAAATACTATCCCTGTTGGTACTTCAACAACAAAAACAAAAACAAAAACAACAACAACACCACAATCGTATGAATACCTATCACAACAACAGCAACAACAACAATCATCATCATCATCATCATCATCATCTGATCAACCTCAACAACAACAAACATCAATGTCACCTTCTTTACCAAATACAGCTAATGGATCTTCCTCATCCTATGCTTATAGACAACCAACCAATACCTTATCTCCTCAAATGATGAAGCAACAACAACAGCAAGCACCTTACAGTACTTCAAGACAATACAATTATAGCTCAGTAAGTCATAGTAATATAGAACAAACATGTCGACAGTATAACTTATAAATAATCATCTTTTACTGAAATAATAATAATAATAATTGTTGTGATGATATTTAGTTAGGCACACAGGATATTGTATTACAACAACAACATCCATCTCAAAATCATCCTCAACATACTTCTCAACAACAAAATGTGCCTCAAGTCTACAATCCAATTGATATTAGTAATATGGTACATGGATCAGGTGTATCAGGAGATCTACCAGCAACATTACCACCTTTGAATTCTTCTATACTCAGTACACCTAATTCAACTCAAGGATCTCCTATTCGGTAAGGAAAATAACTGTAAAAAAAAAAAGGAGGAAAAGTGAGAGAGGAAAAAAAAAATGATTGAATGGGAACATATAAACTGATTTTTCACTTTTAGTCAATTATCACAAGGTACTCTGGCTCAGTATCAACAACATCATATGCAACAACAACCTCAGCAACATCATCAACAAACATCACAACAAGGTTTGGATAGACGTGTCCAGGATTATGAACAACAAGAATTTGCGCCTGGAGTGAGTCCTTATGGATGTGGTATGCCTGGATGTTTCGCCAACTTTCCAATGTCAAGTGGATTATTCTATCATATGAAAAGTGGACACCCAAATCTAGATGGTATTGATAAACCTTATCGCTGCGCTATGCCTGGATGCTCAAAACGCTACAAGAACATCAATGGTTTACAATATCATCTTCGGGAAGCAAAAGGATCATCAGGACATGGTATTACTCCTCCAGGTGAAGATGTAGGCAAGAATTATCGATGTGATGCTCCAGGTTGTAAAAAAGCCTATCGAACAGCTAATGGGTTACGATATCATCAAACACATTCACATAGTATACAACCTCAAGGATTAACTCATCAACAACAACAACATCAACAACAACAACAACAGTTACAACAACAACAACATCATCATCATCATCATCATCAACAACAGCTTCAACAACATCATCATCATCATCACCAGCCACCTCGAGCATCGCCTGCATTATTGAACCATCATTATGCTGCTCAATCTCAACAGGTCTTACCGCCTCCACCATCACATCCATCTATGTCACGTCATCCTCAACATGCCATGCCTACCATACCTTATCAACCATCACCTCAACAACAAATACATCATCATCAACAACAACAACAACAACAACAACAAGATCAATTTCGATCAAGACGAGATAACAACAAATGGGCATTAGACAACAATATTTGATCAACGATTTTGATGGAACTACACATTATTACATTATTTTTATAGTTCACTTCCTGATATAGAATAGCTTTTTTTTTTACCTTTATTATTTTATTTTATATTATATATATATATATCATCATTATCATCAACAAACAATATTATCATCATTTTCCCTTATACGCGTCTCCTTTTTTTTTTTTTTGTGATTCAATCAAATAAAAACCTAATCAGATCTTGTTTCCCTTGTAGACACTGTTGCATAAAATGAAACGAAATCAATGAATATGAATAATCTTTATTGATAAAAAAAGGACGAAAAGATATATATATACTAAACAAATGATTCAGTTTAATCGAAAAGACCGAAGCCCATATCCTATTAAAAAAAAAAAAAGGAAGAGTAAGTATTGAACTTATTTTTTCCAAGTATGTCTACTTACTTCGTCAGATTCTTCCTTTTCTTCTTCCTTGGCTTCTTCCTTGGCTTCTTCAGCAGCACCACCAGCAGCAGCACCACCAGCAGCGGCGGCAACACCACCAGTAGGGACAGAGGACATCTTTTCCTTGCCTTCTTCAATGAGTTGAGCAATGTCCTTTTCGGCAAGAGCAGCGATCAAAGCAGAAACACGTTCTTCATCGATTTCGGCACCGACAGTGTTCAAGATGTTCTTGACATCTTCAGCGGAAGGAGAGGCCTTACCACCAGTAGTGAGGAGAAGATAAGCAGCAAGATACTTCATTGTTCCTAATGACCGACAAATATTTTTTTAAAAAAAAAATCAATTCATCCATTCATCCATCCATCCATCCATCCATTCATCCATCTATATCGATAATATCTTTTTTTTCTTTTTTTTTTTTTTTTGGTGTAAAAGAGTTGTCATCGATGAAATTTTTTTTTTTTCTTTTTCGAGGTTATTACCAGAGTAAGTGATATGAGTGAAGGGAAAGAAGGAAAAATTCACTGATCCCTATGGTCCCAATACACAACCATTCGAAAAAAAAAAATCCAGGCTCAGACTGTTTTACATTTCCGCTTGCAGTATCAATATCAAAAAAAAAAAAAAAAAAAAAAAAAAAAAAAAAAACTATATTTTCCTCGTTTTATATATTTTTTTTTTTTTGATATAATGACAAAGTCGGAAAAGCCTATGGCAAGTGGGCCCGCTTATCATGATATTCAAGGTTATATGCCTAAAAGAAAAGAATTTGAAGTGGAACCATTGAATGATGCAGAGCAGGTGATCAAAGATCTAGCATTTTATCAAGACGACACCGAACAAGATATTCGACTCAAGTTGCACATGTTAGATATCTATAATACAAAACTGGATCGACGAATGGAATACAAACGATTTGTTTTTGAACGACAATGGTTAGATTTTCGTGCACAACGACGATGGCATGAAAGGAAACGATCTAGTTTAGAAAAGAAACTTGTCAATCAAACCAAAGTATTTTGTCGTCTTCAAACTGCTGCAGATTATGAACACTTTGTCCATGGTCTGGTGCGTGAACAACAATTACGAGACCGTATTGCTCAACTACAACATTGGCGTTATGTGGCCGGTGTATCCACTCTACAGCAAGGTGAACAATACGAAAGAGATAAACAACATCGTTTGGAATATCTTAAACAATTATTAGCCACTACTCATGAACGACTTCAGTATCCAGAGACAACAACAACAACTATACCACCATCGGTCTTATTACACCAACAATTACAACAACAACAACAACAACAACAGGAAAGAATCGCTGGCTCGATCCCTTCTTCTTCTTCTTCTTCTTCAACTACGACATCAATCAATACCATGCCAAGACTCATGCCCAATCGACCATTACCTTTTAGAACGCCTACTGTACCTTCTCCTGCTCAACCAACTGCACGCAAGCCAGCCAATCCACTTGATATTTCTACTGCGGATGGGATTGATTTATTAACCCCGGAAGAACAAAAACTATGTTCCACATTACGTCTACTACCACGTCCTTACTTGGTCATCAAGGATACTATTTTGGCTGCTTATGCGAAACAAGGCTTTTTGAAACGACGAGCCACTCGTGCTTTGATCAAGATTGATGTCAATAAAACTAGCAAGATTTATGATTTCTTCATTGAAAGTGGTTGGATCACGGCAACTCCCAAAACATAGGCTACCTTTTTTTTTAGAATACATATTGCATTCATCAATAAATACCATCATACATATCATTCACTCTCTTTCAATAATGATCATTAATGATAATATATATTGTAGTACAATTATATAAATAGTTGTTGTTTTTATTCAGTGAATTATCAAATAAGAAAGGAGATATATCAGGTTTGTATGTATGTTAAAATATGGATGGTTGCAAGAAGCATCCGTACGTGCGTGTGAAAGAGAAGAAGAAGAAGAAGAATGAAATGGAAATATACAATGAAGAAAAGATTGTTGTTAATAAAAGGAATTTAGGTTCTTGAAGGTGGAGATACTAAAATAACACCATCGCCACGAACAAACAACATATCAAAAGTTCGTTTCACAGTCTATAATGAAAAAAATAAGCATGAGTGGTTGAAGAGATAATGATTACCTTCATACTTACTCTAATGACTTCTTGGAAAGTGTCTTCATTGACATCAACAATGGTAATAGTTTCTTCTACATTGCCAAGAACCATGTTCAAATGACCATCATATGCCTATAAAAGATGAGGAAAAAAGGTGAGATTATGACAATAACGCGACCTTTTTTTTTTTCTTACATGCAAAACACCACGAAGTTCACGATCACCACGAAGTTTGATATATATTCTTTCATCCAATGATAACCGAACAAGATCTAAAGGTTCTTCAACAGCACCTACGTCTGTATTAGGATGAAGAGTATCGGCCATGATGTTGATATGAAAAAAAAGAAAAAAGAAAGAGAGAAAATAGTTTTCCGCTCTTTTTGCACAAAAAAGTTGATAGACCGCCACCTTTCAAAAGAGAAAAGCGGCTTGATAGGGAGAGTCACGTTTTTGATGTCTCAAGCACACTTGACCGGAGTGTGAAAAGCCCCCGTCCTCTTTCAACTTTTCTCACTTCTTTTTTTTTTTTTTTTTTTTTTTACCTGTTCCTTTCTATATTTTTTTTTTATTATTGACATTTTAATTATTATATCAATATGCATCGGTTCAAGGCTCAAGGTATTAGTTCACGAATGATGTCAAAACCACAATGGGTACACCCTAAAGATAGACTGACAAAATGGAACATTGTTACCGGGGATAAGGTAAAAAGAAAAAAAAAAAAGAAAAGTTGAATCCATTTATGAACTCTTTCTATTTAGGTTGCGATCATTGCTGGAAAGGATAAAGATACCATTGGTGAAATCAAAAGTGTAGATCGTAAAACAAATACAGTGATTGTGGAAGGAAAGAAATTGGTAAGCAGGTTCTTCCCCAATGGAGACTATAAGCTAACGTATTTTTTTTTTTGTAGGCCAAAAAACATGTCCCTTTACAACCTGCTGCTCCTGAAGGCATCATGAGAAAAGAACAACCTATTCATGTATCTAATGTGATGCTTCTTCATCCTGATACTCAGTATGTTATCTTACATGTTATCTCTATTTTTAAAAACTAATCTTACTTTTTAATGATAGAATCCCTACTCGTATTGAACGTCGACGTGTTGAAAAAACTCTGGAAGATGGTCGTGTAGTGAATCGATGGACTCGATTTGTTCGAAACTCTGATGTGGAAATTCCAAAGCCAACTCGAAAATATAACGATAGAGGAAGTGGTAAGTTTGAACTCAAATAAACATAATATATATATTAACATATATACTTGTTTTTATAGAAGAATTCTTTGCAACATCACCTGAAGATACTTTGAAAGTGACTTATACACCCTCAAGTCTTGAACCTCCTGTACCATCGGATCTAGTCAAGGAATTACGCAACATTCATAGAAAAAAATAGATAGATTACATATTTTGCATTTAATATTACAGAAATAAAAGGAAATCGATATCAGTTGTACATTTCGTTTGATCATCAAGAGAGTGTATGCATTTCTTTTCGGGGAAAAGGGAAATTTAGCAAATCACCTAAAGATTTCTCACACTATTACTGTTAAACAGTGCTACGGATCTACTTTTGGCGTTTTTTTTTCTTTTTTTTTCTTTCTTTCTTTCTTTCTTTCTTTCTTTTTTATTATTATTCAATATGCCAAATCATTTTCAACCTATTACAATAGATGATTTCGAAGCTCTTGCTCAAAAATCACTCAATGCAGCCATTTTTGGATATTTTAGTTCAGGGGCTGATAGTGAAATGACTTTGCAACGAAATAGACAAGCTTATGACCAGTAATATGAAGAATATATACATATAATTGATTTATTTATTGTGATTATTATTATATAGACTATTGATTAGACCTAAAATATTAGTCGATGTGGAAAAAATCGATATCTCAACAACCATATTAGGTCAGCACATCCAAACACCTATTGGTTTCTCCCCGACTGCTTTCCATCAAATGGCACATGATGATGGTGAATTGGCCACAGCCAGAGGTAAAACCTATTGAAAGAATACTTTTGGGATACTTTTCTTGATTTAATCCATCCCCACCCTATTTTTTTTTTATTTATTTTTTTTTTTATTTAGCGAGTGCTTCGTTGGGTACTTGTTATTGTGCAGCCACTTATAGTAATTATAGTATGGATGATATCCAAAAAGCAGCCCAATCGATTTCAAAGGACGCATTACAATGGTTCCAACTGTACGTAGAAAAAGATCGGGAAGTCACGGCGAAATTGGTGCGACATTGTGAAAAAGTAGGTTACAAGGCATTGGTGGTGACAGTAGATCGACCTCGTTTGGGTCGTCGTTTGATAGATACTCGTACAGGGTTTAAACTACCCAGTCATCTGCGATTAGGGAACTTTAGTAATGAAGACGACGATGATGATGCTCGTACGGGAGAAGGCGCTTATTTGACTGGTCATATTGATGCATCTTTATCTTGGGCTGATCTTGCTTGGTTACGTTCTTTGTCTTCTTTACCTATCGTGTTAAAGGGTATTTTTAGGGCTGAGGATGCTCGTTTGGCTATTCAACATGGTGTATCTGGTCTTATTGTATCTAATCATGGTGGTAGACAATTAGATGGATGTCCTGCAACGGTAATCTATATATATATATTTGTTCGTATTGTTCTTCTGAATTTTAATGGATTATATTTTTTTTTATGATAGTTGGAGGTCTTACCTGAAATTGTGGATGCTTGTAAGAACACTAATGTGGAGGTCTATATAGATGGAGGAATCCGAAAAGGTACCGATGTTTTCAAGGCACTTGCTCTTGGTGCTAGAGCAGTGTTCATTGGTCGTCCAGTTCTATGGGGATTGGCATATGATGTATGAATAAAATAAAAAAAAAAAGATGAATGATGAATTTCTTATTTTTTTTCTTTTTTTTAGGGAGAAAATGGAATTAAACGTGTCTTGAATCATTTGAATTATGATCTTCGACTTGCCATGGCTTTAGCAGGTAAAAAAAAAAAGGAAAACAAAGAGAAGAGAAAAATCATCATTATCTCATATTTACTTTTTTCTTGTTATATGAATATTATAAAGGTACAACATCGATCGATAGTATTTCTTCTGATTATGTAGTGCCTTCATCTTATTATTCCTTTGAAAACAAGATAAAATCAAAATTATAAAATAGAAACAAAAGAATGCTTCATTAGCATAAACATACACAGAGTAACAATAAACGATTTTTGAGTGTATTAAAAAAAAATATGTCTATTTTATAAACGAAGAGTACAAATGCTGTAAAAAAAAAAAAGTGGAGAAAGGGAGTATATATATATATGACTAACTAATGAATGGAATAGTGTGTTCTATTTTGATTTTTGTTCAGCTTCCATACGAGCCTGTAATTGATCATTGACTTGCTTCAAATCAGCTCGTTCGGTAGGAGTACCTCTAAATCGCCAACCCTTGAGTTTTCGTCCAGCTGCCTTGGTACCCAATCTTTGTTGTTCGTTATCTAATTCACACCATTCAGGTTCTGGTGGATATACAAATTCACTATCCAATGTCACAATAGCCTTTTTGTATGCTGATTGTACCACTTCAGTTTTACCGTTGCGACCTTTTTTGTGTACTGTGCCATAGTTCATTGTACGTACTTCTTGTACATTCACGCCGTAAATATTTGTCAAATAGGAATGGATATCGAATTTATTACATTTAGGTGGTACTCGGAATGCTACCTGGTTAGGTTGAAGATTAGGTGCTCGTACCATTTTAAAAATAATATTGGGAAGGTACACTTTGTCTAATAATTATTAAAAAAAAAGGAAGTCCAATATAAATAAATATAATAGTCTTTTATAATTGAAAAAAATACTTACTTAAACCTTGTCGAAAGGGAGTTGTCATATTGAATGATGTGTGTGTATATATATATATATATCCAAAGGTTGGGAAAGAAGAAAAAAAAAAAAAATAAAAAGACGGAGTGTATGTAAAAATAAAAAGAAAAAACATCCCCTCACCCAATAAAAATGGTGGCTGGCGGAAAAAAAAAATAATAATTTTCCACTTAGAATTGAGCCCTTTTTGACTTTTGTCGCCAATAATGAAAAAAAAAAGGTCAATGTAGAAGCAAAAAAAAAAAAAAATACTGTAGTTAAAAAAAATAAAATAACTAAACTAAAAAAAAACAACAGACAACTTTATTTTTTTCCATCAAAATAAAAAAATCATATATACAAACTAAATGGGAGCAGGGTAAAAGGGGTTATACGCTAATTGTAGTAAGACTTCATAACAGATTGACGCGTACGGCAGGTGGTAAAGGACACGATTCGACAAAAAAAAAAGGGGAGTTGATAGGGTGGACCGAGTAGCTGGATTTGATCAAGATCCATGGGAATGCACCAATTATCACATACATGATCTTCCTGCCTATAGAGAGGTCGATGTCGCTTTATCTTAGAAAAAAGAATTCGTTTTGCATCAGTCAATAGCCCTTTTTCTGTTTTTTTCCGTTTTTTTTTATTATTATTATTATTATTATTATTACCATTTCATTATCACGTGTTGATGGTGTAATGTTGATACTTGTTGTTGTAGTTCCTCAAGTCCCTTTCTGCATTCGTTGAGTTGATACCACTAATCTCTTCCATCTTTTTGCATTTGATCTCAGTATAAACTAGTAAGGTCCAATTTCTTTGCTATTGCTCTTGTCCATCACCTACAAAAAAAAAAAAAAGCGAAGTTAGATATCATTCCACTATAAAAAAAAGATACGATACGATACGGAGAGCATGCATCACTCGGAATATTCAAAAGACAATATTGATCCTTGAGCCACTTCCAGTGAGTTGATTGTTGTGAAGAAGAAACTCAGAGGAAGCTATTGTCTATGGTATGGGAAACCACTCAAGCTACAAGGTATCAAGCTGGCCACCTGCATACACCACAATAAATCCCAAAGGTATACGCATGCTATTGTCTAGCTGTCTTCATAAATCCAGCCTCAAGCCAGTTCGAGGTGATGGAAAAAAGAAAAAGGGGAATTGTCGTTGGTTTACTTTTCGCGGCAATCGTCATATTTTGTGTGGAGTCATTTGGCCAATAACAATCGAGTATTGTCAGCGCTTTTATTTTCATTTTTCATTCAGCGGTTTTTCCGCATAACTCTTCTCCTTAAAAAATGAACGCTGACGATTACCTCCATTCCTACAATGGCAATGACTCGTTTTTACAGTATTTTGCTAAAGAACCACTCAAACATTGGTATTTCGATCAGTTTGCACGTCATTTCTCTCACTGCTCGAAAAAGACTTTGACTTCGAATTATCGTCTTTGCATGGCAAGTATTAGTCAAAATCCGAAGACTCCGGCGTATGGATAAAAAGCAACACGGTAAATTTAATACAATACAAAAAGGATGGGTACTAAGAACCGAAACTAATACATCAACTTTTTTCTGCCCATTTGTAGTCTACGAAGAGAAACGGAACACTAGCGCCAACAACAACAAACAACACGTATCATATTGGTCAAAATTCCATTGTCAACTATGGTGATGACAACATTATTTCAACAACCAACCAATCACAAGAACAGCCTCAACCATTAACATCTTCTTCTTCTTCTTCTTCACCACCTACACCACAACAACAACAAAGACAAAAATATATAGGATGATTCTATGGCAGATATAAACATGGTCAACATTATGAATGATTTTCTGAATGCAAGTAACTTTAGTAGATTCCATCAATACAGGTAAGGAACAGTTAGAACATGAATACTCTTATAACAATTTATTTATTATCTGTATTATAGACTGGAAAGTCATGGTATCATTCAAGTAGGACTGCATATTCAAAGACAACCAGACGTGCCGCCACGATTCTATGATGAAGTTGTCCTCGAAAACAAACCGCCAGTCTTCCCAATATCTCGATTCTCCAATTATTTACGATCCACTCTATTTAATGATGACTACGTAAGTAGACGCAAATATCGAAATATCGTCTTTTTGAAATTCAATCCTTTTATTATTTTATTTTATTTTGTCAATTTGAATTAGGGAACGCGTTCTTTGGCACCAACTATATTCTCAAGAACTAAAATCGACTCAAGTGAAGTTACTGAAATGGAAATCACTTTTATCATGTGTTCTTTATTTGTAGGTAAAAAAAAAAAAAAAAAAAAAAAAAAAAAAAAAAAGAGAGAAAGAGAGAAGCTGAATTTGTTATTACTTTCATGCAGATCACAAAACATCCATTGTCTCCGAAATGAATCAAAGCTTGGCGATTCTGAAGCTTCATACTGTCATTATGCATTATGGCCTATGATTGATTTAGTTTGTGATACTCTTAATGGCATGAAATGCAATTTCAAGGTTGGCGAAACCCCGTTGACAGCAATGAAATCTTTATCACCATCTTTATCTGGATACTCCGCTGATGGAACTGTGTCTTTGGAGGATACCGGTCTCGAAATACTATTATTTGAAGCTTCAGGACCCTTTGGAGCAAGAGATCGACACATACTTACGATCATATCAAAGGCGCATATGGTTCCTACACAATGCTTCATGCTATTCTAAAAAAATATCCTTATGCTGACAAAGAACTGATCAATGACTTACGTATCTTATTCTTACATGCAAGTGCAAAAGGTAAGCTATCCATTTTCCGCATTCTCGAGTACTCACACGCATGCTTTTTTTCTTTTCAATAGATAACCATGTCCGCCTTTGGGTGATGAAGCCTTGCCACAATGGAACAGCAATAACATTTGAAAGAATGGACAAAGTTACTATTACCACCAACAAAAACGACAAAGGGGATGCTATTGAGTTAATCAAATTCTTTTGGCAACTGAAGGTAAAGACATCACCAAAAAAAAAAAAAAAAGACGCATCGGGCTCACTAATGAAAAAATGAATTATAGGGAATGTTGGAGAGGTCGCGGGCTGCTATCAATAACCTGAAGAACTCAAGTGATACGAATATCCTGTTGATGCAAGGTGACGATACAGAACCAAAGCCCTCGTTCTTACCATCGTTATTGAAACCTCGATCAATGAAATCCAAGTATGACAATGATTGCGAAAGGAATAGTTAATCTCGATCCAGTGTCTAATTTGTTTTAGTTCCAGTAGCTTATCTATGACAGCATATACTATGATTCAAGTCTCAAATCCATTCCTTCAGTTTTAGTATAGTCTATCTCGTTTTTTTACCTTTAGTCTATGATTGATGCTTCTTATATCAATAAAGTTCCTTCTTGTATATTATTGTCTTTTTTTGGGGGGGAGGGGGATCTCGTCGTTCGACCTGAATATACGCACACACGGACCGATAACTCCTTAGCGACAAATCAAACGGAAAGTCGACAATCAAAAAAATCCAGCACCTCACAATCTTCTTTCAGAAATAACAATCCGAATATCCATTTTATTTGAGATGATTTTATACTGAACCAATCAAGTTTAGGAATGTAATTTTTGTCTTCTTTTACTACTTTATCCTCTTTTTAACAAATCACGGAGAGAATTACTAATTAAACGTTTATCGTTGATTTTCATTTTCAAAGGAAAAAGGATTTGTTATTCTTTTTTTTAATCATTGTGTGATAATTTATTTCAAAAAGATAATAATGATGGATCTCTTCTTTATTGAAATGATTTTTCCTTTTTATCGTGAAAAATAGATGGATCAAGTGAAAACAAATCAATTGATCAATGAATCAATTCATCGTCATCCTTGTAACTAAGGACCATATCATGTTTTGACAGTCATGAGTATACTTAGATCGGGTTATTACCTGGATCATTCCTTTTAACACGATGATCTTTTTTGACATTTGACAAGTATAAACTAATATCATCATCCTTTTATGATGATTTCTTCTATCAAGGTATTTTATATAAACGCGGGGAGACGACGTTTTTTTTTTTTAATTTCAATTCATCAAAGCCTATGTTTTTATTTGAGAGTTTTCGAAATATGTTTTTTGAGACAAAGTTAGCTTTTAAATTCTTTAAACAATTTTACTTTGTTTAAAGAATAGAATAAACAATTAGGAGTGTCAATCTATCCAATGACCGGAATTTCATATCAACTTTATAGAGGAAAATCCACAAAAAAAAAAAAAAAAAAAGAAAAAAAAACCTTTTTTCGTTAATGTAAAATCGGGTATAAATAAAGGTATCGACTTTATGTTCACTATTGTTCTTTTTCCCTTTTATTTCTCTCTCTATTTTCTTTTTCCTAACATTTTTTTTCCCAAAATGATCAAGACCTTATTGCTTTGTATTGTTGCTCTTTTATGTTCTCTCGTCATGATTGATGCTGCTGCTCAATCTCGTAAGGAAATTTGACATACATTACTTTTATAAAAATCGCCGATGCTGATTATCATTTTGCCTTTTTTTATAGGAAGGGGTGAACTTACCACTTTAACCAGTGTCATTGATGCCAGACGTAAAGATCCTGACCACGAAACTAGTTTGTGTCATTCTGGCTATGATGATTGTTATGATGGTCATTGTTGTATTGCCGGCGGTGAATGCTGTGCCCAACGTGGTACTTGTTGTGGTAGAGGATACTATTGTGTGAATAACGCTAGGCGTCAATCTGGATGCTGTCCTAAGGGTCACGTCTGTGAAGAACCATAGATTCCCACCTCTCCTTTGTCGTTTTTATCACTATCATTATTATCTTCATATTTACTTGAACCCATCATCTTTTTTTTTTTTTCAAACAACAAATGATCTCCATATCAAATCAAATGTAGCTTTTTTATAAAGTAAAGAAAAACTTGTCTTCATTCCCTTAACAAAAAGAAAAAAAAAGAATACTGATGTTTTGTATAATAATGATTATTTATGTTCATAAGATGATTGTTATTCCTTCTCCAAAACCAATCTTGTTCCGGTCATTTTCAAACGAGTCATAAAACTTAGTTCGTCATCATCTATCTACTTAATCATCCTTCTATCCAAATCATCCATCACTCATTTATATTCCCTACTGAGAAGTTCTTCCACATTCATCAATGAAGGTTGAACTGAGAAAAAAAAAACTTTATTATAAATATAATTTCAATTTTGAACAATATAGTACTGCTTTGAAAAATCATCGTATTTTGGCAATGCGAAGGAAAAGTAGTGAACCTATAATGGGTTTTACCATTCTAATGCCTTGTCACCACATCCTCCTCCTGCACTTGAACAGCCTGATAATTCCTGTTGCGACATCACCACTGGAGCCATATATTTTGTAATGATTGTTTTAGCTGATCCAAGGAGTTGATTCAATTCTGTCAGTGGTATTCCTAATTTTAAAAACACTTGATCTTGCTCTACTTTGACATCGAAAGTTTCCAAACGGTATTTTTCCTTTTCTCCAGGAACAAGACATTCTCCAGATTGTAAATCAAAATTTTTCTACATATGACAATATTAAAAATAAGGGGTAGTCAGTGCTATTATCTTTTTTTTTTTTTTTTTTGATAAACGTAGATATTACCTTGTGCATAGGGCAAGATACATAAGGTGAAGCTCCATTGTCAGAGGATGTTCCAAGTAATCCTGAAGCTAAAACTAATGCTCGTTTGTGAGGACACATGTTTTGTGTTGCATACCAACGACCCTGTGTATGGAAAATAGCGATTTGAACATCTCCAATCAGCACGACTTTTCCTTCATCGGATGGGAAAAGATCAGTAGACCCAATACAAATCCATTCGTTCATTGATTGCTCTTCCATTTTGCGATTCTTTAAGGGTGGTAAAAGTGGGACTTCCTTGGGCCAATTGGCAGGTCGACGTTGTCCTCGTTCTTCTATCATTTCAATCATTTCATCGTCTTGCTGAGAATTTACAAAAGGCTTGAAATGTGCTCGTAGCTTGGGATCACGTACCACAGTGGTCCATTCACATTGATAGGCACCAATCAGTTGATGCATATGATTTTCCAATTGTTGTGCAATACCAAGATAATCATCAATAACGACTTTGCGGAGATAAGCGATACCACCTTCCAATTTTTCGAGCCAGCGAGCAGTACGCATCAATCGATCGGCAGTCATAATATAATACATTAAAAAACGATCCAAGTAACGAAGGACCATTTCTTCAGAAGCATCAGCTATCAATAGTTCCGCATGTTTCGGTTTGGAGCCACCATTACCACAGACATATACATTGTAACCTTTATCCGTAGCAATACAACCAAAGTCTTTTCCCTAATAAAAAAGGGAAAAAAAGATAAATCCAAAGAAAAAAGAGGAATGCAGAGCTTTTTTTTATTATTTATTTATTTATTACCTGAGCTTCAGCACATTCACGGATACAACCAGAAACACCACCTTTCAATTTATGTGGTGATCGAATGCCTTTGTATCTATTTTCAAGCTGAAAATAAACAAGAGTTAGTTTAAATTCAAAGCATGATTTGTTTAAAATCTTTAGTACCTTAATGGCGAATCCGACGGAATCTTGCTGTCCATATCTACACCAAGTTGTGCCAACACAACTTTTTACTGCACGAAGTGATTTCCCATAAGCATGTCCACTAAAAAAAAAAAGAAGTAAAGTTTAATGAATCATCAACTTTTTGTTTTGTTTTACCTTTCAAAGCCTGCATCGACTAATTTTTCCCAAATATCAGGTAAATCTTCTTTTTTTGCACCCACTATAAAACAAAAACATATCAAATGTTAGTCAAAAAAAAAAAGGCTCTAATCTTCAACTTTTTTTTTATTAACTTACTGATGTCAATTCGCTGGGCACCTGTGATTTTCGTATAAAGATTATATTCTTTTGCAACATTTGCAATGACACCCAATTTTTCTGGAGTTACTTCTCCAGCAGCTATACGAGGAACAACACTATAAAGTCCACCACGTTGGATATTAGCCAAATAACGATCATTTGTATCTTGTAATGGAACCAATTTCGGGTTTAATATATGCTCGTTCCAAAGACTTGCTAAAATGGAGGCAATAGCAGGCTTACAAACTTCACATCCAAGAGTTGTTTGATTATCAGAAGCTTCACGAACAAAATCATCAAAAGAATGTAATTCTTTGACTTTCCCAATGGTAAATAATTCAGCTCTACTATATTTGAAATGACTACATAAAGAATTGCTAATGGTCTGACCTAAAGACTTTAGCTCACTTTCAAATATCTAATGATTTATAAGTAAAAAAAAAAAAAAAAAAAAAATTATTCATATCAATTCAGTCTTTTTTTTTTTTTTTTTTTTTTTTTTGTATTTACCTCTTGAACCTGAGGTAAACATCCACCACATCCAGAACCAGCTTTTGAGAAACATTTGACTTGGTTGACATTTTGACATTTTTTAGCTTTAATGACTTTACGAATATCACCCTTGGTCACATTGTTACAGGAACAGATTTGTGTATCATCAGTTAAAGCATCTGCACCTTGAGCTTCTTGATTTTGAACACCCAGAATTAATTCAGAAGGGGGAGTTAAAAGTCGTTTCCCACTCTTCACAATGGATAGTAATTTTGCATAGTCTTTCGTATCACCAACCATCATACCGCCGATCAACTTTTTACCATCATTAGTAAAAATATATTTCTATAGTTTAATTGCTATTAGTAAAAATGATTTCTTGTGTCACATAAATAGATTATACCTTGTAAATTCTGGCGAAAGGATCACGATAGATCAAAGGTTGATAAGAATCTTGATTAGATGTATCAGCAAAACAATCACCAAAGCTAGCTACATGCACACCTAAGAGTTTAAGTTTTGTTGACATATCAGCACCTTTAAATTGAATTTTTCTGGGATCATGAAGTCTTGTTGTCAAGTTCCTAGCCACTACATCTGCCATACTAACAAAAAAAAAAAAAAATACGATAAATTAAATTTCAGTTCAATACAAGAAGAGCCTATTGACTTACTCATAACAAGGTGCAACAAGTCCGTAGCACATACCATTATAAGAGGCACATTCACCAATAGCATAAATATTACCCGCAGATGTCTCCATCAATGAATTGACTTTGAATCCACCTCTATCTCCACGTTCCAATAGTTGATGACCATCCTTTTGTGCTAGATGATCTCGAGGAGTAATACCAATGGAATAGATCACCATATCTGTTTTGACATGCTCGCCATTACTGAGAATCATGCCTGCCAATCGGTTGTTTTTAGTTGATGGATTCGGATCGATCTCCATTTGCTGTTCATCTTGATCTTTTATTAAAGTGACAGGACAATGACCAATACATGTTTTCAATCCCAAGCTGATGATTTCTTGCTCTAGTTGATTGGATGCCTCTTGATCGAGTTGACGTGATAACAATCTATCAGATCGTTCATAGATAGTGACTTGCAAGCCTAGATCCTTGGCCGCCTTGGCAGCTTCCAACCCCAATAGACCACCACCAACAATGGATGCATGTTTTACTGAAGGAGATTGAGACCATTGATGTATATTATCGAGATCTTCCAATGTACGATAAACAAATACACCGTCCATCTCATTGATAGGCGTACCAGGAGGAATGGCGGCTGATGATCCAGTAGCCAAGATACATTTATCATATTGCACCCAACCTGATAGTCGAGTTCGAACTGCTTGATTAGTGATATCGATTTCTTCCACTGGGTCACCTAAATGTATATCAACATTGTTTTCATCATACCAAGTGGGTGGCTTCATCCATTGTTTTGAAGTATCATGATGAGAAAAATATTGAGTCAGACCAACCCGATTATAGGCAACTTTTTTTTTAAAAAAAAAAAAGAAGAAGGGTAAGTATGAATGATTAACATTGTAAATTGTTCAATTGAAAATTACCAGTTGGTTCTTCTGAGAATACTCGTATACGATATCTTGATTGATTGTCATATTCCAATATTTTTTCTATGAAGGAGACAGCTGTCATACCAAAACCAACTATGACAATAGTTTCAGTAATTGGTTCAGATATATCACGCGAAGATGATGCTATATCATCCTGATAAAGAAAAGTATCTGTCTCAGTGTTAGGTGGCATATTGATGGAAGAAAAAAAAAAAAAAAAAAGAGAGAGAGAGAGAGAAAGATCTTTGGGGCTAGACAGATGAATGCTTATAAAAAAATAAACTTTTAATAATTTTCTATCATATTCAATAGATGGTAAATGAAACAAAAAAGAAAATGATGATAAGCAAGCATAGATATAAATCTGCATGGTAGCCAGTCTGCTTATCAAGAACTTTTTGAGGAACCAATAAGAAAATAAATCATTCTTTTTTTTGATCGATCAGCATGGTGTTGAACTTTAATGTATTTCTAACAGTAATAGGTAAGCACAGGTCAAGGATCACCTCTTTTTTTTTTTTTCTCTTATCAGCAGTTACCATTTTTGGATAACAAACAAACCAAATTATATCTCTAGTTCATTCTTATCAATTCAAACTGTAATCATATTCATTGTTCTACTCTTTCTTTGTTTTTTTTTTTTTTTTTTTTGTTTCACAATATGATCAATTTAAATCCTTCTTGATTCAAAACAACCTTTTCTTTTTTTTTTTTTTGTGGAGTATGTGTATGAGGTGGGGGGAGGAGGTCATTGATTAATGATAAGAGAAGAATTTTTTTTTTTTTTTTGATCTTCATTATTCACTTCATTTTTGTTTAAATTCCGCCCTTCTGTGTATCGTCCTTTTTTTTTTATTTGTTGCCTTTTTGGTTGCCTATCGCAGATCATCAAGAGCATTTTTCGTGTCATCACTTGTTGACAGGTACAACTATGATACGGAAAAAAGAAAACTCTCATTTTTCTCCAGAAGAAATCACGTGCATTTTTTTAAACTTTGTTGAGATATCCATATGTTTGGAAGAAAGATAACTATCGGGATACATTTCCCTACACGTAATATATAATAGATAATGATATATATATTTGATTACCCTAATATTATCTATAATTTATTTGTTTGTTGCCTATTACGGCCACCATTTTATTGAATTTATTGTTTACAGATTTTTGTTTTTTTTTTTAAGAAAAAAAGAGATGAAATGAATAAAGTCTATCATTGAAAGATAAAAAGTGTTCGGAATCAAGTTGTGTAATGATGATGATCACTTCACTACTTTAGATACGAGATATGATATTGATATATACAAAAAAAAAAAAAAAAAAAGTGGGGGAATGATATGTAGCAAGACCAATTTGAGTAGTGACAAAAGAGTTACTATTATCTTTAAAAGACAAACACATGATTTTCAACATAAAGATCTCCTAAACATTGCCTAATCAACGGTTTGCAACAATCTTCAATCATAGCATCAGAACCACAGAGAAGTACAGATGAGTTGTTAAGATTATCAGCTTGATCCATATTGGTAAAGGGGAATAAATGATCCTTCATTTCTTGCTTTGTCAAACGACCTCTACCATGCTTCCAATCTGTTGGAGGTTTTGAAAGAATATATCTATTTTTTTTTAAAAAAAAAAAAACGAAAAAAATGAATATCTCATTGTTGCCTGTTATTTCAATTATAAATACAAATATTATAGTTACCTGATATGAAATTGATTTGAGCCAAGTGTTTTTTGGATTTCATCAAGTTCATTTGATAACACTAAATCATCTAAATAACGTGCACAATAAATTAATGAGATGAAAGGTGGTTCAGAATCTTGTAAGGCAGCCGTCAATATTTGCCACATAGGAGTGATACCAGTGCCACCAGCCACCATGGCAATATGTCGAGCATGTAGTTGAGGTTGATGTGGCAAAGAATAGTTACCATTACCCAAGTATTCATATTCACCTAAAGGACCTTTACATGGTACAGATTCTCCGATTCGAACACGATCCAACAGTTGGGTAAATTTCCCTCCAAATTGAAGATGATCAGGAAAGTATACCTTGATAACGAATTCAACCCATCCAGAGCCAACTTGACTAGGAGTATAAGCCCGCATCACCGATTTTGTTTTTTTGTTTTTGTTTGAAGTATCTTGCTCCAGTTCCTCTTCCGGCAGTTTAAGATAGACATGTTGACCAATGGGTAATCCAAATGGTTGAGGAGGGAATGAGAATCGATAAATGCGAATAGTGGTTGATAACATGGTTTTCTTTTCCAGAATTAAATCTTTCCATTGGCGAGGATTTAAAAAAGGATCATCCGATGCCTTGATGCTATTTGAAAGAGAGTTTGATGAAGTAGCACTTTGCATGGCTGTAGAAGTGACACTCTGGGCATCGGTATCAGAAACATCTAGTCTACCAATGAGATAGTCTTGAAGCATATCCTGAGCTTTGGATGAATGGATGGCATCAAATTCTTCAGTCGTATCTGTACCAGCTGTAATCAAGATACTGGAAGCACCACCTGGATGATCTTTTAAAAAGGGTGTACAGTCATATACTAGATCGTGGACGATAATCCAACAGTCTTCTTCAGATTGATGTAATTCCACTTCTGCCAAGGTAAAGATGGGCAAGATGGGTTGTTCCTTTTTGATGGTGTTTGGTGATTCCATGGTGAGAGAAAGATCTAGGGCTTTTCGTTTTTTCTCCATCCATCCTCCAGATTCTGGACCAGCTAACGTAGGATGCTCGCATTCAATGACTAATGTCGTAGGTTCACATACTACATTCAATTTGACTCGGAACCAACAGTTATTCATCATGCCCATTAAATTCCATGTCATTGCTTCAGGCTGTGTGTTCAAAGATTCATCATAAGCACGGACAACAATGTCATTTGATTGAACAAGATCTGCAACATCAATTTCGATTTGCCATAAAATCCAGGTCCAATGATGAGACGTATTTTTTTGATTAGAACGCTGCTCCTTGATCATGATGTCTTGTTGCTGAGCTTGGTGTCTTGTTGTCACATCAGTTAATAGCCAGGAATCGCCATTGTTTAAGGAAATTTCCACACGAGTGATACGTTTATTGCCACCAGAATAAGCATACCCTTTGACGGTAAATTTGGTTTGCAGATGATCAATAATATTGATACGTTGACCATGTTGTGGTGTTGTGATGACACTATTGATATTGAGATCATACAAAGTATACTCTGGCCGTGGCCACCAGTTTTCAGCAGAAGCTTGTTCAGCACTTTCAACTTGAGGTGGAAATACCTTGTTGTCATTATCGTGAAAGATATTCGTAGATGGTTGGTCACTACATTCAATTGTGCGAAGCCATTTGACACTTCGACCTCCAATACAACCAGGAACAATTAAACGGATAGGATAACCATGATCAGGTGGTAAAACTTCACCATTCATTTTGAATGCAAGTAGTACATCAAAATTATCAGACATTGCACGATGAGCAGAAATGGAAGTACCGTAAGGACCCTAATTAATAATAATAATAATAATATTAAAGCTTTGATTAACTATTTTATATCTTTTTTTTTTTTTTATGAATGATATGTTACCTTTTGAGTTTGATCTGAACCTTCAAAACAAATAAATTTACAAGCCGATTGAAGACCTCCAGCAAAGTGATTGATTACGTCTCGTAAGTAGACACCTGTCCAATAGGCAGTACTTACACCTGGATAAAGAAATTAATTAGATATATTTTAATATATAATGAAAAGCAAATAGAAATGCGTACCTGCTGCTCCCCTAAGATAATAGAATGAAAAAAGGGATAAGATGTTAACGTTGCTTCTGTATTATATTTATATGTATATATACATTACCATCCAAAACCAATGGATTGTTTAAACATGTTTTGTTCTTTGCGTCGGTTACCAGCACAGGCCATAGTGATAGGTATTGTTTGAATAGGTAAAGTAAGAATATCATCCATTGTCAGCGTGATTGATTTATGAACAAGACCAACAATGTTTATTCGATGAGTATCCCAGGCACATTCTGGTACAGGACCATGATTTCTAACAAAATGAAGATGATTAGGAGTGACAAACCCCGAGTCTTCTAGTGACTTTAATGGTGGTTCTAATTAATATAGATAAAGATGAATCAATGAAAAAATGTGTTTATGCTTAAAGAAAATGAATTTTTTTTTCAGTATTCCTAACCTGCGTTGAAAGGATGTTTTCCAGTGAGACGAATCATAGAAGGATCTCGAGAAACAAAATGATCAGGTGTATTAAGATCTCTAGGATCAATCAACATTTTAGTAGATGAAGTAGTTGATGAAGGAGAATCCATTTTCATAAATGATATTCAATGATCAAACCAAAAAAAAAAAAAAAAAAAAAAAGATAGACACTATGGAAAAGGGGCTGCATTAGTCATTTATTTAGGTGGACTTTTTTTTTATTTTTATTTGTTTGTTATCTCTATTGGGTAATAGGTAAGATTTAACACAAAAAAAAAAAAATCGTAAATCCTTAGGATAAAGATAACAGGAACGGATTCACTTTTCCCAAAAAAGAAAGAAAAGATAACCAACGATATACAAAATCCGATAAGACATGCCGTAACAATACTTATGCATAAAAGGAAATTCGATGGAACTGGATCACTAGTTGTTATCAGTGCTTTTTGAAGAGAAAGAAAAGGGGGGGAATAAGATTAGGTAAGTAGATCTTAAGTCTCTTATCGCGAATATTTACTCCATATTCTAATACCTGTCATTACACTTTTTTTTTTGTTAGTGCCTGCAATATGATAACGATGAATTTTAGATGGTTGACTCCTATTTTTTTTTTTATATATAAAAGAAAGGAAATAAGAATTAAAAATTAAATTATATTTTTCTTTTATTTTTATTTTTATTTTTTTTTTTTTTGGTATATATAAATCAGTCAAGTTTTCCTAATAAAACAGGTTAAACAGAATTTCTCAATCACGTCATTTTCATCATCCTCTCATATCCCCTTGCCCTGTTTGTCTTATTCGTTACTACACTACTGATCTTTCAAGTTTTACTGGAATGCAGCTCTTTGCAAAGCAAATTCTTGTTGATCAACATGGCAAAGCTGTCAACTTTAAACTATATTCACTCGGAAAACCTCATATGAGAAGTCTACACTTGGTAAAAAAAAAAAAAAAAATGATTATATTTATTCCTTATTATTAAATCAACACATATAATTCATCATTGCTAGGCTTGGCTTTCTTTTATGATTGCTTTTACCGCATGGTTTTCTATTCCACCCTTATTGACCATTATTTCAAAAGAACTTAATATTGCTCCAGATAAAACATATGATTCTAATATAGCCTCTGTTTCCGTGACAATTGGTAATAATCATCAGACAACTAATTTTTTATTTTATTTAAAAAAATTTTTTTTTCTATCATCATTCCTGTTATGAATCTAAATTAAATAATAATTTTTATGACTTAGTGGCACGTCTTGTTGTTGGACCACTATGTGAACGATGGGGTCCTCGACGTGTGATGGCTGGTCTACTTATTTGTGGTGCAATTCCTTGTGCCATGACTGGTTTGGTAAAGGATGGTACTGGCTTGATCATTCTAAGATGTACTATTGGTATTCTTGGAGCTACCTTTGTTCCTTGTCAATTTTGGACAACTCAAATGTTTGCCCCTTCGATTTTGGGGACTGCCAACGCCATCACTGGAGGATGGGGAAATATGGGTGGTGGTATTACCTATCTTTTAATTCCTGGTATTTATAGTGGCCTTCTTCAGCATATGACTAGCTCACTTGCTTGGCGTGTTACATTCATATTCCCAGCAGGTAAAACTACTGAATATCGCAGTAAGTTTCGATAACTAACATTTGACTTTATTTTTTTTTTTTAAAAAAAAAATAGTATTTTGTATAACCATCGCTTTATTGGACCTTTTTGTTGCCTCTGATACTCCTCAAGGCGATTGGCTTGTACTTCGACGACAAAATCCTGGATCCCATACAGACCTTTCATCTACCAATACTAGCTCTGGATCCGAAAATATCGAGTTGGAAAAAGGAATGACCAATGACAAAGTGACTATCCAAGAAAATGAATCCATTGCAAGTGTTCAAAAGTCTGAACCATTAACAGGAGTTCTTTATTCATTCGTTCGAACTCTGATTCGTCCTAGCGTGTTAATATTGATTTGCCAATATGCATGTTCTTTTGGTACAGAACTTGCTATAGATAACGTCATCGGTAGTGTGTTCTTAACTCGCTTCAACTTGGATACTGTTACTGCATCTTATATTGGCTCCATCTTCGGTCTTCTCAATATATGTTCTCGTTTTTCAGGTGGTCTTTTCTCAGATTATTTGGCTAAAAAATTCCATCTACCTGGCCGTATGCTCGCTCAGTTGATCCTTATGTCTTTGGAAGGTGCCTTTTTAATTGGATTTAGCTTCGGCTTAGGTTCAATGCGTGATTCTATTGTTTTGATGGTCTTTTTCAGCTATTTCGTTCAATCTGTTTGTGGCTCCACCTATGCTATCGTTCCTTTTGTAGATCCAATCAACAATGGAAAAGTCATCGGTATTATAGGTGCTGGTGGAAACTTTGGAGGTCTAGTATTCAATCTGATGTTCAAATCATACGCTGGAAATTTTGAACAAGCTTTCATTGTTTTGGGAATCATTACACTCTCTGTTGGTGTATGTGGCTGCTCTCTCCTTAATGTCCAAAACAAAAGAATTTGGCATATCATTGGCAAGCGCTATGAATGATCTTCTCGACCCATCTTTACTTCTTTTTTTTTTCTTTCTTTATTCTATCTATATCCTTTTTATATAGCTTGTTTATATGTTTTATATGTTATCTTATTTCATTATATAATATTTTTTTTTTATATCTATCATACCTTAGTGCTACTTATTTTTTTTTAAAAAAAAGATTTTATGGATTAAAAACTTAGTTAAAATTTATCTTACATAGTGCAATAGCTAAGGATAATATTTATGAATAACTAAAATAGACCCCCCGGAATACTCATCATCATAGTATAGATATCATCGATCGTCATCAATCAAACATCATGATCTATATAGTCTTTATTACAACGAGTTCATTATTATTATTCTATCTAATCGTTCCTTTTTGATATATTTGTTGTAAATCAGTTCGATGTCATCCATAAATCACGTTTGGTCGACTGTCTATATTTCGATGCTGCTTTTCTGTTTGATACAGTGGAGACAGTAGTTTTCATAGTTGATATCTTTCCATGTTTGGTATCCTTTGTTGTACAATCATCATCATCATCGTTACCGTCATTATCATCATCATCATCATCATGATATTTCTTTTGACTATGATCGACCTTTTCGTGATGACTTGTGGTGGCGAAACTCAATAAAGAGGTCGATCTTGTTTCAAGATGAGGTCTAGGAGCAGGCAAAGGAGCAGGGATTTGAGAAATATGACGTAATCGAAGTCGATAAAGTATGGTATCTATGGTTAATTCAATCTGTAAATGATTTTTGATGATGGACATTTCTAATCAAATAAAGAAAGGAAAGAAACAGATTAAAAATGAAATTTATTACTTGCCTCTCTTTTAAAGAATGTCATTCCTTAATATATGAATTGACTTACTTGGCCAGGTAGCACGATCTCCTTGAGCAATAGCATGAGCAACAAATTCTTGCGAAGGATTGGATAATACTTTGAAAAAATCTGTATAATTCACATCAGGTACAATGGTAATATCACCAGAATATTTTTGGGACATGACAGCTTTCATTTTCGAGAAGATGGAGGGGAAAATACCTAGCTCGGTTAACTTTTTTTTTTCAAGAAAACAAGTAAATGGAAAATGGATGAGTTGATGTCCTCTCTCTCCTAGCATTTTTTTTTTTTTTTTTTTTTTTTTTACCTGAGTACAGCGGTGTTGAACTTCAGTATTGGCAAGATGCATCCAAAAACTAGCTGCTTGTCTAATAGGAGAAATGGCATTCGACTTTGGTAGAAAAGGTATCACGTGTGGATTAACTATGGCAAAAGTAAAAAAGATCTCCATATGATTATAAGAAGAAGAACGAAAAATGATGTTTATAATTTTTTTTTTTTTACCTTGACACACAATAAAATGATTGACGTTGAAAAGTTCTGATAATCTATTCATAGGCAGATCACTAGAAAGTAGATGTTAGTTTCATTCCTTTTTCATTATTATCATTATTATTGTTATTATCCTTACTTTTCCACAGACCCATCAATGTATAGTTGATCTATTAAAACATATTAAAAGGAATTACTTTGTGTATCCCACTCCTTTTTTTTTGTATATTTTTGATTATTATTTACCACTAGGATTCCAAGGCACAATATTGCCATTTTTATCTTTTGCATAAAGAGGTGATGATCCATAAAAAACAGGTACAGCACATGAAGCAGCACTTTATGTACCATCATCAACAAATCAAAAGTAAGTTTTCATATAAATCAATATTTCGTTAAATGATGCCTTTGACTTACACAGCAGACCAAATCACCTAAAAAAACAGAAGAATGAATTTATATCAAGGATAGTGATTTAACCCTCTTTTTTTTTTTTCTTAAAATGTTTACCACATCGGGAGCAGTCAAGTAGTTTAACAATCGAGGCATATCATATACAGTTGAAGAACTCACGGTAATGTTTAAAATCCATCTTGTTCGATTGAAAGCTTCCTACAAAGAAAGAAAAAAAAAATAGTCATCAGACAAAAAGAGCACATGAGAAAAAAAAAAAAGAAATTCTTTACTTACTTGAAAAGTAACATCACCTAAATTCACTTTCATGGCTTCTGTCAAAATTTCCACATCATAAAGTTGACCATCTGATAATAATCTTTTCAAACGCATAAATGGGGTATCAGGGTATCCATCACGTTCAAATACATCCTTTAAAAATAATAATAATAATAAATGTCAAATGAATTTTTTTAATATAATTTTATACTTTACTAATTTCACAGCAGTAGGATCAAACATATGAGGTATTTCATCTACAGTTTTTGTACAAAGTAAAGCAGCCATGATACTTCCACTTGATGCACCAGAAATCACTCGAGGTAACAATCTGGCATTGAATAAACATTTCAATACACCAAGATGATAAAGTCCTATAAATAAAGACCTCCCTAATAAGAGAATGCAAAAAAAAAAAAAAAATAGATTCTATGATTATTTACCTAAAGTACCACCACCACTTAATAAAAGAGCTGTTCTTCCAAAACTTTGTCGAATATTCATAAAGAAATCATGTTTTGCTTGATAATCCAATTCACTTGTTTCATCACAAATCCAATTTAATTGTTTAGTGACTTCCTCAATATAAGTAGAAATCAATACTTTTGTACCCACTCTAGAATGAGCATATAACTAAATCATCATAATCAGTTTCTCTTTTCTTTTTTTTTATGTTCAAAAGATAATTTACCGTTGATTTTCCCATATCACCTAAATTCCGAGCTAAACTTGTCCGTAGTTGAAATATCATAGCACTAGGATTATTTTGGTCTCGTACAATTCGAAGTTGATTTAAACGATTCTGAACAAGTTCCCAATCATATTCAGTAGAAACAGGATCCTTTTTCCATTCGTCATTACCTTAATGCAAAAAAAAAAAAAAGTGCATAAATATAGAATATTTTATTCCTTTTTTTTTTTAAACAAAAAGATTACCTTCATATTCATCAAGTGCTGCTGCAGCTTCTGCCCATTGTTCATAGTTAGTTGCCACTTTTAAAATATGAGTATAATATGATTTTGGATCGACACTAGCTGTTATCCATTTATCATATAATTTCTATCATAGAGACAACAAAATGTATATATATAAGAAATAGTTTCAAATAATAATAATAATAATAAATAATAAAAAAAAAGTTATTTTTATTATTCACCTTTGACCAATAAGACGTGACATCTTTAGAAAGTGAACTTGTTGCTATTTGTTTCGCTTCGAGTTCCATTACTATTATGAATAATAATAATAAAGAAAAGAGAAAAAAAAATGAACTGATAAATTTTTTTGATACTCCAATTTCATGTGAAAAAAAACTACTACTTTGTGTCACAACTTCATTTGAAATTACTGCATTATTAAACCCACTTTTTCTTTTTATGTTATCCAACAAAAAAAAAAAAAGAATGATATTATAAAATAATACAAACAATTTATCATATTCTTAATGTTATATATATCAATCAAAATGATCGATTATATTCGATCACATTAAGAAATAGAAGAAAAAAAAGATGATACCATAATAAAGGTGAAATATTGCATATATAAAATAAAAACAGAATAATCTAATAACATTCACAAGTAATAATCTATCATTTTTTTAAGTATTAGTAGTAACAGAATGAATGGAAAAATAAAAAAAAAAAAACTATAGTAATAAATGAGTACGGAAAGCCTGTCCGTCACATGTGAAAAAAAAAAAGAAAAAAAAAATAGGCGGAGCTATGAATCAAAGAAAGGGGATCCCTCTCATTCAAAGATATAATAGAAAAAAAAAAAAATATTTCTTTCTTCCTTCTTTTTTTTTTTTTTCTTTTTTTTTTTTTTATTTGGTTAATATTCCATCCTCTCTTTTTTATCATCTTCCCCCCACATTTTTTTTACTATGACTATCTCTGAAACAACTTATTCTGAATATGATGTCATTATTGTGGGTGCTGGCATCCTTGGTTCTGCTGCTGCTAAAGCTCTCGGAGATACTGGCAGACGAGTCTTATTATTAGAAAGAGATCTATCTGAACCTGATCGTATTGTTGGGGAATTATTACAACCTGGTGGTGTTAATGCTTTACATGCTTTAGGATTAGAAGGTAAAAACCTCCCTTATTATTATTAAAGAATGATAATAACTTATCTTTATCATTTTAAAGAATGTCTCCAAGGTATCGATGGTATTGATTGTCATGGTTATGGTGTGATTCGAGATATGCAAACAGTGGCTATTCCATATCCTATTAATCCAGTATCCAATAAAGAAGCAGTAGGAAAATCTTTTCATCATGGTCGATTTGTCAATCAACTTCGACAACATGCATCTGCCGTAGAAAAGTAAGTCAAAATAATAATATATATATGTAAATCGAAAGATTGATTATGTATACTCTTTTTTATGATAGTGTGACCGTTAAAGAAGCAACAGTAACCTCTTTACTAAAAGAACAATTAGTTGGGGAAGATGATGAATTGGTTGGCAATGAAAAGGTGGTGGGTGTTGTAGCTCAGATTAAAGATAGATCAGAAGAAAAGGTAAGATGATGATGTTATACACATTCATTTATAACACAATATACTTATGATATCATTTTCCAAAGTTTTATGCTCCTTTGACTATTGTTGCAGATGGTTTATTTTCAAAATTCAGAAAAGAAATGACAACGAAAACTCCTGATGTTCGATCATACTTTGTTGGGTAAGTGGAATTAAAAAAATAATAATAAAAAAAAGAGTTAATTAATGTATAATAAAACAAAAATCTTTCTTTTTTTTTTCTTTAGTTTTGTCATGAAAGATGTTCCTTTACCAATGCCTGAACATGGTCATGTTATTTTAGCTAAACCATCACCGATTTTGATGTATCAAATCAGTACACATGATACTCGTATCCTTGTAGACATTCCTGGACAACTTCCTTCTGCTTCCAATGGTGATTTAAAACGATATCTACATGATAACATTGCCCCTCAGTTACCCGATACTATTCGTGTAAATTAAAAAAATCATTAAATCAAGGAAAAAAAAAAAAGGTGATCCAAATCAGATGATAGTTTGATTGATTTTTATTTTTATTATTATTAGACTTGCTTTATCAATGCTTTAGAAACTGAACGATTACGGTCTATGCCTAATGGATTTCTTCCTCCTTCCATCAACAATTATGAAGGTATGATTGTTTTAGGTGATGCCATGAATATGCGACATCCTTTGACAGGTGGTAAGTAAAAAGAAAGGAAAAAAAAAAGAAAGAATGGTATGATTGATTGGGATGAATTTTCTTTTTTTATACTTTAGGTGGTATGACTGTGGCATTAAATGATGTGGTACTTCTTCGAGAATTACTCTCACCAGAAGTCGTACCTTCTTTCACTGATACACAATTGGTTATCAAACAAATGGCAAAACTCCATTGGAAACGCAAGAAATATTGTACTTCTATCAATGTTTTGGCCATGGCTCTTTATAGATTATTTGCTGCTGAAGATGAAGATCTTGCTGTATTACAAAGAGGATGTTTTGGTTATTTCAAACTAGGTGGTAATTGTATTGATGGACCTTGTGGTTTATTATCTGGTTTAATACAACAACCTCTAGTGCTTGTCTATCACTTCTTTGCTGTGGCTATCTATGCCATCTATTTGGAATTCAAAACTGGTGGATGGCGACAAGCGCCTATGAATTTTATCAAGATCTTTACTGTCTTATATACTGCATGCGTTACCATCTTCCCTTATCTTTGGAGTGAACTACAGAAATGAAGTTTATCTCTTCTATTCCCATCTTCCTTTATTATGATTATTATTATTATTGTTGTTCTTTTAATTTGATTTTACGTATATACACTACTTTTTTTACAATATTATAAAACATACACTATTATGTCTTCATTTGACTAATTAATTAATAAAAACATTGTTATTTTACTATTTTTATGGATGCGTTTCTATTGAACTTGACTCATATGATAATCGATCTTCTTTCGTGATGACAGTGACATAGGTTACAGACAAAGGTTCAGTTCTTTATTTAACTTGTCTATTACAATCTCTAAATCTTTATCAGCGTTTTGATGAAGTTGCTGCACTTCTGGTCGAATCTTGTGATAAGCCAAAGGTGATCTGTCATGAATGTTAAATCATTGCATTGTCCATATGAATCTCTCTCTCTCTCTTTTTTTTTTCTTTTTGTTTTACCTTTCATTAAATTTTGTTCTGTGATACTCCAATTCAGCAAGATTTTTAATAATATCATTCTCTAATCCTCTTCTTTGTGAAGCTAGTTGAACAAGTAAGAGAGTATTTTTGGCTTTGTTGAAAAATAGGACAGGATTAGTTTTCTATTTCAATATAAATATATAATAGTAATAAAAAGGAATTATATACCTCGCGACTCCCACTCAAGTCGTTTAATAGGATCAGTTTCTTTTTTATAAGCTTCAAACTGTCGTCTGATCCGTTGACGTAGATACCAAGTCTTTTGTAAAGTACGAGGAAGGGCCTTGTCAGCAGCTTTTAAAAAGGTACGATACATGCTTGCACCTCTTCACATATATGATCAACACTGAAAAAGTAAAATAAAGAGAACGCTACACACAGAAAGAATTTTATCACTCGGCAGGTAAAATCAGGCCAGCTGATTTTTTTTTTCCAGAAACGAACATCCCGTCTAGTAACATCCGTGATCTCATTCATGATAATTAGATAATGATGTTTCTTTCTATTATTATTACTTTTATTATTATTTAATGTATCAACTGTTTTCTATTGAGCAACTTGTTAAGATTGGATTTCTTTTAACTTTGATTTCAACATATCATCCACTTGCTTGTTGTATTTATCCGTCAGGGTTTGTACCTTAAAAAAGAAGAAAGGTCAGGGAACTGAATAAGATCCTCATGAAGAAAATGCTTTTTTTTTTTTGTTCTTACCAATTTTTCCATCTTTTTGATATCATCCTTGGATTGAGTTTTGGCATCTGTTTTTAATTGTTTCATGCCATCCTGACGTACAAGACGCACTCGTGACTTGATCTGTTCGGCTGTTTGACTTGCCACTTTGGCCATCTTTTCTCTTGATTCCTTAGTAGGCCTTTTTTTTTTTTTAACAAAAAATGTGATGTTAATCTTCATTTTTTTTTTATCTGAATGACTTTTAGCTCTTTGTTTGTTTGTTTTACTTACTTTGGAATAGGAACTCGAATGAATTTACTATCGATCACGGGATTTAAGTTCAAACCTGCTTCTCGGATACTTTTGTCGACTGCTGTTTGATACTGGTGAAGAAAAATGTCAAAATGAATGTCACACAATATAGAAAGTTATCTTTTGATGATGATGATGATGATTATTTTACCTCAGTATCATGAACAGACACCAATAGAGTCTGTGGGTCCCGGATGGTTACTTGTGCCAAGTCACGTAGAGGGAAATTGGTGTCTTCAATATTTACTCGAACTGTATCTAACAAGGCTGAAAAAAAAAAAAAAGGTCAGCGAAAAGGAATATTTTCTCGTCAATTCCTCCTTTTACAGGAAACATAATAATAGTAGTAGTGATTATACCTGGATTAGCTCGACCTACACGAAGAGTATTGAATTGTTCCTGCAACGTATGAATCACATGGTTGAACTTGACTTCGATTGCCTTTTCATCAAATAACATGGCAGAAGGTTCAGTCGTATCATTGCCTGTAGAAGAGGCTACGTTCTTTTTCTTATTGTTAGTCTTTTTGGCATAAGCACGTACTTGTATCCATTCAGAGGGTTGAGTGACTACTGCTGTTGTTACATATAAAGAAGGATTCATAGACACTGCCCTTGTTGAAGTAGTGGATCTCAGGGCTGTACGGATTAAGGTGGAGGTAAGTGGCATTAAGGTTCTTAAAGTCATGGTTTGGTATGAAAATGGATAAGTTTAGCTTTGAAAAATATGCCGCTTTGATTCCCCCTTGCCAACCTTCCCTTTGTGACAGTGAAAAAAAAAGGACTTTAAGGTCAGCCTCAATTACCAAATAAAATACGGACTTTGAAAATTCATTATGCTAATGGCCCATAATTACTACCAATGTACAAATACTCCAGGGCAGCTATTATGATAAATCATTACACATATGATGATACCATCACATCAGTGAGAAACAAAATACTAATAAGATTATATTCCCTGTGTGACAGTATTACGAACCAAAACAAGAATAAACAAAAACAAAAATAAAATTTGGTCACCAATATCACTCAGCACGTACTTATATATACAGTCGAGAAAGTTAGGTTGGATCAGGTTAGCTGAAAGTGGGTCAGCTCCGCGAAAATGGGTCAACTCTGTGAAAATGGGTCAAGCATTTGAAAGTGGGTCAAAATTAGGGCGTAAATAGGGCGCAACCTGACCCACTTTCAAATGCTTGACCCATTTTCACAGAGTTGACCCATTTTCGCGGAGCTGACCCACTTTCAGCTAACCTGACCCAACCTAACTTTCTCGACTGTAAGACCAACAAAAATTTTATTGTGTATATACTTCGTCTCTTTTTTAGACCATTTTTAAAATAAAAAGAAATCTCACAGACTTGTTCTCGTCTTCTTTTTTTATTATTTTGTATCATTATTATTCAATTCAACACCAATCTCACATTGGGTGGTTCATAATCCCTTTTTACCAATGACCCCAACATCTCCACTCGTGCTCTCGGGTCAGACTTCACTCCTTCTGAAGGTATGCTTCTTCGTTTTCCATATCGTACTGGTGACTCCTTCAATCGTCCTTTACCTGATACCGACCGTCGACGTTACCTTTTTGAATGCCCAAAGAATTCTTTACAGTTGGCTGCTTCAAGTTGTTGTTCCAAAAGGGCGGCAAAGAATCAGCTCTGGACGTTCCTGTAGGTACCTACACGGCCGCTGACAGCATATTTGTCGATAGTACAGAGTGTGACATTCTCTATATGTCTCGTTCAGCAAATCTTGCCAGCTTACCCGCAGTTATAGTGGAAATACAACACACAATGATATGTAACTTGATGTGCCAAGCTGTCCAGTTCTACCTGAACGTGTACAAACGTTTTCACACCTTCCCAATCTTATTCATCGTCTGTATCTCAAAAGCGGAATCTAAAGCCCTCGATGACCTCTTCAAATCTTCCAAAACAAGATTTATCTACTGGAAACACCTTGTTTCCACTTCGCAAAAAAACTGCTTCATGCTGACCAAAGAGAGCATCGATCCCTTTATCGATAATCGTGATATCAATGTGTTGGACCTTTTGATTGCCTTTGCCCATTTTCTGACGTCTGGCCAACAAAGCATCATCAGCATTGACCGATGGGACGACCCAAGCGTCACAAGACTATACTTGGTCGACATGAAAATGGTTAAAAATGACAGGGAAACAGAGACCGACAAAATGGAGGCCTTGCGAACGATTTGTCAAACAACGCAGAGTCAATTTGAGAAGATATTATCGACAAATTGCCGACAACCCCCAGCTGAGCGCAAGCTTACGCAAATGCAGGATGACACTACAGCGCGAGTCTCAAAAGGACTAAACAAACTTGGGATACTAAAAAAGATGCAACAGGAATTAGTGAAGGAAGAAGATGAGAACCTATTTCCCCTTGTAATCAATCTGTTACATGGTCACATGTCGTATAAAAAAAAAAAGAAATAATAAAAGAAAAGAAAAAAAAAATTATAAAAGACAAAAAACAATAAAACGATACAATGAAGCAAGGATCAAGCGACACACCACCAGAAACAAGAACATCCATGGAACTTTCCGACGAGCTTAGTGATGCTTCTTATCCTGCAAATTTCAAAAACGTAAGGTTGATTGCATTTGTCGATACTTGGAAACAAAGTAATAACTGGGAACATTGGGAACATTGTATTATCATCGACTTTCTCGAACTTAAAGGCCTTTACCTGGTTATGGACAACGCACCAATTCATAAGTCAAAAGAGATTGAAATGGCAATTATAGAACGCGACTATCGATGTGTGTGTGTGTTTACCTTTGCCGTTATTCCCCTGAACTGAATACTATACAACAAGCGACAGCTACCAACAGAACAGGAAACTTTTACGACAAAGGTAAAAGAAGCTTGCCATAGGGTGACTCACAGGTATATTCAGCGATGCTCTACCTCTTGTTTCGCTCTCTCTCTCTCTCTCTCTCTCCAGGAAATACCAATGTAGAATGTAGATTAGTTGTACATAGTAGTTAGTTTCCTCTTATTTGTATCTTCATCTTTTTTTTTTATTATTTGAACTTCCAATAAAAATTGAATTTTTGTTGTTATGGTCGACTTAAGTTTCACTTCAATGGCTTTTGTGTGTAGCGGTGTCTTTTTTTTTTTGCATGTAAAGGGATGTTTGTTTGTGTAAATGTTGTTCGCCTTTTTTTTTTTTTTTTTTTTTTTTTGTTGTATGCGACATCGAAATTCACTTTAGACGACATTCAGTTTCCATTTGCTTGGCGGATGTCCGGACTTTTTAAGAAAATACCAAAAAAGCATGCTGATCATTTTTTGAAACTCAAAAAAGTAAGAACCTTGTTACATCGGTGGGGAGTGAACTTTGAAGCAAAACTGACCCACGTGTGTGCAACCTAAAATCAATAATTAAATGATTACTTTCATTGAAAAAAAAAAAAAAAAAAAAAGTAATTTCTTTTTGTTTGTCTCGCTTACACTTTTTTTTTTTTTTTTTTTTTTTTTTACTCTCTCTATGCAATCCATATCAGGTATTATCACCCAGACACATGTGTCTACAGGTGAAATACCTCCTCCTTTAGTAGGGTCCTCGATCTCTATAGTAGATGACCTTGTACTTGTTTTTGCTGGTCGTCTTGTTACTTCCCGAAAAATGACAAATCACTTGTACGTACTTAACCTCAAAACTCTAGTTTGGACCAGACATATCCCTCCACCAGACTCAGACAAGGCACCTAAACCACGTTATTTTCACTCCACTAATACTTTTGGTCGGTCTCTTGTTATATTCGGTGGTATGGGTTATTCACGACACTCTGAAGATGGACTTTGTGTGTTGGACGATGTTGCTATTTTCGATATCGACACCATGAGTTGGAAACAACCTGAAATACAACCCTCTCTTTTCGCTCCTCGTCCTCGTTACGCTCATCTCGCTACAATTTCAAAACATCACCTATTTGTCATTGGTGGTCAGGATATGGATAATGGTTACCTCACCGAGATCAATGTGTTGGATCTTCATTCTTTTGAGTGGGTACGAGCTATTGCTTTTGATCAACATGTTGGAGCCTATCGTTCAGTGGTAGTAGCAACTCCGGTTGGTACCTCTTTACCAACAGGTATGAATAATAACGATGATCAGTCTAGTGTTTCTGTAAAAAATGATAATTCAACACAAAACGATCCATCAGCAAGAAGTCGCATGTCTATCTTGTATACCGATCTAGATTATAATCCACCTACTGATACACCAGGACCTATCTTTATGTATAGCAACTATAATTTTGCCGATGTTAATAGAGAACTTCAACTTATTACTCGATCCTCATTTTCAACAAAACTAGCAGGTGTAGATGAACGAGATATCAATCAAATATCGGTGGAAAATGTATCGGATATGATGACAGGCTCAGTTATGCCACCTGGACTACGATTTCCAACTGGAGATGTGCTTGGACAACATATGGTCATTGCAGGAACGTATTTATCACCTCAAAATCAATCATACTCTTTATGGGGACTTAATACTGTCACTTTAGCTTGGACTCGCGTGGATACTGGAGAAATATTTAATACAGGATCATGGAATCGAGGTGTACTAGATGCAGAACGCAATCGATACTTGATATTTGGGAATATGCACCGGAATTTACTGGAAGATTACAATCATCGTCAAGTGAACTTTGAACACATGGCAACCGTCGATTTGGAAGCATTTGGAATTTATCAACAACCAAAGATGAGTTGTTCACCTCTTGCGCAAGAAATGGGTTTACGTTTATTAAATGAACCGACAGTGGCTGATTTTTATGTGATCACTCGGGATAGTCAAGAAATTCCTGTCAACTCGGCTATTTTACGGCATAGATGGCCATATTTTGCAAAGCTATTGGAACAAGAAGAAGAAAATGAAGGAACAACAATGGACGAAGCATCATCAGGAAAACCAACCTTACTTGATGATATTCAAGAAAACGAAGAAGTAAAAATGCACACCGACATCGACTATAAACCACATGCTCAGTCTATGACATTCCCTTATTCATATCCGGTGGTGATGGCTTTATTGCAATATCTTTATACAGACAACTTATTGACAGCACAACAGTATCAACCTCATATACTTTCACATTTGCTTCTTTTGGCTGATATGTACAAATTGCCACGCTTGGTTTCATTGGCAACTCATGCTCTTCATCAAATGCTTAACATGTCAACTGCTCCATTGGTTTTTGAAACAGCTGCTCTCTCCCATCAAACAAGTTTACAAATTCGTGCTTTAAAGTTAATGATTGCCGCCAAAAAGATGGTTCATCAACAACAACAGCAACAACAACAAATCAATCTTCAATCACAACGTCAACAACGATTATCTCAATATAACGGTATTACAAGTACTAATAATAATATCGGCAGTGATGATTGGGATACACAATCAATGGCTTCTACTACATTTCAACAGCAGTATCTCGATCAGTATCAAACATTACCAACACCAACATCATCATTGTCATCATCATATCCATTATCCCCAGCGGCAACAGCATCGACTTCAGAATTGGATCTCAACAAACAAATGCATATGTCACCTACATTGGGTGCACACCGTGGGCGAACTCCTTCTCTTGGTAATCGCTCTATGTTTTCCACCAATGGAGGAGGTATCTCTTCTCCAAGGCAAGTCAATACGTTACCAACTAATCGACCTTCTACAGCTTTGAATTTTTATGGAGCCACACGGCAAACAATCACCACTAGTACTAGCAACAACAGCAGTGGTAGCAGCAATGGCAACAGTTCTTATTATTCTGTGACTACACCATCCTATCAACATCCACCTTCATCAACATCCTCTACTTCATCATCCTCTTTTTATTCATCTGAACCTAAAAAGTCGACATCCTCTGGTTTTCCTTTCATCTCTAATAATGCCATGCCAGTAAAAACATCTCCATCTTCTTCTTCCACCATACCTGAAGATGACAATTTCAGTGTATCCAGCTTTTCGATGTATGGTAATCAAACCACATTTACTAATACTTCTAATTCATCCTCCTCCAGTAAAGATTTGTCCAATTCAAGCAGACGAAAACAAAACCGTATTTTGAATGCTTTGGGAAACAAATTCTCAATGTCACGATCTTGATTATTTATTATTAATTCCTATTTATTTTTATTCCCCTTTATTTATTTTCTTTCTTTTTTTTATTATTATTAATAATATTATTTTGCTTTCTTTGTTTAATAAAAATGAATAAAAGTGTTATTATATATATATTTATCATCATCAAAAGGTTAAATAATTGGTAATTTTATTTGTTATTGAATTGAAAGAATGGTGGAGTCAAAAAAAAAATTGTCAAATATATATGGGAGAATGAAATGGATTCTTTTTCTTTTTTTTTTTTTTCTTATGAAGAAGTAGGCAGGAAGCTCCATAAAGTACCAATGGCTGCCATGGAAATGGCGATGAGCATGATCAACCAATCCAAAATATATTGAGAATAAGTCATTGAATGTCCAAATAAACTAAGATGACATGCCAATGGAAAAATGGCTGAAATCCCAAAACTGAATAAAGCTCCTAATAAAGACTAGCAAGAAAAGAACAATGATTATCATAATTTACTTTTAAGAGACCTTGTCTTACCATAACTTTATCAAACCCAGGGAAAATGATGGCAATATAAACGATGAAAGCATGAAGCAAAAGTCGACTTGTCCAAGAAATCAATGATTTGCCCATACGTGTATGACTCCATTTTTCAATCGTTGGTTTGGAAAGTAACCAATGTTCCCAAGTTACTTGTAGAGGATTCATCATTACGCCATATTTCGCAATCGGTGTTAAAAATACGAGCCAAAGAACTGTTCGATTTAATGCACGATTGAATCCTTCTGTCACTGCCAAATTCTGCGTTATCTACATATCCAAAAAAAAAAGAAAAAAGTGGATGGATAATGAGAAGTCTCTATTTTTAAAAAAAAAAAAACAAGATAGAATTACGAACAAAAAAAAACATACTTCTTTCATAGTTGAGGTACCAAACATGGTGTAACCAGCCCATGCCATCAATACATAACTTGCAGTTGTAATCAAATAACTAAGATTTACCACTTGATTATATTTCTTTGGTTCATCCATATCACGATAAAGAGATGGAAAAACAGCTGCTCCTGTATAGACACTCATGATCAAACCAAATGAGATGGGAAGTCCATAATAACTGCTTGGAAACATTTCAGTAGGCTATGCATAGATATAAATTTAATAGCATTATAGACAATTAATACAGAAATAAAAACTTTTTTTTTGATTGCTTTTTTTTTAATTTTTTTGTATTACCGCAGGATACCATAGACTACCTGGAGCTTCTTCTTTCTCTACTCCATCATACAAAACAATCAATAAAAGACAAATGCAGCTGACAATCCCAATAAAACTTGCATAAGCCAAATGACGTATAGGGAAAAACAAAGTAGGAGTAAGAAGAAAAAAGGAGATGATTCGTGTTTGAATCATGGGAATTAATGGGAAAAGAGACTGAATGGCATCACCTAATAAAATGACCATAGCCACACTTTATGTCCACAGAAAGAGAAAATATTAGTGATGGATCTTTTTAGTGATCATTCCATTTTTTTTTTTTTTTACCCAACAGTGAGAAGTTCTACAATAAAAACACTGCCAATGAAAGCACGTCCACGATGTCCAAATGCCACAGCACCAATATCACCATAGGTAGTTGCACCTGGTTGAACTTCGAGACATTTGATCAATATTTTGGCTGTATAGTTGGTGGCTAGGCAACAAAATAAAAGAATGACAGATCCATAGACCCAACCTGCTAAACGGAATGCTAAAGGTAAAGCCAAGATTCCCACGCCAATCAGCACATTGACTGCATTGAAAATAGACTGAAGAAAAGTAGAACGCAAACAAGTAGACGATGATATTGGTGAAGCATTATAGTCAGACATAAGCGATGCCACAGTAGTGTGCCGTGATAAACCAGGAAAAAGACCATACATTGATTCTCCCATATGTTCAGAGAAAGTACTATCCAAATCAAGGGTAGAAGTAGATGGTGGTAATGTATGATGATGGCTACTAATAATAATAATAATTTTAAATGATGATGATTTTTTTTTTTGTTAGTCGAGTTAACAAGAGTCCTTTCTATAATTATTTATTATCCTTACGATTTAGTGTCAAAATCTTGTTGATAATGTTGTAAATCATCCTCTTGAGATGGATAATGCTGTTGATGAAAATGATGATTTACTATTATATTTTCAGCCATATACATTACAGATGCCCGAGAAAATGACTCCGCCATAGATTCCACTGCCGTGCGAAAGGTCTGTGTACGAGATAATTCAGTCATTTGGCTGGAAACCCGCGACATGTTCAAATCAGTGGGAACAAAAGTATCATCGGGATAAGAAAAGGAACCGTAATATGGATGTGTGTTATTAGGTATACGAATGTAATTTTCAGATGATGGGGGATCTGACGTACTGGTATTTTTATCGTCCATTATTGTTGAAAATAATATTTATATGCAAAGATGAAAGAAAAAAGGAAGATAATTAAAAAAAAAAGATCTAGGAAACAGCATATTTATTCAACTTTATTATTTATTTCTGCGGATGATACATGAAACATAAACAAAAATCCACCAAGAGAGACAAAAAAAAAAGGTACGGATGAAAGAAAAACTTAGTGAAAATCTGAGCTCTTATTTTATTATCCTTTTTGTTTAGAATGCATGTTTCAACTTTTTTTTTCATTTGTCAATTGCGCAATCGAGCGACAAGGGATAAACAATGTATGTAATTACACAAACTATCTCAGAGAATTCTTTATAATTCCTTCTAATTAAATAAAACAACGGCAACAAGGACTAGTCCCACTATTTCATCAGTTGCGAAATTTTGGTTTTATCTCTTTCGCATATTGCCTATAAAGGAAATCCGAAGGGGAATGACAAGAAGAATGGTGTGTCCTTTTCCTTTAGGGATTTTGGGATACAGTAGTTGGCTTTCTTAGATTATTGCCTTATCACGGGGCCAGAAAAGCGTGGCTGTTTCATGTATCTAATTGAGGTAATGATGAAATAGTATGGATAAGAATACAGCGGATGATATTATAATGAATATCATTAGGTAAGTTGATCTAAGGTAAGATCAAGCACACACAAGACTTCCTACCAACTCATCAGAGTGATTTCTAGGTTTTCTAATCCAAACAGTACACCGATATGAACAAAATCCTTTCTTCAAGTGTATCTCACTGACATAGCGGGAGATCTAAGGTCTGACTAAGAAAAAGTCCTATGACTTTGTAAATCATTCTAAATGAATCCCATGAACTAATATTTCATCTTAAGCAAACAATAATCATATGCCAGAATCTTTGATTTCTAATACTCCAGTGGAGTGTATTTATTGAATACTATATAAAAAGACTGAGAACAATAAAATGATGTAAAATATAAAAAGATAGTGGGTAAAGGTGAAGAAAAAAAAACGACAAGAATAGGCTACATATATTTCTATGATACAAGAAGGGGAGGAAGAAACCGACGAATGAAGAAATGAAGAGAAGTTGATTTACATATATATGCAAAATTTGTTTGATGCTATCCTTTCTTGAACCCAAATTTTTTCCGCTCGTAAAATAGATCTATCCAAAGTGTAAAAATACAGAATCAGTACAATGACTTGAATATCCTTTGTTATCATTTCCTACCTGTTTTTGAAGATCCCAAGTTAATAATCTTTGGACATCCTTCACGATCTTTCTCTAATCGGGTACAACTAACGCAATAATACGCATCAGACACGCCAGGACCACCACAGACAACGCATCTACCTTGGAATGACCCTTAAGTAGACAAACAAGTTAGTATACAGTTATCAAAGTATAAGAATTTCTTGATCATTTCCTTTTTTTTTTTTTCTGTCTCTTACCAAAGTTACATTCATCACATATCCGTACCAATGTTGCAGGGCGTACATAACTAAACCAAAGAAAAAGAAAAAAAAAATATTCACCGTTAATATATAACTTTTCAGTCAAAAGATTCTTTTTTTTTGTTTTACCTATCACAAATGACACATCTTCCATCACATTTCTCACAAAGCCGTCCAATGGCAATGCCAGGTTGTTTTCGACAAAAAATGAGATCAGGATGATGTCTTGCCATTTTATAATATGTAAGTAAAGTAAAGTAAAGAAAAGGCGCAGACAAAAAAAAAATGCGACGCTCTCTTACTTAGGTTTACCTTGCCCCTCTCTCCCTCAAAACGTCACATTTTGATCTCCGGTTACATATGTGAGGAAAGTCTTTTAGTGGACTTAATTGCCAATTTTTTTTGTACTATTTATTTATTTCTTACAGAAAGAATAAAATATGTCGGATACTGAAGCTATAACCGAAGACGTAAAAATAGAGAATAAAGAGGACATAACTCAAACTGAAATATCGTCAGAACCATTATCCGTCATACAGCCAGTATCCGTTGACCCAGCAACTTCAGAGTCGCAACAACAGCAACAAGAACCATTATCACCTTCTTGTCAAGAGGACCAGGAGCTTATAGACATCACCACTGTTAAGGCTGAAGACACCTATATAGACACCTCTATTATATCCTCTGATACTACCACTAACAATGCTACTATCACTCCCTCTTCTACTGCCACCAGTACCACTAAAATCGCTGTTACTGCGCCAGATACTTCCACTCCTATTATCACAACTACAACAACTACAACAAGTACCGCTAATATAGCAACTGAACTTCCTGAACCTTCTGAAGGTACCAAACATTCACAACCATCCACAACAGAAGTGCATAATCCTATCACTTCAACATCTTCAACTCAGAATGACTCTCCATTACCTGCTACTCAAGGGTCCACAACGAACATAAAAACGCAAGAGAATGTGCCGGTCACCTCCACTTCACCAACCACTGCAAAATCCACCACTAATTTCGAAGAAATTCAAAACCAACTGAAGAAGACTCTTGATCATATTGAACAACGAAACATGGTGAGTGGATTTCGTACCTTAAGTAAGGCAACAGGTGCTGTTGTTGATCACTGTGAACAATTAGGTAACACAAAAAAGAAGGAAGAGGATCATGTATATTCTAACCCTTTTGACAACCACCTCCTGACCTTTTTTTTTTTTTTTTAAATACTGATAGGTCTTACTTCGGATGATCATCCTTATAATGCAATTGATAGAGAACAATTTTGGGCAGGTCTGAATAATTGTTGGTTATATGCTTTGGCGCAACGGCATGAACCAAGTCAACCAGAGGAAAAGATGACTGATCAACAATTACGTAGATTACGAGAACACGTCGTGACATGGGCTGATAAATTAGAACGATATGGATTAGTAGATTATGAAATGGGATGGTGGGAAGCGGATATTCTGGCAGCCATCGATGCAATATTAGCATCATCACAAGCTGCAGTAGTTGCACAGGCGGCAAATACTCTGTTTAGAGAAGAAACATCATCTTAACACTGTTTTTAATAAATATATATATATATATAAGTAAAAATATACACAAAACGTATATGTATATATATCTTTTTGCATTTTATTTGACTTTGGATCTGACATAAAATAAATTGTAAGCTGCACGACTCTATGGAAAAGAAATAGAAAAAAAAAAAAGTAATTAGATGACCACTACTTTTGTCATCTGTTCATCATTAATATACCTTGACTTTGGATTCATCACAAACAGAAAATCGAGTATCATCAAAATTATGCCATTCACCACGATATCCATTTCTTACACAAGCAGTGTCTTCAAAAAAAAAAAAAAAAAAAGAATTGTGAATATACATCGATGATTACTATTTTGATGACTCAAAGTACTTACAATGACCACCAGTTAACGATCCATAATGATTCTTAAATGGTTAGCACCAAAAAAGTTAGAGAGAGAAAGAGGGGAAAAAAAAATAGTATGATTTAGTGTTTTCAATAAGATTTCCCTGTATAGCAAAGTTTGCTTTTTTCATTTTCCTTACCGAAACTGCATAAAGGTCATAATTTAAGGTAGGTGGGGCGCAATCTTGAGGTATCATCGATTTAGGAAAATAACGACTCAAGTCAAGGTTTCTATAAACAATAATAAATCACGCCATTTGCATAAAGTTAATACATGTATGATGATGATGCAGTTATTTTTTAGGTTGATAAATACTTTGTAGGGAAATCAACATTGGTCTCCAATTTGTTTCGGAAGGGACCATCAAAGGAAAAACGTTTCAAATGAATCAACAAGACATCAGGCAATCGCGAGAGTGTAAGTGTCTTACTTGCTTTCCTTAACTTTTTACATTTAGGACAATGCCTAGAAAAAAAAAGAAAAAAAAGGTAAATAAAGAAACAAAAAAAAAATTACTTCCTTCGATCTATTCTCATTCCCCCAAATGAATTTTAGGTTTGATTTTTTTTCCTTATTCTACTACTTACCAAGCATCAGCTTTTTCCAATATTTCTTCCTTGACAAAATAATCTAAACATTGGTAAAGAGATACACTATTGGAAAGTTTTGTTCGTTTGGAAGGGATGGGTAAAGACAAAGACATGAAAGCATTATATGTTGTTGAAGTGGTTTTACATGACAAACAAGTAAGGCGACTACGATATTGACCTTGGAATAAACTGACAATAATACTTGCATTCCGTGCCAAATATTTTTCCCACGCCAAAGTACTTGCTTGATAATCTGGTAACAATTCGAAACGAGCTTCTTCGGCAGGATCATCCATACAATTTGACCGTGATGGAGTTCTAATAGCATTTAAATCTTCATGTATTCCATCGAGTAGAAAATTGAGGAATTCTTGAGAATCTTGTTGTTCACTACCAGAATATTGAGGTGCAAATCGGACGAGTGCTTCCTATTATATTATATTTAAAATCTATTATTCTTTTCATCTATCCCACACAATTTTCCTTTAGATCTTACTCTAAATGTGACAGGCGAGATAAAATTGTAATTTTCGCTCCACATGACACGAATCAATTCAGCAAAGCTCTCTGCCAATACGCCTCCTGTCCCAAGTGGATTTTGTTTGTTGATATCATTCTTGAATAAGCCAGCTATAAAGTAGATGATACACAGTTTAATATTTTTTTAAACCTTTCTTTTTTTTAAAAAAAAAAAAAAAAGAAAACTTACAAATAAAATATCTTGCAAAAGGAACTGTTCCGCTTAAACATTGTATGATGGAGTTCATATAGCATGTATTTCCCAAATTCTTTAATCCTGTTGTACCAATCAAAACACCTCCTAACTGAGAGAAAGAACTATCAGAAACAGGTGCGATGCGAGTATTTGTAGCAATGCTAGCATGAGGATTATTGTTGTTTGAAGTGATTGGTATTTTTGGAGGTAAATTTGGACCAGGCATTCCAGTGACAGTTGATGAAGTAGGTCCAGCAGATGAAGGTCGCAGAGTAGGTGGACTGACATGTGAAGTAGTTGCAATGGATGATGGTGACGGAGGTGGTGGTAATGGTCGTGTTGGTTTGGCAGGTACTGGTGGGATATCATATAATTTATTCGAAGTGGCTGTAAAACCATGAAATGGATTATCAATAAATGTATGACGTCGTTGTAACCCAGTTTCAGGCATCGTTGATGTATTTGGACGAATATCAGGATACCGTGAAGAAAAGTTGGCAATCTCATTTTCAGGTGTTGTGGTATTTTGTGAATAATAAGGATTAGGCATAGGAGCGGGCATGGGTATACTATTTGAATATGTATATGGATACGATTGTTGTATAGATGATGATGGTTGGTATGAATAATATGCCATTTGATTCGATTGACTCATTGATTGCAGGTGACCAACGCGTTGTTTTTGATTAAACTACGAAATAAGATAAAAAAAAAAAGATATTAAAGTTTATCATCATTATTATTCTTATTATCACCGAAAAAAAAAAAACTTACATAGTCATAAAGCGTATGATTTACTGGCGATACCTCTGTCTTTTCATGATAAGAATGCCCATCAATTCTTCCCATGTTAGCATTCATTAATCGATGTCCTTGTAAATGAGATGTGTTCCCTTGATAACCTAATTGCGACTGTTGTTGCTGTTTCGACGCTTCATCTTTGTTATCAAAACAATATACACCACGAGGACCAATAGAAGCGACCCAAGAGTCAAATCCACCTGCTAATAACATCGGTGCACGATTTAACTTTTTCGTAAATTCCAAATCATAAATGGCATTTTTTAAATAGGTGAGAGGCAAATTCATTTGCGTGATTGAAGGTGAGTTTTGGTCATAAAACACCACTAAATCAAATCTATTTCTTTGTTCAAAGAGTTGTTGTTCAGCTTCTGGGTTTAATACTAATGAATCTTGAATTTTATGCGAAGAGACACTAAAATTGATAAATAAAAAAATAAAAAAATATATATATATAAATATTGATCTATTCGCATACAATCTCTTTCTATTTTTTTTTTTTTTTCATATCAGCTTCAAAACATACTCTTTCCGAAGTACCAAAGGTTCAATTTGTACCATCCATCTGTGTTTGATACAAGCATGTCGAAACATATCGCGAGGTCGGACATCCAAAAGAAGTATACTAGCAGGATTATCCTTTCGAGTGATCCATTTTGCAAGTTCACGAGGTTCTACCTGAGGCATCTGAGGAAATACATTATTGGTTCGAGGTGGTAATTGAATGGGATTGGAGTAAGATGTATTATTGATATTTTCACGATCATTTATAACACTAGGAGATTCAGACAAAGCCTTCTCCCCTTTTGAACTCTGATGTGTTGAATTCGGGGTCACCTGAAGCTTGGCAAATTGAGATGATAATGATGATGTTGAATCTGTCTTCAAATTATCACTGACATCATTAGGGATGGTAGAGCTAGCATTGTTAAAATTCTTGGCAGATGGTGTATGAACAGGAACAGGTGGAAGATTATCTAGAGCTGATAGACCACTTGATGATATAGCAGGGTATTTATCAAGAGTTCTTTGAAGATCGATATCATCATCCTGATTTTCTTTATTGTCATCCGGGGAAGATAATGATTCTTGTTGATCTCTCCGTTTTTGCTTATCATACTGAGACTGCAGTTGTTCTCCAATATCTTCAAGTATAGTGAATATTTCGTTATTAGTTCTCTAAGAGGAATCAATAAATAGTTAGTAATCAAGAGGTAACAAAGCCTTTCCTCTTTTTAAAGGTGTTACGAACATGTTCCACCTATTACTTTCTCATTTCTCTTACCTTCCTTAGCTTGATATAAAATGGATCGTTTTGTGTGGAAGCATAATCCGGATGGTGCTGAATAATATCTAACATGATACTTGAGAAAGAAAAAAAAAATACAAGGTTATGATTTTCTAAGAAGTTTATCCTAGTTGATGTTTAGCTTTACCTGCATCCTTTCATGTAATGTACGTATGCGTTTTCTATGTTACCGAGACGTAATGCAATATCTCCCTATATCATTTATATTGAGTTCAACACTATAAAATTCATATGATTTTTTTCACTTTATAAAACTTACTTCTTCGTAGAGACGGTTCACTGATGATATCCATCGTTTTACACCATAGTTTGTTGTTTGTGATTTATCGACGGCAGCCCTGAGACGTAACTCTGCCAAGGTCATTTGTTATATATAGATATATATAAAAAGAAGTTCAAGATGTGACAAGAATATAGTAGTATTTCTTCTTCCACAAATATGAGAAAAGACTATGTTATTGTCTTCTTGAGATGGAGGATAAGAGAAGATGCTGAAGAAAAAAAAGGTAGTGTTGAACAAAGAAGAACCAAAAAAAAAAAAAATGTAATACCTGTCTATCTTTAAAGTAAGAGAAGGATTGCCCGGTCCGGAATATAAAAGATACATGTATTTCTCTCTTTTTGCTACACCAAGACAATAGTGATTGATGGTAATCTTTTAATATTTCAAAATGAATCATTTTTATGATTTGATTTCTTTATTTTATCTGTTATATCTCCTTTAGAAACAGAGTATGACAACTTTTTTTTTTTTTTGTAAATTGATTTCCAATGGAATTGATTCCCTTTGTTTCTTAACATGCTTCTGCGCCCCCCTCTTTTTCCCAAACTTTATACTGAGTCCTAATTTCATCAAGGGAAATAATTTCCAAGTAATTCACCTTTTTTTCTTCTTTCTTTTATACTTTTTTTTTTCAACTTGTTTCTACATTGTTCTTGTCATGATAAGAAAAAGCGCACGTTTAGCAGAACAACCTGTTAAGTCATACTCGAAAGCTAATAAAAAAACTATTACTAAAAAGTAATAACATCAAAGTGAAAAATAAAATAAAATAAAATAAAATAAAAAACCAATATGGTCTTACTAATAACCTTACTCTTGGTAGGATAAAAAAATCCAGCATAAATATCAAAAAAGAATTCAAGAAAACGAAAAGTGGATCTGACATTTTAAATACAAAAACGAGTGTGGTAAAAACTGGTGAAAAATCCCTGATTTTTTTTTGTAAACATGTTAGTCAAAGGATTTACAGTATTCTCTTGTTCCTATTAGAAAAATGAGTTGGAAAGTATCATTAAAGAATCAACATCGAGTGGCGACGTGTCTACTACTACTACGATGATGGCTTCTGATACAGCGAATATCATTACAGCAGCAGTACTTCCACGGAAATATGATGTTGAAAAAGCATGGCATCATATCAAATCAGTGGATGCTAAATTAGCAAAAGTGATGGATGATCGAGCGTTTAAAGAATTTCAGCAAAGAATCAAGTTGGCAGATGGATCTAATCCATTTAAGTAATATAAAAATACAATAGTTATATTATACAATCCATCTGATTATGTTTTAATTTTTCAAAAGATCTTTGGTGACCTCAATCATCTTTCAACAAATTCACGGTAAAGCCGCAGCATCCATTCGGAATAGATTTTTACGTTCATTTGAATCACCGATTCCATTTCCTGCTGATGAAATTCTGCCTTCTTCTTTTCCATGGTTTCCAACTCCAGACATGATCTTGGCAAAAACTACTGAAGAACTTAGATCAGTAGGCTTGTCCCAAAGGAAAACAGAATATATACAAGATTTATCCGCTAAATTTGCTAATAATACCATCGTTAGTGAGGAATTGGATAGAATGTCAGATGAGACTATTTCCAAATTATTGTGTTCAGTCAAAGGAATTGGGCAGGTAAACAAAATCATTATCTATAAGCGAATGATGAAATAATATAATATATTTTTTTTTTGGATCTATAGTGGACAGTGGACATGTAAGGAAAATTTCGTACACTTAAAAAAAAAAAGATATTGAATCAAATGTAATAACAAATAAATATCTTTTCCTTTTAGGTTTCTAATGTTCAATTTATGTCATCCTGACGTACTTCCTGTCTCTGATCTGGGTAAAATTAAAAAAAAAAAAAAGAAAAGGAAAAAAAAAAGGGTGCATGAAACAATTGATTCATTGATTACCTAAACAGGTGTGAGAAAAGGAGTGGCTCTCCATTTTAACACAGGCAATAAAAAAGATAAGAAGAATCAAATCATACTTCCATCACCAGATGAAATGCGTCAATTAACAGAAAAATGGAAAGTAAGACCGAATAAAATCGAATGAAATGACAAATCAATCAAATTTAAATATTGTTTTTTTTTTTTTATTGGAAATAGCCGTATCGCACATTGGGAAGTTGGATGATGTGGAGGTTGATGGAAATTAAAACTGTAGCCGATGACTAAAACCAAATTGACGCCATTTGTTACACATGTTGGGTAATTCCGTATTTGTATGCATATTAAGTCTTTCACTTTTTTTTTTCCTTTCTGTACTTTCTATTCTTCTTTTTGTTTTCTACTCTTTTTTTTTTTTTTTTTTTTATCACAAATGCATATTTTATTGATTTTTTTGGGAATCTTGGCATATGCCTTTGCTTTTCCAACCTTTCTCAAAAACTCGAATAAAGAGCCACCTTCTCCCGTACCCGTTGATCTTTTTGTTATGAGCAAGTGTCCCGATGCAGTCTATTGTGAATCTGTGTTTTCAACAGTTTGTAAATATATATATACATATACACATATATACATATATATATTATATTTTAGGACAGCCATTTACTTTCTTCTTTTTCTTTTTTTATAGTAAAGAAGGTCAACGTCCCCGTAACATTCGATGTCAACTACATTGCTCAATACGCTAGTTCTGCTCCTTTTGCTCATATATGGTAAGCATATCCCTGCTTATTTTCATGCTCAGAAAGTAACAAGTACTTTATTACTGTTAAAAGTAAACATGGTAGTTCAGAATGTTTAGGAAACATACAACAATTATGTTTCCATAAAGAATATCCTGATCCAAAGGATTGGTTTTCTTTTAATCTTTGTATGAACAAAAACTATCAGTTGATTGGTTTAGACGATGACTTGGCCAAGAACTGTGGTAAAGAATTTGAGAAAAAGATGATATATTTTGAATCAACTAAACTTTTATTATAGCTCAAGATCTAAACAAGTCATATGCACCTGTCGAACATTGCTCACATAGTGCAACGGGTGTTGGTTTACTCACAGAAAGTGCGCAGAAAACAAAATCATTAGGTGTTAGGTAGAGTGACATAAAGAAAAAAAAACATTTTGAGTATGAACTCATTTGTCTATATATTCTGATAAGCTCGAGCTGTACAGTCTTCATTGACAACAAATTACGATGTATTCATGATGGGGAGTGGAAGGTAAATAATATATTTTGAAAAACACAGGATCACTAATAAATATTTTCCATACAATTTTCTTTATATATATATATATTATGGGGATGAAAGAATTGTACTGATGGACATGAAGTTGATGATTTTATTCAAACAATTGAAGATGCATATCATAAACAAAACAAATACTAAATAAAGATGTATCTTATTGATGATCATAACACTATATATTATTACTTTTTTGATTTTTTGACAAATGATCCGGTTGTCTTCAAAACTTTGATCCTTGTATTCTTGTAAGGTACGGCATTTGTACTGTTAGACTGATTTAACCAAGGTGCTTCCACCCAAGGTGCTTCATTCACTGCTAATCGTAATGATTCTTCTGTACCCGTATGATTTAACTAGTATGATATAATATATTGATCATGAGTCCCTCTTTCTAAAGCCCTTTTATGTTTCTTACCTCCAAAAAGAGTACACAAACCCGTTGGAGCTTCAAGGCTTGCGCTAGTAACGTTTCGGCATTAGCAGGTAACTGAATTAACTTGATGTTGGCGAGTGCTGCCATGGACAATAAATGAGAACATAGGTGTAAAGGCTTGATATCACGACGGCAGACGAAAATGACAGGCGTAAGAGTATTATTCGTTTCATTTGTTTCTTCTGATATTGGTTTAGTCAAATCCTTTCTTTGTTTGCGTTTTTGGATAATACGTTCTATATGTTTGGTAACATCGTTCAGTCCCAGTAGTATACGTTGTTCTGCTACTATACTGGGAGCATCATCATATTGAGAAGTAGAAGATTCAGTGTTTGATATTGCTTTTTTAGATACACGAGTCGCGGTTCGTTTCTTTTGTTTATGTAGACCTATTGGTTGAAGTATTCTATAATAAAAGATGAAAAAGTCAGTTTCTATTTGATATTGAGTACAATAGATTAACCTACGTCAAAAGAGCATTCATGATTCGATCTGAAAGATCTGGTTGAATACGAGGCCTGGAAAGAATAGACATATGAATATCGAACGTTATTTTAAGAACGATGTAAATGAAATATTTCTCTTACCATTTGATTGTAAAAGGTGAATCCAGAGCACTTCTATATACTTGTCTTTTTTCCTTTGATTGTTGCCGAATATTATCTCCAACATGAGTTTTGACTTTGGACATATTGTCAATGTGTTTTTGGGTATGATCAAAAGAAACAAGAAATTTTTTTTCGGAAGCTCCGATTCAGTTTAAAGTTGTTTTTTTTGGAATTTTAAGGTTTGAAGATCAATTAAAAGAAAAAAAAAAGAATGGAACAAAAAAGAAAAGTATAGTATACAGTTTATTATTCAAATAATGTATTATTCTTTAACTTGATTAGTGATAATAGGAAGCATGAATTTGGCACGTAATCCTCTTCCAACATAAATTTCTTTTATCAAGGCTCTGAGCGCAGGTGTAGGAGGTGCTAACAAAAGTAATTTGAATGATTTTATTAATACGAAGAAAAAGTTTGGTTATAAAAGTCTTTTTTTTTTTTTTTTTTTTTACCTGTGTCACAAAGGATCTTTAGAATCCGTAGAATCAAAGTTTCACTACCAGGAGTATAGCTCTTTACAGATTGAACAAGACCAGCTGAATCAATACCCATTGATGTTACCATATTATAAATGTGTTGCCGAATATATCGTTGTACATGCTGATCAACTTGATTATATACAGGGAATAATCTATTATGGAATAAAGAATTAGTGAAGAAATTTAATAGGAAAAAAAAACGGTTTAGTTTTCTCTTATGATATCTTTAAAATAACACTTACTGAACTAATAATTCATGCTTTTTGATACATAGTGCAAAGAACAAATCTGTATGCCGTACGACATCCTGCTCTGGCCAACTTGTAGATATTGATTCTGATTGTTCTTTTATTTGCTTTTCTTTCTCCTGCGCTTGTTCGTCATTTTTAAGCTCAGGATTGACTTCTTTCTCGATCTTTGGCTTGTCCTCATCATTGATTATTTTTCCTTCATCTTTTATTGCCGATGATATAGGAGGTTGTGTCAAAATGAGTATTGAATCAATAGCATGTTGTATAACTTGAGGAGCTATTGGATGAGACGGCACCCATCTTTTGACAGCTGCAATAGCGGTAGACCGTGTCTTCACATCGGGATCAGTACATAAATTGAGTAATATCGTAAGACATTGAGATCGAACGGTAGGACGCTGTGTTGCTAAATCTCGTAAGGTCGCTATGCACATTACAAACCTACTTGTTTGTTCTCGCATTATAGTTTGTATTTTGGTAATAATCGATTCATTGAGTGATGGAGCTGCTAAGAGTAGTTTTGTAAGAGTTTTATCCTTTGGCTCTAATACCATTATACCCCTTTCAACTATGCATACTAGCCAATCAAAGTAAGCTTTTTTCCTTTGTGTCTCCAAAGAAGTTGTAGGTTTTAGAAGGTTATACTTGCGGTTGTATTGTATATCATAATAGCGTTCCTCATGTAACCATGCCAAAGCGAGATCATACCTATGATTGATAAAGTATATATGATTAAGAAAGTTGCTTTTCTTTTTTTCTCTTTCTTTCTTTTTTTTTTTTTTTTTTGATTATCTCTTTACCTGTTGGGGAAATCTTCAAGAATAAAATCCAGTAATAGTTCCTTTAATTGATCCGATTCCGATCCTTCTATTTGATGTTTGCTAATAGGCATTTTGTCATCGGTTTGATCAAGCTTTACATCAATCTGATCTAATACCCCAGTTATTACTGTCCCCAGTGTGAACACTTTTGAAAGAAGTAAAGCCCAGAATGCTTTGGTTGTAGCACTCCATGTGAGAAGGCGTGGAGTAGATTGCTGTAATGATGTGTTTTGTAGGTGTGGCCGTTTGACTGAATATTGATGTTTTGACTGATGAGCAAAGTAATCAGCTTCCAATAGACGCTGCATCGACATTTTCAATAAACCTTGTTGTTGATCTTGTGACATTGGTCGAGGTTCAGCTAAATTATATGGTTGCATCTTCAATGATTGACTAGCTCGTTCTTCAGCACTCGCTAATGGTGTTCGAATAGGAGTGACATGATCAGGTTCCAACATTTTTGTATCTACATCAGGTACTTTGGTTAACTTTTGTTCATCAGATAATGTGGAATGATCGATTAATGGTTGATTTTGAGAGAACGCCATTGGATTTGTCGCTGGAGTAGGTACTTGAAAGATATTCGCTTGCTGAAACATTGATTCCGGTAGCTATATAATGGATGGAAACATAATGAATAACATTAGATTCATATAAGTTAAAATTCATTTACCCTATTACCAATTTAAATCGTTCATTCAAGGTTTCCAAGGACACATTTTGTAAGATAGCAATACATAGATCAGTCACAACATTCAATGGCATGGATGAAACGTCAATAGTTTGACCTAGATTTTGATTCACTGATGAAATTTGAGGAATGGGATGATCGGATGTCCTGAGCTTTTTCTCTCCACGACCAGCACCACTTTCCGGTGCATGAGTCCTTTTCCGTCTATTATCTTCTTGTCGATCTTGGCCATTGCGTGAGGAGCGTGCTGGTAATGCTGCCGGGTTCCCACCTACCGAGGTAAATGCACCAAGTAGCTCTGATCTATAGGGTGATAGGCGATTCGTTCTATGGAGAATGAAAAAAAAAAAAAAGTACTATTAATACTGCTTATTTTTTCAAACAATCATCTATGGATGTTACTCTATAGATTAGTTTTATTTTGACCTTACTAACTTACTTGATCAAAGTGATGAATGCAAGTTTTATGCACTTTTCTATACTTCTTATTTCCACTGCTACCAAGTGTGCTGGTTTTTTCTTGCTCCATGTTACCAATCCTCCAATAATATTTCGAGTGAACTGAGGTCGTCGTCTTGCTAATTGAGTGAGACAACTAACAATGGCTGTAATAACGGCGGCAGATCTTTTGATATCAATGAAAGGGATAGTATTAGTATTATTAAAGGAAACACTTTGTATTCAAACAAATGAAAACTTACTCTTTTTTATCATGCAAACGATCCAATAATAGATCGACCCATTGCAATCCATCTGCTTCCAATCGAGATATATTCATCAGACGGTGACCTGGTCGTATAAGATTCACAGAGAAAGTATCCTAAAATACAAAAGTAAGTATGACTATTTCTTCGAATAACCTAAAAATCACTTGCTCACCTTTGTGCTTTCTTCTTTCTTTTCTTTTTTCGATTCCAGTAGGATCAACTGTTGGACACATTTGAACGCGTAAATACGAATACCAGCATTTGTATGGTTGATCCAGAACTTCCGTAATAAAGCTATTAATTGCTCGGTAGCATCCCACATTTGACTTTCAGTTTCATTTTTACATCTGAGAAAAAGAACGTAGGATTAGTAAAAAAAAGAGTGGTATAGTTAAAGTTTCATTAATTCATACACGGTAGTAAAGACAGGTGGAAGCACGATAGTAAAAGCTCGAATGACATCTTTCAAACCGCTTGTATTGTTACTCATTTCTTTATTCAGATTGAGTAAGACATTCATAAATCCAGTAGTAGCATAGGAAGAGGCAAGTTGAGGATGTTCAAGAACCTGATGGTTGAACGTTTGAAGTTGTTCTTGGGCCGTACTCATGCGATTATTGGTAGGGAATAAAAAAAAAAAAAAACTAAAATATAAGATGTATTAGATATAACAGTAACCTTTTAGTTATATGCACTGGGACTTTTTCTCAATATCTTGAGAAAAAGTCCTCCCTTTTTTTTGCAAGTCACTGCAACCCTCTGATTTCCCTGTGCCAATCCTCTTCTCGTATTCTTACAAATTCCGAATCCGTGCTTTTGGGTTAATTCTGCTACAAGTTAAATTGTAGAGATAGAGGAGATTGATGGTATGATATCCTTGTATTTTAGATAAATAACGAATACAAATAGTAAGCTATAAATGTGAGTTACGAAGAAAATAAAACATATGACAAAATTAAAAAAAAAAGCTGGATAATCAACGAATTCTATTTTAGGAAAGACCACCGTCATCGTCAATAGCCTTAACATGTTTTGTATTGGAGGAAGAATATATGAGCATGAAATAATCAATTTCACTTTTTTTTTTTATTCTTGAAGCTCAAAATGGATACTGATGAGAAAGAACTTGGTCAAACGTTCATGAAACAGATAATGACAATGGTAATAATATTGATATTAATAAAGAAGTTGATGATGATGATTGTAATAATAGAGGTAATTCTTTTTTATTTATTTATTTATTTATTATTGTATTGAATGATTTTTTACTATACAGAAACAAATCATATAAACTAGTTTTAGTTGCCAATTTTTGTTAATGTGAAATAAGTTGTTTCGGGATTTTGCCTATCAATTTCGCATTGCTTACAATGCTTTGATGTGGCCATCAGATACTTCCGGCATACATAATTTGTTCCTCTAGCTGAAGCAAGCTCACCTTGATGGCCGATATTGAAATTGTTTGCCCCTTTGTTAGGTAAGAACGAATAAAGGCTTGTTTTCCTCGTATCAAACATAAGGGTACCTTCCGTCCTTTTGAGGATATTCGTAGGTACATCTTCCAAATAGAGAGGAGGATTTGCACCCGCCAATTGTATACCCCATTCTCCCTTAATTATTTGTGGTATAACGGTAATGCTAGAAGTGCTATTAACTCTATCCATAAGAACCATTCTTGCTTCACCAAACCTACCACGTGGTCCCAAAACTAGCCCATGCTTTAGAGCCTTGAACATATAAGTAGCATTGGCAGTGATAGGCATGCCTTGGATGTCCAGAAGATCGTTGTTCTCAGGCCAAAAACATTTTCCTTTCTTAATTTGAGTAGAACCTTCAATTACAGAGACCAAGATGCAAAAAAATACGAAACAGAATAGACTATAGGTGCGGTTAATCATTGATAATACAATAATAGCTACAGCAATAAATCAACGACAACAAAAGAAAAAAAAAAGAAGGAGCTTTTATATCTTTCCCTGGCTTACAATTATGAATTTTTTTAAACTTCATGAGATGCATAACAGCAATCCCGAAGAAGTAAACAGACAGCACTCTCATGCAGGCTTTTCATCTGCGTTTGAAACCTTTTTTCTCTTTTACTTCTTTCATTATGGAAGATGTCCCTGTCGTGTGCGGTAGAGCGATCTCATCTAGCTACCCTAAAACATCCACGTTGTGATGGGTACTATTTTGTCCCTTTCCTATACAATGTAATTTTTACTCCACTACTGATTTGATTTTACGCCATTGCACATATTCTATCCTGAAAAGGGATCTTCGTCTTCATCCTCTTTTTCTCTTTCCCTCCATTCATCTTTTGCTTTTTTTGTACTTTTGATTATATTTGATTGATTCTTCCTTGATAATAAAGTTGATGAGGTTAGCCAGATGTCAAATAGTCATACCATACTCTTTTCCCCATATATAGATAATATGTTAACAGTAATTATACATTAACCGTGAATGACTGTTTGCTGCTAAGACTGATCAGTAAGTTGGATGGGTCGCTACTAATGATAAGAATTTAGATTCCAATCCATCCCCCATTCTGCCTTTTCCACATTCATTAAAATAAAGATTTCCTCTTAATCCTTCTCTTGTTCATCATGCAGTAACAGGGTGGGGGATGAATTCTACCTCTTGTTGCAGGAAATAGTTTTCCCGATCTAGATCGTAAAAAATAAACAGTGACAACAGTCATTTTGTACGCAAGGTATGACATAAGAAGAGTAATAAAAAAAATATAATAACAAAGAGACACAAACTTAAAAAGATAAAAAAAAAGTAATGATAATAATCGGTATCATTTCTTCCTCCTTTTGTGTTCAGGTTTTTAATTAAAAAAAAAAAAAGATAATTTTATTATTGTTATGCGTAATTCTTTTACTATACTGGAACAAATCGTACAAGGTAGCTTTAGTTGCCAACTTTTGTTAATGTGAAATAGGTCAGTTCAGGATTTCGCTTATCAATTTCGCATTGCTTACAACCCTTTAATGTGGCCATCAGATACTGATAACAGCTATACACTGTTTCACCGTACTCAGTTCGGGAAGCTAGTTGTTGTCGACCGATATTGAAATTGTTCGCTCCTTTGTTAGGTAGGTACCCAAGTATGCCTCTTCGAGTATCAAACATGAGTGTATCGAAGACATCGTTCAAATAGAGAGGAGGATTTGCATCCGCTAATCGTATATCCCAACTTCCACCAGTTATTTGTGGAATAACGGTAATACTAGAAGTGCTGTTAACTCTGTCCAGGAAAACTCCTCTTGCTTCACCGAATATACCATGTTGTCCCAAAACCAGACCATGTCTTAGAGCCTTGAGTGTATAAGAAGAACCGGGAGTAATAGGCATACCTTGAATGTCCACAAGATCATTGATACGAGGCCAGACACAGTTTCCATCCCTTTCTCGATAAAAACCTTCAACTGAAGAAGCCAATATGCCAAGGAATATAAAACAGAATAGACTATAGATTCTACAAGTCATTGATAATACTGGATAATAAATCAGCACAAAAAAGAGAAGGAGCTTTTATATCTTTCCTTGGTTTTCAATGATGAATTTTAAACTTCATGAGATGCATAACAGTAATCCCGAAGAAGTATGCAGACAGCACTCTTATGCAGGCCTTTCATCTGCATTTAAAACCTTTTTTCTCTCTTACTTCTTTCATTATGGAAGATGTTCCTGTCGTGTTTGGTACAACGATCTCATCTAGCTAACCTAAAACGTCCATGTTGTTATGGTCTATTTCCTATACAATTAATTTTTACTCGACCACTGAGTTTGATTTTACGCTATTGCCTATTCTATCCTGAAAAGGGATCTCCGTGTTCCTCCTCTTTCCGTTTTTTTTTTTTTTTTTTTTTTTTTTCCCACCATTCACCTTTTGCTTTTTCTGCTTATTTTAATTATAATTGATTGATTCCTCCTTGATAATAAAATTGACCAGGTTTGCCAGATGTCAAATTGTCATACCATACCCTATCTTTTCTCCCCGTATACAAGTAATATGGCAACAGTAAATCATGCGTTATACATTAACCGAGAATTGACTGTTTACTACTAAGATTGGTCATTAACTTGGATGAAGCATTACTAAAGATCTCTACTTGTTCAACATTGAAACAGATTTTAAGCCAACTCCCACTCTACCTCTTCAACAGTCACTAAAACGAAGGTTTCCTCTGAATGCTTTTCTTGTGTGATCATGCAACTATTGCAGAAAATGGTTTTCCGAACCTAGAGCGCAAAAAAAAACAGTGACAACAGCCATAATTATGTGTTATAGAAGATGATATAAGAAGAGTAATAAAAAATAAACAAATGTAAAAATAAAATAAAACACAAACTTGAAAAAGATAGTATTGATATTGAGAAAAGAAGTGATGGTGATAGTTGTGATAATAATGGAGAGAGTTCCTTCTTTTTTCTGCGTTCAAATTTTTAATAAGAAAAAAGACAATTTTATTAATTGTTATGCGCAATCTACTCTACTGAAACAAAAATCATACAAGATAGTTTTAATTGCCAACTTTTGTTAATGTGAAATAAGTCAGTTCGGGGTTTCGCATATCAATATCGCATTGGGCACAATTCGTTAATGTGGCCATAAGTGTCTGAGAGCATGAATAAACTTTGTCACCATTTGGATATTCACGATAAGCGCTAGCTTGTTTACCGATATTGAAATTTTTTGCTCCTTTGCTAGGTGGAATTGACTGAAGTACTTTTTCCTGAGTATCAAACATAAGTGTAGCGTCGTTCGATAGGAATACATTAGTATATACATTAGCCAAATAGAGAGGAGGATTTGCATCCGCCAATTGAATATACCACGTTCCGCCACGTAGTTGTGGAATAACGGTAATACTGGAAGTACTATTAACTCGATCCAGGAGAACCATCCTTGCTTCACCAAATGGACCACCTTGTCCTAAAACTAGCCCTTGGTTTAGAGCCTTGAACATATAAGGAGAGTTGGCAGTGATAGGCATACCTTGAACGTCCATGTGGTATTTGTATGAGTCTTAATATGTAACGAGACAAAACGTAAGAATTTTATTAATAAAACTTAGTTAAAGAGAAAAAGGAACAAGTCCTATAAAAAACTCTTTTTATAAATAAACTATCAGATTACTCTGTAATCTGATCTCCACTATCGGATTATCAATATTCTAAACTCTAATCTAAATCTTTAAGTGTTGAATTACCACACTACCCCCTTCCAGTGTAGATCATCACTTCTACATTGTTTATATTTGTTTATGGGAACATATTGTAGTGGCTTATTTATTTTTTCTTTTCTTGTTGGTACCAATTGTTTGTCCACTTTTTCTTTTTCTTTGTTTTGTACTTTGTACATGTTCATTTTGTGGTGATTCATTAATCTTATTCCAATATGTTTCTATAGGTTTTTGACTATAAAAATTATCAGCGGGTTCCCAAGTGTTATACGACGAGTCATAATCTAACCATTTGACTTTATATATATACTTGTTTGTTTTAGGATCCTTTTTATGAGCTACAATTGCTTCAACGTCGTATGTAACTTCTTCGTTACCTTCATCTTCAATTACTGGCTTCAACTGTGATACTGTGTAGCTTTTAGGTAAGAGATCTCCAGTAGTGTCTTTTAAGACGTATGTACCACTTTGTGTTTTTCTAACAACTTTGTATGGTCCTTCATACTGAGGGTCCATTTTAGATCTATATTTTTCGTGCACTTTTACTCTTATAAAAGAACCTTCAGGTAAATCCCTTTGTGCATGTTTCTTGTCAAACTTTGGCTTTTGCAATTGGATAACCTTCATTGTCTTTTCTTCAATAGCTGGGAAGACAACCTCTCGTAGATCTTTGATCCGTTGGTTGACTTCTTCGGTTGTTAGTTCTCTTTGTTCACCAGTTTCTTCATTGTAGTTTTTGAAATCATTCAGCCTTCGACCGAACATTATATTAAATGGAGGGGTATTCAATCTTTTTGATATTTTGTTATTCATGGCTAGTTGGACAGAATATACGAATAAATCCCATTCACCTGTTACACCTTCGACAACCTTTTTGATTGCTCTCATTGCTGTACCTACTGTTCTTTCAGCAGCGCCATTGGACTGTGGATAGTAAGGTGTGATTAACCTGTGGTCAAATCCAGCCTTACGTTTGAATCTTTCCATGACTTGATTGGCAAATTCTTTACCGTTGTCAGATTGTATGATTCTAGGTATACCAAAATCACAAAATACAGGGATCATGGTTTTTACTACTTCTTCAGCAGTTTTATTTTTTATAGGTCGTAGGATTACAAAACGGGTGCATATGTCTATCATGACTAGAAGGTATTTGTTTCCTCTGTCAGTTGTGGGAAGTGGTCCAGCCAAGTCAATTGCCCAATGATCACCAGGTAATTTAGCATGTACTGGTCTATGTGGATTATATCCTGTTTTTACAATATTGAATTTCTGACATTGTGGGCATTTTTTCACTAAGTTGATCGCTTGATCATAGAGTTTAGGCCAATGTATACCATTGTTATGTATAGCTTTGATGATTGCTTCAGCACCAAAGTGTCCAAATAAATGTGCTTTTTCCAACAAATCTGCTTTTTCTTTTTCCGTTGGAGGTTCCATCATGTTATTTTTCAGATAAGTTGTTGTTGATGCTCTAATGATCTTATCATTTTTTGATGATGCATATGTAGATGATTTGATTTTTTCCAATTTACCCTCACCCAGCTCTTTTTCAGTGGGAAAAAGGCGTGATAAAGCATCTGGAAGAACATTGTCCATTCCTGGGAGGTGTATGATGGTGAAATTGTAATTCAAAATCGTATCAAACCATTTGGTAAGCATGGCATTGAGGTCTTTTTGTGTATGGATATACACCAATGCCTTATGATCAGTATGGAGTGTGAAGTGTCTACCCCATAGGTGTTGATGGAATTTATTGAGTGCAAACACAATGGCAAGCAACTCACGTTTGGTAGTACCATATCTTCTTTCAGATGGTGATAAGGATCGTGCCATAAAACCATTGTAGGATACTTTTTTGGTGGCGGGATCAATTTGATACATTGCAGCACCTATACCTACATCTGATGCATCAGTAGCTACATGGAAAGGTAAATCTGTATTGGGAGGGTGTAAAATAGGAGAAGCATGTAGGGCATTCTTCAAATTATTGAAGGCAACTGCATGATCTTCTGTCCAGAGTTTACCTAATTGTCCAGGTACATTGCGTAATCCATCCAAGGTGTGGGTCAAGACTGATATACGAGGTATATGCGCCCTGAAATAATTCACCAAGCCGAGGAATCTTTGGACATCTTTACCTGTACGAGGTGTTGGCCAATCCATAGTATTAGCTACTTTGCGTGGATCAAGATATTTACTACCTCTGGTAGAAACACAAAATCCTAACAAATAAATGGTTTGTTGAGCGAAGTGGCATTTTTTAGGATTAAGTACTAAATTGACATTTGTCAATTGATCAATGACCAACTTGGTGTGTTCCATGTGTGTTTGCATATCGACGCTGTAGATCACAATGTCATCTACGAATGTGGCAACAAATGTATGGAATGGAGCCTGTGTGAATAACTTTGTCATCACTCTTTGGAATTTGGATGAAATAGGTTTCAAGCCAAATGGACATCCACGAAACATATATTGTTTACCATCAACTGATGTGAAGGCGGTTTTATGTCGATGTGGTTTGTAAATAGGAAATCTGTGAAATGCATTAGTTAAATCAAGTGTACTAAATACATTTGCACCTTTTAGTTTTTCAAAAATACTATCGATCTTTGGTAAAGGGAATTTATCCTCTTTCAAGTATTTGTTGATGTGTCTGGGATCAAGACAAGGACGTTTATCTGTATAATTACCAGCAGAATCTTTTTTGGGTGCTAGTGTAAGAGGGCTATTCCAACGATTATCCACATTACTTGGTACTTCAGTGATGATTCCTTCATGTAACCATTTATCCACTGTTTCTTGCACCTTTGGTTTCAATGTATCAGCAATGGGATATTGAGCACGATATCCAACTGCATCCACTGGTGTATCCAAATAAATTATGGCATCAGGGTGAGTACAGAATGTGCTTGTAGGAATACTTTGATTTTTGTCTATACTTTCTTTAATATAGTGATCAAATGTAGATCGTTCGGATGTGGAACCATAAGGATGATTATTAGGTACTGGCACATCTTTGAAAGGATTTTCTTCTTCATCTTTACTAGGTGGACCCCAAGTTACTGCTAATCCAGTAAGACCTACACCTAATAATGGCATCAAATCTGTACCGATACTCATGGATCTATTATATGCAAGATCCATCACTACAAATTGAAATGTAAGATGTTTGCCGTTGTATTCTAATTTTAGTTTAGGTGTTAATCCATAGGCAGTGGTAGTGGTTTTTGCATCAGCTAAATAAATAGGATTTTTTGTAGAGGGACTTTGTAATATATCAATATTATTTTTTAAACAAAATGATTTATTTAAAGAAGAAAAATTTGCACCAGTATCTACTAATGCTAAGATCGGGACGTTCTCTACATAAATAGGTACGTTAATTTCATCTTTGATCAATTGATCATCTGTTCGGTTTTTCTTCTTTTTTCCCTTACATTCAAGTTTGTCATCATAGATGTCCATGTCATCCGTCAAACTTGCCGTGATGGCTTCCAAATTGTCATCCAAGACATCACTTTTCTTGATGGCCGCACGAGCAACTCTGTTCACTCGTTTTGGACAAACACTGTTATGTCCCGGCTTGTATATTTGACCACAACCATTTCCACAAGACACTCCCTCAGGATTCTTGTTGATGAATTTTCCTTTGGGGGCCCATTTTGAAGCTGATGTGCCATTGGCCACACCGGAGTCTCTATTATTAAAAAATTTTTTAATAGGCTGAGCTTCATGATGATGATGATGATACTTAGCAAATTTTCTTTTTTGTGAACTTCCTGAGCCCACTGGTTTCATGTTCAAATTTTCGAACAAATTGAATAATTCAGGCACACTCATTTTGTGTGCTGGCTTGGCCGCGACATTGACAACATCCACTACTTTTTGTTTCCAAACACTAGGTATGTTATCAAGAAGCATATGGAGAATAAACTCCGTGACCGTAATCTTCTCTATTTCTAAAGAATTAATCATACCAGAGAATTTCTTAAGGAAATCTTGGAATGATTCATCACCTTGTGATTTCATACCAGCAACCTTGTTAAGGTTCTTGGCTCTTTGTTGAGGCGTGTTGACACACTCAAACAACCAAGATTTGACCATTGGCCAAGTGACATTTGTACCCCTTTGGATACCATCAACCTTTGCACTATAATAAGTGCCATAAGTGTTACCTAACAACAAAGGAAAGAAATAACTGTGTTCTTCTTCCACATTGATGTTTTGGCTGCAACAATACTTTTCCAAATGAGCCATAAATTCTTTCACATTGTAAAAGATATGCCCATGAGGCTTGATTGCTACTTCATCATGAGAAAGTAAACGAGGCATGTCCCCAATTGGGTACCCATGATTGCGTTTCGCTGTGTTAACAGCTACTTGCTTGACAAAAGATGCTTCCCCTGGGAAACGTTTTGCCACATAGGCTTGGTATTTTTCCAACTTATTCCAAGCTGCATCTACTTTCTCTGCCATACCATCTTCTTCAGTACGGTTAATGAGATGTTCTTCATACTCATTTTGCAAATCATCAATATCCTGTTTCAACCTCTTGATGATCATCTTGCTGCGCTCGATGAGATGTTGATCATCAATCACCATGTCTTCAACATTGTTGTTGACGAGGTTGGTAATTGTTTCTTCCACAACTTGTGTGGGTGAAAAAGGAGAGGAATTATCTGACATGATGTCATTGTTGTTGGTGTTGTTGATAATGTTGTTGTTGTTCATGTTGATAGTGTTGTTGTTGTTGTTGTTGAATTCGTTAAAAAAAATGTTGTATTTGTATGAGTCTTAATATGTAACGAGACAAAACGTAAGAATTTTATTAATAAAACTTAGTTAAAGAGAAAAAGGAACAAGTCCTATAAAAAACTCTTTTTATAAATAAACTATCAGATTACTCTGTAATCTGATCTCCACTATCGGATTATCAATATTCTAAACTCTAATCTAAATCTTTAAGTGTTGAATTACCACAGTCCAGAAGATCATTTGCGCCAGACCAAAAACAGTCTCCATTATTAACTTGATAAAAACTCTCAACTACGGAGACCAAGATGCAAAGGAATATAAAACAGAATAGACTATAGATGCGACAAATCATTGATAATTGTAAGTAAAAATCAACAAAAAAAAAAAAAAAGGAAAAGCTTTTATACTTTTCCCTGTGGCAACGAAAAACCTTAAATTTCATGAGATGCATAATCGCGATCCAGAAGAAATACACAGCAAACTCATCGAAGTTTTCCATCAACGTTTAATTTTCTCTCTTGTTTCTTTCATTATCATTACAAGTATTCCAATGTGGATACCAACAATATGGTAAAGTTTGAAGCGATTCCGTATATAGAAGGAAACCTGTTGCACTGTACTCCTTAATTTCAGTAGATCGATCAGAGATCTACGACAAATCTACCAAGCTAACCTAAAATGTGCACATCTTTAGGAGTTGGATTTACGCCATTACACGACGTTATCCAGCAAGAAGGATTTTCTTTCTCCTCTTCTTTTCTTTTCTTTTCTTTTTTTTTTCCATAATTCAACTTTTGCTTTTTCTGCTTCTTTTGATTGGTCCTTCCTTGATAATACAATTGACAAAGTTGGAAAAATGACAAATAGCCATTTCATACTTTTTTTTTGTCAATAAGTATAAAGAATACTGTATAATAGCAGTAAAAGTAAATCATACATTGATCGGGAAATGACGGAAATGACTGTTTACTACTAAGACCGATCAGTAAGTTGGATGAAATATTACTAATGATACGTGCTTTAACATTGCTTCAGTTTTCAATCCATGCCATCCTACTTTTTCCACGGATATTAAAATAAAGGATTTGTGAAATGGGTGTAAATGTGTGTTAAAATAAAATAATAAAGACAAGGAAGTCAGTGAGATTTCTTTTTATTTAAGAAAATAGTTGAAAAAAGAGACAAAGTATCTACGCAAAAAGTTTTGTTGGTCTTGTATATAAGTACGTGGTGAGTGAATACTAGTATCATCATACTATATTTAAGATTGGTGATCAAATTTTATTTTTGTTCATTCTTGTTTTGATTCGTAATACTGTTGTACAGAGCGCATAATCTCATTAGTATTTTATTCCTCATCGATGCGATGAACCATCATATGTATAGTGATTCATTATGATAGTTGCCCTGGAGCGTTTATACGCTTGACATTTATTCCTTCATATTATTATGAACCATGAGCATAATGATTTTCAAAGTCCGTGTTTTTTTTTATTTCTTTCTTTTCTTTATAACAACTTTAATCGTAGTGTATCAATTAGTGATCTGTAGTAGTCATATTTTTATTTAATAAAACTTCTATTTTTACTTCTACTACTTTGTTACATGTTTTTGTAATTGATTCCATCTTATGAAGTATTTTTATTCTTTGACAGGTTTCTTCTGAATGCTTGTCTTGTGTCACCATGCAGCAACCAGGTTGGATAAATTCTACAACCATCAGCTATTCGCACATTGAGTACTTTTCTTGAGCCTAGATCCTAAAAAAAATAAACAGCGGTAATTATGTATCATAAAAGATGACATAAGAAGCGAAAAATGAATAAATAAATATGATAACGAAATAAAGCACAAACTTGAAAAAGATAAAGAAAAGTAATGGTATTGAGATTGATAAAAGGAATGATGGTAGTGGCTATGATAATAATGAGAGAGTTCCTTCCTCTTTCTGTGTTTAATTTTTTTAATAAGAAAAGACAGATAATTTTAAATTTATTATTGAATTGAATGATTCTTTTATTATACTGAAACAAATCATATAAAATAGCTTTAATTGCCAACTTTTGTTAATGTGAAATAGGTCGTTTCGGGATTTCGCTTATCGATTTCGCACTGCTTACAGTTAGTTAATGTGCCCATAAGTTTTTGATAGCATTTACTCCCAATCGATCCGCCATAATTTAGAGTAGTTTGTCTACCGATATTGAAATTGTTTGCTCCTTTGTTAGGCAAGAACCAAAGGGGAGATTTCGGGGTATCAAACATAAGTGTATCTTGTACATCTGCCAAATAAAGAGGAGGATTTGCATCCGCCAATTGTAGAGCAAATGGTTGGTAATCATTTATGAGTTGTGGAATAACGGTGATACTAGAAGTGCTATTAACTCTATCCAGGAGAACCAATCTTGCTTCACCAAATGCACCAGGGGGTCCTATAACTAGCCCATGTTTTAGGGCCTTGAGGATATAAGAAGAACCGCTAACGACAGTATTGCCTTGAGTGTCCACAAGATCATTACGATAAAGGTAAGGACAACCTCCATTCTTAGTTCGTTCACTGCATTCAACTGCAGAGAACAAGATGCAAAGGAATATAAAACAGAGTACACTGTAGATTCGGCAAACCATTTGATAACTAATAAATTGACAAAAAAAAAAAAAAAAGGAAAGAAAAGAGCTTTTATATCTTTCCCTGACTTTCAATGATGAACTTTTAATTTCATGACATGCATAAGAACTGTCTTGAAGAAGTATATTGCAACATGCAGACTCTCCGCCTGAACTTAAGTACATGTCCTGCATAAGAGCTGTCTTGAAGAAGTATACTGCAACATGCAGGCTTTCCGCCTGAAATTAAGTACATGTCCCTGTGAGCATCAGGGATATGATAAGGTTTGACGCAATTCCACGTATAGGAGTAAATCTGTTGCATTTGTTCTCAAACTATAATACTCCTCTCGTGTCTTGTAGACGGACCAGAGAGCTGGGATGCATCTACCAAGCCAGTCTAGAACGTCCACGTTTAGAATATTATAACAACGACTTCTTCTCTAACATCACCTTCTTGCAAGGAACTTTATCTTTCGTCTCACTTATTTCTACCCCTGCGGTTACATCCATAACGTTTGGTGTACTCTCCCTCATTGCAAGATATCCTATTGTACCTGCAAGGGGGGATTTTCGTCCTCCTCCTTGTCCTTTCCCTTTCATTCTCCTTTTGCTTTTCTGCTTCTTCTAATTACATTGGATAGACCTTCCTTGATAATAAAATTGTGAGATTAGTTGATCAAATGTCAAATAATCATCCCCTGCTTTTTTTCGTTAATAAAAATAAAAAGTATGGCAACAGTAAATTATACATTGATCGACAAATGGTAGTCTGCTACTAAGATAGATTAATAAGTAGTTTAAAGTGCAGTCAACGGTATATACTTGTTCAATCCAACTCTCATCCTATTTTTTCCACAGTAATCAAAATAAAGGTTTCCTCTGAATCCTTTTATTGTGCCCTCATGAAGTAATTAGAGGGAGGTAAATTCTATCACCATCAGCTGTTGCAACAAAAAAAAAAAATAATAATAATAGTTTTTCTTCCCCCAACCTAGATCATAAAAAATGAAATCTAGTTTTCTTTAGTACTGTGCCTAATCGTCACACAAACACAAAGAAGTACACGTATAATGTGAGTTTGAATTTCCATTTGGATGAACTCGATCCTATCATTTTATTATACAAATCAAGATGTTCAATCATGTTCGCAAATCTTACAACTATAGTTAGAGGTACCTCTGACGTTGGTCTACAACTGCTAACTTTACTATCAAATGACCACTCTTTTTGTAGAAATAGACTTGATTCGATGATGACTCTACATTTATAACTGCAGGAAGCACAATTTCCACTGTTTTGCTCTCATTTTTTCCCCTCAAAAACAGATGAGAGCTTTCAATTTCCACTGTCCATGACATATGAGACTACAAAACAAGGAATAGAACTCAATCACTATTTAAATCACGTACTTTTTAGTTAACACTGATACTTCTTTTGTCATACCTTAAGCGGCATTTGTATGATTACAACTAGATGATTACCCTCCCTCTCAAATTTTGGATTACAAGACCAACTCTCCTTCATTTCTTCAACAGTGGGTTTCTGAGGAAGAGTAGATGTCTCTCGCTGTTTGCTTTTCTCCAATTTAGTTGATACGATATGGTCAATTGTCCCAGGTTTCTTAGGTAGATGTACTATCCGGTTTGGTATAGGTAATCCTTTAGCAGGAGTTTTAAGCATTGTAAATTCACGACTAAGATTCACACCAAGCTCGTCTTCCACATGTTCCATTGCCAATTCCATGATATAAAGACGAAAATCTAGGTCATGTTCAGAGCGTATAAATGGTTGTGTATGGATACAAGCATCCATAATTGGTGCAGCCTTATTCTTATCATCGGTCATACGTGGAGTTCCAAGACTTAAAGGAACCTGATATGTGGCACCTGGGTCTGCCCTTAAAGCAGCTTGGATATCAGCTTCTGTCGCCAACATGGGAGCAGGTAAACTATCGGAATGACAGATATTGATGTATATAGTTGTACCGATAGAATACTTGACAGATACCAAGTTCTCTACAGTCTTCTTTTTCAGTATATTTGTAATATGTGTTTTGAATGCATATCCCACTTGTGGTTGAAGGTTAATTGTATCAGTAAGAGAAGAAAACATTGGTAAGCGGTATTTACTTCACACTCATAAAAGATGCATTACGAAACAAAAAAAAAAATAGTGGGAAATTTATAAGTTCGTGTTACAATTGGTCCTGAGAAAGAATAAGCCACTCACTCAGTTTTACCCCAAGGAAAAACAAGGTTACCTGAAGGGTACGCGTAGCAACACCAAATTTCGGCTGACTTGACATTTTGCTAGGATTCATTCATTTCACGACTTGTTTCCTTTCTTTATCGATCGTAGACCAGACTAACAATGTCTCAGTATAAACGACCGCGACTTACACAGTATAACGAAGATAATGATGAATATAACGGAGAGACCACTAAAAATGAATCTCAAATGTTAGAACCACAATTGATGAACGAGAAGACTGATGTAAGGCTTTTCAGTTAAAAAATTACTAAAAGCTTACTAAACTATGAAATTGGTTACCTGTTAGGGATTGGAAAGGAAGGTGAAGGATCTAGTTCGTTACGCCTTGGCATGTGAACATAAGAAAGTTGTGATCAGGAGGGAAGATATAAAGAAAAAAGTGCTACAAGATCGATCTAGACAGTTCAACATCATATTTGGACGTGCACAAGAAAAACTATATGACGTTTTCGGTATGACTTTATTAGAACTTCCTGTAAACGAAAAAACAAGCAAAGCAAACACGACTACTGCTCCTGCTTCTTCTCAATCAACTTCGTCTCCATCGATACCAACTAAACCATCGTCTTCAAACTATATTCTCTGCAACAGTTTGAACAAACAAGAATATACCGCTTCAGGATTGATTCACCAGACAGATGAACAATATGAATCGTTAGGCTTGTTATATTTCATATTAAGTCTAATATTTGTCAATGAGCAAGAACTTGAAGAAGGTACTTTTACAACAAGCTCCGCGCGAGAAGATAACATAAAATGACTAACTAAACTTTTTGATTAATCATTATGGATATTATTATTGTTATTATTATTTTCGTAGAAGAACTGAAAAGGTTACTGGGTCGAGCAGGAGTCAAGGAGCGAACTGCCACTTTTGGTGATTTAGATAAGACATTGGCGTTATATGTAAAACAAGGTTATTTACAACGATCCAAAGATGTAGGGGGAGAAACCAATATTTATCAATGGGGACCACGATCGAAAACGGAATTATCAAGTAAAGACCTAGCAAGATTTATAGCAAGTGTATGTATACTGTATCAAAAAGTTGAATGAAATTTTTTTATTTGAGACTGATGACATAGACTTTTTATGCTAATATGTAGATTTATCGTACAGAAGATGTGGAAGCATTCGAAAAAGATTTACTCAAAGCAGCTGGGCTTTAAGTTAAGTTTTGATACCATAACTGTTTTTATCATAAGAATTGGCGAAGAGGAATAAATAATAATTTGCGGTAGTGAATAAAGTGGTTTGCAGGTGATAGAAAAGTGATTTGCGTTGTTTGAAGGAGGAAGTTTGCGTGTAAGGGAATAAAGAAAGAAAAGTTAGTTTCCAATTCCAAAAAAAAAGATAATGACTTACCGACATGCCGCATCTATATTTTCTCAGCTGTAACCGAGATGGAAAGATCATTGGAGACGGCGTAGGGTTCTTCTTCCTTCTTGTATTGGTGGTTCATCAGGAGCAGCACGAGGAGCAACAGAAGGACGTCTGAATCGTTCAGGAATTTGACCATCAGCACGAAGACCAAGTAAAATGTGACGCATATTGAGACAGCCAAGTAGATCTCCATTCCATAATTTACTTCGTCCGCCATTTTCTTCCATACAATTTTGACTGGTACATCTAAGTATTATTATCAAAAAAAAATAATAATAAAGTGAAACGTGATAGCGAGACGAGATCATTTACCTTAGAAGTCCATGGCATCGGACAGTGGGTCGTTCTTCGCGGCGATAGGGTCGTGGGTTGGGTACATCCCTGAACGTTTGGACATTATTCGTGTCGCATGATGGGGAGAAGCTGCTTGTTTTATACTCGTCGATAAGGTACACCGGTAGACTATAGTGACGAAGTAACCTTCTGAATCCTTTGCCTCCAATTGGTTCGTGATATCTAGTGTGAGGTTTTTGATGACCTCCCCAGCCCAAGACTTGCTAACACGAGCTTCCTCAGCAGTGTTAAGTGATTTTTTGGTTGTTAAGGCCAAAATTGAAAAAGTAATTAGGATGATTGAAAGCTAATAATGAATATAGTGAGCACCAGTAATTGATTACGCAAGCACATGTATAAGAAAAGAAATAAAATAAAACAAAAAGTAAAGAAAAATAAAGTCTTGTTCCAAATTTGGAAAGTAAATGTTAATGTTCTGACTTGAAATAAAGAACAAAGTGAGCCAATCAGAAGTGATAATCCACAATACAATCAAGTAGGGATAAAAAGAAAAGATTTATTTAAGAAAATATATTGATGATTAACTAAAGAAAAAGAAAAAAAACAAAAGGAAAACTTGGGCTATTTATACTAAAAATTTTATGTATGATGGGACAAGAGACAAAATGAACCAAGGGTCAAAAGGACAAGTGGTCAAAAAGGATTGCGGTCCCATCAGGAGAAAAAGATTTTTTCTTTATTTTTTTTTTCTTTTTTCTTTTTTCTCTTTTTTTTTTTTTTTTTTTTTTTTTTTTTTTTTTTCTCAACAGCAGCCTTCAGCCGATTCTTTGCTATGCTTGGCCGTTCGTCCCGATTTACCCCTTCTATCTACCATCAGACTTCCAGGCCCTTCAGTTGTAATCGTCGGTGTTGGTGGTGGTAGTGTATAGGCCACTGATTGAGATCCGGAGGCGATGCTCTCAACTGAAGATTCGTCGACGCTTCGGTACTGGCGTTCCATACCCTGTTGATTCACCTCTTAGAGTATGATATAGGCGATAATTCGGCATCGTACTGATCGGAACCAAATATTGTCATGTAATCAACATTTTCTCTACTGTTGGAACTACAAGAAGCGGTGTAACAAGTTGTCCAGAAATTGACCATGTCCAGTAATCATCCAGGAAATGTCCTCGTCCAACAATCATCCAGCGAATGTCCACAGTGTCCAGCAATCATCCAGGAGTCGTCCACAAAATATCCAGCAGTCTTCCAGGAAATTCCCTCGCCGAACAATCGTCCAGAATATGTCCTCGTAATACACAAGTTGATACTATATATATGGCGTATCATTCAATAACAAAAGGTACCAGCATAGTTTTTCTATTTCTATTTCACTTAGCGATACGTCGTTCTCCAATGATATTCAATATGGACTTCCTTATGTCAAAGAAATGCCCAGGTATTAAAAAAAAATATGACAAGCTTCCCTCAAACTTATCATGTATCTACTATTTCTTTTTGTGTGAGAATAGTGAATCAGATACCGATATGGAATATGTTGGTGATTCATTCGATGTCGTGTCTATGGGATGGGCCCAGAAGGAGAAGGAGGCTACTGGTCAAGACATAATACAAATGATGACACTGGCAGACTATGACATGCTGGATAACCGCCGCGTAAAAAAAAAAGAAGTTCTGAATCAAGATCAAGATAACGATTGCATCAAGGTTACTGAAGAACGGTTGCCCTTGACCAAGAAACGTGGGCCATATCGAAAGTATACATCTAAACGAGTCGAAGATCTTATCAAGTACGTGATTGAGGATGGAGGATCGGCGAAGCGGGCTACATATCTAGCTGGTACAAACGAGAGAACTGGTCAAAACTACGTGCGTAAATATAAATTGGATGAAGAGCAGAGTTTTTGATAAAGTACCTTGAAGACAACACCGATCCTACTACTTTGCGGATGGCTGCTGATGCTTTATTCAAGGAATTGGAAATCACTATTATGCCTTTTTTGAATCCGATCGAAGAATTTTGGTAGAAGATCAAAGGTGGGATAGAATTTTAGAAGCTGCCGGATATGTTACTTTCGAAGATTGTCAAGGATGGATCCGGCGCGCAATCACTTTCTTCGATTGTTATCTAGTAGGAAAAAGAATGGTGGTGCGAACTTAAAAAATAAGGCAACGTAAACTCGTTTTTTTTTTTTTTCTATTATCGTAAACTAGCAAAAAAACTCCTGTCCATCCCTCCCCCCGAAAAAACCAATAAAATCATAATGTCTTTCTTGATATTCTACAGTCATTTCGTATTGTTTATTCATCATTGTTAAAAAATACACGTAAAAAATCTGCTTCCTCTTTCATTTCTGCAGCTGACCTTGGTGTTCTTTCTTCATTGTCAGGGCCCTTTTTATGCTTATTTCTTTGATCCAAATCTTCATAAATGTCATCGTTATTAGCATAATCTCCTTTCCGCCTAGGAATAATGTGCATATGGACATGTGGCACCTAGAAAATAGACGGTTTAATTGTGTTGTAACAAATGAAAAAAAAAAATCTTACCGTCTGTCCAGCTTCAGGTCCGTCTTGCATGGCAAATGTAAGAGAACTACCTTGATATTGTTTTTCTATAATAGCACTGATTTTCTTAGTGCTGAGCATCATGTCTACAGCTTCTTCAGCAGTCAAGTCATTGAATCGAGTGACTAGGCGTTTACTCACTACTAAAACATCTATTTGTTTAAAAAAAAAAGGGTTAAAGATAATGATAACGATAAAATAAGAGATTTCTCGAAAATATCGCGGCCTTGGTCGCCATTGTCTGTTAGAAAAACAAAAAAAGGATACGACCACTATAATATTTTCAAGGGAAAAACAACAATAAGAAGAGAGAAATAAAGAATTAGCTATATGGTATTTTGACTTTAAAGCTTATTACTCACGCGACTATCGGCTTCAAGTTTACAAGTCCAAAACAATAGGTTGATTTGTAAAAAATTTGTGTTTCTGGAATAAGATTAGGACCAAACTTGAACATCCTTTCAATTTGTTCTACAGAAAGAAAGAATTGACAGTTCAGGAAAAGAGTTTGTTTTAACCAAGTGATTTTCTCCACTTGGAAGTAGGGGGGACTCTGGGGGCGGAGTTAATTGAAAATGAGTACAAGTTTTTTGTTAGGACTAAAAATTTGGCACTTATCTTTCTGACCAGTGTACTGAAAATGACACGATTCAATGGTTGTATCGATTTACATAATGGCCAAGTAAAACAAATCGTTGGAGGCTCACTGAATGATAATGTACCTGAAACTCTTCGTACAAACTTTGTATCCAAGTATGATCAAAATAAAGAAAGAAAAAGGAAAAAAAACAGATAAAAGAATAACAAACAAAACGAGCAGTCATTCAAAATATTGAATTTTCTTTTCACTTTTCACTATTAGAGAATCTCCAAATTATTATGCTGAACTTTATAAAAAGAATAAAGTTACTCGTTGTCACGTTATTAAACTAGGAGCTAACAACGATATTGCCGCGAAAGAAGCTCTCAAAACTTGGCCTCAAGGTTTACAAGTGGGTGGCGGTATCAACCTAGATAATGCACAAGAGTGGCTAGAAGCTGGTGCCTCCAAAGTCATTGTTACCAGTTATTTATTTCCAAATTCAAAATTTTCCTTGCAACGACTTGAGGAGCTTTGCAAAAAGATTGGGAAAGATAAGTTAGTTGTAGATGTTAGCTGTCGACGAGTGGAAAACAAGTGGGTAGTGGCTATGAACAAGTGGCAAACAATGACAGATATGACAGTGAACGAGGGTAAATAAGCTAATTTTTATCTTTTTTTTAAAGTTTTGCTCACTAGAATAACTTTATTTTCTAGAAACACTAAATATGTTATCCAAGTATTGTAGCGAATTCCTTATTCATGCTGCAGACGTAGAAGGATTATGCAAAGGTATTGATGAAGAACTTGTGGAATGTAAGTAAAAAAACGAAATATGGAAACTATGGAAAGAAAGCCTGACATTTAATATTCATTCTTTCACATTTAGGTTTAGGAAGGTGGGTGACTATTCCCACGACATATGCTGGTGGAGGACGTTGTAAGTGATCACAAAGAAAATTAATATATAAACAATTGAAAAGACACTTACACAAAGTATCTTATTTTCATATTTCAAGCATTGAATGATTTAGCACTAGTGGAGAAATTATCCAATGGCAAAGTAGATTTGACATTTGGGAGGTAAGCATGAAAATAACAAGAATTTCCCATAGAGGGGTTATCTAATGTTTCCTTTTTTTTTTTTAAGTGCTTTGGATATTTTCGGTGGAAATGGTATCACATTTGATGAATGTATAAAGTGGAATCAATCTCACTAGTGAAATGTAATTGAAGATGGAAAAAATTATAGAAATCATGCGTTTTATCATTCAAAATAAATCAAATCATTTGACTCATCCAGCATTCACTAGTTTATCAGATGTATTCATTTCTAGTAGTTGATATTTCAATGTTTGATATCAATGTTTATCGAAATAACTTTTTGAATGGACACGTTGATTGAATCTTTTTTTATCTAAAATGGTTAATCAATAAAAGAAAAGAGGATGACAATTTTTCATTGACTTGAATTGGGAAAAAATTCCCTAAAAACTCTATCTGACGTTATGTTTCTTTTACTTAATATATAGGATCACAGTGTCTGGAAATAAAGTTTGCAGGTTAGTCTGGTAATTTTCATCAATTGTTCACCAATAAATGAAGCGCATGGATCCACCAGTTCGGATTGTAGCCAGTAGTTAGCATGTCACTGTTATACAAACATTCAGTAGATTATTGAATGTACCACATGTGACAATAGGAACCAAATCTAAATCGAGTAACATGATCGGAGATGGATTTAATTACTTTTCATTATAAATGTGTTCCTTCTCATGTTGTAAATAAGTTTAATTCTATATTTTAACAATGAAGTTATCATCCTTAGCAACCATTCTTTTATCAACTGTTTTGGCCATCAGTGCAGTTCCAATTGAAGGAGAAAACAATGCCAATTCTATTGGGCAAACACCATCATCTTCATCTCCTAGTAATATTGTCAAGGGAAATCATTTTGATCGTGTAGTTATTTTCATTTTCGAAAATGAAAACTATGCTGCCGTCCATAGCGATCCATACTTTGGATCCTTGGCCGCAAAGCATAATGGTAATCTTAAGAATGAATAAGAATATTTTAGAAACTTAACTTTTTTTTTTTATCTTTTACTGTCAAAGGTGTTGAACTCTCAAACTTTTTTGCCTTGACTCATCCTTCTCAACCAAACTATGTAAGTAATTATATTTATAACATTTTAATAGTTGTTAATTTTTTTTATTTATTTTGTTTATTTAATTTAGATTGGTCTTATTTCTGGATCTACCAGTGGTGTTTTCATGGATTTTGAATCTAATATCAATAGGAATTCGATTGTTGATTTATTGGAAGCCAAAGGTATCACATGGAAATCTTATCAACAAGCTTACACTGGCAACTGTGATACATCTATGCGAATTGGTACTTATGCTAGGAAACATAATCCTTTCATGTCCATGGTAAACATTCACAACAATGCCACCCGTTGTGCTAACATTGTTAACGCTGATCAATTGGATGTGGATATCAAAAACAATCAAGTGCCTCAATTCGCTTTTTATACACCTGATATGAATAACTGTGGTCATGACACTTCACTCCAATATGCTTCTAATTGGTTTAAAGGCTTTTTGGAACCTCGTATTACCAATACAAATTTCACAGAAAATACCATGTTTGTGTCTACTTGGGATGAAGCCAAAGACTATTTGATACCTAATCAAATCCAAACTGTGCTTTTCGGACCATCATTTAAACGTAGTTCCACTGCCGCTACAGATGCTACCAAATACGATCATTACTCTCTTTTGAGAACGATTGAAGATAACGTAATTCATATTCAAAAATAATTTGACATCAATAATTGAAAAATAGAAAACTAACTTTAATTTTTCATTTTTAGTGGAACCTCGGAAATCTTGGTCAAAATGATGCAAATGCTGTATCAATCTCTCTTTAGTTTACAATAAAAAAAAATATAATAAATTTGTAGTCGGCTCATTGCCATTTTTCAGGCTCACTAGTCACACAGAATAATTGAGTATTAATGTTATCACTCTTTCATAATAGTAGACCAATGGCAAGATAAATTTTGATCACGCTGATCTCTCATTAGAACATGGTCAGAAAAGTCATCTTATTATTCACTTGATCATAATCGTTTTTTTCTTCAAGAATAGTGCCTTAAAGAATTGTACTATTGTCGTTAAGGATACTTAAAGTAGATTGATTATTTTTACACAAAAGAAAAGTTATCTTCTTTGTTAAATCAATAGCTGTTTCTTTTATATCGTTTCGATTTACTTTTTGTTTTGACTATTGTTTCTCCTATGATTATATATACAACCGTTTTTCCACCAAAAGGATAAACAACCTATAGGATACAAAATTATTATAACTAGCTCCAGAATATAAATATTTTTTTTAACAACTTACTGTTTAGTCCATGCCTTGCAAGGTTTCCAAAGGTTTCATCTTCAAAGACATATCTTGGTGTAAAAGTTGAGTTCCAGTCTTTATACTGTTTTTTCGAGAGAAAGGAGGAAGTGCTTGACCAGCCTTGATTCCATGACTTCCAGCCAAGCAATACAAATTATCCTGACTGCTTTTATCGTTTTCGTCCTTTCCCATACGTTGCTTGATGTTATAAACATCTTTGTATTCGATCACGACCTCGTACGGCCTTCCCTGATTTCACAGCTATGCACCTTGGGTTGACGCAGAGGGAGGTGGTTTTACGATGGGATATCCACTGGGTATTTGCTTTGTCCACCACATTGTAGTTCCTTTGTGTGGAATTAATAGAGACCAGAAGGGTTTTCATATATCGATACGCCAATTTAGAGGGATAGTCATTGGAGGAGCAGGTATACGAATAGTTTGTGTTACTTCCAAGCTTAGTGCATATGAGAAAGGGACATTCGTCACCATCAGTTATCGGTAAGGGTGGAAGCCTTAGAGTCAGTGGATTCTTTTGTGTTTATATTGATAAAGAAGCTGTAAATCATCAATAAGAATTGAAGAAGAGGGAAAAAAGAGAAAAAACTAACATAATTTCAATCTTAAGTGACGCGTTCATAGAGCTTTAGGCACACGGCGAAATAGGAGCCAATCATACCTAGGCGGCAGTATTTTGACCAATCATAATAAAGTATTTGGTTTGTTCATTGAGCTATAGGTACAAGCGAAATAGAAGCCAATCATACTCTAGCGGGGATATATTGACCAATCACATGAGCACGGCAATATACTGACCAATCATATTAGGACGGCAATTCTGACCAATCAGATCGCTTTTTTTTTTTTTTGTTTTATAGACTGTTTTATTTGCATGAATTGGGGAGATTAGGACCCAGTTATAGATCTGCGTGTGACTAGTTACAAAATTCTAGGGGGAGGGGAGAGAAAAAATAAAACTTTTTCTCACTCTTTGTCTTTTCCTTGTCTCCAGAGATGCTTTCGATATGCTTGGAAAGCTACTTCGATGCTCCATTGTTTTTCCTCTATGATTACCAACCAATGTTGTTGCCATATTATGTTCATTATACGTCCAATGTTTTCCATGTCTGAGGCATGTTCCCAGAGCGACGACTTATTCTGTGGTAAACTGAGAAAAGTTATTTTGTTCCAAATGGACGGTGGATCCATTTCGTCCTGGCCAATATAACTAATACATTTCTTCCAGAAAACTACTTTGTAGGGGCACCCGACCACCATATGATACTCGTCTTCTTCCTCCGTTTTACATATTCGGCAATTAGGCAAGGGCGCATTTGGGACTCGTAGTTGGTGAAGTCGTTGTTGTGTTGGTAATTTCTTCAAAAGGATTCGCCACCAGAAGTTCCGTACCTTATGAGGGATGTTGAGCGACCAGAAAAAGGACCATTGATTCTTCGTTAGTGTGGTGTAGCTTGGATATGCGAATGGAGGTTTCGGAGGTGGTCTCTTATCCTCATGGCGATCTTTCCATATCAACCGTATTTCTTTAGGTGATGCTTTGTATGTCTGTATCCACGGATCCATTTTCCTGTTGGATCTTATAGTCCAGTGATCTAGTTGCACGTGTAGTAAGTTTGATGGACATGGTGTGGGAGATGGCCTATTAAGTATTTTGTCGATATCTGGTTCCCAACTACTGTATCCTCTTGCTATATCTTCTTCTATTCGAGCACCCATAGAAGTCTGTTTTTGAAAAAATGCTTTGGGAATGAATGCGGTGTCTTGATCAGGAAGTTCAAAAAGGTCTTTGATAAGATATGTAGCCGGTATGGATGTCAATTGTATTTTCGCTTCTGCTGTTGGTGCCAGAGCATATTGGATGGGAATATTTTTGACAAAACCTGGCGTCCATGTATCAATAGGAGAAATCCCTGGTAGTTCCGTGAGTAGATGGGCAAGATGTTGCAATTGTGGCATTCGTTTCAAGGTGATCCGGAAATGTTGTGGGAGAAGTAGAAAAGGGATTGATGTCTGTTCATCACAATGGATGCGGATCAGTATGTTGATGACTTCTGTCAGAGGGTTTCCATTGGTACGAGCAAGCAAGCGATGAAGGTACACATTATGTAGTGCTAATTGTTGGTGCATAATGTCTATTAACCCCAGTCCACCCATCTTTTTTGATTTGTAAATGAACGCCAAAGAAGGATATGGGAAGAAAGGTAAGACGTATTGTCGTACAGCTGAGCGGATTTCTTGTAACCATCGTACTGGGACTATAGTAACTCGAAGGATGTGCCAAAGCCTGGACAAGAGAAGCGAATTTGCTGTAAGTGATCTGCCTAGCACTGATAAGTTTCTCATGGACAACAGGTGTATGTGTCTGATAATTTTGCTCTGGATCATTGACAAATATTCATCAAGTTGACTTTGTTCCGTATATAAAGGATATCCCAAATAGGTGACTGCTTGTGCTGAATGTTTATCATGCCACTGGATGTTTTCTTCTGCAGCTATTTCCTGCCAAAAGGTATGTTGTTTACCCGTAATAGACATCATGATGGTTTTCCCCAAATTAATCTTCGCATTTGATGCTTGACTATAGGTGTGGAGTAGACCTTTCAGTGTTTGCCATTCGGTTTCTGATTGGAGGAAAAGGATTAGGTCGTCCGCGTATGCCAGAAGTTTGACTTGACATGCCAAGGTACATTGATTTCTCTGTGGCTGTTGTGGTAATTCAACACTTAAAGATTTAGATTAGAGTTTAGAATATTGATAATCCGATAGTGGAGATCAGATTACAGAGTAATCTGATAGTTTATTTATAAAAAGAGTTTTTTATAGGACTTGTTCCTTTTTCTCTTTAACTAAGTTTTATTAATAAAATTCTTACGTTTTGTCTCGTTACATATTAAGACTCATACAAATACAACATTTTTTTTAACGAATTCAACAACAACAACAACAACACTATCAACATGAACAACAACAACATTATCAACAACACCAACAACAATGACATCATGTCAGATAATTCCTCTCCTTTTTCACCCACACAAGTTGTGGAAGAAACAATTACCAACCTCGTCAACAACAATGTTGAAGACATGGTGATTGATGATCAACATCTCATCGAGCGCAGCAAGATGATCATCAAGAGGTTGAAACAGGATATTGATGATTTGCAAAATGAGTATGAAGAACATCTCATTAACCGTACTGAAGAAGATGGTATGGCAGAGAAAGTAGATGCAGCTTGGAATAAGTTGGAAAAATACCAAGCCTATGTGGCAAAACGTTTCCCAGGGGAAGCATCTTTTGTCAAGCAAGTAGCTGTTAACACAGCGAAACGCAATCATGGGTACCCAATTGGGGACATGCCTCGTTTACTTTCTCATGATGAAGTAGCAATCAAGCCTCATGGGCATATCTTTTACAATGTGAAAGAATTTATGGCTCATTTGGAAAAGTATTGTTGCAGCCAAAACATCAATGTGGAAGAAGAACACAGTTATTTCTTTCCTTTGTTGTTAGGTAACACTTATGGCACTTATTATAGTGCAAAGGTTGATGGTATCCAAAGGGGTACAAATGTCACTTGGCCAATGGTCAAATCTTGGTTGTTTGAGTGTGTCAACACGCCTCAACAAAGAGCCAAGAACCTTAACAAGGTTGCTGGTATGAAATCACAAGGTGATGAATCATTCCAAGATTTCCTTAAGAAATTCTCTGGTATGATTAATTCTTTAGAAATAGAGAAGATTACGGTCACGGAGTTTATTCTCCATATGCTTCTTGATAACATACCTAGTGTTTGGAAACAAAAAGTAGTGGATGTTGTCAATGTCGCGGCCAAGCCAGCACACAAAATGAGTGTGCCTGAATTATTCAATTTGTTCGAAAATTTGAACATGAAACCAGTGGGCTCAGGAAGTTCACAAAAAAGAAAATTTGCTAAGTATCATCATCATCATCATGAAGCTCAGCCTATTAAAAAATTTTTTAATAATAGAGACTCCGGTGTGGCCAATGGCACATCAGCTTCAAAATGGGCCCCCAAAGGAAAATTCATCAACAAGAATCCTGAGGGAGTGTCTTGTGGAAATGGTTGTGGTCAAATATACAAGCCGGGACATAACAGTGTTTGTCCAAAACGAGTGAACAGAGTTGCTCGTGCGGCCATCAAGAAAAGTGATGTCTTGGATGACAATTTGGAAGCCATCACGGCAAGTTTGACGGATGACATGGACATCTATGATGACAAACTTGAATGTAAGGGAAAAAAGAAGAAAAACCGAACAGATGATCAATTGATCAAAGATGAAATTAACGTACCTATTTATGTAGAGAACGTCCCGATCTTAGCATTAGTAGATACTGGTGCAAATTTTTCTTCTTTAAATAAATCATT